ACCTAAGAGTTGAAAATCCTGAGGCAATCTACTCTATTTGTTAAGTACCGTTCGGCAGGACATTAGGCCCTATGGTTTGGGTCCGGTTAGGGGATCTCCGATAAATGCCACCAATGGAAGGAGGCACGAATACGCGCAACGTCACGTGTTCGAGATACGAAAAGGGAAATTCAGGAACCCACGCCTGGCGGTGGGGCGTGGGAGTAGGTTTGAAATTCTTCTCGTTGCATGAAGGCCTTCGAGTAATCTTATCGATAAGAGCCCACTTCATGGTTAACTTGGTGTTATTACTATATATAAGCTGTAACGGCCAGTCATATCCAGATGGAACGCGTCGGCAGAATAAGCCCGCTCCGAGCTTTACCCCCAACGGCACTTACGTCTAGATCCCAGGCTAGGAGACACCGCAGTCCTTCATGAGGGTGCTGTTTGTAAGCCAGATATACCTGGAATACCACCACCTCAGCTACATAAGTCCCCCAACGGTCGATTACAGCGCTGTTTCTCTAGCCCTCTTCTTTATTGTCTTACAAAGTTATAGTTACTTGATACCTCTCTTCCTGGTTCGCTTGCCTCTGTAACGCAGTGCCTGTACTAGATAGGTCGACAGAGCGCAGATAGTTCGAAGTTCTAATTAACCCGTAATTACAACGGTGATTTCTCGGATGGGAAAGAGAAAACGGTAGTTACGTGGCAAGGGAAAGCCACCGTTACGTGCAGGGGCGCTGGTGTCCCAAAATTAGGCATAGGTTTCCTTACAACACACCGCCCCATTTACGATCACGGTAAGTATAGTCGGGGCAAATTTCGGCCCAGGTGGGCCTCAGTGCGGCTCACCCCTAGCTCAGGATTTGCGACTAATTGTCACGGCAGGTGCCAAGACAGGAGCTGGGAAGCACGTGCCGACTGGCTGCAGCAACTTGGGACGTGATCTGTGCGTAGCCCTGGGACGTGGTCTGTGCGTAGCCTTGACACGTGATCCACAACCCACCTTATTTCCTTACGCCCCGCACAAGCATGGAACTTTCTTTCCTTTTTCTTTCCTTAGGGCCTGATCTTCTCAAACTCGGCAAGTTGCCAACTCTTCGAAAAAAGGACTTCCAGTGGCTTCGTCAAAGTGGATCTACCAAGAAGTAGTGCATTAGTGCCAGTCAGCCACACTATACCGTAACAGTAAGGCGGTCAGAGCGGTATTCTCACCGCCTTTGGCCACTGAAGTTGATCCTGGCCATGTCCGAGTGCGATGCCCGAGAAGTCCTTTTTTGCAGCCAAAACGACGTACAATGGCATCTTCGAGCGACAGCCAATTGGACCTCGAGCCAGTGATTGATCTTACTGGCGCACCGGGAGCCCCCGAAGCCCCTGAGTCGGCCAGCGACTGGCTTGACAACCCCCTTCCAGAGCCCCGCCTTTCCGACTTGCCAGCAGAGTCGCCGCTGCGGTTTCCAAGCCCAGGCACTATAGTAGCCATAGTCGACGACCCAGGCCGACGGTCGACGGCTTCCAATAGTATTTTGGCGGCAGAGTCGTCCAGCGAGTCCCCCCTTGCGTCCACGGCGCCCCCTAATGCCGGTGCATCACGAAAGCGCCCGGCCCCGAAGAAGGAGTCTACCAATAAGCGGCGCGGCAAGCAGTTGGTTGATTTAACCGATACAACCGACGACCAGTCAAGCTCATCAAGAAGGGCATTGCAGCTGAAGAAGGTGGTATTCAAGACGCATATGACGGAGCAATTGATGCTCTGGTTCCAAGAGTGCAAGTCCGAGGGCCTGTTCAATAGCAGCAAGAAGAAGGATTACGCGCAAGTCTGGCAGGACGTCTGTACTCGCTGCAAAGAGGCCTGGCCGCAGTATCCATGGACCCCTGCTGTTATCTCGACGAAATATAATACCGAGCGCTCTCGATATCGCGTATGGAAGGCTCTGTTGGAGTATTCTGGGGTCTCTTTCAACGAGGAAAGCCAACTACCCGAAGCGGCCGAGTCAGTATGGGAGGCTTTCTTCTTACGGCATAACACTCCCACCAGGAACCATACCTGGCTTCAGCACACACCTCTGGGGGATCCAGAGGTCTACTCAGCAGTCTTTTGGCGGGAAAAAGCGACAGGCAACCATATAATGGAAGCTGAAGATATACCTTCCCAGTCCTTTGACCAGATTCTCGATGACGGCGAAGAGTCCGAGAACGATGAGGCTGAACCTAGCGGTAGCGAAGAGGCTGGCAGAGCAAAAGCATTACGAATACTACCAGTTACGCCTGCAAGGAAGTTGACACCGGCACAGCAACACCGTCGTGATACTGACCCTGACTCCAACCACCGCCGTACTAGCGGTTTGTCGGTCTCTGAGGATACAATTGCCGTTTCGCAAGCCTCCCAGCAAAGCAAGACTCCTGATGCTTTTGATACAGCCTTGTATAGCACTCTTTGTAAAGCGGCCTCGATTATGGCCGCTCCGAGGACCCAAGGCGCCACCGATCTCACCGAGGCTATTGTAAGCTTGGAGGCTCTGTTTTCGCAGGATCTCAGCCGTCAGGAGAGGATAAATTGCCGGAAATACCTTCAAAACAACCCTCTGGCCGTAATAGTGTGGAACGCGTTGAATCCAGAGTCAAAGAGAGAGATGGTTGACGAGTGGAAAGTATGAAGTTGAAGTGGTGGATTTGATGGGAGTCAAGATTGTATTCAATATTCAGCTTCGCCAGCCAATTACCATAGAAATCCAAAATCCAACCTCGGCTAAAGCCACCCTTTCGCCCCACCTTATAACCCCTCAACACCAAGGTTTTGGCCGTTAAATATCACCATTTCTATCCTCTTGATTGACGGTATCTACTATACTGAGCCCACATTGCGTCTGCAGCGGTATGGCGAACCCAATCTGGATGCCGCGTTCCGACCGTCCGCCCAGCTCTGGCTGCCGCAAGCGATATCAATTGCCGCTGTTCTGGTCCAAGTACGTCCTCGTGATTATACTGAAGAAGGAAGTTATGTAACGCAGTCACAGCGTATACGATAAATACTTGCTTCTCAAAGCTGTACTCGATTGGGGCGTTCCGAATAATTCTCCACATCCTCTTTATGATACCGAAAGCCTGCTCGACGACGACTCGGATACGGGCGTGCCTTAAGTTATAGAGCTCTTTCTGTGTCTCTGGCGGGTTTTGAGCATCTCTCCAGTCTTGTAGGTGGTATCTAATATTCGGAAAAGGAATTACGATGCCTTGGCGAGCCCCGAAGCCAGCGTCTGCCACATAAAACCGGTTCTCTGGTACACGAAACCTCCTTCCAAAGGCCTGGGCACACAACATCGCGTCGTTAATCGAGCCTTCGGCACCAGCGAGTACGTAACTGAACGAATAATCGCTTCTGACTGCGGCAAATACGTTCTGAGAGACTCCTCCCTTTCTATCACGCCAGCGGGCTTGATCACGAGTAGGAATGTGGGCGGCAATGTGAGTGCCGTCGATAGCACCGATACAACCGTTGAAGGCGTTCAACTTCGGGTTCAGCTCGACCGTCGGATCAAGCCAATCGTCCTCTGGAAGGCGTACAACGTGTTTATGTAAAGACACCAGCATTGGCAAGACTGTATCTATCGTCCTCGCCACGGAGCTTTGGGTAATTTGGAAGAAATGGGCCGCGTTTCGCTGTGTGGCTGCGTGTGCCAGGATATATAGGACCACCATAACCTTCTGCTCAGCCAGTTGATACCGGCTGCCTTTGAGTCCTTCGTTGGTCCGCAGCCATCGTACGAGGGCATGGAAAGTAGGCTTATTCATGCGAAAGAGGTCCTTGAACCGAGTGTCTGCGCCATTGAGAAGGCAATTGGCCAACCGGCGCGCAAATCGAGGGCCACCGGGGTGTATAACTTCGCGTAGGCCAAGTTGAGTGCCTTGCTGGCTTGGTTGGTGGTTGAGCCTGAGCCGAGGGTGCAGAATCGCCAAAACGGCGGCAATGCTGAAGTCACGGCTGGCTTGGAAAGTATCCCACATCGTCGTTATGCTTCAAGCATTCTTGGTTGGTACGAATTACATACAAAGTCAATGTTGAGGCTCATTTCTAACCCTGTACAGACTTTTCCAACCGGTTCTCAGCCCACTTCCAGTGTGGCTTTGCCTGTGGCGCCAGCTTTGGATCTACTTTCCACCGAAAAAGTCACAAATTCCAGCTTTTCCAGCCATCTTGCAACTCGCCAAGTTATGGGCAAAAACCGGCAGAATCCTCGTCTATTTTACCATATTCGGTATGGCTGTGGCCCGGGCGGCCTTGTAGTAGCGTGGTACATGCGATTCCAGGGGTGTTGGCATGAGTTTGGCTGGCAAAATTTTATGAGGTACAAAACCCACTTTTTCCACTCAAAATTGGTGCCAGAAAGGGTCAAGCTCCCTCCGGAAATTCGATCAATCTTGGTCTTGGCGCCTGGGACCTAAAGTACCGAAAAGCTGACAACTCGCCGAGTTTGAGAAGATCAGGGCCTTAGCTTTAGATTCCACGAATACAGCGACCATATTGCAACCTTGCCTCAATTAGTTGACTGTGCGGTGACACTAATACGGACTCGGACAGAAAAAGTTGTCGGGTGAGACTATATAGGTAAATACAAGTCTAACCAGGTCATTAAAGAACAAGACAAATATATACCGGCTGGACCAATGTTCTCTTCCAACTGACTGCCTTAAGCACCCCCGTACTTATTAATCCAGATTCTAGACGAGTAAGAAGTTGGAAATCTTGTTCCAGCAGAGATCCCCTAAAGAAAATAAAAAGAAAAGACAAGAAAAAGAAAAAGAAGGAAAAGAAAGAGAAAAAAAAGGAAAAGAAAGAAAAAAAAAGAAAAAGAATAAAACGAAAGAAGAAAAAAAAAAGTAAAAGAAAAAAAAAGAAAAAAAAGAAGGAAACGAAAGAAAAAAAGAGAGAGAGAGAGAGAGGGTTAGGTAATTGGAAGGCTGGGTTAGAGTCTAGTCTGGACTTTGATGTCTTTTTCTTTCTTTCTCCCCCCCTAGATAACCAACTACAGCTTGGAACCCAGCCCCAGCTTCTCGACTCTGGCACGACTGCCCTCGAGCCCGGCTAGCGTGGCCTCGTCCAAGCCCGGAATGATCATCTCGAACGTGTCATTGACGACGGCATAGTCATAGTACCCACAACGAGCAATGGGCCTGACCCTCGCCAAATCCAGCCGGCCACTAGCAGGGTCAATCGCCCAGTCAGCAATGTACACACCGACCACCCTGCCGACAACGACATCGGCCGACCCGAGCGGCGGGTTCCCCGGCAGGCGCCAGGTCGCATGGTGCACGCACTCCAGGCGCACGGGGCTGTCGCGGACCACGGGCACGGGGTTGCCACCATCTCCATCGCCGGGCAGGCACCGACTGAAGGCCTTGGCGAGCCCGGCAGCCGCAAACTCGTCGGCGCCGTACGGCAGCTGCTGCGCCGAGGCGTTGACGGCGGCGCGCAGCGCGTGCGTGGCCATGTTGACGACGAACTTGCCGGTCGCCTCGGCGTTGCGCACCGTGTCCTTGCGCGACCCGTCGGCCTTCTGGTTCGCCGCGAACATGACGTACGGCGGGTCGAAGGTTAGGTTGGCGAACTGTGAGTACGGTGCGAGGTTGTGTTGCGGTGGTGGTGGTGGTGGCGGCGGGTAGGGGGTGTCGCGTGTGGTTGGGGGCAGCGGCGACGTCGTCGAGATCCACCCGATCGGCCGCGGCACCACGCACGCCTTGAACGGGTCGAACGGCAGGTTGTGCGGCGTCTTGCCGGGCTCGTAGAACATTGTCTCGCTGACGGGGGGTGTGTGGGGGTGTTTGCTGTCGATGAAGCTGCCTCTGGTAATTGATCGAGAGTAGATGTTGGGAGAACTTGCGCAGGAGAGAGCACAGGAGAGAGCGCAGGAGAGAGCGCAGGAGAGAGCGCAGGAGAGAGCGCAGGAGAGAGCGCAGGAGAGAGCGCAGGAGGAAGCGCAGGAAAGAGCGCAGGAGAGAACCCCGCTTTCGCAGCCACTGGTCGTCTAGATAAACCCCAGCCCGACCCGGAATCCGCCTCCCGGGCGTGCATGTGCGGCTCGAGCTTGGGACGGTTTAGAGTGGTGTTTACCCAGCACCGTCGGGTGGCGCTTAATATCGAGACGGACGCTCAGTGGCTTGATTAGAGTATCTCAGCCAGCGGGACGGTCCGAGACACGCAGATCTGGGAACCGAGACACGCAGATGGGAACCGCGGGTGATTGTCTCGTTGCGCTGTTCTTGTACTACCTCGGGCACATTATCCGAGATCACATCACCGCCGTCTAACTTCGCTCGTCCCTTACGAGAGCCCACGGGCAAATGAATAATCACTATCCCATGTGATTACGCGGAGCTACTCTTGATAGTCTACAGTAGCGATTGAACGAACTAATTATCAACAAAGTATAAATTAAGGTGGGTACAGCAGAGAATTAGACACTGAGAATGCGGCGGCCACACCAAAGCCAGCCGGCCGCCGATTCCCAGTTTGAACCACAGCTAATTACTTGTCAAGGCACTCAGATGGCCCACCCGCCCGCCAAGTCCATGACGCGGGCGGGGTCGATGCGGCCGCGGATCTGACGCAGGCGCGCGGCGTTCGCGGCGCCGTACAGCTCGGCGGGCGCGGACCCGGCGAGCGCGTAATTGGGGTACGCGAACAGGCTGGCGCCGGCGCTGTAGATGCCCTCCTCGGTCGCGACGCGCTTGAGCGTCGCCGCCGACTGGCGCATGCGCGCGTACCACCACTCGTCCTGCGACGGCAGCGACCACGAGAAGTACAGGTTGAGCTTTTGGACCATGTCAGCAAGAGTTGAAAATGGAGAGGGATGGGGAGGGGGCGGGCTCACAGGCAGCGGCGAGCTGGCGTGCGGGTAGGCGCTGTCGGTGGCTTTGGAGCCGTAGGGCGTGAAGGGCTCGATGTCGTAGCTGGCGACGACGCCGCCGTGGGCGGCCTGGGCGGCGGCGATGTCGACCGTCTCGTTGTGGATGGCGGCGAGGAAGCGCGGCGTCAGGCCCGACGTCGAGAAGGTGTGGAAGGCGCCGCGCGGGTTGCGCACCTCGGCCACGCCCGTCGGGATGCTGCTGATGAGCGCCGAGAAGCTCTGCTGCTGCGTCGTGTCCAGCAGCGGCACGATGCCGTCGAACAGCTGGAACGCCGCCGGCTTGTCGGGTCCGTCGTGGAAGAACAGCACCATTGGCGTCGGCCCTGCGGTGCCCGCCTCGAGCGTCGTGATGATCACCGCCTTGGGGTCCTTGTTCTGTCGGTAGAACTGCGCCGTGGCGTTGAGCACTTGCTGGACTGTTGTCGGTGGGTACACGACGAGCCCGCCCTGGTTCTGTCAGACCCGCACGGAATCGTTGAGGCACGGGATAGACTCACGTAGACCTTGGGCGGCTGCGGGTGCGTCGCGAACACGGCCGACGTCACCACGCCGAAGCGGTTCATGCCGCCCTTGAGGGCAAAGAAGAGGTCGCGGTTGTAGTCGGCCGAGGCGTACGTGATGGTCCCGTTCTGTGCGCTATTATCAGGAAATGTCACCCGGACCAGCAGGAACTAGTCGAAGAAAACATACCGGCAGCACAATGTTGTGTCGCTTAATTGTGTCGCATGTCAGGCCTGCAGGGAACGAGTTAGTCGGTGTCTCTAGGATGCCTGCCGTGCGTGTTTGACAGTGCAGTATCCTTGAAAGTGCAGTATCCTTGACAGTGCAGTGTCCTCGACAGTGTAGTGCGCACCGTATTGGTTTGTTTTCCTATTCGATAGCGGGTCTGTTAGGACGGAACGAAGACTCGGAGGCACGTAGAATAGTAACGCACCACGAGAAGCCGCCGCCGAGGCTGAATCCGCCGACGCCAGGGCCAGCAACTCTGCCTCCCACGACATTGACGCCTGTGCCCTCCAGCTCGTTGTACGTGTCCGCCCATGTCTGAACGCACACTATCAGCACAGGACCCGCAAACACTTTTTTGCTTCGAAAAGAGCTAGCTCACCCGTCCGAAACCCAGCTCGACCGTCTTCTTGTCGGCCGACAGGACGAGCTGATCCAGCCGCTTGAGCGAGATGTGTACACCGGGGGTGCTTGAGAAGCCCGGGTTCGACGCGTGGCCGCCCGACATGACGGCGAAGGGGGTGCGGGTGTTGCCGATGACCTTGAGCGCCGTCGACAGGTCGCGCGCCGAGCCGACCTCGAGCACGCATGCCGACGTCTGCGACGACGACAGGAACCAGTGGTGCGTGTCGTCGGCGAAGGACAGGGCACTGACTGCAGCGGGGATCACCGTCAGCACTCGACGTGTACCCATAAAAAGACGACGCGTTTGACTAGGCTTACCCGGGTAGATGATCTCGCTGGCCGACGAGATCTGGCCGGCAATCAGGCCGCACGTCACCGTGGCGTTCTTGGTCAGCTGTGTCACGCCGGCGTCTACCGTGGCCACGCCGGCGGCGAGGGCGGAGAAGCGGAACAGGCTGGATACCGAGAAGCGAGCCATGGTAAAACTTAGTATAGGATCGGCGAGGAGAAGGCTGCGGATGAAGATCAGGGGAAGAACGCCATCGGGACCCAGATAGTGGCTGCGGGGAGATATTTAAGTCTGCTCGTTACGGCGATTAATTCTGTCTGCTCGGGTCAGCCCTCTGCTCGGGTCAGACCCAGAATGGGAGTCCCGGGCGATCCGTCCGTTGTAACTGCAGGGTCACTTTGTTCCGAGGGCATTTTGTCAATATTTCAATGTCGTGGTGGTGGTTCGACTGGAGCCCTGTCTTCGCAGGATCTGGCAGAAATTGCGATGCTGACGTGTGGGATTCTCTGTTAAATTCTTTAAGCACCCCTGTCACGCCTTGAGCTCGCAGTTGGCCCGCTTGGTCCTGTTCATGTAGTCTTGGCGCCGGCAGCCAACGAGATGAGATTTGTATGCTGTGGATACCCTTACTCTCAGCTCGAAAACTACTGGTTGAAGTTGACGTTTGAAACGGCGCGGCCAAGTCACAAGTCACCATCGTCACCACTAAGCTTACATGCCGCAGAGTGCTGAGGAATTCCGACTTTGGTAAGCCAGAATGCCGATCGCCATCTCTTCGGCCGACGATCGATGCATTATGGACCCATGGATCAGCGAATAGCTAGACCCCACCACAGATCCAACCGACTGGTCCGTCGCGTCCAGGGGTTGCCGTCCGTCCGTAGAGCTGACACGGAAGAGCGGACGGTGACCGAGCCTCCTGGGAATTTCGTTTCTGCACCTCGGCCACGCTATGACGCCGTGCCAAGGAACCGCCGCCTTGCGAAAACGAATACGACTGTGGCGGCTGTCAACCCACCACGACCGAGACGCCGGGGTTACATTCACCACGAACGAGACGCCGGGGTTACATTCCGCCGTCGTACTGCCTGCCAGCGGCCCGAGGCATGCATACACGTCGCCGAAGAGCCAGTCGTCTGGCAGTTCTGTGAGGGAGGGCTGTAACCATTGATGGATTTTTGTGCCCTCACTCGAGAACCAGCTCTGCCCTCAACAACTCCCGAGCCGGCTGCTGCCCCCAGTGACGGCCCCGTGGAGTCGATGACGGACTCGGGCACTAGCTCAACGGCAAATCTCTCTTGGCTACAGCAGTAGGCTCTTCTTGGCTCGCTGTAAATCCTGATTGATTCCAGCCTACTACAGTCGAGGGCGTGCCGTGCCGTGTAGGCCCAGAACAGGTAGGCCAGGAAACCTTGAATCCAGCATCGTGAGATGCGACAAACTCAATTGCCCAGGGGCCAGCCGATCGCACTCGAATCCGCGTGAGAAGAAATTAGCCCACGTGTTCCCGCATCCTGCGAGGGGTTTTCGGTCGTCCCTTGACCCATACAGATACAGCCAGTTAATCTAACACACACTCGACGAGCCACGTTCTCGAAACAGTCCAGAACTAACCAAATCCACTCGCGCTCTCCAGCGCCAACTCGCACAACACCTCGTTTGCAATTCCAACCACTAATCAAGGAAGGTAGTCAGGTATCAGCATGTCTGGTGTTCCGTCCCAGTGACATCACCTTGCAGCGCGTCGTATCATTGTGTTGCTACCGCGGCCGCGGCTGTGGCTGTGGCTGGCTGCAATGCTGCCACGGCACGGCGGCAGCGGGCCAAGTCGACATCCACTGCCGTGGAGGAACGCTGCTTGAAGCACAGCCCCCTGGCCGCCGACAAAATGCGATCGCCGACGACGACGGCTACAGTTTTGCTTCTTCACCATGAACAACTTACGGCGACGCGTTTTGCGATCTAGCAATCTCAGTCGCGGATAGCATGAGATGTGAACAGAGCCAATTGTGGAAACTTTAATGGTGGTGGTAATTGGCCGTTAATGACTCGATTGTTTGACCCGTTTCGCCCGCTTCGTAATAAAGAAACTGACCACAACTGACCACAGCTCGCCAGTTCGGCCTTACTTGGCAGCAAAACGGCGAAACGAGCGACCGAAACAAGGCCATTGTCCAAGCCCTGACATTAAGGTAGTTCTAGGCTCGAGCTAATTAGAAGTGTGACTCGAGCAGTTGTTATGGGGGGGGGGTTTGCTTTTGGAGCTAGTTGAGGCTTGACCTGAGTTTCGACAACACACCTAAGCTCGTGATATGACAAACAATAACGAGTCGGATGCTCTGCTAAATTTGCTATGCACGCAAACTCGAGCTTCGAATGTCTCATTGCCATTGGTACAACGCAGTGGTAAAGCAAATCAGATGCCAGGCATCCAAAATCCATACAAGCAGAAGAGAAACCTGGAGTTTCTGGAACGCAATTGTTGCTTTCGAGTAATCAGGTAGCCCTAGTCCTTCCCAAGCCTTTCGAAGCCGTTGTTCTGCCTCAGGGTCTTTTTTTTGTGCAAGAAGAGTTACCCCAAGCATGCTCATCGTCGTCAAAGTTGTTTCGTGCGCAGGACCCCACAGCGATTCATACCCCTTCACTGCCCTCTGATACAATTCCGCTACCTAGCTGCGTTTCCCTTCATACAATTTCGCCGATTGTATATACTGCCTTCGCAATGGATAGAAGATTGGACGCATGTTCTGCCGTGTTGCTGGGTCGCAAGACATTCTTGGATCTCTCAACTGCTTTTCGACTTGGAGACTCGTAAATCCCTCTCAATTTACTCGATACGAGGAGTTCTTCCATCTATCTTAGCCTCCCTGGCGATGTGGCAAGTTGCACCCTAGCTCTTGCTTTCCAACGTCGAGTCCATATGCGGTCCCAAGCAGGCGGGCCGGGAGGCATGGAGGAATTGAGCAACGCCTGATAGTAACGCCCAGCTTCGGCCCATTTGCTGAGGCGTTGCAATACACCCGCAAGGCGGAAAGTCATGTGGGACGAGTGCGAACGGCTGTTTTGGGGGGATAATATCTTCTCGGCAACCTCGAGGCCCTTCCTGGCCAGCTTCTCTGCATCCGCAAGCTCTTCTTCCTGCCGCATGGAGTCCACCACAAGTCCCAGAATCGGAAAGTGCTGGAATGTTCTTCACCACAGACAGTCGTGAAGTCCTGACACGCTCGGAGGGCCACCCGTTTTGCATCTCTACGCTTTTATTGAAGCAAAAGTACACCCACGTATCCTTCAATGCAGGGGACCGTTTCGACGTCTCCAGTTCTGAAAACTCGTGTCGCAACCTCGCTCCCAAACCGAAACGGGCGCCCAGCGACATTGTATTCTCCAATGGCGTGATATACTTCCGCAGTTTCCGCAGTTTTGACCGTGAGTCGGTACAAGATGCGCTGATTCACCTGAAGCTTGGACCGGCAGTCCTGAAGCACGGCCATCATACGAGGCAGATACTTGAGCCGCATACCCCGGTCAATGCGGCGAGTCTCGGGAACGGTTTCGAGAAGTTGTATTGCCATCCATGTGGCACCGGCTCCCGCCCCTGTCTAGCGCTAAGTTGAGCTCTTGACGACTAGGCGGACAAGTCTGTGGACATAATATACCCCTTGTTCTTCGAGCCTCTCCTTAATGAATCCCCATTCTTCCATGATGTTAATGGCCCCGTCGGCTTTTAGGCCCCGAATTTCCTTGGTCGTGCTGTGCAACATCGATGCGTCGGTCCAAGAGGCCGGTGCGGATGTGTTGAATGGAAAGGACGTGGCAGACGATGGCGTCCAAACTCGAAGGGGCCTTTGCGAGTTCAGTGCTTGTCTTTTCCGGTCCGAATCGCAAAAGCAGGCTTCACGATGGTCCGGAACTGGAGCATGGGAGAGTGCGGGGCTGAACCTGAATTGCCCTTTTTCTTTCGTTCCTTTTTGCCTCCGCCGGCCCTCCAGGGGCGCCTGCGATGGGTTGCTCGCTACGCTCGAAAGCCGTTCTTTCCATAAGTAGTTCTAGTTCATCTGATCGGCTAATCCTTAAAATTCATTACCCAGGTAACCAAGTTCCTATACCTCGTCAATAACATGCACGCCATAGAAACTCTCGTCGTTTAATACACGTTAATTCCTATTTTGGTTCCGTTCGTTGTCAAATATCCTTCATGCCCAGCAAGTCACCGATTTGTTGTTCCATCCAACTCACATTCCATCAACTACCCTCTCAAATGCCACAAACCGCTGACTAGAGTTAGACCTACCTATCTGTCCACCCTGTCCGGCTAATTGTTACTTACCAAAGCGAGGCATCCCCGCGAAAAAAAGAAAAAAATACAACCCCCGCTAATCAATCAATGATCGTGTACAGGGCGGACCAGCAGTATCCAAAAGTCGTAGACGTCTGCGTCTTCGTCTCAGGCAGCGCCTCGAAGCCATGGCCGGCAGCGATGTCCGGGCGGCGCGGGAACATGCACGCAGGCAGAATCGACGCCGACTCCCAGTCGATAATCGCCTGGATCCGCGAGTCGGGCGGCGGGTTGACAATGACGTTGCCGCCGTGGCAGTCGCCGTGGGTCATGCGCGGCTTCATAGCCACGGCCTCGCCGTCGTCGGCGGCCCCGAGCGCCGCGAGCTCCTTCTGCGTGCGCGCGTACAGCGCGCGGACGCGCTTCTCGGTCTCGGCGGGGTCGGCGCCCGTCTTGCGGCCGTCGGCGGCGACCTTGGGCTGGCCGCGGTGGTCCTGCGGCGCCGCCGCGCGGATCTTGTCCCAGTCGATCCCCATGCGGTACTCGAAGGCGCCCTCGAACATGGACAGCCAGTCCGGGTACGGCCCGCGGTCGATGCAGATGCCGCCGACCGTCGGCGCGAACAGCAGGTGGTCGATCATGGGCCCCACGAAGAAGTTCTTGGCGTGGCCCCAGTCGCGGTACAGGCTGCCGAAGTGCGTGAACGTCTTGGACGCGTCCCAGAGGTCCTCGCTCAGGTAGCCGACGGCCTCGCTGGCGAGCCCGCGCTCCACCTCGCCGGCGTCGACGTTTTTGCCCTTGTACGGGCCCTGGGGGTTCTGCAGCTTCTGCAGCAGGTCCTCGGCGGGGATGCCGGGGATGCGCTCCAGCAGGATCAGGTCCAGCCCCAGCGGGTTCGAGCCCGACGAGTCGAAGAAGTAGATCTTGGGCACGGGGATCTCGAGCTTACCGACGTACAGCGTCGTGGCGACCTCGTTCTCGACGCCGTAGTGGGGTGCCCAGGGCACCGTGACGCGCAGAAGGAGTTCCGAGGGGAGCTGCATGCAGCCGGTCTTGCCGTAGCGGCTCGTGTCGCCGATGCGGATGTTGTTGACGAGGAAGAGCACGCTGGTCGCGCCCTCGTTGAAGTAGCTCACGCGGTAGCCGCCTGCGAGCGGGATCAGCGGCCGGAACATGCCGGCGTAGTACTCAAGCAGCTGCTTGGCGTCGCGCACGTTGGGCGGCTGGCGCCACGCCGGGCGCACGAACCTCATTGGCGGCTCCTTACCCACGGTTTCCTTCTCCTCCTTGACCGTCCAGGCAAGCCATTTTGGGTCCTGTCTGGCGACTAATTCGGTTTGAGTTGGCGGGTCGCAGTTCTGCACTCGGATGGGGAACCTTACCTGCGGCGGTGCCATTCTCTCTTATCAGGCAGCAATTTGTGGTATCAGGAGAAGGAATTCCAGAAGGAATTCCAGAAGAAGGATTTCCAGAAGAAGGAACTCCAGAAAAGGATTTCCAGAAGATGGGATTATTTCCAGTGTGCGCAGCGGCTTGCAAAGTGGTTCTTTCTTCGCGGTTTCCATTTGGTCCAAGGTGGTCTGCCTTTTAATAAACCCCTCTCGAACAGTGTGGTGTTTCCTGGGCGTCGCTGTACAAGGAGAGCCGCCGTGGCTGTCATGTAAACGGGCTGGCTGTTACTAAACGCGGTGGTTACTTAAACGTCAATTGGGCTGTAATGGAGTGAACAGTGAGAATTGGAGAGGTTTGACTCGGCAAAGTCGAGGATTGTTAATCCATTGCCCTGGCCAGTTACCACCGTCTTAGTCTCGATGTAATTGGTTAATTTGAGCCGAGAACTGCCTGCCGAGAACACATCCTCGACCAACAGACAAATTCCTTTAGGTGAGACCGCTAGGTTTCTTTGTGTTCTCTTTCCAGCATTGTTGTTATCCCGACTAGTTAGCGCATTGTCCTGGAGACACAAAGAAAGGAGGTGGTCCAACCGAATCTGGCGGCCAAGCAAGCACCGAGTCACGTGTCACAGTCAAGCAAAGGGGGCACGAGGTGCAAAGGTTTAGAGTCTTCGAGACATCCATGTTAACACTAGGAGTGGTGGCTCTCCTAGAGGCCGGTACAGCTACCAAATGGATACTTTCCCACAAAGGGGCCTGCCCGGCAACAGTTGCCAGACTGAGTTTGCATTCCACAAGAGGCCCTGCCTTGAATATCATCCAGTTCCCAGACTGATTTTTCCCGAGGACCTGCCCTTTTTTTTCCCCACCTAGTAGTTGGTCCCAGACGCATCAATTTAGTGTTTGTGTGTGTGTTTGTGTCCGCCTGCGCCTAGACTAGTCCGAGCGCGGCCGCGCCGAGTCAAGATAAAGAAAAGTGTTGGATGATAATTACTCTGCGACGACCAGCGCCAGGGAAGTGCTGCCCAGCAGCAAAATCCCCTCGTCGTTTCTCTTTCGCTGCCTGCAGCTGGCAAAAATACACCAATCCTCGACCCTCCTACAATTCGGGCTTGGGGTGGCTTGGCAGCCCCGGTATTGTCGCCACAGGTACTGATGCCACAATACCCTGGAATATGGAGAAGGGGTGCTCGTAGTCCACGTGTGGTTGCTTTTCCGGGATGGCGATCTGGAAAGCCTCATTCATGAGTGGGAATTGAGATGTTCTGAGAGTCCTTATGAACAATTTGTTGGCCGGATCCACCTCTTGTTTAAGCTTGGGAGAGAGCGTCGTCGCCATCCTTGGGTTGGCGAGATCGACCTTGGGCTTGGGAGAACGCTTCGGAGATAGCTTCTGCACTAGTCTCCGAGGGCTCAGAGTCTTCCCTATTCTCTTAACCCATACTGCCATGGTTTTCGTATCGTTATCCGTGGGTTTGTGGGTTCTGTATCCCCAGTGGCGAACATTGCTTATGTGTGATTCTGACGCAACCTGCAACGTCTCAGCTATCCGATTGGATGATTCGGAAATGCTAGCAGTTTCGTCCTCGTCCTCGGTCGGTGCCCTGCGCATGGCGTGCAACTCGGTCCTGTCCACGGCAAGCGCAGCTATCAACATGCGCGTATGGACGTTATACATGCCGTCCGCAATTAGGCGCGCTTGAAACGGGAAAACTATACTTTCCAACTGTCCAAGTGGAGCGACTTCGGTGCTAGCTATCAAAAGGTCGAAAGCGTCTCTAGCGGCTTTGGTCTTGAAAACCTGCTGCTGCCCGGTGATTTCCCGGAAAAACTTTTCGTCTGCCAGCGATTTGTGAAGAACCACATGCTTTCTGAATCTCTCGCTGGGCTTCGGATTTTGCAATCTATCGTAAGGCTGAGGATGTGGCCCAGCATCCGCAGAGGAAGTAGCACTAAGAGCGGAAGTAGTTGATCTGCTGCCGGCGTCGTTCCCAAAGGCGAACAACTCGTGGCGGTCGCGGCTGCCTGCGGGCATGAACATCAATGTTTTGGAATCATCGATGAACTTGTCGGGAATGGGGCCGAACCACGGGTAGAGGGTTTGCCTATACGTGTTTTCGTCGAGACGAATTCCGGCCAGCAGTACAAAATCCACCATGCAGGTATGGGTAACGGTTGGGATGAGGTCGCCGATTCTGAAGGTGCCGCCGCCGACAGATGCGTGATATCCCTGACACAAGATTTGGTGGACTCTGATCCACCCGCCCTCGGCCACTGTCTTCACCACGTTTTTCTTGTTCTTTAGTTCTGTTTTATCTAGCGGCTTATTCACAAAACGACCTTTCAAGAGTTCGCATTTAAAGTCCTCCCTGTGTTCATGCTCCGAGACGAGATGCACCGCCGACTTGATGCTAAAACGGTTGTCGAGATATGCGACGAATCTATACTCGAGAATGCCTTCGTAAATTTTTCTCACGTCTGGCTTGCCGAGCGCCGCTACAGTATCGTAGATGCCGAGCATGGTTATGACTATGTCTGAGTGATGAAGATCTCCCCAGATTGCTTTGTCCGGGACCGGGATCGTTGGCTGCGAGTTCTCGTCACCGTTTGGGTGCGCCTTCTGCCATTCAAGGTCTGCGGTGTGGCCCATTTCTTTCCATATATGGAGATAAATCTTAACCGCCTCCTTAACACGGTCAAACTGTGACCTTGTCTTTTTTTTCCACTCATCTTCTTTGAAATTCTTGTCGTATTTAACTTTGAGTGCGTGTAGGACTTCTTCGGTGATCATGTCCGCCTTGAGAATGCCGAAGTCGTTGATGTGGGCGGCCAGTGTCAGGGCCGTGAAAGCACCGCGGGAGAAGCCAAAGAGGGGGACCTCATCACCAGGCTTGTAATAGACAGCCAAGTAAGTGAGAACGTCGAGGAGCTTAGATTCAAATCCTTTGGCAAAAGCCATGTCGGCTGTCTGTCTGACCGATTCGAGAAAGCTCCACTTGTAGGTAACATCCTCGGGGTGGTCGGTGCCTATTCCGGGTATGTATACAGGTATTTGAACGAAGTGCTTTGTCAGGGGAGTGAGCTTTGGGAACTCGATCGGCGGGATAGCTGGTCTTGGAACGCCCTGCTTGTCAGGCACGTCTTCGTTAATGCCGCAGAGCCACTGGTTCCTTTTGGGGATGTGGTCTGTACGGGGTAGGATCGCAGTGGCGAGTTTGGCGACATTGGTTACTTTCCAGAGATCAAGATGATCCGGGGCGTTGTTGCCGGTTCCGTCGCAGCAAATGACGTGCCGGACGTGTTCTTTGGTGTGGTCTCTGTCGTCGGAGAGTCCCCTCCAGAAGTCAATTTCGCGGAATATAGTTCCCTCGTCGATGAGGACGCCATATGTTCCCGTAAGTTTGGTTTTTGGCGCCACGTAGGGCTTGTGGGGAATAGGACCGGTCGAGGATCCAGCGACGGTAGTCATGGTGGCTATACCGAGCTGAGGGTGGCCAAGGTACCTTAGGGAGATACAATGGCGAACGATACAATGGCGAACAAGGTGAAAGCTTGAGCAACCAAATCAAGGACCAGCGTTGAGTTTGGTTGGGCAGCCAGAGCGTTTGATTTGGTCCGAGGGGTCTTAAGAGGCTGTTGGGTGGCTGGGCCGGAGGGTGATGAGAGTGATGTGATGGAGTGCTCATTAATTACAATGCCATCAGTCTATGGCAGGAGCTTTATACTTGATTTCAAGCAGACGACCCGCGAGTTGAGTCCCGACTCGCGCCCCTTCGCGTATTCTCGTGTGGCCCAGTGATTCCACTGGAACCCGTAATTAATTCGCCCAACCGTGATTCAATCATGATATCTGGACCGAAAAGCCCGATCCTAACTGTGCCAGTTGCTATTCCTGGCGAGCCGAGAAGACGCTATTCCTGGCGAAGGAGGCACGTTTCAGCCAAGCCAAGCCAAACCTAAATTCTGTCTTTCACATGCGGATTGAGATGACTGACTAGGGGCCGGGACTTGGGGCCGCCCCCCACCCCCCGCCCCCCAGAAAGTGTGGCGTGGGGTGCGGCAAGGGTTGTTTGTGTTGGAACTTACGCGCAGGACCACAGGCATTTACGAGACCAAGTGAGTGCGGCATGGACGAAAAGCGGCTCGGCTCCGCTCCCTCCCTCCCCATCGGGCTGGGTTCCCCCGATGATGGAAACAGTCAACAGTCAACATTCGTTGCCGGCTCGGGGTGATTCTAACCAATAAGAACGCTAGAGGCTGAGCGCTGCCTAATGAAATGGGGGGAGGGCACAATAAGTGGGGGCCCATCTTCGTGAACAGTCAGCATTCTGTTAGAGATTCCGGCGAATAGGAACACCAGAAACTGATCACTGCCTAATGAACTAGTGCACAATAAGTGGGGGCTCCTCCTGGCCAGGAACGGGTCTGAGAGTGGATATAGGTACGCAAGGAGAGAGGCGCCAAGGTCTAGAACAGGGGAGGCGGCCACTAGGCCGGTTTAACTTTAGTCGACCCCTAAATAGAACTCGACCCCTGAATAGAACTCGAGGGCCGAACTCGGATATTCCGTGGAAGGAGCTCCCGCAGCCAATTAGACGGCGGGACGGCGGGACGGCAAGGACGAAGCCAGCTAAAAAGTGACGTGACTTGATGCGACTGTGGAGTATGGATCCGAGTATACTCGCGAAGGCGCAGATTTGAGATGTCGGATCCAGTCATTCCCAGTCCAACGACCATTGCACAGCGGCGGGCCTGGATACGATGGGTTTTAATGGTGGGGGCCAGCCCCGCCTTGGCAAATGGTTGGCGGGTGCCGTTTGCGCTGCTCTTTCCCCAACTTGTGCTGCTCTTTCCCCAACCCATGGCGTGGCGTGGGGACGCAGTAGCTTCTTCGGTGGATCAATGCACTTCTATTGCGGCTTGTTGATTGGAAAAGTGGGACGGATGTTACGTCACGCCGCAGGTTGGTTTGAGAACTCCGTCGCCGAGACAGGTAGGCGACCCCACTTGCATTTCTCCCGACGTGGAGCTCTTGAAGCCCGTCCGGCCCATTCGTTGCAGCAGGCTTGCCGACGGTGAAGGAGAAGGAGACTGTGAGGACCAGTCGCCAAATTTCTCTGGTCTGCATTTACATTTACTTCATTGCCTCGTTGCTCTTCAAATTGCAGCTGAGCTAATTAGCACGGAGCTTTGTCCGCTCGCTAAGCCTGCGACCGGATCGGACGTCGGGCTCGGGGTTTTTTTGGTTTCTTAGCGCGGTATTTAGCGCTCCTTCGATTTGACGGACCGGGGACGGGAGTGATAATGGCGAAACGGGGTAGCACCGTTGCGTGCGCTTGCCATTGCCATCCATTGCCAGCCAGCACTGCCCCCCCCTGGCTGTCGACGCCGCCGCCAGCTATTAGTACCGTTCCATTTCGCTGTTTCCGCGTTTCTTGTGTTCCTCCCCATCCACGCCGCCTCGCCCAAACCCCAGGATATCCACCGTGGCGGGAGTCCGCCATAGGCAATCCACCGAACTAATTATAATCGCATCTGCGGCGTCGCGACCGGTGAAACGGAGAAATGCCAATTACTGGGGAACTGTGGATAACTAACTAGGTGCGCTTTCAAGTGCCCATCCAAACTTCCCTCGGCCCCTGCGCCCTTTCGCGTACCGCCTCGCCTCGCCTCTGTCAGCTCTCGCTTCTGCGGCTGTTGGCTTGGGAAATGAAAACGGAATCGAAGACGGAAACGGAAACGGAAATGGCAGGCCAGGCGCAAAGTTTGCCAGGGAATGTCAAAGGGCCGGCGCAGAAGGAAAGAAGCCAAAGCGGCGATCACAGCAGCAGCTACCCGAGACAGCAGCATCCGCCTGCTCCTGCTGCCCGGGACTGGATGCCAGCCTGGTTCGGCGGATCACATGTGGTCGTTGGCCCGCGCATCGGCCGCGTGCTCGACAGCGCCTTCGAGGGCGGATCCGACACTGAAGAAAACAGCAGCGCCGCAGTCATCCTGGACAAGCAGATCGCCCTCGAACATGGCCACGCCATACAGTACCGCACCTGCAGCTGGCAAAAGGTACCGCCCTCTCCTGTCCTGTCCTGCCCAATTAATCAATCGACGGCCGCACACATTTTCGTGACTAATAATATGCGCCGTGTCGGCCGACCAATGGGCAGACGGCAGCATTGCTGTTCTCCGAGTACATCTGCTTGGTGAGCAGTCTTGACTCGACAGAGACCCTAATGTGCCACTGACCCTTCTCTTCTCGCTCACCAAGGCCATCATGAGCTTTCCCTGGTCGTATAGTGTGCTTGGGTTGGTTCCTGGGTACGTGCTCGACCGGACAGCAACAGCAGCCACGACAGCATCGATAACGACCATCCCAACCTAACCGTGCGCAGGCTCATCTTGACTTTTGTGGTTGCCATAATCGTCCTGTACACGTAAGCAACCCCCTGGTCGGCCCAACCCGGGTGCCAGTCTGACGCTGCCCCGTCAGCTCGCTCGTCCTCTGGGAGTTCTGCCTACGGCACCCCGAAGTCCGCGATGTCTGCGACATTGGACAGATGCTGTTCTGGAACAAGACATGGGCCTGGTATGCCACAGCAGTCATGTTCCTGCTCAACAACACTGTCAGTCCGGCTTCCGTCCCGCCTCGGGCTCCAAACGAGCGCGCCCAAAGACTGACGCCGAGCTCGCAAACTGCAGTTCATCCAGGTTCGTTGCGTTGCTGACCACCCCCACGCGTGCCCCGACGCACGCTCGCTGACAACCTGCGCCCCGCGCCCCGCGCCCCGTGACAGGCCCTGCACGTCTTAGTCGGCGCCAAGTACCTCAACACTATGACGGACGCCGATGACAACGTTGCGTGCCGCACCGTGAGCTTCAGCATCGTCGTGACGCTCCTCTGCTGGGTGTGCTCGCTGCCGCGCACCTTTAGCATGCTGTCCAAGATCGGCACCGCCTCGGCCATCTTCACCTTCGTCTCGGTGCTGCTGGCCACCGTGTTCGCCGGCGTGCAGACCCACCCGGCCGGCTACGACCTGCTGGCCATCGGCGACCCCGTCGTCACCGCCCTCCCCGTCGTCAGTACCACCTTCGTCGCCGGCATGAACGCCTTTCTCAACATCTCGTACACCTTCATCGGCCAGATCACCCTGCCCAGCTTCATCGCCGAGATGAAGGACCCGAGGTGAATAGCTACCTACAACCCTCCCGACACCAAAAAAAAAAAAAAAAAGAAATCTTCACACTCTGGTTTCCCTCCCCTGAATTAATCTGACCGACGTGCCCTGAACAAAAAAACAGAGACTTCCCCAAGGCGCTGTGGGCGTGCACGGCGGCCGAGATGGCCGTGTTCAGCGTGGTCGGCGCCGTCGTGTACGCGTACACGGGCAACCAGTACGTGACGGCGCCGGCGTTTGGGTCGCTGGCCGACGGCGTGCACAAGAAGGTGGCCTTCAGCTTCATGGTGCCGACGCTCGTCTTCCTCGGCGTGCTGTACGCGTCCGTGTCGGCCCGTTTCGTCTTTTTCCGGCTCTTCCGAAACACCCCCCGCCACAAGAACGAGCACACTCTCGTCGGCTGGGCCGCCTGGGCCGCGATTTTGTGTGAGTCCTGCCCGAGGTCGACGGCATATGGCTAGCTGTCTCTGGAATTTTGTCTGGGTCGGGTGATGACTAACGCTATGATTGATTGCACTCTGGCCAGTCGCGACGTGGATCCTCGCGTTCATCATCGCCGAGGTCATTCCGTTCTTTTCTTCGCGTGAGTGACAAATTTGACCCTCCACCTCCCGGAGTGCGTCTGGGCGCTAATGTGGTGGGCCCACAGTGCTATCCCTGATGTCGTCGCTGTTCGACAGCTTCTTCGGCTTCATCTTCTGGGGCGTCGCCTACTTCCGCATGCGCACGGCCGACGGGCGCATGGCGTTCGTCAAGGACCGGTCCGTCTCGGGCTATCTGCTGGGCGCCGTCAATGTGCTCATCATCCTCACGGGCGTGTTTTTCCTCACCGTCGGCAGCTACGCGAGCGTTGAGGGCATCATCGACGAGTTCCGCGCCGGGACTGTCGGTAGCACTTTTACGTGCAAGACCAATGGGCTTTGATGGCGCTGGGGTTCGGTTTTAATACGGTATTAGCCGGTTGTACATGACTTCTAGGTCGACGGTGTACATAATTACATACTTATGCAAAAGGGGAGGAATCGCAGGCAGTGTTGGACAAGCGTATTGGAGCGAAAAGGAATTGGATAGCTGAGGTGGAATGGGTGAGACAATATACTGTCGTGGTTTGAGGGAAAAAAGGTGCCAATTGCTTCTTCACGAGAGAGCAGGATCAAGGCATTCGGCAATTAGGAACAAGAAATCCAAGGAAGGGTGGTTTGACGTTTAAGGAGGCTTCTGCAGGTTTCCCGACAAAAACGTGGAATCGTTTTGGATCATCAACCCGGCCGCCGCATGGAGCATGACAATGTGCGGTCGTCCGGGTGTTTGCAATGTATGCCTTGGGAAGGTGAGATCGTACACGAAGCTGATGCACATGTGCCTGAACTGGAGTAGCCACCCCGAAAATGTCCATGTTGCACTGTCAGAGATAATCGGAGCCTTGGCGGTGAAATCTACTACTTTCAATCCTCCTCTCCCGACCATGTTGCCGGCTGTGGGCTGCCTCGGTGCTCAAGAAAGACGGTGTGGTCGCTCTCGGCTTTCTCACTGCTTCCGTGTGTCCCGGTCAGGAGTCGAGGAAGGATAGCCTGGGCGACGTATTACGTGCAGTTTGAGTAGTCTAAAAATCAATCGACCCTAAACGGGCTCGTCTTGGCAAGATATCGGTACACTGGCTCAACTAGAGCGTCAGCCTCCCATGGACTGGTAAAATAGGTTACCTGACGGGTCAGGAAGGGGTCAGCTAAACGGAGCCTCTTTTTTTCTTGTTTTTTGCCTCCGGCGGCGCCTGCGGCGAGCTGTCCTCGCTTCGCTCGAGGGAATGGGTGGCTGGCCGAGGGGTGCTAGTTAAGTTTGGCCAAGTTATAACCACGGCATTTCTTGTATTCGGGAGGAATCTGGTCGTCCGGGGTCTCTTTAATTATAGGGAGGATCGGGCGGTCGGGAGGCTGGCCACCGCGCTTGGATTTAGCGCATCGGGCGGTGGGGGCTGCGGTTCAGGTCGCAGTTCAACATGGGTCATAGAGTTTGACCCATGTTGAGCTTTTCGGTCAGCACATAGCATACGCTGAAAGTCAGCCAACCAACCCAAAGTAGAAAAGACCGGCGAGCAAGGGTAGACATCTGCAACGCACAAAAAAAACTAAGATTCAAAATAATATTGCCGCACAACTATTACTCTGCTTCAGCATATGCCCGAACTTGGACTCAAACCCCAATCCAATAATAACAATTCAGGGGGATTGATTCGCAATGGATGCATCACCAATCCACAGAGGAGCAACAGCCGACTTTGAGAACAGAGCCTTCAGGCGCCACGTAGCTTATACCGAGTATGAGCATGAGCCTACGCCGTCCCCCTCTCCTTCAGACGGTACCCTTAGCGATACCGGCGACGAAGAGTCTGCAGGCCATGAGGATGAGCAGGTGCTCGAGCAAAGTGTCGACGATGCGGTAGAACAATTCTGGAACGATGACGATGATCCGATTGCGGAGACAGCGGGAGAGGTCGTCCGAGGGATGGGTTTTACCAAGGTGAGCTGCTCCAGCATATGCTGAACTGTCAAGGATCGCGAACTACTGGGACATGGAGGGGCTGATTTCCATTGCCCCGCCAACACGTGGAAAATCACGTGTTAAGTGGGTGTGACCCGTGTGCTGATGTAATTGCCCCACTATTCCACCTGCTGGGCCAATCACAGCTCCTGGTTGATCGGTAATTCCTTCAATCGTCAAGTATTCGGCGTACCTGTTCATCTCTGGAAGGCGACAAATTATGCGTGCGATTGGCCGAGGTTGAATTGCGAAATTGAGGAGGAAAGTGGTTTATTTTGGGGGGGCTAGGAAGTTGAAGTACTGCACGGACCACGCACAACGGGTTGACAGCCATTCGACACGGACGAAAACCGGCCAATTCCCGGGCGAGAAATTTGAGCCGCCCGAGACGGCATCCGATAGGTCAGCAGGCAGGCGTTGTCAGCGGTCTAAAGGCCTTAAAGACCTTCTCGCAATAGTGGGATGCCCAGAAGTATACTCCCTCTTTTATGACGTTGTTGACGACCTGGGCAAGCCAGCAGCCGTGCGAAGTAATAATCCACCATGACCTCGTATTCTTCTTGCCCGCCCAGTATTCCGACATGTATAGCGCCCGTGTTGTTGTTATTTTGGGCCAGTCATTCACCTCCACATTCCCAAGCTCTTTGATGTCAAATTTGACCAACTCTTCGTATTGTGTAGAGATTCGTGATGGCTTCCTTCGGGCATCAAAAGCTCGCTTCTGGCCTGTGGAGAGGGCCGCGGCATTAACGGTCGAGACAGGCATATTATCGGTAACTCGGGCGCAAGGAAATCGCTGTAGGAATAGAAGGATTCGGTAGAAAGGTCGGATTCGGCTGTTTATTTACGTCGTGATGGTTGTATTGCAGCTTGGACGGTGCATTGCAGCGACCTGCGGCTTGCCCGTCAGTCAGAGATTTTCCCGGGCCTAGGGAAATACAGGGTTGGCCTTGGTCAGGGAGCGCCCTGGACCCAGGAAAATCCGAAAATCCGCCCTAAAAATGGCCTGGCCAATGGGAAATAATTGACAATTCGCCAATTATTTTGGCCCTACGAATTGTTTGAATTTGACCTCAAAATCGTGTAATTGATTGCTCTAAATGGCTATATTTGATCGATTGAATTGGATAAAATTGAGTTGGTGCCGGCGCTGCTGCAAGGACATGAGGCCGGCGAAGGAGTCAATCGGGGACAGAAACCGGTTCTTGGCCGGTAGCTTGAGCGCCGGGGGCGGGGGCAGCTCGAAGGCTTTGCAATACCTGTCCATGTGCCGTCGTCCGTCTCCGTGGGCAGCATTTTGACCAGATCCCGACCATCAATCTCCACTGCTTCAGCCACCCTCAGTCGCTGTGATCAAATTCCAGCACGATAGAGCACGGCGCATTTCGCATGAACTGGAGAAGGCATACAGTAGGAGGTGGATGGTAGAGAGGAAGATTCTGGGGAGAAATCAGGATGTATGGTGAGGTTATTATATACGAATTACGGGGGGGTCAGTGGGAGGTGGGTGGTGGAGAGGGAGATTATGGGGCAGAAATCTCCAGATGACATGGTGCAGTGGGCTGGGATGAGGAGATGGATACGTACGATATTATTGTTATTGTTGTGATGATGTTGGGGTGGTATGAGAAAAAAAGAAGAAAAGGAGAAAAAGGTTGAGCCGGCAGCAGAAGATCAATTTAAAGAGAATCTGTTGGCCCATTCGTTCTTTCCAATCCCGATCCCGATAGGGGTAGTGACTCCTTGGTAACTGGTTTCCTTCCCGTAGGTTTGAAGGTCAAGCTCCTAAGTCAAGGGAAGAACTACCTACTTGTTGAGGGAGTGCGACTACCTGACCAGGGTAAATAAACCATGGCAAGACCAACGAATATAACGCTAGCCTGGCTGCTGTAGGAAAGCCTCACCTGGACGTTCTAAGGCGTTTCCGTCACTCTTATTCTCCCGACGCCGTCATCATCGCCTTTACTGGGTAATGATAACCCTATTAGCGGTCCACCATTATCACAGTGTACTCATGGACGGGCCATGCTGAAAGCAGTATGGTCTTTCTGACGGAATTCCCTTTCTGACTCAAGGCCCAAAGTCGCCCCTTGTGCACTCCACCGGCTGTAAAAACCTTGATACGATTCGCACGCCCCAAAAGCTTCTTCTTGCCCTTCCAGTATGGGCGGCTAGGTTCTTTAAAGTTAAAGAAAAAGAAATCGTCGAACTTAGGATGATTCTACGGACCTGACAAAGTCAAATCCAAACCGAATTGAAATATATAAACCTCTGACATATTCCGCTTCATCCTATCACGCAAGTTGTACCCTTCATACCTATCACCCAAGTTGTACCCTTGCATTTGCACCTGTCACCCAAGTTATTACCCTTTATCGCATTTATTGACGATGGCTGTCACGGCCGGCTTGGAATGAGGGCGGAACTCCTCTATTGGGCGCTATAGACGAAGATTTTAAACTAAATGGAAAAGGGAAAAGAAGCTCAAAAGCCTCCCCTCGCGAGATTCTTCCAGGGCGTCTCAAGGTGGGGCTCTGGCCGAGCTTCCATTAGTCAGTTAAGTTGACCATGCCTATTTTGGCCCAGCCCACTTTTGGCCCGTGCTGAGCCGCCCACTGACATGAATGACACCCTACATTGAAGCATGTAAAATATCGCCAAATCAACCAATTACTATACAACTTTTGACTTCCTCTTCTTCTTCCGAGCTTTCTGATTCGTCAGAGCTGTCAATATCGCGCCCCACTGCTCTCTGCGCGCGCCGAATGTCTTTTATTGAGGCAAACTTGGAATTTGGGCTCAATTCCACCTTCTTCCTCTTGGTTCCCTTTTTGTTCTCAAGCTCAGCTTTCAGAGCCTCATTTTCGTGTCTGAGCTTAGCCATCTCAAAGTCCCTGAGGGTGAATGCCTTCCTGACCTTCCTGAATAGCTGGTGACGTGCCCTGCGGGCCGGGGAGCTGATGTTTACTTTGGCCAAAGCAACCGTAAGGTCCGTAACCTTATTAGGAGTCTTCCAAGTGCCGTAATCGTCAAGCAACTGTTGTTGTTGATGAGCCGTATCCCTCTCTTCATCGAGAGCAGCTAAAGCCGTACTTTTACCGGCTTTGTTGCTATTTTCTAGCACTTGAGGGCTCGTGAGTGGCTTGAGCTTGTTTACCGGCCACAAGCCGGTAGCATACCACCCTGCCTTGCAGTTTTCTTCCTTGAATGCTTCTTCCCGGGCAGCCCGGTAACAGGTCAACATAGTGCGCCGGCCGGAGAACGTTGAATCGGAGCACAGGGGTAGAGAGTTAAACCTCTTCCGGTATGCCCGCTTCAGGACCGAGAAAACCGTCAAATCAAGCGGCTGAAGGACGTGTGATGAGTGTGCCGGTAAGTAAAGAAGCTGAATGTTATTTTGGAAGCAGGTCCACATATAATCATCAGTTGTATGACTACCGTGGCCGTCAACAATGAGGAGCCGGCGATCGTTGTTGGCCGTACGGGTGTTAGGAAGACTTCCTGAAGCCATTTTAACGCACTCTCATCGTCAATCCAGCCTTTTCTTGCGTGTGGAACTTCCAACCTTTGAAGGGACCCATTTTATTTGGGTAGTGTTGTTGTTGTAAGGTTTTCCCCTTCATGATCACCAAAGGAGGTATTGACCTGCCCGTTGCAGAGATGCATTCCACGAACGTGGACCAATTCCGTGATCCTGACTGCTTTTTCTTCAGCTTCTTGTTGTTGGCCCTTTCCTCAGATCCAAGAACCATGCCGTTGTCACCCTGGCCTTCAAGAAGGCCAGTCTCATCTTTATTCCAACGGTTCTCCGGCTTGATCAGCTTGATAGCCGGGAGGGCCAGGTAGTTGAACCAAGCCGTGATTACCGGGGCCGTGGCGCCGTTGAGCCGGGCCGCATCCATGCTTTGTGCCCGCTGGGTCCGAATTGACAGGTTCCGGGCCATGAAGCCGCGCAACCACTTCGGTCCTACGTATTCCGGCTTGCCTCCGTCCACGGCCAGCCGGCGGGCAAATTCCCTGACCGTTGCATGCGTTGGAGGTAGGCCGAGAGCGCCCTGAAGGATGATCCATTCGGCGAGCCGGGCTTCCGTTGTATGCGGAAGAACCTGCATGTGTTCGAATGCAATATGGCGGGATTTGTGGCCGGCCATACGGTTGCGAAGGGTAGTCCTTGGAACGCCACATTCTTCGGCCGCGCGCCGCAACGGAATGCCTTCTCGGACTTTTTGCATAGCCTGCAGCATTTCCAATTCGTTATATTGAGGCATTGCTGGAAAGATTATTGAAAGGGCTCTCGAATGTAGTAGAATTGAAGGAATTTGGTGTTGTTTTGAGGAAGTTGCCGTGTGTTGAAGAAAAAGGATCGATCACATGTGGTGTAAGTGCATGGTGGCTTGCGCATGGGCCAAAAGTGGGCTGGGCCAAAATAGGCATGGTCAACTTAGGTAGATCCCTCTGGCTAGTCGGGTGGATCCACCCGGCTGGCGTCTGATTAGTCAGAGCATCTGGGAGGCCTGGAGGACCAGGCCCTCACAATGGCTACCAACGCACAACTTGAAGACGAAGCTACTAGTAACGGTTCGCAACCCCAGAGCTACACGCATGAATACGGCATTAAGATGCAACTACTTCCTGATCCCATAACCTTTGGTGCACCGGGCGGCTGGCAAGTCACTTGCGGTTTTCTTTGCCACGACCTGTTGCAGGTGATGCGTCAAGGGCTGTTTTGGTCGACATCCAATATTGTGCCCGAAGGCTGTTTCTACAATACGACGTCGGATGACATCCACAAACCTTACACTATGAAACGTGTATGGGAGCTCCGTGAGCTGCCAGACAAGCCCGAACACCAGTCCCGCTAGATGGGACACATCGTCCTATACGCCTCCAAAAGCGAGCAGCTACGGACTGTCCGGTTGGATACGTTGAGTCGAGGAAACGTCTCTCGTTGTTACGCAGAGAGGAAAGATAAGGCTCACGTGTTCAACTACTCGCCATTGCCCGGTCTGGCCAACGTCAACTGCTGGCAGGACGACCTTCATCCCCTGGACGATTCATGGCGGTTTTGGCCGTGGATTCACCTACGGGGGGCCAACACGAGGAGTCGACCGAAGGTAGAGGCTATGCAATGAAGCCTGAATCAACGTTAGTCAACCCCACTACTGTCAACCAACGCTGTCTTTCCGGCCCTTTGATCATTAGAACCTTGCAGCATAAATGAAAAAAAAGCAATGCTGACCGTTTTCATGCAGGGAGTGTGGTTTGGAGTGATGGGGGGGTGGAGAAATGCACTTACTCGACACAAATTCAGAAAGATTCAGAACCCAAGTAGTCGGCTCGATTTTCCGGTATAATTGCGCCCTTGTAATATACATGGGGAGCGTCGTTGAGAGGCTGTCTCTTCTACTTTACCGTGAGGGTGCCGAAAGTTTCTCGCACAGGGATTGGCCAGTTTACGTCCGTATCAAAATAGAAGACAGGGACTGGGGGTCCTGGGGGGCTTGCACCCCAGAAATCCAATAATTAGACCATGAATATCGAAATATAGAATTATCACGAGAATTTGTTTTAGTGGTAGGATAGCTGTCAATCCGTTGTGGGTGGTCCGTGCGGTACCTTCAACTTTCTAGCCAGCTCCCCCGCCAAAATGAGCCAGTTTCTTCGTAATACAACTTCAATCGCACGCCCGATTTATCGCTTTCCAGCTATGAACAGACACACCGAATACTTTACGATTCTTACCCTATTGATCTCTACTAATATATCACCAGGAACGCGTGTTTTTCGAGGCGCCGCGATGGCTGCGGTCGGGGTCCCTCAACCGCAGCCCCCACCGCCCGATGCGCCAAATGCAGGCGCCAAATCTAGGCGGCTATTGGAGATGGATTTCTTATAGTTGCTCAGGCCCCCGATCATGGTGAGGTCCCCGCAGTGGAGCACGACGTCGACCTTGCCGGGAGCTACGCTGGGTCGGGGAAGGCATCGTCGTGCGTATCTAAAAGAATGAGGAAGGTAGTCGCCATGGTGTTGGGTAGTACTATTTTTCAAATGCGGGCCTGCCGACTTGGACTTGGTGAGAAACAGATCGGGCTACCATCTTATTCAAGCTAGGGTTCATCGTCTCTAAGAAGCCTGACGGTGATGATGACGTTGACTAGTAGGAGTTCGCTGATCCCGACGGGGGTGAGCCTGTTTGGTGCCATCGGCGGCGCAGCGACGGCTGCAGCAGCAATGACGCCAAGCGATGAAAAAGATGTGCCGCCGCCACGGCCACCACTGGAATGCCACTGGCGCAACGACACGATTGAGCCTAAAAGAATACTGGCAAGGGCACCCGCGGAAAAAAAGTGCCCAAAAAACATACAACACTAGGGATTCGCTGGTGGTCACCCACCCAACTACTAGTCTAGCGATTAGTGGCTTATCTATGGGAGAGCAGACGGGATCCCGAGTTCTCCACTATCTATGGCCGTATGTATAATGAAGAAGCGGAAATTTCATTTATAAGTATTACAAACCACTCGACTGTTTGGGTCGTCTGTCTGTAAGGAGCACAGGCTCCACAGAATGCTGGGGTTGGTAATTATGAAGATAGAACAAGGGGCAAGCTCCTATCGCATGGGTAATACAGTCAAATTGGAATGCCACTCAAAGTGTATGAGTGCAGTGAATGTGTATTGCTTGCTTGCAGAACCAAGCAAGAACTATCTAAGACCGTGGGTACGGTCATCGTATATATCTATCTGTAGAACCAATAAAAATGGCCGCAGGGTCCCGGCCCCCGTGCCCGGGACGCGGGACTTGAAAGAAAGGTCCCGTGTCCTGCGAACGGGAAACGGGACACCTCTTATTGGCTGTCAACCAGGCCCGGTCCCATGTCCCGCGCCAGAGGCGTGGGACACTCCTGATTGGCCGAGATTGACTCAGCAGGACCCACGGAGGTGCATCCCTTCAGGGATCCGTAACATGGGAGGTAGGAGATGACAGGAGACAAGGAGTATCGTGCACAGATTGCGAAAGACAGGCTTTCAACACACAACCAATGTATGCTTAACCAGATGCATTGATAGCTGCAGAACCGTTCTCCCAGAGAGCGTGCTGCCAGCTCCTATATCCCTTCGACCGCGAACGTGCAACAGTGACATCTTGGGCCCCACACCACCCCTGTCGCTAGCGCGGTACGTCAAATTTACCGAGAAAAAAAGGAGAAGCCTCCTACATACATTTTTGGCTACAGCAGCCGTCTAACGGCTTCAAGATGGATCTAATTGACCCAATTGAAGATTGTATTACAGTTGCCGTCGAACAGGAAGATTTGGCTGCCGCCTGTACGGGCAGCTGCGAGCGCGAGCCCTGCGATGCAGCTTCTTGGCTGCCCAACGAGCCCCCGACCGAGGAATCTGGCGACGATTCCGGCCACCCTTTTGCACCTTTCGACGTGCCCGATCGCGAGCCTACTATTTCGAGCCTCCCCGAGCGAGCTGTTGGTTTATTTCAGCTATTCGTCCCTAGGCACGTCGTCGAAACCTGGGTCAAGTGGACGAACGAATCGCCAATCCCCGGCCCTCAGGGCCCGGCGCAAAGTCGGTCGAGAAAGCTGGCCTGGGTACCTACGTCTTGCGAAGAGGTCTACTTGTTCCTTGGGGTCTTGATTTATATGGGAATTCATAAGGAAAGGACCATCGAGAGCTATTGGGAAAGCTCTCTAAGTGACCGGAATGCCCAGCATCGGTTTCCTCGTTTCCTTGCCCGCGATCGTTTCGAGATCCTACATCGACGGCTACGTATCTTCGACCCAGCATTGTTCGACTGCCCACCACAACCAGAACAACAGCAGCAGCAGCAGCAGCAGCAGCAGCAGCAGGGCCGGCGGCGGAAACGAACTTCCAAAGATCCCGCCAACGAACCTAATATCCCAAAGGTTTACCGTCAGGTTGACGAGTGGTCCAGATTGATCCAGCATGTCTCGACGCAGCTATACGTCCCGGGTTCGCGATTAACAGTTGACGAATGCATGGTCCGGTATACTGGCCGCTCTATTGAAACAACCACGCTCCCGACGAAGCCAATCCCTATTGGCTACAAAGTTTGGGTGCTTGCGCAATCAGGCTATTTCCTCCGGTGGATTTGGCACGTCCATCACAAAGGCCCGGCCGGCACGGCGCCCTCGGCGCGGAAACGGCGTTGTATAAGGCACGGCAGGCACGGTAGGGAGCAGCAGGGCCGTTATCCCCGTCACACAGGTTGTTCCTTTAGAAGATAAAGGCCTCAATCCGACCCAAGCCGTGGTTATTACCTTATTGAATCTGCTACAAAAAGCTAGATATCACGTATTCCCAGATAACCTCTTTCCAACTCCAAACTTGCTACGAGTCCTTCGTAGTTAAGGATTTGGTGCTACGGGCACCTGCCGTACAAATAGCGGTATTCACGCAGTCCTCGTAGCACTTAAGGCGTCCGAAATGAAAGATCTTCCGTGGGGGGAACTCAGAATCATCCCTACAGCCGATGGACAGGTATCTCTTCTTTCTAGCTTCTCTCTAGCTTCTCTCTAGCTTCTTTCCGGCTTCTCTCCGGCTTCTTTATAATTTGCCTAATAAGTTCCCCGTGTTTTAGGTTAACCAGTTTGCGTGGAAAGATAATGCTGCCGTTCTTGCGCTCTCGACCGTACACGACGGCACCAGTTACGTCATCGCAACCGACGCCGCCCGAATGCTTCATCTACTGCTGGACGGGCTGCCCGCAAGGTATTCGGGGCCGACGCCCGGAAAGAATTGCCGATCCCGAGTTTCATCGACGAGTATAATCATTATATGAACGGCGTTGACGTTGGGGATCAGATGAGGGCGTATTACGCCTCGGGGCGGCCGATTCGGCGGGGCGGATGGCAGGCCCTCGCGTGGGATTACCTACTAAACGTCGTTACGGTGAATACCTTCATTTTACAAGACCAAGGGGAGCCCAACTGGGATCGTGCCACCAATTATCTAGAATGGCGGCAGCTGCTTTCTGAACAGCTAATTGGGACCTTTGGGCTACAAGTCAAGACGCGGAAGCAGGCTCGGGCTGGCACACCGTTGGACAACCGGAATGAAACTATTCCCGTTGAGCAGCATGAATTCGTACATCGCGGCAAGCTCTCACGCTGCGTCATTTGCTCGAAAGGGGCCCGTCACAAGAGCCAGGCTCTTGGGGAAGTATCGGGAAATGCGCAGCGCAAAATGACGAGGAAGGGCTGCCGCCAGTGTGATGTAGCATTATGTACAGGGGGGTTATGCTGGTACTTATTTCACAGCTAAATTTACTAGTAAACTCATGTACCTTTCCAAAAAGTCGTCTGATTGGCCGAAAACCCCTGTCGATTTGTCACTGTTGCACGTTCGCGGTCGAAGGGATACGGTTAAGGTGATCTCCTCTCGCCTACAAGCCAAAGCAGCCAATCGCGGCCAACCTCGCCAATCATCAGGGCAGCACCTACTGGTGTGGCCAGTAACCAGATCGGTGGCCAGACCCTCCACTCCCTCTTCCGGCTTCCAGTTGACGGTAATTACCGCCCGCTCTCAGAGACCCCAACAGTTCTTAGCTCCTTACAGCGACGATTTAACTCAATCTACTACCTTATTATTGACGAGAAGAGTATGCTGGGACTGAAACCTCTAGCCTGGATTGATCAGCGGCAGGCTGGCGATCCATTCCACGTCCACGTCCACGGTCCACGCGTCCACGCCGTGGAAATGGATGGTCCGTGCATCCATTTCCATCCATTCCACGGACCTGCCCGTTACATAATCCATCCATCCACGCGAGGGCTCCGTGGAGTGGATGCGTGGAAATGGAAGCAGGGGTGTGAAAGGGTAGGGGTGGTCCTGGTCTGGCCCCTCAATACCCCTGCAATTCAGGTGGAAACAAGCTTGGTCATGGTTGGCCGAGATCTCAGGTACCTATAATACGGTCATTTCCATATACAAATAAAGGTATCTTTAAACAGAATAGAACAGCCATGGGTCTTGGACATTTCGCGTCAAAGGTGTCGCGTCGAACGCGTCCAGACGAGTCCATTCTCGATGAGTACCGCGTAGAATGGCTAAGACACCGGTTATCAGCTCTATGGCTCTCAAGTCGCCAGATCAGGAGAGTCGGAAGGACTCGTGGGACCTCTTCCCTTGGAAAGATTTTCCCGGATACACGCAATCTCAACGCTGCGCGTCCACATCATCATGGATATGGCAATTCGGCTACGATATTGAGAAGAGCGACGATGATACAAAACGGCGATGGGTTTGCAAGGTCTGTGTTGACAGTCGCAAGCCCAACCCTCATTCGACAGCCTCAAGCGGTACGCAGAACGCGGAGATCCATCTCTGGAATGACCACAAGGTCTACGACCCTTCCGGAAAGCGGAGACCGCCCAGCAAAGCAAAGGAGAAGACACCATCGAGGAATATAGCCGAGATGATAAGCTGGATACTCATGACGTGCGAGAGCAGCAGATCGCAAACCAGATCATTGGCCGCTTTGATCGGCTAGTGTTCCAGCGTTTGGTTGTCTCATGGATCATCAACAGCAACTCTTCTTTCCGACAAACTGAAGATCCATACCTCCGTGCCGCTTTCGAGTATCTCAATCCACTCGTAAAGACAACCGAAGCGCATATTACGCACGATACAGTCCGCAGGCGGATTCTTCAGGTGTACGGGGAAAACAAGGCGGAGATCAAGCGAGTATTAGCGGCAGCCCCGGGGTCAATTCATATTGCATTCGATGGCTGGAGGTCCAATAATCGCCACGCTTTGTATGGAATCTGTTGCTATTTTCTCAACACCCTTGGCCAGCCGGGAAAACTCGTGCTCGGCCTTCCTGAGCTGGTCGACCGCCATTCTGGCGACAATATCGCCGCCCATGTTGTCGAGGTCCTTCGAAGCTACGACATCCGCGCATACACATATAATACGGTGTACTTTGTCCTAGAAAGGAGACCATAGATCCCGTGCTAGAGCTCTATCAATGCCGACTTCCGTCTTAGAGCCTTGTCCTCTCACATCCACCTTTCAATCCGAGGTGCATACTTTATAAATAACATTTTCCCTTACGCATTACACATACGGCCATAGATAGTGGAGAACTCGGGATCCCGTCCGCTCTCCCATAGATAAGCCACTAATCGCCAGATTAGTAGTTGGGTCGGTGACGACCAGCGAATCCCTGGTGTTGTATGTTTTTTTTACTTTTTATATTTTCAGCACAATTCGTAATCGCCGAAAATGCACGGCAGGATCCGGGTTACCGAGGTCCGGAGATGTTCCTCGTCCAGCCATAATAAGCCTAAGAGGCCGAGCGTCTGGTCGAAGTCCAGGAGCTTAACCTGCTCAGCTCACTAGAGTAAAAGAAACTTTTCCATGTCGAGTTTGGTGAGCGGTATGGAATATTTGAGGCCAAAGTCGCGCACTGCCGTGAAAAGGTCAAAGAGGTCAAGAGCATCCTTGAAAGCGCCAATCAAGCCAACCGCGCCAATGGCAAGTCCCGCAAGCTCCATTCTGCGAACGAAATATAATGGTGTGATAGAGCTTTAAAGGTCGCTATTATCGCACAAAACTGGAACGGCAATAATTGGGCAGATGGGATGAAATCGTGTGGAATTGGCTAGGAGAAAGGTTCTACGCGACATGCCCGGACATCAGGCCCTATCGGGCTAAAGTCGATGTCAGAAACTTGTTCAAGTCACGAAATGCTACATGACTGTAGCGCTAATCGGGAGCCTGATTCGGCCAGGGTATAACTGAGAAGGATCTTCTAGACTAACATCGCCTAGAGACTGGTATATCAAGACACGGAATTGGGTTGTCGATGACAGGAAACTCCAAGGCCGCTTTTGGTTCAGCGATGTGGCAAGCTTTGCAGGCCGTGAAAAGGCCACCCCATCAGATTGTACCTTTTTCTCTTTTCTTCGTATGGGGTTTCCTCGGGAAAGGGGTCCGGAGGCCGAAATTTTCTAGTTACAATAAAGCGCCAAGTTACACAGATCGGTGATGCACACACATCAGACATCGGTTCGGCATTCACGCTGATCAACAGTACTACTCTATTCTTCCTTATCCATCTCAATAACCCAATAACCCGGCTCCACGACAGCGGCATACTCGGGAGGTGCCTCTCTCCGACTCTCAAGGACCGAAGCAATGCACTGTTGGATTTCGGCGACATCGATTTTGTACGTGTGTTCGCCCGCATGAGCCGCATCAAAACAATAGCGTATATGGCCCAGCGGGTACAGGCGCTCGGGCGGTGCCGACGTCTGATGCGGCCTCCAGTACATGCACCTCGCAAACCCCTTACCCAAGGATTTCCACACGGTGAACACCAAGAGCCGTCCCTCGGGCCGACCTAGACCGGAATCAGGCATTATGTTGACTGCGTAGTCGGTATAGCAACGTGGACAGGATCTCCTAGGTTCATTAGCATGTCGCTGGGAGACGGGCAGGGAGTACGTACGGGGAGCCGAATACGATGCTGTCGCGACAGATACAGCCGGTTTTGTGGAACAGCGCACACCGAAGCCGCGGGTGCATATTAGCTGTTTCCCCCGCCATCAAGGGGGCAACCTCATTATTGAGAGCGGCGATGGGGAACGAGAAGGCGGTGATTCGGCGAGTCTCGTCCTCGCTGAAGCGCTGGTGGAGACCGAAGTTTGCCAGGTTCGGGACGAGGAAGGAATATTCCTCCCCCCACTGGAGGTGTCCGCAGATGGGGTCGGCGTGCGTAACGAGACGGCCAATTTCGTAAAGCGTTTGCAGCGAGACTGTGCGGTCAGGGCCGATCCAGGGCGCAAACGCATCTTGTTGCCGCATAACGAGTGTCGAGTAAAAGTGGTCGATTCTAAACCGTGTGAACGAGAACCCTCGCCCCGTTGATTGGCCAAACGGCCTTGCCAGGTCGCCCGCTAGCTTCGTCGAGAGAGATGCGTCGACTTCATGCTTGCCGTTATCATTCTGGTGTTTTTTATAGGCTTCGGCAACCAAATCCAGCTTAGGTAGTCGACAACCCCAAGTCTTAGTAGCGCGCGGGAGGGGACCTGGCTCTAGCCAAGGTCCATGTGATGCTGTGACGGGTTTCTTCCTTTCCTCGCAGCCTGACCATGCTGATGCCAGGGTGGCCTGTATCTTTTTCAGGGCGGCTAGGGCGGCGGGCATGGCGATAGATTATGTGTGATGTACGAGAAAGGAATGTTTGAGGAACTCGGCGAGGGGAGTGACAACGCATTTTATCTCTCAAGGGCGGTTTACACGTATAGAGTTTCGGCCGTATAGAGTCTCGGCCGAGATACGGTATCGAAGTCAAGCCGAAGGGTCATGTCTCTATAAAGTTTGCGACCGTTAGTTTCATATAGCCGAGGTACTAGCCAAGGATATATACTATCAACCTCGTTCAATGAGATTCTGCATACTTTGCGCGCTGTAGGCTGCCCTCGACCGATACCGTGGGAAGCTCAAGATGATTGAATCAGAGGGGACCTTGAACCACCACACGCCTACTCCGATCAGCCATCCTCGAATAAGGACGTGACATTATCGACGAAAATTCTCGACTACCGCCTGCCCGCTCGTTTTGGCAACGATAATAGGTTGGTCAAGAGCGACTCGGATGTCGTAATATCGTAAATAAGATAAGACATCGTGAATCACCCGCCTCCTCCGTCTAGCTATACGTATCAAATTCGATTGAGAAGGATGATGCCGCTCCTGCCCATAGATGATTGTAACCCGTGCCCAAATTTGCGTCTCTACTTTACTTCATCGTCTCGTGTCTGAGTCAATGAATTACCGGACAGCTCTACGCGGAGGCATAGAGTACGACTTTTGCTGTCCTCCTCCTGGCCGCAAATCCAGGAGGGTTTCCTTTTTATAGTGGGGTAGGTCCACTCAAGGGCATGGGGCTCCTTACTCGGAGCGTTTGGCGTGGGCAGCGGAGGCTCTGGTTGGCTTGGCGAACCCAGGGTCGGCAGCGGCAGCGGCAGCGGGAGGGTTGGCGGCGGCGGGAGGGATGATGGGGCCGGGGGGAGGGGCGGGAGCTGGTGCGGCGGCGGTGGTGAGGAGGGCGGCGACCCGCTCGTTGGAGGTGGCGAGCTGGGCGGTGGCGGCGGTAAGGGCGGTGGTGAACTCGGCGATGGCAGCCTCGAGTCAGCCAGCAGCGGCGTTGGTGGCGTCGGTGGCGGCAGCCTGCCTAGACATCATGGCGTCTAAGCGCAAACAGCTGTCAGTTACGTCTCTTGTAAAGACTGTAAGCGGAAGATGCGGTTTTTAGGCGAACCCGCCCCGAGTATGTAAAAGCTATCGTTGCTCTATCCTGAGGGAGCTGAGGTGGGTGCTATATGGGTAGAAATGACTGAAAACATACCGTTCTCCTGTCTGAGGGCGGCGAAGGCTTGGAGTTGGGCGGCGAGGGAGGTGTTGGACTCAGTGAGTCCAGGGAGGGCTGCGGTGAGGCCAGCAATACAGTCGGCGAGGACGGGGTTGCCATTTTCTCCTAGGGGTCCTTGGGGTCCTTCGGGTCCCGGGGGGCCCTGCGGTCCCTCTGAGCCTTTAGGAGGCCATATATACCCAACAATCGTCCATATTAAGGCCAGGAGGGCAATAGCGGAGGTAATTGCCGTAGCAACAAAAGAGCCGAAGCTTGAGTGATCCGGGGAGAGCGGCGAGGTTTCGGTGGAGGTGGGGGTGCAAGTTGACGACATATTTACAGCTTGAAACGACAACAAAAATGACGGGCAGCTGACTTCATTCGTTCGGCGAAGAAGCAAGCAAAAGAAGAGAGGAGAGAGAGAGGACAAGAGCAAGACGAGACATGTCTGCCCAACGTCCTTCCTCGCTCCTTCATCGCTCCTTCAAATTCTACTGACAGACCACCCCCAGGCCGGAAGAGAGATAAGTGCTTACCTTGCACTTAACTCTAGCGCCTGCCGGGTTACCACCTTCCACATGGACAACACTCTCCTACCAGCTTCAAGTCCCTGAAATATCGGTACCGTCACATATCCGAAAGCAAACTCGGTAGCTATAAGAACCCGTACGCTTTTCCAAGAAAATTAGATACTACATTTGGGAGCTCTGCCTTCACGAGGGCCGCTTGTTTAAGATCCACTTCCGGACATAATGATATACTCAATTTGATAATATAGTCCATTTAATGGCATTATTCACTTAATGGTATTTACCGACATTCTCCATCTTTGATAATATGCTAGAACGACTCCATAAGTTATCACTAGAACCAGAATATTCCAGCAGAAGGTTGGCTCTGGACTTTTTACCCCATAGGCTCTGTAACCCCTATTTTCTGGAGGAATCGTTGGAGTGGAAAACTCAGGGCTTTGGTCAAGCCGTCGGCAGTTATACTGTGGGAAGGTGTGTAATCGACTTTTATTGCTCCACGGCCAACCTTCTGTCGAAGCTAATGGTTGTGAATATCCGCATGCCGTAGTGTGGTCTGTAAGGTGGCTATCTCCGCAGTCACCAGTCGAATGGTTTGCTTGTTGTCACATAGAATAGTGGTATATGTAGTGTTGATCTAGTCGAATAGATAGTCCCGCAAGCAATTGGTTTATAAATAAGCCTTCTTTCGTGGCTTGCACTAGGGCCAGGAGCTCGGCTTCGGTAGTTGAGGTAGTAACTATGTCTTGCTTATTAGCCCTCTAGCCAACCAGGCCGTCTGATGCGGGAATAGCCTCAATCGCGCATGTCAACAATTAACATGCCCCGCACGTGCACACCTGTAGATTGCATAAGCATCTCCAGACTGGTTGAAGGCGGCAAGGCAGGCGGTGTGCAGTGGAATGCCGTATTTTAATTCGGTGCACTTCCAGAGCGCCATTTTTGACTCCTGTATACACTCATTTTCGGCCGCTTTGAGTCCTAGAGATAAGAATCCTAACCGCCAGACTAGTAGTTGACTCCAGCATTCCATATTCGCCAGAAGATCAGAAAAGGGGCGGATTCTAGATGACTCAAGAGCCCGGGCATCTTCCCAGTGATTGTAGCCTCCTTCCGCTATCAAGGTGTGATCAAATGGTTCCAGCGGCTGATTGAGCTGTATGCTCCAGTCTAGGAGCTTCGAGGCTGCAATCTCTGCGAGCTTAATGTTTGAGCAGGTATTGCAGAGCGCCACGGTCGATTGTTCGGGTGCTAGGTAGGAAGGCAGGTCTTGAGTGAGAAAATTCTCAACAATTGATTTGGGGTATTAGAGCACGAACCGAATGCTTCTGGCGGTAGATACGGGGGCTTTTTGGGGTCCCTTCCGGAGCTTGGCCTGTGAAGCTGCGAATCGCAGGAGATTGCTTGACGAGAGGTTCGAGTCGAGATGCGAAGAAGAGAGAAGGCAGAGTAAGCGGATGTCAGAGAAGAGAGAAGGCGGGGTAAGCGGAGGTCGGGGTAATTCCCAAGGTGCACGCCATGGCTCTCGATTGTGTATAAGCCAGCCTCCGAGACAGCTGCTAGAAGTGCCACCTTGTGGAAAGGCGAGCCTAAGGCGGAGACACGCAGCAGAGTAGTGTGGAGAGCTAGGCGTCGGTGTAAGTAGCCCTGATAAAGCATAGCGTTCTGGTGTCGTTCCTCCGCCGGGACCATGTCCGCAGCTTGGGTGGACTGCTAGTAAAGGAGGTGAAGGTGGGCTTTGTAGACGTCATCCATTAATGCCATCCATCATCCCATGTTCTAGTCTAGAGCGCTGCTTCCGTTATATCAGTAGTGTATGATTGTGTTCTTCTGCTGAGGTTTTTATATTAGAAATGCATACTCTACATAATTTCTTTGCACGAAACTCTCTCTTAATAAGACTATTTACGGAAGGGATAACTGAGATACAGTCACTTTCTCAGGCGGCGTCATCCTCGCGAAACCCCTGTATAATATACGAGAAATATCCTTGTAGAAGCGCAGGAGGATGACTACTAGAACAGAGACACAGGAGATGGGAATACATATTTTCCAAAAGTTGGCCCACTCTTTGTTGCTCGGGGCCCAGTCCCCTTGCATGTTAAGGACAGAGGCAGCCGTGCTGATAGGGAGGCAGAAGGTAGCGACCGATGTAAGGATGAGAAGAATCTTGTTCTGCGACATAGTGCGCTCTGCCTCCTTGAGGCTGAGCTGGCTCTCCATAATGGCGAGCAGTGACGTCAAAAGCTGAACGCCCTGATCGTTGCGCTCGATGGTTTGCGAAATGAGCTCGAGAGCCTGCCCTAGATCCATCTGGATGGCTTCCGAGACGTTGTCGAGCCGTTGTGAAGCTTGATTCCCAGCTGGCTGCGGTGGCAACAACGACCATGGGCTTTTAAGAGCGAGTAGATTACAGGTCGCAACCTGCTCTTTCACAAGACTCTTGTATTTCGCGATGCGGCGCCGTATGGTGAATAGGCTTCGCAGAGCGTGCTCGAGGTCGTCAGGGGTTTGCCAACGATTTCCGTTGCGATTTTCCAGAATCCACTCAATGCTGTTTAGGTCCCTGATGAAATATGTCGTCGCGCAGACCCATTCCGAAACGATGATGTCGAACATGCTTCGAAGGACAATTAGTGGCTGTGGGACTCCTGTCGTAATGAGTAGATCCTCGTTTTGCTCACACATGGCGGTAATTAGAGACCGATAAGAGAAGTTCTGGTGTGTGTTGCGCGCCAGCACATCTCGAGCAAATTTCAAGAGCGGCTTAGTTGTCTGGTTCTGAAGCGGTGGGTGTCTATCATCGACATCGAATGGGGGGTCAACTAATACGACTCCTAGATGGTAAGGGGAGAGTTAGCGAGTAATTTCCCAGCAGAGATAGAGTGACACAAGGAAGCTGAGCATTACCAGTCTTCCAGGCACCTTGCGCGTCAATATCAAACCAAGCGGCGAAGTGATGGCGGACCAGGGCAACGGGAGAAAAGTCTGTGCTATTTCCTTCTTTTCGCCGCCGCTGTATAGGTTCAATGCCTCCCGCTCGCCTGTCGTAGATATCCCACCATGAGCCCGTCTTTGACCGAACCCTGTCATCCTCCAACCGGACTGGACGAGTAAATTCGCGAGCCCCGACAACCTCAATGTTGACGTACTGCGAATCTCGACAAGTTCGTGACGACAAACGTGGCACGTGACGATCTATCCCATGGAAGTTGTACCAAGGCGGGCTGTCGAGGTATTCCTCCAGGAATTGTGCCAGTTGTTTCTCCGACGAATTGGGGTATCGAGTCACCAAGAAGTCCATAAACTCCTCGTCCACACGCTCAACAATAAAGATGCATGCACTGGCACCCGGATCCAGCTTGGTCGCCAAGTTGGAAGCGTTGAGATCGTGTATTGTTCCTAGCTGTCGTTTTCCATCGTATAATTGTAGTACGTCGATAGTAGACGCGTACCGGCTGGGCCGGGAAGTGTTGGGAACGAAGGCATTTCCAGCATTCACTGCTGATTTAGCCGCTGTGACAAGCTTATAGATGTTTGGAAATGCTCGTTCTCCAGGCATATCTGCCACTTGGCGAGTGCAAAAACCCCCTGGCGATTGCATGCTGGTAAGCTGAATGCCCGATGCCACTGCGGGATTTTTGGATTCAGATAGATGAGAAGATCTGTGGCGGAAAAGAACGTTCAGCCCAAGTCCCGGGCCATTACCTATATTAGTACCTGCCTGAAACGGGTGCCGGAAGAGCTATAAGGCAACCACAGAGCCTCAGGGCTGCTGGTAACACTTGGGGCGCGACCTGCCGGACAACGCCGACCGCCTTGGCTTTAGCTGATTGGCTCAGAAAACTAGCCTCAGCCTGCAGGCAGATTTGATGCTGGACCACTGCGCCCCGCAGGACCACCTCGGATTCAACCTCAGAAAAAGCCTCAATTCGCTCGGGATCGGTGGGCAATGACGTCTCGGTTAGACCTCAAAAATGGCCTCAACGCCTCTCGGAATTCTGCATGGGTCATGGCTGAGGAGATTGGATGGCTGATCATTTGAAGGCCCCGTGTTAGGCAACAGATGAGCTGCGGAGTGTGGCGCCTCTAATCGACTCCTCGCCTGGCTGGCCCATCCAACCATACCGGTGGGCCCAAACCGAGCCATGACACCCCCCCCCACCCCCCCCCCCCCCCCCCCCCCCAAAAAAAAAAAAAAAACGTGGGCACACAGAGTGAGTGACAAAATTTTCCCTTGGTGCGAGAGGCATCCATCTGCAGTAACTATGCCTTAGACAGGGCGACCCACTTATGCAATCGCCCCCCTTTGCAATCCCCTAACATCATCACGGCCTACCATAAGAATCGTCAAAATACTTAATTAACGTGTGTGATAAGCGAGATGAACAGACAAGCGAGTTGAACACTTTTGACGCGACGCGCCTCCTCTCTACAAAACACCAAATTCCTCAACAAACTCAAATGTCTCTTCCTTCATACGAAGCTAGGGTGAATTTGGCCCTCAGGGCTATTCAAAACGACCCAAAACTCAGTATTCGAGCTGCAGCAACAACATATCAAGTCACGGTAAATACTATACGCAACCGACGCGACGGCAAACCTGCACGACGTGATACTCCAGCCAATTCGCGTAAGCTTACGGATTTGGAAGAGAAAACGATTGTTCAGTACATCATTGAGCTATGTGCGCGCGCATTTCATCCCCGGCTTTCGTACGTAGAAGATATGGCCAATCGATTGCTACGCGAACGCGACGCGCCCTCTGTCGGTACACGCTGGGCTCACAACTTCGTCAAGCGCCAGCCAGAACTTCGGACGCGTTTTACGCGTAAATACGACTACCAGAGGGCCAAATGCGAAGATCCAAAAGTTATTCGCGAGTGGTTTGCGCTTGTGCACAACACGAAGGCCAAGTACGGTATCCTTGACGAAGATTTGTACAATTTCGACGAGACCGGCTTTATGATGGGCATTATCATCCCCGCTATGGTAGTTACTACCTCTGATGGCCGTGGTAGGGCTAAGCAAGCCCAGCCTGGTAATCGAGAGTGGGCTACAGTCATCCAAGGAGTGAATGCTCTAGGCTGGACTATCCCACCATTCATTATCTTAGCTGGGCAATATCACCTTGCTAACTGGTATCAAGAGTGCAACCTTCCGGGTACCTGGCGTATCGCAACAACCGACAATGGCTGGACTACTAATGAGAAAGGCATGGATTGGATTCGGCACTTCGATTTCCACACAGCATCTCGTACGAAGGGAATATACCGACTGTTAATTCTCGACGGCCACGATAGCCACCACTCCGAAGAATTCGAGACTTACTGCCGGGAGCACAACATCATCACACTCTGTATGCCTCCGCACTCTTCACACCTACTTCAGCCATTGGATGTTGGTTGCTTTGGGCCGTTGAAGAAGGCGTACGGCTGTCAGATTGAGCAGCTGATGCGGATGAACATCACACATATTAGCAAGCTGGAGTTTCTTTGTGGGTTTAGAGAGGCGTTTTTTGCTTCGGTTACGGAAAGGAATATCCAGGGGGGGTTTGCTGGAGCCGGCCTTGTGCCGTACGATCCAGAGAGGGTGATATCCAAGCTGGATGTGCGTATTCGGACTCCAACACCCCCAGCTACAAGCCCAACTACATCGCTACCTTGGGTCTCCCAAACGCCACAAAACCCGAGAGAGGCTGCCTCACAGTCAGCGTTCATCAAAACTCGAATTTCCAACCATCAGGGCAGCTCTCCAACACCAATGTTGACTGCTGTGGATCGATTAGCTAAAGGTACGATGGCTATGATGCACGAGGTGGCTCTTTTGCGTACAGAGGTCTCAGCACTTCGGAAGGCCAATGAGGGGCTTAGTAAGCGACGGAGAGCCAAGAAAACACGTGTTCGGCTTGGAGGATCACTTACTGTACAAGAGGCACAGGATCTACTGGATCAGAAGGCTGTGGGTGGGCAGTTGGTCCAGGAAACACGACAAAATGGTGGTGGTGCAGGGGGGTCTCGTACGAAGATTCGATGCTGTGGCGTATGCGGCAAGCCTGGCCATAATGCACGTACGTGCAAGGAGGCTGCAGAATCGTCTGATTCATCTATTTCCGATTCAGTTATTGTTATTTCCTAGTGTTGTGGTTGTGTAATTGAGGGTAGTTGTGGTGAGGTTGTGGAAATTGTTCAACTCGCTTGTCTGTTCATCTCGCTTATCACACACGTTATAGGTTAAATTCTATGGAAAAAAGCATATTCTAGTCCTCGTCAATCGCCCTATATTGCTCAAGCCCACGGGCGATAATTTCTTCAGCTTCCTGGACCAGGTGTGCAGGCCTGGACTTGGTCTTCTTGGATCTCTTCTTGGGAGGCTTTTGACTAGCTTTTTGAGCTTCGTCAATTTCGTCAATAGTAGCAAATCTGTCGTTGGCGTCTATTTTGACCCTTTTACGTGAATAGGGCTTTTTGGATTCCAACTCGTTAGCTAAGAAGTCGTTTTTTGCCTTCAAAGCAGCGATTTCCGTATTCTTCTGATCGAGTGCCCTCCCTACCTTCGTCAACATAGAGCTAATCGATCGGCTTGAGGATCGCCTTCGAAACTTAGATCCTAATCTCGAGGCGGTAACAGATTTTACCGGCGGGCCTATACACACCCAAGTAGAGATTACGGTAATAAGCTAACAGCCTGAATCAATCGCCCCGGTCGAAGACGACGATGACGATATGCCTTTTTCCAAGTATACCTCGCAACGGCTGCAACGTGCCCGGCGAATGCCTTCCCGGTTCGCCGGCTCGATCATCGACCTGCCTAGGAGCTTACCTACTAGCGAAATCAGCCCTCCCTCCCTTAACCTTGCCGCCGACCTACCCGACGACCTACCCGACAATTCCACACCCTCAGATACCAATCTTAACGACGATTATATGTCCTTTCTTCGTATAAGCATTAGTCTTTCTATTTAGGAGCTTAAAAAATACGCTATATTGATGGAAGAGAGCCCAGCCTACTGGGCGGCGATGACATTACACCCTGGGCACAAAAGGAAGTGGGTGGATAGGTTCCTAGGAGAGGAGCAGTCTTTAAAGGCATATAAGGCGTACCGTGATCTCTACCTAGCTGAGTATGCCGTCGTAGCTCTCCCGTTACCGGCATCACTGGCACAGGCACCCCGTACCGGCCCGGGCGCTATTCTTGTCACTCATAACTACTACGACCCGCCTGACGACCCGGACCGGAAGGACGAACTGGCTGAATACCTTACAGAGGGTGTCAGGCCGGTAGATGACATAAAATCTTGGTGGTTTGGTCGTTAGGGCCGTTGGCCACGGTTGTCAAAGATGGCTTTGGACTTAATGTCTATTCCATCTATGTCATCAGAGCCGGAAAGGGTCTTCAGTGACGGGAAACTGATCGTTGGCACACAGAGGCATAGCCTTGGCGACGATACCTTCAATTTCATTATGTGTTTGAAGAATTGGGCATGTAAATGAGGTTTCTCGGGCTTTAGGGCTTTTTTTTTCCATCACCAAGGGCCATTTTACCTACTTTTTGGTGTAGCGGAAGATGCCGGCAAATATTATCAAATCAGTCAAATGCGGCCTACCTGCAAACAAATAACCACTTTTTGCCCTCAAATACAGTCAGCCAGGGCACCACATTTGACTGATTTGAATTTGTGCCAGCGCTGCTGTCCAACAGCGGGTTGCTTGTAGCTGAACCTGAGTCGAAACATCTGAAGGGGTAGCAAGGAACAGTAACACGCACACTACTAGCAGTCATTTCCTCCTCTTCACACCTGACACTCGGTAGCTCGCACTGAGCAAAAACAGACCACCGCTCAACCGCCCGCTCCCTCTCCACATTCTGCAGAAACCGCGAGTCCTGCTTCGGCGGACAGTTCTCCTCGGCCTCGTCCTCGCACGTGAGCAGGTATCCTTGGGCGGCGGTGGGTAATTTCACGCATGCACCCGACTTAAGCGCTACATCTCTCCAGCGGGCCAACGATGTGGGATTCCACCCCCATCATAAACTCCAAAGAAGGGGCAGGGGCCGATACCGCAAATACACCCGTAAGACACGCAGCGACAGCATTAGCGTAACGATCCCCCATGCATTCACGCACTTCATCGAGGATCGGGCTGCGCAGCCTGGTGTAAAACTCCTCTGGCATCTCTGAGCCACCGCGCAGGAGCGACAAGACGGGCTTCCACAGCGCAACTTCGATGAGAACGACGCCGAGGCCGTATATATCGTACTCCTTCCTGTACAATCCCTCAGCCTCTGCATTACGGATATCTTCTGGATGGCGGTAAAGGTCGTTGCCTAATTCCGACTGTGGTCTTTCCGAGAATTCATCCGTGACATCCGGGCGGGATAGGTCGAAACCGGTGATGACGAATTTGTGGCTTCCCAGGTCGGTGGAGTCCTTGCAGAAAGTGAGAATGTTGTCGCTCCGGAACGATTTGTGCAGCTAATTGGTGCTAAGAAAGCGGAACAGCGCCCTTGCAATGCGTTTTGCGAGTTCAAAGCGGTAGCCGAGCGGGCGCTTTCTCCCATCGGAACTGTCCCGATCGAGTGTTTCGAGCAGTGACATGGGGGATAAGGCTGGATCAGCCCAAGGAGGATAGACATAGACGATGCCAAGCCGGTCGCGGTCGCGTTCCCTGATGATCCCGAGCGCACTCGTTGTGTGAAATCCTTGGTCCTCGGAGCTCTTCCCCAGCAGTCGACACAAGTCAAAGGCGCGGAACAGTGCCTTCTCCACAAATGCGGGCGAGTAGCGTTTCAACTCGACTAGCACGTGTATTGTACGGGGTAGCCCGTCCTTTAGTGATGCAGTTCCCGTGCCTCTGGACCGTGTTACCTGATGAAAGGGGTCACTGGTGAGGTCGAAACGGTCAGTGTCAAGAACCCACGCGGAGAGAATTCTCACAAATGAGTCGTCGTTCTGCGGCGTGGGGCTGTTTCGAATTTTCCCGATGTTGACGGCCACGTTGGTGCTGCCGTCTTTGTTAACGGTAGCATTCACTATCTCCTTCAAGGGTGATGGGGCCTGGGATGCCGTGGCATTCGCCATCAACAGTCTCCTCAAAATGTCAGAGTCGTTGCCCGCAATGATATTGTGCAGCTCCGAGATCTGAGTCTTTGCATCCGCCAAGACCTCCGCAGTCTTGGCCGGTCGAAGGAGAATCTAAACTTTGCTAATGAGCTTGTCTCTTTTTGCAATGATGCTGACTTATTCTCGAGACGCTGGCGCTCCTGCAAGATCGTGCTTACGTTGAATTGCTGGAATGGATTGGTCGAGGCTGGAACAAGCGATAATCCATCCCCATCTTTTCCCGGCTTGTCATACCGGGTGAGGAACTTTCCAATCGAGTCGAGCCGGGAATGCAGGATGGCGTGGTACTCGGTGACTCCGCGAAGGATGTCGGGAATTTGGAGCTGGGGCTTGAGAGCCTGATCTTCAAGACCGCCAATGCGGACCAGTCCAGCTGCGTGACACCACGGGATAAAGCGCGGCTGTTGCCAATGAATCTCCACAATAACCTTCATAATGTCCGCCCCAAGCCCTTTGGCGGCTATGACACGGTCGTAAATGTCACAACATGCTGTCAGTGCCCCGATAAGCCCCGCAACAACAGTCGAGTGGTTTGTAATACCCTGCAGCCCACTGGGTCGTCTGTCTGTAAGGGAGCACGGGCTCCACAGAATGCTGGGGTTGGTAATTATGAAGATAGAACAAAGGGCAAGCTCCTATCGCACGGGTAATACAGTCAAATCGGAATGCCACTCAAAGTGTATGAGTGCAGTGAATGTGTATTGCTTGCTTGAAGAACCAAGCAAGAACTATCTAAGACCGTGGATACGGTCATCGTATTTATTTAATTATGGCGGGCCAGTAAGAGCTGCGCTCTTACTTGCCCGACAGGAAGGAGCTGCCTGGCGCCGGGCACTGCTAGCGTGCCGGGCCATTTCCCTGGTGCCAAGACCCTTCTTGGCACCGGGCCACCCCTGATTGGCAGTCCTTCCGTTTGCCTGGTGCCAAGAGCCCTCTTGGCACCGGGCACCGTCTGATTGGCTTTCGACAAGCGGGGCCCCCAGTCTTGTCTGAGGCGCCTGCCTTCTGCAGCTGGTCCAGTACGAACCAGGTTCGTCACGCCTGTGCGCGCGGCTGGTGTTTGGGGTGTCCTTTCCTTACATTTTCGCCGTAATTTCGTCTTATTTAGTCCCGGGGAGCTGCATATTATAGACATGCGAACCGCATTCCAACTTACTGTGTTACATCTTGCTCCTGAATCTGTTTTCTTCCCGTTGACCCTTCCTTTCTCCTTGTCTAAGCCATAGAAACTTTACATTAAGGCCATGCGAACCACATCCCAATCCAGCAGGCACCGCCGCCATCCTTACCCTTGTTGCTTCTAATTATTCAGAACTGCTGTAAAGATAATCAGACACCAGCCGAATTTGTACGGCCAGCAGGGCAGCACGAGCAGGGCAGCACGCAACCCGTAAGCATCCGCAAGAGAAGGGTCATCAAAAAGGCCAGAGTCGAAAAAGAAATAATTCCATTCTTATCTGCACTCGGGTATTTATCCAACTCAGTCATTGAAATCGTCATATATACACGTACATCTGGTTTTCGCCCAGCTGCAAATAATAAAGCCTACCAGGTCCCGGCCATGGCAAGACACCTCCCCAATACATGAGTGTCAATGCGACAAACATGCCCGCGGTGACCGACCCAGGCAAGTGGCAATTGTAGTTGTGGTCGACTACGCCTTCATAAACGTCAGGGGTGAGATACTCCTCAGCTCCATGGTCTTGGGGAAGGGCGAGAGCTGGGGCATTTCCAGCGTCTCGGAGCTTCTGCCCGCTGTGAGGCGGCGCTCGTCATTAACGTATAGTCTCGCGGGCGTCGCGCTGCCGGCGCCCGAGTTGCCCCGGATGAGGGCTCGCAGGACGGGCAGCGACGCGGCCATGATGGTGATCGCGCCCTCTGCGCTACCCCAGATGGTCACGGCGACCGTGTCGGCTGGACGGGTAGTTGCAGTTAGAATTTGCTCTTGTCATGGGAATTGTGCACGAGACCTACTTGGGTCTCCGGCGAGATTCGGAAGCATTGCGCACTTGACAAACGACGCAATGCCAGCCCTGAAAAATGGTATGTCAGCTTCATCCCACGGCAGGTGGATCGAGGGGCAGCACTCACACGATGCCCATGCTCATGGCTATTATGACGCCAAACTTATCTCTCTTGGACATGGTCCATTTCCACAGTATGACAGTGGGGAAGAGGGCCAGGACGACGTCCATGGCGCCCGAGTAGCCGGCGGACCACTGAAACAGGTAGATGATTTTCTTCTCGGAGATGCACGTCCCGTCGACGCTCTTGTCCCAGATGCGGGCGACGGGTTTGCACTTGATCCACATGAACAGCATGGCGGTGCCCATGATGGCGTTGAGGGTGACGATGATGAACCAGATGGCCACCCTCATCCAGCGCTCCGACAGGCGCAGCAACGTCAGGGCGAACGATGTCTTGCTCAGGGTGGCGGCGAGCACCGAGAAGAAGCCGGCGAAGACGGCGACGAACGGCATTTTTGGCAGGTTCTCGGGCCGCATGTCGTAGCCGTGTTTGCCGTAGTCGAGCGCGACGCAGACCGACGTCGTCGATGCCGAGACACCTAGCGAGATCCGTTGTTACGTTTAGCTGCCATGTCGGCGGGATTCTCGGGATAGCAAGGGGGCGCAACCAAGCCACATACCCACGACGCGATGAGCATGTAGTCGTCCCACCAGAGGCGCCGGCCCCTCGACAATTTGCAATATATCCTCAGGCCCACAAAAGCCAGCGACAGGCTGGTGAGGAGCCAGAAGATAGCATTCAGCTCGGGGCCGAGGTCGTTGTGCGGGAGGCCGTCGTCTTCTGCGCGCCGGGCCGATGCATAATTTGTTGACCGCATGGCGAATGCCGCCGTCGCCGCCATGTTGCAGCCAGAAGTGGGCGATGGAGCCTCAACTGCGTTTCGAGGCAGGACTGATCGCTGTAGGGCTGCCGTGACATATGCCACTGCACGGGACCATTGCGGCCGACAGCAAGAAAACAGAAGAGTTGAGCAGAGTCGAACTGAGCTAGGCCGGCTGTCGACACGGGTGATGGAGAAGATATGGAGATGACAATACGGGCGGAGAAGACCGGGAGGTGGGGCCGCGTGCTTGACGTCGCAGGCTAACGGGGGGGCTAACTCTCCCCAGCCAGACGACCGAGGCTGGAGTCGCCAATGAGGGCGCTGAATCGCTCAGTGCCCTCACCGGGCCGGGAGTGCGAGCCGCATTGACCTCTTGGCCTGCTCGCTCTGAGGCGAGTGAGGGGACGCGCTGCACCAGCCTCCGCACTCATCACAGGCGGACCGAAGGGGGCTAGCTGGTGCTTTGTACATATCTGGGGAGGACTGCAGCAGGTCAGACAGTCCTTGCAGCCACGATGTCAAACGTGACTGTTGTCGTCGTATCCCCAATACTCTTGCAGTCCCCCAAGCCTCCCGCTCGGCCTGCTACTCCCTTGCAGTGGCAGTTGCGCCCAGCGTGTTGCGTGCATCTTCGCCGAAGTCCCCCTTTCTTTGGTTCCGGCCCCGGATTATGGACGCGCGGCGCATCTGCCATTCCGGGACCCCGGGTTCTGATCGACCGACTCTGGCGCCGAGCTAGTCGCGGCGAAGGGCACATAACGCCAAGGCATCAGTCGTATTTGCCCAAGATTGTCTCTCCTCTTTTGCTTTGCTTTTCCCCCGCCGTCATCAAATCCCATGTTGCAACTTGTCACACTTGATTTGTTGCGCACCGACTCAACGTTCGTCTGGGCGCCCTAGACTGGACTGCGAGACAAGTCTAGTCTGCCCCGTTCACTCGAGAACTAGCGCGAGGACCGCCAGAGATTCAACCTGTTTCGAGAAGTCCGCCTTCTGCAATGCTGCACGAGAGTGAGAAAGGGGACAGGCGCGGCTACCCAGCCATCTCTAATGAAAAAATGCATACGCTTGGGCGGGTTGAAGGGCTAGCAGGTTTTGGGATGCACACACAGACCAGCGGTTTGAAGTGGGAGCCCTTGAAACGCGGCACCCCACCCTCCACGAACCATATGCGCTGAGTTGGGCACATGGTATGTATTGCCAAGTGGTTGAATTCCGGCGATCATCATGCGCAGCTGGCTAGGCCGATCTAAGGCGATCATAAAACATATTCCTGCGACAAGTCAGTGTCGACTCCAGCCAAGGCGCACCTAACCCCTTCTGACCCGGGTTGGTAGAAAACCAACCACTGATCATTCCGCATCCCGCGCACTCCCGTCAATCACCAATTCGCATCATCCGACGCTAGTTGGCACACCCTCTTGGCACGAAACACCAAACGTATTAACCCCTCCCTGACTGTGCTGAGCTGGCGACGACGACGAAGTTGGGCGTCACTTGGCGTTTCTAAAGTCGGGAAAGCATGCAATTGAATCTGAAATCGTGATAGATTCGTCAAGGTACCAGGGCTGCTAACCGTGCACTGAAGTGCACCTGAAATCTCTTCACTTGTTTTCAACTATAACCTTTTGTTTTCAACCATAACCTTTCGTTGGTCTTGTTGACGGTGGTGTTAGGTTAGAAACCCTGGAATTGACCTCTCGGCTGCTGATATATGTCCACTGGGCAATGCTCAAGGGGAAAGGTGCTGCTTCGACATACCTGATCATCGTCTAGGGATGCAACGGTTCGACCAAATCCTTGCGCGAAATGATTGAACAGAAAAGAAGAAGAGAAAACCCCCAGGCATTCAGACACCCTGACTCGTCGTCTCAGCCACACGTATCACCTTGTCCCCGAGATAGAAGGTGGTTATGCTGGTCTTGTCGCCCAGCTCGTGAGACATGAGCGGTGTGGGCATGCTCCCAGTCCAGTCCTGTGCCGAGCCTCCGTTGTCCGCCGAGCCCGACTCTCGCTCCTCCTGGGAGCCCCCCTTTCCTGGCCTTTCCGATCGCTGCACGAGGATGAAAAGCCCGGCGATCAACATGCCTAGCCCGCCCAGCCCGACGGCAAACCAGTAAGCAGCGCGAAGCCCGGCTAGGCGGACCGCGATGAGATGCGGATTTGAAACGGACAGCGGCGATGGCGGTCCATCCAACCCTTCCACGTTTGCAGCATGGACGAGAGAATTCTTGTGGATTGATCCGGCCAGGCCGAGACCGCAGCTGATGCTGTAGTTGACGACTGTCGCGACGAGGCTTGCCGCAATGCCCTGTTTCTCCTTCGGTAACGCCGTCGACAGCAGGATCGTGGCTGCCGGGAACGACAGGTTCATGGCACCTGGCATGAGCAGGACTGCAACAAAGGTGTTGGCCCAGTACGACTGCTCCAGGGGCATGATGGCAATCAGCAAGCTCCCCAGCAGGAAGAAGAACATGGCAAAGAACATGACCCACGAGACGGCCACGCGACGCAGCAGCCAGACGGTGAGAAAGGCGAAGAAGAGGCCCGTGATGGCCACGGGGAATGTCTCGGCCGAAGTAAGTAGCGCGCTATGGCCGCGCAGATGCTCGAGGAAGAGGTACAAATAGTAGACCCAGATGCCGTGGCTGCTCCACCCGGCAAATACGCAGGCCAAAGTGAAGGCGGCGTTGCGCTGAAGTCCGCGGATGGGGATAATTGGCTGGGTTGCGACACGGAGCTCAACCCACATGAACGTTCCCAGAAACAGCAGCCCCGCCACCAACAGGCTCGGGATGTAGGGGTTGCTCCATCCGACAATGGGCGCCTGGTTGAGCGCAAAGTTGACCAAGACCAAACCCGCGACGCCCGTGACTGCCCCAGGCCAGTCGAATTCGGGCTGCTCGCCGTCGGGGTTTCCGTCGGGGTTTCCGTCGGGGTTTCCGTCGACGTTCTCTTCTTGGTCGGGGATAACAAACTTGGACACGACAACCAGACACGCGCAGGTGATGGCCAGCAGCCAGAAGCACCAATGCCAGGATATGGTCTCGGCGACGAGCGCCGCCAGCACGGCACCCACGGCGGCGCCCGTCGGGCCGGCCGCGCCGAAGCATGCAAAGGCCAGGTTACGCTTGAGCCCGATGGGAAAGGTGCGGCCGATCAGGGCGATGGCGTTGGGGATGACTAGCGCCGGGCCGATGCCCTGGAAGGCCCGAAACGTACTGAACAATACGAGCTGCGACCGGCCGCAGAACCCGGCGATCAGCGACCAGAGGCTGAACCACGCCCACCCGAGCATGAAGATGCGTTTGTGTCCGTGTATGTCGCCCAGCCTGCCTGTGCGTGGGGTTTCCGGGCCGCGAGTTAGAATATGTTTTTCACGAGGTAACGAGTTGCAATTAAGACAAGTGCAGGAGATGTGAGCGGTCCAACTGGGCGTGTGAGACCATAGTCCACACCTAGCTCAATGCTCACCAGCTAGAAGGATGAAGGTTCCGACAGTCATGCTGTAGGCAGCTGAGAACCAGCTCAGGTTGCCGTAGTCGTGGATGTCAAAGTACTCGGAGAGGATCAGAAGCGGGGCGACCGTCTGGTTCATGGCGGCGAGGGACAGGAACTGGGCGAGGCAGAGCACGAACACAAAGACGGCTTCGTGGACGCGATCGCCGCGCGTCGGGGGTGGTCTCGGGCGCGGGGGCGGCTCTGCGTTCGGGGCCGGCATTTTCGTGCTTGCTATTCTTCCCAGCCTGACTAGACTTAGGATGGGTGCTAGATGGGTGGGTTAGAGGTCGAGGGCCCGTGGGGGGACGGCGCAAGCGTATTCTGCAAATTTCGCAGGTGAGAGCAGGATAAGATTGAAGCACAGGAGAGGTGCAAGACAAGTTTAGCCAAATTTGGAGAAAGAGACGAAGAATACCGATGACAGCAACGTTCAGGCATTTTTTTTTGCTCCCATTTCACCCCATCTGCAAGGAGCATTCTTATTGAGGGCGGCGTCTGTGGTCGCCGCCTTCAATCGGGTCCCATTCACCCAGGCTGTGAGTTGATTCCAGGTTCGATTGTTTCTCCCTCGGTGTTCCGGTGTGCTTGCAGCGCAGAAATTCTGCATATTGTGACCCGAGATGAATCCGCCCGTCTCCAATGCTGCCTGATTGGCCCACAAGATGTAAGTGCGCCCTGGGGAAGGCCGGAACGTCTCTCCTGTCGTCCCTGCCCTGCCAGGTTCTGCTTCTCATGCATGGCCGGGAAGGAGCCTAGCGGCTGCCTTGGCTGGCGTGCGAGGCTCCGCTTCGTGGGGAAGGAGCGGCACGCGGGGGGAGGGCAGGCATAGCCACGGTGACAGTGGTCTGCGCGTACTTGGTAGCGGATGCTGTACCTTAATTTCGTCCGCGAAAGATGCAGCGACAGCGCCTGCCTTGTGGCCCCATCCGCGCATGAAGTCGCATCACTTCGGTCGGCAGCGGCGCTTCTGTCTCTCTCCAATGGGCGGGGAAGTTGAGGTAGTGATACTGTACGAAGTACGTACGCGAGACATGTTCACGTGTGCTCCAGTCTTGTCCTAGAGCCTAATCTACCGATTCTGTCCATGTCATTTTCCCAGTCTAAAAGAGCAACGGCGTACCACCAGCATAGTGTAACGCGAGGAAAGACTTGTTTCCTGTCCCAGCCGGACATGGTACAGCAGCTGGCGAGAGCCCCTTCACAAGCGGAGCCCCTTCACAAGCGGAGCTTACATGCATCTGACGATTTCGGACGCGAGGGGAGGCAGTGAATCGGGTGTGGCTACGTGAATACATGTTCCGGAAGCTTGCTGACTCGCGCCACCACCAATCGCGGGCTGCTATCGATGGCTTGGCAAAATGAAAGTCCGCCGGCGGGAATGGTGGGAGCATCATACGTTAACGACGCAGTCTATCAAGCCTACCGATTCGCTGGTGGGCCGTTTCATGTTTCGACCGCGGCGGTCGTGTTTATCCACCCAAAGCTGGCCTGCGGTGTGTCGCACAGTCTCGATTTCACGGCGGGGGGACGGCGTTGGAGCTGCGGGAGGTGCCGTCTCGGTCTTAGCAGCCGTGTCGGTATGCGCACCTCGGTGTTTGACAGCGGGATGCATTAGCAGAGGATATATGTGGTATGCTGGTCCTGCGGGCCTCGGGGCGTGCTTAAATATCCGGTTGGTCTGAACGCTCCAAGTCCTTGGTTGATGCCGACTTCCAAATGTTGTAATTTGGCCTCAAATGCGAATGTCGAGCGCACAGCACCGGATCTGGGAGCTGGAAGCAGTGAAGTCGGGGCTCGGGGTTCCAAGTGGCCGTCTTCACTTGAGCATGCCCCGACCACGAGACAAAGACAGAAATTACTCCCGTATAGAGCCTCGAATTAATTAAGGGTCTAGCCCTTGCAAGGCGGGGTCTTGGCTCAATTAATTAATTTTAATTAAATGTTAATCGCCATATCGCCTGCCTTTCCAGTGCGTGCCAAGGTTTGCTTGCAATCTGTCCTGGCAGATGTAAAAAGTCTAAATGCACGTCTATCCAGATTGGGCAACTGAGTGCTCGCACAGCTTACACTTGTGAAGGAAAAAGAAGAGCCGCCTCGCCTCTGATATGTTTTGATGTCGTGGTTATTCATGACTGTGATCATGAGGAGATTGGGCATAATTAGTGCCGCAAGGTTTGCGCCCCCAAGAGCACATTCATATTAAACATCCAACCTGTCAGTCCTGGGTGCTAGGACGGCAGTCTTTCGGGTGCTTCCCCGGCTTGTTCCGAATCCGACTCTGAGATCCGAGTTGGGCGATCCGCAGTCCCCGATCGCCACTCGTGCCAAGTCTCCGCAACCTGACTTTTGATTTGGTCCAGGCCAGAATAATGAGCTATGGCTTGGAGGCAAGACGACAGCTTTTTGCCCTGGTCTGTCGACAGGCGCAAATAATACGCGACGGCAAAGACAAGCGCAACTGCAGTCCAGGCTGTGCTCGCCGAGACGGGGATATGGCGAGTTATTGTGCTAGCTACGAGTTCTAGCATCATTTGACCGATTGCCCCATATAATGCGCATAGGCCGAAAACAATCCTGATAATCACGTCGTTTTTCTTTCCAGATTTGTTGCTGTCTAGGATTAGGAGCTAGGAGTGAGGATAATTAGACTCTGGGGTCCTTTGGTGTTCATGCGGTTCCGGTACTCACCGCCGACGTGAACGTTTTGAAAATGTTTGTTTGCTTGGCGAGGGTCTCTCCGAGGATGCGGAGCTCACGGATGTCGTTCTCGATGTTCTTGACCATGACGCTCGTCCGGCCCGTGGCACGTGTGTTTGGATCGACGTCAAAGTAGCACAGGTCGCTCCCCTGAAATCTCTCCCAGGATGTTATCGTCCCGGACAGCCCTTGCATCAGCTCTTCAAGAAGCTGAATGACTTGGTGGGATATCCTCTGGACTTTGCCCCAGTCGGCATCCATGGCGTTGCTGGTCTGCTCGAGTTAGCGATTCGGCGCATGTCGAAGGCTGGCCCGAAAGTCCAAAGCTTGACACTAACATATGGCTTGATAGTTCTCAGCAAACTGTGTCCAACGTTGAGCCACTCATCTTTCGCATCGTTGACGCAAGACTCCATTACTCGCAGGAAATACTCCCTGGCGGTCCGGATTGGGGAATCCGAGGCGTATCGACCTCCGGTCAATGGATCCGTGTTGATTTCGCCCTCGGCAGGTTCGTAAAAGCTGAGGTCGTGCTTGCTTTCTCCGCCATCGTGGTATGTATCGAAGAAGCCGTACGCTGTCCAGAATCGGTTATCCATTCCTGTGACCATGCAAGATGTTTGCACCTCGTAAATGTAGATGTCAGGCCCCACGGCCGACCCGTACAGGTAGCTGACGTTTTTGCCATTCCTCAACGGCCGCTTGTCCGCCCCGAGCCTGTCATCGAATGAGCGAATACCATTTGCCCTCCAAGCAAAGCATGTTAGGTGGAATGAGAGCTGAAACGATTGAAATCCAGACGACTACCGCGCAACAATGTATCAGCCGATTAAAAATATAAGTGCAGCGTGGATATGAACCGGTATCGAGTAACCTACTTTGAGCTTCACGCCCATTCCCTGTTGAAAGGTAATGTGCTTGTAAACAAAATCTCTCAAAAAAGGAACCTGATTGCTGGGTGCTGCGGCAGCAATTGCCAGAGTGCACCAGGGGTCGAGGTTTGTGATATACCTGGAGGAGGTTAGAACGTGAAGCGGCCAAGGTTACGCCCTAATTAGCGCTTACAGCACACGTCTTCTCGGAGACGTTCTCTGAACCCTCTCAGGCGTTTTTGTTGAATGGGAGGATATCTTTACAGTGGTCAGTAAGGATTACAGCGTCAGGGAGGTCAAGGTTGGGGTCTAGTGTGGAATGCTTACCTCTTTCCGCAACAGCACATCGAGAAGCTGTTGCCGGCCCAGAAACAGTATCTTGGCCTCTGATTCTTCCTCCTGTGACCTTTCATCCAGAATTGCCACCAGCTGAGATGACAATTCCCCTTTGCCCTCTATCAGTTTTTCGAAGATCGCAGGCGAGCAGAATCTCTGGATCTCGTCACAGATATACCTTTGCGATGGCTCTCCCACGTCCTCGGTGAATGCCTTCAGGATCTTCTCGGCTTTGGTACTGGTTGAGTCGGTTTGCAAACCGCTTATTTCGAGGCAGTAGTTGCCGAGCTCCGTCGAGTAGACTGCCCATCGGTCGGAGTTGAAGATTTCCGGCCAAAAGTGCCGTTTTGATTTTTGTTTTGGGTAGTGATTTGAAGATCCAGGGAGCCTTAATTCAGGTTCATATTTAGATTAGATACGTCAACTGTCAGTGTTCTCCGAATTCGGGGGTGGGGGGTCCCGAGACATTAATACTCACTTGCTCTCATCCCCTGGCTGCGACGAGCCAATCATATTCGAACTCTCTGCCACTCTTGGGGAATCTAAGACGGGGTTTAAAAGAATGAAAGGTTGCTGCTCTTGGTTGAATCTTGAGGGCAGAAGAGGAGTGAGTATTATTGTGCGTGGTTGTTTGGAGAGAAAGCAGTATATTGGTGTTCTCCGGCGTTGTGTTTCGAAAATCGGCTGTCCCGTTTGTCGGTCCATCTGGACCATCGAGTAGCTGTTGTCGGTAAAGCAGACCCGGGGCATCCATGCTTGTAGCCGGTTGATGATTTTCCTGTGGAGTCCAACCACAGAGAGCCACTCTTGCGTATGGGCGGCTCGTGCAAGCTCGTGTACTAGTGAGCTGGTGAAAGAGTGGCTCCCTACCTCGGCTGCAATTGACTCAAAGCCACACGCTGCAAGAGTCTCGACGGCTCCTTTTCCAGCGGACGGTTCACCAGCTTGAATGGCGTGGCAGCAGTCATACAGTAATAACACATCGCAGTCCACTTCGGCAAGCAGAGAATGGATGACAGATGATGGCACAGTTGGCGATTCTCGATGTCGTCTGATCTTCATGTCAGCTGTCTGCCAACTCAACAACGGAAAGACGGCGGCATTTCACCTTGCTGTCCACACAGGACTCCCGCCAGCCTGCTCGTTAGGTCGCGCGTGACCTGCGTAGTATAGAATGATGAGATTTCCTTCTTTGCCGAAATTGTCAATGAGAGTGGCGATTTTTCTGGACAACTCAATGGCTGGCCGTCGGGAAGGTATTTTCCAAGTCTTCGTATCATAGTGATACAAGGCACCAAATATTGACATGAGGGGTTTGATTTCGGCATCGACGCCTAGGTCGTCATCCTCCCAGCTCATTCCGAGCACCTTGACGGTCCTGCAACCTTTAGTATATCACCTTTACCATCGTCTCTGCAAGTAGAACCGTAGATCGTAGTACCAAGATAGGTTTGAGTAAGACATGGAACTTATCTGTGCATGTTCGGCGTGGTGCTGGTTGAATAGGTCGTATCAATTCGCAATATCGTTTGAACACACGATTGAAAGAACGGGCCAACAGAGAGACCAACAATGGTGGTAAAATGGAAAAGGGAGTTTGAAATCAAGCGCCTCTTCTTTGGCGGGTAGGTAAAAGAATAATAAGCACAATTTCTAGCTATTGAAGAGGTGTAAATGTTCGGCATGAGATAAATTCGTTCAGCGCCGTATTATGAAAATGGAGGCCTTGGGCCCCTAAAATCCCCGACAAATCGCTTCGCCAGACAGCGTGGTATAGGTCGCTACGGCACCATTGAAGACTCGGTACCCTCGATACCCATGGGTGCAGCCTCACCTGCATCCCCAGAGACCGAATCGCGGCTTGCATCCAATGATCGGGATGTGTTACGATTACACACAAAGTTACCAGGGAGCGTGCTTCCTGTATATGTGCTGCCGCATGCATTCGATGATGCGTAAAAGGATCTTTGCAGATCGAGCGTCGTTTCTGCGACCGAGGGCGTGCCGACGTGGCAACTTGTCAACGGCAGTTGCAAGTACTAGTGACGCGCGCCGTAGGCCCGCAGCTCCCTGATAAGGACCCGGAGCAGCTACCATTGGGGCAGGCGCAAAGGGTGGGGAGCAGCAGCCTCAGCCTTCGGGGGAAAGCGCGGCAATCCAAGGCAGGACATTCCATGCCTACCTTGCATAAGAGGTGATTGGAACTGGCTTACCAGGGAAAGTAAGGCTGGAGGCTTCACCGCAGCTTTGTCGAAACTCGAAGGCTCCCAATGATTTTTGCCTTATTAAGGTGCCTACCTAGGGTGCTTATCCGTCCGGGTCGCGCCCTCCCTTGTCTGCACCTACCACGTACACCACAAAAAAACGAAAACAAAGGGAACGATGGACTTGAGCACCTTGAGTGGTGTATCAGAATCTGGCCCAGGTCGTGAGTCACTACACGGGCCTGTGGAGTTCAACGCGGCAACCGAGAAATTCCAGGTCAAAGCTCCTCCATTAAGACATGGTCCTGCAGTCTGCGATTTCGAGCCCTCGATGCTTTTTTGGATAAGTCATTCAAAAGGCCGGAAGGGTTAGGGTTGTGCTCTCGGCTGAAAGGAGGGGTAAATCAGCGGTTCCGAGTGCCGACATCCCCAGGCCAAAATGTCCGCACACTCGCTCTTCAGCAGAGAAACTCGCAGAAACCAGCGCTCGAAGCAAAGAGAATCCTCTCCACATTCTACAACATGCCTTTTTTGTCAAATTCCCCATCGAAGTTGGCCAGAAATCGTTTACGCCGGTATCCGAACCCTTTCCCAACAAGCTTCCGATCAACCCGACAACGGTCAGGGACGGTGGTGTTTCGGTCCCAGTCGTCGCAATCTGCTCCTCGGAGGCCCCTAGTAAGTCGTTACGGACTGTGCGCACAAAGATAAAGTGTTTTCGTTAACACAGGGCAGGACTCACGAAGGAACAGACGCCAAATTTGGAGGTGTTGTAATTGCGGGTATGTCGTCCTGGGACCGAGCGAAAACCTGTATTGCGGCTATTGCGAGCATTCGCGATGCCGGGATTGCCAGATAGAATGGTTGCAGATTTCAAACCAAAGCGCTTCGGAATGTCATCTACGACCTGTCCGATGACTCCTTCACTGAAGTCCTTCGACATCCGATACCCTATCTAAACGACGAGAAGTCACCACCAATCCAGATGGCTGGAAAAAGGAATCATGGGCATCAAGTATGGTATGTGAATGGCAAATCATGGGCGGGCATGAGCATTAATTGTATTTTTCTTGTTTCAATGACTTTTAACTCCCTGGCGGAGAGATTTAGAAGGCCCATAATATGTACGTCGTGTGACCGAATAGTTCGGCTCCTATATACTCTCTCCTTTTAGTTACCCTCCTCGACCGTCGCCATCATCTTCGGTCCCTCTTTGACTTGGATGCCGACTACGACCTGTACGGTTTTGATGATAGTTACCCCTTCGAGGATGCGCTGGAAGAACCCTTCGATCCGGACGCTGACCTCGCCGTGTTTGGGCAGCAGGGCAACGAGGACGCAGATCAGATGTCTTGACCAATGATCGCGATATGTCGGTAGGCATCCCGAACCACAAACGCCTCGGTAACTGCTAGTGACAAGCCAGCCATGGGACACATTTGTCCTTTGCGAGTTGACTTGATAACGTCGACTCTCGCATCGCTGTATCTGGCCCACACGCTGATATTTAATTACCCCAACACCACACAGGGGGGCGGAATGGTCGACACAAAGGCGTCGATCGTGACAGCCGCGTAAGCGAGAAGCCGTTCCCTAATGCTCGAGATTTGCCATGAGGGTTGGAACGCATCCCCGCTTTCCCTTCTTCTCAAGTATATGGACTGACTACCAACACCAGCCGCAGCGCGAGCGCTCACCTCGGCGCGAAACGACGGGCCAACCCGGTATATCGCGGCTCGACAAATCCACCGTGTTTGGCGAACAGACATTATCTAACCATTAATTACCTACGTAACGCGATGTCTGACCTAGCACGGCACGAGACTCAGCGAGACTCAGCCACGACCAACCCAAGTGAGCCGGTCGGTCATGCCGCTCTACGACGACGTGTCGGCACGCTCGTGGACACTGCGCAAGCCTCTCAGGGTACGCTGCATGGTGGCGCCGGAATAGTGCTGCAGGTGTCTGCAAAATTACTAGGGTTGTGAAGCTTGGGGGCCTAGAACGGAGAATCTGCGCCGGATGCGAGGGCGTGTGTGTGGGGGTGGGGTTTTCGCCGCATAAATTTTTCGCTACCTACCGTCTGATAGCCAGAGTGCTCTGTTGCGGTCTGGGCCCTGCGAGGAGGCGCTTGGCACTAAGCCGAAATCCCGCAAAGTCGCTGCTGGTGGCTTGTGCTGAAACCTCAGAGCCTTGCCCTTTTCTCGTTCCGACGGAGTAGATTCTCGACTTTCCACAAATGGAAGTTGAAGCCTCGAGAATTGTGAGGAAGGCCGGTGTAGTAATTAACCCATGTCAACAATGTCTGGCTATAACTGTTCATTCTCATCGCGGAGGCGAGCGCTCGAGCCATACGCTGATGTGGCTGGCCCAGGAGTAAGTAGCATCGCAATCCTACAAGTCGCCTGGGACGCGCGTGCTGACTTGGACCTCAGGTTCTTACCGGTTACTTGGGGACAGCATGGATATGCGTTGTCCTCGTTCTCATCCATTATTTCTTAATATTCGATCCAAGCCAGGATCCACTTGAACTTCCAGCTGCCGGTAATAGCAACCACCGTTTGGTCGCCAATCCAATTGATGCCCTGTTTAAGACCATGGTCGAGATGGTTTTCTCACCCACTAGACAGCCGCCAGCACTCCAGTGGATGAGGAGGAACCCCAAGCTCCAGGCCGCATTCGATAAAGTTAGCATCGGTTTCCCCTTAATATCTATGCCCGCTCGCTCTCAACGGTTGGTGTCGTCATACTGACACTCTCAGGCGATCTTGGCTATGTGCGATATCCAGATAGTCACTGGTCTCGGCATTCTCGTCAGTGGATACGCGGACCTGAGACACGGCATCTCAGCTTACCACTTCCTCCTGGTAGTATTGGTTGCCTGGTTCTCTAATCTTACTCATATCGCCGGTCTCACCGTTTTACGCCGATATCTGCACCGGAAGCCGTTCGAAAAGTGGATTCGGCTATCCTTAATGATGATCCTGTCCGTGATGCTTCTCACGGCGATGGGCCCCACCATGTTCTTCAACTGGCCTGCGTGGCAAGGATCAGCGGGTCTCCCTGGCTCATACGCAATCTGCTTCTTCAGCCCTCAACGAGCAATCGAGTGGCACTACGCCGTCGCCGACGTGGGACTCGAGGCATCGTCCAGTTTCCAGTCCGTTCTCATATCGATGCTGCTCCTCGTGTTCAGCCTCGGCAGCCGGGTAATAAAGCTTCAGTCATCGCTATCAAACGCCGTCAGGAGAGCAAGAAGAGCCCTGAGGAACAAATATAAGACCCATATTCGACGTATATATGTGATACAACCTTCCCGGGAGCTCCGTATTAGACAACTGGGGATAAGGAAATTGACATTCTCCATACAAATGACAGCCATGCTCATATTAAGGATCTACGCCGACTTGCTCGTCTCGAATTTGTCAGACGTAAGGCTTCCATCTCTTCCCTATTTCCCATCCCCACGCATCAGTCAGGGATGAAATTTATCAGTCAGGGATGAAATTTATCAGTCAGGGATGAAATTTATCAGTCAGGGATGAAATTGAGATTCAAGCTAATAGCCTATAAGACATACTGGTTACTTGTATCCGCAATATGGGGAACGATAAAGCTATTACTCGCAAAGCAGTCTGTCGTTATTGACGAGGACAGCTGGGCGTTTGGTCAGATTCTTCCGGTTTGTCTTCTCGTCGCCTCGCTCCTCCCGACTGCTGGGATCGTCTCGGAACTTTGGCGGGCTACTGGAACATCTGATTCGGAACCCGATGCTCGTCCAGGCAACCTATCTACAGGCAATAATCCTCCTGGTGCCCGCCATTCTCCAGAACCAGCGCCCTCCCAGTTCGAGGGGCCACATGACGAGTTGGATCAGGGGGACGTGCCCCCTGAAACTCTCGAAATCCGGCGCCTTGTACGTAACAACCTCGATCGCGACTACTACCATCACGGGACATGCTTTTTACAGCCGGCCGCGGCGCTGATATGTCTGCAAATCCTGGCCGTGACAGTTTCTATTTTCACCGACCTAGTCATCTACCCAAGCGAGATCGCCACTAACGTTCTCCTATTTTATTCCAATTTTATTTTCTTAGTCTCTCCCGGTGCTTGTTTGTTTTATATTCATGCTTGCATATATACTGAACTGTCAATCTCGAACTTGAGACCCTGGCACAGACGGGCGTCGTGGGCCTTTATGCTTGCTCTCTTTGGACTCTACACCCTCTCTCTAGTGGAGAGCCGTGCGTGGGCTGAATCGTGATACCTTTAACGCCAATCTGCCGGTAGATGCAGTGATATATGGATTTTCGTGCATCATTCTCGTGCCGGCAGCTGGTACCTACATTCTTCTGCGGTTGCTTTAAAACCCCGTCTCTATACGTACCGTTGACCCTAGACACCTAGACAGGCAGTGACTACGTATCTATTATAAAGTCCAGATATGCTATAATTTGTAATGACGTAGCGGCTGTATCGGAGTGCAAGTGTCGAGTCATCTCAACCGCGACAGCACCTACATCCTACTCCGCGGAAAAACGCGTGTCATCATCTTATTAGCACCTATACCCTGCTTCTTCCAGAGAGTTCGGTAGATATTTGATTAAAGCAGGTCTAGAGAACTATTCGTGCATCTTATATTATATGTCGTCTGCTTTAATAATGCTTTGCTCAAGGAGGGACTTCCATAGTTAGATTTGCTTTAAAAGTGGTATGGCTTGTACCCACCAACCCGCATATATTAAAAGGTTAACGCCGGCATGTGCCGCTCATAGTAGAAAGTCAAGCAATTGAAAGCCACTGATCCGGCACTTACATCTTATAACAAAATGCACGAAGAAGGGGCCGTTCGAGCGAACATGACAGCACCCCCGTCACACAGACCGACACGCGCGAGTGGGTGCGTTCAACCGTGTTTGCTTGCTGCCTGCCGATAATTAAGACAAACTGTATAAGTGTATTGGACACGAAGAGCTGAAATTCACTTGGCTTAGACTAACCAAGTACCGTTTCCAGCTTTCAAAGTTGCATTGATCTCACGCAACCACTGCGCACAGCCAAGAAGCAAAATATCCGTAAGGCTACGGCCATATGTACCATTTTGTTTTTTGTTTTCCGCTATTCTTTAAAGGTCCAGGGATCTGTAATCCATGTTCTTGTGGGGAGAGCCGCCGAGCGGTAGTTATACCACGGTAATAAGTAGTAGACGACGGCTCCTAATCGCTTGGTTAATCTTCGATATAATTCAATTACTCCCTGCTTCTCACGTTACTTAATCAGCCAAACGGAAAAATCTGCAGATCTCACAAACCCTTACCTGGCACCGCTGGTTCCACTCCCTCGGGCGGCTTCATCCACGTAGTGTCAGCGGCTGGGCTGCCCGACCACAGCCACAGATCCTCCGGACACGACCACGCGACTTGTTCTGCCGTCATCAGCTCGTTGACCTCGTCGAACCGGCGGTTCCTCACCAGAGTCAAAGCCCTCTCGGCAAGCCGGAGAAGGCGCGGCGGGTCTGGTTCCAGATCGCCGTCGTCGCCGTCGCCGCCGCTAACACGGCGCGGCCGCTCGCAGTCTTGCGGGTCCCCCGTCGCCGTACTCGGCGGCCAGACCAGCGCCAACGCCCGTCCCGCTACGGCCGTGAGCACGCGCGGAGCGAGCGGCCTTGCATCGTCGCTGCTCCCGGGCTTGCTGCCGGCGACATCTCCCTGCTGCGCAGCAGCAATAACGACGAGGTGCGACGTCTCGCGGCGGTCGACGAGGATGTGGTTGAAGATGGCCTCGGCCTGGTGCGCGTCGCCATCGCCGCCGCGCGCGCGTAGCATGCCCGCCAGGTCCAGAGCCACCCACAGCAGCGCGCGGTTGTACTGGCCGCGGTCGGCGCCGATGAGCACGCCCTGCAGCGCGCCGATGGCCGCGTCCCGCCGCCCGCCGTCCCACTGCAGCAGCTCGCGCACGTGCTCCACCTGGCACGTCCGGTTGAACGGCAGCCCCCCCGCGTCGGCGGCTGCGTCGTCCAGCTCGGCGAGGAGGTCGGCCGCCTTGGTCGTGTCGCCAAAGTCGCGGTACGCCACCAGCAGCTCGATGGCGAAGTCGAGCGCCCACACGCTGGCCAGGCCGACCCACAGCCGGCGCACGCGCAGCGCGTCCCCCAGGTTGCCGACGGCGGCGGGGTTGCGCTGCTTGCGCTGGACCACGCCGACGGAGAAGCGCGCCGACGCGGCGAACAGGTCGTCGGCGCCGTAGCCCTCGGTGCGCTTCTGCACGATGGCGGCTAGGATCTCGAGCGCCTCGTCTAGCCGGCCGAGCTCGATCAGCGGGTAGCAGTACCACATGCGCGCGCTGAGGTACTCCTTGTCGTTTTGGGTATAGAACTTGAGGAAGCCCGTCGCCGCGCGGGCCTGCGTCTCCAGCGACTCGCGGAACCGCGTCAGGTACAGTTCCGTCTCGCCCAGCGCCAGCAGCGTGCGGTACAGCTCCCTGCTGCGCGTGCCGTAGTTCTCGTCTTCGATGGCGACGATGGTCTTGAACTCGGCGTAGGCCTCCTCGTAGCGGCCGTCAAAGGTGAGCGAGAGCGTGAAGTCGGTCCGCGCCTGCAGGCTCAGCGGATGGTTGGTGCCTAGGACTGCGATGAGTCCGTCCTTGGCGAGCCTGCGGATTTCTGCAGCGTCGTCGTTGGCGCCCTTGTCGACGTAGTACCGCCCGAGCCGCATCAGCGCGAGCCACTGTAGCACCTTGTCTTCGGCCTCGGCGTCTCGGTAAGACTCGCTCAGCGCCGTGTACGGCCGTGAGAAGTAGCCGTCGAGGCTGAGCAGGGCCTGGTCCTCCGCCGACAGGCCCGCGGCCCAGGTCTGCAGGGTCCTCCCGGCAGCGAACGCCCGCGAGGCGCTGCCGGCGCAGTCAAACGACCACTCGCTCCAGTATGCGAACTGGGGCTGGTGGAGGAAGCTGGCGGCGGCGCGCAGCAGCTCGTCGTCGGGGTCATCGACGGCAACGAGGTGGAAGTCCCAGTGCCGCGCGGCGTATCCCCACGACAGCCCGGCCGCGGGGTCGGGCGCGCGGTTCGCCTGCAGCGCCTTGCCAAAGTTGCGGTGCAGCAGCTGGCCGATGCGGCCCCTGGACGCGTACTCGGGGTCGAGCAGGCACCGCAGGCACTGCAGCGCGAGGCTCCGGTGGGACTCGGCGGCCGGGAACAGGACCGTGTCGGTGCCGTCGGTGAAGAGCTGCCGCGACTGGTCCGTCAGAAACTCGCGCGTAGACGGGTGGTAGAGGTGCACGCGCCCCTCTGAGACCGACACCAGGGGCTTGCAGTGGTCCATTACCGCCTTCTCGACGTTGTAGGAGCCAAGCGACAGGGCTCGCCCCAGCTCCGACAGCAATAGCGGCTCGCGGGCTTCGCAGACGAGGAGCAAGATCCTGCGGCGCAGTTCGACAAACCTCTGCCTGGCATCTGGCGTCTTGGCGCCCCTCGCGACGGCATCCTGCAGCATCTTGTCGTAGGTGGACGAGAGGGTTGGCGGGCAGCCGCGCAGTCTGTCTACGAACTCGGACTCGGCACACGGCTCCGACAGGTACAGGAGGAGCATCCGCACCCACAGAAACGAGCCCTTGGCGTCGAGGCGGATTCGCTCCGTGACCCTGTCTCGGAACTCGGGCGGTATGCCGAGGCTGTCGAACCTGGCGGCCGCGAAGAGCTCAATGTCTGGCGCCAAGAGCTGCTCGGTTAGGACGAGTTGCACACACGACGGCGCGAAGGCCTCGAGCCCGAGCTGCGGCCGCGAGAATACCGCCACTTGGACGTGTGGCAAGCGAGAGAGAGCTTTCAGGCTCTCTAAGAATTTCTGCACCGGCAACCTGTCGTCGAAGTGGTGCTGGTCGAGGCCGTCGACGAAGACAAACAGGGGCGTCGTTCGCAAAAGGGCCAGGGCGCTCGTCGTGAGACGCCACAATTCGGCAAAACGGCACGAGTCTGGCCCCTGAGTGTTGATGCTTGCGATACTTTGGAGCCGGCTGAGGATGGGCTTGAGCGCGTCGCTGCTTTGGAGCTCGGGACGTCGGAGGACTTGGGACAGGAGTGATGCCGCTAGCATCGAGGGCCCGCGTCGGCTCGAGAACTCGTAATGTGCGACCAGCGGCGAGTCAGGGCGGCCTCGCAGCTTGTTTGTCAAGCTGAGCGCAAGCACGGACTTGCCAGAGCCTAGGCCCGGTATTTTAGAACTAGAGGGGAGGTGTAGACGAGCACGGGGTGAATGTACCTAGCTGACCCTGTACGAGCAGAAATAGATCCTCGCTTGAACTATCGAGCCAGGTTGATAACACTCGGTGGGATTCCACCCATTGTTGTGTCCCTGTTACCGGGTCATCCGCCTGTAGGGCAATGTGCTCGGCCGTCGATTGCTGCAGCCACTGTTGGATTTCATCGAGGACGCGTGGTGCTGGAACCGTATCAGCGGGCGGTGAGGAAACCTAGGAGCCTCGAATAAACGTGGACCAATACCCACCAATCACGTCTTTCTTGAGGTATCCCATTATGATTTCTCTCATTGCCTCCCGAGACTCGTCTATCCCACGTCAAGATAGTTAGGTTGCTGGCTACCCAATTCTCTTGCCGTACTATGTGAAGCAATGGAGGCCTAAAACAGAGTACGGCCATCAAATGGTACGTTGGGCACCGGAGGGGAATGTACGTGTCATTGTTTGGGAATTGGACGGGGCTGTGTTATTGTTTGGGAATTGGACAGGGCTTGTACTGACCTAATAGGGTAGACCTATAGAGGCCCCCTCTGGTTTTGTTCGCTGTTGTCGAGGGGGGGTTGGTCAACGTCAGCGGTGATCGGCGACTCTGTGACACGATTAAGACAGGATTCGCAAACGTGTTATGCAAATGGTTGACAGGCCGGCTTTTTTAGGCCGGCCTTTTTGAAAGCCGCTGCAAGTAAAAGAGGCGAGGAACAACCACATCCGACCTTGGAGGAAGGAGTTCCAGTGGATCACAGCAGCGACACCCTTGCATCCAAGCACGTGCGAGGCACAACAATGCGCACTCACCTTCTAGCGCGGCGATTGCGTCCATTATGTCCTTTTTGCTGCTGCTCGTATTGGCGTCTGCTCGTGTCGTTGTTAGTTGTGAGCGACCAAACACGCGGATACTGTGCGTTCAAGGGGGGCGGAAAGCGTACACATTCGACTGTAAACTGAGGCGGGTGCACATGCAGAGTCAGTTTGGTTGTCTATCCGTCGGCGAGCTGCAGCTTTGGCGGGACACAAACACTCTGTCTGGACCTCCATATCCAATGCCTTTCCGGCTTTCTTTAAGTGGTTCAGGTTAGACTGCAGCTCGTCTCTCTTGGACCGCATGACCGACTCGCCGAGCCGTTCTGTGTTGTCGGTAGGCACTGTATCAGGGTTACCTGCGCGAGGCGATGGCGAGGTGAAGGAAATGACTTACTCCAGGCACTTGATCCGAGGTGGTCCTTGGCCAGCACCAGAAAGTCGAGAATGCGGACATACAAATCGACCACGGCCGCCTCGACTCCCTTGTGCGTGGGGAAGATGGCCGCGGCGTTGTCCCAGCGAGCAAGTTGGTCGACTACCTCGCGGATGCCCTCTCCGGCAATTCTAGAGGCTTCCTCCTTGTCAACTACCGTCTAACAGGCAATAGGCCATTCGACGATCTTAGTCAGCAGATGCCGTCTTATGGAGGCGAGTGGGTAATTAGAGGCGGGGGGTACTGACCTCGAGAAGAACACGGATTGCTCCCCACACGACGGCAGAGACGGTGGGTTGCTGCTGGATAAATATGTCAATCGCCTTGGAGTGGCGGCGGATCTGGTCGACAATCTGATAGTAGAGATTGGCGAGGTGGCCCTTGCTAGCCCGTGATGTGGTAAATTTGTTGGAGGCATCGACTGCGCTGTTTACAAGGTCTTGGGCAGTGATTGGACGCCCCGCTGGCTGGTTCCTGCCACCAAGCGCGATGAAGTTACGATGAGCTTTTGTTTCCTTGCCGGGAACCCTGCTGCTCACCGGCAGCCGACTATTGTATTTCTGGTTGAAGGTCAGTCCGGGCGCCTCGGGTGAGAACCGCTCCCCACATAGCTAGGGTAGATGCAGGAGGCTGCTGCTCTTTTCAGGTAGGGGATCCAAATAGGGCATTCTCCCGGGGCTTTTCCTACCTCGACAGCGGACCCCCACCACTGAGCCTGGAGGTCCCGCACAGCACCACCGTCACGAGACTCGCTCTCCATTTCCCGCCTCCTCTTCGCTTTCTTGTCTTACACGATGCAGATCGAAGGTGGTCGTTGGCCGGCCCCGGCTCTATAAGAGGGTGATCGGCACCCGCTCGCTCTAATTAATTAATTAATTACTTCACAGACAACTCTCTCCGAGCCCCTTTCCAAGTTGCAGCCAGAAGCAAAAGAGCTGTCGCTCCATCTCGTATCGCTGCCCAACTCAGTACCAGGGCGCTCACTTTCAACCCTCCACCAAGGGTGTACCACTTGCCGCCTAATGCTGCACGCACTGGCTGGCTGGCGGCTTTCGACACACATTTCTCTCTGCGCAGAACGGTCGAGCGCCAACATCTGCATAACCGGGCGATGTGATGGTGGTGGTCAGACACGCCTGCCTGGAACCAAGCCATGCTTTGATGCAGCCAGACGAAAAAGGATTCGGCGCTACATTGGCCTCAAAAAAATTCATAGGGCCGCAATACACTGATACATTGGCATGGAGGGGGCCGCCGCAGGCAACACTATCCCGAATCCAATGTGAGGCTGGCGCATACCGGGCGGCGGCACACTCGTGGACCAGTCGTGTCCATTTAGCAGGAAATGTGGCAAGGCTCTGGGCTTCTAGCAATCACGATGGCCCTTGTAGACCACCATCCAAGCACTGACGAATCGTCTGTGCTACAGCCGACGCTGTGTTACGTGATGTGTCATAAAGACCTTACACTTTCGGCATGGTCTAGTACTGAGTAGGGAGCCCAGGCAGCGCCCGCACAGGCCAGCTAATTAGACCGCCTTTTCACGGGTCAACACTGGTCCCTGGACCTGCTGGTGCAGGCCTTTTTCTTCCTCACAACACAACACAATACACCTGGAATAACCTCTTTTTTGACTGCTTTTGCATGTTTTTGGCTCCTAAGAATATGCACCCGTGCCACGCACCACTTATTCTTGGATTCGCTCAAATACACCAACCTCAACAATGGGGCAGAGTCCCCGGTATTGGCCCCCGAAATACGGAATAACCTAGGTACCTACTAGGTATTAACGTACAGTACGTTAATCCCCGGGCATTGATCGCAAAGGAGGCCACGGATAGAGAATCTTAAACGCGGTTTTCGAGGCACTGTCGGTTGATCATTTACCCTGGAAAGGTGTACAGTTCATTACAAATACGGATGATCAATTCATAAGCGCTGATACAGGGTTGTACGGGGAACTCACCCAATCCGTCTGCCCAATTAGTCTGAGAGATGAGAGGTGCAGAAGATGGTGGTGTGATGTTGCTCCTTTCCCCTCATTCGGTAATCGAGCGAAACCCCCCACATCATGAACAGTTGCCCCGAGCCTCTGCATGATTGCGCCTTTTCTTCTTTTTTGCGCGAGGCTCGGAGGATTCCAACTTGAGCCTCAATCTCACCGAGGCTCCCGTGGACATGGTGTGACAATCCAGTTTTTGGGGGCGGGGCTGGCCAACTGACGAGAGAAATGTTTAGGGGAGGGGGGTGGGACGGGGGGGGGGGGGGGGGGAGATTACCTACAGCTACAGGGAAAAGGAGAAAGGATTGCCAGCTGTAAGAATTTGATGCTAAAATAGATAACCGCGTATGCAGGACAGGCACAAGAAAAAGAGACAGGAAATTGGCCAACAAATGGTTAGAAGTCATAATGGAACAATAGGTAAAAGACAGAGAGGAAAAAGCAAGAAAGAAACAAACAAACAAACAAACAAACAAACAAACAAAGAAAGAAAGAAAGAAAGAAAGAAAGAAAGAAAGAAAGAAAGAAAGAAACAATATGGAAATAATAAAAAGAAGTGAGAAAATACATAACATGGCCCCATGATTTCGATGCCCGCCCGTGCTGCACAATCCTCGATCCTCAACGCCGACGTCGCTGCTTTTTTGTGCTTTTCTGTGACGTGCCCTCGTCCGGCCCGCCGCCGTAATACGCAAATGTCGATGGCTCGGCGCCCTGGCCCGAGACATTCTCCTGCGCGTGCCCGCCGTCTCTGTAACCCGCGTAGTACTCCGGGTAATAGGCGGAACTGCTGGCTCCCGGGTGGCTCCCATAGTAGTGGCTGGGCGGCTGCTGGAACTCGTCCTCCGGCCCGCCACCGTGATGAGCCTGGCCCGAAACATGTCCCTGTGCGTGCGTGCCGTCTCCGTAGTCCGTGTAATGAGATGCGTAATACGTGTGAGGGGGGCTGGACATGTGATCGGCCGTATCACTGGCTCCGGGGTGGCTCCCGTAGTAGTACTGGCTCGCTGGTTGATGGGGCTCGCCCTGCTGCTGGGCATCTTCCGGGTGCATTGCGTCGTGAGGCTGGCTGGCGTGTTCAGTGCGAACGGCCTCGTCCTCGTGGCTGAACATGGCCGGCTGGCCTGCGAGTGTTGTAGATATGTCGGCCCCGCTCGTCTCGGCAGAGCTTGCCGCGTAGGTGGTAGACGATGAAGGGGGTTCAATGTCGCGCGGTGTCTCTGTGAATGCGGATGACGAGGCGGCCTCGCCGTCCTGAACCGTTTGCGCCGGGTATGTGGACGGCTCGACGTAGCTGTCGTGGACTGCTTGGCTTGGGTATGTGGACGGCCCGAAATAGCTGTCGTGGACCGCTTGGCCTGGGTATGTGGACGGCTCGAAGTAGCTGTCGTGGACTGCTTGGCCTGGGTATGTGGACGGCTCGAAGTAGCTGTCGTGTACTTCTTGCCCTGGGTATGTGGACGACTCCAAGTAGCTGTCTCGGCCAGGTCTGTCGTCGGCTGCTGTATCGCCAATGTCAAGTGAGTTCATCTGGTCCTCCAATGTTCTGCTGCTGTGGTCGGCTTGCGCTCTTTGCCCCCCGGTTGCTCTCGTGCCCGCAATGCTCTGAGACCGTTGGCTGTGGCTGACAGGGCACGAACTCTCCGATTCTTGATTCTGCTCACAGACCAACTTTTGCTCTACCTCGCTGCACGATACCCATTCTCCATGCTTTCTGCAAAAGTAGCCCCATTTCCCGCCACATTTCAGGCCTCTCCAGTGTTGGTACTCTGCACTCCACCGCGCGTGGTCCTTTGATTTGGCATCCTCGGGTTCCGGGCGAGGCAAATATTTCAGGTCTGGCCATTTCTGGCGAATGTTTTCAGAGTTGAACATGCCACATCCAATCTGGTTATTCCCACACTGGCGGCCTAATGAGCAAGTGTTGCAGGTGGTGAGCTGTAATTAGAGGGGGGCATGGAAAACCTCGACATACGTTGAACTCGGTGTAGGGGTCACAGTGGTCCTTTTTCCCCGACTTCGATCCCTTCTTGTTCCCGTGCCGGGATTGCTGGGACCGCGACATTCTGTTGTATTAGGTTTACGTAGGCTGTAGAGACTACACAGGTCTCGAGTCGGTGGCAGAACAAAGCCACGCGGGCGTATTAGCGCAGGCAGATTTGATGCGGCTATCGTGTCAAGCCCGCCCGCCCAGTGCCTCGACTTGGAATTTGCTGGTAAATGTGTGAATTTAGGCTCTCTTCATTGGGAAGACGGCAGGTATTGCGTGGGGAAGGCAGATGGTGTGCAGCAGCGGGGTTGCTTCCTTCCTCGTCCGTCTTGTTGCTCGCTTCGGCTGCATCCCTCGTGTTTTTTAAGGCCAGCCCAGGAGCACGCACGCCGGTATTAAGTACCTGGTACTGCACCCCCCTGTAAGGTTAGAGTCGCGTACTTCGAGGTGGTGTGCGCGGTGCCTAACCCACTGGACCGCCAGCCCAAGACGCCATTCTAGGGGCCACAAGCTGTCAGGGAGATACGGCGAGGCCGTGGCCGCTCTGCCGGCAAGTATCCATGTGTTTTGTTTTGTTTTGTCCCATCCAATCAATCACATCACAGCGGAAGCGCTGCAGACTCGAAGCCATGCCGAAATACAACCCGTCTCAGGCGAAGCCGGCACAAGGTTGACCGATACTCTAGCATCAGTACTACCAAGACAAGGCAGACGCTGACACCTTTTGTCCTTTATCATGCTTGTCTACGCCGTCAGCTAGGCGTCAAGGGCTGGAGATAGGGCTTTGTGATACCAACGGTATGTGATACCAACGGTACGGTTGTCAGGTGGCTGAAAGTCTTGCTGCAGTGCCAAAGATGCAAAGACGAAAGGCAAAGACGCAAACCGCAAGAGGGCAGGATCCTGCCACGCCAGCGATACAAAAATGCGCCTAAGGGTTAGGGCTAATTAGATAGTTGCATGACGTATCACGTCAGAATCGTCCAATCCATTGGATGGCAATTTTCCCCCAGAAAGCCCCAGTGACTTCTGCCTAGGTTGCCTTTTTCCTCTTCGCTAATTGGAGGGCCTACGTAGCCGAACTCCGGGAGATGTCAGGTGGGTACCGCACTAGTCCAGCACTATGAGTGGGCGCCCTGACTTCTCTTGAGTCTGGGTGTAACTCGAGTTCAAGCTTATTAGTAAGGCTCTGCAAGTCGGAACTATGGCATCAGACGGCAGCCAATGTGGGTCTTGGATAGCGACGCAGGCACAGCCCCGGGATTCGGGGCGAGCGCGCCCGTGCTGAGCGGATTCGGCGAATGCACCTCACCAGACTCCGGGCTCGCAAGCTCCAAGCCTGTCGTTTTCTCCGCCTGTTCCCAGAGAAGAGCATCTGCAGCTTTTCGCCCAGCACAACCTTCCTATTCTTTTCTTTTCGCTCCTCTCTCTCCCAATCAACAAGACAGCCCCGATCTAAATTCGCATTTAGATCCTAGAATGGATCAACACGAAGAATCACCCGCCGCAGGCGCACCACCGACACCGCCACCGCCCACCACAGACCCAGAAAAATGCCGGAAATTATCTCCGTGGGTCCCAATGGTATCCATGGCTTGGGTCTGTTTCTTTGGCGTCTTCGTCCAGGCGCCGTTTGTGCGCATCTACGGCAGCGTCCTCTGCTGCGAGCACGTCCGCGGCCGCGACTGTCTCTTCGGCAGCCTCGAGGACGAGAGCAGGTGCAGACACGTCCCGGCCGTGCAGGCCCGGCTGGTGGAGATCAGCGCCGGGCTGGTGTTCTGGGGGGGTTTCGGTCTCATCAGCGCCCTCTTCTGGGTTCCCGTGTGGAAAAGGTATCGTAATTACCTACCAGCCATCCTCCCATAAAACCCCACAGGCTCGGCCCCGGTGCGAACGGTGCTTAGGATGTGCAGTTTTGACTCTCGGCGTCTCTAAACTAGGGTGGGCGTGCAAAAGGGTCTCTTCTGGGCTCGCTTCTCGTCCGTTCTTGGGGAAGTCGTGCAGGCCGCGATTGCCTTCACCAACGGGAGGATCCCTCTCGGTGTCATTGTCTGGTTGTCTCCGCTCGTTTCATCCTTGTCCGGCGGCGGAGGCATCACTTTCATGGTCCTGACGACAACCGCGGCTGCAGGCCAAACAAGCCCAGGCAGCAGGTAATCAATTAGAACCTGACCGTGTATTTTTTTCTTCTTCTTTTCTGGCCTTCTTCGCTCCTGTCTCTGACAATCGCGCTTCAGTAGATCGAATGCGATATTCCTACTTGACGCGTTATTGCCCAGCTTGGCTGGAATCTCGGCGAATATGATTGTTGGGTGGTGTATGGCGACCTTGGGCCCGTGGAAATGCCTCTGGCTTGGCCTTGTATTCACCATACTCGGCACTCTACTCCTTCTGCCCCAGGCCTGGCAGTCAAAACACGGCTCTCCCAACACGCAAATGTGCATTTGCGCTGCCGCCATCGACGTGTTCAAGTCTGGTTACAGTCTTTTAATTTCCATCTTCCAGCTCGAGGCCCACTGCACACTCGTTCCTCACAACCGACGACGCCTTGCTATTTTTGTGCTGCTGCCTTCACTCTTCTCCAACGCAATGTCTTTTTCCATCTCTACGCTGAGCAGGTTGTATATTCCCCCACGATTCGATCTGTCCGTCGGCGACGCCAGTCGCATTCTCGGCTGGGCCGAGATTCCAACATTCGTCATTATTTTCATCACCACCCTCTCCACCATGCTCAAGGCAGTGCCCCGAAGGGCATCGCCAGCTCTCTCAGCAGGTGAAAGCGGCGCGGACGTGAAACGCGATATCGTCAAGGTCGCTCTTTGCCTCTTGGCCGGTCTCATCGGCAGTGTCCTCCTGGCCTCCGCCACTACAGTCACCATGTTCGCGGCGGGCCTCGTAGCCGTGTTTCCGTCAGTCTGGTACACGTGCTTCACGCGATCGATTCTTACGACAATCGGCAAAGCCGAATCAGCGACCATGGACTTGCTTTTGCTAGACCAAGTGCTCGAGGCGTTTGGCAGGGTGGTGTTTGTCAAAGTAATCGAGTACCTCTTCCACCGTGGGTTAAAATACGGGTGGCCGCTGAGCTCGCCGTACTGGGGAGTTTCAATCATGTGCTTGTTGGCATTGTGTTTCACTATCTGGGCTCGATTTGCTCTTGGAGACCAGGCGGCGGAGGAGGGTCCCGTGGATGAGTCTGGGACGAGCAACGATACAGACCCAACCGAATCGTCTCCGCTGATTGTGCCGGATCGAGAGGATTGAAACCCGTAGGGTGTGTGCATAGCATATGTATATTACTTTGTCTACTCTGAGAGTGACTTACACATGTTGGAGTTATCACCAAAAGTGAAATGGCTTACACCCACCACCACCACGCACACACTAAATGACCACTATCAACCATCTACCACGGCCCAGTAAAATGTCAAGCAATTGCACGGTACCTGAAGAGGGCATATGTGAACCTCTTTACCTACAAGTTTGGATACCAGCTGGTAGGATATACGATACCTAACAATTAGGGTTTAGGGGCCGGGCGACAAGGGCTTATTTACACCCGGCCCCCACCACCAGCTTCCTGCTCACGACCCCTTCTCCTTTCCCTTTCCGTCTTTCCCCGCACTCGAACTCTCCACGTCTGCATCTCTACGTCTGCATCTCCACGTCTGCATCTCCACCCCCCCTCTTTCCCACCCCGCCGCCCTCGCCGGCGCACCGTCCTGATCCGTATGAGGACATGCTCTGGTGCAGTGATATCATCTGCTCAACGAAATGCGCCGTAAGAGAAAGGTGTACCCGAAAAACACAGGAAGACGAGAACCTACTTGAGTTGTTTCGGCATGGGATAAATGAAGAGCAGAAGATGAAGAGGCAAAATCGGACATCCGAGATGCTCATAGAGGGGTCATTGGAGGCGGATCAATGCACTTGTCCTTGTGTTTGTGGCCATCGCAAAGTGAGGGCTTCTACATTCGTACTAGAGGGTAGGTAAAAGGCTTCTTTCCATTGCGCAACGGGCTTTGAGCAGTTTGTTCACCACACTAGCAATTGAGCCCATCTGGCCAAGGCTCACCAGGGCAGCCAGGGCTCTAAACCAAGGGCGTTCACAACTCTGGGCAACTATCTACAGCTTTACTACTGCCACACCTGCAAATAACTTCACCCGCACATCGTTCCAAAATTTTAAGTTATTAGAAATCTGCTCTACGAATACTATTTCCTCCATCTCCTCCAGCTCTTCACAAGTATATCGTAAAAAACTCAAGTAATATTTATGTTAGCTATGTAAAGACTAAGGTGAGATGGCTTTTAATTAGTTACCCATCACCACGCACACACTTAATAAGATGAGCATAGTTAAGTATTTGCCAAGGTGCAGCAAAAAGTGAAGGAGTGAGCTATTGATTCCCCAGTGAACCGGTCTGAGCTCTGATTGCTCACTTCGCCCAGTGTGCTAATTGGTTGCACATTTGGCTTGGTAATATCGTATTTGCTTTAATCGTGTTGTCGGTTTTCCCTTGCTGCGAGCCATGGTTCAAGTAACACGAATGGAAACCAGAGAACTTAGTGTAGATGCAAAGGTGTGAAGGAGGATTCCTTGTCCCAACTCGGCAAAGCACTACGAACAACCAAATCCTACGTAAGCGACGCTCGCACTCGCACACATCATCCGATGCAGTGTGGGGGCCCCATAAACAGGATCCACCCTCTACGCAGGGAATCACACGTTCGTTAGTGCGTATCGCAAGCAGTGTGCATGCTTGCCAGGTACCCCGTTCCTAGGTTGGACCCAGCACAGCGCAGCGCAGCGGAAGCGGATCTCGGATTCGTCGTATCGAATACGCTGGTCGGGACTGGGTCAGCTGACGCGCGTTGATCCGTTCAGGATCGAAAGAGCTTCAAGTCGCTCGCATGATAAAACGCTACGTCAAGGTGGTAATTAATGCAACCAGTTTCGCCTCCGCGTCTTGCGAAACCACACGCCCAATAAATTCGCCACCTGCACTCCCGTTTCCGTACCACGTCTCCAGGTCTACACGTGTACATATAACGGTCTCCCCGCAGTCCGCCAGTGACAGGCTTATCTTGACCGCATCCGCAAATCCAGGCTAGTCTGAGTTGACTCACAACACCCAGAACGAGATGGACACCACCGCCGCGCCCCCTGCGATCCAGGTCATCGACAAATCAGACCACACGGACCAGCGCGTGGTGGCGCTCTCTGACCATGTAGCGGCGCCGCTGACGGCGGCCGGCTCGGTGCGCGTGCGCAGCCGGCTGCTCGCCCTCACGACCAACAACTTCACGTACGCGATGCTGGGCAGCATCCCGCCGCTGTCGTGGCACTACGTGTGGAAGATGCCTGCGGCGCTGCCGGCGCCGTTCAACAACACGGAAAAGTACTGCCGCATCTCGGCGTGGGGGTACGGCGAGGTAGTCGAGAGCACCGTGGCCGGGCTGCCGGCTGGCACGCAGCTGTACGGGTACTGGCCGCTGGGCACGGCCGCCGAAGACATGCGCGTCGAGCCCGGGCCTGCCGCGGGCATGTGGCACGACACCAGCGAGCACCGCAGTCGGCTGATCCCCATCTACAACCGCTACACGGTGGCGGCGGCGGGCGCCACGCGCGGCAGCAAGGGCTGGGACGCGCTCATGCAGCCGCAATTCGAGACGGCGTACATGCTCAACCGCTTCGCCCTGTCGTGGGACGCCGCCGCGTCGCCGCCCATCCACCCGCTCGGCGGCAACCCCGCGCCGGGCCTGATTCCGGACCCCGCGTGGACGGCCGAGGACGCCGACGTCGCGGGCGCGCTGGTCGTGCTGCTCGCGCCGTCGGGCAAGACGGGGCTGGCGCTCGCGCACCAGCTGCGGCACGGGCGGCCGGCGGCGGCGCGCCCGCGCAAGGTCGTGGCCGTGGGCTCGGAGCGGTCGCGTGCGTTCACCGTTGAGACGGGCTTCTTCGACGACGTGGTGCTGTACGACGACGTGGCCGACGCTGCGGTGCTGGAGCGGCTTACGGGGGTTGTGGAGGATGCTGGCGGCGACGATTCGGTATTGGCTGCGCAGGCGGCGGGTGCGGGCGCGGGCGCGGGCGCGGGCGCGGGCGCGGGCCAGCCGACGGCGGCGGCGAGCGCGAGGAAGAAGACCGTGCTGGTCAACTTTGGCGCGCGTGGCGATGCGGGCGAGAAATGGATGGAGGCGTTACGCGCTCGCTGCGAGCGGCTGCAGGTCGTGGTGGTCGGCTCGGAGCCCGTGGCCAAGGCGCGCAGGGTGCTGAGCTTGCTGACGCAGGAGGAGGGCAGCGGCGTCGTGCAGACCAATGCCGGCGGGCTGCGCGAGAAAGCCATTGCCTTGTTGAGCGCTGCTGTGTACCTCCCGCAGCAGACCGCCGCGTGGGAGGGGTTCAAGGCCGAAGGCGCTGTTCCAGGACTGCGTTTGGAATGGGGACAGGGTCTCGACGCTCTCAGCCACAGCTGGGATCGTCTGGCCAAGGGAGAGTATGGGCCAGAGGTTGGGTTGGTGTATGAGGTGTAGAAAGTGGAGCGTTGGTTCGATTTCAATGTCAAGTATTCCATAATCGTCGCCGAGGCGCAAATTGGTTTTGGGATCCTAAACCACTGGCTACATTGCTGCAGTCTAAGCCACACAGACACTCGCCACGGTACGTGACTTCTTCAGGCGTTCACAAATGAGGCGAGACATTCTCTGACCGTTTTTCAACCGACAGCCTGATCATGCAATCGTTTAGACTTACCAGTAGTGCTTTGCCATCCCCTGCAGCTGCGCAGAGAGTAGTGTCAAGGTCAAGCGCAAGGGCGGAGTAGTGGCCCGAATCTTCCCAATCCCGGGCACTTGCCTCCAAAACATCCTTCAAGCTAAGGCTTCCTTTGTTTTCCAGCAAGTGGCACCATGGTATGTACCTGCCTAGTCCGCCAGGTGAAAACGGCCTCGTGTCTGGAAAAAGGTGCGTTGTTCCAAGCACTATGATCGCTCTCTTCACAACCTGCGCACCGTCATGAGGCTTCGCCTCTCTTGTTGTGACCAAAATAGACGCAGCCCCCATTCGGTGTTTGTGGGGTTGTACGTTGTGCTTGTCGCAACAGTGCTCTCTCTGCGCGGTAACGAAGTGGAGACAAGTGCGGTCCCACGAATCTGCGGGGGCTAGGTCCGAGACGGTGATGATAACTTCCCGTGTCTCGCATGGTGAAGGAACGAGCAGGAAATTATATTCAGAAGCGGGTGAAAGGGTCGGCAGGCTGAGAAGTTGGGTCTGAGGCGAAACCTCCGTCACGGCAGTTCTCAGGAGCACAATATCCTGACGCGTTAAGATTTGGTTCTGGAAAGCTACAAGATTGGTCATTAGCCTTCATGGTAAGAGGATTGTGTGTAGGGTAGGAATAACACACCATAGAGTGGAGTCAAAAAATCCGAAGTAACAGGACCTTGAGCAGTATCTGGGGATGCCCCCGCATTTCGAGTTTTGTTCCTCGGAAACAAAGCAATTGCCCCGGGGGAAAATGTCGACATTTTTGCTCCGTTCAAGACCCGATAATACAATGGCCTGCCGGTGGCTGATTTCCCACGCTCGGTAAGAATTAGCGTAGGATACGTTCCGGGGATAGGCCCAACTTGGCAAGCCAGAACAGCCACGACACTTTTTTCTCCAGTGAGTTGGCGAACAGAATCCCCAGAGTCTTGCCGAACCATGACTGTAAGCCTCAATCCCTCCTTGGTGAGAGAAGTCGTTTTCCTCCAGGTCGGGAGAAAGGGCCGGGAGTAGGCATGCATAGAAATGCATCCTGATAGGGCGAAATGACGGGGCGACGGGGCAAGAATGTCGTGAAACATCAACGTGGGCCATGAGAGGGACCTGGACGGTTCGCCCAGCCAATACCATGCCAGGATGGACTGTTCGTCGGATATTTTAATGATCTCTTCTTGTAGACGCCGGAATGCCCGAGATCCTTCGCCGTATATCAGGGGCATGTTGATGTCAAAGAGTCCCATCAAGCAGTAAGCTTCGTCCTCAACTCGGCTTGTCGTCCGTCCCGAGGCCCAGAACATCTTTCTTACCACGCTGACCGAGCTTAGCGGGAGTTTGTGTACTAGAACCATTTCGTCAACGTTGCTGGCTCGACATATCAAGGCCACGAGGGCCTCGTCCTTCTTTTCCCCTAGAAGCTGCCACTTGCTAGAGTAGAACTCGACATGGTGGGGAGCGATCAGCTCCTGTAGCGTCCACCCCCTGGTGAACCACCTCGCCTTTATCAGCCCCTACACGTCGTCGACGTCGCAGAGGTAGGCGTAGCAGGTTCGGGCGAACTGGTACCACTGGTACATGGAATTGATGGCCTCGGTAAGCTCGGCGCTGCTGGACTTGTCGATGCAGCACGTGTCGATCCAAATGTAGTCAAGATGTTGGCTAGCGGCAAGCGCGCAAGCCGCCTCGACCTTGGCAAATCCGGCCCTTTGTCGAGCTTTAGCAAGATCGGCCATGTCGGAGAAGAGCACCTCGTCATCTTCCCACGTATGCGACAGGATGGAATAGGGGGGGAATTTGTCGTCAAGGTTAAAGAAAGACTCGAGCTGCAGGGTGCGAGTGTTGAGGAGCTTCATGGTGGGAGAGAAGCGCGTCAATTGATCTGCGGGCGAAGGTACTTTGACGATGGTTGCCTCTTGCGAAAGGCGGAAAGAGCAAGACACGCAAGCGGGGAGAGGGGAATATGACTGCAGCCTTGGGTCACAGGACGATTTCTGATTAGGTAGTTGGAAAGAGTACTGTAGAGTAGAGCTAACTGACCCGTCGCTTCCTTTTCCGGGAGTGCACTGCTACACCGATGCTGCGCAGCCCGGGCGCAGCTGCCTTATACAGTCCATTTATTGAGACCAGTGAAACCAAGTCCGCGGATACAGAAAGAGCTCTGACCCCCCACTGCAAGAGACTGGACTCGAAATGACGCCAATAACAATGCACCATCAGGCGCTCGACACTGCAAGAGACCGGGCTCGAAATGACGCCAATCACAATACATCATCAGGCGCTCGACACCGCAATCGCGCGCCGAAACACATCGGCAAACCGCCAAACATCCACAAAAGAGCAGTACATGGGAACCGGCGCGACGCGGATCACGTCGGGCTTCCGCGCATCGAACACGACGCCATTTTGCACGAGATAGCGGCTCACGCGGTCCAGCAAGCCTGGCCGCAGTAGCAGCAGGCTCAGCTGCGACCCGCGCTCGGCCGGGTTTGCCGGCGTGATGATGCGAAACGCGGGCTGTCCCGCAACGTGACCATTGCCAGCAGACGACGGCAGCGACGTCCCCAACAGATGCTCCGCGTACGCCGTCAGCAGCAGCGCCTTGTCGCGCAGCGCCGCCATGCTGGTCTGGCCAAACACGGACAGCGCCGCCGACAGCGCCGCGAGGTCGATGGCCGACGGGTTCGACAGCTGGTAGCCGGGCGCGCCAGGCGTCGGCACAAACGTCTTGGCCATGTCGAAGCGCACGCTCTTGTCCGCGCCGTACCAGCCCGCCAGCCGGTGCCGGAACTGGCCCGCGCCCCAGACGCTGCTGCCGCCTTTCGCCTCTCCGTCTTCCTCCTGCGGCCCGTCGCGGCCGTGGTGCCGCTCGTGCACGAACGCGCCGGCGATGGCGCCCGGCCCGGCGTTGAGGTACTTGTACGTGCACCACACAGCGAAGTCGACGCCCCACTCATGCAGCCGCAGCTCGACGTTGCCGGCCGCGTGCGCCAGGTCCCAGCCCACCACGGGCACGCCGCGCGCCTTGGCGTGCGCCGTGATGCGCGCCATGTCGAGCAGCTGGCCCGTGTAGTACTGGATCCCCGGAAGCAGCAGCAGCGCCGCCGAGTCGGCGTGCTCGTCGATGGCCGCGAGGACGGCCGCTGTCGCCAAGTACTGGTCCGCGTCGGGCTGGATCTCCACCATAGACGTGGCCGGGTCGAGCCCGTGCCAGGCGATCTGCGACTGGACGGCGTACTAGAGCCAAGGCAAAAGCATCAGCCTGGCACCTGTGTTGATCACGGGGGGGTGGGGCGCAGCAGGCTCACCCAGTCGCTGGGAAAGGGCCGCCACTCGAGCAGGATCTTGTGCCGCTTCTCGGTGGGCCGGTAGAAGCTCGCCATCATGAGGTGCAGGTTCGTCGTCAGCGTGTTCATGACGACGACCTCGCTCGCCGAGGCCGCGCCCACGATGGGCACAAACTTGCGCCCGCACTCCTCGGCCAGGTCTTGCCAGCTCGCCCCCAGGGGTGAGTTTTCCAGAGCCGTAAAGTGACCATTCACCCCGAGCGACGCCCACGTCTCGAGCTGTGCGTCGACGTGCGCCTGTACCGCTCGTGGCTGTGCGCCGAGCGAGTTACCGATCAGGTAGACAGACGGATCATTGTCGTCGTTCCCGTCTTTTTTGTCTCGGTGGCTGCTCTTGGTTGAGCCGTTTGTCCTTGGGCGCGGACTTGGCGCGTCTGTTGATGCATTGTCAGCAACCGAAACATCAAGGTGGTAGCGCGGTTTGACCGTTTCAGTCTCCCACTCAGTGTCACCTTGGGACGCAGCTACTTACCTGGAACAGTACCATCCAGCGCCCTCTTCTTGAGCGACGCCCTGGTCGGGATAATAAACTGTTCCCGGAGATGGCTGAGCCCGTCCTGAGCGTCCAGTGCGTCTGCGTACGCAAAGGAGTCGGCATCAGGATGGAAGTCGGGAACCCGGCCTGCCCGGAGGATCTTAACCAGGGTCTGGAAGTCCATTTTGAGTAACACGCTGCGAAAGTCGGTGTGCAACTATGGCACGATTGTCACCAGTTCAATAAAGACAGTTCTCTGCGATGCGACGTTGCCCGTCCAGCAAAGTGTCGAGGAGAATTGAGTCTCTTGGAGCCCAAGGTTGAACGGTTGGATCGGTTTCTTGAACCTCTTCCCGTTCGACAACGACCTCTCTGATCGACATTTATATCACCCTTAGCTGCGGCCCCGCTGCGTTGTTGGTTTGTGGCCCCGAGACCGGAAATCGAGGGACGGAAGCGCGACGGACCCACTTCCCGCGCTCCGTCCCCCCTGCCATCCGTCTTCCGTCCCGAGCCTAGCTAGGGGGCCGCAAAGAAAAAAAAGGAAAAAAAAGGTAATCTGCCAATCGTCAGCGTGCTCAAACCCCTGCAAGACCCCGGTCGAGCCATTTTCTGCTCCCGTGACGTTCCGTTCGTGCTTGCTTCCGTTCTGACCACCCTGGGTGCTGTGCAGGCTCTTGCGGACCTAGTCGTCGCCCCCAACACGGAGGCCAATGCGATCGTTTTCAATCCGGCATAAGGAGATAGTGTTGATGGCACAGGATAACACTACTCTCCACCTCTTGCAGCGCGGTTTAGCCAATGGTGCAGGGGTCTTGGGGAAAGGGCAGGGCTGTGATTAGCTAGAAGCCGACTGCGGTAGCGTCGACGTTGTTGGTTAGCACGGCTGGTGCAGGGTTTAATTTTCTGATTACGCTGTCCGGCTTCTCTCCTCCTCTTCCTCAGCGCGGTCTAGGAGCTTTCTATAGTCATTCGTCATTCGTCCTTCGGATCTTAGACCTCACTTATCCTCTGTACGCGCGGACCCGTCTACCTCGGCTTAATTCCATTCCCTCTCTAGTGGTGCTGTGGCGGATATAATATCCTCTTGTGTCGGCCGATCCTTCACTCTCTCTCCAGTCACGTCATCATCGATTTACCTCCCCGCCGCATTGTCTAGACCATGTCGATCCCCCCAGCGATGCCGCCGTTGCTTTCCAAAGATGCTTTCAGCCCTAGCCGCTACCGGGCCCTCTTTGCAGAGTACGCCATTTCCTCGAATGGGTTCCTGCCAGAGAACGCTCCTCTCACCGAGCTATCCGACCCCTACTACGGCCCCTGGGAGTCGCTGATAGCCGAGCTTCCTGGGTCGATAGAGAACAGGACGGTGCGCGATAAAGTCGACAGGCTGCCGGTCCTGTCGGCTGACCACTTGTCAACCGTGGTAGAATGGAGGCGGGCATATGTGATCCTGGCCTTTATCGCCCATGGTTACATATGGGGCGGCGACATGCCCAGCGAGGTGAGTAATATCTGACTTCGTTCGTGGCGATTTGTCACCCATGGCTGACTGCAACTCCAGGTATTGCCGCCGTCCATCACGGTCCCGCTCCTCCGGGCATCGGGCCGCCTGGGCCTGCCTCCGGTGGCAACCTTTGCGTCCCTGAATCTCTGGAACTTCCGGTCGAGCAATCCCACGCTCGGGTTCGCAGACCTCGACTCGCTGCACGCCTTGCACACCATCACCGGCACCGAGGACGAGTCCTGGTTCCTCATGGTGTCGGTGGCCATCGAGGCGCAGGGCGCCTACATGATCCCGGCCATGCTCGACGCGCTCGACGCAGTCGAGGAAGGCGACTACGCGGCCGTGACGCACGCGCTGCGCGAGATGGCGCGCTGCATCGGCCGCATCGCCGCGCTGCTCGAGCGCATGGACGACCGCTGCCGCCCCGCCGTCTTCTACCACCGCGTGCGCCCGCTGCTGGCCGGTAGCTGGAACATGGCCGACGCGGGGCTGCCGCGCGGCGTCTTCCTTGACGAGGGCCACGGCCACGGCGCCTGGCGCCAGCTGCGCGGCGGCAGCAACGGCCAGAGCTCGCTAATCCAGTTCATCGACCTGGTCCTCGGCGTCGAGCACACGTCGTGCGGGAACGACGCCGCAGCAGCAGCGAAGACAGAGCCACCCGCTGCTGTGCTGTCGCCGTCTCAGTCCGGCAACTGCCCGCGCGGCCGCGGCGAGGGCTTCCACGCCGAAGTCAGAGCGTACATGCCCGACCCGCACCGGCGCTTCCTCGACCACGTCTCGCGCATCCGCCCGGGCGGCATCCGCCAGGCCATGGCCGACTTGCGGGCCGCAGCCGCAGCCGCAGCCGCAGGCAGCAAAGTGGAAACCTGCCCGGCAGGCCCAAACCCAATAGCCCCCGGCGAGCTGACGCAGCTGCAGGAGGCGTTCCAGGGGACCACGCGCGCCCTGGCCGCGCTCCGCAACAAGCACCTGCAGATCGTCGCGCGGTACATCATCGTGCCCGCCCGCCAGCCGCCGCCGCCGGCTGCTTGTCCTATGGGAACGGCTGGTGGTAATGTTGGCAAGGGCGTAGTCAACCTCGCCACGGCCTCTTGGCGGAAAACGGCTGCTGCTGCTGCTGCTGCTGCGGAGGCAAAGGGTGGGAAGCGGTATTCTGCGGAGCTGGATTTGCTCAAGCTCACGGGCACGGGCGGCACGGCGCTGCTGCCGTTTTTGAAGCAGGCCCGCGACGAGACGTTTCGCGCGGGCGAGATGGTGTGATAGGAGTCGGGCATGGGCATGATACTGGGGCTGGGATTGGGACTTGGGCGGTCTTCTGGAATTCAACATTATCCATAGCGGATTAATGAGCGCGCTGGTTTCTTGGAGTGGCGAGTGGTGCGTTTCTCTGGGTGGAGGTTTGACTTAAGCAAGGCTATAGCACCTAGATCTAGACCAAGTCGCACGAGCGATTCTAGAGCCGTGGTTGCCTAGGTACGTAGACAGGAAGGAATTGGAACTAACAAGGGAGGCTGGATTTTCTTACACGTGTTATCGGATATTGGCGATTTGTTTACAGCCCATCGATAGGTTAAGCAGCCGAATTAAACTCGTGTCAAGTGACATGAATCAGGATAATTAGGATAATTGGACATCCACACACCCTTCTGCAACTATTTTCCAAAGATCTGCATTATTCTCACACACTTGCCAACTCCCCCAACCCCCTTAAATACATATCCGCAACACTCTAAACGCCGTGCAAGCTCTTCCCCCAACTGAGTCAACAAACAAAGAAACTCGCAACACTAAGCCCGACCAGTCAAGACCTTGAACAGCGACACATTGTTCCAGCTCCTGTTCCCTTCCGCCGCATCGGCAGCGAGTCCTTTGGTGACGGCCGCTGCCGCCGCCTCCGCCTTGCCGCGCGTCCACTGCTCGAAATCCTGCACCTCGCAGACACTCCGCGCCAGCGCCACCTCGACTTCGAACGTTGCCAGCTCGCCGCTAGCCCGCGCCTCGTGGTTGCGCTCGACTTGCTGGATTCTGTCTCAGTGGTCAGCACAAACTCAGACTCTTGTTGTTGTCGGTGGCCGGGAGAAAAGGAGACAGCAGAGAAATGGCAGGACGTACATGTTGCGCACGCCCGCGTTTAGGTACAGCAGCACGGCCGCCGCAAACGCCGGCACCGCGGGCATGGCCTTCCCCGTGGCGCGCCGGTACCCGTCCACCACCTCCTGCATGGTCGCCGCGCCCGACGTGGCCACCAGCGTCTTGTGCAGGTACTGCGCGTGGTTCTGGCCCGCGAAGTCAGCGGGCAAGTGCATGTGGAATTTGGCGGGATGGGGGGGCGACGTACCGCGAATATCCCCGCCGCGAGCTTGCCTATGTCGTCTGAGGCCTGGGATAGTAAGGTTTGTCAGTAATGCTAGAGGGTAGGTGGAAAGTCCAGTGGCGCATACAATCGGCAGGATGGTCGTGTCCTTTTTCAGCCCGTGGTGGAAGATGGCAGTCGTGATGGGCCCGAGCCCGCCCTCGAAGTTCTCCATGAAGATGCCTGGTCTCAGGAAACTGTTGGGCCGCAACACCGTGTCAGTGGCGTTTCGAAAGGGGTTGTATGCAAATGGAAATTGATCCAAAGAAGGATGATCGGAGTCGGCTAGAAAAGGGGACAGTAAACCCACGTCCAGTTCAGCCCCTGCGGGCCTAGCTCCGTCTGGCAGTAGTCCTCAATCTCGCGCTTGACCTTGTGCCCCGGCTCGGTCGTGTCGTCGATGTTGGAGCTGGTCGGGACCGTGCTCGAGTAGACAAACGCCGGTACGCGGAACTCCAGCGACAGGTTGGCCAGCAGCTGCACACCGTCGGTGTCATGTCAGCCTGCATGCGGCAATCCGCCCCCACCCCCGCCCCTGAGTCATTATCATGCAGTCTTGTTACCATGCCCGCCCGCACGGGGGGATAAGCCGAATGATGACAGACAGACAGGCGTGAGACGACCCGTCCTTTCGCGCACACTACCCACCTTGGCCTGGCCGCGCTCCTTGTCCGGCTTCGCGCCGAGTCCCTGAAAGGCAAACACGGCGAACACGCCATAGATGCCTGCGCCGCCGCGGTCGAAAATAGCGCGTATCGAGTCGGGTTCGTCCAAGTCGCCCTCGACGAGCTCGATGTGGCTGCCCGCGCCGCCGCCCGTATCTTCGGCCTCGCGCAGCAGCGACAGCGCCGCGGTCGACCCTGCGTTGCGCGTCAGTGCCCACACCGTCCATTCTTCGGACGCAGATGGTTGCGGGAGCCGAAGCAGGTGGCGGGCTGTCGCGCGGCCCTGCTTGCCGGTTGCGCCGGCGACGAGCACGATTCGCTTGCTCGGTGATGCCATTTGTGGTGCTGATATCGGGGGTAAGTTTGGTTCTTGGTGCTGCGAAGCTCAAATAGCGGTCTTGTGTTTGTGTAAAGATCTAGGTGGAGTAATTGCATGGAATGACAAAAGCGAGACGGAAAAGACGGAAAACAATGGGGTGGAGAAAGACTGCCGCGGATTATACTGTTAAGCAGGTGCCGTACCTGCCTGGGTTGTCTAGATTTGTCCACCTGCTCTTTCCGCAGAATTCCAGCTCCATTTCGGTTCCCGCACTGCATCGTGCATGGTCGCGTCCATATCCAAAAGGGGGCGAGGTACGGAGGTGCCTTTCAAAAGTTTTGCGCAGTGCCAAGAAAGCCACCCTCTTTAATTACATACGACCCTGGCCATCTTGGCCCCCTAGCTCCTTATTCTTTTCCGGCCCTCTCGATACTCGTTACCTCCTTCGCACTTTATTACCTGTTGTATATGCTCAACAATCCTTTCAATCCAGGCTTGAATACGCTGCTGAGTAAGTTTTTCGTTCCAGCAATGTTCCCATGCTCGAATAGCCTCAGCCCTGCTTTTTGGGGCTCCCTTTTTGGTTGTTTCTCTCTTCATCCAGAACCAACAAGGCTCTATCATATTAAGATCAGGTGAGTTACCTGGCCAGAGGAGGCGGAGTACCTGATGGATATCGTATATACGCTGTTGAGCGCGATGAGCGTGTGCGCCAGCCTTATCCTCCTGAACAAGCGTATTCGGCCCACAGCTTTTGGCGAAAGGGATAAGCTTTGGTATAAGGATCTTGGTTTGATAGCGATACCAGTCGATGCCTCCCTTGGATTCTCGTACGAGTTTGCCGTTCGCTTTGTTCCATCGCCATTGTGGTTTTCTGCCTCGTTTCGTAACCAAAGAGAGCCTTCCCATTTTGGTATCCAACTCCCACTCTTCACGCATTATTGGTTCCAACTCCTTATTCCATTCCTCAAGATCCTTCTCAGCTTGCTCCTTTTCAGCCTTTGTTTCCGGAAGCCAACAATGGCAAGGCCCCTTTTGATCGTACGAAAAGCAACCCCAAAACATAAACTCCGAATATCCTTTCCACCGTTCACGAATACAGCTTTTAAGAAAACGCTCATCAGCTTTCCTCCAAATACGATATCCTCCTCGGCGATGAAGTAATACAATAGAAGTTTCATCAGACCAAATAACACGTTTCCAATCTTCTAAAGTCCAATCTTTATGATCAAGACACCACTTCAGTCGTTCCTCCTTCATCTTCTTCGTCAATCCAGGCTTCCTCGTTGGCTTCGTTTTGTTGAATCCTGCTAATTTGAGGATCCTCCAGATTGTGATAGCTGAGATGTCGAGGCCCTCGGTACTGAGCTCACCGGCCAGATCAGCACAGGATTTCTCACGGCCATATCGATCTTTGCGAACCTTGGCGATAACCTTCTCGGTATTTTCGGGGGTGTGTTTTCGTGGACGGCCAGAGCGAGGGGCATCTTCAACCCATTCATCCTTAATAATTAAGGGCCGTATATTTGGATCAAATCCACGCTCAATAGCCCTGGCATATATTCGATTGACGGTACTAACGGAAACCCCGGTTTGTGCAAAGACATCGGCCGAAGAAAGGCCCACAATAGGAGATTTGAGGGTAACTATAAGCGCACGCATGGAAATATCTGTATTTGGCGACATCTTGATCGTTGTGTTGACTGTTGAGCTGTGGAAGCGGGGTTGAGGGGTAAGATTACGTGGCCAAACCAGATGTGGTGTGGTCGCTGATCATTCAGCTAAAGGGGTGTGGCTGGCTTGGCATTGCGCAAAACTTTTGAAAGGCACTTCCGTACCCCCCCACACTCACCTCACACACTGGCACTTACGCGCGTAAAGATCAGCGAATGAGCGGGGCACAAACCTGCCATCTCATCCATATCTTGCCCAGCAAAAATTCAACTTTGGCGGCAGGGCGCAGGAAGACACCAAGATCTCTCAGCCCTCGCAGTCTGGATGCGCGTATGCGTGTCAGCCACCGCAATACCCTAAACGCACAGCAGGTTGCCCCTGCGTCTTTGGGCCTCAAAGCCATGTATTCGAATGTAGTTTGTCGGGTCTAGGCAAGCCACATCGCTATTGAAACGGCGCCTCCAAATGCAATCAGCAGCTTCGCACATCTGGGCGTGTTTCGTGGGATAGGAAAATTGACGCCACAGGGCGCTGCGCCGCTCAACGAGATGGCACAATATAGTGCAACCACCCACACGGCTAGGCGGGAAGGATTTGTCCCGAAACTTTCAGACTTCTGAGGGGGAAATAACGCAGGTATCTCTACTAAAGAGAGTTGTTTGCCTGCATTGGCAGATGTGCTAGGCACAGGCCAAGCCTGGCCTAGCCTGGACCACTTAATGGTCCATGCACCACCAGCCTATCGCCATCATAGATTTCCCGCCTGCCGGCCGATACAGTTTAGCTTCCCCAAGCAATTCATCACCTTTCATACATCGCCGTGCCTCGCATAGCAGAGGCGTAGCACATTAAACTACGCTATTTTGGAAGTCAAGCCCCTCGCGGCTTTTACGTTCCTAAATACTAAAATAACGAATATAAATACAAAGATACTTTATAGATTCCTGAACTACTAATATAAAATTGACCTGTTTTGACGTATAGCTTTCTCTAACCCGTGATCAAAGTTGACAGTGGCTTGAAGGGTCGTGAATTGTCTGTCTCCATCCTATCTAATAATACAGGAAAGAAAGCCTTTTATGCTTCCAAGAAAAGGACAAAGGAACCCTGGTTCAACAGTCTGTTTAGTCGTACTACGTAAGGGACTCAGCCGTAGCAAGGGAGAAACAAGAGGGCATTCGGAAGTCCGGGAGCCCGAAAAAGAGACCAGGGCTGAAAGTAACGAATGAAGGGATACGCAGGGATATACAGGTATGTGACTTGATAATGTGGCTCAAAAGTGGCTCAAAAGTGGGCGACACTTTCCGATAAGATACCTCCGGAAAAGGGGCTACGAATATAGATCTAGTATAGAGTTGCCGCGTAAAAGGTTCTATCCCTGTCTCTCGTCGTAACCTACCCTCTTACCGCAACGGCGCCTGTGCCATCTGTCTCAAGGGTCTGGTTCTAGCCCCAACCCAGCCCAGCCTAGCAGGGCTGCGGCTCAGACAGTGATAGTAATTGTGGGGAAATTCCAGCCCTCGTGTTTGCTCCTAGATAACCCGTCCAATGTAGAAAGAAAAAAATTCCAAAAAAGCCGCGTCTTATTTATTTAATGATAATTAATTAGGGTCCGTAGCCCCGCCCCACCGGCCCACAGCACCCCCGGTATCACGGCTCAGTCAACGTAAAGAGACAGGGCTGCAGTAATCATCGCTGAATTCGTAGAATCTAAAGATGAAGAAGGAAGCTATGACGGGGACCGCGCAGGGCGCGGGGAAATGGGTAGTTGTGGGCCACGTGATACGTCAGGCACAGACCACACTCCAAACAGGAGCCTGTCCAGGCCATGCCGTGACACTACCCCCCGGCGGAAAAGCTTCGCCCCGAAGCTTACGTAATTTTCATGATCCATCAATCTATTCCGTAGTTGAAGACAGTCAGTTGGCCAGGGCTGTCAAGGGAGGCTGACAGTCCTGCATAGACTGCATGTGTTGTTATTGTACAGAGCTGTCAGAGCGCGTAGTGGCCTGACAGGGTGTTGTGACAGGACCGATATCTGATTACTCAGATAGGTCGTTGATGAATTCGCGATCCATACGGTCCTTCAGCTCGCGTAATTCAGCTAAAGTAAGGTATTCGCGACCAGGAACTGGCTTGGCAATGCCGTCAATAGGCTTGACTGCAAGGTCGAGAGAAGCAAGTTCGCCGATATCCATCGGGGTTGCATGGTTGTTCGATTGACCACCGTTGGAATGGCTGTTGTACGAGCCTGAGCCAGGGTTTCCAAGCTTCTGAAGTAACTTGACGAAGTCATCGTAGTTCTTGGGGACAATGACCTGGGTATCAAGCCGGGTACGTGTGACCTTGTTGAGTCCCTTGCGTAGTAGGGAGATCTTTGTGTTGTCAGGCCACGTGTTGGCTTTGGCCTTGTACATCAAGCGTTCGAAGCGCATAAGGAATGCCGCGACGCCTTCATTGTCTTGCTGTCGGCAGCTATGGAACTTGTCCTCTGCGTTCTGGACTTTGTTGGGATCGTCATGGAGTCGCTTGAGCTGATCGATCAAGGTCTGGGGATCGTAATCATCGTTGTCTTCAGCTTCGGTAAGCTGAGGCATTACGAGAGCCTGGACCTTGGTGTCAAGACGACCGTAGACGTAAAAGAATTGAGCCTCATTGTTGCCAATTGCTGCTCCATCGATACGAAGCTTTGCTTTGATTGACGGGAACCAAGTGTCCCAGTTGGTATCGGAGCCAGAGAACTTTTCGGTATCAGGAATGCCAGGCTTCGGGCGACTGTTCCGGCCCGATAGAATCTCTGTAAGCATCGTGATGTTGGTCTCCAGAGTCGTCAGTCTGGTCGTGAGGTTCTCGAGGGTCGCGTTGTGACCGTTGACGATGTGTTGCAATTGAGCGATCTGATCAGCCGGGGTCACGGCCATCGTGAGGATCAGGGTAATCGGCTGGCTTTGAAGAAAGGTCCGATTGCTAGGAAGGAAAAGGATGTCGAATAGAGGGTCCGCCGGTCCGCTGCCTGGCCTTGGATTCTACTCTCTTGCCGCTGCCTTGAACACACGTAGCTAGAAGCTCCCCAAAGGTGTAGCAGGGAAGATTTCGGTCATTACCAGTAACCTTGGCACTCAGGGCGTTAGGTCGAAGGTGGAGGTGGAAAAAAGCGGCGGATTCCGCTACGCGCGACCGTGGTCGTGCGAGCCACAAAGAAAACGCGGGTTCTTTCGGTCGATTGAAGAAGAAGGAGAATAGGATCCAGGCTTCGGTAAGGAAGGCCGTAGAAACGATCTTTAGATTATCACGGCTCAGTCAACGTAAAGAGACAGGGCTGCAGTAATCATCGCTGAATTCGTAGAATCTAAAGATGAAGAAGGAAGCTATGACGGGGACCGCGCAGGGCGCGGGGAAATGGGTAGTTGTGGGCCACGTGATACGTCAGGCACAGACCACACTCCAAACAGGAGCCTGTCCAGGCCATGCCGTGACACCCGGCCCCACCGACCCTGCCAACTCTGGTGGCCATCTGCCCCGAGGGCCCCGTCGCCGTCCCTTACGGCACCGCCCCCTAGGCCCTGTCCCCAGGGGTCCCGTCCACCCGGGCACCGCCGCTCGGGCAAGCACCTATTGGGACAGAGCCCCCAAGAACCGGTTCGCTACTACGAGCACACCTACGACCACGCCAATCACCACGACCACGACCACAACCACCGCCAATAACACCTACCCCGCCTTACCGATCTCGACCTCGAACCAACACTCCCCCTTCTCCACCCGGCTTAACGGCGCTCCGACGCCGACCTCCCTTCCCGTTGTAGGGTTCGATCCCCTTACCGACGTGACTTTACGTACGACGGTATACGACTTGACCTATTTAATACCTATTAACGTTAGTCTAAGCCGTAAGGGGTAAGGGGTAAAGGGGAGGGGGGAGGAGGGTTACTTACTTTCTTATCGGTAGGAGATCCGACGGTCGGCAGGGCAGGGGGTTACGCCGAATGTTTTCTACACACAGCTCAAATCCTGCGTGGAAGACAAATGTGAACACTGCATCCACAGCAAGGAACCGGATACGAGTGATCGGGATTAGGATACCAGGCGTAATTAGAGCCCAGCATGCCCAGAATAGCAAGCCGTGGTGTCGGGCCGTGTACCCCTTATCGAGGGCGGGCGATCTGGACGAAACGAGGGATAAAGCTACCATATCGTGGAATCTAGCTTGGACTCCTTCTTGGACTCTGGTACCGGAACAGAAACCTTCGGGACCAGGTCGGGCGGTTTCCCGCCGAGTGGTGGGTAAGGGAAGTGTGGCTGGACCAGGCTGGTTGTCAAAATGCTAGCCAAAACGTGTCTAAGGAGATGCGGAGGAGCTTCTCATGGAGATATAACGTGTTTTGAGGTCTTTGGGTTCATCGGACCTCGGATCCTGGGAAGTCAAAGTTTAGGAGTGCTAAGTCACGAAGCTTATAGACACGCATGTAAATCCTTATAAATTCTCGCCTCCAAGCCTCCGCCTCCAAGCCTCCGCCTCCGAACCTCTTTCGCCTCCAAACCTCTCTTGCTTCCAAACCTCCAAACGGCCGCACCATTGAACCGTCATCAAACAACTTCCTTCGCTCATAATGTTGCTGCCGCCGCAGGACCCATTGGTAGTCAGCATGGGCAACCCGAGAATTGCGAACGATCCGCTACCGAGGGAATACACCCGAGATTACACATTCGACGTGCGGCTTATTCCCAACACCGCAAGGCACAACCCGCCACTGGACTGGATCGTCGTGGCCGTTTTCAAGTGCCATGATCTGCTGCAGGTAATGCAGAAGGGCCTGTTTTGGTCGACATCCAACGTGGTGCCCGGCGATGCATATTTTACCATCATGCCCGACGTTGACATGTACACGGTCAAACGTGTATGGGGACTGCGCGAGTTCCCTGACAGGCCCAAGTCGCAGTCAAGCTGGGTGGCAGAAATCTCTCTGTATGCCTGCTCGATCCCAACCCTTGCGAACTTTCGCCTGCATCACCTGCACCAGCGGAATATCTCCTCCTGCGAAGCTATGACGGACGAGGGAGTGCACGTTTTTAAATATTCTCGCCTCTTTCCTCTCACAAACATCAACTGTTTTGCCGACGACCTGCATCCGTCCTATGGCTCGTGGTGGTTTTGGCCCATGGATACCGTCGTCGCGGACTGCGGCGCCTTGACTCTAGGGCCGGGGGAGAGAATGGAAGAGTACTAGGGGAAAGTGTGATTCCCCTCCCTATAGCCATAGGAAAGGGGGGAAAGGAAGCCTAGAGCAATTAATGTAATTTTTGCAATTCCATAAACACATAAATGTCGAGAGAGAAAGCAAAGAAATTGGTGATGGCAGCAGCAAAGCGGGCCGAGACATTTCATCTGCTCGGGCCGGCTCACGACTCCTCCCTCGTCAACAAAAGCCCTCCGCGGAGAAAGACGAGACGAAAACCGATTGTCGCCCAGCCGGGCAAATTCGACGCCGGCGGTTGCACCAAACCCTAGATCGGATGGGGCGCTAGGCTGGATTGGGAGTTTTCGTTAGCAAATACTGACGTATTTAATTACTGGGGGCCCTGCCGTCTTTTTCGTTCTTGATTTCAATCGGTAGTCGCAACTCTGCTCGTTGGGAAGGCGCCGCCGCGGTGCTGCGAGCCCACTCACCGTCTCTCGTCAGATCAAGTCAGACTGGAAGGTGCCAGCCGACCCAAGCTCGTGCGACCCGCACCTTTGGATACCAGAGCTCGGTCTTTTATTTGTTCTTGTCCGCCGGGCGGATGACGAGATTTTACTGATGGCTTGCTTGCTCACTCATTCAAAATGCGGCACGTCCTGTCGCGCGCCCGCCTGCGCGCGCGTTCCCCCTTTCCCTGCCGACGCACGTCTTTGAACTCTATTGCTGATCCACTTTGACACTGGGGTGCTCTTCCCTTGTGCCCGTCAACTTGTGGCTCCGCCCCCGACCCGCCCAGTGCCTTTTTACCTTTTACTGTGGAAACCGTTATGGAGCCAGCGCAGATCCGAAGCCATTGCACCAGTCTGGCACAGAGAACGAATCTCGAGGAACACCCCGTCTCCGTCTTGATCTTCGCCTTCCTGCCTGTTTTCCAGGCCTGGTCTTTCGGGCGTGGCGCAAGGTAAAATCGCAAAGACTGAAGCAACAATGCCGCTCCCACGGCCAACGCGGCTGTCGCAATGGAATGTGGATGTTGACCACGTGCTCGGCCCCATGGTGCCGGCGTCGGTGCTGCCGCACCTGCCGTCCGCGCTGGGGCACTTCCTCGGCCACCGTGACCCTGCCGGGCCCGTGCATAGGAAGCTCGGAAATGTTGCCATGGTCTTCTGGGCGGCCATTGGAGTCTTTTCTAGCCTGGCTACCATCGGCGTCGTGGCACAGCACATTCCCGCCTTCCAGAGCCGGCAGGTGCCGACCATCATAGGCAGTCTTGTACGTGTCTCTCTGTCTCACTTTCTGATGGTGGCACAATGGCTGACAGGCAGCAGGGCGCGGCCGCCGTGCTCGACTTCTACGCCATCGAGTCACCGCTGGCGCAGCCGCGCAACGCCGTGCTGGGCCAGCTGGTGTCATCGGTGATCGGCGTCGGCATCGCTAAGCTCTTCGCACTGAGCGCCCACTTCGAGGCGGTGCGCTGGCTGGGCGCCGCGCTGGCCTGCGCCGTCGCCACCGCCGCCATGGGCCTCACGGGCACCGTGCACCCGCCGGCCGGCGCCACCGCGCTCTTGGCCGTGCTCAGCGACGACTTTTTTCATCTCGGCTGGTTCCTGCTCGCCCCCGTCATGCTTGGCTGCGCGCTGATGCTCGCTGTCGCGCTCGTCGTGAACAACATCCAGCGCAGGTTCCCCGTGTACTGGTGGTCACCGGAGGAGACGGGGGGGTTCTGGCGGAGGGGACGCGAGAAGGGTGAGAGCGACGGCAGCGGTGGCAGCAGCAATGAGGGGGATAGCCGGCGGGATCTGGATGGTGCTGGTGCCGGTGCCGGTGCTAGTGCTGCGTCAAGGCCGGGGGACTTGGAGTCATCGGTGACAGAAAAGAAGCCCAACGGGCGGAGAGTGATCATTTCGAGAGACTTGGTCCAGGTACCGGACGACATGGACCTCACCAGGGAGGAGATGCTCTTTCTCGAGGTTATAAGTCAGCAGTTATGATTAAGCACTCAGGCGAGGGAATGCGAATAAGGTCGTGCAGAATACACCACGTTTCTTGGTTTGGAGGGAAACATGGTAGGGCCTAGGAGGGAGTGACTTCAGCGCCGGCGCACCTCGAAACCCATGCAACGAAACAACCAAAAAACATGACCCAACTGTCCTAACCCAACAGATTGGCTCACGCGCACAGCAAGAGAATACAGTAGAAAACACACCCGGGGCTTTGTGGACTGGGCTGGCGAAACCACGGGCCCTAGTCCGCTGTGACCAAAATCGTAAGGTGCTGTCTTTTATTGACCAGGGGCAGATTCACAATCCCAGCGGCTGGGCTGGGCTGGGCTGGTCTGATTGTGGCTGTCTGTCAGTCTAACGGACAAAAGAGGGCTGAATGATGAGATTGAAAGCAGCTGAATCGCAAAGGCAACGCTTGATCGACGCCAACGGGTGAAACTTTACACACGCACATGGACATTAGCCAGACAACCAAAGCACACTGAACAGCAAAAAACACTCGATTTTGATATGCTGGTCGGATCTACCTAGATACAGAACCTACCTATATACGTACGTAACTTAGTGATCAAGAGACAAAGCCAAAGTCAAGACCATTCCGTGTTCCTTAATGATGATAACTGCCTTTATAGATGTATAGATATAATGATACCGTTAAATAATCATCCCCCGCAGGCGCCGCAAACAAATACAAGCCATTGTCCCATTGAAAATTCAACCTCCCAGTTCCACCAGGAATCCCTCCCTACGCAGAAAACTGTCGCTGCTCTCCGCAACGAATGCCTCGGCCTCACTTCCCCGGCCTCGCCGCGAGGGCGCTCGTGACGGCCTGCGCGGCAACCATGCCCCAGGACTGCAGGCTGGTGCAGGCCTGGTCGAGGCGCTTAAGGCGGAAGTCGTCGGTCTGGGTGAGCATGCGCTTGATGAAGGCGATGCCCTCTTCGATGAACAGGTCGTCGGAGGCGACGAAGGCGTCGGGCCCGCGCTCGAGCACCGTGACCTTGTGGGCGAGCAGCACGACCAGCGTGGACAGATATGTGCAGATGACGCCCCTGAAGGCCGCGACAAAAAGAGAAAAAAAAAAGTCAACATGTTGCTCCGTGTGGGATTCCATTTTCCGGGGGCGCGATTGCTGCCGCCGCTGCCGCCGCGGTAGGTGCTTCGGGCGACAGGATCAGCGCGCACGCATCTTATACGTACCACATAACGGCTGTGTCGGCCTGGTCCAGCAGGCGGAACAGCTCCATGCAGCGCCGCGCCGAGTCCACTACGAGCGCCCAGCTCGCGGGCAATGGCGAGACGAGCTTCTCGCCGCCGCCGCCGGGCCCGTCGTTGTCGCTGCCGAGAATCCCCTGGTTGAAGCCGTCGGGGGCGTCGGCGGCGTACATCCTGCTGTAGTCGGTGAGCTTCTTGACCCAGTTGCGGTCGTGCGAGTCGACCTGGTGCGTCATGAACATGCAGTGGTAGTAGGCGAAGTGCATGGTGGTGAGGTGGCGGAGGGTGGCGTGGTCGCCGCGCGCGGCGGGGAACAGGCGCTCGGGCTGCAGGTCGTCGGGGATGGCGTGCTTCCAGGCCAGTAGCGCGCCCGAGAGCCGGTCGCGGTACGCCTGGCGCTCGTCGGCCGTCATGCGCTCCGCCCGCACCGAGTACACCCAGTCGTAGACCTGGCCCTGGATCTGCGCCAGCTGGATCCGGCCCCGGAACAGGTTGAACCACGTCGTGGCGCCGGACGGCGCGATGTTGCCGCTGTTGCTGTTGACGCTGCTGTTGCTGCTGCCGACGCCGCCGTCAGAGTCGATCTGGCCTAGGGTCGGTATGGCGCCGACGCGGTCGGCGGCTAGGCTCGGCAGGTCGCAGTCAAAATCGTAGTCCTGCAGTAGGTAGGGCTCGCGGGCGCGCATGGTGACGTCCTTGTCGAGGACGTAGGTGACCCAGAAGACGCGGTTGCTCTCGAGCAGGTCGTCGGGGCTCATGTACTCCTTGCCGACCTTTGTGTGAAGGCGCAGCTTGTGCACGAGCTTGACTGCGGTGGCGATCAGGACCGAGGACGGGTGGGGGTGGGCGGTGCCGAGGAACAGGATGACGAGCCCCAGGACAACCTGGATGCCCTTGAGGTCCTGGTCCCACATGACGAGCGTGTTCATGGCCGACTGGGCATTGCCGAGACAGCGGTTGAAAAAGTGAATCTCGTCAGTTCTGTCGACGGTGAGGCTCGGCAAGTTAGGGTCGCGGTGACGGATGGACAGGGCCAGCACGACGTTGATGACGGCCCAGGACGTCTCGTTGCGCAGCAGCGGCTGTGAGTAGTGCTCGTGGAGCATATCCATGAATTTGGCACGGAGGAACAGGGGGACGATGTGGTTGAAGTTTGCAAAGTAGTCGTCGACTAGCGGCAGCACGTCGACCAGCGGCGGTAGGTCGAGGGTGGCGCCTAGCTCGATGTCCGTCTGCGGCAGGTCCATCGAGTGCAGGTCGATGTCGGTCGTCTCAGGCATGCGGGGGAAGAAAGAGTTGTCGCCACACATGTCGGCCTGTGCGGCCCACGCCTGTGTTGAAGCTGTTATTGGGTCATTGTTGTTGTTGTTATTGCTGTTGATGTTGTTATTGCTGTTGATGTTGTTGGGGGGTTGGGGCTGGGGTTGTCGGGAGGCGTCTGCGAGTTTTGTTTCGAGCAGAGCTAGGCGGTATTCCAGCTCCTCGTTGTTGCGGATGGCGGGACTGACAGTACTCCTTGGCTTGCGCTGCAGGCCGGGCGTCCACATGCATTCGCGCTTGTAAATGGAGCAATGCGAGCATGTAGGCCGCTCGGCATCGCACTTGATTTTCTTCAGGTGACACAGATCGCAGGCCTATCCGCGCCGATGCAATCCCAGTTAGTATCGGCCCAGTATGGGGTGGGTGATGAGCGTGGACGGGATGATGGGACGGACACGGGGACGGAGTTCGGACAGAGTTCGGACAGAATTTCAGTTTTAGGCGTGGTGCGTGTGCTTGTACTTGTGCGCCTTCAGGCACCAGTGCGAGTTGAGCCCAGTGCAGCTGCAAGTTGAGCCCAGTGCAGTTGCGACTTGCAATGCGAGTGCGACCCACCTTCCTCCGTCCGAGGCCTGGGTGACGTCCGGCTCGGGGTTCCCTCGGCTGCACGGCAGAGTCCATGGCGGCATCTTGGCTTCGGGCCATGGGGGCGATCGGTAGTGCCGTCGACGGTCCAAACGGGCTTGGCGGCGCGTGTGCAACTGCAGTGGGCGAAATGGCAACTATTGCACCTGAATTCGAATTCGAATTCGAATTCCGCAGACCGTACACGTAGAAATCTCGAAAGAAAAGCAGTTCGATGCCCTAGCGTTTATCAGTCATCAATGCATCTGCCCTCGAGATGCGCGCAGAACGGGCCGGATATCGCGTTATTGTTAAATCAAGAAGCGGCGTCGTTTGTCAGCAGGGTTCGGCTCCCAGAAGTCCGCGGAGTTTGTCCCGGATTTGTTGGCCAGGCGAGCCAGACCCACCCCACCTCCCTCTCTCCGCCCTGACCGCCACATGGCTCCAGCGCTCCAGGGCACAGTAGAAATCCTCCTCGCACCCGCTTAAACCTGTCTGAAGCCGGCGCTCGGCACCGATCCACCATCCTGATTTGACCGGTGTCCAAGGTTCAGTTTATTTTAACTCACGTTTTGGTCTCTCGAGCTCCAGTATTCCTGCCTCGTTGATCGCGGGAAGCTGGGCTTGGGAGGGCCTTGGCGGGTTCTTAGCTAATCCGTCCCCCCACTAGCGCTGGCGTTGCACTCCCGTCAATGGTCAATTCCTGGTGGAGAGATTAGCGCACACTCTTCGAGGGATTGGCGTCATCTCTGATTAAGCACGCGTGGCTTGATCGAAGGGAGGAGCTGCCTGCTGCTGAGAGGGTTGAGGTGGGCGCTTGCCCAAGACGAACTAGGCCGGAATACGAATCCCACTCTGGCTTCATCAACTAGCTGTCTGCTGGGACAACTTCTGCTACCGTGCCCGATGCCTAGTCCGAATTGGGCAAACAATCGACCGGAGTGCTACGGCGAGCTCGTCCAGCGATCCTATCTCATGTTCAAGATGCTAAGGGTGGCTATTGTGGGCCGGGCCTCATATTGCCGGGTCATTATCCGCCCGGCACGGCAACGCAGTTCGCCCACGTCGCCATGACCGCATGTGCATGTGCTTTCTTGTTGCCTGCCCCTTAGCTTGAGCCTTATTCAGAGGCCACGCGGAGGCCAACTAGGGGGCAGATAAAGTGAATAGGGATGAATCTGAAATATCACTAACGTGCAGGGTATAGAGAGAGCAATTGTGTCTAGGCAACAAAAATAGAAATAGATAAAATCACCTACCTAATATCTCAATGGCATGGAAGAGTCACAGCACAAAATGAGTCCTGCTAGTAAATGGCTGCCCGTGAAAGGAGATCGTACCAACCAAGCAACACAACGTAAAAGGGGTGAAAGCAAAGGATAGTATGGGGAATCTGAGATGGGGATGCTAAAGTTCTTCGAGCTGGCAAACGGCCCCCAAAGTCGTCTCTAGTGTGCTCTGTAATTAGGTGCAGTACACCGTATATATCCAGTCGGCCGGTTTAGTCCGGGGAATTGTCTCCACCACAACCCCACCACTTAGGTCTCCACCGTCCGCCCTATCAGCCCTATAGAGGGGAAGAACATCAAGAGCCACGGGAGGATTTTGCACCCTTAGACAGCAGAACAGGGGGAAGGGGGTGGTATCCATGTGCCACCGCATGTGTAGCCGATGTTTCTAGCCTGCTTCGTGACTTCGTCCTCTGCGGCGCTCGAGGCAACCTTGTGCCGGGATCCTAAACTTAGTTTTCTAAAGGAGCGAGAACCTTGATGGGAGAAATGGGAAAGAGAGAGGAAGTGATGCAATGCAATTTCGGGGAAATCTGTTCTTATTGGCCAGGTATGCACCGAACACGCTGTAGTGGCTAGAACTGTGCCAACGTCTAGGCCAAGGCGGCCGCCCCTTGATGCCGAAACATTAGTGTAATGAACCCACGCCAAGTCATCTCGTCTTTTTTTATTTTTATCAAAAGAAGACTAGATGCTCTACTACAAGCAGGATGCACTTACGTACCTGCTAGACTCAGAGAAGCGGACGCATAGCTAGGGACCGACAATCCCACTTTGGAAGCGGATCGATGCGGGTTGATGCGGCGGTGATAATAAGGTTAGGACGGCGATAACTGGGCTGCCTCGGTAATTCGGTCGCTTGGCTCCGCTTTTATCTCTGCAATATCGGCATGCCTGCGATGCTACTTAGTGTGGGCGGATGAGCGCGCTTGTTTAAAGTCGGCGCCGTTGAAGGCTCGGTCGAGAGACGCCCGCCAAGGCAAATGGCCCCACGGACTTGGCTCACCCGGGGCTGGCCTGGACCTGGACTTGGACATTGAACGCCACGGAACTGGATGGCCACCCGATGCCGTGCCGGCAAACAACTTCTCTTCTCCCCTTCTCTTATTCTTGCCCTGTTTCTTCGCCCGCGGCGGATGCAAATTCCCCCGCTTGCCTAGTAGTCGCCCAACCTGCGGCACGTGGCGACTTTGTCCTGTTGGTGGGGGCAAGGTAGAAGAAATGACGGTGCAGCCCTAATTCACTGGCACTAGGTATCCATCGTTGGACTGCGATTTTGGCTCCCCGGATTCCCACCGACAAGAACCAGCCGGCTTTGCATGACCTCCCTAGCCTGTAATTGGCGGCAGGCATGGTCCTTATTCCCCCAGTGTCCAACTCACCCTGGCAGTTGCAGATTCGGTCTCCCGGGTCTGACTGCATGGCTATCAAGGTTCGCCAGAAAACTTTCCCTGCAGCGGCCGCCTTGTTGGGCATGCCTTGCCGCAGAGTGGACAGGAACCGGAATGAGGTCCGGGACGTACTCCGCGGAGTACACAAATAAATAGGCTCGATAACTGGCCAAGGTGCGGTGAGTTGGTTGACGCTCGGGTCTATTAGGGAAATGGGGTGTTGCTGGTGTTGCTACTAGCCGATCATCCAGCCATTGGGTTCTGACAGTTTCACCTTTTTGTTTCGACCGCTGCCGCCGTGGGCCATCCAGACCAGCTAGCTTCCATTAGACGCCACTAGAATGTGCCAGCTTCTACCAAAAGTTCGGACTAGCTCTGCCTTTTAACTATAAGGACATTTCAGTGGTCGAGTCCGCCCATGGACAGCCCAGAGCTCGGCGGACTCCGTCGCAGAACCATTGCAGAAACCATGCAGAATACAGTGATGTCCGGGGCGGAACAGAGTTTGAGGGCGAATGTATAATTTGGCAGGCAATCGCATGGCAGGTGGGCCTTTGAATTTTCATCATAAGGATGTCACGCTGCGTAGCACGTGGGTGCCTCTCTTTGCAAGCGAGCAGCAATGGAATCTGCCAACATGATCAGCCCGCTTCCTTTCCAGACATCGAGCATTCACATCTCCCAGGCTCCACACCAGGGCAACTTGATTGCCACTAATGATGGCGCAGCCCTCTCAGGCACCCTCCACGGTAATTCCCTGGCCACCAACAAGCAATACTCGACCAACACCGTCTCACCCTAGTTTCTACCTATGGAAAACGACTTCCATGCTGGCGGCCGACACATAGGGCTAGGAGACCCAACCACCCCTCTTGGAAAGCTAACAAGCATCGGGCGGGTTTTTCCGAGGCATTCAGGACCGGCTGGTGGTCAGGTGGGGTGATGTGACGTTCGCGAATGCTCTATTTGGAATTCAAGTGGCGACATGGACCCCGATGACCTCAACTGTTGGGTTGCGCCTTCCCTCTATTCTCGATTACGGTCACCAGACTGTTCACGGGTGGCACTTGCCCGGCTAGACGCTTCCTGGCCTCTAATGCTAGCACACTGGTTGGTCTCCCTCCCGCTTTGACTGAGCAGGTAATTGCGTCACAACCTACAACGTCAAGGTGCAGGTCGCTGCAGAACCCATCTCTTCGTTCCTTCCACTCGCGTCCTTCACTAAAACCGTTGAGAACCCACCAGTTGTGCCGGCGCGCCAAATGCTAAATTACCTTCCCGTTTTGATGGCTGGGCTGGGCCAGCGTGGGGGGTGACAACAATAATGTGAGCTGTAGGGCTTGTGCGACAGTTCAACCTCCAAAAGTCAATCTCATGAGAGGCAATCAAAGAGAAATCCTCAACTTCTGATGACATAGAGAGCAGCCTTTATTTCTTCGCATTGGCCCTGATATTTTCTAGTTTATAGCTATTTAATTAACATGATGCCATGGGTCGGAATTGGCTGTAATGGACGTTAGTCAATGGTTCTTCAGCCGGTCCTTCCTCTAGGTATCGTGCCTCTTTGATTTGTCACTCGTGGCCAAAGCCCCACCCCTGTCGACTCTCTTTGCTTCAACCAATTAATACTTCTTCCACTGCCCTAGCGTAGGATGCCTTCTAGCCATACCCTCCACCACTTTCTGTGCTATGAACCATCGATTTAGGCATAACCAGTCTGCCATCACGAGGGGGAGATTCAAGCCATGAACTCCAGAGGGGATAAACGCTGGTACAACAGCATTCTCATCGTGGACTCTGCCATGAACATGGTCGGCTTCCCTGCCTCCAACGCAATCGGAAAGACGATACCAGACTGGGATGGCGGCGGGTGGCATCCGGAGGGAGTCCAACTTGTGTCGCGACTCTCAAAACCACCTTTGTCCGCAAAACCGTCTTAAATATTGGGTTCTTTACGCCATCGAGAACTACAGCGCGCTGATTAACCCTTCGTTTATTCTCTTCTCTAGAACATTGCCTCAGGTCTTTCGACGGCGTTTTTATCAATAACTCCCCCAACCAACGTCAACATTGGGAGCTTTTCCCGGTCTTCTCCTGTTGCCTTATCAAAGTCCCCCTCAACGCGGAGAGAAGTAGGCAAGTTCTAGCAGAGTTCTGACACTTCCTAAACTATCTAGGTGGGATTGGTGCGAGCACCTTGAACTTCCATTTCGGAACCGGTTCAATGGAAGGTGTTTTGCCATTTCTCCTCTTACGGTTCCGCATCATTCATAACTGCGCGAATACCTACTTTCCTCGATTCACCTCAGCATTTCTGGGAAATCGACAATATTTGCAGAGACAGCTTCCGTACATTTGAATGTGGCTTGGGCCCACATCCCCACCGCCCGCATCAGCAACTGTCCACCACGCGCTGGTCAATGACACAGCACGCGTACTCTCCACCCGCTTGACCAACTGGTACCTGCATACGACGGGCAGAGAGTTGATAGTGTCGGAGGCTCGGAGCAGGCCGACCACAACTTCGGGAGGCGCTACTCATCAGCCCACGTCGTATCCGTCGTCTCCTCCGAAGCCACGCATCTCATCTCCTCTCGCACAGTTCTGCGTGCAGCAGCAGCATCGTGGCGCCGCGGTCGTTGTGCACATCTAAATCGTAGAACCCGGCCGCAAACAGGGCATCCAGGACGCGGCGAGGCATCTATGCGAAACTGGTGATGCGGACGGCGCCAAGCTCGCCACATCGTCAGGCCCCCCGGCACGAAATTCTCGCTGTCATGGATGGCGGTACCACTTGAGGACGTCCCTTTTTCTCCTCCAGTCCGTTCTATATCCTGTCAAGCTGAAAACTACAGTCTCTAATGTCATCCTTGAAAAACGCGCCACGCACAGCTCCCCCCTTTGCGCGAGGCTCTGGTCGAATGGGCTAGGCTGCACCGGCTTCAGCAGCTACCAAGTGAGTGCATATCAGACTTATCCCCCGGAATCATGATTATCGGCTGCTGCTTAAGTGAACGTGTACCGACAAGTCTCACAGGATACCAACAAGACTTGTTCTAGGGTAGATTAGATAGATCTTGTTATGCATAAATATTCAAAGAACTAATGCAAACGGCAATGACTAAGCCCGTCAAAAACCAGCAATACATCTCTCGGAGAAAAGAAGTCAAATGGGAAAGGATGTGTGGCGGCAATGGATGGAGCAAGGATCGGAGGTAGGGCTCACTTCCAGCTCCAAAACCCGAACATGGCGGGAGTATCCGTATTCCGCACCCGGAATGTCGAATCAGCTTCAATAGGGTCTTCAGTCAGCGCAGCCTGGCATCCTTGGCGTTTGGGTTGAATGGCCAAATAATCAGAAAATGGAACGCCAAATTGCAACTAGCAAACGCGGGCTGCCCCTTCATCCGAGGTCCAAGACCATAAGAGCTAATCGGGCCTCGGCATGAGGCCAGCTTTGTGGTCAGTGCCGTGGGCGGCCGGGGATAATCCAGGGAAAAACCAGTGGAAAAGAAAAAAGAAGCTACGACATGCAGTGACTGGGAATACGTGGAGAAGCTGGAGAGCTGGGGTTAAGAGCGAGGATCGTCTGTTGCAGTGGCCAGCGATCCGGCCACGCCCAGGCATTCAGCTGAAGTGTGAAACGGTCCGGCCCGGAGAGCTGTGTGTCGGCCGTTTCCGACGGCCCCGCAAAAGGAGGGCGATTGTCGTGCCAAGACCGCCACCCCCGGCCGCGCCCCGGCCACGGCCCGGCCAGGGCTGGAACACCGGCCCGCCCTGTCGAACTGCGTCAAAGCTGGCACAAATAGGCACCCGATTGGCCGCAGATGTTTTTCTAAACAATTGTGTTGCCGGGCCAGGGCCGCTTCCATCCCATGTCTCTGAATAAGCGCGGCCCAGCCCTATGGCTCGACACCATGACTCCGAATCGCTGCCGAAACGCGCCCCGGGCACTGCAAATGCGAGCGACACAGTCAGAGACCGCACCCGAGCAAGAGACACAGCGCGTGGAATGGGAACAAAAAGTTTCCATCCCATCCCTTATAAAGACGGCCTGGGCACCCGCAGCCCCCAAACCCGTCCCTCTGAGTCTGGGCAAAAACGCCTTATAAGACATCACACAGGAACCGCTTCGCATTGATTCGGACTTGGCCTCTTTCTTCTTTTTGTCTCCAGTCTGGGCAGGTACAACAGAAAATCGATCCCACGTGTGACCGGACTATCCGCAGGCCGGGCAAGATACGATCGAGCCAACCAGCGGGTCTCCAAGATTGCACCCGATCACACCCCCAATATACAAAAGCAGCACTCTCGCCTGCTTATCGCATAGTCATTCTTTTCCGCACACAGCAATCATGAGATACTCCACAACAACAACGGCAGCCGCGCTGCTCGGCCTCGCCGCCGTGGCGGCTGCCATCCCCAGCACCGTCATCGTGACGGCGTGGACGACGAGCTTCACGACGGCGCAGCCCGGGACCAAGGCCACACCGGCAGCGCTGCCCGCGCCGGGCTCCGGCAGCGGCGACACCAACAACCTGTTCGACGTCAAGGCCGGGGGCCAGGTGGAGGCGTCGGCCGGCGGCGGGCGCGTCGAGGTGCAGGGCGCAGGCAACGTGGAGGGCACCGTCGACGGCAAGACGATCAACTTTGGCGCCGGCGCACAGTTCGAGGCCGGCTTTGGCAATTCTGGCACAGGTACTGGTACGCAGCAGCCACCGCCCGTCGTGGCGGCCCCGCCGCCTGTTGTTTCTGTTCCCGTCCCGTCCGTGGCTGCTCCTGTCCCGTCCGTTGCTGCCTCCCCTGCCCCTCCCGTTGTCATACCCGGCACGGGCACAGGCACAGGCACAGGCAATGACTTTGACAGGGCGGGCACTGGTACGGGCACGGGCACAGGAACTGGCACAGGAACAGGTGAAGGTTTTGAAGGTACTGACACTAGCACTGGCACAGGTACTGGAACAGGCACAGGCACAGGAACGGGGACCGGCACAGACGGTGCCGGCACCGTCACGCCGCCCGGCCCCATCGGCGGCTTCAACTCGAGCTTCAACAACCTGACCAACATGTCAGGGCTAACGGCCGGCGCCGAATCGCTGATGCTGCTCGACCGCTCGTCCAGGGGCCTGCTGTACGGGCTGACGGGGCTGACGGCCATGATGGCGGCGGGCATGTGGGCGCTGTGAACGGCTGCATCCCCGCATGCAAGCGATTTTCAGATCAGAACAGGGCTCCGGATGGCGTGGAGTTAGCGTTGGGTGTGCAAACAGCGAGTAGCTGCTTGGTAGCACCGACAATCGTTTCATATTTCTTTTAGGGCGGGCGAAAAGGGGGTGTTTATTTTCATATTGTCACATCATCCAATGATGGATTTCATTGGATTGGTTTATTGACGTGGAGTTCCGGTGTCCTCCTTTTAAGCCCCCCTCCCTCCCCCCCTCTAGGCGATCCGAGACAGTCAATAAATAGTCCCGACTTGCTCTCGCAAAATCTCGCTTTCCCAAATCCCGTACTGTAATTACGTGGCTAGAATAAAGAACAGCAATATATATCTCTTTGCGCCTCCAATCGAGGTGAGTTACACTACGGGACTGCTGTCCACTGCCCTGTTGAACGTGTCTCAAGTGATGATGCCAAGACAACGAACAGATGAAGATGATAGGCAGTGACGCGTAAAGCGACTAATACAAAGAAACTACAAACCCGAAATGCCGTAACCACACGTTCATAACCCTACCGCCCCAACCAGACCTCCACCAGCCGCCTAATCACGGCCACATCGAGTCGTAAATAAACAGCCAGTCCTTCCAATAATGCTCATAGCTACCCACAAGCCAACTCCTTCCATCCCCCTCGCCACCAACCCTCCACGGGCGCGTGAGCAGGCCCTCGCCCTTCAAATGCCGCTTCAGCGCCACATTGATACTGAACGAGCTCGGACTCACCCCAAGAAAGTAATCGCACTCCAGCAGCACCACGAAATCCACAAGCGCCTGCTGGTCCCAGGTAAGCGCAGCCAACGCCTGCGCGTCGGCAGCGTGCTGACTTAGAAGCATGTGCTTGGTGGTGACGGCGACGCCAGCTGCCGCCGCCGCCGCCGTGAGCCGCTGCGCCTCGGTCTCGTTGCCCGTCGCCAGGTACGCGGCGCCGAACCCGCGCGCCGCCGCTTGGCGTATGTATGCCGCGCTCTGGTTCTCGAAGCGCGGCCAGGCGCCCAGCGCGTCGCTCTCGGTGCGCAGGTGCATGCCGGCGAACGCCCTTGTCGCCGCCACCGGCAGAGGCTGAACAGCAGCAGCGGGTTTGCGCGGCAGGACAAGCTTCTGCTGCTGCTGCTGCTGCTGCTGCTGCGCGGCGAACTGGCGCATGTGGCCCGTGGTCCGGCGAGCAAGCTCGAGGATGTCGGCGCGGAAGCGCAGCAGGCCGCCAAAGGTCGCGGCGAACTCGGGCCCGTCGCGTGCCACGGGCCAGTCGAACTGCACGCCCCAGGTGAAGCGGTAGGCGCGGGGGCGCGCGGCGGACGGCGGCGGCAGGCCGAACTCGGCAGCGGTGGCGCGCACGTGGGCGCGGAAGGCGGCGCCGAACACCGCCGTGTGCTTATTCGGCTCGCGCTGGTCGCAGCCGCCGCGCCGGCCGAGGTTGTGCGGCGTCAGCGCCTCGGCGCGGAACTGGTCTGCGGCGCCGGGGATCGCCGATGTCGAGCCGTAGACCGCCAGCTGCGGGCAGGCGGCGGCGAGGTGCGACCGGAAGTGCTGCTCGTCGAACAGGTAGTCGAAGCCGGCGTGGTCCTGCATGATGCTGGCGAGATCTGACGAGGAACGGGTGCGTAGGCGCGGCAGCACGAGCCCCTGCACGCCGGCCTCGACGGCGTAGCGCACGCACGTTAGGATGTAGCTGCGCATGTTGCCGACGCCGCCTGAGTTGTCGTCGCACACGAAGACGGTGCCGGCCGTCCACGTCGTCTCGGCGCACACGCGTGCTAGCGGCCAGCCGATGAAGGGCGCGTCCGGGAGCGAGAGGTCGAGGCTGCCCCGTGATAGGGGTGCTACGGTGATGTCGGCGTTGCATTGGTTGTAGAGGCACATCTTGGGGAGCCGGCATGACCAGAGTGTGGCTAGGCTGACGATGCAGACCACGACGAGCACGCTCCGGTGCCGAAACATGATGGCGGCCATGCCGTCAGGCGCACCGCCAACGCCAAGGGGTGCGAGAACCGGGTACTCGGGTCAGAGGCGCAGCTGCGAGGGGGCCGTGGCGCTGGGGCAACTCATTGCAATATTGCTTCTTCTAAATATTGTGTGTTCTCGTTCGGAATCAAGCCTCGCTTGGCCGGGCGAGGTCCATGCCACGTTGGAGTGCGTGGCGGCTAAATTGCGTCGGTGCATGGTGGCGGCCCCGGCGTTGCTTATTTGGCCGCGGAGGCAGCATTCCGTGTTTTGCCAGGGAGGCGTTGCAACCTGCATCACCCGACCCCCCGGGCTAGTATTTATCGCATAAATTGTATCGCTCTGGAATTGGCAGAGCTATGGAATCACAGGGAAAATCTCGACACGAGACAATATGATTGACAGTGTTCTAAAAGCTCGATTATAATCGTGGTAGATGGAGAATGTGGAAAAGCGGACATGAAAGTTACCTGCCCAGGATTTTATCAAACTCGGCCTGAACTATGTTGTGTGCTAGATACCTCCCATCCCTGATCGCCTCTTCTACCTGCTCGTTCAGCGGATGGTAGTTCCAGGTGATCGACCGGTACTGCAAAATCTCGTAGAGAGCCTGATACAGGTGGGGGTTCTGCTGGTACACGACACGCTCGGGGCCGGGGACCTCGCGATACTCGACTCGCTCGGGGCCCGGCACCTGGATGTACTCGATCTTGGGAGGCTTACTCTGCAGCTCCCTCAGCTGCCTCTCGTTCTCGTTTGCCGCCGCGATCCACTGATCCACGCTCGCCTGGAGGCCCTTGACCTAATACGCACGCACAAGACAGAGAGGTAAGTTGCGGATCTGAGTTCATGAGGACTTGTATTGATGCTGCAGATTGAGAGACGGCCCCCGCAGAAGCGCATCCTCGTAATTGACAAGGCTCGCACGGCGCTTCACGAACGATCCCGGGCGGGCAAGATCTCGCGCAGCTCGTCGGCTCGCTTACAGACCTTTTCAGCTTCGTCCTCGTACAGCTTTTTGTACCGGTCGCGCTCGCGCGTCAGGTCGGCCACCTCGGCGGCGCTGGTGCCGCCGCCGCCCTTGTCTAGGCTGGCCTGGAGCTCGTCTACGCGCGCTTGCAGCCCCTTGACAGTGGCCTCTGCCGCCTTTGCGTCGGCGGTTTTCTGCCGCAGCAGGCTGATCACCATCTTGACGTCGTCCTTGAAGTCGTCGTAGTCGGGCCAGTGCTCCTCGGGGACCGTGTCGGGGATCTTGACGTCGATGCCGTCGGCGTCGATGTCGGCACCTGTTCACAATCAGCAACCACCGCAAAGGAAGGGGATAATAAGACAAACCCTCGTTGTCGCCGCCCTCATCGACACCGTTCTGGGTATCATCGCCGGCCTCGGCCTCGGCCGGGGTTGGTTCTGCCCTTGGGATTCGGATCCCGTATTTGCGCTCGCCCGGCGCTTTCTTGGCCGTATTGAGTCCAAACTCTTCCCAGAAACCGTCATTGGAGGCTATGTTGAGATCGAGGGGGAGAGAATGCGCGAAGCGGTGACTTGTATGACAGCGGCTTGCCAAACTGTAAGACTCGTAGCCTTACGCTGCAAGAGCTTGATCCTGAAGGAAGAGTAAACTGTTCTCGACAATACGAAGGAAAGCCAGGTATTTAGCTGCGCTGCGGCAAGCTCTTCACTTCCCCCCGCAACCCTGTTGCAGGAGCGCGGAAAGATCGTGTTTGGACCGCCCAGGCCCGGCCGGCTATCTCTGATGACAAACCTGAGATATACTATTGGTTAGGGCACTGCAGATAGTAGGGAAGGTGTCGTAGCTGTCGTCTTGTATAGCCATTGGCGCGATGTGATAGGCTAGACCGCCGCCAATACTGTTGCGAGTTGCCATCACGGGTTCGTTTTCTCAGTTGCATGATTCTCGATGTAATACACTCGTAGAAAAGGCGGCCTCAGCTGCCTCTAGGTAGCCGGACATTATTATTTGATGGAACAAGAAAAAGCTCAGGCGTGGCTCAAACCACAACCACAACCTTGCGAAAACGTGGTCGTTGTTAGAACCCTAACGCGCAGGGGGACAGCGTCCGTTTTCTTAGTCGCGAGGATGCAGCAGGGCCTGCGCACCTCCAACCCGTTAAGCTACGGAAGCTTAATTCTGCTAAAGCGCGTCTTTGGCGGGCCAACTTGCTATCTCTAGCTACAAACCTTATTTTTATGGCTGAGTCGAAAGAAATACACGTCCTCAGCGGTGTTTGACGCGCCCAAGCTGGGATGACTCGATGGAGGGGCAGACGGCAGACGGCAGACGGCAGACGGGAACGACTCAGCCACAAACCTGCCGGATGTCAGCCACACTGGGCCCTCAGTGCCCCGCCAAGAGTCTCTCAGCGCGTCGAGCGCGGGGTAGAGACCGGCAAGCGACCCCACTAAAAAGTTGGCAAATTTTTGGGCGCGCACGCAACGAAATTCGAGCCTCGAATTCCCCCGCCAATTCCCCCGCCAATTCCTCCGCCAATTCCTTAGAAGCGAGCACCCACTGGAGCGAGCACCCACTAGAGGCCCAGTCAATCCCCAACAAAATTAACGGAACCAGCCCAAAATGTCGAAACGGACGGCAGAAGAGGGGGCCGCTGGTGTCCCCCTCAAGAGCGGCGGGCGGCCCGACGCCATGGACATCGACGACAAGCCCGACATGGGCGAGTTCGAAGACGAGTTCGAGGACGAGTTCGAGAGCGAGGACGAGATCATCGAGGCCGGCGTCGACGGCAGGCCAGATGCCGAGAGGGAAGCCGAGGAAGCTGCCGCAATGGACGTCGACAACGGCCCCGCCACCTTCATCGTCGGCCGCACAAAGCTCGATCCGGGCCAGACGCTCGCGCCCGACCCGACCACGTACCGCATGCTGCACAACCTGAGCACCCCGTGGCCCTGTCTCTCGTTCGACATTGTGCGCGACGGCCTCGGGGACAACCGCAGCGTCTATCCCGCCACCATGTACACCGTCTCGGGCACGCAGGCGGAGGGCTCCAAGGCCGGCGACAACGCGCTGCTGGTCATGAAGTTCAGCGGCCTGAGCAAGATGGACGGCGAGGGCGACGAGTCGAGCGACGACGAAGACGACGAAGACGAAGACGCCGACCCCATCCTCGAGTCCCGGTCCATCCCCATCGGCTCGACCACAAACCGGATACGCGCCTTCCAGGCCCGGCCGCAAGACGCGTCCCGCCCGCCCGTCACCCTCACGGCGACCATGACCGAGTCCTCGAACGTGCTCATCCACGACATCACACCGCACCTCGCGTCATTCGACAACCCCGGCTCGGTCGTTAGGCCGCAGCAGAACAAGCCCGTGTCGACGATCCGCGCCCACAAGGCCGAGGGCTACGCCGTTGACTGGTCGTCGCTGCACCCCGCTGGCAAGCTGCTGACGGGCGACAACGACGGCGTCATCTACCTGACGACGCGCAGCGACGGCGGGGGCTTCGTCACGGACACGCGGCCGTTTCTGGGCCACACGAGCAGCGTCGAGGAGATGCAGTGGAGCCCGTCCGAGGCGTCCGTGTTCGCGTCGGCGTCGAGCGACGGCACGATCCGGGTGTGGGACGTGCGGAGCAAGAGCCGGGCGCCGGCGCTGTCGATGCAGGTCAGCAAGACGGACGTCAACGTCATGTCGTGGTCGCGGCAGACGACGCACCTGCTGGCGTCGGGCGCCGACGACGGCGAGTGGGCCGTGTGGGACCTGCGGCAGTGGAAGCCCAGCGGCACGGCGGCCGCGGGCAAGCCGACGCCCATTGCCAGCTTTGGGTACCACAAGGAGCAGATCACGAGCATCGAGTGGCACCCGACCGACGACAGCATCGTGGCGGTGGCGGCCGGCGACAACACGGTCACGCTGTGGGACCTGGCCGTCGAGCTCGACGACGAGGAGAGCAAGGACACGGCCGGCGTGCAGGACGTGCCGCCGCAGCTGCTGTTCGTGCACTACCAGAACCAGGCCAAGGAGCTGCACTGGCACCCGCAGATACCCGGCGCGCTGGTGGCGACGGGCGAGGTGTTTAGTGTCTTCCGGACCATCAGCGTATAGGCTGTATCATGTGCCGGTATTCACGCCTGTGTCCATTTACTTGACATGTGGTTGCATATGCGGCGCGATCACGGATGTCTGCGGGTTGCGGCGTGTTGCTGCAACAGGAGGTGCTGCCACAGGAGGTGCTGCAACAGGAGAATCTTGACCATGCGGGGATAGAAGAGCTGGTTCACGTGGAAATAAGTACCATGCGGAGATGGAAGAGCTGGTTCACGTGGAAAATAAGTACCCCCATTACCTGGATTTTTCTAAATCTGGTTGACTGTCGCTGCGGTTCATGCACTGGTAATGTGAAAGGACAAGGAAATAGGCAGCCAATGGCAGTGATGCGTGGCAAAGAAAGAAAAAAAGTTGCGGGAGCGTTGACAGCGCGCGTTTCTTATTGGTCTGCCGAAACAGCGTTTGGACTGAAGATGCATGACGTTGGGAATGACGTTATGTGCACCCCATACCAACGAACCTGCCTGTCGCGCGGGCTCTTTCCTCGCCACGAGAATGCGCGTCGCAGTCCATATTGCTGGGGCTCGATGGGAAGGTGCACTGTAGGTTAGAATTCAATGTCAACTTCCAGCAGTCTCCGAGTTCAAAATAAAACCAACACCAAGTCTCCACAAGCAACTCTGACCTGTTCTAGGCGTGATTCACTTCATCACTGTGGCGCACCACACTGATCTACCTAGCTACCTAGACAGCCTAGCATTCCGTTTCCCACATTACCGCCTGCGATACTTCGCACAAAAGGGAGCCTACACTGCACAGCTACGCAGCAACGCTCAACATGGAGCGGATTTTGCTGCTCTGCTTTCTCCACGGGTTCAAGGTCAGTTGGTCCGCCCACGGCCCTTGCATCTAATCCGCCCTGGCCAGGCACAAACAGGCGCGATCAACAATGTCGTCGTCGGCTAACACGCAGGCACATGCAACGCCGCCGCAACAGGGGGACGACGACACGTTTGGCGACTTCCCCCAGCACCTCCAAGACACCGTCACCAGCAACCTCCCCGACCACAAGGTTGCTTCGGTCGTCTACCCCAAGTATGAGACCAAGGGCGAGCTGGCCCAGAGCACCGAGGCCTTTCTGGGATGGTGCGTGTCTTCGTGTATCTTGCAGTGCGCGCATCGAACAGCTGACACCTGCCAGGCTCAAGGAGCGGGTCATGGACCTGCGCAAGGAGCATCTCGACAAGCCGTGGCCGCCGAATGACCGCAGAGTCGGTGTTGTCCTCGTAGCGCACTCGATGGGGTAAGTTTCACCACCCGTCACTCGAAAGGGCCTGTTACTGACCAGTCGCAGCGGCTTCGTGGCCAGCGACTGCCTGTTCCGCATCCTCGACGAGCGACGCCGCGACGGCAGCGCGCCGGGCCCCATGTTCCCGCTCATCCAGGGCGTCCTCGCCTTCGACACGCCGTACAACGGGCTCGCGCGGTCCATGTTCGTCTACGGCGCCTTCTCCAACTACCAAAAAGTCAGCAACGTGTTCAACGTCATGACGGCGCTGTCGGCGGCCGCGCCCGCTGGGCTGGCGCGCCTGGCGGCGAAGCGCACCGCCGCCGCCAGCGCCGCCACCCGCCGCACGTCCAGCCCCGCCTGGAAGGCATGGCAGCTGATCGCGGTGCGCACGGGGACGGTCGGCGCCATCGCGGCCGGCGGCGTCGCGGCGTACATGCACCGGCGGCAGATCCTCGACGGCGTGCGCAGCGTGCGCGGGCTCAAGCGCGAGCACGTCGTGCAGGGCTACCAGCAGTCGGTCGACGCGCTGGGCCAGGGGCTCGCGTACGTCAACCGCGGCAACGTCGGCGCGTCCTTTGCCTGGCTGGCCGACCACTTCACCTTTGTCGGCGCCCTGCTCAAGCAGAACGAGCTCAACCGCCGCCTCGAGCGGCTGGCGTCGCTGCGCGGGGTCGGCGTGCGCGATTTCTACGCGTCCCTGGGCGAGAACGGCGTCTGGAGCGGCGGCTACTTTGTACCCGAGCGCACGTTCTGCGCGGTGCCCGTCTCCGCCCCTGGCGGGGATAACAGCGAGCAGGCGGCGCGCGAGGCCGCGCTGTTCAGCCGCCATGTCATCCCGGACGCGACCGACGAGATCGTCGCGCACATGAGCCTGTTCAAGCCGGACCGCAACGCCGACTACGAGCGCATGACCAGCGAGGCGGCGCAGCTGGTGGTCGCGTGGTTTGGCGACGACGCGGACGTGTACGACGACCCCAAGTTCGCCGAGCCTGCGCCCGCCGAGTCGGCCGAGACCGAGATCCTCGCCAAGGCCGCTGGCGAGGGCAGCGCGAGCACCGAAGCCGGCGAGACGGAGGCTGTGCCAGGTGCTGGCGTCGACGAGTCGCCCATCGACATTGCCGCCGCAGCCTCGCTGGTGCCCCTGCCCGATTGTAGCAGCGGGGACCTGGTTGGTGATGGCGATGGCGACGATGACGACGAGCAGCGAAAAGACGACGCCGACGCCGACGCCGACGCCGAGAAGCAGAGACAGGCGTACCTCGCGCACCTCCTCGCTATTGCTCAGTCCACGGGCACCAACCTGCGCTCGTACCTGCCGCCGCTCCCGGCCGGCGTCGCCAGGGTGTCGCTGCCCAGCGTCAGCATGCCGAGTATGCCCAGTATACCGAGTATGCCGGCCATGCCGAGCATATCCATACCTAGAGTCGGCAGTCTGTTTTCGAGGAAGGCGCCGGTGTCTTCTGAGACGGCACCCGAGCCCGCTGCTGCTGCTAGTACCTCGTCGGCTACGACTGCTCCTGCCGATGCTTCCTCGGCCACACCAACAGATAATGCCGCTGCTGGCGGGGAGCAAGACAAGAACGAAGATGGTGATGGTGATGAAGCCAAGCCGGACGTCAATGCTGCCGCGACCGCCGATGCTGCCACTGCTGCTCCCAGCTAGGGACCTAGCTAATCAACTCGGGAAGGAGGACAAGAGCGAAGAGCAAGCGGCGGCGGTGGCCGGTGAATGACCAACAGAATCGATGCCGTTTCGGCGGGCTCCGGATCTTTATCTCTTGCCATTCTTGGTCTGGGATCGGTGCGATAACTGACCTGCCTGCCTTGCCGTGCAACTAATCGTGTGCTCCGTGCCCGATGTGCCGGCACGAAAGGACGGTGCGATATCAGTATCCACAGGGCTACCCAGCCACTTGGTGCCTACGCGAAAAGGCTCGGCAGGTGGCGTCGCTGCGACGGCTTGATTACGCGGGTGCCTTGGTTGTGGGATGCGGATGGGGCGAGATAACGATTAACTAGGCCATTAACACCCTGGCGGGATGCGGGAGTTGGCCATCTCGGTTTGGCCAGCGATTTACCTCGGGGGCGTTCGTTGTACGGGTGTTTTTGCTTTTCTCTTACTCTACCGGGTACTATTCATTACGTATTATTTGCGAATTGGACATGTCAGGTCTATCCGCCTGGTGGTGTGCAGTGTCCCTCCCTATATGATTAGGTGTGCATGCATGCATGCATGTGTGAGTGAGTGGGTGAGCGGGTGAGTGAGTGAGTGGGTGAGTGGGTAGTGGGTGAGTGGGTGATGGGTGAGTGGGTGATGGGTGAGTGGGTGAGTGGGTGTGGCCAGCGACGCAAGACGGGACAAGAGAACTGCGGCACGGCTTCTAGAATTCTCGGATCTGCATGCCCTCCTCCAGCATCGAGGCACTTGCAAGCGAGAGCACTGTGGAATGGTCCTGCTGTGTGTGGTGGCAGCCAACGTTGTCGAGCGCCCGCGCGCTATTGGCCGCTCGGCAGTTCCGCAATAGGCAGTTGGCCATCCCATCTGCGTGCTTGGCCCTGTGGACGATGTCGGCCCTGTGGACGATGTCCAAGCCTGTGGGGGGGCGGGAGCTGTTTATCTGACGCGGAGACGACGCCTAGCTGCTCATCACCAGTGCTACTAGATAGTAGCCGACCAAGACCGTGGTTGTAGGCAGGTACAGTACAGGGCAGCCCCGAGCCCTTATCGCAGCGATCGCCACGGCCCAGCCACGCGCGCCTTACTGCCTCCCCGATTCGGCCGTCGGGGCCCGCCGCGCAGCGTCGCACCGCATCGGCATTGGCGCCCTGGCGGGCCTTGGCAGAATGCTAAACTGCTAAATCGCTGCCCGCGCTTTCTCCCGCGCCAGTCGAGCGTCCCTGGTAGGGGGCAGGTATATTGTGTCGCGGCCAATCAGCGGCTCGTGTCGTGGGGTGTGTGAGCTGGCCCCTGAATATGTACAGACTGAGCCGAGGGCTGAGGTCGGAGGAATGCCGTTGGCCGAGACACACGCGGTGAATGCTGGGTATAATACGCTGATGTCGCCCCGAGAGTCTGGAGGAGTGTGGGCGGTGATTACTCGGATTCAGTGTTTTGGCCATCAAATCGCTCCGCACTCGAGGGTAATCATCAACTACGCAGTTCGAAATGAAGACGTCTCTTCTCGCCGGCCTGCTGGCCGCGGCGGCCTCCCTAGTCGCCGCTGCGCCCATGCCCATGCCGACTCCAGTATGTCGATCCAGATACAATCGCATTGTTCTCGGACACTGACCACCGTAGCCCGGCATCCCCGCGGCGTCGACGGCCAAGACGCAGCTGGCCGCGCTGACCGTCAAGGCGTACGTCGACGACGGCAACTACGACCGCGACCTGTTCCCCACGTGGAACACCATCAGCGGGACGTGCAACACTCGGTAGGCAGCTAGCCATGCTGTACTTAGTGTCTAGTGGTAATGGCTGACGAGACGACCTAGGGAGACGGTGCTGAAGCGCGACGGCACCAACGTAGTGGTCAACTCGGCGTGCGCGTCGACGTCGGGGTCGTGGTTCAGCCCGTACGACGGCGCCACGTGGACGGCCGCGTCCGACGTCGATATTGACCACATGGTGCCGCTGAAGAATGCCTGGGTGGTGAGTTCTGTCTCACTTTTCGTGAAAGAGCCACTGGCACTGGCTGACAGACACAGTCGGGCGCCAACGCGTGGACCACGTCCAAGCGCCAGTCCTTCGCCAACGACCTCAGCGGCCCGCAGCTGTGGGCAGTCACCGACAACGTCAACCAGGCCAAGGGCGACAAGAGCCCCGACGCCTGGAAGCCGCCGCTGTCGTCCTTTTATTGCACCTATGCCCGCAGCTGGGTCCAGGTCAAGTCGACGTGGGCGCTGACCGTCACGTCGGCCGAGAAGACAGCGCTGACGAGCATGCTCAACACGTGCTAGGGGGTGGTCACGTTGTGGATGGAGGCAGAGCTGTGTTTTCTTGATTACGAGAGCTAAGTCTCTAAGGGCATTTGTCTACAGCGTGGAATAGAAAGACCAAAACAGCGTATTGCTCTCTCCTGTACACCCCTTTGGTGACAACCAAACAAGATCAAAGCATGACTATGCAACCCACTCCCCACCCTAAACAGGAGCCATCAACTCTGATGCCCTAGACATTTCCACACCGATGGCGCCTCCCTATTGCCTCGTGAAATCCTACACCCTCCTTCACCTCCCCTCCTCTTCATCCTCCTCCCCCGTCAAGCCCTGCACCTCATCCACTTCAACCACACTCAGCCGCGCCGCATAATCCCGCCTGGCGCGCGCCAGAAACGCGTCCAGCCCGTCAAGGCACTCGACCAGCGTGTGCGGGTTGAACGCGCGGCCCAGGTATCCCTCGACGCGCGCGAGCAGGTCGACAGCACCACAGCCATCGTCTTCCAACAGCGCGGCGCGGAAGCGCGCCCACTCGCCCGGGATGCGTAAATCGTGCGCGAACTTGGCGGCGAAGATGTCGGCGGCGATGGCGCGGCCGCTCGTCTCTGTCAGCTCCTTCTCTGGAAGGGGGAGGGGTGCGCGGACGTACAGGATGTGGCTGTAGCCCCTGCCGGCAAACGCCTCGTGCACGACGGTGTGCACGAGCAGGTACTGGTGGCCGACGGGTTTTACTGTAGACAAGTCTAGGCCCTTGAGCTCCTCCTCGATGGCGTACCACGTGGCGGCGACGTCGGCCGCCTCGATGGACGCGTGCGTCACTGGCGTGTGCAGCGCGTGGTCGAGCATGGCGCCGCCGCTGCGTGTCCACATCGCAGCTACATCAGTAAACAAGCAAGTGTCAAGTGTAAACAGGCAAGTGTCAAGTGTAAACAAGCCAAGTGTCAAGTGTAAACAAGCAAGTGTCCATGTAAACAAGCAAGTGTCAAGTGTTTGCGCCCTCAGAAAACTCACAGGCTCCCCAGGTTCCCGTACAGCGTGAGGAATGCCAGGCTGTCGGCCGTCGTCTGCAGCAGCTCGTCGGGGATGCGTTCCGGCGGCGGGCAGGTTGCATCGGGGTGCGCGGCCGACCACGCGCGCATGGCGTCAGCGTCGAGGTACGCGCGGTGCCGGCCGATCTTCTTCAGCATGTCGCGCTGCAGGAACATGTGTTCGAACACGTGGCTGGGGATCTCGACGTAGTCGCTGCCGAGGTGGCGCCCGCTCGTGATGGCGTGTGTGACCTGCTGGAATAGGACGTGCATGCAGTGGCCGAGTTCTAGTACGGGACGGACGGTCAGCCATATCGGTTTGACGGCAGCTTCTAGGCGTCGGTCGGGCGCATACCGTGGGCAAATGTCCGCACGCCGTGGAAGCCGAGCACGGGGTTGGTCGGCGCGAGGTTGAGCACAAGGCACACGGAAGGGTATTTGCGCGTGCCGCTTGCGGTAGCCGTGTGTCCCTAGACGCAGAGCAGACATGATCAGTATCTCGCCTCACCCACGCTCAGGACAGCAGCATGATAATTAATTACCACGCAAATCGGCCTTGTATACGCCACCATGCCCGTCTTGGTCTTGCCATGATGCCAAAACAAGTCGAGGTACAGGTACCCCAAGAACGCATGCTCATCCACGCCCTCGTCCCACACGGCGAACATGTCCACGTGCTCCCTGAGCGTCAACCGCGGATCCCAGGTCTCGGGAGTCATCCTGTCAAACCTAACACCAAACAGCTCGCCCACGACACTCAGCATAGCCGGCACGGTGTGCTCCACGCTCAGATACGGCGCCAAACACGACGAATCGTGGTCGAGCAGCCCGCGCTCCTCGCATAGCCGCTCGCGGTAGTACGCGTAGTCCCATGGTGGGAGCAGTTCCGCCAGCGCCTGGTTCAGCGTCATGCCCAAATCAACCCCGCGGCACAGCCGGCAGATGTCCAGCAGCACGCGGCCGCGCGGGACGAGGGCGTGCTTCAGCTGGTCCAGAAACCGCGCGACCCACGCCATCGACGGCGCCAACTGGTCCGCGAGCTGGCGCGCCGCGTGGTTCTCGTACCCGCGCACCCGCGCCGCCGCGTCGTGCTGCACCGCGACGGCCTTGAACGTCGGCGCCGCGTGGCGTAGTCTCGCGTGCGCGCCGAGGTACATGCGCTGCCGCGTCGCGGCGGAGCGCGCTTGCCGGAGGATGGCGTCGTCGCCCACGGCGAAGGACGCGAAGGTCTTGCCGGCGTTGGGGGCGTCGGTGCCGCGCGCGGAGCGGGGCTGTGTGCTCAGGGGCGCCGTGTCGGGGACGCCGAGCAGCTCGTCGGCTGTGAACCAGAGGCCGCCGCTTTCGCTCTTCAGGGCGGCGCTGTACGCGCTTCGCAGTGTTGCGATTTGGGCGTCGAGCTTCTGCGCCGTCGCGTGGCCTGCCGGCAGCGGCTCTTGGCGCGTCTTTTGCGCGGCGAGGTGCAAGTCGATCCACGTCTGCGTCTTTGGGGGGAGTGCCTGGTCCGAGCTGCGGACGGCCTTGAGGAGCGCGAATAGGTCTGGCCGTTTGTGCCACGCGCTCCATGCTGCGCTGTACGTGTTCCAGGCCGCTTCCGCTGCGCGCTTGGCGGCGTGGTTGGGGCCTTCCCGTCTCAGCGTGCGGATCATGCCTAGGTCGCCGTCAACCTCGTTCTCCGTGTCGGACCAGGGGCGGACTGTGTTGTCGATTGTAGCGGCGGAAAGGGGCTGGACTGTGGTGGAGATGGTGTCGAGCGCGGCGTCGAATTTTTTGATGATGTCGGTCATTACCTGGGGGATCTCGTCCGTGTCGAACACACGCTGGGGTGGGTGGGGAGGTGTCGCCATGGTGTCAAGTCCTGAAATGCGTTGAATCTTGTATTTTCGGATGAGGCCTCTGTTCTCGTTGGGCGGATGTAGCTTGGGCAGACCCCGAATTGTTGCTGTTGCGGTTAACGAGCTAATAGTCGGGTGGAAAAATACCAGAGGAGGTGCGGCAACCTCGGAGGGCGAGTGGTATTTATACCCGCCCGAGGGCAAACGCTCGAGCCGCTATTGTGTCTCAGCACGAGCGAGTCACAGTATTGCAAGTAATAACCCTTGTTGTAGTAGCTCCGCAGAATGTACAATGTAGGCGTCGACGGGTGAGCACCTGTTTGCCCATGTCACGGAGAATTTTGAAAAACTGGCCGCGAGAAGCTACGCTGCAGAGCAGCTCGAGTGGGTTGGTCTAGACTAGGGGGTCTAGACTAGGGATTCGGGGAATAGCCACATGGCAGCATTACGAATTCGGCTGGCGTATCCAGACGTTTCACTGGCCGCTCTAAACAAGCAAATGACAGGGTGAAGTGGGTCTACCCAGAGCTATATCGCGTTTGAGGGATGATAGGTATAAAACGGGAATAAAGAAGGCCTAAATTAGGGCATCAATCTCCATTCCATCTTTATCAGATTTGTCAAGCTACGAATAATTAATCTCTATTCCATCTTTATCAAATTTGTCAAGGTACGAATAATCAATCTCCATTCCATCTTTATCAGGTTTGTCAGGGTACGAATAATCAATCTCCACTCCATCTTTAGCAGATTTGTCAAGGTACGGCAATAATCCTAAACACTGCCAATCAACATCTTCCACACCTCTCATTCCGGCCCCCTCAAACATGCCAACGCCACCTTCAAGTCAGCCGAAGCTTTACTTGACAGCAATTCCTCTTTGGAGTGTATTTTGACAGGCAATAATAATTGAACGACGTTGCTCGAATCATATCTCCTTCGATCGAATCATATCTCATTCGCTCGAATCACATCTCCTTCGCTCGAATCATATCTCCTTCGCTCGAGTCACATCTCTACTGCCGCCTCCCTGTAAACGACCTACAGCTTAGAGTCCCTTCGTCTCGGCCACCTCTTTTCGTCGGCCTGTGCGGGCGGAAGCCGGCGGTTCAGTTCAGCCTTGCCACTCGTCGCCGCAGACGCAGGATGGTACGTCGCCCTGCTGAACGCGTTGTTGCCGCGGGTGCCTGTGTCGGCCTTGTCCGGGTCGTGGTACATGACGTCAAAACGGCGGGGGTCGTCCTCTGCGTAGACAGTGCGGGCGACACCCCTGGGCTGCCCGGGCGTCCACGGCTCCGAGCCTGCCATCAGCAGCGGGCTGTGCAGCAGCGCGTCGTCGTCTCCGCGCCCGATGGGGACGCCGTCTGGGGTCCGGAGATTGAGTCCCTCGTAGTTCATGAACGGCGTCCCCGAGTCTTTGGGGAGCCGGCTCTGCTGGGCCCTGGCGTCCCGGGCGATGATGCGGTTGCTGGGCTCCGGGACGCTGTCCAGTTTGAACTGCAAGGCGGGGGGGGGGAGGGGGGTTAGCTCGTCGGGGGACAGAGGAGGGCACTCTGGAGCGGAACGTACATATGACACCACTGTGTCGCTGCGGGCAACTACTATTTTTGGTGGGCGCTTAGGCGGGCTCGTTGGGGGCTGACGGGGAGGTCTCGGGTCTGGTACATGGGCTGCGTTTGTATTATTCTGTTTCAGCTGAGGCGTGTATTTATTTCCGACACGCGGACTAGAGCCACCAAAAGCTGGCTCCGTTCTCTCGGGCAAAGGCGAGCGCTTCGGCGTATACGGATTGTCGGGATCTAACGCATCGCTCGTTGCCTGACGCTTTAAACCCTGCGACGAAGCTAGAGTTGCGCTGGCAGACGTCGAATTCGAGGTGGCGGGCGGACCAGTCCGGCTCCCGGGGGAGGGAATGCCGGGGGAGGGAATGCCGGGGGAGGGAATGCCGGGTGACTTGCCAAACCGACCTTCCATGGAGCGGCTGGGTTTAGCCGGAGGCCTGTCTCCGCCCAGGATACTCAACATCTGGCTAACATCTCGCCGCTGACGAGGCTCTTTCCGAATAGGCGGCGGTCGGGTAGTCTGTGTGGTTTAGCCTTCCACACTCATGTCAGTCTGATACTGCCGGCTAGAGGCCCAAAGAAAGATGTACTCCCGTTGAATAGGGCTGACTACAGAAATTCAGCTGGAAGCAGAACGCGGGCTGCAAGTAAGCCGGTGCTTCGTTAAAACGGCGACGACAGACGGGAACATGGCAGCTCATCGCGTTTATATCCGCCGCAGCTAGCTACCTCTCTCGAGCCCCGAAGATGCGACTCGTCCGAACTGCCACCCCTCAGGCTTGATGCATCGCGCTCTATCCCTAGGCCAGCTCATGCAGGTCCGGCAACTCCTGCCCAACACCGTCACGACGGCGTTCTGCACCATACCCAATCCCGGGCCAGCCCATGCAGGTCGCTCCGGCTCCAGATTGAACAGACGACGAAAAATCCCGCCCAGCGCGCCGTTTCCGGTTCCCCTCGTTGCCGGGCCGCCGCGCCGGGCCGGCCGTCTCATGCGCGTGTTACCAGGGGGTCCGGCACCGGGCCGCCGCGGCCGACACGGTCGAGAAACAGCGGGGCCGCCAGTCTGGCCCCGTTTGGCATACAGGCTCAGACATGTGGCAGCCGGGGCCTACCCGGCCTGCGTTCCGGCCGCCCGCCTTGCGAGGTGTTGCTGTGCCGCCCCACCCGTTCCCACACCATAACTGCATGGTCTGCGCCGCCCTCGCACAAGTACAATCTCGCCGCGAACCATTCTCCTATCCAAGACACGGCACCAGTCATACGGGAAGAACCAACGTCAGCACACCAGTCGCACGGAAACACAGCCCCCACAGCCCCCACATTTACGTCTGGCATCAGCAACATTTACGTCTACAGTGGCATCAGCAACATTTACGTCTACAATGGCCTCGGCATCAGCAACGGAACAGAAAATGGACATCAGCCTCAAGGCGATCAAGGACTGCGCCTTCTCCGAGTACGAGCGGCAGATCTTCCACGTCATCAAGGCGACGCTGCAGTCGCGGGCCAAGACGGCGGCCAAGAGCACCAAGATCGCGCAGGACATTGCCTTCTTCTGCATCTCGCAGGACGAGGGCGTCGACGTCGGTGAGACGCTGTGGAACGTGTGGGCCGTCGTCGTCGAGATGGCGTCGCGCATCCCGGCCGGCCACGCGTGGCAGGACAGTTTGGTACTCGGGCTGGACGTGCTGCGCGAGCAGGACGGCGCCGTGCTGCCGGCGGATGAGGACGACGAGGATGAGAAGGACGGGAAGAAGGTATGTATTTTTTTTTCATGCCGCACCGCTTCCCGTGTTTCTCGAGACCAAGTGCTAATGTTCATCCAACCGCAGCCGCTGCTGTGGCAGGACCTGCCGAACCTCGCGCTGTGCGTGAGGGAGAAGTGGATTGGCGAGTCTGCCTCGACAACCAACATCGCTTGTTAATGGTTACAGCCTGCTGACACGCACCTAGACCCGACCGAGACGGCCGAGGACCTCGCAGACGAGTTCGCGCGGTGGCGCAACCTCAACTCGTTCGTGGCGCGGGTGACGAGCGATGAGTTCGCGCCGTGGCGCAACCTGAGCGTGTGGCAGCTGCGGGGAGCACTGGAAAAGACGCCCCTGGCCAACGCGGCGGCCTTTGACACGCGCGTGTGGGTGGCGACGGAGTGGGCCATCGAGTGCGCCGACGTGCTGTACGAGCAGCTGCGGCCCAAGACGGAGCCCGACGCCGCGACGGTCAAGTCGCTGCGCGCCGGCCCGCTGTACGGCGACGGCAAGCCCGTACTGGCCGTCGAGCGCTGGGCCTTCTGGAAGGCGCGATTCGCGGAGCTGCGCGCCGATGCGGCGAACCTGGGACTGAGTGCTGCGACGGCGGCGCGCATCTCGGAAGCGCTGAAGAGCATGGAGGCCGTGCATGCGCCGAAGAAGTAGGTGGTGCTGTTGGACGAGGCTGCATCTTTGTGTGCGACAGAGACTGCGCTGCATCTTTGTGTACGACAGAGACTGCGCTGCATCTTTGTGTACGATAGAGACTGCGCTGCATCTTTGTGTACGATAGAGACTGCGCTGCATCTGCATGAGGGGTAGGGGGTAGACTCAAGACTGCTGCATCTGCATGGGGGGGAGTAGCTGAAGACTGCTGCATCTGCATGGGGTTAGGGTAGACTCAAGACTGTAGAGTAGACTCAAGACTGTAGAGCGATAAGAATGCCATTTCATTGAGAGTTGTCACCCTCAGACCCGTTTTTCTTCATATGGACAGTCCGCATGTGGGTTGTTGTGGGTGGGTTGTCGTGGGTGTGTTGCTGCTAGACGCCTCGGTCTACATGGTAGATAAGGGAGGTTCATGCGGCTCGGACTGTGTCACCACACCCCTTTCTGCCAGTCATTATCAAACGATACGATTGGAACACAACGGCATCGCCCGTCAAGCCGAATACGGGTACCGGGTCCCGTATCCTTCCAACACCGCACAACGACTCCAGGGCACCTTATCAAGAGCCTCCCAGAAAGTGCGCGTCTCGTCGTTATCAGCGTGCGGGGGGGCGCTGCGAGATGTGCAGTTAGTCCAATAAAGGGCTAGAGCGGCCACACTTGACGGCTGCCTATGCCGAACCAAGTCCAGAAGTCCGTAGATCATTTGTCCGGCTGTGCTGCCCCCGCATTAGCGTTGGCAGGTTGGCTGGCTTGGTAGTGCGGAGTGACGCTGTCTGCCCGAGGGAGTTGTAGTAGGTAGATAGATAATAAGCATCTTTGACGGCGACGAGCCGCTGCCGCTGCCGCTGCCTCTGCCGCTGTTCACGCTCTGGAACAGTGCAAGAAAACGTGAACTCGATCCTCGAATCTGAATCTCACCAGTAAAGCAAAGACGCCAAAGACGGCCCTAAACATGCCCTTCCTAACAAGTACCGGCCTCTCCATGGCCAGCAACTGGGCGCTCCTCGCCGTCATCGCCGTCGTCGCCGCCGTCCTGGCCGCAGCTTCCATCTTCTTAACCCACCGTTTCTCACGCAAAACCATGCCGCCATCGCCGTCGCCGCCGCCGCATGCCCTCGTATTCCCACCCTCGCGGCGCCACGCTCTCGCCAGCCTGCCGCAGTTTGAGAAAGCCACTCCACAGCAGCACGAGACGATAACACCGGCAATGCTCCGGGCGCGGGCGCTCACGACCAAGGCGAAGCCCGACCTGCACGTCGACGGCCTGTACACGCCGACGGGGTTCGCGACGCAGGACATCCGCGCGCTGGGCCGCTTCCCCGACTACGCCGTGCTGGCCGGCGTGCGCCACCCCGAGCCGGTAGGGCCCGGCTGGGACATCGCCAGGGCCGTCTTCCGGCCCTACCGCCCGTTCCGCTGGGGCTATCACCAGCACATGGGTGCGTCTGCGTTTGTTTATCTCTCTGCAAGCAGCAGGCAGGCACGAAGAGCTGAGATGTCGTGTGTCGTGCTGACTCTTGCCCAGCCCTGATGAAGTACGAGCCCGACTGGTGGGTCGAGCTGGAGCGCGGCTACACCAAGACCATGGCGGCGCGGCAGGCGCTCCTGCAAACGCACGGCGACAGGATCTTCTTTGCCGGCTCCGGCGCCGCCGACCTCGCCGCCCGCGAGCTGATGGAAATGCTGCTGCAGTTCCTGTGCCGGCGGTACCCGGCGCACTTCCGCCTCGAGCGCGGCGGCGACGTGCTTGTCAACGGCCTGCTGGGCACGGTGACCGACTTGGTGAGCACGCCGCCGCTGCGCGTGCTCTTTGAGAACGTCCCCGAGGACTACGCCATCATGCTGCGCAACGAGGATGACGGGCTGTACTACCTGCGCGCGGCCATGGTGTGTTCGTCGGTCGGGTGGTGAGTCCCGAGTCCCCTTGTTCCGGTCGATGCTTGCCCCCCTGACCCCAGGTTATTGACACCCGTCAGGGACATCGCACAGCACCGTGACTCGCCGCTGCGGGCCATCCACACGCACGTGCCCGACGCGGGCCGCATGGCCATGAGCATGGATCGGTGGTTCAGCCGGCTGGCCACGGACACGCCCGTCAGCCGGTGCAGCTGGAGCCTCGAGGACTGGGAGGTCATGTTCACGTCGCCCGAGGCGGACGCGGGGTGGACGCGCAGCGCGTTCGCGGGCCGGCCCGACGCGTTGAACGTCGGTGACATCCGCCTGCGCTGCGACGCCCAGACGCTGCGCCGCCTGCCCGTCAGTGGTGCTGTCGTGTTCAGCTTCAAGGCCGTCTTCACGCCGCTCGCTGAGCTGCGCGGCGAGCCCTTTGTTCCCGCGCTGCTGCACCGCGTGCTGCGCGACGGCAAGGCGAATCTCATTGGCTACAAGTGTGTTGACAATGTGCGGCGTGTGGCTATGGAGGCGCTGGAGATGTGGGCGGCCGAGCAGGCCGAGCAGGGAATAGTGCCGCCTGACTGGGAGGTGGGCACGCTGGACGAAAGCCCCTTTTTCCCCGGCTGGCGGGAGAAGTTGCGGCGGCAGCAGGGCTTCTAGTCAGGACTCACTGGTATTTAACTGGGGCTGAAGTCGGTATTTGAATTTATTACCGTGTCTGTTCTATTCATCTCTTTGCGATTGGCTGTTGGCCCATTCTTGTCCATGTCTTTCATCTCCTCTCAGTCCACGACATGGTCACGGCCTGTGACCGCCTGAACGAAAACAGAAACCGATTGCCCCGCCCGATCTTGAGCCGCCGAGGGGGTAGGGAGACGTGTCTCAGACGGCTCCAAAGGCTTCGAGATTGTGCAGCATGGATTCCCCATTTCTGAAGGGATAATGTGAAGAAATGCTTGTGTTTAGTGAGGTCTGTCATCGCACAGTCAACTAGATGAGGCAAGGCTGCATTAAGGTCGCTGTATTCGTAGAATCTAAAGCTAAGGAAAAGAAAAAGGAAAAGAAGTTCCAAATTCTGTGCGGGGCTTGAAGGAGTAGGGTTGGTCTGTGGGTCACGTGTTGGGGCGCCGCACAGGCCATTCGGTTTCGTACCCGACCCCGCACCCCAATTGGGATTCCTTACCAGGACCCCTCAGCCAGTTGTCTTGGCACTTGCCAGCCAGCTGCCTTTGCACTTGCCGTGACACGGTCAAGGTAATTCGACGGCAGTGCAGTTCAAATGGCAGCAAGCTTTTTAAACAAACGAAGCCATGTAAAAATTAAGCGCCAGGCATCCGGCCAGTCCATCACGCCCGCCCAGCTCAGCCTCGCTGTGGCGGAACAGAAATGGTTGGCTGTTTTGGTAATCTGGCTTTATTTTCCGTCCTTCTTTGGAGCTCTAGGGAATTAAGACCGTTGGGATAACCAACAATCCCAGTCCTGATGAATATGGGTAGGACGTAATCTACACTGCACATTCCATTATTCCCGCCGACGTCTCTTCTCGCCGCGACTACGAAGCTCAACGTAATTTGCCAAAATGTGCAGCTAGATGCCGGAACCACAATCGCAGTAGTTGATGTAGTTTTACGCGTTCCCTGGTCGGGTGGGAATGAGCAAGAAAAGGCCATAGGCTAGGAGGTAGAAACACAAGGTGAAGGACGTGAGGAAGGTCGAGTATCCAAGAGCCCCCCTCCGTATACCCTCAACTGCCCACGAATTATCCAAGGCCTTGAGAATCAGCAGAAAAAAAGAAAGAGAAAGGAGAAATAAACCCCCCACAAGCAAAAGAAAATGAAACAAAACCGAAAAATCCCCTATCGTCGTGAATATCTTCTTCATCGTTCGGTACACGTAAGCGACGTTCTGGGCCTCCTTTGCCGGCGCCCGGAAAGGTCCGTCTTTCTTTTGGGAGAAGGAATATGGCGGTATGACGGCTCATAAATACATCTTCTTTATCCTTCCTTTGGTGGGCTTCTTCCACCAGGCCTGTCAACGCCAGGGGAAAGAAATCGTCTTTCAACAAGATAACGCACCGAGCCATAGAGCCAAAATAACAAAACAAGCATTCCGGGACTTAGGGATCCAAGTTCTGAACTGGCCGGCCAATAGCCCAGATCTATCACCTACAGAGAATGTGTGGCCCTGGTTGAAGAATTGGGTAGAGAGCCACTACGATATTCAGTCCCTGAGCTCCTTGGAGTTCCGGACGGCTGTCATGGCTGCGTGGGATGCAGTCCCAGAAGATTTTTTACTACGGCTTGCCCACAGTATGCCGAGGCGGCTGCAGATGGTCATCGAAACAGGTGGTAATATAATAAACTTTTGATCAAAATGTAGTATTTTGGGCTGTTTCTTTGACCCCCGAACCCCTGATTTGCTGTGTGGCTATGGCTTAGGTAGGTGGTAAATTGTGGTTACTTGAGCGCCTTGGCTGTACCACACTGACCTTTATTACCCCGGGGGAGGTGTATATTCCGCTGTGGCCCAGATAGCTAGACTTCCTGCAAGCAATCCAGTCATTGCCTTCCTGCTCATGGGGTTGGTTTTGAAATCTCACGGCGTTAGCTAGTTTGCCAGTGCCGTTCCATACCTACAGATCCGTCCAAGTATGCTAAAACCCCCTGTAGTGGAGTGGCCCTGAAGATCGTTATCTTCCTGCACTGTGGAAGATTGACGTGTTGACTGGGCAGCTGGCGTCCGTAGTCTAACCCCTTTTTGGAGCGTGGCGTTCTGAACCTTGCAAGGGGGAGGGTGACCCTCTTTTGGGGGGCTCTCGCCTCCGTACCTGCGCAGGCTTTCTCAACCCGCGGCACCTTTTGAATATAGCGAAGTCAATTAAAATGCAGGTAAAATGCTCCAAAAAGGTGATCAATTGTGTTACAACTGTGTGTGCGTTGTAGACGCGGAAAGCGCGTTCCTTGCAGTGATTTTTCCTGCATTAGGCGGTGAGCCCGGCAGTATTGCCAAACCTCGCCACCATGCCGTGTGTGGTCAATTGGAGCACCCATTCTACGTGACAGCACCTCCGAGATGCACCGCCCTTCAGCTTAGAGCTTCGAAGGACATGATGAAAGCGGTGCCAGGACAGTTTCTTTTGGCCTCAGCCTTCGTACATACGTCACCTAGATACCTTGTACGGAACAAGCCTAGCAAATTCGTTAAGCCTAGGATCGGAAAACCACACAGTCGCCTGGAATTGACCCACTTTTCATGTAATTGAACTACATTTTCTAGGCCCTGGTTAGCATGCCTCTGTACTTCCTTCATTCTTTATTTTTCCTTTATTCTTGGCCTCGAAATGCCCTCATTTCGGGCTGATTACAACAATTCCCTTGCCCTCTCTCAACGAGTATAAGGAAGCGTTCTTTTCTGTACTCTTAGATCTATTTGGCTAGACAATTCAATACGCTGTCAACTTCGATCACTTACAAGACACACCCTAAGCAAAATATAGGTAAAAGAAAGAGCAAAATTATTTATAATATTCTGAAAGGAGGGGGAGTCTCTCACATAACCTAACCTTGGTTGCAGAAGTACATCCAAAATTCTATCGCTGAGCGTAGGGACTGTACTACTTTTTAACACAAGGTAAATAAATCTATTCGAAACCTAGGCAGTCGCCTAGGTCCTGCACTCAATATGAGCGTAGGCCTACACAAGTTTGGTCCAGTTAGCGATGTAATTACGATGCCAGTGCCTAGAGCAGTGCAGCCTAGTGAGGGTTATGAGTGCCTCCGTGTATGGGACGATTCAACGAGGCTCCCCATTAAAATTGGGGGCGTCTCCGGCTACTGTAAAATCGTCCCCATCCACTGTATTCCTCCATACATAACCCTAATCCTATTAAAATCGCTACATCCAAAATTCTGCCGCCACGTAATTTACCACTTTTTACCACAACCCAATTACGCTGCAACCTTCGTATTCCACTATAACCTTCCTTTTCTACTACAACCTTCCTTTCCAACCAAACCACTACCAAAATCATCGCCAACGACTTCAATCAATCGATGCACTAGTAAGCCTTCATTTACTTTATTGTTTACCATCGCGCCCTGCTAATCTAGCCTCAGAAATGCCCCATCTTGAAGAGCTTAGCGATTTCGGTGATTTCGGCGATTCCAGCGAGTCTAGCGATGCGCCCGATGATGGAGATGCGCCCGCGCCGCCCGCGCCGCCACCATCACCACTTTCCAACCCGCCGGCCAACCACAAGCTTTTTACCTTCAAATACGACACCCTCGACCATCTAGTCGTCGATTTGAACGAATGGGCTACTTCTATACGCTTTGGCGTATACAAGCTACGCGGCGCCAATTATGCCAAAGACTTCGGGCCAAGAGTGGATTTTGGCTGTTACCGAGGGAAAGTCGTAAAGTCCAAGGCAACGAAGAACATCACCACCACCGATCACAGGGACTGCCCCTGGCAGGGCGTAGCCAAAGCGCTTGTTTCCAACGACCGGAAATGGATCTTTGAGCCAGCGCTGGCATCAATTCAATCAGGCCAAATATGAAGCCTTATTTAACTGTATTTGAGGCCCGGAGTGGTGTATTTATCTGTGTGTAGGGCTCTCTCTGATTGGGTGGGTTTTATTTGACTTAATTGACGGAATTTGCCGCTCCACCAAAAAAACAAGGAAATCGAGCCCCGAATAGCACCCTAAGACCGGAAAAAAGCCCTCGACCTTCAGGACCTTTATTTCGTCGCCCAATTCTTCGTGCACATGAGGTAATTCAGGGTTTCGTCGAGCATACCATGCCTCTGAGTCCCAAGGATCAGTTTTCCCTGGCTGAATGCCCTCTCGCACTCTGTTGACATAGACGGTATTGACAACAAGTCAAAAGCCATCTTTGACAACCGGGGCCAACGCTCTCTTCTTTCCTTCCACCAAGCCAGTATGTCATCCACCCGCCTGACACTTTCGTAAAGGTATTCAGCTACTTCGTTCTTCAGGTTGGGGTCATCAGGGTCATCATGGTAGTCGTGGGTGATAAGATGACTCCCTCGACCTTCGTGAGGCGTACGAACCGGCACTGGGAGAGGGATGCCGGCGTACTCGGCCTCGTAGAGATCCCGGAATGCCCTCATCGCTTCTTCAGCCCGGTCGCTGCCCAGGAACTGGTTGACCCACTTCTCCTTGTGCCCTGGGTGTAGTATCATAGCCGACCAGTATGCTGGGCTCTCCTCCATCAATCTAACGTATTCTCTGAGCTTCTGAATGGCCAGGCCAACGCTTGTTCGAAGAAAGGATAAATGATCGTCGTCAAGATCAGGTGGTGACGGCGGCGGGGAGTGTAGTGGTTCGTCTGGTAGGTCTTCAACAAGGTCGGCAACAAGGTCGAGGGAGGGCGGCCTGATCTGGCCGGTCGGCAGGCGCCGGGGTAGGTCGATGACCGAGCCGTCGAACCGGGTAGGAAGACGACGGTTACGCTGCGACCGTTGTGATGCTTCCCCGGTAAACAAGACGCCGTTGTCATCGTCGTCGTCTATACCGAATGATCGAGGCTGTTGGCTTGCGACCGTGATCTCTGGATGGGTGTGTACCGGGCCACCGGTAAAATCGGTGACGGCTTCAAGGTTCGGGTGTAGGGTTCGAAGGCGATCCTCAAGCAGATCGATTAGCCACTCCTGCGTAGCGAGGACTTCAGGAAAGGTAGCCGCGCGCCCTTCAAACCACTTCGTGATCTTTTTGAAGGGTTTAAGAATAGACAAAACAATGGAAAGCAGGTGCCAGTCACTTGGTTGTAGCAGGTCGGCGGCGGGCATGCGCTTTTGAGGGTCCTTCTCGGTCAGATTTTTATGGCACCAGTAATCCACTTGGCTCTGTAAACGCACTGCGCGTTCGATCATGAAGAAAACAGAATTCCAACGCGTAGAATTATCGCCACAAAGCTGTAAACCTTCGACTGACCTGTCAAATATAGCCGCGCCGAATTCCTGCGCATCTCCCTCGCCGATCTGATTGCGCGCGACCTGTAGAAAGGATTCCCGGCGTTGTGGTGACCTCCGAATGAAGTGGACGACGTTGTGGAGTTTTCCAACAGGCCCTCTCTTTCGCCATATCTTCAACAACGCTTCTTCCTGCTCGGGCGGTAACTGGCCGACGAAGTCATCGTCAAAGGTTCTTTCGAGGTTAGTCGACTTGCCGAGAATGAAGGCCTGCGCTGCTAGGTTGAGGATGTGGCCGAAGCAGCGCACACGACGCTTTGTGCCTAAGGAATCCCGGGAAAACCGGTCAAGGCCAGGAATTAGCGACTCCAAGGTAAATTTTACTGCCCAGTTGTTCGAATCCACGTTGTCACACTGAAAATAACCGACGCTCTTAGCGAAGCCGTAGTCGTTAACTAGCCGAGAGATGTAGAGAGCCTGGTTCTCGCCGCTGTGAGAGCCTCGAAGGTGGGGCATTCCAAGCAGGTCTTGTTGTATGGCGCCGTCAACATCAGTGTAATGTACGAAGACCGCTAGGTAGGAAACTGTCGCGTTGGAAGTCCAAATATCGAACGAGAGATGCTTCTTGTATGGCGATGCGGCTAACCTCTCACGTAGGGCCTGTTGTTCAGCCTCAAACCTCTTTCGAATATGCTCTCGAATGGTATTGTGCGAGGAAGGAATCAGGGTAGCTGTCTTCTCGGCATTCAGGTCCATACAAAAATCCCGAAATCCCTTATGCTCAACGATGCTGAAAGGCAGGTTCGAGCCGACGACTAGATCGACGAGCTTTTCTTCCAAAGAGAGCTTGTGAGGCAGTAAAACAACCCTCGCGCGCTTTGTATTGACAACTTGAAGCGTGCCTTGCCTTTTTCCGGGCCTATTCATACCAGTAGACGATGACTTGGGTGCGAATGTTGCGTGCTCTTTTTCCAGATGTATAATCGCCGAGCTTGTTGAATCCGCCTTGAACAGGCTCTCGCAATAGTGGCATGCCCAGAAATATTCTCCCTCGATGATAGCGTTGTTGATGATCTGGGCGACCCAGTAGCCGTGATCACGAATCCACGATGTCCTTTTTGGTGTTTTTCCCGCCCACTTTTCCGGTATAAAGGACCCTCTTGGTATTTTTATCTTCGGCCAATCCTTGACTGGAACCCCGGAAAGATCTTTGACATCTACTCCTTCTTCATGGAGCGCATCGTGCTGTCTCGATAGTCGTGATAGCTTCGGAGGAAGGGAGGGAGGAAGATTTCCGGCGGTAGGGAGGCTTGTCGAGAGGGTCGCGACATCAACGGTGGAGGCAGGCATTTTGTCGAGGACTCGGGAGCCAAGGAAGTAGGGAAATCGCTGCAAGAAGGTAGGATTCGGTAGGATTCGGCAGTTTGTTTACAACGGTTGGCGATAGTTGCATTGTAGCGGCACGGCGGCACTCGAATTCAGGGCATTCGAGGATTTTCCCGGGGCCAGAAAATGCAGGGTTGGCCTTGGTCAGGGACTGCCCTGGCGCCAGGAAAACCCGGAAAATTGGGCCTAAAAATGGCCTAACCAATGGAAATATTTGCAAATACGCCAAATAACCGGGCCCTCAATTTGGCCTGTATTTGACCTCAAAAATGGCTTATTTATTTGCAAATACGGATTTCCTTATTTAATTGAATTGAATATATTTGGATTGGTGCCAGCGCTGCTTTGAGCTTCTTCCTGAGCTTCTTCCTAAGCTTCTTCCTGAGCATACCAACCATGCAAATCATCCGCCTGAGAGAGACTTCAACAAGTTGAAGCAGAGTCATCTTTGGCCCTGAGCACAAGGCATTCATTGCTGCATATATCGGCCGGCCAACTGTCCCCAACAGGGAGATTTCCAAAGACTTGCGAAGAGCTTTTCCGGACCTGGATTTCGATCATAGTCACTTACGAAAATGCCGCGCTCGCATTCGCAGACTTGCCCTCAAGGGATACTCGCCATTCCAGGCCACGAAGAAGTTGCTTGACGATGAGCATATCCATTATTAAGTCCTTTAGTCGGTTGATAACCCAAACAAGCCGAGGGGCCTTTTGGGTCTCCTCCCTGGTGTGAGGAGCAGTGGAAGCGTTACCCCTGGGTCTAGTTGTACGATAACACGTACAGTACTAACAACAAGGGCCTGGCTCTCTTCCAAATCGTCCACAAGAACCACCTGGGTAAATTAGTTAGTTGTGCGTTCGGCCTAATCGACAACGAACGTGAGGAAGGCTTCAACTGACACGGGAGGCAATTTCCAACGTCACCACCCCCTCTGCTCATGATTTTGCCCAAGCCCGCCCAGATCATGTACTGTTTCATCCCAGCAAAGTCAACAAACCACGTCATGGCTTTCGTCCCTTTCTCGGTCTCAACTCCAAGGGAAGGGACAACGGGACTTCACTTCACCAATAATTCCACCCTCCCAAAACACCCCACCCTATCCACCCCAGCCAAATAACCGCCCCAGTCCCTAGATATTCCCGTTTGCAGATGCTTCATAGCAACGCACGCCATCACGCGGGCTGGTACGGCGGGAACTCCACCGGTGGCAGCAGCGGCGCAGTGGCAAAGTACGGGCTCCCCGGCAGCGGGCCCCTGCTGCCACTAGCAGCACCCGAGCTGCGCCGGGGACTGCGGATCGGCGTCCGCGGCGGCGTGCTTGGCGTCTGCTGCTGCTGCTTTACCCATGGCGAGCGCGGATCTACTGGGCTGGGATCCTCGGCCGCTGATGCGAGGGTGTCGGGAGCGCAGTGGGTGGCCAGCCGCAGCGGGCTTGGTGGGAGCAGCGACGGTGTGAGTGTGGGCATGAGCGTCTCGGCGGCTGATGGCCGGCGCAGCGATGTTGTTGGTGTTGTTGGTGTCGCCGGCCCTCCCGTCGCCGCGTTGGTATTGCTGCTGCTGCTGCTGGCAGGGCGGCTGGCGGTGCGGACCACCGAGAGGTGCTGCTGGTGCACGCTGTCGGTCGACAGCTCGACGGGCGGGCGAGGCGGCAGTGGCACGGGCGTGAACGTCTGCGGTCGCGTGTGCGCGTGATGCGCCATAGTCGGCAGCGACGTGGCCGTCGATACTCGCTGGCCCCATCTCCCATACGGCCCTGTCTGATACGGCCCTGTCTGATACGGCCCTGTCTGCCGCGGCCCCCGGTAGTGCTTCTGCCGGTGCCGAATAACGCAGCAGCAGCCCGCCGCCAGCACGCCGACCACGAGCACCGCGCCGCCAGCCGCGATCCCCGCGATGCCGCCCACGCTCAACCCCGACGCCGCCGGCGGCGCTAACTCGGTGCTGGGTGCAGAGACGCTGCGCGTGGGCGAGCGGGTGGCCACGGCGGCGGTGCGCGTCATCAGCACCGACAGGCCGGGAGCGTCAAAGCCGGTCGCAGGGGCTGTCACGGTCGCGCCGCCGGTAGCCTGCCCGCCGACGGCGGCGCGGATGTCGGGGGGCACAGCGTACGTGGTCAGCGCGGGCTGGTAGGCGGCCCAGACGTCGCTCTCTCCCAAAGCCACGTTGTGCTGCCCGCCGGCATCCTCGGCGTCGTCGCACATGCCGGCCGTGGCATTCGTATCCGCAAAGGCGCCGCCCACCACCAGCATCTGCCCGCCGTTGACCACGTTGCACGTCATCATGCTCTTGGGGAACGGCTTCGACGTGTTGCCGCCCGCCGAGTCCGCGCCGCGGATCCACTGGAAGCTCGGGATTGTCAGGATGTGTATGTCGTCGTATCCCGTTGTGTTGGGAGGGAACCCGGCACCGCCGTAGATGTAGCTGGCGCCGGCAAGTTAGTTTGTCACTCCTCGTTCCCTGCCACTACCCTGCCACTACCCTGCCACTAATGAAACAACAGCGGAACTTACATGTTGTAGCTGGACTGGTCCTGCGCCCACGTCGCGCCACCACAAAAGCGGCGGCGGGCGGTCGGGGTGTGACCCGACGTAGCCTGTGCGTACCACCTCGCACCGGCAATGTCGTACAGAAAGACCTCATCAAGGGGCTGCGGCGCGGCGGTGCCGTTGCCGTGCAGGTCCGCGCTGCCGCCAAGGTATACCAGCATGCCGGCGCCACCAGCAGGGATGTAGACCATGGCGCCATCTGCGCGCGCGACGGCGTCGGGCCCCGCCAGGCTGCTCCACGCGTTCGCGTCCATGGCGTAGCGCACCAGCCGGCTCGAAGCTCGCGGTGGGCCCGGTCCCCACCCGGCCGCGGAAGCGTTGCTGGCCCAGCCGCCGTAGTAGTACGCTTCGCCGCGCCCGGCCACCGACACGCCGGCCCCGTAGCTGGTCGGCGTGATGGTGTCTGCCGGCGCGGACGCGTCCCACTGGTCGTGGAGGATGTCGTAGCCGTACAGCGTGGCACGCGCCGGCGGCGGCGCCTGGCGGTGGTCGCCCCCAAACAGGTACAGGCGCTTGTTGACGGCGTCTGCCCAGAGCACGCCGCCGCTCACGCTCGGCACTGTCGCGTTCTTAGACAGCGTGGCGTATTGCGGGGGCATGCCGTGCATCTCGCCGCTCAGGTCGCTGTACAGGAAGAAGGTGTTGGTGTAGTTCTGGGAGGACTCGGTGAACGGCTTCCAGTTGACGGAGCCCCCGTCGACGTACAGCTTGTTGTCGACCACGGCAGATTGGTGGCCGAACCGCCGGCAGAAATCCTTGACGGGGTCATACTGGGCGGCCGAGAGCGCGAGCAGGTGCAATGTGAGAAGCTGGAGCGAGTGCGGCCGAGAGATGTGCATGGCTGAGCGTCATCTGTGTGCCCCGGGACGTGCTTCCTGCTTACTTGCATGGAACGAAGCGGCACGTCTGGGAAACAAATGATGTCGGCTGTGGGCGAGAATGGTAAACAGATGATGTCGGCTGTGGGCGAGAATGGTAAACAGATGATGTCGGCTGTGGGCGAGAATGGTAAACAAATGATGTCGGCTGTGGGCGAGAATGGTAGTTCAGGTTAGAATTCGCTCTCGTTGGTTGGCTTGTTGGCTTGTCATGGTCACATCCGAGTTTGGGGTTGCAATGTGGCCGCTGTCGGGTTGACGCGAGATGGGAAAGGGGCGAGATAATGGGGACCCGAGCAAAGACCACGCTTGCATTGTCAGGATGGCGTCTCTGGCGTCACGGACCCAGAGAAGGGAGTAGGCAGAGAATGCCCTTTGGTCTTGGCCCTGAATGGCAGCGGAGCATCGCTGTTTGACGATTGGGCGTGACGGCGTGTGTTATTGCGGTGGTTCCTTGGCCCTGCCCTGGTGGCCAATCATGTCTGGGTGACGGGTTTCTCCGCAGCGACTGCTCAGCCCTCCGCAAAACTCACTGGCCCGGCGGACAAATCAGGGTTCGCGGTCTGTCCAGACTGCCTGCCGAGCTGACGGGACGCAACCCAAACCGCACGGGATGCTCCGGACTATGGGGCCGGCCGGCCAGTCAAACAACTCACAGCTTGCGCTGTTGACGAGCCAAGGTGGCTGAATGGAACGAGGCTGTTTGGAATGGCTTTCGTCTCTCAAGCACCTGAGTCTCGAGACCGACCAAGAGCACACACAACCCAGCAGCAGATTGGCGCAATCTCAACAGAAGCTTTACTAGCCACTGGCCATCAGTGCCCAGGAACAAGCTTATGGTTTGTGCTTCACTTTCTACAGCAGGCTCTCCAAGGAACGCGCCCCGTTGGCCCTACCGAGCCGATGCCCAACGCGTTGAGCCGTCGAGGAGGTTTGACTTAACCCGCAGCCAATCGCGGCAAAAGACGCTGCCGTCAGCCCTACAAGGCATACTCAACGGGAGAGCACACATGGGCCAAAACCCTGTTTTATTTCGTGAGGTGGCTAGGTCCAGGCATACTCAAGCTCCGAGTGGCTGATCAGCGCCAGCCGCGGCTGAAGGCGCTGCATTAGTGCATCCGAAACTCGACCTTGGCAGCCACTTTGCAGCCTGGGCTGCTTGTTATCTTACCTACATCGCCAGCAATGGATCAGCGCGCCTAAGCAGGTACATTCAGTTACTAAGAGGATGGCCAATGGACAAAATGCCTCCATAAACCCCGCAGCGGGTAAACCTAGCTGGTGTCTGCAAGAGTTGAGCGAAAGGTAGAAGACAAGCTAAGTGCAAAGGGAGACGACAAGAGCAGAATGCGAAAAGACAGAATATCCAAAACGCAAGTTTGATCCGTGTGCAAATTAGGCTAAAGGTAAGGTGACAGCGTTTCCTGACCATCGTGGTATCGTCTATACAAGCGATGCTTTCACTCACTCCCTCTTGGATTGCTGTGCTTTCCGCGATAAGACTGTGCCTTCCGCGATAAGATTGTGCCTTGCAAAAGACAATGTAGCCCATACATCAGGTGGGAGGTGGTTTCCTTCTGTCCACGAGAAACAGGACATCAAGACATCACACATCCGCCGTGGACCCGCCATACGAGTGTATCTAATTGAAAGTCCGTCAGTTCAAATTCTCAGCAGACTGGTTACAGACAAGCACAAATGCAAGAAGCGAGAATAACAGGGGCAGCAACACTTGAGACGAAAAGGGGGAGAGAAAAAATGGAAAGAAAGACTCACAGTCTGATCCGCACACCCGGCCGGGGTGTTGTACAGATACGCGCCGGTGTTGACAAACAGCTCCTTGGCGTCGCCGCAGACCAGCCACGCGGCCACGTTCGGCCGCGCGAGGTCGGGCGCGGACCAGGTCAGCGTGTCGCCCTGGAAGGCGAAGACGCCGTAGGGGTTGGTGACGGCGGGCTCGAACCACGTGCGCAGCGTGCGCTGCGTCTTGTCGGCCGCGTTCTCCACGTGCAGGTAGTATTGCGTGTTGCCGCGGTTCCACACCAGCTGCCCCGACACGACGTTGAACTGTCCTGCCGAGGCAGCCGACGAGATCAGTGCCGTGAGGGACGACGACGCGGGCGCCGTCGGCTGTGCTGCGCCCTGCAGGTAGCTGTGGAAGTTCGGTGCGGCGACGGCGCGGATCCAGTACCAGCCTGACTGGAGCGTTGTTGGTGTCGGGCTGGAGACGCCAGTGCTCGAGCTGAGCGCGGTAGTGGGGGCCTTGGTGGACGAGGCCTTGGTGGTGGTAGTGGTGGTAGTGGTTACTGGGGGTACGGTTACGGCGGACGAAGACGAAGAAGAGGACGGGGTCGGCTTGGGAGTCGCCGCTGGGGTGCTCGGGTAGCACTGCGCGTAGTAGGGGCTGGGTTGAACAACGGTCAATGTGATTCTTTGCTCATTCCAGGAAATACTTCATCTTACTTGTACGTCGTGCAGGTGTACCCGGCAGGGCAGTTTGTGGGCCCCGCGTAGCTCATGCCGCCGCACTGGTCGTACGGTGACTGGGCCGCGGCAGCTACCGCGGAGACGGCGAGGGTGCTGATGAAGCGCATGGTGGATTTGCCTTTGTCCTGGGGAGATGCGAAATTTCAGGGAAAGGAAGAAGCAGAGATCATCAGAATTTATCGTATTCCGGTACCCCCGGGTCGACGTGTGGTCTTCTTTCGGGTGGCCAATCCCGGGCATGTCAAATGCTATTCCGAGCAGCAGGCATCTCGGTTGGCGCAGCCGGCCATGCCGTTCGGCGCTGCTCTTGCCGAGTCGAATGTGCAACGCAGCTACACAGCGAAAGGGGAAAGGCGTGCTCGACCGGGGATGTTGGCGTCCCGCAACCCGGACTATTGTGCGTCTGTGCGCCTGATGGACGGGTGCGGTGGTATCGAATATAGTAATGTACCTTGGTGAGCAGGTGGCCGCACATCTGTGGGTCGGTTCCCCGGAATGCTAGGGTAGCAATGCCGTTGTGCGTCTGGACGGAGTGTGGGCTCCGGTTAGGTCGATTTGGTGCTAGTACGGACAAAAGCTTACAGCATTGGCTGGTTGACAAGACAGACAAGTTGGCCGCGGATAATAATTAACTATCGAAGAACGTTCAAATTCGCATGTCGACGTCCCTTGGGGAACGGGAAATACTCCACCATTGAAAGCGTTCTGCGGATCATGACACCTCTGACGTAGCTCACGCGCCCCGCTTGATCTTGCTGGCGTACCAAAGATCTGACATTCTCCCGGAAGGCCGAGGCCGCTTTTGGGAAGAGACCGCCTTTTCGGATCTGAGGCTCGGATCTGCTGCGGTTTCATCGCGCCTGGGCGCTGTCTCTCCGGCGCTACGACTGACTTGCAAAGACTCATCCGCCCGGGCCCCTGGGTGCCAGAACTGCTGGTTGGGGTGTAAGAATATCCCAGAGTCTTCGGAGACGGCGTCGACGGCGTTGTTGTTCTCAGACGCGTGGCTTGAACCTATCCCGCTGTCGTGAAGCGGTGTCAACGCCCCAGCCGCGTCGTCTTCTCCTTCCGCAACCTCGGGCTCGCCCCTTCCGGCTCCCCGCGATCCCCCTTCCGGCTCCCCGCGATCCCTCCAGCGGAGAGGATACTCGAAGTTATGGCCGACAACGATGGCACCTCCCGCTGGCAGCGAGGCCGGACTCCGGTAGCTTCTCCCCCACAGCTTCGGATGATGCGTGAAGAGGAATACCTAAACCCTGTCCCGCTTAACCACCGAGACGGCCGAATCGTAACGGTAGGGTTCAAAGAACCTGTCGGGCACATGCTAGTGAGTGTCTTTGGTAACCCTCCAAGGGGGCTTGCCTATTTCACCCTTCCTCTCAATAATGCGGAGCAGATCCGAATTAACCCCGGTCGTACAGTAAGTACCACCTCCGGAAGCGCCACAGCGATCAACGGGAGCGGCTAAACCCCAGCCTGACTAGCTAGATGCCCGCTTACCGGGGTGAGATATCTCGGCCGCCGTTTTTACTTCTAGTGGGATATAAACCCCCTCTCCTCTCCTCTCCTCCTTGCGTTCCCCCTTTCTTAGCCCCAACCCGTTAGAATGCCCTCGGAAGTAATCTTCGTCTAAAATCTAAAATCCCCTCCCCCTCCCTCTATCTAACCCCCGCAACCTACAAAAATGGTACGAACAAATCTACATCCCGGACCTCCTCGCCCTCCCTAACTAAGAAGTTGAATCCGCCTTTCGCTATTCCGTAGTGGACACGCTAGAAAATGAAACTGATGCGCAAGGGTTCTCAGGGTGGCGAAATATTTTCAATACAGGGATCAATCCATATCGCTTATCGGCCCTATCGATCGATTATCGATCAATATTGATTCAATACTACTAAATCATCAAGGGGGCCCAATAGGTTCGCGGGTCCCGCGAATTTAATTTTTCGCGGGCCCCGCGGATATTAGGTAAGCCTTCCATCCCTGCACACATAGGCATTACAAGTCTCGATTTCCGCAATTTGATTTGGGCCAATATTGTAAACTTTTAAGACTAGGTGATACAGCTCGCGTAGGGCCCGGGAGCAGCGCATAGAAGCAATCGGGGCTGTATTCTGCGTGAACCTGCTTGAGGAATCAGGAGGAAAAACCTGACCCTCGAAAGGAGCTAAACTAGGAAAAGTGGGCGAGGTCTGGCAGATGCGTGGCACCTGAACTGACTGCCAGGGGCTGTCAACACAAGGCAAAAGAAAAGACAAGGCAAAAGAAAAGACAAGGTAAAAGAAAGGACAAGGTAAAAGAAGGGAAGAGGAGCCTTTGGCTTACGATAACTCCCAGGGCTGACGAGCCCAATCCACCCTTGCCCCACCAACGCCTCTATGATCACCGCTTTCGTGACACTTCAAGGGGCTTACCTCACTACTGCTCTGTCCCAACAAAAATACACCCCTCTTCCGCCACTTTGGACGAAATCAAAGCTTGCTGCACTTCAATATCTCTGTCCATCCTCCTCCAGATCTCGCCTACACCTCTTCTCCCGGTATCCAATGGTTCGTCCTCCTTCTCCTAAGCTACCAGAGCTTCAATCCGGTCATCTTCTGATCTGCTCCAATCCAAGTAGGCCATCATCTCCTCCTTCGTCTAGTCCCTTAAGCCTGTTGAGCTAGCACACTGTTTCGTCATCTGCTTATAGTCAAGGCACCACTCATAGCTTGCCTTGCTGTGTCGCAGAGGTAGACCCATTGCTTTCCGGTATTGCTGGTTGCTTTTGATGCTCCCGAGTGGTTGGGCTTTATACCAAGCGTCTCTTGCCTTTGTATATCTCTGATAGATTGCCCGTGGGTCCCAGTAGTTTAGTGAGGCTGAAGATGGACTTGACGAAGGTGCTAGTGTGTAAGCCGACGGTAGTGTAGGTGGCGGTAGTGCACGAGTAGGCGGTGGTGTACGAGTAGGTGGTGTGGGTAGTGGTGATGTGTCTCCGGTGATGAGCTGGGTTGATGGTGTTGCAGTTGTAAAGTTGGTTCTGGAGCTAAAGCTAACTGTAATAGCTCTATATGCCTCTGAGGACATGACTTTGACGTCATTATATGACCTAATGTATGGCATTTGCTGCATCTGGTAATGCTCTTGGCTGTGTTATTACCTCGACAACCTCAAACCTGCTAGGCTCTCGCCTAGTGCTTGATTGTGGTATAGTCGAATTGGCACTAATTTGATCGAGAGAAGAACCTGAACAGGCTGGTGATAAGGGTGGGTCCTTTTTGGTAAGGGGTTTTCGCTGCTCTTCAGCCTTTCTCAAAGCCTCGTGTGATACCCAGTTACGTACTGCGCTGTATAGTGATCCAGAGAGCTTGATCGGCATCTGAATCTGCTGCTTGGCTTGGTTGGACTTTAGCTCTGCAAGTTGGTTAAGCAGCGCGTGCTTTATTGCCCTCCAGGCTTCAAAGAGATCTACTATAGATCTTTTGAGATACCCCTTAAGTAGTCCATGAATACCTTCAGCACGTGAGGTAACCACGTTGCCGAAATGAGGGTGTTGATCAACCCAAGCCTTTACAAGCTTTTCCTTATATAGATCGAGCCAAGTTGCCTTGATATATCCGACTTCTTCGATGCAGTCTGGAAGATACTGCTTTTCAAACTCTTGCAAATGCTTGTAGAATGTCTCCTTATCCGGTGATCTCATAATTGAATGCCAGAACTGATAAAATCCGTTCCAAGCTTCAAGTCCTTGTTGACGTGTAAAGGCTGGCTGGCAATGGCGGAGGACTGCTTTGTCTGCATGCCATAAGCATAACAGTAAAGCAGCGGATGGAAAGCAGGTAGCAACAGCATTCATGCACGCAAGACAGCGGTCTGTCAGGATAGCAGAGGGAAGTCGAGCGTTACAGACCTCGTAGAGCGATCTGAGCCGGTCCAAGGCCCAAACGTAGTCCTCTTCAGTCTCGCCGCTAAGTAATGTAAATGCAATGCAGAAGGATCGCTGGCAAGTGTGAGGGCCTGGTCCTCCAGGCCTCCCAGACGCTCTAACTAATCAGACGCCAGTTGGATGGATCCACCCGACCAGCCAGAGCCCCACCTTGAGACGTCCTGGAAGAATCTCGCGAGGGGAGGCTTTTGAGCTTCTTTTCCCTTTTCCCTTTAGTTTAGAATCTTTGTCTATAGCGCCCAATAGAGGAGTTCCGCCCTCATTCCAAGCCGGCCGTGACAGCAAGCGTCAACTCCGATTATATCAAGGAGCGGCATGCCGTATTTGTTCGTCTTGTATGTGCAGTCCAGCAAGAGGGTATCTGGATAGGCCTGAAGGTATGCCAATGAATCTGGGTGGGCAAATAGAATAGCTGTAAGCCGGCCATCTGGAGCAATCTGCATTCGACTCCAGAACCCTTCTCTGTCCAGCTGGTTGGCAAGTGCGTGGACGGTGCTCTGGCTTTCGTAGACTTCTCGTCTAGTATCTGCAATGCGGTTGTAGATATCTTGCTGGGTTGGTGTCGAGCTGGAAGTATGGCGTATATATGTTCCGATATCCTTAGGAGCTATACCTGCATTCGACAGGCTTGCTAATGTCGATTTATCTTCCTTAGATAGCTTTCGGTGTGCTGGATGAGCGGTTAGATGCTGGCTTAGCTCGTAGTTGTGCAAAGAAAACCGTCTGTCAGGACGGCGCTTTAAGGTCCAGACAGTCTTATCTAAGGATTCCTTAGCCAGTACAGAGAACTGACAGCCGGTTCCTCGAGTAGTTGTCTTCCGTTGCCGTTCATTTGACGGGCTGGGAGGCTTGCAACATCGATCACATGAATATGTGACTGTCCGTCTACCGCTCTTTTCTTTAGTTGACTTCCCGGTAGTGAACGCGTAGCCCCTTTGCTCTGCCCATGTATTGATCGTCTTGAATAGAGCATCTCGTGATTCGTATTCGCCTTCGGGAGGGAGGCAATCGTCAGGAAACGAAGCTAAGCTTTCAAGTGAGGCCGAATTCATCTTTGCTGTAATTATGTATCGCTAAAGAGCTAAGAATTATCTTGACGAGCATAACCACGCCTGATCGCGGTTCTCGACGCGTTCGCAACCTGCGGAGCTATATTATTGGGTAGTTAGGATGGAAGGCTTACCTAATATCCGCGGGGGCCCGAGAAAATTTAAATTCGCGGGACCCGCGAACCTATTGAGCCCCATCATCAAGATACTGCTTAGTCATCTACGATATTAACCTCCTCGTCAATATTTTCAAGAAATACAGCCTTCGTTATAAGGCCTGACCTAATCCAATGTTTCAAACATTCTAGCATCTCGATGGTGGTCTCTTCCAGCTGTGACGGCCCGCCTTACGAAGGTAGGAAAGTCAAAGGTTGAAGGCAGTAACGAATGTGGATTCAAAGCTAAGGAAGAGAAAGGAATCTATCGCAGGGTCCGCGTAGGGCGCGGAGAAATAGGTGGTGGTGCTGAGCAAGTGAGGCAGTGCGCACAGACCACACTCTAACCACAATGCAGCCAATAGAATCAATCCTGTCACATGAGCCCTGTGGCGACCGTGACACTAGCTGCATTCTTTTCCACGATATCGTACGACGACCCCCAGAGAAGACCCTCTCCGGTTCAGCACTCATTACTGGAATTGAAAGGATATTGATAGCCAATTGGGATAGTTTTGGCCAACGGATCCACTGTTGTGATTGAAGCCACCAAGATAGAGCTGAACCTTTGATTAGAAGTGGTAGTTCTGATAGATACTCTTCGAATTCATCTTTGCTTGGTGGCCTTGGGAAGTTCTGAAGATTCCGAAGAAGGACGTTATAGTCATCACCATCATCATCTTGATTTTGCTTCTCGATAAGGGGTGTTGGTAGCTCACGGATGTTATGTTGTTCTGTAAGAGAAGGCAGGTACGTGTAAGAGAAGGTAGGTACGCCTGATCAAGGTGGTCACAATGCAGGCAAGAAGGTAGGGGAGCAATGACTTGTATTGGTGTAAGACTTCAACCTGGCCCTCGCAAAGGAAGATGGGCGAGGGCCATTGTTTATATACCTGCTCAGGGGTTCGGCCCGGGCATCAGTCTGCGGTCGTGGCGCCACGGCGTAGCGTATGCCAGCTGGCAGTGTTCTAGCCAGTTGGTGACAAGTGGTGGGCGCGCACCCTGTGCGCGCAGTTGGTGTTTGGGGTGTCCTTTTCCTTACAGTACGCCTGATCAAGGTGGTCACAATAGGAGCAACAAGCAGGGCAAGCAATGACTGGTATTGGCGTAAGACTTCAACCTGGCCTGAGCTAAAGAGGTGTGCGAAGGCCATGGTCTATATACACGTGAAAGGGGTTACGAGTTATCCTTGCGTGGCCAGGGTGGTAGTGGCGATAGTGCGTGGCCCTGGTAGCGGTGGCGATAGTGGTGATGGTGGCGAGGGTGGCCCTGGTGGCGGTGGCCATAGTGGCTACGAGGGTGGTTTCCTTACATGTTCTTTGAAAGAAATCCAGAGCTTTTTGACTACTTGGCTTGCTAGCTTAATCCACTTCTTCTCCCAATTGTATTTGAGATATTTACTCTTCCTTAATGGATGAAGAAATATCATAGCAATATGGTATGGGGAATCTTCCGTCTTGAGATAATATTTGTCGAAAGTCTTCTAGCTTTGTTGGATCCGGGTTAAAAGGAAAGAATTCGATTCGAAAACTTCTTGGCTCCTTTTATAATGTTAAACCAAAACGTCTATTATAAGAAGGATCCAATTAATTGTTGTATAGTCTCCCTTAGTATCCTTCGTTACTCTAAAGAATGGATTGAGGAAGGATTGAATTGGTCGAAGTGTTGGAATGACAAGGTGATTCGCAATATCATTCTAGTAGTGACAGTCACGATTAGGTTCTAGTTTAGCCACATAGAAGGTGGTTCGGTTGGTGGTTACTTCTTGATTGATCTATCTCTCTTCCGAACTCCGTTGGACAGGAAGAGGGTGTCTTATACATGAACATCTTGGTCACGGTCACCCCTGTTAGTAACCCACTAGGATGTTGACCCCTTGCCCCTAAGAACGTTCTGGAATGTACCGGAATGTACTACAATGCTCCTGTTCCTACAGGAAGAATCTCCTAATCTTGTGGTGAAAGGAAATCGGATTTGAGTTCTTCAAACTACGCTTTTGAATAAGAATTAATAGCTGATTCCTTTTTGTTGCTCATGATCGGAGTTGACAGCGCATTGAATTGTCGGGCCCAAATAGATCTAAAAGTACAGAAAAGAACGCTTCCTTATACTTGCTGAGAGAAGGCAGGGGAAGTGTTGTAATCAGCCCGAAATGAGGGCATTCCGAATGAAATGAGAGCATTCCGAGGTCAAGAATGAAGGAAGTATAGAGGCATGCTAAGTAGGGCCTGAAAAATGTGGTTCAATTCCATGAAAGGTGGTCAATTTCAGGCGACATTTTTCAAGTGCAACCCTCAATATTTCGTGCCAGCTATTCCGCCTTGTGCTGTTATTAAGAGGAATATGTTACGAATCCTTGTTGGAATGCGCAATAGTGGGGCACGCTCAGTTTGGTGTGGACCAATCAGGAGCGTCCCATGGAAGGGACCAATTAGGAGTGTCCCTGGGTCCCGAGGTTCGGGACCACTTAAGGTCGGGGACGCGGGACAGTGTCCCGCGCGCCCGGTGTCCCGAGACCGCAAGGTCTCGGGACCACGGGCCAGTGAGACCATTGTTATTGGTTACACAGTTAGATATATACGATGACCGTACCCACAGTCTTAGATAGTTCTTGCTTGGTTCTTCAAGCAAGCAATACACATTCACTGCACTCATACACTTTGAGTGGCATTCCAATTTGACTGTATTACCCGTGCGATAGGAGCTTGCCCTTTGTTCTATCTTCATAATTACCAAGCCCAGCATCCTGTGGAGCCCGTGCTCCCTTACAGACAGACGACCCTAACAGTCGAGTGGTTTGTAATAAGATGTTGTCGTATACTCGTAGTACTTTGACCGGATCATGAGTAATATATATGATAGGAGAGCCGATTTTACCCTTATGAGTAGGCTCCGATGGCTGTGGCGTGCGAGTATGATCTTTAAGGGTAAACAAAGTAGAAATAGATTCCCGGGATAGTACTGACTCTGAAGGGTCACCCAAGGAGGCCATATTGAGGACAATTGATCAATTTGATGGAGTTGAGGGGTTTGGAGCAGTTCGGAGCGGGGAAATGATCAATTTGATCACTAATCAATTGATATCGACGATATCGGCGATATCAGCTTATCGGTCGATATCGATATGGATTATCGATATCGATCGATAAGATGCCGTCGCCCACCCCGAGGGTTCCTGTATCTCGCTGTATACCTGCAAATGAGGCGCGAGTAGTTGACCTCGGAAAGGTGTGGGTTTTGAAGGTCCCGTTGCGCAGTGAGGTGCTGCCGGGGCCGAAGGGGTTTGTGTTTGATGTGGCGGGTTTTGAGATGGGGGCTTATGAGGTTTTGGGGGTTGTGAGAGGAGAGGAGAGGCGAGGGGGACACTGACTTGGTTAGTTGAATATCGGTGGACAACATTTGTTCGAGAGCAGATGCCTATGGTTTTGGTGTATATTGGTTGTATCGTAAGGGTCTAATCAGGCTTTGAAAAGTTACGGGACAGCGCGTTGCATTATAATAGGTAACATATAACAGCTGATAAAGGCTCTGTCTCTAGCCCCTTCCCCTTCCCCTTCACGTGTCCTTCCTCGCTCCCGACACCCTCTTTGAACCTCGCTCCCTGGAAGCTGCTGATGTTGTTCTCGTCTCATACCCAGGGGTACCGAACTCTGTGAGCCGCACAGTAGTTGACTCCCTCTTCTCTCCTTGGATGTATCGAGTCCACCTGACCTTGACAATCTCATACAGCTGCAGCAGCTCACCAATAGGGCTCCTCCAGAAAATGGGAATCCGAACAATCTCCAGCGACTCGCCAGCCTTCATCTTCCTATGGTATATGTAAAACCGGAAGCACAACCAGTACATCACTCCAAAGACCAGGACCGCAATTCCGTACGTCTGGGGCGCATACCACGCCACCGAGTCACTCGTGTTGGATAAGAATTTCGCAGCAGGATCGGGGATCCAGATGGCGATGAGCGGGAAAGCGTTTGTCGCTGCGAATGTCGCAGCGGCTGCAACGCCAAGAGCGTGTGGAATCGGAGACTTCTGACGCCACTTACTGCCTGGCCAGAGACGAAGGCAGAGAACCCCGGTCCCCATGACGGAGAACCAGATGATGTCCAACCCATAGGCAAATGCTGCGATGCCAAGATAATAGGCGGAAAGGTCAAATCTTGACTCGGACGAGGACAGCTCCACGGTGCCAAAGACGGTTGCCAAGATGACGATCGAAGTCACCACCCAGTGCAAAGCCAGCGCGGCAGCAGGGGCACGAGAGCTGTAGAGTTGGTAGCCCGATCGCGACGGTGGTAAGCGCCGGAAGCCACTTCTAATGGAGAAAGAATACGAAGACGCAAACAACAGGGGGTACGGGAGGATGCCCTCCTTCGCGATCTCCTGCTTGACACGGGCAGCGGTGAAAGTGAAGACGATGACGTTTCCGATGGCCGAGAGGGCGCGGAAGGATCCGCAAATGGCTTGTGTTTGCGCTCTTGAGGAGACACGGCCGATCGTGTGGCTGAAGAACTCGAATGCTTGGTCGTGATTGGACATGAACAGTATGTCTTTTGGAATAACCGCAGCGTAAAGTATGTTTATCGTGACCACGAAAGAGGCGGTCAAAGCGACGCAAAAGAAGGAAACCTGCGCAAAGTTCCGACGTGGGTGTTGAATCTCGGCCAGGACCTGTGAAACCTGTGGTTGGCAAGGAAGGGAAAAGTAGATCTGGGGAGCTGCTCACATAGTTGGCTTGGTGGAAGCCACTGAAAGGAAAGATGGCAAGGATGATGGCCTCCGCATATCTGTACACCTCCTCGGGACTATTAGCCGTCGAAAAGGCAGTGGTCCTATCAAAGTTCGTCGCCGCGACCGATCCGTCTTTCCCGAGCTGGGCGAAGCCGAAAACAATCATGCAGAAAAGCATGGCCAGTTTGGCAGTACCGAAGAAGTTGTTGAGTCTAATGCCCCACTTCCTCGACATGCTATGCAGCAAACATGCGAACGTGTTGACCGCCATGGCGATACCTGCGACCATGCCACGCGTTTCTTCGGTGTTGGATGCCTGCAGCACAGCCACCGCAGAAGCAATCGAGTTGAAGCTCGTGTTGCCAAAAATGAGGAAGGATACGCCAAAGAGGCAGGTGGCGAGGAACCTGGGCCGTTTGATGAAGTAGTTGAGGTAGGGCAACTCTCCACCACTTCGGACAACGGAAATTTTGCTTGTCCCGTCGCCCAGACGGTACCTTGGAACTGTGAGGCCGAGTTCAATGTACACAATCGTGCCGGAGATGGCCATGGTGAGGCCATAGAGCCAGAAAAGGAGCGAAATGCCGATGCTTTGCGTGTTGGAAAAGATGACGGAGCTGCTGTTGAAGATGCCGGAGCCAATCAGACGGTTCAATATGAGGCAGCTAACAGAGTACCAGCCAAGACTGGCGTTGTCTGTGGGAATCTCCTCGACAGTGGCGAACTGCTCCTTCTGCGCCTGCGTGAGGCGAGCCTCGTCGCTTGGGTCGAGGCCAGGGCGCCAGCCTGTGCCACCATCACTGCCGGTGGCAGGTTGACCGCTACCCGATTGTTGGGGCCCGCCTTGGATTGGCTGCTGTTCTGTGGCGTTCATCTCTGAATGTCGAATGTCGAATGTCTCATCGACTAGTGGCAGGGTTAGCGGCGGTGGGACGCTGAAGTCAGCCGGGTGAGCCATGATGTGCCAACTCAATACTATTTAGGGTGATATCGACATCATTTTCTTTCGCGGTAACGGCGGTTAGTCGCACAAAAGAAAACCCCCCACACCAAAAGTCGGTTGGGCCGTCAAACAAGGCGACCGTGGAAGAGAAGGCAACCGGCTGACGCCTTCCCTGGCTCTTACACCGCCCCTCGTCAGCTGAAACCCTCAAGGCTCTGGAGTAGGAAAAGCGCACCCAAAGCAACGTGGGATGCAGCAAAGCACACCCCCAAATCGGGCATCACCGGAATGCAGCGCTAGTACGATGCAGGCCCCCAATCCAACCCATCATTGTGGCTGCCGTGTCGCCCAATCAGAGCGGGAACGAACCGAAAATTTCGACAGGTCTCGTCGCCGAGCATGAAGCGGGTCGCCCTGAAATTTGCCTTGCTTGGGATGCGTGGTTGGGCAGCAGTTTCTCGACAGGAGGAAGGTGTTGTCGCCGACTTTGGAATGTCCAGATCTGCTCCGTGGCCTGGCTGCGTTGCAGTCCAGGTGTTGCTTTCGCGAGGCAGTTCTTTCGATTTTCAGTACCTTACATTTACCTTCCAACCGACCTCTCGGAATATCCATCGCTTCTTCCCGTCGTTGCAGTGCCGACAGTGCCGACGTGAGACTGTCTTAGTTACAGTAAGCCCCTGATCCTTGCATTTGCCCTCGGCCCTGTCAGCTCTCGACCAGCCAATCCTCATGATCCTCCTTGAGCTTCTCGAAATTCTGGAAGGCTTGGCGATCCTCCAGAGGATCACGTCCATTGCCTGGTTGAGCCACGATGCACGTGAGTATCACCCACAGTTGATCGTGCCGTTCAGGGGCAGCTCACACCATCGGCTTAGACAGCCAGTATCAGGAGTTTCGGGAAGAGATTGCAACCCTGGGACAGAACCTCAACGCCCTCCACGATGTGGTGCGTCAGGTTCATAGTGGTCCTGGGGCACGCAATCACCATCCGGTGCAAATGTCGCCAGCCACCGAGAGTCTGACACGGGTCCTCAGCGGTTTTCGAGACACCCTTAATGAGTGTTGGGAACTGCTCGACAAGCGGCGAGCCTATGGTGAAAACCGGGGAGCCATCAACAACTGGCAGTGGCATCTTTTCGTCAAGGACGATTTGGCAATCTTCCGCGACCGTATTGCGGTACACAACATCAAGCTGTCCATGGCTCTGAACTGTTTGAACATAACGAACTTCGACCATCTCCGAACGCTGATTTTGAGCACAGCAGAATGGTTGGGTAGGCAGATTCACCACGAGCAAGTCAGCCCCGAACCCCTTACCGACCATCAGCCTACAACGTCGGAGTGTCAGCCATCTACGCCGCAGCTCGCAGCTTCCACCGCGAACCTCATTCCGGACCCCCTCCACCGCACACTCACAGCCATAATGGAGCGTCGACATGGAAGTCTCGCAAGCATCCCGCTGGCAGACGGGGTGGATGAGGCCGTTTTTCACCTGGACCGAGCAACCAAGAAATTTCAAGAGAATGACGACCACGTGCACACGTTTTCGAGCATCCTTAGCGCTTACTGGCTTCTAAAGGCAACCGAGATGGCTGACGAGTACCGAACTGTTGTGGCACATCCCTCGTTCGTGGAGTTCGAAACACAACTCACTCAGTTTGGCATGACCCTGCCACTATTCTTTGCCCGGTTGGAGGACAAGATTCTTTTGGCTCACCGAGGGGTCCTCAGAGCTAAACCCGATGCCCCTCCAGTTGATGAGATGCGAGACAGGATTGAAAAGGACAAGAACCTATGGCTGGGGTATCGTCGGTCAGGACCACGAAGAGACAACCTCGATCCGAGACAGGGGGACAAAGTCATGCAATGGTAAGACAGTGGTGGAACACAATGCAAATGCGAAGGCCATACTAACAACTACGCATAGTCAACTACATTGTGAGGACACTGATGCCGAAAAGCATGTTGAAGTGTATCAAAACGGCGAAGGCAGTTTGACTTTGATCACTCGCACTAGCAGTTGCTCGGATAACATGGTGTGAGTAGGCGACTGGACTGGGATCAACCTGAGAACCCGTGTCTGACAGCGATGACTCAAGTTATAAAACGGACCTCAACCTCGTCCACTTCGGAGCCCATCCTAACTCAAGCCTAAGCAAGGACTCTTACTCTGTCGCCATCAAGCAAAACCGGACCAGCACAGTTGAGGCGCCCGATACCATGACGTTTCTACAGGACCCAGACCTATTTAGCTTTCAGGAGTCTGTGACCGGCTACAAAATCGTTGACAATCTGTTCGTGAGCCTATGCCGTCTCGCCAGATCAGATCAAGCTAACCTGGAGCAACGAATAGACCTGGTGCTAGAGTCATACGCCAATTCTCACGGGGCGACAGGAAGTGGGTCCTTTGGAAGGGCGTCCAACGGGCCGAGATAGGTCGTATACAGTTGTGGACCTCGAGCAACCGATTGAGTTCAGTGTACGATTCGGTACTCGGGAGAGTCTCGAAGAGCGATCCCAACCTCAAAAGCGATGCCAACCTCAAAATCAATGGCTCTGGTTACTCGACTCCGACTAGCTCAGGCTCGGACCCGCGGGTTGGTTCACGACAGCACGTTCAACTTCAAGACGGGAATTTCGGTACCATTCTCCAGACCCCTGAGTGCCCGTGCCTTGTCATCTTCCTTGCCGATATCCTAGTGGTCATCAAAGGTTAGCAAGCTCTGGACTTGCCCTACCCGTTATGCCAAAGCTGATGGGGGTTGCTCATCCATCTCAGTCGACGACGGCGTCAAAATCAGACCTGACAGGTGTCGTTGCCAACCAGGAGTGGAAGAGGATCCGAAAGAGTCCGACTGCAAGGAGGTGGTGATCAAAGGCACCTCCAGATACATCAACGCAAGCAGCGCCACTGCAATTGATCCTGTAGCTGGCTACAATATTGCTAGCGCTGGAAGATATCAGCGGCGCAGTCTAGCCAAGGTAGAAAAGCTGACACTTGTCACCATCGAGTTCGGCTCGGTCGAGGGCAGGTCCTATCTCTTCAGAACCCTTCGAGAAGCCACACTGACAACCATGCAGAGCGTGCAAGGTTCGCTGAAGCTTTTAAAAAGTTGAAGGAATTGCATCGTCTAAACCGCCAGAGGGTGGCCAACACTTGGCTGCCTGAGAGCGTGGAGATGTGAGCGGGGTTTGGAAACATAGAACATTCCTTATTTTGTGAGCAGAAAAGAAATCCTCTCCAGATCATGGTGACAACCTCTTCCTTCATAGGCTCCGTCCACATCTGTCCAAAATGAATCGCGCACAGAGTCAGTCATCGTGCTGCTCAGCTTTGCCACGAAGGCAATTGCATAGAGTTAGTCATCGTGCCGCTTAGCTTTGCCACAAAGGCAATTGCTAGGGGGGCAGTACTGACCCCCATCCTGGGATCATTCTGACCCCCATCCTGAGATCATTCTGCCGGCCATAAGTTTAAGTCCTTCCACGTGTACATTGCCACCTGTCAAAATCCCATACAAAATCGCGCTAGCACAGTACTCTCCCTGCTCTCCAGTGACTCCGTGGCTCTCACAGCATTGGCAATGGTTCAAACAACTCAATCTTGAGGCTATATTTGGTTGAATTGAGCCGCCAACATGGATATTTGACTAGGTTGAGGCTAGAATTGGTTGATATGGCAATAATTGATGATATTTGACGGCATCTTCCGCTCCAACTAGAAAAGATATAAAAAGTCGTCAAAGAGGTCCAAAATAGCAGGAAAAAATGCCGTGAAGAAGCCCGGAAAAGCTCGTCAACATACCCAATCCTTCAAAACACATGATTTCGTCGAAGCTATCGTCGCCTATTCCATGTCTCTGTGTGCCGAAGACCAGCTTACCGTTCCTGAATGCCCTCTCCGGGTCCGCTGACATAGAAGGAATAGACATTATCCAGGGCCATTTTTGACAGCCGGGGCCAACGTTCCTGACGACTAAACCACCAAGATTTTATGTCATTTACCGGCCTGACTCCCTCTGCGAGGTATTCAGCGAGTTCATCGTTCTGGCTAGGGTCTTTAGGCGGGTCATAGTAGTCATGACACCAACAAGAACAGTCCCTAGACCTAAAAGCGGCGCCTGAGCCGGTTGTGCCGGCGCCGGGACAGCGAGGCCGGAATACTCGGCTCGGTAAAGATGGCGGCATGCCCTGTATGCCTTCCTGGCCCGCTCCTCTCCCAGGAACTTATCAACTCACTTCCTCTTATGCCCAGGGTGAAGTATTGTGGCGTATTTTCTTAGCTTCTGAATGGCCAGGCCAATGCTTGTTCGAAGGAAGAATACATGATGTTGCTGTGGATCGGTATTCGAGGGCAGGGAGTTGTCGGGTAAGTCGGCGGCGAGGTTGCTAGAGAAAGAGTACCGGCGTAATGTACGAAGATCGCGAGGAAGGAAACGGTCGATGCGGAAGTCCATATACCGAAGGAAAGATGTTTTGTGAATGGTGATGCCCTCAAGCGCGCGCGTAGGCCCTGCTAGTGCGTATCGAAGCGATCCTTGACATACTCTCGAACCGTGTTACGTGAGGAAGGAATCAGGGTAGCTGTCTTATCGGCATTTAGGTAGGTCTATGCAGAAATCACGAAAAGCCTCATGTTCGGCCATGTTGTATACAATATTCAAGCGAATGATCGTGTTGATAAGCTTTTACTTCTATATGAGCTTGTGAGGCAACAAAAACGACCTTTCCTTAATGTTCGAAGTCGCTTCCAACGTCTTTTGCTTCTTTCTCAGCGCCTCGACGCCGTCATGGCCTTGAAGACCTTCTCACAATAGTGGCACGCCCAGAAGTATACTCCCTCTTTTATGACGTTGTTGACGACCTGGGCAAGCCAGCAGCCGTGCGAAGTAATCCACCATGACCTCGTATTCTTCTTGCCCGCCCAGTATTCCGCTATGTATAGCGCCCGTGTTGTTATTTTGGGCCAGTCCTTCACCTCCATATTCCCCAGCTCTTTGATGTCAAATCTAACCAACTCCTCGTATTGTGTAGAGATTCGCGAGGGCTTCCTTAGGGCATCAAATGCCCGCTTTTGGCCTTTGGAGAGGGTCGCGGCATTAACGGGTCGAGGCAGGCATACTACCGGTAGTTTGGGCGCAAGGAAATCGCTGTAGGAATGGAAGGATTCGGTGGAAAGGTCGGATTCGGCTGTTTATTTACGCCGTGATGGTTGCATTGCAGCTTCAATGGTGCATTGCAGCGGTCTGCCCGGCAGTCGGAGATTTTCCCGGGCCCAGGAAAATACAGGGTTGGCCTTGGTCAGGGAGCCGCCTGGACCCAGGAAAATCCGCCCTAAAAATGGCCTGGCCAATGGGAAATAATTGACAATCCGCCAATTATTTCGGCCCTACGAATTGGTTGAATTTGACCTCAAAATCGTATAATTGATTGCTCTAAATGGCTATATTTGGTCGATTAAATTGGATAAAATTGAGTTGGTGCTACCCTGGGCTCTCAACACCTCTCTTCCTTCTTCTCTTCTCTAGCTTGTTTTTCCACAATATAGGATCAAGTTGTTACAACACTATCTCTCCCATCTTACCCGGCGGTGACAAGGGGGTCTGTTAACGATAGTTACTTATATAGGCAAAGGAAAACGGTAGCCCTTGGTAGTAGACTAGTGTCCTAAAACTAGGTCCAGGAGCGGATCCTTACAATATACACCCGACTTTAAACCACGGTAACTATAACCGAACGCACCTCGGCTCAAAAGCTCAGGGTAGTGCTCACTGTGCCTCGCCCTCTGCTCAGGTTTTGAGACTAATCCGGACTTGGACAGGAAATGTGACTATCTAGGTATTCAGGTAGTCACAAGAAAAAGGTACTTTTTCACCTCCCCACTCAACAGCGTCAAACAATGCGGAGACTTGCTGTCCTTGTTGGGACAGATTTAACTCTGCCCCCTAAGCAAAACAGTCATCGGTAAAGGATACGCAACACGCATGAGATTAGCTTAGATTCTCTTTCTCCTAGGCGGCCCAGGCCTAGGCTCAAATTCTACTGATAGAAAAAAAATCACAATCAGTCTTGATAGGCAAGGTATACAAGGTAGCCAACTCTCCACTTTCCACTTTCCAACCTGCATTCTACTCTTGCTAGTTGCCACACCGCACCACGTAAACCATCTCACCACCAATCTTGTGCCCCCAACCACAAACAAAAAAAGCTCGCCAAGGCCTTGAGAAGCAAAACAGATCTCATTTCCCCAAGTTCTGCAGCTGCACAAACTCCCAGTACCTCCCACGACGGGCCAGGAGATCCTGGGGGCTGCCGCGCTCAACGACGGCGCCGGCCTCGAACACGTAGACGTAGTCGACGCCAGCGATGGAGCTGAGGCGGTGGGCGACGGCGATGGTGGTGCGGCCCTGCGTGGCGGCGTCGAGCGCCGTCTGCACTGCGGCCTCGGCTTTGGAGTCGAGGGCCGACGTAGCTTCGTCCAGGAGGCTGTTGAACGGCTGTTAGCAAGGCTACTGTGTTGCCGTGTCGGTACTCTCTTACAGGATCTTGGGTTTGCGGAGCAGCGCTTTGGCAATGGCCAGGCGCTGCTTCTGGCCGCCTGACACTTGACTGCCGCGCGGACCGACGTGCGTGCTGAGCCCGTCGGGCAGGGATTGCTGTAGCACGGTCAGACACAAAAGTATGCAACACCAGAGTAGAAAGACGTACGATAAAGTCCCAAATGTTGGCCTGGCGACAGGCGTGCTCGATGGCGGCGTCATCGGCGTCGACGTCGCTGAGGATGTTTTCCCTGACGGTGCCGCTGTACAGGCTGGCCTCCTGGGCGACGACGGCGATCTGCTTGCGGTACTGCTGCAGGTTGTACGCGGGTAGCGGCTTGCCATCGGCGAGCACGTGCCCGGCGCGCGGGTCGTAGAAGCGCTCCAGCAGGTTGAGGATGGACGACTTGCCGCTGCCGCTGCCGCCGACGAACGCCACGAACTGCCCAGAGCGGGCCTGCAGGCTCACGTGCCGCAGCGCCAGGTGCGCCTGCGACGGGTACGCGAAGTCGACGTTGCTGAGCTCGACGTTGCCGGCGATGTCCTCGGCGCTGTCGCCGGACTCGGACGCGGCGTCGATGGCGGGTATGGTCTCCATGAGGGCCTTGAGCCGGGTCGCGGCCTCCTGCGCGCCGGCGACGTCGGGCGCGTGCGAGAAGATGCTGCCGGCAGACTGGGCGCTGTAGATGGTGGCGACGTAGCAGATGAGGAACTCGCGCACGCCGTATTCGCCCGTGGCGATCAGGCGGGTGCCGCCGTACCAGAACAGCAGCGCGCTGTTGAGGATCACGACGGACTGGCTCAGGCCGTAGAACACGGCCATGGAAATGTCCCAGCTGGCGCCCGAGTGGAGCTCCTTTTCCAGCTGGGCCTTGTACCGGGCGCTGACGTCGGGCTGCAGCCCGAAGGCGACGACGGTGCGGATGCCGCGGACGGCTTCCAGCACGATGCTCGTCGCCTTGGTGTCGCCGAGGATCTTCGTCTCGAACTCGGCCAGCAGGCGGTACCGCAGATATCCCGTGACGATGGTCAGCGGCATCAGCGACGCCGCGATGAGGCCGAGCTTCCAGCCGAACGACACGGCCACCACCAGGCCGCCGAACACGGCGAAGAGGGCGGCAGCCACAGAGCCGAGGATGGAGCCGCTGAGGCCGTTGAGGCGGTTCGCCTGGACCGACAGGAAGGCCGTGAGCGTGCCAGAGTCGTTCTGAGCAAAGAAGGCCATGTCCTGGCGGAGGATGGCGGCAAACGCCACGCGGCGCGCGCGCGCCACCAGCCGCGACGACGCGTACGCGAACGGCACGCCCTGCACCACGTAGGCGACCAGCACGAGGCACGAGAGCAGCAGCTGCATGCCCGTCCAGAAGCCGATGCTCAGGCCGCCCAACGTCTGGGACGGGTCACGCAGCCCGAGCACCGTGTTGCCGAACAGGATGGCCGAGATGGGGTAGGCCAGGCCGCAGAAAAAGCTGGCAGCGATCCCGAGGATCATGTAGTTTTGCTCTTGCCGGTTGAGGTTCCAGATGAACCAGAACAGGGCGAACCGCGACGTGGTTGTCTCCTTTTTGACGCTTTTCGGCGCCGAGGGGGCTTCGATATCCGTCTCCGCCGACGCCTCATCGCTCGTTTCCTTCTCATCTCCACCGAGTACTGCGGACGACGCCCCAGCGCTCGGTCTGGCTACACCGGCGTCAAGCTTCTGGGCGGATACGAGCGACGCATATGTGCCGCCCTTCTCGAGGAGACCGTCGTGTGTGCCTAGTTCGGCAATCTTGCCGTGCTCCAGGACGACAATGGTATCGGCATGCCTGATAGTCGACAGCCGGTGCGCAACGGTGACGGTCGTGCGTCCCTGCGTAGCCGCCAGCAGGGCCTTCTGGATGGCGCTCTCGGATTCCGAGTCCAGCGCTGCCGTGGCTTCGTCGAGGAGCAGGACCGTCGGGTTCGAGACGACGGCTCGCGCGATGCCGATGCGCTGGCGCTGGCCGCCGCTGAGGAGACTGCCGCCTTCTCCCAGGACCGTGTCATAGCCCTGGGGGAGGTCCACGATGAAAGCATGCGCGTTGGCAATCCTGGCAGCTTCCCTGACAAGATCAAGTTTTGCGTCATGATCAGCCTGCGCATCAAACTGTCAGTCTCGGACACAAACAAAGCAGAACAGCCAGACCAGATATACTGACAGATTCGTGACGCGTCCCGGCCAGACCAAATGCAATGTTCTCGAACACGGTGGCGTTGAAGATGAACGACTCCTGAGCCACCATCCTTATCTGCGACCTTAGCCACGGCAAGCTCAGCTCGGTAATGTCGCGCCCGTCAATGGTGATCTGGCCGCGCAACGGAGAGTATAGCCGCTCCAGCAACCCAAAGACGCTTGACTTGCCGGACCCCGAGGGCCCGACGATGGCCGTGGTTTTCCCCGCGGGAATGTCGAGATTAAAGTCCTCGAGCACAAACTGGCCTCGCCGCGACGGGTAAACAAGTGTGACGTCCCGAAACCTGACGTGCCCCTCCACGGGACCCTCGGGCTCTCGGCCAGCCGAGTCCAAGGGGATGGGCGACTTGCGCTCCAGCACGGAAAACAGGCGGTTGGCTGATCCCGCAGCCGCGCCAAAGGCATTCAGGTTCGGGGCGACGCTGCCGAGCGTGATGGAGGCGGTGACGGAGGCGAGGAGGACGGTGACGATCTGGGACACGGTGGCGTAGCCGGCGTCCATGAAGCGCGCGCCGGCCCACGAGCAGAGGGCAAAGGCGGCCAGCATGGCCCACATGAGGCCGCCGATGAAGGCGCCCAGGACGGACTTGGCGCGGAAGTCAAGGGCCATGGCTGGGTCCAGCGAGGCGTCGTACTTGGCGGAGAAGCGGTGGCGCGTGTTGTAGGCCATGACGTCGCGGGCCGACGAGATGGCCTCCTCGGCGAAGGTGGCGCTGGAGCCGTAGGCGTCCATGGCGCCGAGCTGGGCCTTGTTGATCTTGCGGGCGAGGCCGCCCATCCACGCGGCGATGGCGATGGGGACGCTGAGCATGACGAGGGCGAGGCGCCACGAGATGATGAAGGCGATGATCTCGGCGGCGGCAAAGGAGCTGATGCCGACAATGGTCAGGCCGACCTTTTGCGAGATGCCGTCCTGCACGAGCTTGGTGTCGTCGGCGATGCGCGTGCCGACCTCGCCGGCGCCGACCGAGTCGAAGAAGGCAATGTTTTGCCGCAGAATGGCGTCGAGGTATGCCGCGCGCAGTCGCTTGGTGATGCGCTCGCCCGTCCACGTGAAGCCCATGACGGTGAGACTTGTAGTGACGATGCTCGTGACTCCTGAAGGCCAGTGTCAGCTGGCTGGCCTTTTAAAAGCACGGTCGCCCAGGCGAGTCAAACAGGTGGCAGACCAATGTAGACAAAGTAGAGCAGCATGTGGTTGATGCTGTCTAGGAACGATTGCAGCGCCTCGAGGGAGGGGGTGAAGCTGGTGAACTGGCCCGTCAAGGAGCCAAACACGACCTGCAAATATGGTCAGCCCAGCGGAACGGTCTTCTTCTTCAAGCGAGCGAGGAGTCGCAACACACAGTCATCAGGGGCAGCGTCGTGCCTGCTGCCATCGCGCAGACTGAGGAGAGCAACATGACGACAATATCCACCGGGGTCGCAAAGCGGAAAACGGCCTTGTAGCCGAGATCTGTCTTTGGGATGTCGACCTGGGCGTCGAGCACGGCCAGCTCGGCCTCTGCCAGGCCCAGCGGGTTGGGGCTGTCATGATTAGAATCTAGAGGGACTGGGACTGCGACCTCTTTTTTTTCCTTGTCGGAGGCCATGGTTGACACTTGACAGCCACTTGGGGAGATGGTAATTACGTACAGCCTAACCAAGAAGAGGTACAGTGTAGTAAAAGCCCAACCAAGAAGAGGTGCAGTGTAGTAAAAGCCCAACCAAGAAGAGGTGCAGTGTAGTAAAAGAGCGAAATGCGAGATAACCTAGGTATCTTGAATCGGTATAAAAGGCAGATCTAAGCAACAGCCACTTGGCTGGGGCGAGGCCGAGGGGTAAGGCAACTGCCACCATGGGAAGAAACGGATGGGAAAAAACCTGGAACCCGCTAGAACTGGAACTGGAACTGGAACTGGAGCCCGAAGCAGCCACTTGCACGGCGCGTCGGCGCCTAGGGACGCCGTGGCCCCGTCTACAGCGCATTTCGCCATGGCCTACTAATGAAAAAAATCGGTTTCCTACAGCCAAACATAAATGCTGCGGCAGCACGCTGCACTGCGTAATCGAGTGAGCTTGGGTACCTTAGCTCAGCTTTCGTCGCAGGTGGAAAGCGGAACGGAGAAACTTGGCAGCGCATTGGTGCGATGGCGGGAGTTTGGTCGTCGGGCTATTATCGATTTCAGCTCTGGCGAAGGGACGGGGGACATGGGAAATATGGGGCAGTCAGATCTCTCTCGCACATTTCCTAATCGGGAGCGAGCGACAGCCTCGGTCCGCGGCCCCATTGGCCACTTTCTCCCAGGTTGCCCCACAACGCATGCGTGGTGCCATTCGGGATCGGCTGGCTCGACCCCGGTTCCTGCCCAGTCAGGCGGGCTGGGGTGGTTAAAGACCAACGCGGCTTGGCTAATGACTGCAGCTTCGTCGCTCAACCCTCCAAAATAAAATTGACTTCGCACACACCTCCACCTCAACCACCGAACATGCGACGACGCGAGCTTGTGCACGCCCATCTATGTCCACACCCACTCCAACCAGTGTGCACTAATCATTATCAATCGCCGCACCCACCGCAACATGGCGACGGATCGGGCGCACGACGCCGACGCAGCGCGTGGCACGTCGCCGTACCAGTACCACGTCTTCGTGGCCGAATTCGACAACGCGAGCCCCGACGGGCGGCTTACGTCGTCCTACAAAGACAGAACTCACGCGCCGAGAAAACGGCCCCATCACAAGAGCCGCCAGGGCTGCATCGCGTGCAAGCGGCGCAGGGTCAAGGTGTGTGATTGAACTCTTGCCTGGTGATAATGTTAACAATTGATAATTATTGACATTGGAAACTGGAAAGTGTGACAACAGGGCTCCGTGCTCTAGCTGCGTCAAGCGGAACGAGCCATGCGTCCACCCCAAGGCCTCGTCTGCCAGCGCAAACAGGGAAGCCGCTCCGGCCCAGCCAAAACTCGCCGCCCAGTCGGCGCCCACACCCACGGCCCCGGCAGATGCGCATGTAGGTGTAGATCCAGATGCGTCAGACACGGCCATCAACCTGCTGCACATGGAGCTCTTCCACCACTTCCAGACCAGCACCGCGGCTACCCTGTCCTATCCCGACATCTGGCCGCAGACGGTCCAGTGGTCCTTCCAAGAGCCCTACATCATGTCGGCCATCCTGTGTCTGTCGGCATCCCACCTCGCCGCATCCCGCCCCCACTCCACCCGCTACTCGCGCATTGCCCTCCAGCTGCTGACCAAGTCGGCCGCCCTGCTGGGCGAGAAGCTGTCGGGCCCGGTCGACGCACAGAACGTGGAGAAGCTCATGGGTGCTTCCCTCCTGATGCAGTACATAGCCTGGAGCCACGTCGGGTTCCTCGACGCCGGGCAGCAGTCTGCCGCAGGCCATGGCGTCCCACTCACACCTGGTGCCGGGTCCTCGGGCCTGGATATCTCCCAGGACCCACTCTTCCGCCTGAGCTCGGGCATCAAGGACCTCTTTTTCGAGTCCTTCCCGGCGCTCTGGGGCAACGACAAGGACAGCGCCTTCCTGTCCACCAGTCTCTACAGCCCGCGCCTCGCCATAGAGCAGACCCTCGCCCAGCATGGCATAGACCCGGGGGCTCACGTAGCCTATTTCATGGGCGTCTGGGATGACCCGCGCTTACCACCTACTCGTACCACCCCGGGGCCGGGCCAGGACGCGCAGCAGCCGCCCGCGCTATCCGTGTCGTCGTCGCTCGCCCGCTTCGAACAGTTCCTCAGCGGCCCGGCGCCCTGCTGCGACTGTGTCAAGCTCCAGCTGTCGTCAACCGTCGCCTTCTTCAAGCGACTCACGTGCCACCGCGCCCCCGGCGATACGCCGTCGCCGTCGCCGTCGCCACCAGAGCGACATGGCGACGACACGGCACCCGTCATCCGCTGTCCCCACACAGTCCAGCCGGAAACCCTCGCGGCACTCACGCTCCCGCCGCTGCAGCTGGGCGCGTCAGACTTTGAGCGCGTGGCCTTTCGGTGCGTGGCGCGCGGCGTTTCCATCGTGCTCTGCCTGGCCGCGCTGGTGTCCCCGTCGTCCTTTGCGCGCATCTGTCCGGGAAATGCTGCTGCGCCTGCGCCGGAGTGGGCGGCGGCCGTCGTCGCGCAGCTGCAGCCCGACATCGAGCGCTACATATTCGTGCTGCCCGTCATCTGTGCCAACGGCTCGTTCCGCGACCTTGCATTCCAGGGCGACGTCCGCGCGCTCGTCGTGCTGCTGTACTTTTACCGCGCCGCCAGGGTCCTGCTGGCCGGCCCGCACAGCTGGTGGGCGTGCGACAGAAGCCGTGTCATGGAGGGCTTGATCGCGCGGGAGCTGCAGGCAAAGGGGTGGGACGTGGGTTAGTCGGATTGGGGACGGGCGCCACGCGGTATTCTGTTCAAGGACGGTGTTTGGCAGGAGGAGCTGCCTTTTCCGGCGGAGGCTCGTCTGGTGAATAGGCCTAAGATGGTCAGATTTACGGGGCAAAGACGTGCGCACTGCATTTCCATTGGCTGCGAACCCGAACAAAGAGCCAGTCGGCCGCCAAGCCCGACTCAAAAGCAATAACCATTGAATCTAGTCTGAAGGGTTCATAATGACTGGAGACTTGCGCGCAAAAAACATGTGAAGTTTGGCCCAGAAGTAAAACTCGACCGAGTTACATGCTGTACTACCGTTTAATCATTGTTTGTTGACTAGCTCCATCCAGCCCTGGACTAGCCCCTGATCGGCCACTGAGCCTGCTCTCGCAATGCATCTAGGAAAAGTGCGCCACGACTACGAATACACACCCGTTCAAAATTACACTCCGATACCTCCCACCAACCAACACTGCCCACGTTGACTTCAAAAGCACCCCTAGTCGGTGCACGCGATGATAACCTGCGGGTTCGGGCGGTACACCTCGCCGTCGGTATCTGCCCACACGACGTTGCTGAAACCAGCCTGCTCGAGGCTGGCCTTCCAGAACAGCTCATCAGCAAGACAGTGCTTGCGGCTGTCGTCAAACAGCCACCAGCCTTCGAGCAGGCCAAACACCAAGTCCAGCCACGCCAGCCGCAGCGCCGGCACCAGCTCGACCAGCGCCAGGAAGCCGCCCGGCCGCAGCAGCGCGCGCGCGTGGCTGCAGCTCTGCACCAGGCTGTGCGTCGCGTGCATGCAGCACGTCGACACCACGGCGTCGAACCGCCCCGCCAGCGCCGCCGGCGCCTCCTTCTCCACGTCCAGCGTCATATGCTCGGTAGCGCTGCCCGCCGCCGCCCGCTGCAGCAGGCCCTAGTACCGCTTGCGCGACGACGCCACCAGCGACGGCGAGATGTCCGTGTACACGAAGCGGAACGGAATCCGCGCGTCGACGAGCGTCTCGAGCACGTGCTTGGTGGTGCCGCAGAGCCCGGCACCGATCTCGAGGATCTCGACGGGCCGCGTCGAGTCCGACGGCTCTGTCCAGCTGGCGAACACGCGCCGCAGGTGCTCGGCCACCACGCGCGACCCCGCCGCGAGCATGGGCGCCGACGTGTAGAAGTCCTACAGCAGCTGCCGGCTGGCGCCGAAGATGAGCTGGATCGGGTCCGCCGCGCCGGTGAGGCACTCGGCCAGCTTCGACCCCGTGACGTGCAGCAGCTGGTGCGTGCCGGCGTGGGGTGCGTCGGCGCGCACGAGGCGCGCGCTGAGCTGCTCGGCCGACGCCTTGTCGGTCTCCACCGGCCGCTGCGTGCGCACGCGCCGGCCGTTGCGCCGCTCGACCAGCCGCGCGTGCTCGAGGATCTCGAGCAGCGCGTCGGTGACGGCCGCGTGCCGCGGCAGGATCGCTGTGGGCGGGACAATGGGCGTGCCGGCGGCCATCTGGTCGAGCGGGCTGCCGAGCTTGGCAAAGGCTTCGACGACGTACGCCAGCACGAGCTGTTTTTGTGCGGGGTAGATCCGCGTCAGGAAGTCGTAGCACCCCAGCTCGCGTGCGAAGTGCGGCATCATTGCCGCGGCGGAGATGAAGTGCGCTTCGACTGCGGCGCGCGAGAGCACACCGGGCCTGGGTGCTGCTGGTGTCTAGTTCTTGGGGTCTAGATGTGCGGCGGCGGCGAAGGCTCCGTTGGGCTTGTCCAGCGTTGATAACATGCGCTTCATGAGCTTCTGGAGCAGCGGGCCCAGGAGAGTCTTGACCTGTAGGGGTGGGTTAGGTCTTTCTGGTGGAATACATAACGAAGGGACGAAGGGAAAGATAGAAGACGAAGGGAAAGATAGAAGACGAAGGGAAAGATAGAAGACGAAGGGAAAGATAGAAGACGAAGGGAAAGATAGAAAAGGGGGGGGAGGGGAAACAACAACAAAAAGGGGCTTACCCTCGGCCGCATCATGATGGAAAAGTGGTCTCCCTCAACGACAAACGTCTCCACGCTCCCGCACAGCTTGTCCCAGCCGCGCGGCCCGAACGTCTTCTTCTCCGACTCGAGCCAGTCGACCCTGCGTCTCCAGTCAGCAGCAGTTCTTTGCTTTCGGCAGATCACAAACAAGCAACAAAAAACTCACCACTCGGGATTCATCTCGTCCACGTCGTTGCCCTGCTGCTTGGCAATCTCACGGCCAACCTCGATGACCTTGTCCGCGATATGCTCGACGAAGCCCACCTTGGCCCACACGCAAAACACGTGGCGCGGGCGCTTGTCCGCGGGCAGCGGCACAGCATTATACTCGCACGAGATGTTGACGCAGCCGGCAATGTGCAGCTTCTGCGCGGGCGTGAGCGGCTTGCGCTGGTCCTCCTCGGAAATGCTGTCGTACATGCCCATCGTGTCGCAGACGTCCACGTCGACCTTGATGGCGCCGCTCAGGTTGCGCGGGCATGCCGTGTCGAGCGTCACGAAGCCGTGCACCTCCTCGCCGGCCGCGATCAGGTCGTTGACCACGGCGTACGCGAACATGCCCCCGATCGAGTACCCGCCCACCAGGTACGGGCCGTGCGGCTGGATCGCCCGGATCGCCCGGCTGTACACGGACGCCACACCCTCGACCGTCACCCCGGGGAGGAAGAGATCGTGCTCGCGCGTCGCGCCCGAGGAGTCGGTGCCCATGAAGGGCGAGTCGAGCGAGTACACGGTCAGGCCGGGGGCTAGGGCTGGGACCTGCACGTACACTGCGGCGACCCCGCCGCCGTCGGTCACGAGGAACAGGATCGGGCCCTTGGACCGCGGGCGGCCCTGCAGGAGGGTCGTCTTGCTGGTGTACTCGGCGGGGTTGAAGGTTTTCTGGGGGCGCGGTAGGAGTGCTGCGAGCCGAGGTGGTGTGGGCAGGGCGGCTGGCGGGGGAGTGGTGTGGTCTGTGGTTCCTGCGGGAAATAGCCGTCAGTGCCTGACCGTTATCGTAACAGTCGCCGCGCGCGAGCAAGAGAGGTCGAAAAATGCAGTTGGGAAGTCCGACCGTGCCTCTCATTATACCGCGGTCATAGACGGACATCAGTTTACACACCATTCACGTCAGCTTCAGGCCCTGGTCCGTCGTCCTGCTGCTGCTGCTCACCCTCACCCTCACCCAGCGCCGCGCGCACCTCGGCCAGCGTCTCGCAGTCGGAGAACAGGCTCGTCGGCAGCTCCTCGCCCGTCTGGTCCTTGACGGCGCCGATGACCGCCACGCTCATCAGCGAGTCGATGCCCAGGCCCGTGAACGGCGTGTCCTGGTCGATCTCGGCCGGCGTCGCGCCCGTCTCCTTGGCGATGGCCGCGAGGATCGCGTCCATGAGGCTGCTGCTGGTGTGGCCCTTGTCGGAGCCAGGGGCGGGCTTGCTGCCCCACGCGGCGTCGTCGGGCTCCGACGCGGAGCTGGCCGGCATCGAGCTGGTGCGCGCCACGCGCACGCCGTCGGCCGACGCCGGGCTCGGCAGGTCGTTATCGTTGGTGATGCTCCAGCTGCGGTCGTCGTCGTCGTTGTCGCCCTCTCCATCATCCACTGGCGTGGCGATGTATCCGTCGTTTGTATCTTCGCCCTCGGCGCGGAAATACTCGCGTAGCTCGGCGATGCTCGTGGCGCCAGAGATCAGCGTCGTCGGCAGCTCCAGCCCCGTCTCGGCCTTGAGCTTGGTCGTGATAGACACGGTCAGCAGCGAGTCGACGCCCAGCTCCTCGAGCGTCGTGCTGTCCTCGGTCTCGTCCAGCTGCGTGCCGATCTCCTTGCTGATCAGCGCCAGCACCGCCGACAAGTCGCGGCTGCTGCTGCTGCTGTTGCTGTTGCTGTTGCTGTTTGTCTGGGGCGGCGGCGCTGCTTTCGCGGCCGGCGGCGTGCGCGTGCCGTTCACCTCTGGCTTGGCAACTCCGTTCGGCTGCTTCTGTCCGCTAGACGCAGGGGCTGCCCGCTTGGCCGCAGGCGCCTTCATCTGGACTGCAGCTGGAGCAGCAGCCGCCGGCTTGGCCACGGGCTTCACTGCCGCAGGAGCAGCAGCAGCAGCAGCAGCAGCCCCCCCCGGCGCCGCCACGCCCAGCATCTTCTGCAGCAACAACTTCTTGATCCGCTTGAACCGCAGCCCCTCGCCCAGCGCGACCACATTACCCTCCTCGCCCTCCTCGACAACCGTTACATCGCACACGAGCTCCTTCCCAGCGGTCCCCGCCACGGCCTCGGCGCGCACGTGGCACAGGTACCGCTTGCCGCCGGTAAAGGCCGTCGTCAGCCGCATCAGGTCGCAGCCCGTGCTCATGCACAGCATGTCGTCGGGGTTGGCGACGTCGGCATTCAGCACGAAGCCCGCCGTCTGCGCAATGTTGTCCAGCCAGCACGGGTCCGCCGCGAAGCTATCCCCCGCCGGCGTCTGCCGCAGGTCGAGCACGACGGCGGCCTCGCGGAACGCGCTATCGATGAATATCTCCGAGATGGACTGGTACGCGGCCGAGTACTCGGTCACGGGCACGAAGATCTTGTACACCATGTCGCGGCGCAGGTGGTGCACGGGCGGGCCGCCGGCGGCCGGGTCCCGCAGCCGCTGCAGCCGGTCCGCGAGCAGGTAGCGGCGGCGCGCCCAGTCCTTGGCCCAGGCCGCGGTGGGCGACAGCGCGACGGTGCAGCGGCAGTGCTCCTTCTTGCCCGTGTTGATGGTGATGCGCGCCGTGGCGGTGCCGGGCGCCATGGACGCCGTGATGCGGATCGGCTGTGGTGTGGACGCGTCGTCGCCGAGGAACATGGGCGACGAGATGACCAGGTCGTACAGGTCCATGGCGGCCGGTGTCGGCCGGTCAGGGTGCGTGCGCGTGTACAGGTACCGCGCCGCGCTGAGCGCTGTCTCCTTGTACATGCTGCTCGGAGCGAGCGCGATGCCGACCACGCGGTGCCCGTCGACGAGCGCGCGCAGGCTAGGCTCTTGGATGTTGGTCGAGAACTCGACTGTGGCCTTGGACAGGTCCTCAGAGACAACGCGGTGCAGGCAGGTGCTGACGTGCGGGATATGTGCTGCTGCTGCTGCGGCGGCGGCGGCGGCGGCGTCTTGTCGGGGGCCGTCGAGGCCGGGCAGCAGGGCCTGGGGCCGCGCAGAGAGCGTTGCCACCTGCTGTTTGAGGGTGACCATCTCGGCCTCGAGCCCGGCCACGCCCCCCTTGTACTGGATCCAGTAGTCCTTGAGGTTGAAGTGGTACGTGGGCAGGTCGGCGACGGCCAGGCTGGGGCGGTACGGGCGGTGGAACTCGGCCCAGTCGACGGCGATGCCGGCCGCGTACGCGTCGGCGGCGACCTTTGCCAGCGTCTTCCAGTTGGTGTCGGCCGCCTTGAGGCACGGCAGCAGCTTGCACGGCGCGCCCAGGCTGGCCTGCGTCATGGACAGGCACATGGCGCCGGGCCCCGTCTCGACGAACAGCGTCTTGTCCGTCACAAAGCCCGCGGCCTGCAGCGCCTTGACGGCCGCCTCGAACTGCACGGGCTTGCGCGTCTGCTCGGCCAGGTACGACGCCGAAAACACGCCGTCAGTGTCGACAACCTTGCCGAGCAGCGTCGAGGCGACGGGCACGGCGGGCGCGGAGAAGGTGACGGCGGCGGCGACTTGGCGGTAGTCGTCGAGGATGGTGTCGAGCTGGGCTGAGTGGAATGAGTAGGGCACCGCCACGTACGACGACTTGACGCCGCCGTCATCGTGCAGGATGGCCTGGATCCTCTCGAGGTTCTTCATGCGGCCGTTGACGACAATGGCGCCGGGCCCGTTGAAGCAGGCCACGTCGAAGGCGCCGGCGCCGCGGCCCTCTACCATGCTGCGGAAGCGGTCGGCCGACGTCTGCACCATCAGCATGCCGTGCGTGCCCTTGGTGCACAGCTCCTCGACCAGCTGCGCGCGCCGGCCCACCAGCAGCAGCGTGTCGGCCACCGTCAGCACGCCCGCCGTGCACAGCGCCGCGTACTCGCCGAGGCTGTGGCCGACGACGGCGCTCGGCGTGAGCCCCCACGCCCGCAGCAGCCGCGCCAGCCCGAGCTCGATGGCCACGATGGCCAGGTGCGCCTGCACGGGGCTGAGCTGGCCCATGTCGGCCACCTGCCCGTCGAGCACGCGGTCCATGAAGCGCGGCAGGTCCATGGCCGTGCACATGTCCTGTAGCTCGTCGAGCGTCTGCTGGAAGACGGGGTTGGTCGCGTGCAGCGTCTTGGCCAGTCCGCAGAAGTTGAAGCCCTGGCCGGGGAACACGAACACGACCGACGGCTGCGCCTTGCCGGGCTTGACCGCCGGCTCGGGGGTGCTGGACGGGCCGAGCTGTGCAGTCAGGGCCTGCTTCAGCTCGACGAGGCTCGACACGGTGAAGACGGAGCGCAGCGCGTGGTGCGGGCGTCGCGCCGTCGTCGTGTAGGCAATGTCCTCGAGCGGCACGCCGGGGTTCGCGGCGAGATAGTCGAGCAGCCGCTGCTTGTTGCCGGTCAGGGAGGCCTGGTTCTTGGCCGACACGGCCACGACGTGGTGGGTGCGCGGGTCCTGGCCGCTGCGGGCCGGCTTGGGGGGTTCTTCGACGAGGACGCAGGTGTTTCCGCCCTGTGCGGAGTCAGCCCCTATTGCACATCTGTTGCAACGCGAGTACGTACCGTTGCGCCGAAGCTGCTGATGAGAACCCTGCGCCGCACTTCGTCTGAGCCAATAAACGGCTCCAGCTGGCGGGGGATGTGGATGTTGGCGCTCTCGAGCGGCGGCAGCTTGGGGTTGAGGCGCGTCTTGATGCCCGCGTGCGGCGGGATGGCGTTCTCGCGGAACATGAGCAGCGCCTTGATGAGTCCGGTGACGCCGGCAGCCTGTAAGTGGTTAGCTGGTGTTGGACGAGAGAAGTGAGAGAAGGAAACTGCAAGAAGGAGAGCAAGAAAGTAAAATGGGATAAAAAACAAAGAAAGGGGGGGGGAGAAGAAAGAAGAAAGAAGAAAGAAGAAAGAAGAAAGAAGAAAGAAGAAAGAGGAAAGAGGAAAGAGGAAAGAGGAAAGAGGAAAAAGGAAAGAGGAAAGAGGAAAGAGGAAAGAGGAAAGAGGAAAGAGGAAAGGGACAAAGAAAGAATAAACCTACACCCCCACCGTGCCCGACGTTCGCTTTGACTCCGCCGACGTAAAGGGGGTTGTCCGGCAGCCGGCCCTCGCCAAACGTCGACACCACCGAGTTCATCTCGGTGACGTCTCCCGACTGCGTGCCGGTGCCGTGCATCTCGACATAGCCGACCTGGGCCGGGCTAAGTCCCGCCTTGCGCAGGACCTCCCGATACAGACTCACCTGCGTGGGCGCGTGCGGCTGGGTGATGGACGGCGCGTAAGCCGAGTGGTTAGTCGCGACGCCTCTAATCACCCCCTGAATAGCGTCGCCCTCGGCCAGAGCATCGGCCAGGCGCTTGAGCACGACCACGCCCACGCCCTCGCCGCGGCAGTAGCCGTCGGCGGTCTCGTCGAACGTCTTGCAGCCGCCTGTCGGCGACACGAAGCCGCCGCGGCTGAGCCCGGACCACAGGTTGGGCCCCGTCATGACGTTACCGCCGCCGGCAACCGCCATGTCGCACCGCCCGCCGAGCAGCGACGCGCACGCCAGCTCGACGGCCGCGCCGCTTGACGAACATGCCGTGTCGACCACGTACGACGGGCCCTCGAACTTGAAAAAGTAGTTCAGCCGCCCCGACGCGAACGACCGAAGCCCGCCCGTGACAAAGTCTGTCCGTCCGTCCGTCCGTCCTTGTCAGCACCGATAAACATCAACAGCAGGAGGAGGGGGCACCGATAAACATCAACAGCAAGTAGAAGAGGGCACCGAGAACAACATACACATCTCAATCTCCTGCGCGATGTTATACTCGCGCCAATCATCCGTCGCCAAGCCGACAAAAGTCCCGACCCGCCTCCCACCATTCCACTCCGGCTTATTCGCGTCATACCTAAACCCGGCCATCTCGAGCGCCTCGTACGTGGCCATCAACAACAGCCGCTGCACGGGGTCCGTCTGCACGCTCTCGCGCGGCGAGACGTTGAACATCAGGTTGTCGAACGCGCCGGGCCGCTCGATGAAGCAGCCCCACGCCGAGTGCGTGGTGTTGGGGCGCTGACCGGAGGCGTCGGTGTGCAGCGCCGCGTCCCACCGCGAGGCGGGGACTTGCTGGTGCAAGTCTTTGTTCTGGACCAGCGTGTCCCAGAACTCGGACAGCGTCTCGCTGCCGGGCAGGCGCGCGGACATGCCGACTACGGCGATGGCGTCCGACATGTCGCCGATGTTGCTGTTGGTCTGCGCAGCGCTGCTGCTGCTGCTGCTGGGCGCGGCCAGGGAGGCGGCGGTCGTCAGCGTAGCCGTCTGCTCGAGGCCGGCGGTTTTAAGTGCCGTGCGCAGCAAGTTCTCGGCGTTGGATGGGCCGAAAACGGACACAGACACGGGCGCGTCAGGGGCCTGCTGGATCCCGCCGAGGGCGCCCTCGACGGCCGTGGCCGGGAACAGCTCGTGCTGCAGGATGTGCGCGAGGGCGTGCTGCAGCAGGCCGCGCAGCGTTTGAGAAGCGCCGTACGGCTGCCCAGTGCCGGGGTCGACCAGCACGGTGCCGGGCGGGACCGGTGCGTCTAGGACCGGCGAGGCGCCGATCACGGCCGCGACGGTCTCGGCGCTCGGCGCGGGGAGGTGCGCCGCGTGGAACGCGCCGTAGACGGGCAGGCGCGCGGTGCGGAAGCCTGCTGCGGCGCAGGTACTCACAAAGGCGGATAGCACGGACGGCGGGCCGCTGACGGTGGCGCTGGAGGCCGTCTCAGCGCTGACGTACAGCTGCTTGTGCACGGGCGTGGCGTGCGTCTGGTGGAAGTGCGCCATGGCCGAGCGGTACTCGGCCGGGCTGGCGCCGCTGACGAGGGCGGACCAGCTGTTGTCGATACCAGCAGTGGCTGGCTCGATGAGAGCAGTGGCTGGCTCGATGAGTGCAGACCGGTGGCGCACGTGCAGCCCGAGCCGCAGCGCCACCACGACAATGTGGCTCGCCGTTGACGTCAGGGCCGGCAGACTCGTGGCGGCGGCGGCGGCGGCGGCCGGAAGCAGGCCCGTGCAGAAGCCGACGATGCGGCGGTTTAGGGCCGTTTCTGAGTCCGCGGCGGCACGGCCCAGCAGTGTGGGGTCTTGCTCCACGCGGCTGCGTGCTGTTAGATATGCTTACTGTGTTTATAGGTAGTCATCTGAGATGGGGACTTGCCGTATGTAGTCGGCCAGCTGGGCAAGACACAAGACGGTGGTCGACAAGACGACGCGGGCGCTGCTCCCCGGCTCGGCGCGGTGCTCGGCCAGGTCCAGGGCTGAGTGGAAGACGGGCAGCGCCCGTCTCTCGTCCTCGGGCAGGCCGGCCACCTCGACCCTCAGCGCCGCGACGGCCTCGGTGAAGAAGCGTCCGAGCGCCAGCGATGTCTTGGACTGCTCGACTAGGCTCTTGAGAAAGGGGCCCGCCTCGGCCGTCTGGTCCCCGAAGAATATGACATTGCTGGTTGCCATGTTGGCGGCTTTCTGTTGGCGACTTTCTGTGTGCTGTGTGCTGTGATGTGTTGTGCAAAGAAGGGCTGCGTTGTGTGTTCAGGGGTAATTAGGTTTAAAGGTTAGATTGTAGGAACAATGTTGAATGAACAGGGTTTAGTTGAAACGAGGCTCTGATTTGGTCTGCACGGTCAGCTGCCACCACCCTGTTGATGTCTATGTTGCTTTTTCAGGGCCAGCGGCGCAGCTTTAATGGATTTCGACCAGGGCCGCCTAGGTCTAGGTCTAGGGAAGGGGAAGGAAGTCTGTTTGTCTCTCGCCTGCTACGCCGTGGGGATGTTGCCAATGCCACGCGCTCCCGAACCAGCAGTCACTTCATCAACGAGGCCAGGGCAAACTGCCTGCCAGTGCTTTTCGGCGGCTAGCAAATATTGGAACCGGACCAAGCCATGCCACGCCACGGCTTCTGCAACATGAACCGACCTCTTCCCTGCCCCGCGGCCGGTCATAAATCATGACTGTGGAGAGCTCGGCCGCCATGCAAGCAAGAAACAGCGAAGTGGTTGGAATTCCGTGTCTCGCCGAGTGCCAAAGTCGGCCCCCTTTTTTTAGTCAAGCCAAGCTTACAGACGGTACATGTTGCCGAAAACGGCAAGACCAGACCCAGGGTAGGGTCCCAGACAGGGCGAGAGTAATACACGCATCGGGAACTCTCCACCCTCAGCGAGGCAGGCCCCAGGCCTAGAGCTGCACGAACGCGCTGCAGCATATCGGGGCGGCTGGCGAGCAAGCGCGGCCAGCGCATATATTCCTTCGGACCCGACAGAACATGAGAAGATGGTGTGGAGGCTGTTGTCTGATGCCTATCGCAGGCCCGATGGATACGATGCGGTGTGACTGAAGAAAAACGTAGTCCGCGGACTTGTGCCTGGAGAATCTCCCAGACGTCGGCCTTCTGATACCAGTGCCACAATCACGTGGCTCGCTGGGTTGTGGTTAGAGAACATGGCCAAGCAGACCAAGCAGACCAAGAAAGCCAAGTAGGCCAAGCGATTACTGACAGTTTGGCAATCAGTGATTATCAGCTAACTACCCACCAGACAGACACATGGACATGAACTTACATGAATGTACATGCCGAGGAGGCATCTCCAACTTCCAAGACGTGGGGTGGTCAGCCAGCCAGCATCTGAGCATATCCCTGCAGCCGCCTGCAGGTACCTTGGCACATAAGCCCCCTGGAATAGGGTACGTACTAGTAGAAGTAAGCTTTGTCGCGGGTAGATGCACCTGGAGCCATGTCGAGCTCCGAGCTTGGCGCGCCAACCAACCCACCCCAAGCATCCATGTCCGTGGCCTACCAAGTCCGTGGCCTACCAAGTCCGTGGCCTGCAAGTCCGTCGCCTGCCAAGTCCGTCGCCTGCCAAGTGCTACCCGACGGCCGCTCGCCGCTGGGTTGCATTATCAGTAAGGTATATCTTGGAGACGCACCATTGGGGGAGGGGGGGCTGGAAAGCTCGGGAGAGCTACCTGCGAGAAAATCGAGTGCATGCACAGACAAAATCCGAACGTGTCGGATGCGATAGATGGATGCGATGGATGGATGGATGGATATGGTGTCATTTTGTCTTGGCTCAGCCCGCCCGGGTGCTGCCCCCGAATGAACGAACGAATGGACGATCCGCAAATACCCCCGCCCCCGCCCGCCCACTGCACTTGCACTGCACTGCGGCGGGCAAGGCAGAGAATAAGGTCGATCGGGGTAAAGGTTCGAGTGTCCTAATGCAACTGCCAAGCAGCCCTACCTGCTGTGTAACAGAAAAGTCGGCGAAGTGCTTCCTTGCTCGTGTCGAGGACCACTAATTAGGAACGAATTGTCTTGGTGGCGCGGAAGCGGCCGGAAGTGGGGAGCCAGCCCATGAATTCACCAGGGTTGACCTGTGCTGACAGCCGATTAAATTCCCGCGAGACGGGGAGGGCACTGCACTGCGGTGCGGTGCGCAGTCCAGCTGCTGCTGCGCTGGTGCTGGTGCTGGTGCTGCTGCTGCTACTGCTGCTGGTGCTGTGGTGCTGCTGGTGCTGCTGCTGCACGGGCGGGCTCTGTGTGACGCGACAGGCAGGTCTGACGCATCTAAGCAATACCAAGCTGTCATTGGGCAGCTTGCCGTGGGGGCTTGGCAGCAGCCGTAGATTTCCCAGTCCGGCCATTAACACCTACCTATCTCCACAGTAAGCACAGCACAGCACAGGGAGTGCCAGGGAGTGCCAGGGACTGGCATGTTGAACGACAGATAAGGTATGTACCAGGTAAGGCAGGAACCTTTTCCGCCTGCTTACGGCAAAGGCCGCGGCCGGCAATCAACACACTTGAACATGGCGCAATTCGCTGCGAGTTAGGATGCGCTGCGAGAGTTTTCTGCCTTGCAACTCTCTCTAGGGCCCGGGGTTACATTAGATTTCTTTCTATCCCCAACCTATCGGCCCTCAATATCCAGACTCCCGGCATTCGGCATCGACCCTCCCGCTCTCCCGATTTGCCTTGCCGGTCTTTGCCTTGCTGGTCTTTGGGATTATCGCTCTTGCCGTCTGACGATATTCTCTATTTCCACGACTTTCGTCGTATTCCCGCCAGTGGCCCGTTTGTGCGGGCTGTTGGGCCGTTGGCTGCGGTAATCAATTTGGCCCCGGCTTGGTAACAACACGTCGTGCCGTTGAACATGCAGCGTGCTGCGCCATAACATTTGAATGTTGTGAATCTTATTAACCAAAACGCAGTTATTGTCCCCGGTGCAGCACCAGCCCCGTATTTCCCAGGTCCTGCATGCGAGCTCTTTAGCTCTCCGTGCTCGACGCAGTAGGCCAATGCCCAATCCGGCGCTCTTGCTCCTGCGCCGCAATCACAACCGCCGAAGCCAAACTGGGGTACCGAGGATACGAATTGCGAGGCAAGGTAGTAGTATAGGACACGCAACTATTCTACCTTATTTCAGCCCACCTAGGCAGGCAGGCGGCAGAGTCAAACCAAGTTCTAGAATAGGCCCAGAGTAAGCAACGTACATGCTGTTTCCATCCTGCATCAGACAATACACGGACAATACACACGGACAATACACACGGACATGCACAACGGCGGCGAGCCTAGAACCAGTCTAGGTAAGACGGAGAAAATCTCGCCCTCACTCAATAGGCCTCGACTCTGGCGCAGCCGCGCTTCGATACACAGTAATACACCCCGCGCGGGCCGTAGGTTAGTTGCCGTGCTACCAACGACATTGATTTTGACGTTGCATGCCAGATTAATCGACGCTCCCATGTCACCCTACCCGCCCCGGCCAACACCCGTCCCAGAAATCTGACTCCCAACATGAACCTCGTAAAGGAAGCAACGTGAATCCTAGGACGGCTTATTTGTTTATCGTCCCACGTGGCACACGAGTCTTCACTTGTCTACTCTTTTCGGATTCGGAGTTCCACTCGCCGCAACCCTCCTCTACAGCCGCTTATCTCTAACATTAGTCAGTCGACGAGTCTAGACTGGACGGACTTACATGTCCCGAATCGGATCGGGGTCGACCAAAGCGGGTCTGCTGGGACACACCCACACCACAAACCCACACCACAAACCCACACCCACCACACAAACCCACACCCACCACACAAACCCACACCCACCACACAAACCCACACCCACATCACACACCCATACCCACATCACACACCCACACCCACACCCACACCACACACCCACATCACACACCCACACATAACCTTCGCGGGAACGGCGGCGGAGGAGGGGCACGTGCCGCTTGGTAGCTCGGCGCGTTGGCGCCACGCCGCTTGGCTTTCCGTCTAGAACCTATTATTGGGGCCATATGTCTCAACGGCGAGATTAACTATCATTCTTGGCGGCTGCGCGAGCCTCATTGGTCAGCACCCGAATGTAGCCAAGTACGCAGTAGGTAGATATCTGACATCAGCGTGTGGGTGCGTCACACTCAGACGTCCGACGACTCGGCACCTCTATATCCGTCGGTCGGTCGGAGTCTCCGGTCGTCGGTTGGCCGCCCGGGTCAGCCAGCGGCGACAAGATGGCGGAACCTCTATTTCTGTGTCGCTCAGGTCAGTAGCCACAGCAATTATGGCAGAATCTCCAGTTCTGTGGCGCTCGGGTCATAAATGACGACATGGTTACCTATCCCAGCTGACTGCCGCGCTGGGCAATGGCTTGGCCGAGCGAAATGGCGCAACCAAAGCCGCGGTTTCCGGGACAATGCCCAAATATTGAGGCTTTTATTGAGCTCATATCCGAAATATGCTGAGCAATGGCGCGTGATGATCGTCAACGTAGAAGTAATTGTTCTGAGCGTCATGTCACGGCCTTCCTAGCCAACCAAGGGCAGCTGTGTCTATATGACAAGTCATAATCACCGCGCTTGACTAGGTACCTGATTAGTAAACTAGCTTTGAATTCAATCGTGTCTGCATGGCTAAGGTACCTCTAACCCGGCTACAATTGCCGTCTTCTTGATATTATTGGCTTAATATTCACCGGGCCTATCAGGTTGTTGCAACAACGCACCTTGTGCGAATTCACAGACATGCAAACTATTGCCATAGAGCAAGCATTATTCGAGACTTGCATTTCCGCACTTGACAAAGCTGTCGCGTGTCTCCGAATTTCCCTCTTTCCACCCACGTCTTGCCTTAAAGACTTGCCGGATCGACATTGCGCTGGCACTCTATATGGCCGCGGCCAGGCCGCCACGGCCCGCCCCGACGACGATAGTTTTGATTTCTGTAGCTGGTGGCGCCGTGGCGTTTTTGCCGAGCACGGTAGTTTGATGGAGATGATGTGAATATCGCCGGAAATCGAACCAGCAGCTGCTTAGCACCAATGTGAGTTGCAGCAAAGCTAAGCCCTTCCCAACATCGGAAATCAACTCATGCCCTCTCACGCGTCCATAACGACATTTCTAACGGCTTTTGGCTGCCCGATGTCGGGTGGTACGAGATACCAGATGGGTGGGGAGATACAAGATGAGATAATCACCGGCTCACCTCGAATTGCGCAAGCTAGGTTCCATCTATTCTAGTCGGAGATAATGTCAGCGCACATGATTCAACCTCAAAATCGTGTGATTAAGCCTCGCAATCATCTGGAGAATTCTGTCTCAAGCGCACGATGTCATGAGTTGAGGCCGGAGAGGACTCAGGAGACTCGGTTTCACCAAACAAGCTCGGATGAAAAGCAGATAGCGAGGTGACCTCGCACCAACGGCGGCTTGTTGAATGCTATTAGCATTGTCCGCGATAATGCTTCTTTTTCCATTCAACTCTCCTCAACAAGAAAAACACTCGGCAGTGATGCCTTGCTCTAACAGCGGCAGGCATCCGAAAATCATCTCAGGTTGCACGGGAGACGACTTTCAGCGGCAGGCATCTGAAAATCATCTTAGGTTGCATCGGAGACGGCTTTCAGCGGCAGGCATCCGAAAATTATCTTAGGTTGCATGGGAGATGACTTTCAGCGGCAGGCACCCGAAAATTATCTTAGGTTGCATGGGAGACGACTTTCGACGAGAACACCTGCCCCTAGAGTCGGTAACTCAAAAAACCCCCGGATGAGGCCCACATATTGCAGAATATTGGCATTGAGGCTGGTTGAAGAAGATGCAGACCAGGTGTGGGAGGCCAAGAGGATTGTCATGCTCGTAGCTGCTTATTTCCGTAACACTGGCCGGAAGTTTCTGCTGCATGCTCACCAATGCTACCGTGCCCTTGTGCAGACCAGACTTGGCCGTGCAGCGTATATGGAACTGAGATAACCAACCATATTGCCAACCAAGCCGGCCAGTCCCTGCTGTCTGATGGGGGATTTTCAAGTTACACGTACTGTTTCATGCGGCCAGAACATTGGGAATTCCAAGACCAGAAGAAGCACCGAACTGAGTCAGCGTGCTGTGCCAGGTTGCAGCAGCTGCCCAGGTCGGTGTTCGGCATTTCTTCCCCGATGCGGTTGCGGCCGTGGGTCAAAGGGGGTTATTCTTAAGACCAGCGCCATGGCGACCCGACGTGGATAGCTTGGCACCGACGTGACAAGTTAGTTGCACCTCGTCAGCTCTAGCCTGCTCCCTTGCACAGCCATGCCCGAAACGGTCATCTCGCGGCTCTCCGAGTCTATCTTCAGGAACATCAAGGTTGTCGACTCGTACCTCAAGGCCAACAACCTCCCCGGTCCGTCCTTTGACGTCGACGCCCCGACCTCTATAGACATTGGCCCCGACGGCGAGCACGTCGAGGAGGCCCGCGTCAAGGCCCTCGAGGGCGCCCTCGAGCTGGTCGACCTGCTGTCGGGGCCTATGGTCGCGCTGAGGCCTCTGGTGTGTATTCGCCCCCCTTGATGACCTCAACGGCATGTATAAAAAAACAAGTGCTCTGACCAGCAAAAGACCAGCGGCGCCAGCCTGCAGGCCATCTCGCGGTGGGACATTGCAAACAAGGTGCCGATCCACGGCGAGGCGTCTTTCACGGAGCTGGCGCGGCAGTGCAGCGTCAACGCGGTCGACCTGCGGCGGGTGCTGCGGTACGCCATGTGCCACCACCGGCTGTTCCACGAGCCGCGCGAGGGGTTCGTGGCGCACACGCTGGCGTCGCGGCGGCTGGCCGAGGAGCCGCTGCTGGGCGACGGGCTGTGGCTGCTGGGCGACATGTCGTGGGCGGCAACCACCAGAACCGTCGACGCGCTCGAGAAGTGGCAGGACCAGGAGCCCTCCCACACGGCCGTCGCGCTGACCATGGGCAAAGAGGCCAGCACGTACGAGCTGATCCAGCAGGAGCCAGCGCTAGCAGCCCGGTTCGCGCGCGCCATGACGTCGGTCGCCAAGTTCAGCAGCCGGCCGCCGCGGCTGCCGCGCGTCAACTTCGTGCCGACCAAGCCATTCCAGACGCTGGGCACGGCGACCGTGGTCGACATTGGCGGGTCGCGCGGCATCGACGCGGTGCTGCTGGCTGGCAGGTACCCTAACCTCAACTTCATCGTGCAGGACCTGCCGCCCATGATCGCCGGCGCCGAGGCCGCGGTGCCGCCGGCGCTGCGCTCTCGCGTCCGGTTCGCGCCCTACAGCTTCTTCACGCCCCAGACCACCGTCGCCGACGCCTACGTCATCAAGCGGTGCTTCCACAACTGGCCCGACCACTACTGCGTGCGCATCATCAAGAACCAGATCCCAGCCATGCGCCGCGGCACCAAGATTATCGTCATTGACAGCCTGCTCCCCCCGCCCGGCACCATGTCGCTGGCCGCCGAGAGGATGGCCAGGTAGCTTCCCACCGCTTTTAACAGTCTCCCACGGTATGAAAGACGCGCTAACCCTTGGGCCGTGCTTAGGGCCTTCGACATGATGATGCTGACGCAGCTCAACGGGCGCGAGCGCGAGGCCGACGACTGGCGCCAGATATTCCGCCAGGCCGACGAGCGCTTCACCATCACGGGCATGCACCCGCTGGCGTCGCCCGCCGACTTTGGGCCGTCGACGGGCATCATCGAGGTCGTGTGGGAGGGCTGAGGGAGGGACGGGATACGTGAGCGGCGTGTACTGTACACATCCGTGCAGACACTCTTGGTCTGGTCTAGGGGAAAAGCAAACCTCGTGTCGTGCCGGCAGCCGGCGTGAGATGTTGCTAGGATGCGAGCATTCAACATTACTTCTTCCTTCCTCTCCGGGGTCGCGCAATACCTAAGGTAACACTACCTACTAGACGTGGCGACCCAACAAAGAAATCGCCCCACAACGAAATCTCTGCCCCTATCATCTAATTTCCCGCCCTTCAACTTCAATACAACATAACTTCATCAATTCAGGCCCGAATAGCTTCAAAATACATCATGTCGAACCGTCGAGAGCAGTTAATTCAATCTGTAATACTTGCAGTTGAACAGGGCGCATCGCAGAAGCAGGCCGTGCATGACTTCGGGATCCCTCCTTCTACCCTCTGCAAACGCATCCACGGGGCAGAAAATCGAGCACAAAGTAAACAAGCTGAAAGAAACCTCTCTAATGCGCAGGAAAGCTTCCTAGCCGACTAGTGCCTCAATGAGGAAGCTGCAGGCCGAGCTCCTAGCCGTCGTCAGGTGCAGAGATTCGCTCAAGCTATACTCAATGAGGCCGGCACGAAAAAGACCATTGGGGAGCGATATGTGGACCGCTTCCTACGCCGCAACCCGGCGGTAAAGATGAAGAATTCAACCTTGTTGGAATCCTCTCAAGTCTGCGGATCTACTCGTGAGGCTTATGAAGCTTTCTTCAAGCGCCTGGCCTTCCAAATCAAGGATAAAAAGGTCATCCCGGTCAACATCGCTAACATGGATGAGCACGGCATGCAGGAGCTCGAGACCCGGGCCGGAAAGGTCATAGGAAGCTCCCTGACGAACCGAACCTACGTGAAAAGCTCTGATGCAACAACCTGGGTTTCAGTTATCGAATGCGGCACTGCTGAGGGCGTTCGTTTGAAGCCCGTGATCATATTTACCGGGGCCAGTCTTCAAGGACAACACTTTCCTGATAACTTCAACCTGACGAAGGAATTCCCGGAATGGAAGTACGATTACTCAATTACAGGCTGGAGCAACGCCAGTATTGCGTTGAAATGGCTCAAGGAGGTCTACCTGATCCAAACCAAGCCCCAAAGGCCGGGCGAATGGCGTATACTGATCCTTGACGAACATTCGAGCCATATGAACGAAAAATTCATGTTAACGGCCTTCCAAAATAAGGTCCAGTTCGCCTATTTACCTTCTCATACATCGCACAAGTCTCAGCCTCTCGATCGCTCGGTCTTTTCACCTTTGAAGAACTATTTCAGGCAAAACACCAAGGCCCTCGCGAGCTTCACATCGTCAGCTCCTGTCAACAAGGTTCGGTTCCTTTACTGCTACAGAGATGCCTCGGGTAAAGGCATGAGTGCCCGTAACATCATGTCGGGCTTCAGGAAAACCGGGATTTGGCCCTTCAACCCGGCTTGTTTACTTGATGACCCCGAGGCGGTCAAGGACAATGAGGCACTCCCGACCCGGCCTTCAACACCGCCGACGACGGCCCCGAACGACGATGACAGGCTCTTCAAAACACCGCACGGCAATCAGGACATCAAGAAGTACCAGGGCAGTATTCGGAATGCCCTCAGTCCGGCTCAGCGGCGTGTGCGGGCTTTGTTTACTAAGGTCGGGAGGTCCCTGGATCTGAAGAATACAAGAGATCGCGTCTTTGAAGGCACAAATTACGCATCTCACAACCGAATTAGAGGCTTCAAAGCCTCGCACGCGTAAGAGGGTATATGAAGATGGAAATGAGCGATTTGCACGTATAGAGGACATCGCCAAGGCACAAAAAGCTAGTCAAATACCCCCAAAGCGGAAAAAAACGGCCCGGCCAGAAAGCCAGCCACATGCAGTCGAAGAAGCCCGGGAAATAATCGCCCGTGGGCTTGAACAATATAGACAGGCCGAAGAAGAGGATTGAGTATTTTTTTGCTAGTTATTTTGTGTAGAAATGGATGATTTGCGCCCGTGGGGTGGGTGTGGGGCATGGTGTGGGTCAATTTCGTTGATGGGCGATTTCGTTGTTGGGTCGGCTCTTTTAAGCCTTGAGAGGCAGTCATGTCGCACTTGCGAAAATTAACTAGTCTCCTGTCCGGACCCAACCAAGGTAATTAGGCAGACCAGTCCCGAAGGCCAAATATGATAACGGACGGACACGGGCATGCTGCGGCTGAGAGGCGTAATATGAAGCACACGCGGTTGAGCACGTTGAGGCTGTGGCCCTAAGGCTGGGCTAGGGTAATCAATTACAATTTGCTCTCCCACCCTAGAACTAAAATCCCCGACAGCCTACTTCTAGACTCTCTGCAGGCCCGGCCAAAATCGGGAATCATTTCCGACGTACCGGAGGGAGGGACGCACTCATGCCGGGGGTGTTGCCAAGTGCTATTTAGGTAACCTCGCACATTTCCCAAACAGGAACGAAGCGACACGACGCCAAGCGACACGACGCTAAGCGGGCGCCGCCCGTTGCAGACGACGCGGCGTGGTATGCCGCAGCGGTTATGCATAAGGGGAGTCCCCCCCTCCGTTCAGCGCTCCCACAAGAGCGTCAGCAAGCCACGCGAATAAGCTGCAGCATGCACGCAGATGCAGTTAGCGCCGCCCAAGCCAAGCCCACACCAGCTTCGGCACCGAACACCTCCCTACCACTCTCGGACGTCGGATCCCGGACCGCCGACAGCCAATACTCCCACCACACGCTCTGTCTTGGGTTACACGCAACCCCCGCAGGTCGCACGGTATTGGCTTGCTTGGACTTTTGGTCGTCCGCTATCTACAGGGCCAAGAATTCGTACCTAAAGTTGCCAGAAAGTCTAGATTTGCGAATAGGGAAAAGCTGAGCTAGCAGCATTACGATTGGACAGCGACGTTCCTAATACTATCTGGGGATCACCCAAGACACCTCGTTCTCGGTCTCTCACGTCAGAAATACGTTAGAATCGCGATTTGTTAGCTGCGAATTAATTTGGTGGGAGAACGGGAACAATAATTAGGCAGCGCTGTCTTATGGGTTAGGTGCGCCTCTATTCGATCGTGGATGCATATTTAACTGCCTACCTATATCTAACTCAATAGTCACCCTTGATAACTAAGATTTTTTCGGCCAAATCCGTTTTCAGCTTGGGACTTGAACAGGAGCTGGGGGCGTACTGAGCACCTCCCTGAGTCGGGGTTATTTCAGGGAAGCGATATTATTCAGGCCGGCTATAGTTAACCGCGATTTAGAATAGGTGATATAAGAACCTCGCAGGGGTTGAACTGGGTGAAATAACTAAAACAACGCGGCGGGCCAAGTCATTATGTCTATCGAAAAACTACCGCTGCTCTGAAAATCACAGAACGTCTAATTACTCCTGACAAGTAGTAGTTGCCGTTGCCCTTGTTGCTTCTCTTCTTCGTGTGTCTCTTTTGGGGGGATCTCGCTTGGTGCATCTGTGAGTGTCATTTGAGGCACGATTCTGACCAGGTTTTGCGGGTAAGTTCCTGGGACGGACTGACACACTCTAAGGAGGAGTGGGCGGGTAAATTGAACCGATGAGTCGAGACCCAACCCGAGCCATGACGTGATACGTGGTCAGGACAACTAGTTCTGCCGAATCACTGTTGCGCTGTGAAACCTCAATATGCGTGGTGCAAACCGCTGCGCCCTGCACGGTTGCTATACGTATACGACCTTCATTAAAAGGATGCCTTGGAGATAGCGCTTGCAATATACTCGATAACAGATTTAATCAATTTCACCGACGAAGAGCGTGGATCTCATAAGGCGCCGTACCCTCCTAGATATGAGATGAAAGACAAAGACCGTACTTGTTTCGTTTTCATTCTTAGCTTACGCCTCATCTCCGGTCATCGAAGCGCGCTGTGAGCCATGTCCGTGACCGTGACGGCGCCACCACCTGCGGATAGCGATAGCGATTGCGCTTGGAATAAGACGCTAAACACACTCGGGCCCGAGATCCGAGCAATCTTCAACGTCGCCTAGGCACACAAGCACGACATATTAGCAGCCGTGCTACGGAGCGCCGAGAAGAAGCGCCAGCTTTGTCTGCACCAAGTACGTGACCCTAGACGTGACAAATCGGTTAGCGACTGATTGGAAATAATTCCTACGCAGTTCGAGTCCTGAAAAGTCCTTTCCGGATCGGAGATCATGAGCGAATGCAAGCGATCCAGTCCCGAGAAGCCGAAGTCCTAAAACTAGCAGCCCTCGTCGACTCTCGGTCGATTCAGTCAATGGAGGCGGCCGTCATCCGACTTTCAGACCAGGCGGCTCTGTCGGCAAAAGTTATGGACAAGCAACGACACCTGGAGCTCCTGAGGTGGCTGGCTTTCCGTCGTGCCGTTTTCTCGCCATCACGAATTCCGCTCCGACTTCAGAGTACCTGGCAGCGGCGCCTGGCTGCTCAACCACGCCGTGTACCGAGACTAGGAAGCCTCGAGCCCGTCTTCTATCCTGCTCGTGCACGGAATCCCTGGATCGGGAAAAACTACCCTCTGCTCGGTTGTCGTCGACTCGTTCATCAGCACGGCTTCGGCGCAGCCCGTTGCAGCCCCCTTCGCCTACTTTTACTGTGCGGACAGTCGGTCGGAACCCGAGCGCTCTTTGCCCGAGGAGATTCTGCGGAGTCTTCTGCGCCAGCTTGCCGTTGACAGCACGGCCCCCACGCGAGACCGTTCCTGTGTCTCTTTCGCGTACGAGTGCCATCTCGCAGCCGCCAAGTTGGACGGCCTGGAACTGCAAAAACTGCGGGCTGATAGTTGCCTAGCGCTGCTTCTTGCCCTAGCCAGCGGAGACCCCCTGATAATCATCATTGACGTGGTGGACGAGATCGATGATGCGCGCCGCCACGAGCTCCTCAACACTCTGGTCCGCTCGGTGACAGAAGCCGACAACGTCGTCAAGATCTTCCTCACGAGCCGGAACAGCGGTCAAATCTTCAAGGTTCTTCCGGCAGCATTTAGGATCAATATCACCAGCCACGACACTAGAGCCGACATGAAGGCATTTGTGCGACGGCAGCTTCACGGCGCTGTGACGCAAAAGAGACTTCTCGGAGGTCACGTACCCAACGAGATTTTTGAGCTGTTAGCACAGAGACTGTTGCCTAGGGCGGGAGAGGTGTAAGACGCCCTTTCAGATCTTCGAGACAACGTATTACGAGTAAGGCTAACCCAGCTTCTGTGTTACTTGTCACAGGTTCTTATGGGCAAAACTTCAAATAAACGGTCTCTGCCGCAAGAAGCACCTCGACGACGTGATTGACTCTCTAACAGACTGGGGGGCAAGCACCCTGGAGAGCATGTACGAACGAACATTTGTTCAGATACTAGCGTCTGACAGGGCCGCTCTCGACCTGATTATTTCCGTATTTTCGTGGCTCCTGTACATGAAAGAGCCGGTCTCGTCTGCCGAACTGGCCATAGCCGTGACGGCGGCCGGCGCTGCATCTCGGCGCCAGGTGGGGGCACGGCTACGTCGTTTCCTTCCTGCCGGATCGGGACGCGTTGCCGGACATAGAGTGCGGGAAATTCGGCAGCGCCCTCCATGCGGCCTGCTTCGTCGGGAACACTGACGTGGCTGAGCTGCTTCTTCAGCGCGGCACCTTGGTCCGGGCTGGCCAGGTATTTGCCAGCCCTCTCGAAGCCGCCATCCGGGGCGGCCACGAGGACACGGCCTTGGCCCTGCTCCAGCACGGTAAAGAGATGATCGGCAGCCAGGCGAGCTACGACGACGCCATCCACAGCGCCGCCATCGCCGGTCTTGCCAGGGTCGTGGATCGGCTGCAGAAGCCCCCATTCTTTGATGTCTTTGGACAAGCTAGCCGGGACAAGATCAGAGACAGAACGTCAAAGGCGATAACAGGAGGCCTAGCTCGGCGTTCTTCGACAGCCCCTCAATAGACGACAGTCCCTTAACAGATAGTCAGAGCCCGAAAGTGTCCTTCCTAGCAACGCCGTGGCGATGGCGGCGCTTCACGGCTACAGGGACTTGGTCGCCTTTCTTCTGGACAGGGGCATGGAGATCGAGGCCGAAGGCCAATTAGGCACACCACTAAGAGCGGCCAGTCTGATGGGCTACGAGCACGTAGCCCACTTGCTCGTTGAGCGCGGAGTCCGGGTCGACGGGGGGGAAGAGTCGCCACTGGGCTCCGCGCTGCAAGCGGCAGCGATACGGGGGCATCCTCGAATTGTCCGCCTGCTTCTCGCTGAAGGGGCCAACGTGCACCGGAAAAGCGGTACATATGGTACGGCCCTAGAGGCGGCTGCGTACCACGGCCACAAAGACGTTGCCGAAGTGCTCCTCGATGCCAGAGCGGACATCGGCATTGAGGGGCTGGCTCGCGATGCGTTCCGTGCGGCCGCCGAAGGGGGCCGTCACGACATTATACGCCTTTTTTTGGACAAAGGCTATACTTCTTCTCTTGTGTTCTGCACGGTGGTTGCCTGTAGCTATTCACTAGAGGGTGAAGACTGTCTAGACCTGCAGCCTTTGCTTCCAGTGGAGAGGATCTGGACACTGAGCTTGCTGCTCAATCTGCGGGCCCAGTGGCTAATAGCCACGAGTTTGAGGCCATCTTCACGGCATTGGCGGGAAGATCGCCGGTTGCAGGCCGCGCCCAGTCAGCTATAAGGCAAGCGAAGCTTCACGCCATTGCCAGCGGACTGTCCGACCTTGCAGCTAAACATCTTGCCCCTGCCAGGAGCTATATTTTCGAGCGACAAGTGGTCGGTGGCTTTCTAGCAGCCTGCGATAGCGGCGACGTGGCTGCCGTTACTGCTATGCTCCGCTCCGAGTTTGGGAAACATTTCAGCACCGAAATACCAAATGGCCTTGACCGCGCCGCGGGTGAGGGCAGCACCCAGGTGATGCGCTTCTTGCTTGAGCACTGCGGGCTTGACCACCAGACACATCTCCCCGGCTGGCGCGGTGAGTGCTAGACCGACGAAGAGAGCCAGGGATTGTCGGTCGTACCAGAAGAGAGGCCTCGCGCAGTGGAGTGGCTGTTGGAGTGGACAATGTGTCGCAGGCACAGCGCCGCAGGCCAAGAGCGCCGCAGGCACTGGGGGTCCTAGGGGGCTTGCCCCCTAGAAATCCAACAATAAGACCATGAATATCGAAACATGGAATTATCACGAGAATTTGTTTTGGTGTTGAGGGGCTATCGCCGCGAGGCTCCCTTTGTCCTACTTGTCAAGATGGACAAGTATGACGGCCCGGCTTGCTTCCCTGACGATGAGGCTATTCCGAGAAATGTGGTGCCGATCTTGCAGTCCTTGCGGGACTTCCAGAGCGGTAATACGGCCTGCTCTCGCCGCCAGTTCCCGGTTACTATTGCGTACGCCATCACGGTTCACAAGTCACAGGGAGCTACGCTTGACAGCAGCGCCGGCACCAACTCAAATTTATCCAATTCAATCGATCAAATATAGCCATGTAGACAGGGTGACCCACCTTTGCAATTGCCCCACTTTGCAATTTTTCCCCCCACCGCCAACTTCCTACCCTCTACCTTCCACCACCAACAACTTCCTCAATACTGGTCGGAATAGGCTCAAAATACGATGGTTCGACGCGTACGAGAGCGGCTAATAGCCGAGGCTATTGAGGCTATTGATCAGGGCGCGCAGCAGAAGGAAGTAGCGCGCCTATATAGGATCCCTGAATCCACCCTCAGCAGACGACGCCGTGGACAACAGGATCCACGACAAGCCCAAAAAAACACCCAGAAGTTAACTGACGACCAGGAAGCCTTCGTCGCCGAGTGGGCTCTTGAGGAGGAAGCTGCAGGGCGTGCCCCAAGTCGTGCACGGCTAAGACGATTCGCACAAGCAATCCTGAACGAAGCCGGGCCCCCTGGGCGAGTTGGTGAGCGCTGGGTAGATCGGTTTTTTACCCGTAACCCCCGGGTAAAGACCAAGTTATGTACCCTATTAGAACGGTCTCGAGTCAAAGGATCTACCCGTGAGCGATTCCATGATTTTTTTGATCGTTTGGAAGCTGTAATCAAGGACAAGAAGCTGGTACCTGCGAATATCGCCAATATAGACGAACATGGCATGCAAGAGACGGAAACTACGGTTGGGAAGGTGATTGGCGATGCCCTCACGTCTCGGGCAGTCCTGACTGGCCCTGATCCAACGACCTGGGTCAGTGTTATCGAGTGTGGTACCGCTGAGGGCAAGCGATTGACGCCCGTACTGATCTTTACGGGTGAAAATCTACAAGGCCAACACTTCCCGGATAACTTCAAGGAACTACCAGTCCTCAAGACCTGGAAATACGACTGTACGCCCACAGGCTGGAGCAATAGCAAAATAGCTCTTATGTGACTCAAGGAAGTATATCTTCCTCAAACAAAGCCCCAAAGGAAGGACGATTGGCGCCTATTAGTCCTCGACGAACACGCCACTCATATCGACGAAGACTTTATGCTTCTAGCTAAAAGAAACCGCGTACACCTACTATACTTGCCTTCACACACTTCTCACAAGACCCAGCCACTCGACCAGTCTGTCTTTTCGGCTGTGAAGTCCTATTTTCGCCAAAGAACCCTCGAATTGGCTTCCTTCACAGCCTCAGCACCTATCAACAAGCAACGCTTCCTTTTTTGCTACCGGGACGCCTCAGAGCAGGGTATGTCAGCCCGGAATATTATATCCGGCTTCCGGAAGACCGGAATCTGGCCTTTCCAACCCGCTCGTATACTTGACGACCCCGAGGCGGTCCGGGACGAAGCTGCAAAACCAGTCCCCCCATCCACACCACCCCGGAAGACCCGGGCAACCCGGAACGACCTCTTCAATACACCTCAAGGTAGTCACGACGTCCGCAGGCAACAGGGCTTAGCCAAGACGGCCACTAGTCCCCGAGATAGGGTCGTCAGGACTATGTTGACGAAGGTAGGGAGGGCACTCGATCAGAAGAATACGGAAATCGCTGCTTTGAAGGCAAAAAACGACTTCTTAGCTAACGAGTTGGAATCCAAAAAGCCCTATTCACGTAAAAGGGTCAAAATAGACGCCAACGACAGATTTGCTACTATTGACGAAATTGACGAAGCTCAAAAAGCTAGTCAAAAGCCTCCCAAGAAGAGATCCAAGAAGACCAAGTCCAGGCCTGCACACCTGGTCCAGGAAGCTGAAGAAATTATCGCCCGTGGGCTTGAGCAATATATGGCGATTGACGAGGACTAGAATGTACCTTTTTCCATAGAATTTGGCCTATAATTGAGTATTTTGACGATTCTTGTGGTGGGCGGTGATGGTGGTGGGCGATTGCAAAGGGGGGCGATTGCATAAGTGGGTCGCCCTGTCTAGAGCAATTAATTACACGATTTTGAGGTCAAATTCAACCGACTCGGAGGGCCAAAATAATTGGCGAATTGTCAATTATTTCCCTTTGGCCAGGCCATTTTTAGGGCGGATTTTTCGGATTTTCCTGGGTCCAGGGCGCTCCTTGACCAAGACCAGCCCCGTATTTTCCTGGGCCCGGGAAAATCTCTAACTGCCAGGCAGGCCGCAGGTCGCTGCAATGCACCGTTGAAGCTGCAATGCAACCATCACGACGTAAATAAACAGCCGAACCCGACCTTTCCACCGAATCCGACCTTTCCACCGAATCCGACCTTTCTACCGAACCTTCTATTCCTACAGCGATTCTAGACATATAACTGTTACGAGAAGGTCTTCACGGCCGTAAGCACAAGCTCGGCGGCAGGCCATTTGCAAAAGGAGCATGCCGAAAGTTTCACGTCGAGGAAGACGGCGTTGAGGCCTAAGTCAACTGGGCTAAAAGCAGAACACCCTAGCTGCGGAACATGCCGGTGGCGCTTTTTCGCCCGTGTAAGCTAGAGCACTCAACACAAATTACTACCGTTCAATGAAGCAGTTGTGCGTATTCAGCGGTGTGGCCTGCGCGAAGGATGTGATGGCGTTTGTGTCTTACACGGCAAATTCCGCAGCCAGGGTGTTCCGCTTTTGGCCTACTTGACTTGTGTCAGCGGACCCGGAGAGGGCATTCAGTAAAGGTAAGCTGGTCTTCGGCGCATAGATAGAATGGGCGACGATACCTTCAATAACATCATGTATTTGAAGGATTAGGTACGTTGACGAGCTTTTCCGGGCTTCAGGGCATTTCTTTTACTATTTTAGACCTCTTTGATAACTTTTTACATTTTTTTAGTGGAGCTGAAGATGCCGTCAAATATCATCAATTATCACCATATCAATCAATTCTAGCCTCAACCCAGCCAAATATCATTGATGGTGGCTCAATTCAAGCAAATATAGCCTCAAGATTGAGTTGTTTGAGCCATTGCCAACGCTGCTTGACAGGGCTGTGCCTGATATCTCTGAGCGGGATTCCTCTTCAGGGCTTACTTATGTGGCTGTCTCACGCGTTGTTAGTCTACAGGGCTTGATGTTTGACGTTCCTTTTGCCCTGGACCAAATCCAGGTCAAGAATGACGTTACAGGTGCCTTGCGTGCGGCGGGTTACCAGCGCCGTGTTGACGCCGGCGAGGTGTTGGTTCCGGGTGTAGCCTAGATAGCAGAACCGACTTTTTCTGCCTCAACACTATGCTGTTTACGTTGTGATGACTCTCCCGTGTTGTTTACTTTTGACACAGTTGACACAGTTGACACAGTTGACACAGTTGACACAGTTGACACAGTTGACACAGTTGACACAGTTGACACAGTTGACACAGTCGAGTCAACCTTGCGCTATGAGTTATGGCACAAAGCGGGGTTGTCCTTGCTAATTTCTTAGTAAAATGGTCCAGGCACCCATTCCCTCGAGCGAAGCGAGGACAGGCCGCCGCAGGCGCCGCCGGAGGCATCCGTTCAGCTGACCCCTTCCTGACTGGCCAGGTAGCTTACTTTAGTATGGCGATTCGATAAGTTGACTTGCTGGAATACGAGCCTCTGCTAGCCGATCAAGGATACGTCGCAGGGGTACGTTATATATGGGGAAAAGTTTATAGTTGGCTTCGGGAGCGTGACCGCAAGTCTATACCAAGTGTATACCGTTCCGCGGGCTAAAACACAACGACAAAGAGAGTGCTGCCAGGCCAATTGCGCCCAAAACCCTCCCACTCCGGCCATGACGGGCAGCGCGGTCAGATTGCAGCTCTGGCGAGATTCTCACAATACCCTCAAACGAGTAAAGGGCTGGTCTAGTTATCATATCAATATCCCCAGGCATGTCCGCTTGATGGATGCCAGGCAATCCTCCTATACGGGGAGGCTCAATGTGCATTGCACAGCCATCTTCAAGCCTTTTTGCTGCCTTCGGTGAGGAAATTACTCTTGAATCTGCCTTGCGGGGTTTTATTTCTGTCCAATCACTACGCAAGTGACAGTGTTTACCGTCTCTGAATTTTGCGCCTCGTCGCTTCCATCTCGACTCCGAATGGACGCCACGCCTGCCTGCGGACATCTGGAGCCCCAGAACTGTAATGATTCATTGCGGAAGTGGATGTCTACACACCACTCTCACTGTGCCAGGCAGCCTAGAATTTTCGCAGCCGCCTTGGCGTCCGAAATTCTCGTGATATCTTCCACGTGACAGAGGGTTTCGATCAAGGCCGAACCGGGTGGCATCTGGACCGCTATATCACAGCCGTCCATATCTCAACGGCTCTGACTTGAAAGAGATGGGCATGGATAGATAAAACCGATTACCCAAATTCACAAGCTGCCGAGGACATCGGTTTCGCTAGCCGCGGGATAATAAGCGCAGAAGTGACTTCACAGCCGGCTGTAGTTCCAGAGTACCCAAGCACACTTGAAAACCAATAAGCCTGCTCCATTAAATTGCGGCTATGTCATACCAGGAAGTCTTCCAGGACGGCAGATTAAATTTTCTCTCTACATACGCGCGCAAGCCCAATATCTGCCCCGAGTCGCCGAGTTTGATGTGTTTCGCAGCAAGGTGAGCGCAGAGTGGCTCTTGGAGCAACCGCCTTCGGAGGGAATACCTTCTCTACAGACCAATTAGGTGCATAGAGTTGTATAGTTGCTAGAGCACGTTTCAACAGTTTCACCGCTGCTGCTGAATCTGATCCCTGAGATCCAAGGGAATAAACTCGAGTCAACTACTGGCGGTGGAGACGAGATTAATGAAATACAGAAGCACTTATTCATACAGAAGCACCTATTCCAAACAAATATTCAATAATTCAATATTGAACGCTGAACCGGTGTCCCCAGAGAATATAGAATAACAAAGGCCCCTATCTCCACCTCGCTTTTTTTTGGGCCTCTTCACAATCTTTTCTTTGTTTCACACAAAATGTCAAACATCTCATTCAACAAATCTCCCTCCCCCCCCAAAGCTCCAAGTTAGATCACCCAACTACTCCTCATCGTCATCCTCGCCATGGCCCTCACCCTTGCCCTTTCCCTTTCCCTTCCCCTTTCCCTTCCCCTTGCCTTCACCACCTTTTCCCTTACCCCGATGCTCACCACCCTTGCCCTTACCCCGATGCTCGCCACCCTTGCCCTTCCCCTCGCCACGGTGCTCGCCACCCTTGCCCTTCCCCTCGCCGCGGTGTTCACCGCCCTTGCCCTTGCCCTTCAGCGGCTCCGCGCCAGCATCGGTTCCAGCTGGCGCGGGCGCCGATACCTCGGGGTCGGCGCGCACGACAAGGTTGGACGCGTCGCCTGGCACCGCGAGGGCTACGGCGAAGGGAACGGCGAAGAGGGCCGCGAAGAAGATCTTGGGAAGCATGTTGACTTTTTGTTTTGTTTGTTTGTTTGTTTGTGTGTGTGTGTGTGTGTGCGTGTGCGTGTGCGTGTGTGTGTGTGTGTGTGTGTGTGTGTGCGTGCGTGTGTAGTTGTTGTATATTGTTTTGGTTGTATTTTGCCCAGTGTGTGTGTGGATAAGATGGTGAAGGGCTGGTGCCGAGCTGAAAGGTTCTGTCAGGCAGGTCGACGCGGCCTTATATACACGGGCTGATCCCTAGATCTGCGGCTGGGGCCGCCGCTCTTGCGTGGCCGGGTTGTGGGAGCTGGTGCAATTCTGATTCCAGCGCACTTCATCAAGACGACGCAGACGGATTGTGGGGGAGCGGTCGTGGTTGGCCGTCTAGTAGTGGGCAATATGGAAGAAAGAATAACTCTGCTCGGAGTGAGAAGCGAGAGCTCCGCGCAGGTCTAGAACTGGCTCTGCTTGTTTACGGTCTGCGGATACCACGTGTGATGGGCTGTCTGCCCGCATCCGCCTGCCTCCTCCAGAGTCATGGTCACCCGGGCTGCAGACCCGAGACGTTAGTTCTATGTTGGGACGCAGCCAGGGTTAGGTGCCGGCGCGTTAACCGACGTGCCACGGAATCGGCTGGCAATATTATGCGACATATTTGCCAGACGATCGCCTTATGGCACCATGCTGTACGGCGCAGAAGCTCGCGAGTCTGTTGGTGGACTAACTTTAGGGTTCGATGCGAGATTTCCACAGGCAGATCCTATTGAGCCTGTCGTCGTGACGACACCACCCGCGGTTCTGTGTGAAGATCATGCTTGCGTGGTTTGTGTTTTGATCGTCGTGTCTGTATCTTGATCGTCGTGTCTGGGGGCTAAAAATAGGTGAGGATCCTAGCCGTCCCGTGCTTGAGTACGCGGTCCCAAGAGAAGCCCGTCTCGTCCACCCCATGTGCTCCCGCTTTGCTCTCCCACGATCTGCTTCGACAGGCCAACGGCAGGCAGGCCAACAACAATCCCCCGACCAGAAGCCAAGACGTTGAATCCTGGGAGCGTGGAGCCCTGCCAAGGCGCATCAACGTGCAGATGGGCAGCAGCGGTTAATAAAGGGGTTCATGTGCGCCGTGCAGGTGTCAACGGCAGAATTCAACGCCTAATGCCGGGCCTGCATTTACCCCGCAAAACGACGTGCCAGCCGGCGCCGGCGGCGTGTTTCCAGGTCTGGCACGCACAGCTCGCGGGCACATGATGATATAGCGAGCTTACGCAACACGCCCGGTTTGATAGTGGCTGGAGAGTCTCGTCCCGGCGGGGAAGCGCGTATATTGGGGCACGTTCCCTAGAAGCCGTCGAGAAGTCTACTGGAGCCTATTGTTTTCATATTGCTGGGTGTAAGCTGCTAACAAGCCCGCCAAATACCAAAAGAGGGTGCATGGTTCCCCGCTCCTTGGGATCCCGTTACCCAGGCCGCGGTTGAGCCTCAAATAAATATACTGTCCAATGGCGATGTAGATGTTACGTAAAAGACCGACGACTGCGTCATGGCGCGAGCAAGCCATCCACACGACATCTCGCAAGTGTTTAGCTCCATGGGCTGTCGCTTTAATACTGGCCGAGGTTCTCCTAACGAGGGCTTGGCAGCTACAAGAACCAAAACACAGAAGCCCGTCTCGCAACGTTTCCTCCAATGTTGATCGTGGAGTCTGGTTGAGCTTTGCAGCCGCGGCCAGAAGAACTCTTGGTGGGAATAGTGAAACCTGTGATGCAGATTGCGGAATCCCCACATTCATGATGGCTGGGACCCGGGGCAATGATGAGAGGGGAATCAAAACATGCGTAACGCCTACAGTAGATGAATGGATGTAATTGCATCAAATTACCCCATCCTGTGTCCTGAGTCTTGTGGATATTGACCAACTCGATGGGAGGTGGGAGGCCTAAGCAGCAACGCGCGTAGCACTGGGGTGGTTGATGTCCCAGGTATCTCAATTGGTTGGAAGCCAAGAAGCAAAGAGGAAAATAAAATGCGGTTACCGAAATGCCGCTGCGTAAGTAATTATCGGTTCGATATACAGAGGTGGAAGATGAGAGTGTCACTGGGAAAGAATGTGCAGGTAGTGTGTTGTCTTTGTGGTACCTAATTAAACCTCACTACGCCGGCTATATTCTGACTTCGTCAGGATCGTTGATAAATACACATGAAGAGTACTAGATGTCTTGGCAATGCAACTTTGGCAGAGAGAGCAGCAACCAGCGTTATGTTGCCGAGGATTAACCATGGAAAATAGGGGCTAAGACGTTTGTTTTTGTTTTCCTTTCCCTACTTTAGGAGCGACTTCCGCAGTTAAATCTATCACCAAAGTCAAATAGTATTCCCATCACCATGCACGCACCCAAACGAAGACAACCAAGCCAGTTGCCAAATCAGACTAGAAATCACATCCCCCCAAACCCCTTTGCCGCCAGCGTGTCTGTCTCTTTTCCAGTAGCCAGACTAGGGGAGGACCTGTTAGCGTACAATTCACCAACCGCCCAACATGAAGTTGGGAATGGCATGATAATAACAAAGCGTTGGGGTTGGGCGAAAAAGCGGGCCACTCGCCTTTGTTGATCAGCCTTTAGATGGGGAGGTGAAAGACAGTGCCGGAGAGTCCTGAGCCGTGATTTATGCAAGAGTGAGCTGGGATCAAACTCTTGGACTTGCCACTTGCCCGCGGGAGAAAAACTCCGGGCAGATGTTGATTTGCGGGGAGTTCCCGCTTTTACTCACTGAGAATGCCGGGGCTGTTGTGTCGAGCATAGGAAAACAGATTTTGACGTCATGTAGACGTCGAGACTCGAGGCTCCGGAACTTCATCGCGATATAATATCGTATTGCACTACGGCCTGCCGTCTTTCCCGACTCGGGCTATCTATTCAGGATCCCACTCAACAAACCATTGACTAATGCCATTGACACAGGATCCCACTCAACAAAACCACTCACCAATGCCATTGACATAGCCAATTTTGCTCAAGCCGAGCCCCTGAACACACCATGCTGTCGCTCCGCACCCTCGGCCCCAAAGTTCGACCACTCCCGCGCGCAGTCGTGCCGGCCGTTCCACCAGTAGGCCGTGCTCAAGCAGGCAGCCGCGGTGGGCACCATTTCCGAGGCCACCGTCTGCGACCACCGCGAGCTTGAGGAGTGCTACCACGAGGTGGTCAACTCGTCCAAATACGAGCACCAGCAGCGGTTCGGCAACCAGTTCACGTGGGAGCTGGCGCGCCACTCGGTCGGCGAGGAGCTGGTCGTGTACCCGGCCATGGAGCAACACCTTGGCGACATCGGCCCCGAGCTGGCCGAGACGGACCGGCGCGCGCACCACGAGGTCAAGGCGCTCCTCAAGGCGCTCCTCAAGGAGTTCCAGGGCATACAGCCCGCCGACATCAACTACGTCCCTAAGCTCAAGCAGCTGTGGGCCAAGCTGGCCGAGCATATCAAGCACGAGGAGAGCGACCTGCCGCGGCTCGAGGGCGCGCTGATGTCGGAGGTGTCCGGGGCCATGGCCAAGAGCTTCGGCCGCACCAAGAGCTTCGGCCGCACCAAGGTCTTTGCGCCCACGCGCAGCCACCCCAGCGCCGGCGAGCACCCGCCCTTTGAGACGGTCACGGGCCTGATGAGCGCACCCATCGACCCGCGCCCATCGACCGGATTGCCGACATGTTTCGCAAGTTTCCCTGGTGGCTGCCAGGAAGGAGTTGAATAAAAACAAAGAAGATGTACGGTTCTTATGTATCAGAGGAATGCAAGGAGACAAGACAGAAAGGGAAAGAGTTTGTTTGATACTCTGCATAGTCCCAAGACCAGGTCACGTCAATGTTATCAATGTTATACATTTTGTTGCCGTGCTGTCCCGCAAGCTGGAAAAAGCAAATTTAATCCACAAAAGTCGTGACTAGCATAACTAGTCGCCCTGCACAACAAAAGGGGAGGACCCTGCGCTTGTAGACATTGGCAATTTCCCACGCGGCTGAAGGTGGCCCAAAGGGTCCTAGGCTCACAATTGTGCATGCCAAGCGTGGCGCATGGGGCAGCATGTGGTGCCAGGAATGCACGCCGTCGCCCTACGCGGCATAGTGTCGGCGCTAGGCACGCGAGAATCCGGTAGCCTGGTTGGGGATCAGAGCAGGGAGGGCCGCTGCGCTGCTGTTCCTTCGAGACAAAACCAGATCGGTCCCCGACAGGATCGTTTCCAGGGCTTGGCTTCTTTTCTTCGAGATTTCTAGAGCAGCGGAACGCTCCCTCACAGTCATTACAGACACATCAATCATGAAGTATTCGGCTTCTTCTCTCGGGCTGTTGCTCAGCCTCGGCCCGGCGCTCGCCGTCTCGAAGCACTGCCCGTGCATCCGGAACTCGGCGCTGTCGGTGCTGACGGCGGACAAGGCGACGGCCTTTTGCTCGTCCTTCCTCGGCTACGACTACGAGCCCATCACCGTCACCACGACGCCCGTCACCACCGTCGCTACCACGGTCATTACCTCGCTCACTGCCACCGCCACCGACCCCCAGACGGTCGATGCCATCGAGATGACGACGTCTACGTCGACGTCGATAGTGTCGTCGACGAGCTACAAGCGTAGCGGCGGCCCCGGCCCCACCCTCATCAACAAGCGCACCATCACCTTCATAAGCGAGCCCACGACTCCCTCAGGCAAGTTCTCTCTGTCATGATGGCGACCCACAGCCGCCGTCTAACCTGACCCGCCACCACAGGACTCGAGCCGTACGACTCGTCCGTCATCAGCACGGCGTGCAACTGCTACGTGACCAGCCCCGCCGCGGCGCCGACCGTGACCGTGACATCGGCCGCGACCGAATTCTCGACAGCAACAAGCTCCTACACCGCGCTCACCATCACCGAGTCGCCGGCCGTCGCGACCGAAACGGTGACCGTTACCGTGGGCGCCTTGGCAACCACCACCGTGGTCGTGTCGGGGCCGCCGACCCTCATCTTCAACCTGGTAGCCACGTACACGGCGAACTGCGTGCCGTACAACTACCAGACGATCAACTTCGGGCTGACCGAAGCCACACCCAGCTTCGAGGGCGCCTTCCAGTACTGCGCCGCCAAATGCCAGAGCTACGCCGGCTGCACGCAGATCTACGTCTCCTGGGACGGGTCCACGTCCTTCGACTGCATGACGGGCACCGTGGGGACGTATGGCTGGGACAGCTCCGAGTTCCAGTGCAACTACCCCCCCATTCACAAGAACGGCTATTGGTTTAACGTCGGCACCACCACCGCGCCGAGCGCGCCGTGAGGGCGGAGCGTCCGCTCGCTTGTAGCACTCTGCGTAGTTAATGTCTAATTTGACAACAAGATCTCTTGGCTCTCCGTGCATGTCCGCAACGTCTCGACTGTAATCATGTTGCCCACTGAATCTGGGGCTGTTTCGTCCTCGTGTTGTAATAGCGGCGGCAGTCCAACCAGGGAAAATAAAGCATGTGGTACGTGCCCAAGATCACCGCCAGGGGGTGTCCGGATCCTACGTTGCCATTTCGCCAAGGCAAAATTCCGTCCCGAGTGACGGGCCCACTCGGAAAGTCACCAGATCTCGGCCGGATAAAATCTTAAAATATGCTTGCAGCCCTGGACGACCTGGACGCAAGGCTTAGGAAGAAGCGAAGCTCTGCCTCCAGCAGCCCTCCGGGTGCGCCTGCGGCGAGCTACTCGCTGCGCTCGAAAATAGTAGGGAGGACAATTGACAAACTTGATAAAAAAGATGAAAGACAGGTAGAGAGTGTGTAGTTGAAAAGGAGGAAACAGGAGATAAAGAGAAAAGAAGAAAAGCGGAAGAAAGAAGAGGAAAGAAGGAAGGAGAGAAAAAAAGACAGAAAGAGAAAAAGGAGCACAGCACAGCCCGTAATCACGCTGTTTGAACAAATCTGGACGGGCTGGGAATCGAACCCAGGACCTTTCGCAGGAAAGACGGCAATCGCCAGGGTACACCGTGATGTGCCTAGGATGGCCGCCTCTTTTTAATGCTAAGCGAACGCTCTACCAACTGAGCCACACGCCCTTTTGTGTTTGTCTCCGTTTGATGGAAGGGTGCGGCAGTAATCTCTCCTTTGGGTTGGGGGTTGTGATGGAGTCTTTTTTTTTTCACTGTGGATGAGAGATGGAGCCGCGAGGTAGGGATGTGCTTGCTCGCCTGCTTGTGGGTTTCTGCACACTGGAGTTTAATTACCGACAAACGAGATATTGGAAGTTTCTTTGCCAGACTGAGCGACGAATTGAAAAAGGAATCAATCACCTTGGCACATTTTGACAAGGAGAAGGCTTTTCTTCCTAAAGCCGAGATTCACCAAATAATTACATCACAAGCCGACCCAAAGATGAGGGGTAGCTGCAGCGAGCCCCCTCCACAGCAAGAAGGCATCCTGTATGACCAGGATTGCCCAGAGTATCAGGCAACAAGCGTCTTTTTGTCTGCTGGCGCAGCGGTACCCCCTGAATTAATTACAATACTTCACAATGCCATCCATCATACGGCAAAACAAGAAAGAATAACTCCAACAACCAAGTTCAAGGTAAAACACATGTAACTGAGCTAACTTGAAGACATATGCTAGGTCTAAAGACTTTATACACATTTATTTGCAACGCCGGTGGAGTTGCAACATGTCGTCTGGAATTGACCCACTTTTCATGGAATTGGACAGGCCCTGGTTGACATGCCTCTAAGCTTCCTTCATTCTTTGTTATTTCCTTCATTCTTGACTCGGAATGTCTTCATTTCATTCGGAATGCCCTCTTTCGGACTGATTACAACGCCTCCCTTGCCTTCTCTCCACGAGTATAAGGAAGCGTTCTTTTCTGTACTTTTAGACCTATTGAGCAGACAATTCAATGCGCTGTCAACTTCGATCGCGTGCAACACAACAGCATTTGAGCCGCCGTCGATAGTACCGACGAACCTTGCTTGCGTCGTGCGAGGGACGAGGTGATGTGGTGTTCTTGCCGGTAGGAGGTAGCCTAGGTAATCTTGGACTTCTAAATAACGCAGCTGGGGAGCAAGGTGTGGATGAAGACAATACAAGATTTAAGTTCGGACGTGTAGAACGAGCCCCCTGTCTCTTAGTTGGGAAAGATCAAGGTTTATTTAGTCTACAACGTCGAGGAATTGTGCAGAGTCCAATGAAGACATCAAGTGGCCGGCCAGGGGGGGAAGTCATGGTTTAATTACTTGAGCGCCTGTGAGAAGGAGATGTGGCTTTGTCACTCTGTATTGAGGCAAAAGAGACGATTCCAAGTATAGTGTGTAAATTAGATCCCTAAAACAAGCAAGCAACCATCAAACTCAGGTGCTGCTTCATAACCTGTCTGCCTTGGCCCAGGAAATCAAGACAAGCAGACATCTTACAGCAAACAACCGCCAAAGAGAAGAGAAATAGTAGCATTACAAGAGCCTGTCATCCCACAACCCAAGTCCCCCCTTCATCCTCCATCAGCCACTATTCACTCATCCCACCCCGCACACTTGTCCCATTCCTGCATCTTGATCAGGCCCACAAGTACACACTCAGCCTATCACCGGCCCCGCAGACCTCACCACTGTTCCCCGTGCAGGCGAAACTGCAATCACTCGGCACGTTGGTGGTCAAATTGCTCGACGCCGCCTGGGCATTGTCGCACCAGCACTCACGGGCATACTCGGTCCCGAACCTCAGGAACCCGGAATTCAAACAGAAGCTCGCGCACGCCTCAATCGTCATGAGGGTGTCCGACGCGGCCATGGCGCCGCCGAGCGCGCGCACGCCGACGCCCTCGGTCCAGCAGCCCTGCGGCGAGAACGCCGTCACAGGCCCGCCGGGGTGGGACTGCGGGGTGAACGCCGGGGGCGTGGTGCCGGAGCCGTAGAGGCTGAGGCGGTTGCCGCCGCCGCACGTCTCGGTGGCGTCGCCGGCGCAGTGTGCCGAGCAGTCGGTCTCGAAGGTCGGGAACGAGCCGGCCGTGAGGGCGTTCGCGCAGTAGCACTCGCCGCTGTACTCGAGGCCCCACAGGGCGTAGGGCGCGCCGGGCGCGTCGACGGTGCAGAACTGCTGGCAGAGCTCGATGGTCATGGTGGTGAAGTTGGCTGTGGAGGCCGAGGCGAGAGCTTTGGGGGAGGTTTCCGTGTAGCAGCCGAAGTAGGTCGCAGTGGCGAGGGGGAGGATGGCGGAGAGGAGGGCGAGGGACTTCATTTTGGCGGTTGGGGGAGGATATAAAGCGATGAGAGGGTTGAGAATGTGTTGTTGGTTTGGGTGGAAGGGCTGGCGGGTTTCTGAGGGTGGTTGCTGATGTTGAGATTGGGGGAGAATATGACAACATCGGTGGGAATCGACACTTACTTATACTTTCTGGCAGCACCGGATGAGGGCGGACTCCTGGTACGCGTCTTCGGTTTCTTTCCTTTACCGCTGTACACTTGGGTATTGTGATAAGAGTTCAAGAGGTGTCCCTCCGTCTTCGGTTCTGGCCTGCCAAGGGTCGGCGCTAGACAGCTACGTCGCACTCTTCTCAGCCAGCCATGGGAACACGAACAAGTCGGACGGGTGCTTTGATTCTCGAGATGGATACCCCTTTTGGCCGTGTATTATCTAGCTGCCGAAATAGAGTAGACGTGTAAAGTGTGGCACATTTAATTACGAGCCTGTTGATGACGGCGAGGGAGGTAATGAGAGGCTTGGATCCTGTTACTGGTCCCTCAGCCTTACGCTGGTGTCTTGAGAGGGAGTAGACACATGGAGAGACACAAGTGGGCTGGAAATAGGCAACTCACTCCAGGGTCATTCGATATCTCGGTTTCTGCGCAGTGGGAAATTACTCGCGCAGCCGAGTTGATTCGACTCGTCCTCTCTCCGCTCTGCCTAAGACGAGAGAGCGTAGCACGACACTCCCGAAGCCTCGTGACTTCAGGAGAAACGCTATGATTAAGCCACAACTCCTCTGGCCGCCGCCCGCATCGTTTGATTGTCGACGGGTGACGGGCCGCCGCGCTGCACCCTCTCCGCGCCATGTATTGACGCCACACTGCAACCCCAACGTCGGGGACCGCGTCACACCACAGCGCCTAGTCTCGCTAGACTTCGCCGCCCCTGCTTGGCGGTGGACATGAAGAGGACAAGGCCGGTACGACGTCGGGTCCCCGCTGTCTTGGCGCTGGAGCTGAGCAGGCAGACGCAGGTCTAGAGCCCATTCGGGTGTCAGTCGTCGGTCCGGGTAGCACGGCAGGCAAATATGTCTCAACGAGAACGCCAGACCTGCTGGCGCCAGGTGAATCAACTTCGCCTGCAGCGCCGTTGGCTAGCCCCAATTTCCCCGCGATTTCCGTCGGACAGCGGCGGGCAATCTATCGGGTGGGCTTGCTCCGCACTTGCACACAATCGATTAATCGCAGCCTAGCAAACAACGGGCACGGCCGGCTGCGTGGCGTCGACAAGTCACCAGCTGAACATGGAACACACACTCTGCTTCGGCCAAGCCCGAGTGCCGCGCACATTGCACTGGGCCAAGACGGGCATCTTGGTGACCACGTCCTGAATCCGACGGTTCTTGGGTAGGAGCCCATATTTGTTTGCCTCCCCGCATACAGGAGAAGAGATGAAACGCATTGGCTAGAGGGCGAAAGGTGGCAGCTGGGGGCGCCGGGGATGCCAATATACGGCGCGTAAGAGGGAGTGTATGCCACACCTACGGCGCGGCGCGAGCACGAATGTATGGGGCGATGTCGAGGGCGGACCCTCGACGTTACATGGTAAGATCCAGCCCTGGCGGATTATTGAGGCTCTTCTGCCAAATTGGATGGCAGTAATTACCTACGCCATTTTCTCAGACCCTCACTTCGCAAACCAGTCCACGTCTGATCGTACGGATCCCGAGCCCCGAACCTCTTTGTCTCTGCTGTTTTGCGGGTCTCCCCTCGTGGCTGCATGTGATATGAAATCCGCTCCCTGCATATGCAAACCCCAAGATGCAGTGCAACGCTCGAGACCCCGAAAAATGAGGTTGACGGGGCTTATAGATGGCAAGCTGAGAGACTGAAAAGAGAAGCAAACATGTTGCGGTTGCCAGACATAACGAGGAACCCCCAGCACGTGCATCCTTGGTTGGCCTGGTGCAGTGGAATTGGAAGCCATCGCGAGGCGTAGTCTAAGTACCTCGCCGGGATGCAGCAACTTGCGAGGAGGCTCTTGCCCCCGGCATTGTAGCGGGAGTTCCCTGTGGTAATTTGTCCATGCCGTCGGAGTGAGCTAACTGCAGGAGCTGAAGGCAGCGAGGTGATTTATTATCCGCATGCTGCGGCTCAGGCGGCTAGGCTCTTGAAGTATTGTAAATCGCGATGTATGAGCGTACGAATCTGGCTAAAACATCTAGCTTTTGAAGTGAAATCAGAGGAGCCGTGCTGATTGGCTGAAGCCAACCATGTGGTGGTGTGATGTGGCATGGGATGGGGCGTAGAGTAAGGAGCGGCAGTTGTTGATGGCAACTTCAAACAGAGAAAGAAAAGAAAAGCGGTCCTATACTCGACAATGGCTCGCGCTATTCAGTGCTCGCAGAAGGAGTATTCAGTATTGTTCCACTCGCCTTCGCTCCGCTGGTGGAAGTGGCTGCGCTCCTCCATGAGCGCGACGCGGTGCTGCCTGGCCTCATCGAGCGTCATCAGGCCCTCGGCCAGCTTGCCCTCGGCGCGCACCATATCTACGACCTCGGCCGGGAGGCGGCCGTGCAGGCTGCTCAGGATGTGGCCCGACAGCTTAAGACCCTTGCCAACGCCCTGCTCGAGCAGGATCTGGAGCACCTCGGGCGGTATCTGGCCTTTGACGGGCGACTGGGGCTCGCCAGCGGCAGTGCCAGAGCTCCCGAAAACGGCCTTGGCCCACCAGTCGAGCTGCTGCGGCGGCACGTTGGCCGTCGAAATGATGCGCTGGTGCGGGTCCACAAGCCACAGCGCAATGAAGCTGCGGTGGCCCGGCTTGGTAGGATCCTCTAGCTCGAAGGACGACACGCGGTGCTGGCTGATGGCCACAGCCGGGTGACGAGCCAGGCTGTTAGCTTCTCTAATCTTCTGGGAGGAGTTCTGCATGGCAGGAGCCGTGACAGGGGCCACTCACAAGACATTGGGAAACGCGAGGAGCCGTCCCTGGCACGTCTCAACGTCGCCGTAGTTCTGGAGGCAGAGGCCGGGGGGCCCTCTTCCTGGGCCTAGGGAAGTGCCAAAGAGGCGCTCGTAGTATTCGTAGTCATCCTGGGCGGTGCGCTCAACCAGCTCCTCCTGATCCTCGTCGGTCTGCATGCGGAAGGACAGGGAGCTCGTCGTCACGTTTTCCGAGTCGAGGTAGTAGAGGGCGGTGGCGGCGATGTGCTCGTTCATCATGCCTTCAATGTGCCAGCCGCCCACCGGGAACTCGGGCTTGTCGGGCGTCAGCTCAACGGTGGCCATCTTGACGATGACCTGAAGCCCCGTCTCCTTGAACTTTTGGCCGAGCCTGTCCCTGCACGAGTACTCGAGGGGAGAAAAGTCAATGGGCTCCGTGAGGACGGGATCGCGAATACCCCTCCACTTCAGCTGAGCTATTACCCGCTCCCTTATTTCCTGGTCACTCGATCCCTCGGGGAAGTTGCCGTACTTGATGCAGTTACTCAGTTCGTAATCGTTAAACGGCAAGGGGCCATTCTGCTTCTCGGTGGCCGCGAGAAGCTGGGGATCGAGTGGTTCCCAGAAGGAAGGCGAGTCGGTGTCTTCGTCCCTAGCCAGGAGGAAGTTGGGTTAGCCGGGAGGAAGTTGGGTTAGGATGTGATGGATACTTGAATCTCTCATGGCCCGAGAAATTCAGCGGGGTGTCCACGTACCAAGCCTCGGGCGGTTGGCCAAACCGAGACACGGGCGAGCCCTTCATGTCGTACGCGTCGTTGAACTGAACCCCGCCGGTCAGAGCACACTCCCAGGCCGGGACGGCAATATCGACGAGCTTCTCAATAACGCGGTAGATTTCGGCGTGGCGCTTGGGGTGCAGGTTGTTGATGTAGCTCGTGAATCTGACGGTGCCGTCCGGGTTGAAGGCGAGATTGGCAGGCAGCCACTGGTAGGTGTCAGACCAGAAGCTATCGGGGATGCCGCGCCAGCCGGCAAGCGAGGAATCAACGGGTGGTGTTTTCGAAACAGGCTCGCCCTTGTTAGCCCACTTGTCGACGGCATCTACGACGCCGACGGCCTCGTCCGGGATGAATTTAGTTTGGCCTAGCGGTCGCAAGACGGGTGCCGGTAGTTAGCCTCGAAAGCGTGGTGAGAGGAGAGCTGCAGCCAGTCAATTACCGTAGACAAACGGATACAACGAAGGGTGCACCAGGTCCAGGACGACTTCGTTGGTCCAGGGATGCCAGTCCGGGTCGGCAGCCTGGGCGGCACGCAGCTTGCCAAAGGCGGCGCGAAGGGCACTGTGCACGTCGGCGGAAACGACAGTGTCGGACTTGATGATGTTGTTCTCGCGCGTGTTGAGAGTGTAGACCAGGCCCGTCTGCTTGAAGAAGGCGGCCTTGCATCTCAGCTCCTGGATGCAATAGTCGAAGCAGGCGGGAGACATGATGCGGCAGCGCGGCTTGGGGATCTTGGTGGTGTCCTTGCCGTCGACAATGCGGGCGTAGAGGGCGTCCTCGGGCTGGGTGAGGGTCTCGTCGCGCCACTTGTCGATAATGGCCTTGTCAAAGATCTTCTTGTGCCAGTCGGGCTTGTCGGTGAGGCGCTCCATGAGAATCATCATGGCCACCTCGCGCACCATCAGCAGGTCCGACGTGGAGTTGACGCAGTGCGGGTGCGCGCCCCTGCGATACAATTGATGATCCGAAGGTTGAGACGGGTACGCATAGGGATCCCCCTGGGGGAAGTAGCGCAACGGCAGTTGCACTCCGGGGTACGACATGGCGACGGAATGCTGCCCGGCAGTTTGCAGTGGAGTGGTGAGAACTGGAGTTGGCGCAGTGAAGTGGTGAGAACTGGGGTTGGCGCAGTGGAGTGGTGAGAACTGGGGTTGGCGGTGAAGGACAAATGGAAATGGAATTGGCAGTTGGAATGCGACGGCACGTGGGAGGGGGCAGTCAAACTTGGAAGAATGTTACGTGATTGAAGGGACAAATGTTGAGAAATCGGTCCAAAATTGGAAAGAGTAGTGCGACCTGATGCAGGGCCGGACCTGCCTGTCTGTATGGCGACGACGTCGAGCCTTCCTTCCTCACCGACAAGTGCCAGCCAGTTTGTGCCTTGTTGCCTGGCGTGCCTAGAACGTGCACGGGTAGCGCTAGCTAGGCCACTTTAGCGCCTTGTTCACTTCACAAAGAGACTCGATGCAAAAAGAAGAGACTCAATAGCCAATTCACCCAGGCTATCACAACGACCATTGACTCCCTCGGTTGGGGTCGAACCAACAGCCTCCAGATTAACAGTCTGACGCGCTAGCCAATTGCGCCACGAGGGATGTGGATTGATGCTCAAGTCTCGGTGCTTGATGCTGTTCTGAATCCGTATTGGGGGTTGTTAACCTTCTCGGTCCGGTGGGTTGCGGTGGGCCGACATCGTGGGTCTGGCATGGCGGCCAGATTTAAAGTTGGGCAGCATGAACATTTTATTGCTCGGTTGGATTTGCTTATAGCCCGGGCTGAACACACTTTCTCACACGCGTAGCTTTTTTTTCTTCTTCCTCAAGAATCCGTGAGAATATCATCGGGGAATTGAACCACCACACCACCACCCCGTGTTTTCAAGCGCGGGGCTGAAGTCGCTTTGACCGACAAGTCAACGCCGAGCCAAATCAAGGGATTGTTTACCGCAGGCCAATAAACTCATAAGCAGTTAACCCCGCACATGCTGACCACCTGTCATCTGAGCAGGTCGTAAAAGGCTCTGAGTGGTTAGGCATCCACTGAACACCAGGCAGCCAAGCCCGACAGTCCAGACTTTACGCTGTCTGAACTCCTCACCATAGAATTCCTCGGAAGGGACAAATTCAACGCCATTAAGAAGTAAATTGCAAAATGGCTCTCCTCAAGACGAGCGAAATCGCACAGCTGAACGACAAGATCGAGACATTTGTGCTCATCAACCCCTCAGCGGCCGACGACGACGACGTAACGCTCTTCGTGCTGCAGCCGCCGCCCGCCGAGCGGGACCCCGCCCACCGCGCGCCCATCGAGTCGAGCATCGGCAGCCTCTGCGCGGCCTGCCGCAGCGCGCTCGAGTACTTTGCCTTCTACCTCTCCAATCTGCCGCCATCGCAAATTAAGACGGCCGCCGACAAGCTGACGGCCGCCGACAAGCTCCCGGCAGCCTGCCTCGTCCACGCGGGCGCCACGACACTACAGGATGGCGACACGGCGCGGTGCCACCTGTGCGTGCAGCTCATGGCCACGCTGCGCGTCAAGCGGGTGGCCATGGCGTCGATCAACGGATCCAACATTGAGATGTGCTGGCAGCAGCCCTCGGACGACACGGCTCCCAAGGTCGCGCGCCTGCACTTTGCGCTCACGCACCGCGGCCACGCCCGGTCGGAGGAGAACTACTGGAACATCCTGACGCTGCGGCTGCGGGCGCCGGACCCGCTCGTCAACGCCGCGCTGGGCGTCACCGACTCGCAGCGCGTGCTGGAGCGCCACGCGAGCACCGACTCGCCGCAGACCCGCGCCCACGCGCTGCAGTGGCTCGCGCGGTGCCAGGCCGGCGCGGACGGCGCGCACGGCCAGTGCAATGACCGGCCCTCGTCAGGTGAGGGGAGACTGCCGACGCGCCTGCTGGACGTGGCGGCGGCCGCGCAGACGGGCGCGCTCAGGCTGGTCGCGCCACTGGAGTCCCCCGGCGAGTTCGCGTCACCCGAGGCCCGCCGGTATGTGACGCTGAGCCACTGCTGGGGCGCGTGGGGCGGCGGCTCGGCAGGGCTGCCCGTGCTGACCGAGGGCAACCTGGCCGAGAGGCTGGTCGCGGGCATCGCGGTGGCACGGCTGCCGCAGACGTTCCAGGACGCCGTGGAGATTGCGACGTGGTTCGACGGTAGGTAACCTCGTCTCAACTCTGGCCGGCCAAGAAAACAGATGGATGCTGACGACGGCAAAGTGCGCTGGCTATGGATCGACTCGCTGTGCATCGTGCAGGACAGCGCGGCCGACTGGCAGCGCGAGGCCGCCACCATGCACGGCGTGTACCGGGCGGCGCTGCTCAACATCGCGGCCGACGACTCGCCCGACGCGCGCTTCGGGTGTTTCCGCAACCGCGACCCGCTGGCCGTGCTGCCGATGCTCGTGCGTCTGCCCCTCCCCGGTAGCGGTGACGGGGGCGGTGGCAGCGACAGTGACAGTGACGGATGGTGGTGCCTCACGCCCGACGCGCGCGCCGTGTTCGAGGGCGTGGCGGCGGCCCCGCTGGCCCGCCGCGGCTGGGTGTTCCAGGAGCGACAGCTGGCCCGCCGCGTGCTGCACTTCACGTCGCACGAGCTGGTGTGGGAGTGCTGTGCGCGAGTGCCGCATTTCGCGAGCGAGACGTTCCCTGGCGGCGGGCTGTTCAGTGCTGCCGCAGTCTTTGGTGGCAAGCCCAAGTTTCAGGCGCAGACGGACCTCGCGGCCAGCGCGCCCGGCGCGGTGCATGCGGCCTGGGCCGCGCTGTGCCGCGAGTACTCGGGCACCACGTTCAGCTTCGCGCGCGACAAGCCCGTGGCGCTGTCTGGTCTGGCGAAAGAATTTTCCGCCGCCCTCCCGGGCAATATGTATCTGGCCGGCCTGTGGCGGTCGACCTTGCCGGGCGCTCTGCTGTGGGAGTCGGCCGGCGGTGCGGGGCGGCTGCCGGACGGCGAGGGTTATGTCGCGCCGTCGTGGTCGTGGCTGTCCATGGCTGGCGCCGTCTCGCCAGCGGCCAGTGACAGCACCACATTGCACGACATCGTCGAGGTCCTTGCCGCGGCAGCTGACCCGGTGCTCCCCAGCGTGCCGACGGGGTCGCTGAACAGCGCGTCGCTCTTGCTGCGGTGCTACATGCGGCGCGTCGAGGTGCGGCCCGACTACGAGGTCAAGCCGTGGTACATGATGGCCATCGGCGGTGGCAAGTACCACAAGCTGCGCGTACTGGGCGACGGCGGGGAGGAAGAGGCTGTCATCGGCAGTATCCTATCGGACGCGTTCGACTACTCGTTTGACGCAGCCGAGGACGAAGATGAGGGTGGTCGGCCTGAGGGTGGTCGGCCTGAGGCCGTCGCGGGGTGGTTCCTGCCGCTGTGCGCGAGCCCTGCGGACGGCTCGAGCCCGCTCGCGCTGAGCGGGCTGCTTGTCGAGGCCGTCGCGGGTGGCGACGGAGATACGTTCCGGCGTGTCGGCGTGCTGCGTGTGTACGGCGCGCATTGCCGGCGGATCAAGTACAGGTACAGGGGGGTGGTGGGGGGGGAGAGCGCTGGCTGGGACGGCTTGGAGCGGGCTTTGAAGACGAGCCATGAAGGCGTGGACGAGGGGGTGGAGTCGGTGGATGAGGGGGTGGAGTCGATGGACGAGGGGGTGGACGAGGGGTGGACGAGGGGGTGGACGAGGGGGTGGACGAGGGGGTGGAGTCGGTGGACGAGGGGGTGGAGTCAGTGGACGAGGGGGTGGAGTCGGTGGACGAAGACGCGGGGGTCGAGGTTGATGATCGCGAGGCAGAAGACATTTCCAAGAAACTTGAGGAATCGGACATGGACAGCGTCGGGGACGAGGAAGCAGTCCAGCCTAGAGCCGACATTGATCTCGGCTCGGGCGACCCGCTCGAAAGACTTTACGCGCTTGATCGTGCGTTGGCGGGGAGCGACCTCGAGGCCCAGTTCGAAAAGCTGGTTCCGCGGCGGATAACTCTGGTCTGAAGCGCCACTGGCGAACCCGAAGTCATTCAAGAAACATGGTTAGGTAGCACATGCAAATGCACAATCGGATATGGAAGCGAGTCCTCCGCTCTGGCTCTTTGAATTGCTTGATCATCTCAACCTCGACGTAAATTGTTCGATTTCTAGATGAAGAGCTGAACGGCCCATTCCCTCATCTTTTGCCTCTGGCGGCCCTCCAAACGTCACTGCGCGGGCCGCTCACTACGCTCCAAAGCATGAGAGAACTCTAACAACAATAGACTACCTAGTAATCACCAAGAGACTAACTATCACGAGCAATGAAAGGTGTGATTCTGGAGCGGGACTGGCCCAGTCGGACTTGGTTTCTTTTATCCAGTAAAAGTAAAATACCGCACCTATCTAAGGCAGGTTCGTATCTGGCCAGCGAAATAAGGCAAACGCTAAAGCCGGCTATAGCTATACGTCTCCCTGAAAGGGTCATATATTTGGTATCTGGTATGTATGAGTGCTTGCGAAGCCTTCTCACAGACGACCAGTTTGTTTCCCAACAAAAGGAAACCAGTGAGCGAATAGTTGAAAGTCGAAGACACCCCGAGATATCAAACCTGGGGATGAAGGGTTTAATGTCGTACAAAGTAGAAAGGTGAGTGCTCAGATTCTTGGCCGGCGAGTCTATTGCAGATTCGATGCAACTTGCTGATGATCCAATGGCCGCTAGTTACTCTCCGCCCGAAGACTCTCCCTGAGAAGAATTACCAGGTTTCACCGACGACGGGTTTGAGAGAGGGTTGTCCCTGCGAACTACCCGCCACTTCTCCCATACTGCCTTGATGCGGTCGGCTTCGGATATTCCCTGCTCCAGGTCAATTGCGTATGGCAGTTCCAAGAGCTCTCCTAAACACAGGAAGTAAGACTTTGTTGTTAGCGTTTGAGTAGGAACCCAGTTAGTGCAGCGAATTAGGGATGATACTTGCCTGGTTTGCGTTTCATCATCCTGTCCATATAACTTCCCTTTAGCACGTAGTATGTTGGTACGCCGGCCTTTCTCTTGCACATCACCAACATGGAATATTCGTCCTTCAACCCCTTCGCCTTTCCCACAACATCATCTCACCGCCGAAAAGCTTTTCCTTGAGGTAGAACCCGGCTTCGGGCTTCGTCCTGTCGAGCCCGGTGATGTGAGGCGTTGTTAAAGTGCCGTCCTAGGTCTTTGGAGCGAAGAGCATCCAAAAGGTGACCCATTTCGTAAAACATTGTCACAATCAGTATGCCGAGTGCGTGGCAATAAGCTCCCCACAGTTTCTCTTTTGCCTTTTTCTCCTCCGGGGTGTTGTTGGGAGCACTCTGCCAGGTCAAAAAAGCTTTTGTCGCACTGTAAACTGACCAGTCGAGTCAGTCGTGGGTCATTTGACTAATGACGTAGCCTGCGCCAGCGGTTTTAGGGTGTATTTGTACTTACGTTTTTATTCACGCATATCTTGGTACCGCTCGGTTTCTCTGCCTTCCACAGGTCGAGACCGTTGCCGGTGGATTTTCCCTTGTGGGCTTTCGTCATGGCACATAGAATAGGTAAGAGAGGTTATCAAGATATCGACATGACTATCAGAAAGTGACACGATTCAGTTCCTGGTGTGCTGAGCATAGCTCTCTGTGGTTTCGCCTGCTTTTGCTAGTCCCATCCTTTCTTGATGAGCGTGGAGAGCTATCGCCATAGCCTTAACCGTCGCCGGGAATCTAGCAAGTTCTAGCGACTTTCTGACTGCAGCGTAAATGACTTTGGATCGAGTGCTATCTTCAGGCACGGCTACAACCTTCCTGACACCTGACGTGTCGCTTTTGGAAGGGACATTTGTCTTGACTCGGCCTTTGAGATTGAGTTTGTCCACGGCGTTGAAGGATATCCCGAGGCAAAACGTAAATCAAGGAGAGTCAGGATAGCAAATAAAGATATTATAATAACCAAGGATTACTTATAGCCGACTAAAAGCGTACTCTTATCGCTAGAACCGATTTACCTGTCACTTCTGCCTACGAGTGTTAGGTCTATTTAAGCTAAATCTAAGACGAAGGGCTTAGAGAGCACCTGAAAGCGGTGAAGCTGAAAACGGCGAGCCGGCAAGTTAGGAAAGTGGCGATTTAAACGGCGGGCTGTACAACTTAGGCAAGGGGTGAGCTTTCGAGCGGTGAAGGCAAATTTACCCGGTCGTTTCAACGGAGGGCCCAGATGACGGCCCGCGCTTAATTTCTAGGCCGATTTCCCGGCTCCGAACGAGGAGACCAAATCTGGGTTGTCCAAATTTGTAGCTTGGTAGCCCAAAACATAGACTTTGCACCGTCAATTCAAATGTTATATCTACTATTCGTGCTCTCTACATGGTGTTGTGGGGTTGGTTATAGTTGCTGTTGCCCAGAGAGCCAGGCAACAGGTATCTGTTTCGTTTGCTGGCGTAACGGCTCACCGTTACACATGGTCTTGTCAGAGCAGCTTTCATCGACGAGATGGCGTTAACGCGACGAAGCAACGTTAAGAGACGGTAGGGAAGGGGTGAATGCCGTAAGAAGCTTTCAGAACGTGTTCGTATGTGTTACAATCCAACACTTGGTACGATTAGGAGGTGGGTCCTGGTCCGTTTGTGGTGAAAGGTTTGTAGTGGAGAATAGGTAAGAGAGGTTCTAACGACGGTACGGGAGGAAGTAAGCTAGTTTAATAGTATAATTATCCTATAACCCTTTCCTTGTACAATTTTCCCGTTATAGCTAACCGCGTAGGAAACCGAAAGAACACTAAAAAAAACACCGCGCTTTCTTAGCGGCTTAGCTTTAGCTTTTTTCTCCTGTCTCATAAAATGACGCGTAGCTCATGGCAACAATGTAAAGGTAATGCGTCATCATATGACGTGTAGAATCAGTAAACAAACTTATTAGTAGGTAGTTGACCTGACAAAGTAAATATGACAAATATTCGGGGTAGTGGATAGCCAAACTGAGGCCCTGGTAAAAGATTGGTAGGAGTGTATTTTGTACCACGAGCTATCTACATTAGTTCACGTTAATTACCCAAGCATTTTCCTTTTACGGACAAATCTGGGCCGCGAAGGGGACTTGAGCAGGCATGCAAACCTAAGTCCTGGTCCCCGACAGTAACGCTCCACGACTGTAGCTGAAGCTTGGGAGGGGGGCTGGGGAGTGAAAACTCCAGAGTGCTAATACTAACGACGTGGCTAGAGGTTCTCGTTCTAAGCTCCTCCACTTCGCCCTGTCACCCTAATTGAGCGGAAAGTGCAGCATGGAATTTTGCAGCAATTTGGGGTGCACTGGTGACGGGCGGGTTCTGTCACAGAATCCGTCCTAGCTTCAAGCGTCCCAACCATCGCGCCAATCCATCGAATCCATCGAGGCCACCATTCTATAATGGCGATTCGACCGATACGTTGATTCCATAGCGCGTGGCCAGCGTTATTCTAGGCTATAGCACTAACGGTTTTGGGTTCGCAATAGAGCGAGGAAGCCGTACTATTGCCCGTGGTCAGAAAGGTTTGTAGGGGATGCGGGTGAGGCCGTCCGGCCACTTTCGCCGCAACAGAGACTTCCCTTCTGTCGAAGGGCTTGAAATTTTCCTGTGGATGGACCTGACCTAACCGAGGGAAAAGCTGGCTGGGAATTCACTTTGCACTGTGGGAAAGGGAAGGAGACTAGGGAGCACTACCTCTACGACCTATAGGTGGAAGACAGGTTTGACTTCAGGGGGTCGACCAAGCACCATCCTGTTCACATCGGACCGATAGGGAGAAGGACAATGTAGTTCGTCTAGCGTACATAGTTCTCTCGGCCGTGCGACATTAGATGTGAAGGATCATGAGGTTTTTAAGGGTCTGTTGGAGGGTTGAGCATCGATCCAGTGGCTAAATGGCTGTCGTGATTTGTCAGAGAATCTAAGTGATACTTGCTGAATTCATTCGCAAGTGAGAAGCGAGAAATCTGGGCCAGACACGGCCGAACCCTGACTTAGGCGCGCTTCGGGCGGGGTTTGGATCTTACACGTACCTAGACGATCGTAATTCAGACCCAGAATCCCCGAGGCTCCTCACATTCAGTCTTCTTCAACCATCGATTTTACGGTGACTTTCGCCAAGGACAGCTTCAGATGATCCCTTTCGCTGTCTGAGAAAATGAAGTCCACTGGAATCTGGGCTGTGGCAGCCTTTCTACGAGTGTTTGTGAGGTGGAACTTTCAGGCGAATTCGTGATTCCATCTCACAAGTATGTCAACCTGGGCTCGGAAAGGTAACCTACCTTATAGTTGGGCCAACGGCACACAAAATAGGGCTGATCAATGAACTTACGCCCCCCCAACACACATACACAGCTTGCCGAGTAGAGAGACACAGCTGTCTTGGAGGGCCGACGGCCACACAAGCCGGGCAACGACAACACCACATGCGGCGCTAATGATGGGTTGAAACTTGCATAAATGTCTCTCTGTCCCCACTGCCTCTCGACCATCTCCCATACCGATTGGGCAGTGGAAAAGCGCCACGATGCATCCTGCACTAATGTTGAGAACCTCTCAAGCGCTTCATGGGCTGAGTCGAATGTATGCATGCCACATTGGCCCCCGTCAAAAAACGAAGAAGTGCAGTTGGGACTCGAGAGCATATGTTGGGTCTCCGGGAGGGCTGTCCCACGGCCACGGCGACTGGCTAATCGAGTTGGCCAGGAAGGGACTGTCACACAGCTTGAATTAATTGGCCATAGTGCAGCGCAGGTAGGTATCGTGCGACATAAGGGGAAAACGCCTTCGGCTCGCTCTGTTGTGCAGAAAACCCTCCCAACTCTCGCCCGCCGCCACGAAAGTCGCAACTGATGGTAGGGTTGCTAATTATAATTATGGGAACCTGAACCATAGCAGGACGTCTTCATCGTTGGTTAGTTTTCTAGATCAAGGGACCTATCCATGGAACCTGAGCTTGACATGGTTCCAAAATGCGTCATTTAAACTTGTCTGGTGTGAGCGCTGCGGAAGGTAAGACAGTTCTTGGGCTAATTAGCTGGGTGCCGAAATAACTAATCGTGCCGGTGCAGCCGGTAGACGCGAAATTGAGGAGAATCTCTATCCTGCGGCGGCAGCGGCGGCGGCAGTCAAGCTTTCTGGGCTGGCAATAGATTCGCCATGCTGAGATGGTAATTACGAAATACGTTGCGCGTGTTCTTATTCTGTGCTGACGTTGAGCTTTAATTAGGTACCAGCACAAGCTGACAACGCGCCCGGTCGTGACGCAAGGCATTAACACTGCCGTTCTCTTTGCGGTTGTGGATGTCATAGCTCAGCAATAATATGTTGAGAAGAAAGGACTCCCGGATGGCATTTTATAGTACAGGTAAGTACCTTAGGTACCTAGCGATTCCTCGTCCTCTTACCCAACGATCCTTTTATCTTAATAGCGATCTAGCATCCTGCCGTCTCGACGTGGTTCAAGTTTCTTCAACACAAAGTTGTCTTCCGGGACAAAATGTCGAGATATTTGCGTGCCTCTCGGTGGATCAATGTCTCTTCGCTCTGACTAGTCTCTTTGCATTCTTGAGCTCCATGTCAGTAATGGAGGGAACAAGTCCATCAGACAAGCTAGAGAAGTCGTACACTACGGTTCTGCTGAGAAATTGGATGGTTTGGCCGTTTGTTCAGCTCATCAACTTTCGGTCTGTGCCGTCGGAACAGCGAGTCATTGTCGTGAACACAATCTACTCGGCTGGAATTGCTATCTCAGCTACATCAAGAATCTTGGGGCAAGTTCTTCCGATCCATCTGTGTGATGCTGCCTGAGCGGGGTAATTACTCTCTTTACGACGGTGAAGATACTCGGAGCACCGAGGGGCAAGCATAGCGCCCAGGGTTACTGGCAGTTGAATCAAAGTAGATTTACAGGGCCGAGCAATAATCTCTTATCCGCCAAGGAGCAGAATACTAACAAAGGACCTTGGCCTAGAGCACTCTCCATTTCCGTGCTCGTTTGTGTTCTTGCTGGAGCCAGACCACTCGCCAATACGTGAGATACACCCTCACACCAACCTGTCCATAGCAGGTTCCTAGTTGGGATTGCAAGTTGACGCTGCAATCTCCAGCAATTTATTTAGTCGCAAATGGCCAACTACCCAAAATCTCATGGCCATTAGTGGTTTATACGTTACTATTTCTTAAATTTCTTCCTAGTTGGCTATAAAGAAGTTGAGAAAAAGAAAAAAGAGGAAAAGGGAACAAAAAGAATGCGTTGCTGACAAGAGGATCAGACGGGAATTGAGCCCGACGTGGGGGTCGAACCCACAACCTTGAGATTAAGAGTCTCACGCTCTACCGATTGAGCTAGCCGGGCTTGAACAATCGTGCTTGTCTTTGTTGCAGACTGTGAGCGGAATCCAGGGACATACGGAGCCTGTTGAGCGGATCTGCGTGGGAGAGTTTGTCGGAACCGTCGTGGAGACTTGACACGGGAGATCCACAAGGCGTGGTTTCATGTACGGGGGGAACCTTGGTCGACAAGGAGATGAACCTTGCCTACAGGGTTAGACGGTGTTTGTGGATCTGGAATCTGAACTCTGATTTGGAGAAGAGATCGAACTAGGCGAACATTCTGAGCAAGACAAAAGGGGCGAGTGGATATCGCCACAACTCTGGATGATGGAGACCTAATTAGGCTAACAGCTATGGGGCGACAACTCGGCGGTCAACAAGCTTTGAGGCCTGACAAGCAATGGCAACAAACACTCAAGGCCGTAGTCGCAGTTTTCAAGCTACGGAAGGAAAAGAAACGAGCCATTTCCGCAAATCACAACAAGGCAACCCCATCAAGCCCGGCGCGCAAACAGCCCCTCGACGGCACCAAGACTCTCCCAGCCCAGCGCCTCAGCACCAGCAGCCAGCAGCGCCCACAGCTCATCAGGGCCCGCGCCACCCGTAACGTCAACCTCAGGACCGCCCAGTCGCGCCCCGACGGCCGTGGCACCGACAACAAACGCCACAGCAAGCGTAACCCACGCGGCAGCATCGTCCGCGACCAAACTGCCCGGCGCCTGGCGGAACTCGACCGTGCCCCGCGCACCGCCGCCGCCGCCCTGCAACATACCCGTAAAGTCCCACTTGTACACCTTGCCGCGGACGAAGTCCTTCAGCTTGCCGTGAGCGCGGCCATACGCCGAGCCCGCGGGGAAAAGGTTCACGGCCTCGACAACCGCGCGCGCGTCGCCAGACACAGCGTCGACCACGGCCAGGCACTCGGCGAGCCCGCGGCCGGCGAGCGCCGGGTTGGCGCGGTTGCTCTGGCACCAGTATGCGGCGGTGCCGCGGCGGCCTGCCGGCACCAGCACGTCCAGCGCCGGCTCGTAGTACAGCGCGGCTTTGGCTAGCGCGGCTAGGTCTGTGGCCGACAGCGGCCCGCGCGCGCCGGCGCGGCTCACGTGCACGTGCGTTGAGCAGTGCGGTGACGCCGTGAGGGTGAAGGATGCGCGCAGGGTCGCGAAGATGGCGTCGAGGTCGGCCGCCCAGTAGGCGTACACGGGGTAGACGGGGCTGACGAGCTCGAGGCCGACTGCGGGCGGGGGGGTTGTCAGTCTCGTATGTGTTGGGAGGCAGGATGTAAAGAAAGGGGGACGTGAACTAACACAGGTTCTTGGCCGGCTGGCTCGGGATGGTAACCTCGGGCGCGATGGACCACTCGCGGTAGTTGTCGGGCGACTTGTCGTTGGCCTCGTTGACGTGGTTGGCCACGCCCGCCTTGGCCAGCCGCTTGCTGAGGTCCTTGGCCAGCGCCTTCCAGCTGCCGTGCGCTTTCTTGCGGCTGCCCAGCAGCAGCTCGATCTCGACGCCGAACTGGAACGCGTTCTGGCTGGCCATGGTAGAGTTGTTGCTGCTTTTGCCGGTCCGGCTTGTGCTTGTCAACAGGCTGTCTGAGGGGACGCTTGCTGGCTGGGACGCTGGGTGGAGCAACGGTGTGGATACGCTCTGCGTCGGAGCTCAACAAGTCTGTGAGATGAGAGACTGTCCTGTATCGCCGTCTGCTTTCCGTGCTGGGACGACGAGATCCGTGTTTGAATTCCTGCATCGTCCATTCCATTTTATACTCGCCGTCTCCATCTCTCGCCGTCTCCGTCCCTCGCCATCCACCATCTACAATTCCATCCTCGCAGCGTCGCAAAGGGGGTTGCCGCCGCGGTTTCACCTAGACAACAACATCCACGGTATCCTCTGGCGGATAGTCGCCGCTTCGCTCGTCACATCTCACATGGCGAGAGCGGTACCAACGAGTCGTCCTGGCTGGCCGCGCGCAGAGTCACGACGCCTCCCGGCAACAGACAAGGCCAGCACGACGGCGACGCGGTGACCAGTCGTTTCTCGACAGTCGGCGAGCGAGCAGTCCCTCCGGGACCTAGTGCCGTCTGCTGCCCCAAGGTGAAGGCAGGATGGGCAAGGATGGGCGGGCGAGTCGCCGGACTGGTGGCCCATCACCGTCGACCGCAAAGTGGGAGCTGGCTCCCCCAACCTCAGACGACAGAAGCCATTGGCAGTGCGGGCCACGGCGAATGATACACTAGTGGCAAGCTCGAGCGGCTCCAGCGTCTCGCTGGCTGTGCCAGCCACCCGGGTGGCTTGTTGGGGGAGGGAGCCGTTGACCTTGCAACATGTTTGTGACGGCGGCGGAGCTCGCACGGGGAGACGAGACGAGGTAGCAGCAGACGCGGAGGGCGCTTAAGATGGAGGTTTTGGACTGGGAGTGCCTGCCCTTCCAGCAAGCGTGGCTCCCGCGGACCACAGCCGCCGTCGGGTGTTGTGTGAGTGTGATGATTGTGATGTGAGAGGTAGGAATCACAACCCAACCAGGACAAGAGTAGCTGGAAGTGGGTAACCTCTGCCCTCGTCTGTATCCACACCTCCGGGCCGGCGTAGGTGGTGCGGTGCAGTGTAAGGCAGATACGTATGTAGTGTAGCCTGACACGGCTAGGGGGCTGGCTGGGTGGCTAGGCTAGGATGTGACGTGACCCCGAGGAAACAAAAAAAGAAAAAAAGCCCAGAAAAGGGGGTGACGAAACGGTGCAGGGGGTAATCAAACAAACGCAATGCGTGGCGGCTGTCCATCTCACTCACACCCAATTCCATACCCCCCTCTTCCCAACCACATCCCTCACCGAAAAAGAAAAAAAAGGGACGTTGCACTCTCGCCGCACCCGAGTGGGCCTGTCGAGCATCTTGTACACCCACCGCAGAGCCGCAGGGCAAGGCGCGAACAAGTGGGGGCAGCGGAAACAAACAAGAAATTGTTTCTCGTCAATCAGTGGTCCCAAGCTCGCAATGCCGTGCATGTAGGATCGGCGTGCAGGATGCTTGAGGATGCTTGCTGTGCGTGCGTTGCTGACAGCCTTGGGGGGACGGCCCGGCTAGGTAATTACCTACCCAACAGAGCGAGACGTGCATATGTTTGCTTGCCTCGATCCATCCATCCTGGCCAGGGCTCGCTCATTTGGGACGCTACCTGGAACCTATTACAGCCCGCCGGCAATGCTCGGAAATTTTGTGAGGCACAGCCGAGCCCTCCACCCAGGGGGGCCGGGGGCGGAGGTGGTGGGGTGGTCGGATACAGACAGAAAAGGAAAATGAAAATGAAAATGAAAATGACAGAATAAGATGCGGGTGTGTGTGCGTGCGTGTGCGCACATGTGTGTGCGAGAGAGAAAGTGTGCTTGCTTAATCCGTGGACGACTAATAAGCGCCGACTGGGGAAAAAAAGGGCTGTTTGCTGGGATGATCGGACTGGCTTAGCCTCGCGATCAGACGTGCACCCCGACAAGAAGTGGACGAAGCGCCAATATCGCCCGCAAATATGATTTTGGGGACCGGGGCCGCACCTCCCGAGTTGGGACGAAAAGCAAAAGTACCCTGACTTACTCGGCTTCTTCCAGCAAGCCTAGTCTCGAACAAGGCAAGACAAGCAGCCAAGAATAGAAAAAGGCAACAGAAAAAGAAAAAGAGAAAGAGAAAGAAAAAATACAAGCTGAAACAGCCGCCGATTGGACAGTGTGCACACTCTCTCTTGTTCAGTGCGCACACTCTCTCTTGCTCAGTGCGCACACTCTCTCTTGTTCTCTGGCGGCTGCGACTGTTGCATCCCAGGCCCCCTTGCCGATCACGACTGGCCCGGCGAACAGAAGCGCTGGCGTTGGCCCGGATTCCTGTCTTGACAAATGGAACGAGGCGCAAGAGGCGAGTCGGCGTCATTGTCGTTTGTCGTGAAACACCCAGCCCTCCCTTCCCGCTGCGCTGTGGCGGCGGACCGGCTTCGAGTGCATATTGGGGGACATGCCAAGAAATGGGCGAGAATCAAAGACAAACAGGCATTATACCCGTGGGGTCAACAGGAGACCACCTGGGACGACAGAGGCATGTCAGCAGGCTCTGAGGACATGTTGAGAAGCCTGGTCGGATTAGACATGGGAATCATTTGCTTCTGTTAGATCGACTTCAAGGGCAAGATTTGAGGGCTAGGAGAATTCAGATCCCAGGAAACCGCAGCGACACCACGGACGGGAGTTGAGTAATTACGATAAACGACATGATACTCATCGCCTGGCAGCTGAGATACAGCAGGACTCGGATGGAGAATCAAGTACTACAACCGAGTGACCAATATGTTCGGGGCCTCAGCTAGACACCTCAGATTTTCTCCAGGGACACCACGGCACTCATGGCTTGGTTCTATCTCGCCACGTACCATGAGCTCGAGATGTTTTGAAATCTCAAGAATAACGTCCAACTCAACACAATGACTCAAAATATGACGAAGACACGCGATCCAAACACGCGGCTTGAACTAATCACGATGCGACATCCGACCCGGAGCTGGTGAACTTGACTCACGGGCATATGAACCCACTTTCATCAGCTGGTTCTGTGAATCTCCTCAATATCAAATAGCCACCTCCTGTTGCCAACTGCATCTTCACTTGTTTTATGGGCCCTTGTTGGCTGCAAGAAAGATATCAACGAGCCTTCTTATTCCCTGCTAGTTCTAGACTACTAAGATAATTACGCGACACGGCTTGTTATCAACATTGCCCAAAACCAACAGAACCCGTAGAACCCGGTTCATGGGCCTCCACCATATTCGTCACATGCCGGTATGCGGGGAGGTGACGTTGTCGCGAAGAAACAACGACCCTGGCCGGTGTCTGCTGTGTGACAGTGTGACCCTGAAAGTGCGCCGACAAGTCGGGGCTGCTTACAGGGGTTAAGGCGGCCGCAGGAGGCCCAGCTGCCTGTCATGCACAACATGGCGCATCAATCCGTAATTTCAGCGCGCTGTTGAGGGCTGCGAGGGCAACATCAGATTGTGGAAACCTTAGGCTAAGGTATTTGAGTGGCCGAGTTCTGACTGTCTAGTCCTCGACCAAACATGCCTACATGCTGTTTCAGGCAGAGGCAGGAACAAAAAACGTCCAAACGTCTTCCCGACACTGCGGTCCAACGAACGCCCAAACCCGCATCGGGCTGACCCCAATCCATCTACTTAGTGCGCCCCGGGAAACGCGTCTTCGGCGCCCCGCCTTCGCCCCGCACTAGTGCGCTTTTGGCAGGCGGGGTCGAGCGCAGGGACCAGAAGTGATTACCTAATAAACACGCGACGACCAATCAGAACGAGCATCGCAGCGTGCGAATTGGACTGAACGCGCAGAGCTCTGGCGAGCAAAGCTAGCTATTAACAAACAACGAGCGCATTTCGAACCCCGTAGGTTCCCTCCGACTGCCGCCGACTGCCACCGCCAAAGTCAACAAGAACGAACAGCAGGAACAAGAGCACGTCCGAAATCGCTTCATCCCTGGTCGCGTCCTCCGAACATCTCAAAAGAGCGAAACCTCGGCGGGAAGCAACACCGACCCTCCCTCTTTTTTTCGCCGTTCAACGCGTCGCGTCAAACCCGCAACAAAACAAGCCCTTCAAGACACGAACCCCACACACCGCAACAATGACGGAGCCTGTCGCGGTCAGCAGCATGGACGAGCTCAAAGCGCTCACAGCGGCCAATAAGTACGTGGTGCTGGACTTCTGGGCCGAGTGGTGCCCGCCGTGCAAGGCGATCGCGCCCATCTTCAAGACGCTGGCGGGCAAGCACGGGGTGGCCGGCGCGCTGGCGTTTGGCAAGGTGGACGTGGAGGAGGCGCGCGACGTGGCGCAGGCGTTCGGCATCAGCGCTATGCCGTCGTTCCTGTTCCTCGAGGACGGCGAGCCCGCCGGCGTCGACGTCGGCGGCCGCGCCAAGGGCCCCGCTGTTGTGGCTACCGACGACGGCAAGGTCACGCTGCTGCGCGGGGCGGACCCGCGCAACTTGATGCTCATCGCCGAGGAGCTCGGCAAGCTGGCGCGCACCGTCGGTGTCGCCGAGGTTGAGCCCGAGGCTGAGTCTGCGACCGAGACCGAGGCTACGGCAGACGAGAAGGCTGAGGAGAAAGCTGAAGACAAGCAGGTACGTGCTTGGCGCAAGTCTACCCCTCTCCCGTCGTTTCTGTCCGGTGCCGGCGAGGCAAGGCGAGACGAGAGAAGACAAAACACTCCGTCCACCAGTCCGATATGCTAACTCTTCACCAACAAAACAGACCTAGAACGCTTACTTGCCAATAAGACTCCGCAAGGACTCGTTCCCCCAGGTCTAAGTCCAGCACGATCAGCAAAGCAACAGACAATGGCCCTCGAAGTCCCACAGTCCGCCCACGATTCTCCTTCGCCTTGCTAACGACTCCCCCTTTCCTATGCAGCGCGACGAGGGTGACGAGAGAAGTGGGCGAAAACGAGCGCCTACAGCGAGACGACGGAAATAACCCAGAAAAGAAGATAGCAAAAAAAAAAATTAACCCGATATCCGCCAATAATGGAGCTCTTGCGGGCTGCATGATATCGTTCTTGGTTCGAGTATGACTATGACGTGACCATCCCTTTTCCTGCAGCAGACACGCATTTCCATCCCTCTCTTTTAATAAGCTACCCACCCGTGTACTCGTTTACGACGTAATTAATATCCCACTTTCTGACAGGAAAAGTTGACACCGAGTAGACAGACAAGCTGAATCACCTTGCACGCATTAATTGAGCCTTTGCCCATTGTGCTACTGCAGCATGTATAAGTAACCCTATATATACCGAATAAGCCTATAAGCAAGTATGTATATGTCCTATTTGTCATAAACAATAATTGCACTCCCCGGTTCCTCGCCAACCTGCCCTGCTTCGTGTGCAACGCGGCAACGCGGCAACGCGGCAACGCGGCAACGCGGCAACGCGGCAACGCGGCAACGCGGCAACGCGGCAACGAGACAAGCAAGACTCCACCCGTATGCCGATACCGTATGCTGTATGTAGTGCAATGCGAAATATTTTCGTGTGTGCTGTGCTATGCGCGCTCTGTGTGGTATCATAATCCCTCAAAACTCCAAAGACTCAAAACCCAGCCAAGCCAAGCCACCCACCCCCAACCCATCATCATCTTTATCAGCGTTGCCAAGTAAACCGAAGCTCCCGAGATCGCCCGCGCGCCACAAGTCAGATAGACTATGTATGCTATATATGCCAAACACAACCCCTCCCAAGTGCGCCCATGCCGCGTTATACCAAGCCGCGGTCTACAAGACAAGCCTAGCCTCACACCATAGCCTGAGACGAAGATCCAACGACACCGTCATCTAAAGGCATCATGCATTTCTAAAAATCTTGGAGCAAGAAACGTCTCATTCATCGACGAGGGTGCCGCAGCGGCCGCAGCTTAGCCGTTGGCGGCCGGCAATCTTCCTAGCCTTGAACGCGCCGGCGCCGCACTTTTTGCACTTGACCTCCTCGCCAATAGACTCGGGCCCGTCGTCCTCCTCCTCGATCTCGCTACTGAGATCCGAGCTCAGGCGGCTGGCGTATGAGTTGCCGCGGCTCCAGAGGTGGCGGTATGGCGAGCCCTCACGCCGCGACTGCACCGGGTTCTCGACGCCGCCAGGGATGCTAATTTTTGGTACAAGGTTCTCATCGGTGCCCCGGGGGCCCTGCACGGACTGAGGAAGGGATTTTCTGCGGCTTGCCGTCGTGTCGTCGCCTCCTGGTCTCGACGCGAACATGCCCGCGCTCTGCCGGCGGGAAGCTTTGTCCTGTTGCTGCGCCTCCTTGTCGGGCTCTCTCTCGTCGCTTGACCCCTCGAGAGGGCTTCGCGACTTGGAGGCCGGGCTACCACCGCTGCCGTTGTGTCCTTGGCCTGCCGCCTGTCCCTGGGCCGACGAGGCCGAGCTGGTTCTAAATCCCGTCATGCCGCGCCACCGGTTCAGGTTCCAGAAGGAGTAGCTAGCTCCCGCCGGATCGAGCCGCAGCGCGTCGTCGTCGTCAGCAGGGCGAAAGGTAAAACTCGGTGTGGGTAAGCCCGGTATCGCCTCCTCTTCTTCCTCCTTTGGCGGGGCTTCGTCCTTCTCCTTTTCCTTCATCTCTTTTCTGTCCCTCTCTTTCACGGCCCGCATGGGCAGCTTTTCTGGCGTGCTGAACACGCTCGCTGTCGGACTTGTCAGGGTGCTGTGTATCCGATTCGCGGCCGGCGATGACCCCCCGTACGGTTGCTTTCTTGCGTCACTGGCCAGGTTGATGGCGCTGGAACTGAGGGGAGTCCTGGTTGCCTTGGTCGGGCTCAGAGAGCGCTCACTGCGCGTCCCTTCGCCCGTGGTTGTCGCACTCGTGCGCCGATTGCCTCCGTTCTCGATATCCTGGCGCCAGCTCAAGATGCGATCCGAGTTTGCGCCGACGGCGCCGAGCTGTGGAGATCCCATCGTAACCGGCCCCATCGACTGGCTGAGAGACCCTCTCCTGCTGTGCGCGGCGCTGCCAGCGCTTGTCCGGGTAAGGACGCTGACGCTGCGCCCTATGCCTCCCCCAACGAAGGCACCGCTGTGAGTAGTCAGCTTGCGGCTGAAGGTGCTGCCGGTATCCCAGCTGTCGTGTCTGCGCTTGGCATAAGCGCAGTCCTGGCGGAAAACCTTAATTATGCCCATGTCGTCAGTCGTGACAATTATGTTGCCGTCGTAATGTGTTGATCTCGCCAGGTACGCGGGGCTCGGCTCAGGTCCTTTAGTGACGTTTGTGACTGCCTCCGAAATCGCCGGCGTGTGTGGTGCGTCGGTACCTAGCGCCACCGCGCTGGCCGCCGCGCTGGCCGCTTCTTCAAGACTGAGCAGCGTCACTGGCGGCGGGTTGCACAGATCATAGATGGGGTCGCCGCTCTGGCCCAGGAGCATCCTTGTCTTGGTTGGCGCAAACAGCGCTGTGGTGACCATGTCTCCATGCGCCTCGAAAAACTCGCAAGGAGACTTGTCTTTGTCTTGTGTCGCGGCATCGTTTCCTGTGAGGTTCCACATGAATGCCTTGCGGTCCTCGCTGCCGCATATGACATAATTCCCGTCGTCTGAGAAAGAAGCCGCGATCTGGCTGCACGCGTTGTCGTGGCCCTTGAGCTTCACCTCAAGAGACTTGTCGCGCAGATTGTATATCCGGATACGGCTGTCGTTCGATGTGATGAGCACCCTGACTTCTCCCTGGCGCGCAATGTCGGTGGAGGCGCGGGACACCGAGGTGACGCTTGGCGCCTTGGGCGAAGCCATGGTGCCCGGGCTTGACGGAGGAATCACCATGGTGTGGATGCCTGTGATTTTGCTTCCCTTTGCGTTCTTGCCGCGCGACGACCGTACGTGTATCTGCGTGTGAAACTTTAGGCCCTCGGTGTCGTAGAACAGACAGAGCCCGTTGAGAAGGCCGGCGATGGCCGTCTTGCCGTCTGGGGAGAAGCCGACGGCGGTGACGAGGTCGGGCAGCTGCGCCGAGAATGCAATCGCCTTGTCTGGGATGCTCCACAGCCGTAGCATGGTATCGAGCGAGCCAGCAAGGAAGAAGCGGTCGTCACGGGGGTGGAATGCCAGCCTAGTGACAAAGTCCTTATGCTTAAACGTGCAGAGACACTCGGCTCTGCTGATGTGCCACAGCCTGACCGTCTTGTCCATGGATGACGACAGCAAGAAGTTATTTTTGCTCCAGCTCAAGTCCAACACCTCGCCCGTGTGCCCCTCGAACTCTCGGATCGGCTGGTTGCGGAATACAGGCGCACTAAGCCTCTCTCCAGTACCGCCGTTAGCAAGCTCCTCTTCCTCGTGCGCCCGTCGCTCCTCGGGCGTCGAGATGACGGCCCATATCCGGACAACACGGTCGCGCCCGGCAGTGGCGAGGTATTTCCCATCCTTGCTGAACTCGGTTGCCCAGATGGCGCCACCCGTCTTGGCCGCCTTCCGCCCGCTAGCCGTCGCTGTGCTGACCGTAATGACAGGCGTCTTGCTCCCGTCGGCCGAGGTCTCGTCGTCCTTTTTCACCGGTTTCGTTCCCACCAGTTCCTGCGCCAGGAACATGCGATTGAACTCCCGCGTCTTCTTGTTGTTGGCTCTCGTCCGTATGTATCTCGGCGGCTCCTTGTGTATCGGGACGTAACCGCCGCCAGCGAGGGGGCGGGACAGTGCCTGACTAAAGACGGAGGCATTGACACCGTCCATTCGGAGCTCACTCCCGATCTCGGAGTCCGAATCCAAGTCCCCGGCGTCCTTCCTTCTGCTGCCGCGCATGCTAAGCCGACTCAGAAAGGAGGGCCCTCTCCTACTTGGTGTGGGCGAGACGCGTCAGCTATGAGTCCACAATATGCGCGAGCCAATGGCGCATGGGGCACGCAGTTCAGGCATGTATATATATATATGCATATATCATTACCTCTTGTCCTTGGCCGCATCGCCCGCCAACGCCGCATGTTTTACCGAGAGGTCTGAGCTGTGTCGGGCAAGCCCTTCAGCCATTTGGATCGGGCTTTCGGATCGGGCGGGATTCCGTAAGCGGGGAGGAATGGAGTGGTCGGTGTTCGTTCTCATGAAAATGTGCTGCAGGGCAAGGCATATCGTTAGGAACTTTTCTCTTGATCAGGTAATCGGGCACCAATGTAATCCCGGACAAGTAATCCGGGACATTGTTGTGTTAGCCCCTTCTCGGCCGCCAACCGGCCAGGTGCACCAATAGCTGGGGCCGGCCGAACCTCGACCGTTCAAAGTGTCATGCGCTCGGCGGGCACAGGGCGGGGATGTTGGCGCTGACACCGAGTTGGACGGGGGCAAGCAAGCGCTCGCTTCTTTAGCGACTTACCTGAGATAACGGGTCGATGGCAGCGTTGGGGGAGGGCAATTGGGCCGTCGCAATAGGGGGCGCGACGCGAGAGGTCCCAACAATGCCGGATGTCCCGGGCCCAGTTCCAGTTCCGGTTCCAGAGCCTGCGCCTGTGCCGCCAGAGACAAAACCAACGTCAGCGACAGCGCCTGAGCTAGCACCAATGCCAGAGCCTTGGGCAGTAGCAGCGTCTAAGTGGGTATTCGTGCCTGTGACAGCAGCAGTGCTCGTGCCCTCGGTGGCAGTCTCTTCGCCTGCATTCCTCGCGTCGAGCTCCCCCTTCCCCCCCCGGTCTTCGTCTTTCTCCGATGGGGTCGGGGCCTGGGTCGAGGGGTTGTGCGAGAGCCTCGTCTGGTTCCTTTTGCTGGGCGCCAAGATTTGCGGCGTCGCTGGGGCTGGCCTTTTGGGGATGGGGGGTCCTTAACATGCATGCGCGTCAGCTTCTAGGCTGGGAAGGGAATGATTGCCTGAAAATAGTCGTTCTATCTATCTGATGTGTGCAGCACGCGGATGGAGTCGGATGAAAATTGCGGGCAGTGGTAAATTAGGTGGAACCGAGCGCCCAAACAGACGGCCGAATCCCGGTCCGCGACTGGAGACAACGGGCGCAAGCAAGGGCCGAAAGGGAGAGACGAGTCAAAGCACGTCGGGCCACTCACCTCGGGCATCTGGGCCAACCGGCAGCGGCTGCGGTGACGTCGAAGGGGGTCTGCTAGTACTTCGGGTCCTGTTGTAGCTGGTGGCAGCGGGCCGCTGGACGCCATCACTGTGCTGGCTGCCAGAGCCCGGCTTTATTGAAGACCAAATGCCGGCCATCGTCCCATCACGGCACTGTGAAGCCCACGCCCAGCTCGCACCGCACAGCACATGTGAGTGCTGACCACCAAACAGCCGTTGCACGTTAGTGTTGGAGGGGAGGGGGGGCCTGTATCAGTAATGCGCCAAGGAATGCGAGGCTCTTCGGGGAAAAGCGAGCGGTCAGCGGCTGATCCAAAAGCCCGCGAGAACGAACGGGTTCCGAGACTGCCGACGTAAGCGACCGCGAGGCGGCCAGGGCGCGCCGGATTGGTCGACGAACGATGGCTGGTTTGGAAAGAGGTCCACCTCGCCCAGGCTCTTGATCTATCGAGGTATCGCGTGGCCACTCAAATGTCGCGCAAGTCGGCGACGGGCCTCGGATTGATGCCGACGAGGAATGCGAATGCGAACTCTGGAACTAGGCCTAGCCTTCTGAATCATCCACGCCGCTGAACCACGCTTCGAGGTTGTTGCAGGATTCGGTGAGCGCTTAGCCAATGGTAAGGTAGGGAGGTAGGCCGCTTTGCTGGGTCTGGGGGCCGCGATTTAGTGGGCTGTCTTAGCGGGCTGCCACTGCGATTGTCGCTGGGTCGTCAGGGCATTCATTGCGCGTCGAGAAAGCCCGAAATGGCAGGGCGTGTGGGGTGTCGCCGAGGTCTAGAGAAGAAAATCAGGCCAAGAAGGGAGAAGAGTGGAAAACAATTCAAAGGAAGTGGAGGAGCCGAATGAATTGGCGCTTCGTCCGTTTGGCAGTCGACGGGCGTATTGTGGATGGCGATTACGTGTGGGCCACCTGGGCCTCCCTCGTTCTTTCCTGTTCCAGCTCCCGTCTCTGAGTGTTGGAGGTTGGCATGGGTGGTGTCTAGGCGATTCGAGAAGCCCACTGTGATTGCATCATCGCGTTTCGACGGGACGGGAGCCCCTCACCAAACGTCAAACGCCGAGGTCGAGATGCCGATCTGATCGCTTGCCCGGTCTTGTCTTCAGTCTCTTCCCACCTTTCGTCTATGGTCTTTCTTTCGCCTTTCCTCATTGGGACGCGTTTCGAGGCCACATCAACGTCAACGTCAACATTAAGAAGCGAACTTTCCAGTTGCAGGTTTCAATTTATCACAGCAGGAATGGGCGCAAATTAATCGCGGAAAAAACAACCTTTAACCCCGGAAAGGCTTAATCAAGGTGTCCCTAAATCCTTAGAAGCTTAAGTCCGGATTTACACGTGCGCGGCGCTATTATTCCCACCAGTTCCAGAGAGTCGGAAGTAGTGCGGCGGAATTATGCTCTCTGGGTAGCTCACTCCCTCCCCGCAAGCCATAGGGCTGGACGGCTGCAGCAAGGGCTGCTAGGGGAAGCTTAACCCTTCTCTCGCTTCAGAGGCGGCCAACAAACGGCAAACCACTGGTGCTGATGACAGTGCAGAAACAGATCTCTGCGACACGATCTTCGTCCAGGGTCGGGTGGCACGGCTCCCGTCTTTGGTTGGGTTTCGGGGGCAGATTCACCACCAACACACACGGATTATCCGTACCTTCCAGGTTACGTACATTCCATCTTTATTTTTTATTGCATTCGGTGTACATACAGAGTGGCAGGTCAGGTACTTCGTACATACAACATGTCAGGGCCTATTGTACGGAGTGTATCCATATGTGCAGTTATATTACGGCGACTCCTCCTCCGTCTGCTGATCCGCCGCCCTCCTCCCCGTCGTCCTCTTCCTCGTCTTCGTCAAGGTCGTAGATGGGATATGTCAATATCGCGGCGATCCCGCCCAGCCCATCCAGTCGCTGCCCGCTCTCGTGGTCGCTGCTGAGCAACTTTGCCTCGCCGCCGTCGTCCTTGACTCTGTCCACCAGGGCGACATACTTTTTCCTCGTCGGGATGTCGAGGCTCCTGAAGAAAGAGTTATTGATCAGGATCACGCCGCCGCCGCGGCCCACGGCGCCCTCCTCCACCGCCTTGGCCACGGGCTTCGCGCCGTACCACGCCCTGCCGTCGTCCTTGCGCAGGCGCTCGTAGAACTGGTCCATCAGCGCCGTCTCCGTCGTGAACTTCTTGTCGCGCATCGTCACCTGCACCTCGGGGCTCTTGAGAATCTCGTTGAGGCTGTGCACGTAGCCGGTGCTCGAGTGCACCACGACGGCGTCCTTGGCGATGCGCTGCAGCCGCTTGTCGGCGCGCTTGGCGCCCTCGCTCTGCATGTAGGCGCGGAAGTCCTGGGCGACAAACCCGGGGCTCGCGAGCAGCATCGGCCGCGGGTTGCTGAAGTCGACGGCGCGCAGCAGCGTAGACAGCGTCTTCTCGTAAAAGGCCGTCATGCCGCCCGCCGTGTCCTGCGCCTGCGACCGCTTCTTGGGTATGTTGCTCTCGACGCGCTGCTTGATGACGGTCCGGAAGTCGGTGATGAGGCAGATGTTGGCGAGCCCCTCGTGCATGACAACGGCCACCACGGCGTCGGGCTTGTCGTCGTTGACCGCCTCGGCGAGCGTCTGCATGGCCACCGAGTCCCATCCGTTGCTCTTCCATATTGTAAAGGGGCGGTTGAGTTCGAGGTCGAGCGTGTGGTACTGGCCAACGTTGACCCACGCGTTCTCGTGCACGACGGTACCCGAGACGTGGAGCGACGATGCCGCCGGGTCGAAGAAGGTCGACGTGACTCGGATGGTGAGGTCGGTGTGCACCCGCTCCGACATGGTCGAGCCCGTGCTTGACGTCTTCGTGACTTTGCGGACCGCGTGGGCCTTGACTGTGTCGGAAATGGCGATCAGGTTGTGCGCATGCCACATGTCCTCGGGTTCGACAGGCAGCAGGGCCACACCCGTCTCGCCGTCAATGGCTTCCAGCCGCTGGTTCTTTGAGACAAATCGCATGTCGTTGTACGTCCGTAAGCGCTAGGTGGTTGGGAGTGGTGGGACACTGACGGTCCGCTGGAGCTTGCTTGTCGATGACGCACTATTTGGGTTCGTCTGGCAGAGGTGCCAAGGTGATCGCGGGGTGCTCTTATCGTGGCTGGTGGGGGAGTGGGGTAGAGGGGAGGGATGCAGCCACGGGCGTTGTGAAGTTGGTCTAAATACTCCGTATACCACCCGCAGAACCAGTGAAGACGAAAAAGTATGTTTCAGGCTGAAAATTAAAAATGAAGACGAGGGTTCTTTAAAGAAAGCCATTGCCGCTTGTTTTACGTGTTAGGGTTAAAGGCTGTTGAACATATTCGGGAAGTTGCTCCCGGTGGCATGTCTTCAAGGTTCGAGCTTGTCTTTGCTCTAGGAGTCGAGCCCGATTCGCACGCATTCATCCTAAGAATGTTCCTTACCAAAACAAATACAAGGCTTCAAAGCAATCTTTCCCACCAACAAAATTTTTCCACGTTCATTACTTACTATTTGCATTTGTCCCAGGTTTCAGAGTGACCATCTAATTCCGTTCTCCGTTCTCTGCCCCCTGCTCTCTGCCAAACAGTCTGGCTCCGGCTATCGGTTGACTTTTCCGTTCGAAATACTCCTACTATTCCGGCGCAAGTTCGGCCGCTCTTAGCCCATCATGAACGAAGAGTTCCGTCGGCTCCTCGAAATAGGCGCTCCTTTCAAGAGGAATAGTTATGGGGCGCCGGTTTTTCCTTTCGCTCGGCCTCCAATAGTGGCATGCTCGCCCATCCAATAATGTGTATTCCCAGACTGGTACTGATGTTTCTTCAGAACTCCCCCGGGTTTTCTGTTCAAGCACTCGGCGACATCTGTTACCAATGCAGCACATCGGCTTCGGAGGACATAATGAACCCGTTTTGCAAGCCGCCCAAGCCGGCTAACCAGGCCGAGCGGGTCAACCAGGCCAAGCGGGCCCAAATAGTCCAAAGGTCAAACAGCCCCCCCTTCGCAATCACCGTATGCCAGAGATGCCAGCTGCTGGTCTAAAATGCGAACCTGTAAGTCATGCATCAAGGGCTATTTCTCTCGAGGAGTGGTTTCTGACCTTTGCAGGTTCCTACTGCGATGCTTCCATTCGTCCAACTCTACTAGGAATGGGTGTTGGAGATACGCTTCAACATCATTAACCAACTTCATCCAAGCATCGTCCAGGGTCATAAACCGTCGAGACATGTGAAGCTCCATATCACCAGTGGGATTGTCCATCTCGACCGGGTAGCTCGTATGCTTCGCCAATATTATATCGGCAGACGCGAGATGATGGACCATTGGGGGATCATCCATAATGGTTCCAATATGTCACAACACCAGGTCGCCAGAATTCAGCTCGAAGAAATTGCAAGCACTCGCCGCTTTGCTGCGTTGCACACTCGTTTAGTGTTCGAAGGAACTCGTCATGGCATGTTCGGATTACCGCACGGCCGACTGGTGGAAAACTTTGACTCCAAGTACAATGCCGAATTTATGGCTGCACTTCCGCCATATGAGAGACCTGGGCACAATTCCGACCAGTTGTACGAAGCGTTCCGGTGCCTGGTAATCATGTTGATCCACGCTCCCGCGACCAATTCGCATGCTAATCACATAATTTCAGATGACTTGGGAAGTGTACGTGCCCACCCTAGAACAAGAGGCGTCGTGGCTGGGATTTTGGGATACAGCTTACTCCAAAATGCCTAGTAATAACAATCGCGATGAAATTCTCAGAATTGTGAGCCTCGGGGTAGCATGGCATGATGGGGGTAACTGTGGAACCCAGAACCTGCCCTGAGCGAAACGGCTGGACTTCACGTGGAGGTTCGTACATCAGCGTGTAGCAATTAGTACCAGCATACTAGAGGTCAGTTAGTCGCTGCATCCAGCGTAAAACATTCTCACATGTATAACTTGGACTTGCAAAGCCCACAGGTGAACAATCACCACAGGGCCAACGCAGAGAATTATAATAGCGGGTCTTGAAAGAATCGGCCAGTTTCATGTCGTCAGTTCTGATTCGTAATCCGCAGAGGAGAAGGGACGTTTCTTGTGTTTTGAGTTTCGGCCATGAGCCTGACATTTGTAGGCACGGCGGAAAGGCTCTGGGGAGGTGGCCAACACATCAACTCAGGCCGCAGTCCCACCACCAAATGACAAGTGCAACGTTACACAGCCGGACACCAGGAGAATACGCTTTTGGCCATTGCTTTGTTTCCCGCAGTCTTATCACATATGTTGTCCAAGACAAGTCTACTTAAGTTAGATCTAATTAGAACCAGGGGAAGCAAGCATTGAATAGTAACAATGGATTCAGTGCTGTTTAATGTACTTTCGAATCACATAAACTCCCGGATTATTTCTGGTAATTACTGGGAAATACTTATGCTGAATTTCCTACCCTGTGGTCAATCAACACTAGTCTGGTGGAACAAGACGGCAGCGGGAGACAAGATACACCAGGCAATTTCCCCGGGACCGAGCACAGCAATTCGAGCGGGTGGTAGCTTGACAACTAGTCCCTGTTCGTTAGCATCCTTCACTCGTACAAATCCAACCGAGTTCATACTGAACCAGAATCTGTCCGAAGGCTTGTTGGGCAGCCGGTCTCGTAAGAAACCTCCTGGCCAAAGAGAAGGAATAGGGGGAAGAGCTTCGAGATCTGTCAACAATCCTTTCCCTTGGCTAAATTCAGTGAGGGAAACGCCTGTGGGTTTCTCTGGTCACTGACCGGCGTCACGTCGTACCTGCCCACCTACGGATTGTCGGTGCAATTTATCATGAAAGTAAGGCAGATACCCCTTGGAATGCGGGTCTTTGACGGGAGGCGAGCGAATTTCGCCGTCGTTCCTTCCAGATTGCACCCACGATGTGCCCACCCACCCATCAGCAGACAGCGGCGCGAGAAGTACCTGATGCCAGGTGTCATGACTAGTGGTGGCAGTTTCCATCCCTGTTTGTCGTTTGTGTAATACCCGCAGCAGGGTCGCGCCGTTCTTTCCACCATGGAAGTTGGAAGTCCCCAGTTCGTCGTCGTTGGCTCTGAGGTGAGTCGCTTCAGAGCCTCCACCCAATTTGCACTCATATTTTCTAGTTTGACCACCCCATGAGCCAAATTAGCTTGACCAGATACGATATATCTTTTCCGGGCCGCGCAAACCCATCGCCGTGCTGTTGAGGCCCACCACACGAGAGAACCTAAGTCGTTCGGGTTGCATGCACCGAGACACGGCAGCCCCTCTTTTCTAGCCACTCAAGTTGTCGTCACCAGACGACCCCTGCACCACGACTCTCGTTCATCGAGCGCGGCGGGCGCGTAACCAGACAGTCGGGTTAGCTACCCTGGCCGACGTGCCCGAAAGCGGCAGCTCTCAAAAGGAGTGCGCACATCATATCTCAGACCTCAAGTCTTTGCCGGCCGAAATGTCTTGCATCGCCTAGGGCACAGCTGCATTCGTCCCGCCTTATCCACCCATCGGAAACTTGCCAAGCCAACACAGCCAACCACAGCGCCGTCCGCACCACCCGCACAGCACCAACAGCATCGCCACAGAGCCAATTGTGTGCTGTCACACGCCGCAACGCCCGTCGTAACCCGCAACTCGCAACCCGCAACCTGACCTGCGAGTCGCAAATCGGTGGGGGGATACCTTAAGCGGGGGCGGGTTAGGAGAACGGATAGTGTGGGCCACGGCCAGCGGTGGAAGTTGCCTGGAATATTACAGAATCCAGGGTATCCATACCACACCGTATGTACCACACCGCAGGAAGTGCGTGCAGATACCCGCGTTGGCAGCTTGGGCATTCTTAGCTGACAAAACCAGGGCACCTGCAAGGAGCAGGTAGGCAGCCTGCGCTTGAGTCGCCCTATCCAGGTGCTTCTGCTGCCCTGCCGTGCCTGCCCTGGGAACCTGCCTGGCTGGCCTGAATCCTCAGTAGCGGGTAAAAAAGCGCCAGGGCGGCACGGATGCGGCAGGCTGCAGCAGGCTGCAGCCTCCCTACGCAAAGCTGTTGGCTGACCGCCTTCATCGGGTTCGCCTGGGCTTGTGTCGTCTTCCTAACTGCCCTGTATTCACCGCAGGCGCACTTTGCTCTGCGTTCTCGGCTCTCGCCCTGGTACACTCTCCAGGCTCATTTCGCTCCCACTGAGGTCGGAATCCTTTCCGAGTCCTCTCACCTTGCTCACCGCCCAGCACTCTGCGCCCCCATCTTACTTCGCTCCCTCTCCGTCTCAGACGCGGACTGCCCGTCTTGATCGAGTCGCGGCCATGAACAGCTTGCTGACGCTGGCGAGCACCACCTCGCTGTTCGGCAGCGGGGGCACACCGCTCCAGGAGCAATTTGAGGCCCGCATCCCAGGCTTCGGCGTGCTGCAGGGCTTCTTCAAAAAATGGCTCAAGGTCGAGCTGACGACGGTGCTCACCATCGCCGCGCTGATGGGCGCGGCGTCGAGCGGCGCACAGGGTCTCCAAGCCGCTGGATCTAAGATGTACTGGTGGATTATCAGATTCCTGACAGCGTCGATAAGCATCGCTGGCAACGACCGTCTCAACCGCGAGGTGCTCAACTGGCTTGGTGCAAGGGTCCTTAGCAACGGCAGTCGCATTCTGACGGCCCATTCTGAGACCATACAGAACGATGCATGGTATTATAGGAGAGTTCAACAGGAGCGAAATGACTACCACCACGAGAAGCGCATGCCCGTGCAGTATCTCCCCACGTTTGGCACTACGTGGTTCGTCTTCGAGCGCCGCATCTTCATGATTCGGAGAATCATGACGAGCAGCTCGCACTACCACAGCGCCTTCTCCAAGGGCACCCCCGACGAGTACGCCGGCGCCCCCGAGGGATCTGAGCCGCTCGTCATTCTATGCCTCGGGCGGACAGAAAAGCCAATCAAGCGGTTTCTTAACATGTGCCGCGACTTTTCGGACAAGCGTTTGTACTCCCTCTGATTTCACTTCACCATCGCACTGCAGCGGCAACAACGGCAGGAGGCAACTGGAAAACTGACTAGATTAATAGAGCGCGAGTCTTTTGTCACAGTTAGGACGAGCAAGCGAAGGCATTATGAAGAGTCTTTCGACACTACGATTTTGCGGCCGCTTCGCCCCCTGGAGACGGTGCATTTCGACGAGAAGATCAAGGCTGAGCTCGTAGACGACATCATCAACTACCTTGACCCGAATACGCGCAAGTTCTACAATGGACGTGGCATCCCGTACCGGAGAGGCTACCTGCTTCATGGCCCTCCGGGAACTGGCAAAACATCCCTTTCGTTGGCGCTTGCGGGCAGGTTCGGGCTAGAGCTGTACTTGGTGCATATCCCCAGCGTCCGCGAAGACGAGGCTCTGGAGAAGCTCTTCACGGCTCTGCCGCCGCGCTGCATCGTTCTCCTCGAAGATATTGATGCCGTGGGGATTAGGCGGCGCCCGGCAAAGGTCACTGAGGACAGCGATGACGAGAACGAGGAAGAAGAGTCCGAGGACGAAAACGACCGCGTGGCTCGATCTAGGTGCACTCTTTCTGGTCTGTTGAACGTGCTTGACGGCGTCGCATCTCAAGAAGGGCGCATCGTGCTTATGACGTCAAACTTTGCCGAGAAGCTCGACAAGGCTCTCGTGCGGCCCGGTCGCGTCGATAGGATGATTTACCTAGGCAACATTTCGCCTCGCAGCGCCGAGCTCATGTTCCTCCGCATGTATGCGCGCGAAAAGGGAGATGGTCCCGCGACGACGGAGAAATTGCAGCTATCCGAGGAGCAGCTAAAGCAGTTGGCGCTTGACTATAGCTCGCAGGTCCCCGAAGACGTCTTCACTCCTGCCCAACTCCAGGGATACCTTTTAAACCACCGCGACTCGCCGGTTCAAGCAGCAGAAAACATGGCCACCTGGGTGAAGGAGGAGTGGGCCCTCATGGATGAGGCAAAGGCGCGGGCCAAGAAGGCGTCGGAGCTCCGGAAGAAGAAGAAGCGGGAGGCCAAGCTCAAGTTGCTTGCCAAGCCAGCAAAAGAGGCTAAGAAGGACGAGGGCGAGGACCTTGATGCCGAAATCGAGGCACTGAAGGCCAAGATGGCAAAGGAAAAGTCTAAGAAAAGCAATAAGGCAAAGGATGATACGGAGGCGGGGCCGGAAACGGCAGAGACGGCAGTGAATGGCGAGGCGGCCGTCAAGGACGACAGCAATGATGGCAAATCAACCTCTGTGAGCGACGAAAAGGACGCGGCTCAAGACGGAAATGCCAAGACGAACGGTGCCGGTGAGACGGAAGAGTCGACGGCCGACACGAAGGGGCCGGCTGACGATACAAACGGAGTCGCCGGGACGAAGGAGCCGACCACTAGGAGTAACGGGGCAGCCAAGACGAAGGAACCGACGACTGAGATTAACGGAACAGCCGAGACGAACGGGACCAAGGTTGAGGAGACGGAGACTGAGGGCCTCAAAGCGACGACCGAGACGGCAACAAACGGGGACTCGGAGACGACGGCGGTGGAGATAAAAGAGGAGTGAAGGTCGGGTTGATTGGCGTACTGGCTATGGGAATAAGTGATTGGCGGGGAAAAGAGCTTCGCATTGGTCGCATTTTTGCCGGGCGTTTTCAAAGACAAGCGGACTTGACTGGGCTGCATCTGCATTCTGCCATCCGCATCCTGCATCTGCACATCAAGCATATTTGCCGGTGTCTGTCGTTCAGGAACTGCTTCGGTCTGGACTCTCAGTGGACATATTTATCTAGGTACTGCGTTAAAAAGCATTCGCTCAGGACTTGTTTGTGATGAGGTGGGTTCTCGTGATGTCTGTCCTTATAATCAGGTGTCGACTCAAGCCAGGCAAGCTGTCATCGCGGCTTCAGATGTCCCGCTGTTGGTCTGTCAGGTGGTGAGTCACATTTGGCATCGCCGCCTCTTGCCACCCGCGGCTCGGCTCGTGCATTACTTATGTAAGTACCTAGGTAGAGTGGGCTTGGCTTGGTTCACGTTGCGGCGGACTGCTTAACTGTCCGCGCACGTGGAATCGAGACGCATTCGCACATTCCATTGATGGCCGGGGTGATGCTCGGGGTGGCCCTGCTGAGGTTGCGAAGGAGGGTGCAAGTCGGTGCTGAGGTCTTAGGTTCGAGCGAGTCCGAGACGGGAATTTGGTTGATAAGAAAACGGAAAGAAGCTCACCGATTTCCTGATTCCTAACGTGGGCGGGCGCCAGGCGCTTCAGCTTGAGCGCCAGACCTAATAGCCCTCAGAGGACAGTAGCTGAGCCGCTTTCTCATAGGCCGGAACGGATTATTGTGGGCGGCTTTCGATAGCTAATATATCGTGATACTGGGTGGCTTTGCAGCCAGAAAGCAAGGGGCGCAGGGCTGAATGTCAATGCGCCTGTCAAATGCGCATCAAACAACACGCGCCATATCAGGACCAATTAGTTCTAGATTTCAAGTGGTATAATATGAGCAGCTCGATGGCCGATTTCTCACCCCTGATAGCACTCTTTTGACAATACCTCGTCGTCAAAGGTATCATCAAAGCCTTCTTTGTAGAAATACGGGGGAGGCCCAACCCATTCACCCTCCTGATCCTCGACCCACGACCCTGGAATCTGTAAAGATGGTGTCTCATCAGCTGGCTCAGGCAACGTCCCATGCGTTGCCATAGTTGGTCTCGTGATCGCAAAACTCCAGTCTTGGATCCCAGCCATGCTTTAGAAATGTGGAAAACTCGAGCAAAGGCTAGTAAATCCTATTTCCCAAATTTCCCTAAAGTGGGATTTGTGCCAATAGGGATATTTGAGGCCCTTTAAAAGCCTCAGAAAAACGGCATCCGTAGTACGTCTGCCAAAGGAAGGGTCCAGTCTAGGACCGTGAGTCAGAAGGTTGTGCAGAAACGTGGATAGAGACCACCTCGGCTCCCACACTTTCGTAAACTCGGGTGAGGAGTATATCTCGGCGTCCCAGCCCAGCGCCTCATACCTTCCGAGGAACTCTAGGTACGGTCCTAGAGTTGACTTGTCTCTCGTAATTATCGTAGACCAAACGGAGATGAATAAGAACCGAAATAGATGATCCACTTTCCCACCATGATGCACAATCAGCCTTGGAAGTTCTAGTTGAATATTCAAAATTTCGGGGTTAGGCCACTGGCTCATGTAATAATTACTGGGAAATCAATACACTAGGTGATCGAGGGCTGCAGTCACAATATATTAGCCTTGAGTCCTACTTTACTGTCACCTCGAAGGAGAATCCAACGCCTTGTTTCCTAGGTGCTTACCGCCTGCCGTGTCGCATCCCTGTTGAAGCAGAAATCTACACATGACGATTGTAAGGGTCGGTGATACGCATCGACACATAGTATGCTGCCCCGGGTTAGATTTCACGGCTTGCGTGCTTTTTCCATCCGGTCTGCCCAACCTACAATAAGCAAGGACAACCCGTATTGACAGACAACATCTGGTGAGGCGAGCACCTGGGCAAACACCTTGCCAAAGCCACATCGCCATCCTGACAGGCTCTTAATATCGGTGAGCTCGTCGGGACGACGGGGTGGTATTTCACCCGAAAGCCAGAGAAGCCCCAGTGGGACGACGGCTCCCACTGGATCGACAGTCTTCGAGCCGTTGACGACATCCACCTTCTGGGAAGGAAGAAGATCTCTGTTTCGGGGGGTTTAGGTGAACTCGCAGAGAGATCATGTGGGTCCCACTCGCTACCGACAACATCGCGCCCGTTGTGGATTGTTCGGACCTCGAACCGCTTGAACGGGGTGTTGTAATGCTTGATCGAAGTAAGCCGGTGACTCTTCCGAGTGTTGCCTGCACGCGTAATCTCAGTATCACGGCTGCTAGATGGCTGCTGAGGCAGGTGGCTCCGCATGGCGGTCTCGATCGCACTCGAGACAGTAGCCTGTATCGATGGCGCCATCGCGCCGACAAGCGAAATGGTGGAGCACGATTCTAGGATCGACGCAGTGATCTTCTGCGCCTCGATAGCGATTCTCTCCTCCAGCGCCGCCGTGCTGTTCGCGAGCGAAAGAGACGCGATGCGAGTCTCGAGGGCGTCAAACCGTGAATCGATGTGTTGCCTAAATTGACAATTAGGAAATATCCAGGAAAGTCCGCAATGGTCGCTCTAACTGGTTGACATAGCCCTGCGCAAGCAAAAGAGTAATCTTTGCAGACACGAGGTGCTCTCTATACGACTTGAACTTGTCCTTCTTCAGCGTCGCCTTGATTGACTTCCAAGTGGCCTTTCTGCAGCTGTCACCAGGGACCGGGAGAACAGTCTTGACCAAGCCTTCAAGCGAAGCGAGGTCCGCAAAACATCGTTCCAGCAGCTGCTGCAGAGGATCGGTGCTGCCCTGTGGAATGGCGCTGCGCGCAAAGCTGGCCTCGATGCTGTGGACGAGGTCGTGGACTAGCTGCACGTCGGCAAGCAGCCACCGCAGAGACACCGGCGTGTCGGCGACCGAGGACCAAAAGTCGTGCTGCTTGATTGACGCCGCGATCTGCGCTGCAAGACCGACTAGGCCCGCGACACTCGCTACTGCGCTGAGAGGGTCCATCGCGGGCTGAACTGGCAAAGACATAGAGTTTGTTTGTTCTGTTATTGGAGAGGCTAGCTAGTACTGCAACAAAAGACAGGAGTGGGACGGCGAGACTGAGACGAAAAGGATGAATTAAATTGTCATGTCATGTCATATCCTAATTTTCGGTCTCTTGTATGTTCCTCTCTGGAAAAACTGCTAAAATAGTTATGCAATCGTGTTAATCATCGTCCAGAATCTCGGATTTGGTGGTGGCAGTGATGAACCCAGAGCCTGTCGGCTCGGCATCTTCAACCGGGAACTCAAAGTAGCACACGAATGAAGGCAGAAAGCGGTTTTTTGAAATGTCGTAATTCTAGTGGAGATACTGTCGAACGCGCTCACCCCGGATAACAAGTCGTTCTGGGGAACTGAAATTCTCCGCTCCCCATAGTTGGCCGCAGTCGCTTTCGTCCTTATACTTCTTTTTCCAGGGCCCGACATGTTCGGCTGTGAGAGTTTCCCCAGTTGACGTGTCGTAGCATAGACGTATCTTGACTTCGGTCAATATAGCCGTCTCTTGGACGAGGGTTATATTCACTGGTATCTGTTCGTTCTCGAGGGGAATTTGTAGGGGATGCTCAGGGTGGACGACGGCACGACCGCCTCTGAGCTCTGGTATTCTGTTTAAATTAAAGCGAGGGGCGGATTCGTGCGAGGACCACAGGACAAACGGCCACCATTCACTTGGATATCCCCATTCACTTGGATATGCTTTATCTGCAATCGGCGCAAGAGTGTAGGGGGGTAGTTTGAGTGCGTCCCAGCCCAGTTCGTGCAAGGTATGTTTGTTCAGGCAGGCAATTTTTTTTCAATTGCCCATTCAGTACTGGGATAAAAAGAGCACCAGGGGTTTCGTTCCTGAAAGACGTGTATTTTTGCGGCGTAAGGAGAGAAGATGCACTCTGGGCCCAGTTCAATGCGGGCATTGGTATCCGCTCTCCATGTTTGATCATGACCGACAGCGAGCCAGAGCCTGAGGATTGAACATCATTGAGATTGGCCGTCGAAACCCCAGAGTTCAAAGTATCCGGAGGCTGAGGCGTGAAGACGGGAAATCCTGAATTTGCCGAGCTTGACCACCTTCCGGAAGGAATCGACTCGGCGGAATGCCGGGGCGGTCTCCTGAGCTGCGGTTGAGCAGGGCTCCCGGCCTTTGAGATCCAGTGGTGGACGGCGTCGTCAATAGTCGGTCGGGCTCCCGGGTCCTTTAATAGCAACGACAGAGAAAAGTCAATCCCACGTTATATTACGTAAAACGAGAAAAGGCCAACTCTGGACTATAGACTTTCCGCAAGTTCCCGAAAGCTGGGCAACATAGCCGTGGCTCCACTCCTGTTAGTGCTCTGCAAGCGCTGCTAGGGACGGATCCAGCGCTCGTGTCAGGCTTGGCTCCGGGGAGGATCGAGGCCCAGGCCAGGCCCCACAACTGGCTGCAAATTTGGGCCGAACCTCAAACTCTTCACGTCATTGCTCCCATGTATTAAACTTCCCCGGAATCTCTTTTTCGGCCCCACTACGCCTCCAGACATCAGCGCTCCCCCCCTGAACCACAGGAATAAACACGGCCAACGCAGCCCTGGCCCGCTCGCTCAACGACTTCACCTCCGCCAACCCCCTAATGAATCGGCTGTTGAGGACCCAGACCCAAGACGACGACGACTGTGACTGTTCGGCGCACCACCACCCCACACATGGACCCAGCTGTCGCCGTTACTCGCCCCCGACCTCACGACGTGCCGAAAGCTCAACGGCATGTCCAGCGCCACAGCCCAGCCCGGCCACGGCCTAGGCATGCCGGGCCCGGATTTGACTTTTCTGACAAGAGACGAGCCGAGCTAATAATGGCGCGTGGCGGCTGCGAAACCCGCTCCCGTGCTGAGGGCAGCAGCTGTCTCGGCACAAGTGAGTGACTCCCCCCCGGGTTGGACCTGCACTTGGAGATGTCTCCTATCGGATCATCTGACTAACAAAATGTCTTGCCCAGTGCCGCTCGTTGCGTCTCGGAAGATGATGCTTGGTGGTAATAGCCAGGCTCGTCTATCCTTTGCGTCGACCGCTTCCAAGCCCCGCCATTGGCTCTGGGGCTGGGCTGCGTGGATTACCTCGGTCCTCGTTGCGTCGACGGTGCTCAACACGGCCGGGCCGCTGCTTGCCGTCTTTTCTTCGTCTTCTACGATGCCGGCGACTCAGGTTGCAGCGAAAGGTGAGCTCCCATTCGCTCTCTGGCTTCAAGGTCGTCTGCACATGTGCGTGTGCCTTCTAGTTCTGTCCAAGAACAGCGCTTACACGCAGTGCAGCAGTAGGACACACGCTGCATCGCGCCGCGAAACGCGCCGGTGCATGCGCCGCGAACGGCGTCATCGCCAGCGAGTACAACGTGCCGCTGCACGTCGGCGCGCTGCTCATCATCCTAGGCGTGTCGAGCCTGGCGTGCGCGACGCCGCTGCTGGCCGCGCGGTTCCCCGTGCTCCGCATCCCGGAGCCGTTCCTGTTCGGCGTGCGGCACTTCGGCACCGGCATCCTGCTGGCTACAGCTTTTGTGCACCTGCTCCCCACGGCCTTCACCTCGCTCAACAACGGCTGCTTGTCGAGCTTCTGGACCATAGAGTACCCGGCCATGCCCGGCGCCATCGCCCTGTTTGGCATCTTTTTTGTGGCGGTCATCGAGATGGTCTTCAGCCCCGTGCGCCAGTTCACGCCCCGTCCTGCCGCCGCCGCCACCGCCGCGCCGCGGGACGAGCAGCTTGGCGACGGCAGCGCTGGGTCGAAGACGCAGACGAATTTGACCCACGTCACTGCCGTGCCAGCTGGCGGCGGCGGTCTCTGCGTCGGCCACGCCGGGGTCGTGGCTGCCGTGGCGCGGGGACAGCACCCGCGGGCCGTGGAAAGCAGCAGCAGCAGCAGCAGCAGCAGCAGCAGCCGTGACAGCAGCATTGCCCCGGCCCACCACCTCAACAACGAGATGGGCGAGGAGTCGCAGAGCCGCGGGCTGACGGCCGAGCAGCAGCGCAAGAAGAGCATTCTGCAGTGCATGCTGCTCGAGGTGGGCATCCTGTTCCACAGCGTCTTCATCGGCATGGCGCTCAGCGTGGCGGTCGGCAGCAACCTCGTGGTGTTGCTGATTGCCATTGCCTTTCATCGTAAGTTGGCTCTCCGCTGTAGGGCTAAGATGCACGGCTGACTTTGGGGACTTTGCAGAAACGTTTGAAGGTCTCGCGCTCGGCGCTCGCATCGCCTCGATTGCGTGGCCCGGCAAGACGCTGCAGCCGTGGCTCATGGTGATGGCGTACGGATGCACGTAAGGCACCTCCTCTCAATGACATGACAACCCAAAGGCGCACCGCTGACTATTGCCCAGAACACCGCTCGGCCAGGCCATCGGGCTGGCCACGCACAGCCTGTACAGCCCCGACTCGGAATTTGGGCTGATCCTCGTCGGCACCATGAACGCCGTGTCGTCGGGCCTGCTGGTGTTTGCCGCGCTCATCGAGCTGCTGGCCGAGGACTTTCTCAGCGACCACAGCTGGGCCACGCTGCGCGGCCGCCGCCGCGTCGTCGCCTGCGTGCTGGTGTTGATGGGCGCCATCTGCATGAGCCTGGTGGGCGCCTGGGCGTGATGTTCTGGAATAAGAAAAAACTTGAAAATACGTCGGCTTGTGGCGAGGGCTGGGGTGATGGCTTTTTGAGAAACGGATCTGGCTTGGGGCGTATCGGAGAGAGGGTAGAGCGTGTAGATTAAATCGCAAAAATTAGATTAGATGAGACTAGCGGTAGCTCGAATCATGATGTCTTTTGTCGATTAAGTGGATTTGGAAGTCAAGCTCTTGGGGAATGTGCGGAGTGAGCTGTTATGCATGAGGGACGCTCTCTTTAGTGGAAACCTTGGCCGATATATGCAGTGTCAAATGAGCATGCAACGAGATTCACCATCCATCTCGTCTGGTCTGTAATTAATGGGTTCTGCAGATTGAAAGAAAGTCTTTTAAGTTTAGTTGCAGCACTCAATGGATGTATGGCGGCATGTGAAAGTCTGGAATTACAGGTGGGTCCCGTCGGACTGATATCGCACATTAGCGTCACAAATTTTCAACAGCTCCTCACTACGGTTGGTGTCCACACCAACAAATCTTCCGTAGTATAGTGGTCAGTATATGAGCTTGTCAACTTTACAGAAGACTCCGCTCGGGACCCGGGTTCAATTCCCGGCGGGAGAGGCTAATTTTTTTTTCTTTTTTCACCTCAACTCACCATTTTTATTGGTACTTACCAGTCAGGGTTTTATCTTTCTGTTTGAGTTTCATTTGAGTTTCCATTAACTTTTGGTGATTCAATTTTTTTCCCGCATTTCCTATCCAAAATCCATCCCACATCTTCAGCTCCCCACAACCTCAAACTTGGTACAATCGTCCTGCGCGCCGCGCTGCGCAACCGGCATGGTGACGGGCTGGTGATTGCGCGCCGCAATCATGGAGCACACGCGGTACGCGCCCGGAGGCAGTCCGCCGGGGACCGCAGCCCGCAACAGACCCCCGCCGTCGCCCGCATCATCCACACCAGTGAAGAAAACAAAGGCGGCCGGGTCCGGCGCAGCCGTCGCGCGCAGGCTGCCAATGTCCTGGATGACGACGTGGCAGTGCCCGAGCACGCGCCCGCGCTCGTCGAGATCTTGCGGCGCCGAGTAGTACGTCGCGCCCGGGTTCGCCAGGAACCCCGCCCGCAGGTTGCGCGTCTGGATGCGTACTGTGAATGTTGCGTGCGCGGTCACCGCGTCGCCCGGCTGCGGCGCCGTGATCAGCGCCGAGATCATGTTGTCTGCCGCCGGCAGCCGCCCCATCGGGATCCCGTTGCACGACCCGTTGCCGTTCTGCCGCCCGTTGGTTAGGGTCTGCCCCGCGCAGAAGTTGATGAAGTTTGCCGCGTCGCTGTGAGTAGTAGTGTGGTCAGTCAGTGGTTCATTGCCTTCGGTCACAGATTTGCAGTGATATAGAGACGCACGTCGACGAGTTCGCCAGCCCCGCATGGATCCCCGGCGTCCCGCTCTCTAGCCCCGTGTGCTGGCTGCCGGTCTGCACCGCGCTCGCAGCCAAGCACGTTGTTGCGATGCTGATGCTGTTAGGTGCTGAGGTGCTGGAAGCGGGTGGCGCCGCTTGTTCATTGCTAATAATGTGTGTCCGTTGGAGCTGGCTGGGCGAGTCGGGCAGAGCGGCGCCGCGCGCGAGACTGCTGCTGCATGCTAGCACGGCAGCTACGAGCCATAGGCCTGGTGATGATATCCGTGGCATTCTGACGAAGGGGGTGAGATGCTGTTTTTTTTGTCGCCAGGTACCCGGGACTGACTGATTTGGCAGCAGCACCGGGTGCACTTAAATATTCTGGGGGTGTTTCGGTTTCTTGCTGCCTGTAAGACAACCGAATGTCTTGTCTCAGACAGACGCTCGGCGCAAATGTCTACTTGAGGAAGTCTAAACTCGCCTCCTGGGTTCAAAAGTCCGAAACAGGTCCGCAGCGGGCGGACTTGCACTTAAATACCCGCCCTCTCGGCGCCTGCCCTGGCGCCGCTCGCTACGTCGGGCTACCATAGCGAAGGCCTCGTGGACATGACAATAGGCAAGCTCTCAATTAATTAGAGTAGTCCCTCGAAGCGAAATCCCCGGGATGTTTAAATGGGTGTTCCCGCTGCCCGCCCGGCTAAAGCTAACAAGTGAGAGTTTTCCATCTTCCATGGCTGGCACTGCCGATGGCCAAGCTTCACGGCGCGGCAGTGGGTTGGCGGCTATCTGAGAGCCGCTGCGGTGGGTGAGACATTGATGGCGTCTTTCTCTTTCCCGACGCAAGAGAATCCTGTGCTGCTACTATGTAATTGGCTGTTATATAATCAGCAACCTTGCCGTTACGTCTTTCTATCTTATCCTGCTCTTTGGCGCGATGCAAACACCTTTCCCCTTTCTCACTGCTCCTTCTCACTGCTTCTGATTGGCTCCTGGTCTGGATGAGACCATTCTCACTCATCTTGGGCTTTTTTCCCAGAGCCTTTGAGAGAGATGGATCGTTAAATTGAATCTTTTATGATATTGCCCCCAAGATAGTCATCCACGTGTTTCTCAAATTCCTTACTCATTAACGTCTCACCGCTCGCCACATTCTAGCTTCACCCATCGTACCGTCCCTTTCGCAATCATCCCTTTTCTAGTTTTCCTTTTCTCCCATCGTCCCTCATATTGAACTCACTGGGGAGCCAAACCGACAACGCCAACCCTGAGGAACGTCGGCTCGCCCGCAGCAATGCGCTTGGCAACCTCTCCAGTCTTGAGCTCGTCGACGTCCCACCACGCGGCCACGTACCGGCCGTGCAGAAAACTCGCCTCGTCGGTCGCGGCCCAGACAGCCCATTGGCCCGGGAGGTTCTCTACTTCTCATCAGCAACAGCAACACCAACACCAACACCAACACCAACACCAACAGCAGCACCAACACCAACACCAACACCAACCGCACCCGAAAGAATGACAGAAGAAAAAGCAACTTACCGTCGTCCCACGCGAACGAAGACTCGTCATACCCGGCGTCGCGCGCCGCCTGCGTCAGCACGCCGCCCGGGTGGAAGCTGACGATTTGTAGCTCGGCGGCGGCCACGTCCTGCGCGGCGCGCTGTAGCAGCACCGTGCCGGCGCTCTTGGTGATGCCGTACGCCGGCAGCCCCTCGCCCTGCGTGTCAAAGTTGTGGATGGCCGACGTCGAGATGTTGACGAGGTACTGCGAGAGTCAGCATTGTCCGCCTGCCGTCTAGGATGTAGTTGGAGACGATGGTTTAATTACCTTCTTCCCGTGCCCCTGCTCCGCCTGCGCGGCAAAGCGCTGCGCGTAGTCGAGCAGCGCGCGCACGTTGGCCTCGTAGGCGGCCCACACGCCCGCCAGCGGCGCCCGCAGCAGCGGCGTGGTCTCGCCGACGGCGGCCGCGCTGAGCACGAGCACGTCGACGACGACGCCGTCGGCGGCGAACTGCGCCCACAGCGCCTCCGTGTCGACCAGGCTCGACGAGTCGGTCGCGATCCCACTCACGGTAGTGGCAGGGGATGCCTCGGCCGCGAGCTTGGCGGCGGCTTCGGCCACCAGCGCGGGGCGGCGCCCTGTGACGATGACGCGTGCCGCTTTGGCCTGCACGAAGGCTCGCGCCGTAGCGAAGCCGATCCCCGCCGAGCCGCCTGATACTAGTACGGTCCGCCCAGCTTGGCTTAGTTCGGGGCGCAGCGGCGAGATGGCTGCGTACGGCTTGTGGTGGAGCGTTTTGATGAAGGTTGCTTCGAGGGGGGATGGCGACATGGTGAGGGTTTGTTCTTGTTGAGGCTGAACTAGTGTGTATGAGTTGTTGTTGTTGTTGTTGTTGTTGCTGTTGTTGTTGTTGTTGAGGCAGTGGCTGGTGTGTATTGAGATGTCGATTTGGCAGTGAGTCTAAGGGGGCTGCTGGTGTTTATATAGAATATTTAATTTCTCATCACGAGAAAACATTTGCGTGCAAGTGAACCTTGTGAGGCCGTTCAATGGTGGCACCCTAACAAGTCCTTGGCTCCAATGGATGAGCGGCTGTCGATCAAATTGCAGCCTGTGTGGTGTGTTGTGGATTTCGCCCGACTCAGCTATTTAATTGCCTGTTGCCGCTCCTTCTCCGTCGATTCTCCGTCAATTCTCCGTCAATTCTCCGTCTTGCCGCTCCCGCACCCTTTCCGCACCTTTCCACTCCTGTTCCGCGTGCTTTCCGCACCTTTCCCGCACAAATTCCGCATATTGTCCATCTGTATTCGGTCTAGCCTGTCTGATTGCCGCGAGCCGGGCTCTCTAGCCTGCGGTGGGGCCTAGCCAGAGCGGCTCAGATGGGCCCCTTTTGGCATGTCTAGGCCCAATCGGGGGGCACTGCAGCGGAGAAAAGGCGGGTTAACGTGGGAGAATATCCGCCTCTGCCGGTTCTCAGTCATCAACATTCCACTCACCACGACTAGTCTAATCCTATGGCCCCCCTACTTGACCTATGCGTCCAGGCCCAGCCAGCACAGTATATCCGCAGCTACCGAGTACACCTGCCATGGCCCCGCCCAACACACTCACAGCACCTGCGGCAGGCAGGCGTAGCTTGAAGCGCAAGGCGTGTTTGCGGTGCACCAAGCTGAAGCGGAAATGCGATAAGTCGGCCCCTTTTTGCGTCCGCTGCTTGGAGACGGGCGTCGCCTGCCACTACCCTCCGCTCCGAAACCCGCTGCGCCATCTGCTGGACCAGCTCCAAGGCACGTCTGAGCGCTCAGGCCTCGTCCAGATTGACCAAGCTTTGTTGGGTCTGGGTGCGGGTGCGGGTGTGGGTGCTGGAGAGGATGGAGAGGCGGATGCAGATGCGGATGCGGATGCGGATGCAGGCGCGGGCACACGTTCACGACATCGACACCGCAGTGCCGGCTCCGACGATGACGTGCCCTGCACCACGCCACCGCCAATCTATCTACCTGGCAGACCTTCACTGCAGCAGCCGGTGCTGCCAGATGCCAGCTGGAGCGTCGGACAGAGCAGCAATGTCGGTGCGAGGAGGGAGGCGGACCCTGTCGACTCGCCCATCGCCATCACAAACGACTTTTGGTTCATCTGTCCCGACACGTGGCCGCGCCAGTACGGCCTCTACCCCCTGCACTCGGACGCCGACAAGAAGCCGGCCGCCAGCGACGACACGCTGGCGCACTTTGTGTCCCTGCTGCAGACGTGGATGCAGGCCTGGACCACCGACGGCCACAGCGTCCTCATACACCGTCACCTCTACTCGCAGGAGGTTCCCACCGTAATCCAAGACGCCCTGACGGCCCTGGCCGCCTACCACGCCGCGGCGGCCCACGGCAGCGCCAAGGGCGTGGCGCTGCGCATCGTGCAGGATCGAGCGCGGCAGCTGGTGGACGCGCAGCGGCAGCTCGAGCAGGCGCAGGTGGACGCCGGGATCGACTTTTGCCCACACGACGTGGCCAACGGCGTGCCCTTCTGCCCGCACGGCGCGCCGTGCATCGCCGTCGCCACGCCTGACCACCTGGCGCGCACCCAGGCCCTGTTCGTCTACCAGCTGGTGCTGCTCTTCGACGGCGACATCCGCTCGCGCGCCCTCGGCGAGCAGCACGTTGAGATGCTCCACAAGTGGGCCTGCCAGCTTGTTGAGAGCACCCGTCTTGACGCTGTTGCTGCCGCCCGCTTGTATTTTGTCAACAGCCTCTGTCTCGACGACCGGGACGGGGTGAACGAGCCCGACACGCGGCAGACTCAGTGCGGCGACAGCGGGCGGCAGACTCAGTGCGGCGACAGCGGCAGTGGCAGCACCAGCACCAGCACCAGCACCAGAACCAGCACCAGAACCAGCACCAGAACCAGCACCAGAACGAGCACCAGCACCAGCACCAGCACCAGCACCAGCACCAGCATGACCACAAACAGCTCCACCACACCGACAGACTCAATATCCACGTCCACGTCCATATCCAGCATCCCCGCCACGGCGCCGGCGCCGGCGCCACCAACCCATCTGGCGTCGGTGATGATGACGCACGACGTGTGCGACAACAGCTGCGGCAACATCGCCAACCGGCAGCAGACGGTGTTCGCGGCGGCGGTGGCGGGCGGCAGCAACGGGTCGCCGGCGCTGGCGCACGCGGCGTGGGTGCTGGCCGAGTCGGTCCGGCGCGTGTACCTGGCCGCCGAGCTGATGCAGTCGGCGTTTCAGACGCTCAAGACGGGCCGCCCGCGCTACATTGTCGACGCGCCCTTCTCCGCCAAGGCCAGCCTGTGGGACGCACCGTCGCCGGCTGCCTGGCTGGCTGCTGTCGAGGGCCGGCCTGCTGGTGCTCCTGGGGCGACGGGGGCAAAGACGTCGCCCGTGCTGCTCATGGTCAGCCGCGACGGCGCCTGGCGCATTATGGACGAGGCCGCGCCCGACCAGGTCGACGACTTTGCCCGCGCCGTGCTCGAGATGACGTATGGTCGAGATAGTGTCGAGACGTGGCTAGTTGGTAGGCGCGCGGCGGTGTCGGCGCGGTTCGCATAACCATCTCGTTCATCCCCCTGCCGGTTCACGAATGCATACTGTATAGGATACTGTATAGTACATGCGTGTCGCAGTCATTGCCGCTCCAGACTCTCGATATCAGGCCCACACTGTCAGCTGTAACTAGTGCTGCCGAACGGAAGAAGCGGAAGTAGGTAATCACGGCATAGTTCAGCGATGAACGTTTCATGCGTGCAGATGCGCACCCTCGGATCAATATGAGAAGAGATGATACTGTGTATTTCCGTTACCGAGTTTGTCGTCCTAGCCGGATAGGTTAGGTATGGAGGACAAGCAACGCTGCAACGGCTCTCTACAGTGCCGGGCCGGGGAAGCTCTCGAGACCCGGGCCTTTGCCACAAGGTCAACAGTTGATGGTACAGTTGATGGAGATTAGTGAGCCTCCCGACAAGCAGCTACCCACCATGGCTTAGTATAGGATCAACCATCAAGACGCCGGGGAGTTGCGAAGAGATGACAGACACTAACTCAAGTACAGAATTCTATTCAGGCAATGCGACCGCCTGCAACAGGAAACAAAATGAACCTGTCGAGCCGCCCATTAAACCACCATCTTCACTCATAAACAAACCCCCTTTTTGTTTGCATGTGTCTTGTTCTAGCTTAGTTGCATCGACACTCAGCTGCGTGCGTGCCCCTGACTGCTTTTATTATGTCTTGTAATGAACTGGGCAATCCCAAAGAAATAAACCAACTAAAATCCGTTCCATGCCAAAGCAACAAAATCCGCTGCCTTACTGCCTTAGTCACTGTCAGGAAGCGGTCAACTGAACGGCTCCTTCCTTTTTGCCTCCGGCGGCCCTCCGGGGGCGCCTGCGGCGAGCTGCTCGCTACGCTCGAAATTCGTTCTTTTGTCAGATTCTCAATCCGAAATTTCCTATTTTAGGTTTATCCGATCGACCAGTCCCGTTTCCATCGACCTCACCCAAGCAGGAGAAACCCCACTTCTTACCCTTCCCTCAGCATTTCCAGTCTGAGGCGCACGGGCTCCATAGACCCCATTCCCCACTCTCTACACCAAGCAACCAGCAGCTACGGCGAGTGTCCACACTTGCAAATATTCCGTAGCATAGTGACCCCGCTCGGGACCCGGCTTTAATTCCCGGCGGGAGAGATATCTTTTTGTCTTTTTCCCTTCCTTCTTTCCTTCCATCCATCCATCCATCCATCCATCTACCTAACTGTATTTTTGGTCGCGGGACCGGGTGCTTGTCCCAACGTCTTTCATTACCGACCAAGCATGGTTAGGTTCCATGCAAAGAACTAAACCCTCGCATAATTGATTCATCGCCTCGCAACTGGCCCCTAGAGATTCTTCTAGGTCTATCTAGACAGGCAAAAACTGAGGCCGCCTCGCACCGGGCCAATCGCGCAGCGCAGTGGCTCGCTTGGCAACGGCCGACAGCACTGACACGGCAGCCAATCAGCCGGCGGCCCTCGCTGTCGAGCGTCCAGCCTCACGGCGCCAGTTGCTCCCAAGCCCTTGGCAGCCGTCAGCTGCCCCGTGCCGTGCGGAATCGCACAACGGGGCGCGGTCGGCTCGGCACCGCTTGGCTTTGTTTCTTGTCGCCATTGGCCTGGCCGGCAGGGCTGCGTAGGGCTTCTGTGCTGCGAGGCCTCGTCGTCACCTCTGCAAGTCGTTGCGGGGGTTTGATTGGGAAGCTGTTTGTTTCGGGTTCTCGAAGGGCAAGGCGGTGCGTGCGGGTTCGAGGCAGCAGTCTCGGGCGTTATGCGGAGTATGAAAGTCGGAAAACTAGTGTCCATGGGCAGTTGGGTCGTATAAAACCCTCCCTGGGAGCCGTCGCTCTGTTTATCATGTCGCTGGTCCAGACCTGACTGGCTCCAGACATCCTAACTCCTTTGACAGTTCCCCTAGAACTAGTGATCTGACGCCATGAGGTTTCTTTTCCGGTCCCTAGCCGCGGCCGCCGCTTGCCTGCACCTCGTCGCGGCGGCGCCACAGACGCAGCCCAGCGACATCTCGCTTCGCTCCCGCGCAGACACGGGCGGCGTGCACTCCCTCGAGAAGCGCCGCAGCTGGGCCAAGGGCATCAGCAAGAAGCTGACGCACATCGTCGACCAGGCCGAAAAAGCAGGCAAGGACGTGGTGGGGGCCGTCAGCGACGCGCTCAAGGACATCGACGAGGAACTGCGGCCGACTGCCGAGGACATTGGCGAGGCCTTCTCGGACGTCGTGTCAGAGATCGCCAAGCTGTTCCAGCCCGCCGTGTGCGCCGTCGTCGCCAAGACCCTCGTGCCCTTCTACGACACGTCGGCCGACATGTTCGCGGCGCTGAACCCGGGCCCGCCGGCCGCCACCAACGCCGACCAGAACTTCTTTCTATACCCCTTCGTCGGCGACCTCGTGCTCGACGGCATCCGCATCCACTACCGCGCCAACTTCGCCCCGGGCTTCTCCGCGCACGGCGTCACCATGGGCCGCGACGTCTACGTGGACAGCTACGCGGCGTCGGCCGCGCCCACGAGCGCCGACTTCTTCTCCACCGTCAGCCTACTGCTGCACGAGCTGGCGCACTGCCGCCAGTACCGCGACCGCGGCTGGCGCCTGCACGAGTTCGGCGAGCGCTACCTGTACGGCTGGTGCGCCGCCGGCTTCAAGTACGCCGGCAACGACATGGAGCGCGAGGCCGACGCCGTCGAAAACCGCCTCGACGGCCTGCTCACCCCCCAGGGAATTCGGTATTACCAACTGTGGCGCTCGCAGCCGGCCGTCGCTGCGCTCGGGTATCCGTCGAACGGCGCGCCCGTGCCGGTGGTTGGCGGCGGCCCTGCGGGCATGCTCGAGCTGCAGTTCGAGCGCGGCGTGGTGCTCCTGAATGCGGCTAGCTGCTTTCGCGTGTTGACGGCCGACGAGTCCAAGGCGCGCAGTCTGGCGAGGTGTACCATCCGGCCGTGTGTTAATAGTGGCGTGGAGATGCGGAGGGCGGAGAGCGGCCCGGCGGTCTGCACCGAGGCCATCCGCGAGGATAACTTCAAGTGCAGGCTCGCGCACACGACGTGGGCCAAGGCGCTCAAGGACGGGTTTACCTGCTGATGGCATGGGTGGCTGGGATGATGTGGCCGGCGTGTTTTGGTGAGATGGAAAGGAAGGGGGGATCAGGCATCACTGTTGTCGACTTTCGAGCGTAGGCGCCCCCGGAGGGCCGCTCAGTTCCCTTTCCCGACTTCCATTGCCAGGTAGCGTGTTTCAAGGGCCCAATTAATTAAAGCGAAGCAATAAATTCCCCGTATTTGTTGATATCCCGCTGTTCGCTCTAAGCCTAGCATAGGAAAAAAGGCCCCTTTCCCCTATTCCAGGGTGAAATATTTCTCTCGTCCACTCAATTAGTCAAAGTCACTTGGCGGGCAATCCCGCAAGAGAGCGCTTAGTACGCCAGCCGCTTGCCCTCCCAGCCAATGTAACCGTCCTTGGACCCCGCGCTCTCGCGGGTGGTGTTGTCGATCTGGATTCGCGAGGCAGAGTGTCAGCCAGTCATCAACCAACCACAAAGAACAGAAGGCTTCACATACCTCTCGCACGGTCCCCGCAGTCACGCTCTCGAGTGAGGTTAGCGGCCCGTCGTAGCCGAGTATGCTGGCGCCTTCCTTGCCCATGTCCGAGTCGAAGAATCTGGCCCTGTCAGTCTCACACCATTTGACCATTCAATGCCGAGAACAACTCACCCCGGATCAACAGCAAAAACCGCAATTCCCTCCGACTCAAAGTGCGCGCGGCGCAGCAGGTGGTTGAGCATCGCCTTGCTGGCAGCGTACGCGCCGTTGCGGTAGGGGACGGTGGTCTCGACCTCGCCCGTAGTCGCCGCCATGGTGCTCACGCCGACAAACTTCGGGGTACCTCTGCCAGCAGCAGCAGCAGCCAGCAGCAGCGGGCGCACTGCGGCGTACAGCTTGAGCGGGCCGAGGGTGTTGATCTCGACGAAGCGGCGCTGGTCGGCGGGCGCGATCTCGTGGACCTGGCCGAAGACGTTGGCGACGCCCGCGTTGGCGATGGCCACGTCGATCTGCGTGATGCCTTGGGCTTTGAGGGTGGCTACGGCGGCGGCTGCGTCCGTGTCCGACTGGCTGTCGATCTTGACCAGCACGACTTTGCTCCCGGCGCCGGCTGGTGCTGAGGACAGGCTGAGCGCGCTCGCGGATGATGGGTCACGCACGCCGGCTACGAGGGTTACGTTGGGACGTGCCAGGTAGGTCTCGGCCAGTCCGCGGCCGAGGCCTGTGGGGGGTTAGAGCTTGGTATTGGTTTATGGGATTCGGGAAGGGGCATGGGTGGTCAGGGGGGGGGGGGGGGGGGGGGGCGGGGGGGGGCATACCGCGGTTGGCACCTGTGATGAGAATGACTGTGGGTGTTGAGGCCATTTTGCAGGAGTGGTAGTCACGGTTCTGTGAATGGGAGACGACGGTGTGCAGTTGATAGTCTTGGTGTTTTTGGTTTTTGGTTGTTGCTGTTGGTTGTTGGCTGTCAAGGTAGGGGCGGAGGGTGGTGAGGATAGTCTGTACTGCAAGGAAAGAAAACCACCCCTCACAGAGCAACGAGACTGTCTATATATACGAGAATGAAGTGTATCGAGTTTCTCGCCGCATCCTAGGCCTCGGTGGTTCCATAGACTGACAAATCTAGGGCTTTGAAATGCAATTTGCTCTCCGGCACGTGTGTGCAATTAACCGAATCTGAGCTAGCCATGCTAGGCTACTTTGGCGCCTTCTGATTTGCTTGATCGGCTTTGATCGTCCCGGGTAGGCGAACTGAGGGCGCAAGACGAATGAAAAGGGGAGGCTTATTCAGCTAGCGCAGGTTTGGTTTTAGCGAGAAGAGGCGGTTGAATGGGCCACGGAGTGCCGTGGCAGTCCACGGAGCCCCACGGCGTTGGCTGCCGGCGTTGGCTGTGATTGGCTGCCCTTGATCGGGCGACTCAATCACCGACTCAATCACCAGCTTGGCTGCGTAAAACGTACCACAGTATTCAGCGCCGGCTGGGAAGGGTTCGGGTTTCTTTAGGCGGGCAAGTCAAAAGCAGCCTCTGTGGTGCACACTGCAAGACAAGGTTCGCCGACACAAGGATCGGGCGCGTTTCGATGCGATGCTCTCTAATTCCATTCGCTTGCACGGCAGCACTGCAGCACTGCTGATTTAATGCAATATTTTCTGGCATGACTAAGGATTTTTGTATTTTTTCTTGATTCCGTGAGCATTCTTAATGTCCGTGAGCATTCTTGATGAGCTTTGATCTAGTTACCCCATCTAAAAATCGGCGTACCCTCCCGGGGTTCATTGGCAGCTGCGAACGCAGGGACTGCTTTTTGTATGGTAATATGCCGTATTTCCTGGCTGCCACCCTGCCACCCAACGTCATACAAGGCGCAAAGGAAGCCCGGCAAAGTAAAAATAACACTATCTACACTCTCACATGCCGGTGGCTTCAAGTCTGTACAGGCTACGCGGACTTTGCAGGCCTTCCTGCTGGCGAGGTAGATTTATGGACTCAACACCGAGGAAATGTATTAACATGTCAACAAATCAGGATTTAACGGATTACTCAGGCAACTGGGCGCCGGCCATGACTTTGGGCTAATTTGTGTGTAAATTAAGGCCTTAGAGTTGCTATTTGTAAGTTACCCTTATTTTGAGGCATTTGGTAACGAATAAATCCTCCAACTAGAAAACACCACGGCAAACACGTTTTCAAGGCTTCAAACCTTGTTGGCCTCAGCGGCCGGGCTGGCACATGGAAGCGGATGGGCGGTAGGATAGTATTTCACGATTTTACCGGCCGAAAATAAGCCCTGAGTATCTCAACTGCCAGCAACTGCAAGGACCCCGAGGGGGTCGTTTTTGGATGGGGTCCCTAGATCAAAGCTCTTCTTAATCCGATCCTGGACGTCGCTTCACTCACAGCCCTAATCAAGCCTGGCCGACCTTAGTGTCAACAATCAGTCCTTTTTGTTCCAATCGCTTTTTCATCCATTCATGTGATTTGCCATATTTTGACATATTTATTTGTCGCTTCATAATCTACTTCAACAAGTATTTCAGATAAATACCAAGTTTAATATTCATCTAAGCAGAGCCACCCACACCAGCATACAGACCCACGCCAGCATACAGCTCGCAATCTCGCCGACGGTAGCTTCAGCAGGCGGAAAGAGGTCATCTTCTATCAATTGCGCCCAAGTGCTGACTGCTTCTCGAAAATGGCTTGGCAAGTTAACTATCTTCGTGAAATATACAAAGGGTACTGGTAGATAGGATAATCTGCGGTGGGGATTGCGACCATAATTATCCTGTCCGGAGGACAATATTATTGCGAAACTTTGAAAAAATTACTATGTGAAATTGATAAGACGCTTTATCGCCTTTCCGGATTGGCTAACCTTTGTGGAAAAGTGGACCCGATTTCTCAGTCTCTGCCATTTGGTCAGCACACTGTCCAAAATTAATGCAACCGGTATCATTGTGTGCATAACTCTACGGCAATCTTGAATCTGAAGCCCGATTTGTATTATAATGGAAATCAGCCGAGATATAAGCGTTTAAATGCTTTCTGGCGTGGTGGGGCGTGCGCAAGTAGTGTCAATGCTAGGGTGGGCTTGCGCACGTGAGTGCCAATGCCAGGGTGGGCTTACGTACGTGACTACGCAAATTGCCCTTTAACCCCGCCTTTAAATTCTTCGCCCACCCCACAATCGCTTTTCTTTTTCCAATAGTTAGTCGTACCGTAGTACCTTTAACGAACCTTACAATCTACCCACTCTTCGTAGCTAACCTCCCTTCCTCCGTAGTACCGTTTTGCCTGTTATGGCCAGGTTATTCGGTATCTATGGCGGAGGCGGCGGAGACGGCTGCCTGCAAAGTTTGCCACACCTGCGGCGTTGAGAAGGAAATCGACCAATTCCGGTCGTTCCGAAGCCCTCGACGGATCGTCCTGGATTGCGCAGATTGCCGCAATCGCGGCAGGCAGCAGGTAAGTCTATTAGACCTATCTTCCTTGGTTTCCATACTAACTTCATTCCTAGAGAGCCGCGTCGAACGCAAGAGTTTCTGCAGCTGCTGCCGTAACCCGCGGACAAGGTCCCGCCTTTGCGCCTCGCCAGAATCTCACCCACACCGTCCTTGCCCAGCGATACCACGAAGGCGGCCGTATCGCTACGGATACCCCCGAAATAGCTGCTGCTCGTAGCGAGGTTTCGGATATCCAGAGACGCCATCGCCTCGAGCGTCGCCACGGCGAAGAACCTTCCCAGACCCCGACAATGAGTAACTTGCTTCGCCAGCAACAAGAGATCCAGGACCTCGCCGTCGACCTCTCACCCTCTACGCAACCGAGAGTGCCTAAGCGACTGGCTAACCAGTTTGAAAATATGGAAGTTATCGATAATAACCAGCAAGCTATACTTCCACAACGACGGCCACTACCCTCACCATCTTCACCTACTCGTGGCCGTCCCCGAGGACGACCGCGCCTTGCACGAAACCCTGTCGGCCGACCCCGTGGTTCCCGTAGACGACGACCCTCCTCCGAACAACAACCCCCTCGCGAATTTGACGAGCTTCCCCCTCGGTTTACAGGAGCCGATTAGGAATCGCCTCTCAACGAGGAGGACCTCGCTATTAAGACGGAATTCGACAAGGCACTTGCTGCCGAGGAGATGCAATACTGCCTACGCTGTAAAGAGCGGTGATTTGACGTGGAGCCTAAGGCGGATGGGGTCTGCAAACGTTGCCACGATAAGGATGATAAGAAACGCCAAGACGAGCCTTTTTTCTTCTCTGCTGAGAACAAGCTGGATTTTGGCAGTATACCTGATGATTTACCCCGTCTTAAGCCGTTAGAGGAGATGTTCGTCGCACGGGTACACGTCAGTGTCAATGTATTTACAGTACGTTATAAGGATACAAGCAAAAGAGGTAATAGCTAACTCAATTTAGGTTCGTGGGCAGCAGTACAGGTATCGTGGGCATGTTGTACACTTCCTACGTGACGTGGGTAAGGTATATAGCGAACTCTCATTATTACTAAAGGATCTGGATATCGTTATCCTTTGGCCACGTGGATCTGAGGGCATGGCCCAGATGGATCGGCAGTTCCGCCGACGATTCCGCGTCCGCCGTGCGGCAGTAGAAGCCTGACTTAGGTTTCTCTCCAATAACCATCCCGGTTACCAAGATTTCACCTGGAATTACGATAACCTCTCCCAGCTCCCTGAGGATGGTAACGTCTTCGACCAGCTAAAGCATCCATGAAGTTGATAAGACTATGGGTTTGCCTGCTGATTTTGGCCCCGGTAATGAGCCAATTAAGGAGCCAGAGCTGGAAGATAACGATATTATAGACGAAGCCGCAGTACCCAACTTACTAATCCAAGAAACCGAGCTCAACCAACTCCAAGGCCGTATCGATAATATCATGATTAAAGATACCGAGAAAGTCCCCCTACAGCCAGCTAACCTACAGCCCGCACACCAGTTACAGATACCATCTATCCGTCGTACGCCTCTCGATGAATTCAACCAGAAATATGCCCTACTTTCCTTAGCATGCCCTACTCTATTTCCCCGAGGTATTGCAGATTTTGTCGAGCCCAGGCAACGCAATATATCCTACCAGGATTATATCGAACACGCAATGAAGTGGGAAGATGGCCGGTTTGCCAGACACCATAGCTTCCGATTCATTGCTTTGAACACACTAATGCGGCAGCAAGCCCGTAATAGTAGCAAGTTCTACGTTAGCAAACACCACCGTACGCCCCTTACTAAGGAAGACCTTCAACAAGCTCTAGCCGACCCTGAGCAGCCAGAGGCTCAGGCTATCTTAAATCGCATTTCGCGTTTTGCAGGTATTCTTAAGGGTACCCGTCCTTTTTGGTATCGCCGCCGCCGCGAGTGTGAGGTATTTGCCTATTGCCTTGGTGTACCAGCAGCATTTATTACCCAGAGCCCTGCCGACTTACACTGGCAAAGCCTATACCAGCATATGCCTGAGTACGATGATTGGAAGGTACTAGGCGAGCATGCGAGAATGGCCAAATCACGTCGGTTATTACGTGAGAATCCACATATTGCAGCCTGGCACTTCCACTTTCGGAATAAACTTGTTACGATCCTAGTTCAGGCTCGCAGGAGGCTGCACGGAGCCTCCCGTTATTGGCTGACGCAAGGAAGTGGGGTAGTTCCCCGCTTCCCTCTGGTGCAGCCAATAACGAGGCGGGCAGTACGATCAGTATGGTCAGGGCGATCAGTGAGAGAACTGACCGCACTGAGCACACTGACCGCACTGATCACCCAGGACCAACGCTCTGATTGGTCCGCCTTGGATAGATATATACGACGACCGTAGCCACGGTCTTAGATAGTTCTTGCTGGGTTCTCCAAGCAAGCAATACACATTCGCTGCACTCATACATTTTGAGTGACATTCCGATTTGACTGTATTAACCGTGCGATAGGAGCTTGCCCTTTGTTCTATCTTCATAATTACCAAACCCAGCATTCTGTGGAGCCCGTGCTCCCTTACAGACAGACGACCCTAACAGTCGAGTGGTTTGTGATAAAACTATTTCGGAAGATTGTACTCGAGAAGTTTAACCTGGCCGATTATTGGTACCGTTACGAGTGGCAGGGCCGTGGTAGTAGCCACGCCCATGGTCTCTATTGGTTTAATGGGAGCCCAGATCCAGATATGTCAACACAACAGTCACGGGATAACTTTACCAGGATCTGGGGGTACCATATCACAGCTCTTAACCCACAGCGAGACCAGGGTGCAGATGAGGGCAATCCCCTATCCCTAGACCCTCTTGAGACCGATACTACTTGGGAATGGCTCAACCGGATTATTAACCGCTGCCAACGTCACCATTGCTCTACAACATACTGCCTTCGACTAACTAAGAAGGATGCTGAGCGAGCTAGGCAATCTGCAGCCAGAGTAGAAGCCGGTGAAGTTGGTGAGGCAGAACAGCCCCCACCGCAGCCAACATGCCGGTTCTTCTTTCCCCACCCCGAGCGGCTAGCTGCAGAGGTTATTAAGAGGGCAGGCAAGAAGTGGTGGTCATTTGAGGCTGAGAGGAACGACACCTATATGAATCAGTATAACCCGCTGATCTCGCTCTATTGGCTTGCCAATACGGATTACTCGCCCTGTACTGGCGTCCAGGCTGTTATTAACTACGCTGCGAAGTACTGTAGCAAGTCAGAGGCCCAGACTAATACATATGCCCAGATTGCCCGTGGTATAATGCCTCACGTTTCCGACCAAAACCCCATGCTTTCGTTTGTATCCAAGCTAATGAATAAGCTGGTGGGTGAGAGGGATTACTCCGCACAAGAGATCTGCCATATTCTACTAGGCCTTCCTCTCCAGGATGATAGCCGGATAGTACAAAGTGTTGATTGCCGACCCCGAGAGCGGCACGCCCGGCCTATCGATATTACTACTGACGGTGATATCGAGGAATCCTCGAATACCTACGATAAGTACCTCAACCGGCCGGTACATATGGAAGAGTTAACGTACTTTGACTTCTTAGAGAACTAGAACTTCAAGGCGCGCGACCCTTCGAGATGGGCAGTATGGCAACCTCCTGCAAAGCCGAGGGTTTTGTATTACTATCCCAGATACAAGCCTATTCGCTCGCACCAACAGTGGCCGGATTTCTGCCGTGTTAAGCTTCTGCTTAACCATCCACACCGTCAAGTTACAGACCTTTACGAGGACGACAATCTACGGTTTGATACCTACGAACTTGCCTACCAACACTGCGCCAGTCAACACTATCACCTAGATGACCATTATGGGGTTGAAGATAATGAGGACTCTAAGCCTGATGAGGAGCAGTTTGAGGCTAGGTGTAATATGCCTGATATTACTCTTGAGGATTGGCACGAAATGGCACGTATGGTTCCTGACCTCCAGCTACCTCAAGAGGAGGCAGATTTACTAGGTCGCCGCGATATCGACCTAAACTACGACTGGACCCACCATATTGGACTATATTCCCACGAGGAGTTTAATACCGGGGGCTATTGGATCCAGCTCCGGGGGGACTCTCCTGGCAATTATGATATTGAGCAACTACCACGCGAGGCATACGAGACTCTCAATACTGAGCAGCGGCTAGTGTATAATGCTATTCTAGGACACTATAAGGCAACCAACCAAGGCCAGAACCCAGCCCCGCTCCGGACCCAAGTTGATGGTGGCGGTGGGACGGGCAAGTCGTATATGGTTAAGGTGATATCCTCTCGCCTACAAGCCAAAGCAGCCAATCGCGGCCAACCCTCGCCAATCATCAGGGCAGCACCTACTGGTGTGGCCAGTAACCAGATCGGTGGCCAGACCATCCACTCCCTCTTCCGGCTTCCAGTTGACGGTAATTACCGCCCGCTCTCAGAGACCCCAACAGTCCTTAGCTCCTTACAGCGACGATTTAACTCGATCTACTACCTTATTATTGACGAGAAGAGCATGCTGGGACTGAAACCTCTAGCCTGGATTGATCAGCGGCTCCGGGAGATATTTCCTAATCGCCGGGACCAGTATTTCGGTGGACTTAGTGTCATCTTTATTGGCGATTTCTTCCAGCTCCCTCCTGTTCTTAATAAGCCGCTATATTCTATAGCAAATGGTTTACGGGATATGGAGATCGTTGGTCGTAACGCATACCTTTCGTTTAATAAGTCAGTATTCTTAACCACAGTCCAACGGCAACAAGGTGAAGACCAGGCTCTTTTCCGGCAAGCCCTAAAAGAATTACGGCAGGCCAAAGTATCTGTTTCGTCATGGGAGCTTCTTACATCGAGATGTGCGATCAAACTGCCTCCGGCTCAGGTCCAGGCTTTTGATAATGCCCTCCGCATCTTCCCTATCAAGGCGCAGGTCAACGAATACAACCATCAGCACCTCCTAGGCCTACGAAAGGCGGTTGTACAGGTGGACGCAAAACACGAAGGCGTAGGCGCAGAGAGAGTCGAGTCCTCTAACGCCGGCAATCTGATCAAACGATTACCTCTTTGTATTGGTTGCCGGGTCATGCTAACGAGGAACCTCTGGGCCAACTTTGGGCTTGTGAACGGTGCCCAGGGTACTGTACACGACATCTCGTGGGCTGAAGGCGCCAACGTGCTAGAAGACCCACCGCAGGTTATTATGGTTACGTTTGATAACTATACTGGGCCGCCGTTCCTACTACCTAGCGGAGAAGAGCTTCGTGATAGGGCTAGGCTGGTGGTTCTTATCCTTAAGGTTCGGCAGGAGTTTGTTCTTGGGGCTGGTACTGGCTACCGGGAGCAGTTTCCACTGCTTATTTGCTACGCAATCACAGTACACAAGTCACAGGGCGCCACTCTCGACAAGGTGGTTTATGATATCTCCGCGCCAGAGTTCGCATCCGGCCTATCGTACGTAGCAGTTTCTAGGGTCAAGACCTTAGATGGCTTAATGTTTGAGTCGCCGTTTGATGGGAGCAGGATATACCGCGAAGTGCCGGTACAGAGCATGCAACTGAAGATAGCGGATTACGAGGCAAGGAAGTTACAGCTATTAGATCCACAGGAAGAGGAGGTTGACTCGAGCGATATGAGCGGGTATTTAACTGATAGCTCTGTTGTATAGATGTAAGAAAAGATCTCTAGAGCATCGGAGTTGTTGGCCTCCGGACAGGGTATTGTCGCTTTGCTTGCTCTCTACGTTATCTAAATAAGTCAACTGTCGCGCTCTAAATTGCCAGGAGCGAGAGAGAGGAAGGAAGGAAGGAAGCGTCCCGTAGCGTAGCGAAGGGTCACGCGACTGACGAACGAAGCGACGCCAGCAATTTTAGCTGCTTTGTCTTCTGTTGTAACGGCACATAGTTACATAATCCTCGGACGTATTAAATCGTAAAATGCGGCCCTAAGAGTTTGAGGAAACAACGACTTTCGAGCGTAGCGAGTAGCCCGCCGCAGGCGCCCCCGGAGGGCCGCCGGAGGCAAAATAGGAGGGAAAGGGGCACAGGAAGGGCCCTTGGTCTCTGGGGCAGAGAGTTTACCAGCAATCCCTCACCGAGCTGGCTTTGGAGACTTCCAGGGGAGTGTTCAATAAATCGAAAGACCTTGCTCTCTTATTCTTCATTCCGCATTTATTTGTTTAGGCCTATTCACGCTCTCTGATGCAGACACCGGAGCTCGCCCAGTCATCGTCTCTCTTTGGAAACTGAAACAGGTTAAATGCTGCCAGGAAGAAAAGAAAAGAAAAGAAAAGAAAAGAAAAGAAAGGAAAGGAAAGGAACGCCCAGTCGACTTGAATCATGGTCGCTCCGGATTCCCGAGTCTGTCACCATACAGGCATGGAGGCCGGGTTCGAGTCGAGCTTGGACATGGTCAAATATGGCGCCGTGCCATGTTCGCGGCAAGGGGCAAGCTGTCAAGAAAGAAAAATAGCCCAAAGTGAGATGCAACCAATATCGGAACATTGAGATGTGCAGCGCTTCAGAGGGCCGTGTGGCGAGTCTGGGAAATCCCACCGTATACAGGCTGGGCAGACAATTACGTAGGCACACGTCCATATTAGGTAGGTGGTAGACACCCAGCCAAGCACACTGCAGTCAGCCAACACTGTTGCACCCGTCATTGATTTGCGTGGCTCCCTATTCCCACGAACCCGGTTGGGCGCGTTGGCTGGCCGCCAGTGTGTTTATTGTCAGGCACCGTGCGGGCAGAGGTCAGCCATGCCGCCAGGCACCGTGCGGGCAGAGGTCAGTCATGCCGCCAGGATTGCCGCAACGCCGTTGACCCGAGAACAGCGTGCGGGGAAGGCAGCGTGCGGACCGCTGGAGCCGTTGGCAGCGGCTGGGCAATGCAACGGTCCGGCCAGGCTAGGGGCGATGGAGCCCCGTGGAGGAGCGCGCGAGTGGAGCGAGGCTGTCGAGGCCTTGGTTTAGCCCGTAGCATGGCGCTCCTGTCCATCAGCTTGCGGGTATGGTCGTGCCAATGGCGGGCCCGGGAGGGTCGTGCTAATGGCGGGCCCGGGAGGGTGCCATAGCCGTGCCTCGCCCGTACCTGCATCTATATTACCCGCTGCCTGAAGTGGTAGTCTGATATTGCTGCGGGGTTTGGACTGTCGAGTCTAGAACTAGTTCGAGCAGTGTCAAGGTCGCACGCAATCCGGCTAATATTTCCTCGCCGCGCCGGGGGTGCTATCAGTGTCCCGGTAAGCAAATTCCCAAGCGACAGCGCGGGGGGAACTTTGCCGAGCAGTCGAATCTAAACACTGTTGCCCACAGGGTTGCAGCGCCAGCCCCCTGGGTCTCGACTCTCGAGCAATTAGGCCCGACCTGCTGGATCAGGTAGGGCGGATTCCAGACCCGGATCCGCCGGGTGACACAAACTAGGTACACTGTACGTACCTAACACAGGTGCACATATAGCCCGGGCAGCTCGCTCTAGACTCCATGTTCGAGCTCCCTCCCTCACCCAAACCGGTCTTTCCCCTCCCCGACTCGACTGCAGCCAGCCAGCCAGCCATCATGCGCACCGCACTCGCTCTCACCGCCGGCCTCGGTCTGGCGGTCCCCCTCGTGCAGGGCCGGGCCGTGGTGACGCGGGCCGACATTGAGGACTGCCTCACGTCGGCGGGCGTGCCCATCGACGTCAAGGGGTCGGCCGACTGGCAGCGCGACGCCGCGCCCTTCAACCTGCGCGTGCCCTTCACGCCCGTCGCCATCTCGGTGCCCACCACGGTCAAGCACATCCAGAAGTCGGTGCTGTGCGGCAAGAAGCTCGGCGTCAAGGTCACGGCCAAGAGCGGCGGCCACAGCTACGCCTCGCTCGGCTTCGGCGGCGAGGACGGCCACCTCGTCGTCGAGCTCGACCGCATGACCAACGTCACCGTCGACGCCGAGAACATCGCCACCGTCCAGCCCGGCACCCGCCTCGGCCACCTGGCCACGGAGCTGTACACCAAGTACGGCCGGGCCGTTGCCCACGGGACCTGCCCCGGGTAAGTCTCCTTCGTTGCTTGGTTCTAGAACCCGTGTTGACCGCTGTTGTCAGCGTCGGTATCTCGGGCCACTTCCTGCACGGCGGGTTCGGCTTCAGCTCGCACAAGCACGGGCTGGCGGTGGACCAGGTGGTGGGCGCGACGGTGGTGCTGGCCGACGGCAGCGTGGTGGAGGCGTCGGAGAAGGAGAACGCCGACCTATTCTGGGGGCTACGGGGCGCGGGATCCAACTTCGGCATCGTGGCGTCGTGGCGGCTGCGGACGTTCGAGGCGCCCAAGACGCTGACGTGGTTCGGCGTCAGCCTGGGCTGGAACAGCTCGACGGCCGTGGCCGGGCTTGAGGCCCTCGAGTGCTACGCCCGCAACGTCATGCCGGCCGAGCTCAACTTCCGCGTTTCGGATTATGAGCGCGGCAAGCCCGGCATCGAGGGCCTGTTCTACGGCACCGACGCCGAGATGCGCGCTGCCATTGCGCCGCTGCTTGCCTCGGCCGCGCCCCTCGCCAACGTCACCGACTCGCACACGGTCGACTGGTTGGGTGCTGCCGTGCACTACTCCTTCTACGACACCATCGACTGGCTGACGCCGAGCCCTGTGAGTTCCTGTCTCTGAAAACGACCCCTTGTAGCAAGCACTGACACGTCTGGCCTGCAGCAAGAGACCTTCTACTCCAAGAGCCTGACGCTCAAGGGGCTGAGCGGCAAGTCGGCGCAGAACTTTGTCGACTACTGGTTCAACAACGCGACGCAGGTCACGGAGCGCAACTGGTGGTTCCAGCTGGACATGCACGGGGGCGCCAACTCGGCCGTCACGCAGCTCACCAGCAGCAGCGCCACGTCGTACGCGCACCGCGACAAGCTGTACATCATCCAGTTCTACGACCGCGTCTCCGAGGGCGTGTACCCCACGGGCGGCCAGAGCTTTCTCGACGGCTGGGTCGACGCCGTCACTAAGCCGCTCAAGGCCGACAGCTGGGGCATGTACATCAACTATGCCGACACGCAGCTCGACCGCGCCACGGCCCAGCGCGTGTACTACGGTGATAACCTGCCGCGCCTGCAGCAGCTCAAGGCCAAGTACGACCCGTCGGAGCTGTTCTACTACCCGCAGTCGGTGCAGCCGGCCAAGAAGCGTCACCACTGAGGGGAGGTGATGGTTGTGGGAGGGGGTCTTGACAAGGAGGTTCTATGGGAGGTGGTAATTAATTAGCAGCTCTACCATTAAAGGTTACAAGATGGATGGATGGATGGATGGGTGGATGAATGGATGGATGGATTAGTGGATGGATGGATGGATTGGTGGATGGATGGATTGGTGGATGGATGGATTGGTGGATGGATGGATGGATTGGTGGATGGATGGATTGGTGGATGGATGGATGGATAAATGGATATAAACACGTACGTACCGTTTAGCGCGTGTGGCTTCCTCAAGTTAGCTTTCCCTCTGTTACCGGTCATTCACTTTCCTGGATCCTCGTACAAATTCACGCACGCGTGGCACCCGCGCACCGCATGATTCGTCAAGAGCAAAGCCTCTTGTTAGTGCCGTACTGCTCCGGGGGCCGATATCTGCACGTCGAAGTCGAAACCGTAATTCAATACGGGATAGCATTACTATTACGAGAACCTGATACGTCGAGTCCAGGCGTCGTTTCGCTGTTTGTAGCTAGTGGCCTTTCAGATGTAAGGAGAGGAATCAGAGGAAAGCAGACAGGAAACGAGGGGAAGCATCAAGAGAATAGAAGGCGGTAAGATAGCCAAGTCGTATCGCTGAGACTGAGCTCGGAGCCATTTAGAAGTCAGAGGCGGGCGATTCCTTCCTACCCATGTTCGTCAACTGGAATCGCCAGGCATAAGGCACTTCCCATAGGATGGGGCGCTGAAGCAGGTGAGGTGTGTTGCGGAACGGTCTGCTCGTATGCTTAATGTCCAAGACGTTCGGTGGCTCCCCAACCTTATAGCCATTAACTTCCAGAGTAGCAGCAGGGCAGGCAGCAAAACAGGGACGCCGTTCGTTCACCGGCAAACCTGCAAGTTCGAGTTGCGGCCAGCAATTCCTGGGATTCGCCACATCTATTCCACCCCTTCTCGGAATTGGGTTGGCCTCTCACTTTCCCTTCATCCGACCCTGAACAATCGCACTGAACAATCGCACTGGACAATCGCACTGGACAATCCGCACTCACTTTCCTCCACGCATAACCACAACCCCTCCTCGGGCGATTTCTCGCCAATTCTACAAAACACTTGACAGTCTACTTCCTTACTTGCAGCACGTCTTCCTGTCCCCGCATCACCACAACCTCCTTCTGAGCTTTACCTCTACAGCTGCGAACCAACGACGAGCACCATTAACCAGCGACATCTCTGTCGTCAGACGTACGGCCTGCATGGTTCTCAACAGCAATTAGCGTGGAAAGCACGGCTGACATGACACGCCTCACAGTCTTGACCTCTCCACTGCCAACATGGCGCCCACGACGGGCTTCGACGTGTTCCCGCCGCTCGACTACACGAGCGACAACCAAGAGCAATACGAAACCTTCCTCACAGCCGTGCTGCGCCACTACGGGCTCCAACTCAAGGGCGGCCAGGTCGTCGAGGGCGCGTCCGACGTCATCTTGTTCCAGCCCGACTCGACCGACGCCTTCATCCTCTTCCGCGACGGAAGGCGCACGCAGCTCCCGCGCCGCTGCGACCACTTTCTGCGCTTCAGTTCGACCGTCACGGCTGTCAACGTCGGCATCTGCGACATTATACACGACGTGACTGCCATGGCCGAGACTCACCATGTCTTCAACAACATCATCTACCGCTGGGACTGCCCCTGGGACTGGGAGGTCCGCTGCCCTGACATGACCCGCGTCGACCAGGCCGGCTGCTGGCTGCGCGCCGAGCTCGCCCTCGCCGCCAAGTGGTTCTACGGCCAGACGCACGACCGAAAATACGTTGGCGAAGACGACGGCTACCTCCAGCGGCCCGCCATGAAAACACGCCGGGCCAAGCGAACAGCCCCCGACACGGGCAAGGGCAGCAACAAGAGGGCCAAGACGGGTCAAAACACGTCCAGCAAACGCGGCAACTGCGCTGGCACCAACGGCAGCGCCAGTACCGCCCTCAGCAAGGCCGCCGACGGCCAACCGTTCGCCCAGAAGCCTGCGCCCGGCAAGGGCATCGGCACCTTCGCTACACGCGTCATCCCCAAGGGCACGCGCCTGGCTAGCGAGCTTCCGCTCGTCACAGTCGAGTACACCGACGACATCCTCTCAGGGCGGCAATCTATATACAGCGTCTTGGCGGCGCAGCTGTACAACTTCGGCGCGCACAAGCGCCCGGCCCACGGCCGCCGCGCCTTCTACGCGCTGACCGGCGAGGGCCACGGGCCCGGCGAGTCGTGCGTCTCGCCCGTCTCCATCTTCAAGAGCAACGCGCTGCAGCTCACCGGCACGGCCGTCCCAACCTCGGGCGTCTTCCCCACAGCCGCGCGCCTCAACCACACGTGCCGGCCCAACATGCAGCACACGTGGAACCCTTCCACGGGCCGCCTGACGCTGCACGCCGCGCGCGACATCCACAAGGGCGACGAGCTGGCCCTCTGCTACATCGGCGCCCACTGCAGCACGGTGCGCTCGCCCGGCGCGGCCGCGCGCCAGGTGTTTCTGCGCGAGCACTTTGGCTTCGCCTGCAAGTGCTCGCTGTGCGCCTCGGCCAAGCCCGGCGCCGTGGCCGCCAGCGACCGCCGCCTGGCGCAGGTCCGCGCGCTGCGCGGCGAGGGCCTCGTACACACTGACAGCAACAACAACAGCAACAACAACAACAACAGCAACAACAACAACAACAGCAACAACAACAACAACAGCAACAACAACAACAACAGCAACAACAACAACAACAGCAACAACAACAACGCCCAATCACAACCCAATCTGGTAGACTGCGAGCTGGCTCAGCGCCACGGCACGTTCACCCCGCGGCCGCTGGCTTCCCTCGAGGAAGCACGGGAACTCATCACCCTGCTGCACGCCGAGCACATCATCGACACGCGGCTCGCAGAGGCGTACAGCAGCGCCGCGCAGCTGGCCGTTTCCGTCGGCGACAAGGCGCGCGCGCGCGCGCTGGCACGCCGCGCGCACGACGTGTGGCTTAACCTCGCCGGCGCCGACCACCCTTCTACGATCGAGTTTGCCGACATGGCGGCCAGCCCTGTGCGCGCCAAGATGTATGCGGCCGCCCACGGCCGGCCGTTCGTCTATGTCCCTAGTGTCTGGGAGTGGTCGGTGAACTTGGCGAGTGAGGCGGAGCAGGAGCCGTGGTTGTGGAGCGAGGTCGATTGGGCTGTTTGCACTGAGGGCAAGGACAAGTGTTGTGCGGAGTGTGTGTTTGATGATGATGATGACGATGAAAATGATGGGGAGAGTGAGGTTTCCCAGGAGAGTGAGGACGCCCAGGAAGAGGAGGACGCCCAGGAGAGTGACGACGCGCAAGAGGAGGACGCGCAAGAAGATGAGGACGCCCAGGAAGATGAGAACGCCCGGGAGAGTGACGACGCGCAAGAAGAGGAGGACGCCCAGGAAGAGGACGCCCAGGAGAGTGAGGACTCCCAAGAAGAAAAGGACGCCCGGGAGAGTGACGACGCGCAAGAAGAGGAGGACGCCCAGGAAGAAGAGGACGCCCAGGAGAGTGAGGACTCCCAAGAAGAGGACGCCCAGGAGAGTGAGGACGCCCAAGAAGAAGAGGATGCCCAGGAGAGTGAGGACTCCCAAGAAGAGGACGTCCAGGGCAGTGAGAACGCCCAGGAAGAGGAGGACGCTCAGGAGAGTGATGGCCACCAAGAAGAAGAGGACGCCCAAGAAGAAGATGCCCAGGAGAGTGAGGACTCCCAAGAAGAAGAGGACGTCCAGGACAGTGAGAACGGCCAGGAAGAGGAGGAGCTTGACGAAGTTGACATTCTTCAGCTTGTTGACGAGGAGGCTCAGGCCGATGAATCTGTTGACGAGGAGGTCGACTGTGCCGAATCTGTCGACGAGGAGGAGGTCACGTCTGATGAACCTGTCGACGAGGAGGTCGACTGTGCCGAATCTGTCGATGAGTGGCGGGTCATGTCTGATGAATCTGTCGACGAGGAGCAGGTCATGTCTGATGAACCTGTCGACAAGGAGGTTAGCTACGCCGAATCTGTTGACGAGGAGGCTGAGGAGGCTGAGCCTGCTGAGCCTGCTGAGCCTGCCGAGCCTGCCGAGCCTGTTGAGCCTGCTGAGCCTGTCGACGATGACCAGGTTATGATGACCGAGGACGAGGCTGAGGTCCTGAACCCGTCGGGGATGAATTCGGTGCTTCTGAGCCTGCTGAGGAGGAACGGAATATGGTGATTGAGGAGGAGAACTCGTCTGAGGATGAGATCGATGCTGCTGAGCCTGTTGAGGTCTTGAGGAGGGCCAGATCATGTCGGCTGAGGAGGACTATGTCGGCTGAGGAGGACTATGTCGGCTGAGGAGGACTATGTCGGCTGAGGAGGACTATGTCGGCTGAGGATGAGAACGAGGTGGCTAGGGAAGGTGACTGGGACCAGTAGAGTAGGTTCTCTAACTAAACCACTGCCGACACTCACGAGCCTCGACTCTGGAGTTGTCACAGTGAGGGTGCGTGGTCAGGAACAAACTACAAATAGGAATCACCTTTGGGGCTAGACTTAGATTGTGATTGGGTGCAGAGATAAATAGCTAGACTCGGGAGATTGCGGAGTAGCAAGTGCCTTTATCGCAAAAATCGCTTGATTTCTATACCTAGTGATGCAGCCTTGCATGTTTTGTTTTAGGTTCTTGACGTCTACGGATGTGATGCACCTCCCCCAAGCTACCGTCGTCGAGATGTGTTGCCTTCTTATTGAAAAGAAATGCTTATTGACGTTGCTTCATAGCGTACGACGGCTTGCTTCTCAGTCATCGCTTGATGATCTCTCCTCACATGGATTGGAAATTAACTAATTTACCTCGAGGACAGGATGAGTAACCAACAAATTGAAGACAGCCAACCCCTTTAGAAACCCCCACTCAGGGCAGGTAGAAATATAATGGCGTTGACCGTAGAAAGCAAGAAAGAAGACGAAGAAGAAGAAAGTAATTACATGCACAACCACGTTACTAACTGGTGGTCGTATCCCTAGAGTCAAAAGTCAATAGAACTAGACCCACCATCAGGCGGAAACATGATGGCGTTGCCGACTCTTGAGCGAAGGCACACTAGCATTACTTACCTTGGGAGTAAGTTATAGATGGGGTAAGGGTAATGTTGCCCTTGTACGAAGTTCACAGCGCATTGAATTGTCTGCCTAGATCCGGTCTAGGGATACATGAGTGAAGGCCTTCTTATACTTCAAGAAAAAGGATGAAGGAAAACATCGTTCAGCCGTACAGGGGGCATTCGAAGTTCAGCCATACAGGGCTTTATTCGAAGTTAGCCATACACGGTTTATTTTGAAGCTCAGCCGTACAGGGCATTCGGAGCTCGCCGACTGTGGCTTGAAATGTGGCTCAGAGTGGCTCAAATCTAGGCGACAGGTAATGATTGGTTCTAGATACCCACGACCGTCTTGAGTACCGACAATACCAACTCTTTCGCTCTACGTGTGTTGACCCTTGAAAAATAGGTAACTACGCCGGCCCCCCCCCACTCCACACCCGCCAGGTCCACAAGTTAATTACCGTCTGAACCACGCCGGGAAGCTTCATCTCTTTGATAAAAGTTTCTGTCACGTGACAACTAAGCCCTATTCCCACACAATCAGCGTCACTTGCGAGATGCATCAGTGTGGACTCCGTCTCTACGATGATTTACAAACCCACAAACTCTGCCATGCAGATCCGCTCAACAGGCTCCGTATCTGCCTGGATTCCGCCCACAGTCTCCAACAAAGACAAATAATTACGATTGTTCAAGCCCGGCGAGCCCAATCGGTAGAGCGTGAGACTCTTACATGTCATCTCAAGGTTGTGGGTTCGGCCCCCACGTCGGGCTCAATTTCCGTACGATCCTCTTGTAAATAACGAACGTTTGCTGACCGGGAAACTTGTTTCCTTGGAGAGGAAATGGTCGTATTTCTTTCTTGTTTTCTTTTTCCCTTTCTTCCTGTTTCTCTGCTTTGTGTTTTCGTGCTGGTCGTTGTCACGTAGCTGTTGCTGATTATGCCTCGTTTTGCACATTCAGTCTGGCTGGTGCTGGCGAGGCTCTTTTTCTGCTCTCCTTTCCGAACCATTGCTGTAAACCCGGCCGCAAAACGTGGCCATGGAGGGACTTTGCGTGTTCTGATATGTGCAATGCTTGATAGGTAGACTGTTGGGTAGATGATGCCCGATGGCCGAGGACGGGTGGCTGAGGAGGCTGTGCGTGCTGCGGCGTTCACATTCTCCAGCAGCGGTGAGGGGCTTCAATTGCCTGTGCCTCAAATATTCTGCTCGAAACTTGCCCTTTGCACTTGACACTCGCCTCGCAGCTTTTAACAAGGGGCAAGCACGGATATCCACGCGCAGGCGGTCGAGCTGTCGAACACTTCGTAGTCCGCGCCCTAGCCTACGCGTGCCACTCGTATCCTGATCACAACGGATCGTCTCGAATAGCCACAAGGACAGAGGATCTCCTAGTCGACCTAGACCTGGCAGTCCAGACCATCCATGACTCCACCCTGAAGAGAACTGTACCCGGGCGCCGGCAACGGGGCATACGAAACGCCATGGTCGTGGTTCGCGGGGCAGATAATGCCTGTCTTGACGCTAGACGCGGATGGGCGGATGAAGCTTAGTCCCAGCGCCATAGTACTGTACCAGGACGCCGTCAAGCCCAGATCGCGCGTCCCGATAGCATGCATTCCGTCCTGGGTGCGGCTGCTGCTCGCCGTCTTCACCGTGCAGCAGCTGGTCGACTGCGCCGACGCTTACGTCGGCGAGCTCGGCCACGTGCTGTCGCGGATCGATCTCGGCAGCCGCGACCGCGAGCTGCCGTACTTTGAGGCGCAGATGAGCGCAAACAACTTGTATCCCGCCTTGCGCGAGGCTAAAATGACCGGCAGCAGCACCAGCACGCCGCGGGGTGGGAACGAATGACGCCCTCGTTCGTCAACTGGAGCCCACATCGAACAATCATCACGTCATATAATTATTTGCGACGAACCATGATTGCAAATCCGCATTTATTCAGCGCCTCGATACATACACGGTCCGACCAAGGATTGCCACAGCATTCCCTCCTGAAACATATTCATCGGCCTCAAGCCTCAAGCGGCGCAACGGTGGGATCCCAGCCGGCGACGGGGGTGTAGCCGTCCGTCTCGAGGCCGGCGACCTCCTCGGGGGTGAGGGCAAAGTCATAGACGTCGGCGTTGGACCGGATGCGGTCGGGCGTGACGCTCTTGGGGAGCGGGATGAAGCCCTTCTGCAGGCTCCATCGGACGAGTACCTGGGCCTCGGACTTGCCGTACTTGTCGGCGAGCTTCTTGAGGGCCGGCTCGCCCCAGCGCTTGCCGCGGACGAGCGGAGTGTAGGCCTGGACGGCGACGCCGCGCGCGGCGCACCAGTCGGTGATGTCGCGGCGGGCGCACCAGGGATGGATCTCCCACTGGCCGGCGCTCAGCACGCCGCCCTTGCCGGGGCCGCCGCGCTCGACCTCGAGCTCGGCAATGTGCCGCTCCAGCTCGTCGAGGTGCTGGACGCCGTAGTTGCTGACGCCGATGCTGCGCACCTTGCCGGCCTCGACGGCCTCGACCAGCGCGCGCCACGCGCCCTTGCGGTTCGCCGACCCGCCGTACGGCGCGTGCAGCAGCATCAGGTCCACGTAGCCGAGCTCCGACTTGGCGAGCGTTTGTTCGATGGTCGCCTTGGCGCCATCGTACGACACGCTTCCGGGCGGTACCTTGGAGGTGAAGAAGATCTGCTCGCGCGGGAGCTTGGTGCCGGTGCGGATGGCTCTGCCCGCGCCGTCTTCGTTGTCGTAGAAGGCTGCCGAGTCGAACTGGAGTCGCGACGTTAATCAGAGCGCGACATCAGAAATTTGCAGTGGAGGAAATGCGCACGTGGGTGTAGCCAGCTTCAAGGGCTAGCTTGGACACTCTTTCAGTGTCTTCTGGGGGACTGCGGGAATCGGCACGTTAGCCTCGGTTGCTAATTGGCTGAAGATGCTCGACAGATGCATGGATGCATGGCCATGAGTCCGGTCCGCCACGGGCAATCGAACTGGGGGAATGTAAGTCTGGGAAGAGGGTTCGCACGTTTGGTAGAGCTGGAATCCACAGAAGACAAGATTAGCGACATCCTCGAAGCAAGCAAGCACAGACAATGCCAGAGAGAGGACGAAGCAAAACTCACGCCATATCCCAGCTGGGGAATTTCGTAGCCGCTGGGGAGCTTGATCTTGGAGTTGATGGTCAGGGCGGCCATTCTTAGCATCAGGTTTCGCAGTTGTTGGCGGTTTTGTTGGCGGTGTTGTTGGTGGTGTTGTTGTACTGCTGTGGTGTTGGTGGTAAGGCAGATGGGATTGGGCTTGATACTCCTTTCTCTGCACCTCGATCGTAGAGGATGTGTCGTGACTTTATAGGCGTCTAATTAATAGCGCCCAAGTCTGAAACTCGGTCACCATGGCATTGGGTGGTGGCCCAAGGCGGCACCAATGCACACCAAAGTTGGAACTTGCCAAGGCTGCCGCTTGGGTTTGTCATCACGCCCAAATCGGTCGAGAATCGTGCCGGCCGGACATTACTGATCAGTAAACTCCTAAGAGCACTGATAAACTCCGAACGCCGATTCAATGCCGTAGTGGCAAGCTCAATCACTGCATCAGCTCGCGATTCGGCGATACGCAAACGATACGCATAGCATTTGTGTTTTCGGACGTCGTTCAATTGGTCAGATGTTGATGTCCTGTTTTGGCCTTTGCTCGGATTTGTCAATCCAAAGAAAGGCCTCGAGTCCGAGGGAAGAGTAATGATTTGTATGCGCTGATCATTGGCCAATCAGACCCGTCAATCGTTAATAAACACATCTCAGCTCTCAACTCCTCTGGAAGATGCTAGCCTCGATGTCAGAAAAGATTATTATTCCAGTGTCATCGCGGGCCAGACGTGAAGCCGTTGCTCCACATTTTCGCTGCAGGAATTGCGTGGGGCCAACTGCCCGCGAGCTTGTGCACTAACAACCACAATTCCGTAGGTCCCGCCAGCTGAAATTTGCGAACGAGCGACGAATCACCCTCAAAATCCCAGCGAACCATCATCCTCAGCCCTACCGCCCAGCCGACACTCGAGTGGCTACCACGCGACTTTCCCTAAGTAATTACCAAGTCTCTGGACTACTGAGGCGGCCTCAACTTTCGGCCGGCCCTTCCATTAGGGCGGTGTTATGGTAATGCCTAAATGCAACCCCCCGGGAATTTCCGAGCAAATGTCCTGTCGGCGCTGTGCCAGGCGTTAATAATCACCATGATGTCACCAAAGTGCCTGCCTGTGTGGTTGGTGCAACTGTGCATTGAATCGAGACGTTTCTGTTCGCTGGGCCGTTTTCTGGGCATGTCTGGAGAGATGGCCCGTGCGCTTATCCGCGATAACGGCCGACTGATAAGGAAAATTGGGGGCCAATACGTTGGTTGGACTTGGGCCAAGCCCCCTTGGGAGCACGATGGATCTGGGGGAAATTGCGACCAAGGACAGTCGGGTCGCCCAAACAGCCGAGACAGTGCGTCGTGCCAGACATCGTTGTCCCTTGAATTTTTGACGACAGCTTCAATCGACTGCCTCCGCATCGCATCCTCTCGCTCCGCAGCCACCGCAGTGCTAGTCGCGAGCGAGCCAACCCGGAACTAATTAATCGAGGAGCGCGTCCGACCTGAGGTAAGCATCATGGTGCAGGTCCAGCCAAACGTACTGCGCATCGCCATCGCCTCCGTGTGCGCGCTCGCCCTCTTCATCTTCTTCGACCCGCTCGGCTTCTCCTTCGTGTCGACGGCCGTGCGCTACAAGGGCCCCGACACGCACGCCGCCATCACGCACATTGTGCTGTTCCAGTTCAAGCAGGAGGCCGATGCGGCTGCTGTCGAGACTGTGAGTTTTGTTCTATTTGTCGGCCCGTGGGCGCGAGTGAGGCCATTCGCGGCTCACGTTGCCAAACCACAACGGCGCGCTCATGACGAATGCCCGGATTGCCGCCGCTGACCCGTCACCACACAGGCTTGTGCAAACTTCCTCGCGCTCAAGGAAAGCTGCCTGTCGCTCAACTCGCAGCAGCCCTACATCAAGAGCATGACTGGCGGCAAGGACAACTCGCCCGAGGGCAAGCAGGTGAGCTACTCTGCTCAGTGACGCCCCCCCCCCCGGTGAATATGCTGACCACCGACCGCAGGACGGCTTGACACACGGCTTCGTCATGCAGTTTACCACGGCCGACGAGAGGAACTACTACCTCGAAAAGGACCCGGCGCACCAGAAGTTCAAGAAGGAAGTCGAGCCGCTTGTGCAGAAGGTCACCGTGGTGGACTTTACGGCTGGCACGTTTTAGTCTACTTAATTAGTCTTGGTCTAGAGATGCGGAGCCGGAACCGTCTGTCTGGTCGAATAGCGTGATATAATCAAATACTGAATTTAATTAGTACAGCCCAAACAAACCTTATCGGCAGAGGGCGTGAGGTTGCGGAGCCGTGAATATTTGCCTGAAAGCTCATGCATGCCAAGCAGAATAGTCTCACCCAACCGGTGCCGCCTTTAATGCCTAACCTAGGTAGGCTAGTCAACCTTTTGACCACAAGCCGGTTCAGTCCACCTGTCGACTGCAAAAGTTGTGAGGCTCATGACCTGCGCGCGCTAGGCAGTTGCAACCTAGAAGCCAGTTCCTTGGGCCAGCCAGTCAACCTTTCTGGTCTCGATGGACTTGCAGGAATATTCGACCTCCGAGGAGGCGGTGGACGAGTGTGGCGCCTCTCCCCCAATTGTAATCATGTGGACAAACGTCGCAAACAGGCCAACACTCCACGTGTTGCCGTCCTTGATCTTGCCCGAGCAGTCTGTGTCGTCCGCAGGGTGAATTTCCGAGTCGACGGCCTTGACCAGCGCCGCGTCCGACATTGGCCTCCCTCGGCATCCTTCAACATCTTGTTAAGCAGAGCTCACCCTCCAAGGTCAGGCGCGCGCTGGCAGGGAACCTGCATCACCGTCCGGGAGCCCTTGTTTGTGATTCCCAGTCCCCCAAGACAAAACACATAACCATGTTCTAGGCGGCTACCCTCACCAGGCCCGGTCCGCCGGTCCGCGTTACGTTTGCTAATTCGACGCCTGTTAGTGACGGGAAGCTCGTGGTTGACCTTTGTGCCATGATAAAAGGGAACACGAAAGGATCGCGATTGAGCGTTAACGGATCTTCACTCATGCACCAGGGTGAGGGGGGACAGGACCAGATGAAGACGTTCGAAAATTGCGAACCGGTGACCTTCGCCCAAGGGTTGCTGGAAAACAACACGGAACTGGGCTTGGAGGACAAAATTTGTCTCGCCGTGGTCCTGTCTTATTCGTTCCTTGACTTCTGCGGTAAGCCATGGTTTAAAGAAGGCTGGACCAAAGACAATCTGCAATCAATGCAGGGTGGCGACACTGTATTTCTGTGCCCTTTTCTGGTAACAAAAGTGCTCTAGGGAAAGGGCTAGACATGGCAAGAGCTGAGCGCAGCCGCCTTGACAAGGAAGCTCTTGGATCACGGAATCTTGCTGTTGGAGATGTTCTAGCAAGATTCTTTTCGCGCACCCCCTCAGGAGCTCGGTAAACCGCTGGTCTATCTCAAGGACACGGCTCAAGGATGGTCCAAGGCCACAAAATGGGATGCCTGCGAAAGATACCAGGCAGCAGTCGAAGCATGTATCAGCGGCGAACTCGTGGCAAGTCTCGAGATATCGTCGACATTGAGCACAGCAGGGAGCCGTAATGACGAATTTGCGAGACCGTTCTGCAACATGGTGCTCGTGCCCTTGGAGGCTGATTTTGCTTCGCAATGGCAGCGGCAGGACCCGGACCGAGCGATAGCGACACTCAATCTGCCCGGCGGCACTGGTTAGCGTCAGAGTGCCTCCTTGAGACCCCCTTCGTCATCTACCCAAAGGGCCCGTACGCCGCAGACTCGGTCGAGGTTGACCACGCAGCCCATTTTGTCACACGTACAGAGAAAGTCCCCGTTGCCGTCTCGATTACCACGGCCCACAACATCCCGCCCATCACCGTGGCATCCGAGTTCGCCGGTTCCCCGGGGCCACGAGGGAAGCCTCTCCGATACCAGGGACTGTCCAGAAAACGCAGAGCAAGTAACTCTCCCCCCCCCTCTCCCCCCACAAAGTCGCTGCTGACCGTTTTAAAAGCATAAAGAAGGCGCAGATGTGGCACAGTCGACCCGAATCGTCGATGCGGATATTCAGCGGATAGCCAAGGTCTGTTCCCTTCCGATTCGGTCTGACCCGCCGGCCTGCCGTCAAGTGCCTTTATCGCTAATCACCTCCACCAGGCAATCACCCACTTCTCTTCGGGCAAGGGCCGCGTCGACATCATCAACATGTCGTCTGGGTCCCCAAGTACACGGACGATCTCAGGCCGGTGTTCGAGGCCCCCACCATAGACTTTTGCCTGTGGGCAGATAGCTTAGATTCCTTAAGCAATCAACTGCATTTTCCCAGTAACTGTGCACCTCGCATGTATATCATGGAGGACGAGAAGGTTGAGAGGGTATTACTGTTACAAACGGTTCAGCCACTCATAGCGAGGTTCCAACGTTATTTTAGAGGTTTGTAATTCCGAAAAGTAGGAAACAAGCGAGATGATGTTGAATTACAATTAGCCCTCCGATGAGAATAAAAACCACCACCACACAGTCGATCGCCTAAGACCGGGATGCAGAACAACCAGGCTGTACCCATAGAGTACAAGGGGAAGGGTGAGGAAGCTATTGAGGACCCCACCCGCGGTGCAAATAAAAATAATTGGACATACGTCGTTCTAGTACTTGTCGGCCGCCGGGTCATGGGCCCGGGCGTGTCGTCACCACATCTTTTCATGCCGGCATAACCAAGACGGGGATACCACGTCCACAGCCGCCGCACACCACGCAAGAAGATTGAAAAGACGCAAATTAATCCGCATTGTTGACAAGCTAATTATCACCCAAGTCAAAGCTAACTACACGCAAGGCGAAGCAAGCGTCTGTCAAAGCCTTGCCGCCCACTCCCTAATTACTGTCACTTCACTCCCAAGTGGACTCGAGCCCGTCGACGCCCGTGGGCCGGTCGGCCAGCGTGGTGATGCGGAAGCCGTGGCGCAGGCCCTCCTGGGGGTTGTGCACGTTGTAGTCGGAGATGGCCGTGTGGGCTGTGACGCGGTTGTCCCACAGTGCGACGGTGCCCTCCTCCCAGCGCACGCGAACCTGGAAGTCCTGGCCGAGCGAGATGTGCTAACCAAGGATAACCAGTCAGCCTTTACTCACTATAGGCATGTGCACGCGGGGCGGCAAGAGGTAATTACTCACGCTAAACAGCAGCTTGAGCAACGCGTCCGACTCCTCGTCGCGCAGCCCAACGATGCGCTTCGTGAAGCCCGGGTTGACGAATAGGGCCTTCTGGCCGGTGGCCGGGTGGACGCGGACGACGGGGTGATCAGACGACACAGGCTCGCGGCGGACGAACTTGCCGTCGCGGCGGGCGCCGTCGGCCTGCGGGACGCCGCTGTGCTCGGCACGCAGGCCCTCGAGCAGCGTGCGGATCGGCGGCGACAGGCGCGCGTACGCGGCCGTCTGCGACGTCCAGCCCGTGTCGCCGCCCGTCGGCGGCACTGATAGGAGCGTGAGGATGGTGATGCCCGGCGGCTGGTGCTCGTACGACACGTCCGAGTGGTAGCCGACCGTCGTCAGCCGGCTCGACCGCCGCTTGTTGCGGTACTCGTTGTCCGGGCCCAGGTAGATGTTGTGCAGCTCCAGGTGGTCCTTGACGTGGGCGCCGACGGGCTGCATGACGGTGTGTTAGGGGGTGAGTTTTCCCGGGGGGGTGGCTGATTCAGACTGACGTACATGAATGTGCAGCGGCCCAAAGTAGCGGCCAAAGGCCTTTTGCCTGTCGATGCCAATGTCCTTGAAGTCCTGGCCGCGGAAGACGACGACGCCGCGCTCGGCAATGAGCAGGGCCAGCTCGTCCTTCTGGCGGTCGTCGAGCTTCGACAGCTGCAGCCCGCGGATCTCGGTGCCGATGACGGGCGTCAGCTTGCTGACCTGGAGGTCGGGGTTGCTCTTAGACAGTAGGCTGGGCTTGTCCTTGGCCGCCGCCAGCCCGCGGTCGTGGAACTTGAACGGCTGCAGCGGAGGGAAGTGCGTCTTTTCATCGTAGACGGGCAGGTAGGCCGCGTAATTGTACTGGTCTCTAGGTCAGGCATGCTCGGTTGAGCCGTTGTAACTTTGTAAGGAGGCTCACTTCTTCGTGTATCTCCTTGTCATACGCCAGAGTCAGCGTGATTGGCTCACTCTCGGCGGCCGTCTTGGTTGTGGTTGTCGTCGACATTGTGGTCTATAATGAGGCACCTGTCAATATTCAGAGTCGCTTGGTGGTGTATTGTGTATTGGCTGAACTAAAGTCTCTTCTGGACTTTCCAGGACGACTTGACGCCCCAAGCATCGCCCGCCGTCTGTCTGTTCGCGTTCTTATAGCCGTGCCCCTTTTCTGTGACCTCTTATTTTGCAACATCTTTTCCTGTGACTACTCGTGCCGATGATCCGATTCCACACTCTGTTTCCATCACGTCAACAGCTCGCAGATGGCGAGTGTCCAGTCAAGCCAAGCCCTCAAACCCCCTCGACAACGGCCATGCGTGAGCAGCACTGTGATGTGTGGGATGGTGCGGGGAAGTGGCTGAGAGGCAGTCGTCTCTGGCGTCAGCCGGCTCGCGTCGTGATTTGGACAGAAATGACGAGCGCCCACACCACCGCCCGCCAACCCCCCACGACACGCCAGCCCATGTTATCTCCGACCGGTTCGGTACTCGTTCTGGACCCAAACGGCGATGCTGCAGCCCCGGTAGCGGACCCTATTCCGGCCCCCATCCATCTTGGCCCGGTCAACTTGGCCGAGCCGGATCGGGTGATGATCTAAATAAAACAAAATAGCGACTAAACCGAGTTTTCCACTTACAACCAACCAAACCATATTATCTCGAGCAAACCGGGCAGTTGCTTAATAATGCAACGTGCGACAAAATATGATCTGGCAACACACGTAGAAAAGGGCAAAAAGAGTGTTTTAGATCTCTCCCGCCGGGAATTGAACCCGGGTCCCGAGCGGAGTCTTCTGTGAAGTTGACAAGCTCATATACTGACCACTATACTACGGAAGAAATGCTGGTGTGGATCACCAGCTGTAGCTTGTGTTTGATGAGTGGAGAGGGTCGACAGGGTGCATAAGTAGTCCACGGGAAGGTGCGACGCGAGAGAGCGATTAATTGTTCGGTGCAACAGCAATCCCCGGGCAATTGAGCATGACTGAATCGCCGAGTGACTGATTCAGACGCGCATCGCCACGCCCTGGCACAGGTTGCTCATCCACGGATGCCGACACTGTGCATCGGAAGAGGGTGCGAAAAGCGATGAGAAGAATAACTTAAAATGACTAAAACTGGACGCAAAGTATAGAAATAGAATGAGACATCCGAAGAGTGAGTAGCTCGGGACCCGGACTGAGATTTTGAGCCGCTATAATGAATGCCGGATCGTGCAACACAGCATACTCTCATTCTCGCGACACACATCTCACCCCACACCATCTCACCGCGATTGCGAGGAAGGGAGTGGCCAACATTCAGCTCCCTGTGTGAATATTCGGGAGAAAGCAGAACTGAAGCTGAAGATGAGGCTGCAGGCGCGGGAATGCTGGGATCGTGAGCAGGATTTCACGTTAACCAATTGTCGTTTCCATTCTTTTTCAGGCAATTGATCTAACTCGCCGCGGTTGGACATTGACAAGCTCCGATAAACATTTAAAACCCGTTAAAGAGAATGGAATCTGCCGATGCTTGAACCTTCAATCGAGCCGAGTCTGGAGAGAGCTACAAATGGCGACGCGAGTCCCCAAATAAGTAATGAAACAAGCCTTTGGGAAGCAAGGATGTTAGCCGCAGCAAGCTAATAGAAACGGGGGTCCCGGCGGGAGCGGTGCGGTCATCGGTCATCACGGACCCATCATTGCAAAAGCGGTGAGATGCAACAGGAGGCGCCGAAGATGTGCGGATAAGAACGGGCAAGCAACGAAGTTCCTATGCTAAGGTCACGATATTTGACCTCGCAATGTGAACTTGGCCGAGGTAGGCCTGTTGAAAGGAAAGAATTATCGGATGAGAAGAGTTTTCCACACTAATCAATCTCGACCAGCGGCCATGATTCGCCACCGACCACCAGCACCCCGCTCAATGCCGCCGCGACCCGAAGGGCGCACGCTAGCTCGCATTACATGCAGCAGCTGAATGCACGGGCTGCATGTCCATCATCCCAAACCCTAGGGCCAGAAGCTCCAAGAACAGCTTCTTAGGAAAAAAGAGACGAGTGCAGCCCTCGTCTGGGCAGAGGCGGCCATCCTTGGTCCCTGTCACGCCTTCTAGGCTATCCTTGCCGCCCGCTTCCGACGGTGCATCCGCTCAGTTGCATGGATGTTCATCAGACGCTATTATTAATGATATTCGCCCCAATATCCATAAGAAACAGCGAAGCCAACAGGTGAGCTGACGAACCCCTCCTCCAACTAATAACTGCAGCAACCACCACCCACGCCGTCCCGCGTGCTGTACCACCACCACCACCTCGTCCGTCAGCTGGCCATTGGCAGCCGAGACACAGTTCTGCCAATAAATAAACAACCCCCTAATTATTTACAAAAAAAAAAGCAGACAATGACAGCCACAGCTGACGAGACGCAGCCGCTGCTGCTGCGCGGTGCCGCCAACCCCGCAGCGCCCAACGCAATCGGCGCAATCGGCGCAGGCAGCGGCACGGCGGCTCCGCAATCGGCCGCCGGCTCGGAGTCGACGGTTGTTGACTTTGACCCCTGCGGCGACCGGGACAACCCCCTGGAGTGGCCGGCGGCGTTCAAATGGAGCGTGGTGCTGATGCTGGCCATGACGGCGTTTACCGTGTAATTGTCAATTATTAACTAACCCCCGCTCCTGAATTAATCACTGACACGCTATCTGCAGAACATTCACATGCATCAGCGTCGTCCCGCTCGCGAACGAGATCAGCCGCGACCTCGGCGGCGACGCGCGGTCCAAGGCCGCGAGCGTGCTCCTCGTGACCATCTGGGAGCTGGGCGAGGCGGCAGGCCCGCTGCTGATCGCGCCGCTGAGCGAGATGGTCGGGCGCTACCGCGTCGTCAACGCCGCCAACGCGTTGTTCATCGTCGCCACGCTGCTCGCCGCCACCAGCGCCAGCCTGCCACAGTTCGTCGCCGCGCGCATGCTGACGGGCCTGGCGGTGGCCACCAACGTGCTCAGCCCGGCGATCGTGGGGGATATTTTCGTATCGGAGCAGCGCGGCGGCGCGCTGAGCTTGGTGTTTCTTGCGCCGTTGCTGGGCGGTGCCGTGGGCCCGGCCATCTCGGGCGCTATTGCTGAGCGGGCTGGCTGGCGCGCCGTGGTGTGGCTCAGTGCGGGTCTCGCCGTGCTGTGCGAGCTGCTGTTCCTCACCTTCTTCCGCGAGACGTACAAGGTCACGATCCTGCGGCGGCGCGCCGCGCGCCTCGCCCGCGAGAGCGGCAAGCCGTTCCGCACCGAGTTCGACGGGGAGGAGGAGAGTGGTAGTGGCAGTGGGGGGCTCGGCCGCCTGCGCGACGCCATGCTGCGCCCCGTGACCGTGCTCGCCGGTAGCAGCGTGCTCGCCATCGTGTGTCTGTACGGCTCTATCTGCTTCGCGTACTATTATGTTATTACCGTGACGCTGGCCGACATCCTGCGCGACGTCTACCACCTGCCGCCGGTGCAGGCGGGCCTGTGCTTCATTACTATTTGTGAGCGGCGTCCCTCCGACTCTTCTCGTTAGCATTGCTGTCTTGGTTACTGACAAACATCACAGCCCTCGGATCGGCCGTGGCCGTGTTCGCGTGCAACCGCAGCCTGGACCCCATCTACATCCGGCTGCGCGACGCCAACAAGGGCGTGGGCCAGCCGGAGCACCGGCTGCCGGTGGCAATTGGCGGCGCGTTCGTGATGCCGGCGACGGTGGCGGCGTACGGCTGGGCGGCCGCGCTGCACCTGCCGCTGCCGGCGCTGCTGGCGAGCATGGCGGCGCTGGGCGCGGCGCTCATGTTCACCATGATCCCGCTCATGGCCTATGTAGTCGACGCCTTCGGCCTGTACTCGGCCTCGGCCATGACGGGCGTCATTGTCGTCCGCTGCCTCGTCGGCACCTTCCTGCCCCTGGCCACGGCGCCGCTCGTCGACAACTTTGGCTACGGCTGGGGGTTCACCGTTTTTGCTGCTCTAAGCTTCGCCATTGCGCCTGTCCCGGCCCTCGTCATGCGCTACGGCGCCCGCTGGCGCCAGAAGTCAGATTACACCAGGGATCAATGACGGCGTGAGGCGGCGAGGTAGAGTTCTGGGGGTAGATTAATAGAGATGTAGACCGTCTGTGCCTTTGCTCGGTGGTCGCGTTGGTTTTTGGCGTGCGTCCGCGATTTGACGACATAGCGACGGCGGAGAGGGAAAAGAAAAACAAAGAAGAAATAAACCCAAAGAAAGAAAAGGAGAAAGGGGGAGAATGGGGAAAAAATAACGAAACGAGACGAACTTGGATATGCCATCTGAAACGACGATTCTGTTCATGTTCCCACCATTTCCATCCCATTCCATCCCATCCCATCCCTTGTCTGGCATCCAAAAAGAATCATCTCGTCCACGGGACAAAAAAGATGGCTGGACCGACCCACGTGCGGCTCGAACGCACAATCTCCTGAGAATGATCGGAATCGGAATCAGGTGCCTTACCATTTGGCCAGCGGGTCTGGTTGATTCCATTTGGCCAGCGGTCCTGGTAGATTGATCGGATTGGGTTTTGGAGTGGAATCCGGCATGAGATCCTTACCCTTCCAGGGGTCCACCCGCTCGAGGTTTGGAGAGAGAGCTCCATATTATTATCGGGTGGGTGCGTCTGTGATGTGATGATGTTGCGGTCTTGGTTTTCGACTACACAGGATGGACAGACGGGGCGAGGTTGCCGGCTGACAATGTCTTCGTTGGTTCCTGTGCATACGGCCGTTCTATGGCCCTTCTCTCGGCCTGTCAGGGTTACCGTCTAGATAAAATATAATTTGATTTGTACATAAAGTTCAATAGTGGGGGCCTAGACAGTAATCATCTCTATCAATGTCTGAAACCGAATGGATGACCTCCACGTCGGTCCATCATGTACCCTAGTTATTATTATGACTACATGACAGAAAATAATTAACAAAAAGAATAGCCCCCTCAAGTGAGAAGAAATATGTATGAGGTCCAGGTTACTAAATCTCAACACACCCATTCCATCATGGAAGCTGATTGACGGCGTTCTCTGTGGTGGGCAGCTCCTGGGACGGCCAGATCCTCGGCTCGGACGTCCTCGGCGGCGGCACTGGCGGCGGCGGCGGCGGCACTGGCGGCGGCGCCGGGGTGGTGTACTGGTACTGGTATGCGACGGGATGCTCGTCGCTGCTGCTGCTGCTGCTATTGGTGTACTGGTATTTGTCGTTGGCCGAGACCCTGGGCTGCGACGGCTCGGCCTTGGCTGCGTCGACGAGGCGCTTGAGCCGGCGGTTCTGCATGACTGCCACGGCGAGGGCGATGGAGACGGCCAAGAGTAAAGAGCCGAGGACCCCGCCGATGATGGGTGCTGTGTTGTTATTTTTGGAGGTTGGCCCGTCGCTGGGCGTCAGGGTGCTGTTGTTCCCTGTGTTGGCCAAGGTGCCACCGTCTGGTGCTGATGTGGTCTGGGCAGACGGCCGGGTGGTTGTTTTGGTGGCACTCTTGGAGGTGCCAGCACCGCTACTCTGGCTGTTGTTCTGGCCGTTGCTCTGGCTGTTGTTCTGGCCGTTGCTCTGGTCATTTTCCTGGTCATTGCTCTGGCCGTTGCCCTGGTCGGTGGTCTGGCTATTCGTCTGGTTGTTGGTCTGGTTGTTGGTCTGGCTGTCGCTCTGGTTGTTGGTCTGGCTGTCGCTCTGGTTGTTGGTCTGGCTGTCACTGTCGCCGTTTGTCTGGCCGTCGCTCTGGCCGTCGCTCTGGCTGTTTCCCTGTGTGGCTTTCTCGGGGGCAGCTTGTGTTTGGCTCGACAAGAGGGTCTTGATTCCTGCGTCGGTGGTTGCGGGGGTGTTTGCCGAGGCGGGACTGTCAGAGGGAGAGAGCTGGCGCACGACAGTTCCGAGCTTGCGGATCAACATGAAGCTGTTCTGGCAGCACTCGGCATCCGTGAGGTAGGCTCCACTGCAACACCATGTCTTCTCTCCGCAGGGTTTCATCACACGGCTGTAGCCCTCTTGTGAAGTGATGCTCGTCAGCCGACAGCTCGGTCTCGGAAAGGGGCAGGAGAGGAAAGGAGGAGAAAACTGACTTGTTGCATTGGGCGGGGGGTTGCAGTACTGAGCGCACACAGGATCCCTCCAGGTGGAATCGGTGCAGCCGTTGATCCATATCATCGAGTCGGGCGTCTTCGAGCCCGAGGACACACACACGCCCGTCGACATGCAAATGTCGCCCGTGCCTTGGTTGCAGCATGCCGAGTGGGAGCCGGATTCGCCCGTCGCGGCCGAGTTGCAGGCTATGATATACTTGTCCCCAACAACGGTGCCGTCCGGGTTGTAGCACACGGCACCACACGCTGCCCGCCTGGCCATGCAGAGGAGGAGGCACACCAGCGGCAGTCTTGTTCTCCCCATGGTGAAAGGCGTCGTGTCACCCAGAGCCAGCGAAGGCGTATTGCCGGAGCAAAGGAGAACTTGATCCAACAAAGCGCAGATGTCGGTGGTGTTTTCTTGGGCCCGGGAGGGCAACAGGGAGAAAGGGGGACTCGGCCGAGTCTACAATTACTAGCGGGAACGGTGGCATTTGACGTCTGACGGCACTGTGAATGGATGGAGGGGAGTGGATGAGACGAGACGAGACAAGACGAGATTGGCCCCAGATCCTAGAGAGCAGGCGACGAATCAACGGAAGCAATGGCCTTGCATGCGGGCAAAGGGCAGAAGCTGTGCGGCGAGGCGGCACAACTGGGCATAATAGGGCTGCGCCGGGGCCGCCAAGCGGGCCTGGGTCCGGGAACAGGAGCCGGCTAGCACGAAGGAACGCCCTATAGTCCCGATTTGGCCAGCTTCATGCACGGATCTTGACGCATCTCCATGGGCTTTCCTCCTTTGTTGGTTCTTGGTGGAGCCGGCGGCAGCTGCCTTGATGCGATCTCACCTCCAGAGTCCGAGCACGCGAATGGCGCCGCCGCCCTGTGCCACGCAGCACCACAGCAATCGGCAACAAAGCGACTCTGGCTTACTATGTAAGTTGCCAAACGCACGTGGAAGGCGTCGCCCCGCTGGTAACGGCGCCGATTGGGCCGTTTCAGGAGCGATTAACTAGAAGTAGTCTAGAAACGCGTTTCATCTCTTCTGCCAAACGGCCCCGATGAGTCTGATAAACCCTCCGGCTAGTGATGCACCCGGAGGCCCCGACCCCAAATTAGGGCCGTGTCCGCAAAAACAGCAAGTGCTAGATCATCCGTAGAGCGAGTCACACATGGCGCAGTAGTCTATTGCCCTAGAACCGCCGATACTATCGGAGCCGATATTGACAATCTCGACGTCCCATTGTTGGGTTGCCCAGCCCGTCCGGCACCGAACACTAAGCTCGCTCATCTCTTTTCCGACGTTGCAGCACCCAACCTTGCTTTTGCTTCGGGCCTCGTCAGTACATGGGGAAAAAGAAGAGACGGTTGGATGCTTTTTTTGCGAGATTCCAGTTTAAGCCATTTACCTCGTTCAGGGGGCAGGTAGAGAAATACATTTTCATTCCGGGCCTAGCAGCCAACCCATAGCACTAATGCCATGGTGGTAGGAGCCGACTCTGCGACGTTGAGCGAGTAAACGAGAGCGCATGTCCAATCAATTGCTTCGACTTTTGTTTAAGCACGTTACCCCCTTTTTGTCTCTGCTTTTTCTGTCTGCCGTCAGCCGACTGGCCTCACCCCGCTGCAGTTTGCACAACCCTTTATCCCTTTCATCCGAAGCAGCAAACCAAGAACAAAGCAAGCCACCTACGCCGGCACTGGCAGCGTTGCCGGGAAGCTATACCCGCAGTTCGGCTTCTTCTCGCAGTACGTCATAGTGTGAATAAACCTCAACTTCCCATGCTCGACACGGAACTCGTGGCTGTCAGGCGCATTCCCGATACTGCCAAACTCGAGCAACACGCTCACGACACCCACACTCTCGTCAATCACATAACGGCGATTCGGCATGTCATACGACTGGATGACGCCGAGGTTACAAGTGTCAGACGGCAGGCCGCGGCCGGTATAGGCGCCGCCCTCGAGGCGCGCACACGGCGAGCCCCACGGCACGGCGACGCTGGCATTCTTGAACACGTCGAGGTAGGCGTCGGCGGCGGCCTGGATAGCGGCGCGCGAGTCGCGCTGCGCTACCGGGATCGCGCCCCAGTCCTCGCCCAGCGCGTAGTGCAGCGTACCCGTGGCGTTGAACAGCCAGTCGCCGGGCGTGGTGACGACGCGGTCGATTTTCGTCAGTCTGCCGCTGTCGGGGCCCAGCCAGAGCTGGGCGCCGATGACGCGCGGTGCCGCGGCGTCGGTAATGATCAGGTCCGTGAAGGACGCGCACTGCGTCAGGTCGAAGATGCTGTGGCTGCGGTCGATGCGCTGCGGCGAAGCTGTCGCGAGCGAGCTGTTGGACCGCCAGCCCGGCAGCGTGCGGCCGTTCTCCAAGTACGTGGCGTTGTCGGCCAGCACCGGCGCCAGCCAGCTGAGGCTGCCCGTGCTCTGCGCCGCGATGTACCGGTCCGTGGCTTCGCGGAGCAGCCCCTGGTTGCACGCCGCGCTTGCGACGGCGGCAGTCGTGGCCAGGCCCCAGGCCAGCGCGGCGATAGTGGAGTGATGCATTGTGTTTTCCAGGGGGAGATACTGGGCCCAAGGTCGTGACAAGACCAAAGCCTGTTGCACGCTGCACCGAGTTGGCTGGCTGAGCTGGTGGTTTTCTATCCCGAAACCTGCATCTCGCGGCCACGGGGCTTGTCAATTGCCGTATCGTGAAATAGCCGGGGCGACCCGAGGACCCAGACCTCCTCACTTGGGATATTTGTCGAATTGAGCCGCGTCATCTCTTGGGGGACTCTTCTCGGCTGTACCCGTATAATAATATGAATAAAATGGCCTTGGTATTCGCCGTCTGCCGGTTTTAACCCCTTTCCAACTTATCCCTAGACCTTCCAAGCCACCCTCAGAGGCTCTGCTTCAGGTCAAGCTCGGCGCGATGGTCTTCCAACTTCCAAGTGTGCGAGAGAGCGGAATGCTCGGGCCTGTAGGATCTGAGGGATTGTTCAAGTGGCATGGATGCCACGTCGGTCACTAAAGTGTTGGCTCAAGACCAAGCCGAGGATTACTGTCCAGGGTCGCCCGCAGTGATTTTAATGACTGTGGCAAGAGCAAGGGCAAGAAAGCGATAACTAGTTCGGCTAGGCATGATGCTAAACCAAGCTCGGAGGCATCTGGCTTGTTTTATTCTCCAAGTCTTTTGTTACTTTCACGTATTGCCCACGACTGAGAGCCCTTGCTACGGGCAGTGATCCCCCCTCGGTAATCGGAGCTGGGGCCCAAGTCTTAATTTAACGTCTCAAGACCCGAAGCGTTGTTATTATTTTTGCTCAATACGTAATTGTCGCTGATTAAGTCGTCTCAGTCCTGTCTGGCAGGATCCAACTCGACGGCTCCCACAACTTCATCAATCTCGACCATGATCTCAGGCGTCAGCTTGTCGAGCGACTTGAGGGCCTTGACGTTCTCGACGATCTGCTCGGGCCGAGACGCGCCAGTGATGACGGACGACACATTCGGGTTCTTGAGGCACCACGCCAGAGCCAGCTCTGACTGTGGGATACCAACCTTGTCGGCGATGACCTGCAAGAAAGGTGTTGGCGTCAGCAAATGACCTTTACGTTTTCGGGTACGCAATAGCAAGATCAAACAATAAAGAAATTAGAGGACAGGATGGTTAGAAGGATGGAAGGATGGAGCGATGTGGGGATGGAGGAATGGAAGGATAGATGGATGGAGGCATGGAGGCATGGGAGGACGGGGGATAATGGGATGACGGACGATGGGACGACGACGAGCGTATCAGATTCTGCAGATGAAAAGAGAAATCCTTGCCTTGATCTTCCGAACCTTCTCAATATCCTCCTGCCATCCCTTGTTCCCGTAGTTGTCGCGCATGTAGCTGACAAACTTGTCGTCGCCCTTGGCGAAGCGGCTGCCGGGGGGCGGGGCGTCGGGCGAGTCGTTGTACTTGCCGCTCAAGAAGCCGAACTTGAGCGGGCTGAAGGTGGTCAAGCCGAGACCGAAGCGGCTGTAGAGACGCTGGAACTCGCCCTCGACCTTCTTTCTGTGTAGGAGGTTGTAGAAGGGCTGCTCGACCACGGGGGCGATCAGGCCCAGCTGCTTGGCGATGCCGCACGCCTCGACGATCTCGTCGGCGCTCCACTCGCTCGTGCCCCAGTACATGGCCCAGCCCTTGATCTCGACGACGTGGTTGAAGGCACGCACCACTTCCTCCATTGGCGTCAGCCGGTCCGGCCGGTGCGCGTAGACGATGTCGACGTACTCGAGGTCGAGCCGCTTCAGCGACGCCCGGAGGCCCTCGATAATGTGCTTGCGGCTCAGCCCGTGGTTGTTGACGAGCACCTCGCCGTTGGCGCCGCCCCAGTTTATCTTGGTGCTAATGACAATGTCGTTTCGGTTCCAGCCGAGCTTCTTGATGGCCAGTCCCATGGCAACCTCGGATTGGCCGCCAGTGTAGCTTTTCACTCCAGGTGGTAAGCTGTGGGGTCCAGAGAGGCCAGAGAGGGGTTGAAGAGAATGAGACGCGGCAGCAGGGTAGGTCAATAGACAGCATTGCGGGGTAGGTGGTTACTTTTCAGCAGTGTCAAAGAAGTTGATGCCGCAGTCGTATGCTTGTTTCAGGCACGCCAGGGTTGTGTCTAGACGTAGCCGGCCACCGTCAGCCACGCTGCGAGGCGTCCACAAGCGGACAAGCTTGACAGGTAGGTTAGGTGGGTAGTTACCGTTTCCGACCTGGCCGCCAAAGGTCAGCCAGCCGCCGAGACCCAGAGCCGATACGTGCAGGCCGGAATTCCCCAGGCGGCGGTACACCATGCCCGTCTTGCGCGGTTCTTCCCAGGCCATTGTGGGTGTATTTGCTGTGGATAGTGCTCCAAACGCGAATGATTGGGTTCAAAAGAGTGCGCGGGTGAACTGCCACGATTGTTGATTGTTCCAAACTTCAAGTGTATGACGACGATCCGAAAAAGAAACGAGGGGGCCTGGCGAATGAGGGGTAGAATATGAGGTGGGATTTTGAGCTCGGGGTAGTGGCTCCCGTCCCAGCTTGGACCTGCCCAATCAGCTGGTTCGGCACGAGCTCTGCGCGAAAAAGGACCACCACGGTCAACGTGGGCCGTATGTGGGCCGTATGTAGGCCGTATGTGGGCCGTATGTAGGCCGTATGTGGGCCGTATGTGGGCCGTCAACCTGGGGAGGTGGGGTAATTAGATGACGTCGGACGGATCTGAGCAATTCTTTCCAGTAAACGGCTTCGGCAGGATGTGTACGGTTGGGAGAGGGGCCCCTGCGTTGGCAGGCGGTTGCCAAGTGGAGGGGGCGGGGGGGCATTAGGGTAGCGCGTATCGTAGTGCGCTTCCAAGTTTTGACAAGAATATTCCAACCTTTTAGAGACAAAGGGAGACGTCCGCACTAGATACGACTAACAACCAACGGCCGCTGACTCCCGAAAAAGGACTTCGAAGGCCAAACATGATTGGTGCTAATTAACTGACGTAGTCCCTTGACAGGAATGTCCCTTGCCAGCAACTGACTGGGCCTCTCGACTCGACACTGCCTAGTGTAGGTGATTATTCCTGATTAAGCGTGGTTTTCCCGTCTCGAGCTAGCAGCCTGGGCTCTCATGTCATAAGCATAGGTTGGCCTGGTATTGACGGCGTAATTACCCAAGGTATTACCCACCCAGGCCGTAATCGGTGGTATTATGTGAGCGACGCTAGTACACTAGCTAACACGCGCCTCTCTTTCAGCGACCAGGGCTTTCGCATCTGGGCCTTTGCGAACAGGGAGACAGGAAGAAAGTGTCCGGGCAGAAAACTGCAGCCTCCACGGGGAGGCTTTGCTGAATTCGCTTCACCTCGGCACACCCGTGAGCTATGTCACCCAAGTGCCTGCTTTTTCGTCTTGCTTTGTTTTGTTTCTGTTTTTGTTTTCGTCCCCGTCCCCGTCCCCGTCCCCGTCCCCGTCCCCGTCCCTGTCCCTGTCCCTGTCCCTGTCCCTGTCCCTGTCCCTGTCCCTGTCCCTGTCCCTGTCCCCGTCTCCATCCCAATCTGCATGCCGCGTGCTTCTGCCGAAGGACAAATGAACCGGGCCGCCGTCGCCTCTTTTTCCTGGGATGGATTCACCGACATACGAGCCAGTTCAGTATCTTCAAGAGTCGTGACCCATGTCTCTGTCTGGGGTCGTATTCATAGGGCGTAGCAACACGATATTCTTCAGCATGGAGCCCACAGACGGCGCTCGTCTGTCGGCCTCTCAGTCTGTCAGTCTGAAACGAGTACCATTCTGTGCCCCATACCAAGGGCCCCGGAATAGTTGCAACAGCTGGGTTGTTGGCGGCGTGAACCAAACGGACATGTCCGAGTCGACTGAGTGCAAATCTCCTCCTGCTTCTGCTCTAGGACTGACTACTTTTAATTCTTCATCCTCACCATCAAACTCAGTTAACTCACTACTTCATCTTCCCACCGCTAGCCGGTACTTTATCTGTCTTCCACTTCTTAACTTTGACTTCTTGCTCCTATTAATTGTGCTCGTTCGAGTCTCGTCCTCCCACCGTCTAAATTCCCATTGCCCGCCCCCTCCCCCCCCCCCCCCCGCTCCCGTATTCGCTGCCGCGTTGGGCATAGGCGCCAAAGCTTCCAGCCATTTATGATACGATCTCGGGCCATTCCTCCCGAACACAATTACCCGTAGTTCGGGTATAACATGCGGTGAATCTTCGGTCTGGCCCACAACACTGTTTGCATGGCTCTGTACTTTCCACCTACGCCGGGTATTGGTGTCATCTTTTGCGTACAGTGCTAGTTATTTCACCTTGGCGGACACTCTCACTCCTCTCGACATTATATCTCCATCTCAGATCATTCTGAGCCAACGCTGAAAGTTCGCTCAGCAAAGTGAGAGAGGAATGAAGGAAGAAAGCGCTCGTGAATTGAGATTGGTATTGCTACTCTCACATCTCTAATGACTAATTACCGCCAGCCCGATCAATACACAAACCTGAAGTCCAAGCGCTTGTTCCCCTCCCCTTCCCGAGCCTTGACGTCGTTCTGGTACTCGGACTGCTCGGTCGGCGACAGCTTGTCCCACTGCTCGGCCTTCTTCTTGTTGAGGTGGACGAGGATCTGGCGCTGGACGACAAAGACGACGAGCGACAGGGCGCAGATGGAGATGAGGATCTTGTTGCCCATCTTGTAGTAGGGCTTGTCGTAGTCGCGGTACAGCTGGCTGCTGATTAGGCTGCCGACCTGCACGATGACGTTGTAAATGGCGGCGGCGATGGCGCGCTTCTTGACGTCGAACGTGTTCTCGGACAGCCACGACGTGACGATGGGGTGGAAATAGGGGTAGCCCGAGATGAGCGTGATGAGGGCGAAGCGCGGCCACTCGCGGCCGCCGTCGGGCAGCGTCAGCAGCGAGATGAGCAGCGGCATGATCCACAGCTCGCCAAAGATGCAGTGCAGCGTGCGCTCGTTGAAGAAGTCGCTGCTCCACGCCAGCGCCAGCATAGTGATGATCTGCAGCGCCGCCGACGGGATCGTGAGCATGTTGGAGTCGAACGACGAGAAGCCGATGCGCCGCAGCGTTAGTGTGAGGTACCCCTGGACTGGTGACGCGGGGATGTACGCCACCAGCCCGACGAAGTACAGCCCCCAGAGCGAGCGGTCCATGAGCGTGTTCTTGATGTCCCGCACCGTGATGGGCTGCAGGATCCCCGTGAGGCCCTTGGCGGGATCGTCACGGAGAATGCGGTTCACCATGATGACCTCCTGGCGCTCCGTGTACCACGGCTTGCGGAAGATGGCGCCAGTGGTATTGGTGGGCGAGGCCGGCAGGTAGAAGAAAGACTACACAATGCCCAAGTCAGCAGGCGCTCTGATTTCTGGGCTGAAGTAATTAATTAATACGCACGATGATGGCAATAACCACGGTGAGCAAGCCCTCGAGCAGGAACAGCCAGAACCAGCCCGTGCGCCCGCCGATGCCGCGCATCTTGAGGATGCCGGCGGCCAGCAGGGCCGAGATGACGCGGGCGACGTTGAGCGTCGACCAGAAGACAGCGAGGCGGACCGAGAGCTCCTTGGAGGTGTAGAAGTAGGTGGCGTAGAGGATTGTGCCGGGGATGAAGCCGCCCTCGCAGGCGCCAATGAGGGCGCGCGTGATGTAGAAGCCAGTGCGGTTGTACATCCAAGCCTGGGCCCACGACACCATGCCCCAGCTGAACATCATGATGGGCAGGACGCGGCGGAAGCCGTAGCGCTTGGTGATGATCTGGACGGGGAACTCGGCGGCCAGGAAGGCCAGCAGCTGGATGGTGGTGCCGTTGTTGTAGTCGTCGCCCGTCAGCTTGAGGTCGACGAGCAGGTTGTCGGCGAGCGCGTTGGACAGGTTGCCGCGGTCAAGCTGCAGCCCGAAGAACATGACACAGAGCCACGACATGAGGACCATGTCCGTCTTGCGCACAAGTGCCTTTTCCTCTCGGGGGGTCCATGTCGCCTCGGGGTCCCAGCGGTGCTTCCCTTCGTAGTGGTCCGAGGGCGAGATGGCGCCGCTCAGCTGGTCCCGTCCAATGGCAATCACGGCGTCGAGAAAGCCGCCAGTGCTGCTCATACCGCGGCTTCTGTCCACGTCGGCGACGGCGACCGAAGGGCCCTCAACATCTGGGTTTCCCATGGCGCTACGTCTCGCGACACGGCGGTCGTGGCCAGAAAGGGGTAAGGGTAAGGGGTAAGCGGTAAGGGTAAGGGGTAAAAGGGGGGTAAACAAAACTCCAGCGAAATGGCCAAGATGCAATGCAATGCAATGCAGATGGAAGAGGGTGCAATATTGTCCCAAAGACGGGCGAAGGGCAAGGGATATTTACTACATGTTGCCTTGAGCGATTTTCGCGTCTCAACTACCGCGCAGCGAGATACAAATCTCTCCAACGGTCGCCGTGCAGCTTCAATTTCGGCCAAAGGATCGGAGAAAACTCTGCCCATCAACCAAGTCCTACGGCGAACTGCCTAGACGGGCACACCCGAGTGCAAGTTTCACGTGCAGCACGACGCCAGAGGCAGGGTAATCGACACTAAGGCCGTGCCGAGCGGGTCGCGTCGGCGGCTTCCAACGCTGACGGCCTCGTCAGGCCACCAGACCCGATGGCTTGTCCCGATGCCAGCGGGCTGTGTGCTCCCAACTGGCTGGCTCGCGCCGCGGGCTCGGGGACGGCGGCCGAGACGGGGATGGCGCGGTGATTGCTCATTCTGGGGCCCGCTGACGCCATCGATGCTCCCCGGTGTTTTCTCCGCCGCTAAGCGTCTCGATGGCCATGTACCCCATCGGCCCCCGCCCGGCTGCAACCTCGATGTGATCTAGCACAACCTCGACGTATGGTTGTGCGTGACGGGCAGGGTGGGAGCGATCCCAACCTCCGCACATGCACGTACACCCGGTCCAGATGCTATTTACCTTGGTACTCGCTGCACACATCCCACAATATTATTAATTATTACAGTATCACTACGCCGAAGCAATTCAGTGCCCGCCCACCTCCATCTGAAATACCTGCATACCTCCCTGCCGACGTGCCCCCAAACGCCCCGACGTCCCCTGTCTCTCCAAGTCTCCAGCCTCGGTGCCCCGTCGTGCTCCTCCCGGTGCCGCCCCCGTTTTCACGTTCGCCATGCCGTCGGCAGCTCCCCGTGCCCCAAAGGTCTTCGGCGGCAATGAGCTTGCCAGGCCGCGAGTCAGCAACCTGGCCTACTCGGGCTCGCTCGAGAGATTCAAGCACAGCGACCTGACGCCCGTCATTGGGCGCGAGTTTGAGGGTCTGCAGGTCGCGGAGCTCCTGAGCGCCCCCGACGACACTATCGCCGACTTGGCCGTCACTAGTGAGTGCCCCCTCGAGCGGCGCCACAAGCCGTGCCAATACTAACGTAAATTTTGTGGCCAGTATCTGAGCGGGGGGTCGTGTTTCTGCGTGACCAGGATGTTACACCAACCCAGATGAAGGACCTGATGCTGCGCCTGACACAGGTTGCCGGTTCGGTAAGCCGTCGCTTTGTCCCTGTTGGAGTCCCAGTAGAGTGCTAACGACCCACGCTGCAGCCGTCGTCGTCGGGCCTGCACGTGCACCCCCTGACGGAAGAGGGCAGCGAGCTGGGGGACCAGATCAGCGTCATCAGCTCGGAGAAGCAGAAGAAGGGCGGGGGGCTGACGCACCAGCTGTCCGACGTCAGCCGCTTCGCCAGCAGCGGGTGGCATAGCGACATCAGCTTCGAGCCGGTGCCGTCCGACTACGCCATGCTCAAGATCCACACGCTGCCGGCGACCGGCGGCGACACCATCTGGGCCAGCGGCTACGAGGTCTACGACCGCCTGTCGCCGCCGCTGCGCGCCATGCTCGCCGGCCTGACCGCCACCCACGACGCCACCTTCTTCCTCGACGAGGCCGCCCGGCTCGGCAACCCCATCCGCCAGGGCGAGCGCGGGTCGCCGCTGAATCAGGGCAAGGCGCTGACGGCGGTGCATCCCGTGATCCGGACGAACCGTGTGTTCCCTCTCTCTCTCTGAGCAAGGACCACGACTGACTAAATGCGCTGTCTAGCTGCGACGGGGTGGAACTCGGTGTACGTCAACAAGGGCTTCACCAAGCGCATCAACGGGGTGACCAAGGACGAGTCGGACGTGCTGCTGGCGTACCTGTTCAACCTGGTGACGCAGAACCACGACGCGCAGGTGCGGTTCCGCTGGCGGCAGAACGACCTGGCCATCTGGGACAACCGCAGCACGTGGCACTGCGCGACGTATGACTATGCCGAGGCCCGCGCCGGCGACCGCGTGTGCTCGCTCGGCGAGGCGCCCTACCTCGACCCGGCGGCCACGGGCCGGAGGGAGGCGCTGGGCATGTGACGGCGCTGTGCTGGCTAATTGTTAATTAGCGATACGAATTAACGATGGTTACCGGGCAACGATTTGGAAGGCTGTGTGTGCATCAAAACAAAATAGTGTTCTCTGACACGGTCGTCATTTACGACGGGAAGTAATTACGTCTTGGTGTTGTTGTTAATAAAAAGAATTAATTAGGACTTCAGCTTGACAAGATATCTTAAAGACAGATTGGCCGTGCACGACACGGGGGTGTTTACTTGCACCCGCATAACCCTCTATGCAACAATCACCACGCCTATGAAACCCGCCTCGCGTAGCCACCGCCATGCGGCGCGTCTTTTCATGGCCCGTCGCACCGTTCGCGAGCTGAACAGCTAGCGGCCGACGAGGCCCAATCAAATCCCAGCCTTCGGACGCCGCCCGTCAGGCCGTGTCAGCCTCAAAGCTTGGCAGGAGCTTGCCCAATGCCCAACGGTTTTGGTTGACGGTTCCTTGTCGACCGTGTCCTGACTCACTGGGCCGAGCTGCAGGCAAGCGGGCAGTGAAGTCGACGCAGCGGCAATGTTGCGGTTTCAGGCCGTCGGCACAGCCACTGCTGTTTGTCGCGATATGAGATGTCGACGCCCGCACGGCGACGAGAGGAGTAATTATTGACTTTGACGAAAACGTATAATTAACTGCCTGCCTCCCCCCGTTGAGAAGAAATCGAACTGTCCCCTTTCACGGCAGCAGAGCAAAGCCCACCACATCTCCAATTTCAAAACAAACCCCCCCCTCGCGCCAAAACAATGGAGCAGCCCGCCACTCCCACCCAAGAACCTGCCGCCCCTGAACCTGCCGCCCCTGAACCTGCCGCCCCTGACACGGCCAGCGATGGGAACAACGGCCCAGCCACCACGCCACTGCACGCCGCCGCGCAGCGCCTCGACCTGCCCGCGATCCGCTCGCTGCTCAGCAACCCCCCAGCGACCTGGCAGGACATGATCAACGCGTCGCTCCCCTCGCCAGACAACGAGGAGCAGAAACACACGCCGCTGCTGGCACTGGTGCTAGCCGCGCTCGACAACGCCAACGCCACCGACAATGACAACGACGACGACGACGGCGTGCTAACCGCGCTCCGCCTCCTCGGCACAGCCGGCGCAGACGCCAACGCGCGCGACAGCGACGGGCTAACAGCCCTGCACCACTGCGCGCTACGCAGCAGCGGCGACAGCGACACCAGCGAGACAGCCCTCGCCATCGCTCGCGTGCTGCTCGTGGACCTAGGCGCCGACGCGAACGCCACGAAGCGCGCCACCGTGGTTCCTCCTCCTCACGCACGTGGGGATGGGCATGAGCATGACGACGGGTGTGCGTGCGGAGCCCACGTCGGCGCCGCGCTGGGAGCCGCGTACCGTGCTGCGACGGGCGAGGCGCTGGACCTGTCGGCGCGGCGGGCCGAGGAGGACGTGACGCCGCTGTTTCATGCCGTTGGAGGGGGCAGCAGCGGGAATCTGGCGTTTGCGGCGCTGCTAGTGGCGCACGGGGCGCGGGCGGACGCGTGGGATGGCGACGCCGGGACGGTCTTGCACAGCGCGGTGCGCGGCGGCAGCGCCAGCGCCAGCGCCAGCGAGGCGGCCGTGGCGTATGTGCTGGGGCTGGACGGGGCGGCGAAAGGTCTGCGGATGGCGACGCGGCGCGGGCTGCTACCGCTGCACGAGGCGGTGCAAGACCCCGGCACGGCGGGCGTGGTACGGCTGTTATTGGACGCCGGGGCGGACGTGGACGCTGCTGTCGGCGAGGGGGAGGGGGCTGAGGCGGACGCGGTGCGCGCCAACAGGCGCGGACTGACTCCGCTGATGCTGGCGTGCGACAATGCGCGCCGCGGCGAGGGGATCTTGGAGGTGATCGGGCTGTTGCTGGACCGCGGCGCGGACCCGAACAAGGTTGGCGGCCTGCAGCAGAACGCGTTGTTGTTGGCCGCGCTGGCCCAGAGCCTCGAGGCCGTGCAGCTGCTGGCGGCGCGCGGGGCTGATATCCCGGCCATGATGGCGGCGGCGCGGCGCAATGATGCTACCGTCAGCCCGCTGGCGGCGGCCGTGGTTAGCGGACATGCCGGGCTGTGCCGGTGGATGGTGGAGCAGGGCGGGTGCAGCGTCGAGGAGCGCGATTCGGACGGGTACACGCCCCTGATCCACGCGGCCGGGTACTCGCGCGGCGACTCGGCCGAGACGGTGCGCGTGCTGGTCGAGCTGGGGGCGGACGTCGAGGCGCGCATCCATGACGGCCGGCGGGCGCTGCATTTTGCCGCGTTCAAGAACCAGCCGCGGTGCGCCGTCGAGCTTCTGCGGCTAGGCGCCGACATCGAGGCCGAGGATGACAGCGGCTGGACGCCGCTGCACTTTGCTGCGCGCTACCACCACGCCATCGTCGTGTGCCACCTGCTGGCCAGCGACGCGGCGGTCGGAAAGCGGGTCCGGGGCGGCCCGCAGCCCAAGAACAAGGACGGTGTCGAGTTTGAGATTGAGGACTTCACGGCGGCCGACCTCGCCAAGATTGTCAGGGGCGGCGGCGAAACCGTCCAGCTGCTGCTCGAGAAGGGCGACACGCTGTCCGACGAGACCAAGGACCTGGTCGACGACGACCTGTGGGAGGACACGGGGAACGCGTGCTGTGTCATGTGAGCCTCGCCTTGGCCGTAGGCATGTCTTTGCTGTCGAATATATTGATGACCTCTTTGATTCTGTTGTCTCTAACGACCCTCTAATACTGCAAATGACCAAGAAATACCGCAATCCTGTCTTCCAGTCACGAGCCAAAGACTCGTCTTCCGGAGAAATGGCTATTATCTTATTCTACCTTACCTAATCAAGGTACGAGGACGCAACGCCTGCCGGTTGGGCCTGTAATTATCCTTCCCCCTTCCCTTTTCTTGCATACGACATGAGCAGAGTAGACGGGGGATATGCCACAACGGGCACGAAATGGAAAAGGTGAGTTCTCGGATTCGAACACGTCAAGCTCGCGGGCGAAAGAAAAGAAAGAAAACGAAAAAAACACTATTGGTTGGACCGACCATGGCGGCCATTCATTTGCAAGTTCACGCACAGGACGGTCAAAGATCAGATTTAGCGCTCGTCGTGTGAAAGAAGCGAGCTTTCATTTGTTCGCGTTTTGTAAAGAACTGAATGAGCTGGCTTCCTGAGCAACTGAGGTAGTCTAATATAATATAGCTATCTGGTAATTATGTTTGTTTCTCAACATGAGGAGACTGCCAGCCAGCCAGCCGGCCAGCCGTTTCTCGAACTGGCATCTTTTCTTCTCGCTTAGGGCCTGCCTTTTCACTCGGGATCCAGCCCGAATCTAATTCCAATCTAGTTAGTCCTCTGAGGCTCTGCCTCAATGAGATACAAATTCATTTCCCTTCAATGACCCCCATGAGGACCTGCCTCCCAGTTACCAGACTGGCTTCTTCCTCCCCCTCCCAGTGTCCAGACTGGCTTTCTTGGCCAAGGCCTGCCTTGTTCAACCACCCATGCTTGCCGGCCAATGCCGCCGTCCTCGCCTGTCTCAGTATTCTTTCGGGCCCGGGTATTCTCAATCAGTGAATCGCGGGGAATGGTCTTTTTATCAAATAAGGTTATTCCTCCTGGTGAAATCGTTCATGGTCACATGAGGTTTGTTCATAGTCCCTCCAAAAGCCATCTCAGTAACAATGGCCCCGCCATGGACAAGGGCCTTTGCAAGGTTGGCAGGGGCGGTGAGGAATACTTTCCATTTGCTGACCTCGGGGTCCTTGAAATAGAGCCCAGTCTTGAGGTGTGCCAGGGCCTTATTGTGGAGTGTGTCCGCCTTGGACGGTTCGACTTTGTTTTTATCCTGGAAGCGGAATATGACATTCATGCCCACCTGAACGAGATGATTGCCGCAGGGTGGTGCAGGGGCCGCCATTTCAAGCTCCAACCTGCTCCAACCTGCTTGCGGGTTCTGTTGGCATCTTGAAGAGGGCTTCCTACGCGACAGTCTCGTTAGGTTGAGTTGGGATGCCCGACCATTCGGAAAACGTGGCCGGGTTCATGATGGCGTGCTTCTTGGTGAATGCGGGCCAATCCGAGCGACGGTATCGAAAACGCCAACAATACTACTGCTCTAGCCTCTAGTTTAGTACAGTACTGTGCATCATTGCAGCCTGCCGTTGAGCACATGGGAACCTAGTGGGATTTCGAATGGGCCAGATCTTTGGTGGTCCGAGTGCCGATTCCCGATGGCGCCGCTTTCATCCGTCTCCCGGCCGACTTGATAAACTGCCCCGATTCTCCTCTCCATCCGCCACCTCCAACCTCCATCCCCGACAAGCAACGGCAGGAACCATAGAATGCAGGAACTACTGGGGGCACTGTTCTGCCCTTCCCTCTTTGCAGACATGATTGCCCTGACTGCTTCCACCCAAACCAAACAACTAAATAATTACCTACATTCATCGCCTCGGAGTCGCCCCAGTTACAGTCCACCCGCCCAGCCGGAAATACTCTGCTGCGCAGAGCCTGTGCCGATCCTCGACCAACACTCAACACCTTGCACCTAGTCCAGTCGGGACTCGCAATGGGCCGGTCCCACGGTCTTGACATTGACGATTGCTGGGGTCTTTGCTCACCACTTGTCGACTCTACCACGCCCGCCGAGCAGCATTTGCTCCCGTCTCTCCCCTGCCCTGCCCTGCCGATGCCGTCTGATACCGAAGAGTCGAATGCCGAGAAGTCGCCAGCACGCCATTCACATTGCGTTGGATCCGTCCGAGGTCGTCTACCCCATTTCCCCACTTACCGTCCCGGACAGGAGCTGGGCGAGCTCTCCTCTTTCCCTACCGCCTTCCTCCGGGTTCGGCCGCCCATGCCCTACTCTCGTCCCCATTGATCAGGGGTTTAGGGGCTGGGTAATAAGGGGGTTGTTTACACCCTTGCCCAATATAACCTAGTGTACTTTTTTCCTTTTTTTCTTGGCCTGCCCACCTCATAAGGTAGGTGGCCCGCCCTCCCTCTAATCAGAGGGCCAGCATTGCTCTTTATCTTCCTTTCTAACCAGTATTTAGAAATCACGTATTTTACCATGAAGTAAGATCCCCAGACCAGTGCACGCAGTAGTGCCTTTTTATTTGTTGTTTTGACTCCCCGGCTATAGTATCCTGTACCTGTACTCTGTAAGGATCGCCTGCGGTTCGCCTTGGTGTTTTTTTTTGTGGCTGTTGTGTTGTGGTGCCTTTTCACCGCTTCGCTATAAATGTTGCTGCGTGGCGCGTGGGCTGGAATAGAGTCGAAGCCCTCGAAATAGTCCAATCGCCTCCCCAGCCTGGCTTGATGGAAGAGCAACGTCTTCCGCATCTTAGGTTAATACGCTCTAATTCCGGTCCAGCGTAAAAAACTGAAGCCCTCATCTCGTCCTAGTATTTTCCTAAATTTAAGAGAGACCAAACTCAAGAGAAAAGAGGCGGGCTATCTGATCAACCAGGAGACCGGGGCAGAGTAAAGACCCTGGATACTAGTACCACTCCTACACAAAATGACGGCGGACTTGACAGCCTCCCGCGGAGTGTGTCGATCGATGTGCAGGGATTTGGATTCGACCAACAGCGTCGTTAGGTGAATTCCCAGCCGTGATTCTATACAACCTTGTAATATGAGCTGACCTCTCGTCGAGGCGTGCCGTCTCCGAAGCCCAGCTCAATTGAACGGGGCAGCCCATCAACAGGCGGCAACTCCTCGCTGGCTATCTGCGCTGTAACCTTGCCGAGTCACATCTAAACATGTGTGGTAGCACAATGTCCGGGCGTCCCAACGTGTCTATATAACAGGGGTAGGTCAGGGACCAGCGATGACGAATACGGTAATTGGTGATTTGATTGATTCCGCTACAAGTCTCGTCTTGGAATACAGTCATCAGCGACGAAACTTTCACCGGGCGCAGGGAGTCTGAGAAGCCGCGAATATAGCCCCGGCGGGTTGCAGTGATAATTATGCCCGATCCCGGTGAAGCCACTGGCAAGGATGCACAGAGTGAGGTGTTGGCCAGTCAGGCTATGGGCTCTATCCCGATATCGTGAAGCAATTAGTACCTTACCCGGAGCCTCGCGCCACCGCACACCAGTTAGCTTCCATCACTTGTGTTGAATATTCAGCCCCGGAGACATCCGGCACGGCCAGCCACGTGCCAGTGCAGTTGGCCAGGTGGACCAACGAGAGCTCTCCCTCGGGAAAAATCCAGCTCTAGGGGTGGCACGCTGCACGCCGCTGCATCTTAACTTAACAACCCAATCCGAGGCCCTCAAACCAAGCTCCTCACGGCTCCTCACCAACTGCCGTCCTGATAGGCCGACATGTCGCCGCCCACATACTGAACTGGCATTGAACATGAAATTTGCTGACCAAACAATCATTTATCGATTTTTATGCACGCGGAGAAACCTCCATCTCTCCCGTTCAGCAGGCCACTTCGACGCCACCGCCGCCGTCGCGGGCGGCGTGCGACAAATCAAGCCTGTAGCCGCCCATACCGCAACGCAACGCACGAATAGTACGGATACACTCTGCCAACAAAGACAATTCGGAAATGCCTGCCGACAGCGAGAGCACCAGTAAGACGGTGCGGCTCGGCTCGGCATCCAACACGCACTGGCCCGGCCGGTTGTGACTCGCCCGTCCTGCCCCCCGCTCGCCGACCATTTCCCTCTCTTCCAGCTGCAGCCGTGGCCGGCGTTCAACGGGGAGTGCATTCACCCCAATCACATGATTAATTACACGAATGATTAGTTGAGTTTCTCTGCACGCTCGAGCAACCGACTGGTTCTCTCTGTCCCCTTTCCCTTTCCCTTTCCCTTTTCCTTCTCCATGCTTTTTGCAACGGTAAATCAGTTTTCCTCTTTGCGACTTCGGGCACCGGGGCCCTGCGGGGAAACAAGCAAGCAAGCACGCACGCACGCCAATACCCTACCCCAAGGCAGCCAGCCAGCCAGCCAGCCATTCATTGGCCCCTGGCTAATTCCTACTCGCTGCGTGGTCCTGTCCTGTCTTGTGTCGTGTCGTGTCTGGCCATGTCTGGCCGTGGCGCGCTGCAGGGCCCGCCCGAAAGGCACGTTTGCAGATCATGTCAATGTAGCACTGCATGCATAATAGTGACGGTGACAATGACCAGGCTGAGCAAATGTCTGGACCGCGTCCCCAGAGACGACTGTCTGTCGATCAATTTCTGTGACACGACCCCCGGACTCCCGAGGGCCTCATTTGCGTCCTAGAAGGGAAGTCGCAAGCGGGTGTTGTTTTCGGGTAGCATTGGCGGGCTGGGTAAGGGTGGGACGGGAGCCGAAACGGGGCATATCTTTCTCGGCAGGGTGGTATCCCATTCATAGCTTTATTCCTACGTAAGGTACAACATACGACGGGATGTGCCAAGCACAAGAGCCGCGCTCGCAGTCAAGGCAGCCTGAGGCAGAGCAAGACTTCAGGAAGATGGCATCATGACAGGGCAATGTGAGATTTGTTCTCGTTCATATTCCTGCCGCTCGGGACAGAGTACTGGCACGGCAGTTCATCCAAATTCATGATCAAATTATGGGCACACCAGAAGGATTTCCGCTGCGGAGAAAGAAAAAAGCCACTGGACGAAGGATAGATGCTATCCGCTCCTTCTGCACCTATTACAGCGTCCGGCCAATTAGTAATTAGTGTTGAAGTGAAAACAGGCCATTCCTTCCCTGCCAGAATCCCAACCCTTTCCCTCTCACCCAGCCCCCTTCCCCGTCTGCCGCAGCTTGCCGATTGGCTGCATCCTCTCGGAGATTCATTCTCACATGAAGCTAGCCTGGGATGCACAATAAATGGACAGCCTAGGCCAGCGCCAGAAGTGCCGACACGGCCACGCCAACGGCCACGCCAAGACCCAGCGTCTGAGACAGAGCGCCACTACCGCCAGTAACGGGCGGCGGCGCCGCCGTTGTCGCGGGCGTCAGAACCTGCAGCGACAAACGGCGGTTAGTTCGGCACACTCCATAAAAACAAGAAAATGAAAATGAAAATGAAAATGAAAAAAAAAAAAAAAAACGCACCTTGTCAATGACGTGCGCGACGCCATTCTCCAGCACAATATTCGCCTGCGTGATGCGCGCGCCGTTGACGTAGTACAGGCCGCCGGGCCGCACCGTGACAGTCAACTTCTCGCCCGTCTGCGTGGTCAGGGTGTCGCCGTCGGCGAGGTCGGGCAGGTACGCGACGCGGCCGGCGACGACGTGGCCCGTGACGAGCGCCGCCGCCGACACGCCGGCTGTGGCGTTGGCGCCTGCTGCGATCGCGTTGTTGCTCGGCAGGAACACCGTGATCGAGTGGGTTGTCTCGAGCGTGCTGGTGACGTTGCCTGCTGCGGCTAGGTTCGCGAATGCGGTTTGTCCTGTCGCGCGCGCGGACGAGGACAGTGCCTGCGGCGGCGTGAAGTATCTAGATGCGTAGTTTGCGAGGTCAGTGGGAGGCTTGTGAGGGGCAAAGGAGTGTGTCGGCGTGAACCCACTTGTCGGTGATGTGGATGACACCGCCCTGGAAGGCAATGTCGGCCTTGATGACGTTGGCGATCTTGCCCAGGCCCGACGCAATGCGGAGCAGCGAGTTCGGGTTGGGCTCGTCGCAGTCGCCATCGCGCGGGGCCAGCGAGCGGCCGACCCAGCGCTTCGTCTGGGTGGTGCTGTTGGCGGGCCGCGTGTCGACCACGACGCTCTGGTTGCGGCCGTCGACCAGGGGCGACTTGTTGAGCGTCTGCTTGACGGCGCCCGGCTGCGTCTGGCTGTCTTCGTTGAGCTTGGTCTGCACCTTGGAGCCCTGGGACTTGGCCTCCGCTGCCTCTGCGGGAGAGAGGGCGCGCTCCGCCAGGCTCCGGGCTTGCGTCGACGGCTTGTCGACGGGCGCGTAGACGGTGCCGGCGCTGGACAGGAAGAGCTGCAGGACTTCTGGGTCTGCCTGGATGAAGTCGGCAAACTGCGACGCGTTGTTGGCGACGAGTGCTTCGATCAGCGAGGGAGGCGTCTGGCACGCTGCTGGCGCTGTGAAGCTCAGCAGGAGCAGCGCCGCGGCCCACGACTGCGACAACATGGCTAATAAAAAGCACGGTTCTACTAGAGAGGTGGAATGAGTGTGACACTGAGCCCTAATACCAGGGAAATGGCTTCAGAAGCGAGGGTGGACGGGGGCTGGGGGGTTGAAGCCTCGAGTAGATGGTCACAGGAAGTTGCACTCTCGACATTTATAGAGCCAAGTCTGTTTACTTGAGACTGAGTTGACAGCAGGGTATTGATACGTCATTGAGGACGAAGAACTCGAGCACTCGGTCATTGCAATTTCGTGACGGCAGCCACTGAGCTTGCAGCAGGCTGCTGTCCTATTGTTCCTTCTCGTCTTTCCGGACATGCATGGGTGATATTGGGTGATTCCCATGCAATCGGCGCCTGCATGGTGCATGATGCGGCGGTGGATATGTGCAAATGCGTCCGTCTGCATCGGTGCCCGAAGCTGAGACCGCGCACACACCCCATCGCTCGCCGGGGTGCAGTCTGGCTGGCTGAACACACCACCGCTGCCGCCTGCCAATGACATGGACCAGACGCTCTGCAGCCACACCCTTGCCAGACCGCTCGAGATGGCTGCCACATCACTTGGCCAGCGACTTGGCCGTAGCGAGTCCAGAGTTCCGCTCAGGCTGTACGAGGGCGGGAGGTACAATACTTGAGGAGCTGGCCAGAGATGAGAGCCCCGCCGAGGTGTTGCGTTGCACTTGGCCGAGATACTTCTGGGCCAGCCAGCCAGCCAGCCAGCCAGCCAGCCATGGCATTGGGGTACCACTGAGGCACTCACACCTGCTGATGCCGTGATACCCACTGCCTTCTCACGAGTTTGCCTCCGCCTCGGACAGCGGGAGCTTATCAGCGGGAGCCTAGAAAGAAATAACTCGAGAACGCCACGCTTCTAGGTAAAAACACAGTTGGTGTTTGTTTCTCTTCAAGGAAGTCATCAACTCATCGGTTCCAACCTCACTCTGCCAGTCTGGTACTACCTTCTTCGACTCCACGCAGACCACACGCAGAGGACATCTACAACGCACCCAACATGGTCGTGTCGGCGGCGGCACAGCCTCCGAGCACATATCTGCTCTGGAAGCGGTTCAGCTTCCCCAGCGACAAGGGCTCGTACGATGCCGTCGCGGTACCCGACTGGGTGGCCAACCAGCTCAACGCCACCTATTCGACCATCCTCGGGCTGATGATGGTGCACTTCTGGTCCATCGTCGTCGGCCTCATCGTCTTCTTCTTCCTGCGCAAGCACAAAATGAAGCCTTACGACCTGCACCCGCTGGCGCCGACGCTGTGGAACAAGCGGGCCGATCTAATCGACTCCATGGTCGAGACCTTCACCTTTGCCAAGGCCCAGTGGAGGCACTTCTGGGTCGGCGTGCTGCTGCTGCTGATCCTGGCGGCGTGGGTGGGCCAGACGGCCATGGGCATCCTCGTGCCGCCGCTCATCATTCTCGGCAGTGCCGCGCCCGTGAACCCGAGCAGCATCTACCTCCCCAACATCGTAGGCCGCGACGACTTCCTAACGGCGGCCACCGTGTTTGCGCTCGAGGTTCCCTCGGCCCTGCGCGCACTCGGCAGCACCGTGGCAGCCAACGATGACCTCACGAAGAAGGTGCGTGTCAGCCAGCCCAAGTCGGTAGGCAAGTCGGCCGGCGGTGACGACATGTTCCAGCTCGACTACGGATACACTGCCACCGGCGCCGATTTCGGGCTGCAGCACTTCCCCGACCTCACCCTCAAAGTCTCGGGCTCATGCTTCACCGACTATTCTTTCCTGACCAGCACGACCAACACCACCACCGACGACGGTGCTGGAAGGATCAAAATCTACACGGTGGACGACTACCAGTTTCTGGGGGGCCAGACCGCTTCGGCCTCCCTGTTTGACGGCAGGCAGCCGACGGCCCAGTTCTTCACCGGCGATGCAGGCCCCGGCGCGGTCGTGGGGAGGCCTAGCAACACGACGTGGGTGGTGGTCGTGTCGTCGGTCGGCCGGCAGAGCTTCAGCACCAGCACCGACCCGTGGTACCTCACCGAGAAGTCCGACCCCGACGATGTAGCGCAGAACAAGGTCAAGCACGGGCGGCCGCCGCTGTCGTGCTGGCAAGACGACGTGTGGTCGTACCGGGGCGTCAACAGCAACGTCATCGGGCTGACCAGCGACATCCTTCCCGGGCTCGCGCTGCCCGAAAACCTGCAGACCATCATCGCCGACCGCCTCTACCTGCCCATGATCTACACGGTCGGCAGCCACCTGCAGACGTCGTCGCTGCTGTCGGCCACAACGGCCATCGGCGAGATCTTCGACGCCGGGTCCGGCACCATGTTCCGCGACATGCAGCGGCTCGTGCTGGCCGCGTACATCGCCACGACCAACATTCTGACCGACACGACACTGTACCCGGCCGACGCGGCCACACACGTGCCCAACATGCAGCGCGACGACTCGGGGCAGGTTCTTGATGGTATTGGCGACTTTGTCGTGTGGAACGCCGACGTGTCGGCGCTGTCGGTCAAGCTGCTCATCGTCATCCCGTCCGTGTTTGTCGGCATCTGGGCCCTCGCCATTGTGCTGCTGTACTGGACGCCCGTCGGCGTCGTCAATGCCCTTGACTCGAACAACATGCACCAGGAGCTGACCAACCACCACCAAGACGCCGTCGTCCGCTACCACGCCAGCAAGGGCGCCATCTGGGAGCTAATGTGAGTGTTTTCCTTTCTCGTAAATGGCCGGGTGGCAGAAGCGTGTGTTAATCAATTGATTGCTTTCTTTCAGACCCAAAACACACGTGAGTGGCCATCACGATCCCGAGGCCGAAGCGGCGACCAAGAAGTCCGATGCGAGCGAGCCCGAGAAGAGCGCGGCGACCAAGACGTCTGATGCGAGTGAACCGGAAAAGGGCGCAGCCACCAAGACGCCGGACGCGAGCGAGCCCGAGAAGAGCAAGTTTGTCTCTGACGTGCAGGTCAATCCCATTCTGCCCAGTCACTCAACGACGTAGTTGCGACCGGTGACCTGCGGATAGTTGTGTCTTTGGAACCGAGTATTTGTCTTGCTGGTTTTCAAAGTGCCCGTACACGTTTGTGCACCTGTCTCATTATCGATTCCCATGTAATAATACCAGTCGGCACAGCTGGGAGGGATGTCGGTTGATGATATTTGCGGTCCTCTGTTTTATTCTCGTCAAGATCACCGAATACATGTATCTAGGTCCGTATTGACACCAGATTTACACGTGCAACCGGACAACTACCTCCCTAATTGCATAGCTCGTGGCACAGGGCAAGATGACTACTTTTAGCCTTTGAGTCAAGAAAAGGGCTCCCTGGAGGTTGCGGCGACAGACAGAACTTGTCCAGATAATTACCTCAAGAACCAGGTGGAAACTGCGGACAGATAGATACCATAGATGAACAACAGCCCCTTCAATGGCGACATGCATGTGTGACGGGCCGGTCCAGTTGTGTAACGCCGACAGCCATGTCGGCCTCAACCGCGGGTGTCTGTCTGCACGAGAATTGCCGTGCCGGACGGAGAATCGCGATGGATTGACCGGCTTCTCCCGTGGCAATGGAAGTTATCGTTTTCCAGTAAATAGTATGCCAACCAATAATTTTCTGGCGCAGTCCGTCGCCAAAAGAAGCGAGTGGCCTGATGTGGCCCGGGCTAACGGCGTAGTGGCGTCATCAGGCCACAGGTGCAGGAGGGCAGGAGCGGATGACCGCACCGCCCAGATCCTACGTTGCCCCTTCTGATAAAGTTGCCCGGCCGCGCCTGCCAGAGAAGGAGCACGGGAAATACCAGAACCAGGTGAAATACTCGGAAAAATCAAATCTCGCAATTCGCCAATTACCGTATCGTGCCCATGGCCATGAACCAACCGACTGCAACGGACAGCGTTGGCAGCAGCAACCCGGACCCCCTCCCAACCCTCTCCAGCTCATCCGAATTTCTCTCTCCTTGTCCAAAGTTTGGCGTGCTCGTGCTTGGAAACCCCGAGTCGACAAAGCAGGAGTTTTTTTCGAGCATCTTCGGGGTCGATCTAGAGAAAGTGAGTGCGTCGTCTCCCTGTCCCTGGCCGGCCATCACCCTAGACTGAACCAACATTGACCTCTCCCCGGCAATAGAAACTTGTCGCAGACGCCTTCAGCAGCGCGCACGACATCGAGAAGGAGCTTGACCTGCAGGGACAGAACGAGCGCCTAGCCATCTACACATCGCCCAACTTTGGCACCGACGACGAGGGCGTCTACAGCCGCGTGTGCGACTTCCTCGCGGACAACTCGGCGCCGCCGAGCCGCGTGCACTGCATCTGGTACTGCGTCGCGAGCGAGGAGGACCGCCCAGTGCACGCTCTCGAGGAGCGCTTCTTCACGCGCGACCTCGCGTCGCTCGCCGCCCACACGCCCCTCGTGCTCGTCTTCACAAAGTATGACGAGTTCGTCAGCCAGGTGCAGCTGGACTGGTCGCGCCAGGCCGACCACCGCGGGCTGTCCAAGGTCGCCGTGTCGCACATCCTGCGCGATCTGACGGCCAAGCGCTTCGCGAAGCAGATCGGCAAGAGGTGGGACGACGTCGAGTCGCGGAGCCTGATAAAGAAGATCCCGAGGGTATGCGTTGCGAGCCGCAGCGAGGTCGAAGACGACGGCCTCGGCTCGACAAGCTTTTACGCGCTTGCTACCGCGACGCTGGACAACCTGCGGGAAAGGAGCGTCAAGACGGCGTTCGCAGCGGCGCAGAGAAATTCCGCCTCGGTTGCGACGCGATGTAAGTTGGCCCCTTTTTCAGTCTCGATGGGCAAACCAATGGCTAATGCCCCACAGTCTGCGCCGACACGGCCGCCGAATACTTCGCCGTCGACACTGGCCACGCTCGCAAGCTGTCCGGCGTTGACATGCGCGACATCATGCCCAACTTCTTCGCCAAGGCCGTCCAGATCTTCAACATGCGGGACAGCGCGGGCGTGCTAACCGACAGCTCGCTTCTCGGGAGGGTGCTCGAAGCCACGTTCGACCCGGGCGAGCGGCTGCTGCTCGACCAGAGCCTGCACTACAGCACGGCCGACTCGGGCACCATGCTGCTCAGCCTCAGCCCGCACGAGCGCGCGGTCCTGCTGACGCAGGCGCTGGCGGGGATCGTGCTCTTCCTGTACAAGCTGGCCGACACGCAGTGGCCGCACGAGGACTTCCTGTCGCCCTACACGCTCTCGGCACGGACGCTGGAGCACGCGCTGCGCGACATCAGCTCGGGGCACGAGAAGGGCGTGGTGCTCGAGACGGTCGAGGCGAGCCCCATTTTCGCGTCGTGCCAGCTCAAGTCGCAGGTCGCCGACCTGATTGCGCGAGCCGTCGAGCAGGCCGAGGACGGGCGCGCGCCGAATTTTGTGGCCAACGGCCGCCATGCCTCGTCGCGCGCCATCATTGTTGAGGACGACGCGGATTTGCAGGAGATTTCTATGAGTTTTGTGAATGACAAGAACCCGGACGACATGGTTCTCCCGTGCGGGCTGTCGATTCTCCGTCTCAACTAGTCTGCGCAAATGAATCGGGTTGAAATGAGATGACGAGGAAGGACCCGCTAGTTCAATGTAACTGTTGGGGTATTTGGCTATCATCAGGACTGGTATTTAACTCAAAGTGTGTCCAGGGGCAAGGCTCTATAGACGAGTTTACATCTATATTTGGGTACATAGTTATTGATTTATTGAATGGCAAATCATCATAATAATGAAACAAAGCAACAAGGCCAGATAGGGAGTATTAATAACTGAGTATCTGATCGAATAATGAGGGAATCGATAAGGGAAAAGGCACCATACGTGTACTGTCAACGGTCAAGATGCCTTGATCGTTAGCAAAGGAGCGTGTTGCAATTCATAGATCACACATCCCTTTTGTGATATCAATAAGATACCTTGGCTCGCTAGTTATGGGGGATGAATGTGAAAGCGCAACGCTGAAACAAAACGCTGCAATTTCCTGAACCAGGAATGAGAGGATGGTGAGAAGTAGTTCCTGGGCTGGCCGAGTGATTGGACCTCCATCGAAGCTGATTTCATTCACAGACACATTGCAGTAATACCTCAACCTCATCCAGTGTCCCCGAGTGTCTAGTCACAATATTCGTGCAACCACTTACTACCTCATTACTACATACATGATGATACACGTTCAGCACAGAGCATTACTCCAGGAAGCGACAACTTGCAAGGCAATCAATCATACCGCAGCCGGCACAGCGTACGGCACGGGGGCGGCGACCTAGTCAACTGGGGCGACCACAGCTCCCTCGTGCGGGACAGTGACACCAGCCTGGCCAGTGACACCAGTCGGCCCAGTTGGGACGGGGACGGCAGCCGAGACAGTAGCACCAGTCGGCCCAGTTGCACTAGCCGGGCCAGCCGGGCCAGCCGGGCCAGATGGGCACGTCCATGTCGACCTCGGCCAGCTCTGCGTGCGCAGCCGGTCAGGTAGATTCGTGTGTAAAAAAGGGGAAGTGTTAGAAAGGGAGAGAGGGGTCGCGATGGTGGTGAATCCCTGCTCATCAGGTAACATTTGAAGTGCAGAGGGAAAAGAAAGGGAAGCCAGCAAAAGATGTAAGCGGGCGATTTGTTCTGCCAGGTTGCAAAGTACGGAACTGATAACTCCCTGCAAGCCGCGAGGTGAGTCGCACAAAGTAAATATTGTCGGAGGCTCACACCAGAAAGAACAGATTTTGGAAGTTGAGTAATTAAACCGGATTGAATGCTTGTTCCTTTATTGCAATGTATTATACGGCTCAACTACGTCAGGTTGCTGTTGAGTCCGCACCTAGCAACGAGATCTCTTGTCAGTTGGAATAACATCTCTTATTAGACTTGCACGACGGTTTTGATAGCAAATTTAGAGCTGAGCTGAGATAGTACGGCAGAGACACCCAAGACAGGGATTCCCTGCCACCTCTCACGGTCAACTACTAGAACCCGCACCGCCTGTGGACTCTATCACAAATAACCTTCGTTATCTTCTTCTATCCAGCAACTTAAAAGTCTGAACGGAGTGGAGACAGACGCACGTCCCCGCCGCACGCGCAACCCGAGCCCTCGAGGGAAAAAAAAAAGGACTTGCCAAGCTCCACCACTTCCGTCTTTAAATCACACACTTCCACACATTCTTTCCAACAAACAAGCATCAGGCAAGATGGCCGAGCGGTCTAAGGCGCCACGTTAAGGAGTTCCAATCCTTAATCCAGGGTGTGGCCTCTATCACACCACATGCTTCCGTGGTCCGAAAGGGCGTGGGTTCGAATCCCACTCTTGTCAAAGCTTATATTTTTGCACATCTGCGGCGGTGTAGTGAAGAATCGCTGGTATTTTTTATTTGTTCATTCCTTCTCGGGTCCATCTTTTCTTTCTGGTTACGAACCGAGATAGGTGTGGCCCAGACTTGTTTTACAACCCTTCCCTATCTGTATCCATGGTCCGTCCCTTCAACAGAGTTGAGTGCAATATCGTCTCTCCCAGCCCCTGCCTGTTAGTCTATCTCGGCGTGCGGCTGCCGGCCGGCAAAGTTGCCCTCGCCCCGTCCGTCGACGTCTTTCCCTTCGCGCCGCGCGGCCTTGACTTGCTCGCGGGCGAGCGACTGCTGTGCTTTTTTCCTAGCGGTCGAGGTGGCAGTGTCAGCATTATATCTCTCCGGGTAACCGCCCCTGGTTTCTTCTATACGCTGCAATGTTTTTTGTAATAAACTCACCTCTCCACGCCAGCCTCGCCGCCGTCGAGCGTGACCTCGCCACGGACGCGGCCGTGGGGCGCGCCCTCGCCGCGCGTGTGGCTAGCGGCGGCGGCGCTCCCTCTCGTCCTGCGCTCGACGACGTGGGCCACGGCGCCCTCGCCGGCCGGGGCCATCTGCTCGGCGTCCTCGTTGTCGTTCTGCCGCTCGCCACGAGGGTCGGACGCGTAGCTCGTCTCGCGGGCCTCGCGCGCATTGGCGGGCTGCTCGCTGTGCACGCCGTGCTCGTGGCCTGCTGTTGGTGGTGCTGGTGGCGGGTTCTTGTGCGAGCGATAGCTCATGTAGTCGCTGCCGCTCCCACCAAAACCGCTCGTGCCCGGAGTGTCGGCCACGGCGAAGTCGTCTGCGGTATGCGACACGGGGTTGGAGGCGAGGGCATAGGCGGCGGCCTTGGGCGGCTGCGGCGGTCCCGACGGGTCTTGGGCTGACATGACGGGGTTGATCGCGGCGGGTGATTTGCCTAATGGAGGTTGGTGCTTGTTAATGCTTGGCAGAACTAATCGGCAAGTCAGGGGCTGTTTGTTTGCGTTGCTTCGGGATGTGTGGTGGTAGCCGGTTTGATGGGGCATGGTATACGGGGACATGGTATACGGGGACATGGTATACGGGACATGGTATACTGCCGGGTCCAGCGCCGATCAATGACGTAGGAGGCGACGGTTCGGACGATGACGTCTCTGCCGTGCTCCTTGGGTTGGGTTCCGCAGCTGCATGTCTCAGATCTGCACGTGTACTGTGTCTTCGTGAACGTGGTGAAAGTCGGAAACCAATTTCTCACTCAATACACATTCGTAGAGTGGTCTAGATATCTTGACTTGGAAACGAATAGTCCAAGAAGACGCCCCTGAAAGGGCCGGCCCGCGCACCCGGATTGCTTTAGACATGGATTCATTCCTCATTACGTCTAATCAGACCTGCTGCTCTCAGTTTGGCTAGCACATCATTCGTTCCCGTTCTTAAGCACAGGTAGTCCAGGCTTCAGGTGTTCCGGGTCGAGGCTCAGACACGGCACGCACTTTGCGCCTTTCCTCAAGCTTCCTAGTCTTTTAATGCGCTGTCACCTTACCCCAACTCAGCGGATACGACGGCTTTCGATACCGACTTGCTGCTGGATTATTGTGTGATTTGCTGTTGCTCTCGTCTAGTCTGGCGGCTAGTATCGGACGGCCTGCAAGTGAGCAGCCCGGCATGGACGCGGACAGCTCTTCCCCAGATAGAGCAGCTGAGGTGGTAGCGGCGGGGAAGCTGCCTTCTTTCGCCATCACGAAACCGCTATCTTTCTCATGGCAGCCGCCTGCGTGCTTGACCCAGGTTCCATCTACCGCCTCCCGCTGCGCAGCTGGCAGGCTCCTGATAAGCAAGAGCCATGCTAGGCCCAGCCGAGTGGCCAAGTCCGGTATCTATACCTGGCCTTCTGATGACGGAACGCGACGCGCATTATCCGCTGTGTGGTGATGGTGTGGTGACGGATTGGCAGTGTTCCTTTTATCTCCGCTACCGGCCCGCAGCCTGCCCGGATGGCGGACTGCGGGGAACCCGCATGGCCTTCCCGGCCGCCCTGCCTGGATTCTGACTGGACATCAGCTGCCGCCGCTTCCGGACTCGGCCCAGACTCGTGTCGGAAAGGGGTTCTCAGTCTCTCAACCTTGGCTGGGACGAGATGACCTCCCTCGTGTCAACCACTCCGCTGTCCGAGCCATGCCTCGTGATGATGGACATGGACCTCGCCAGCTGCAGAGCACATTGCAGAGCGCCCGCCCTCGCCTCGCTACTGCTGGATGCTTATGCCGTGTCACCTGGGCGTGATTGTCGTCTTTTTCTTATCTCGAGACTAGCCGCCGGCCAGCCAACCGCACGACGCCCCGCCAGACGCCGAAAGTCGCCGGCATGACTGCAGTCGGCGATAGCATCAAGACGCCCACACCGGCACTCTGCCCATTGGTGCGTGCCGGGGCTTGCTCTGATTTCCATTATCAAAGACCCCTCGACCACGCACTCTCGGGCCGCCACAGTGCTTCTGGGCCTGCACACCATTGGTCTTGCACCATGCCCGGCTGGTCCGCCATCTCCTCTTGCCGATCCAGGACTAGCTACCCCGGGGTAGCAGCGCCGATTGTGATGCGGGCGTGGGCCAGGGCCCAGGAAGACGGGCTCTAGCCTCCTTCTGTTCGACGAAAATGATAAAGCTCCGACGCCCCGGGAGCCCACAAGGTCCGCACGTCCCATGAGCACGCGTCAACAATCTCGAATCCTTCACTCACCGCTGCGCAATTCTCGGACCGGCCTCGTCGCCGCTCCTCGCATTCATTCCGCTAGGCTGCTTAATTACTTAGATTAAGAGGCCCAGCTTGTCAGGCCCGTGCCGCTGTCCAACTGCGAGGAATCGTCAAACTACGGGTCCAGCCCCCAAGCCCACGATACGACCACCTTCGGAGGGATCACAGCAATAACACCCGAGTATCTCGCCCCAGACCTCCCACGCCGTGCTACAAATACGGCCCTCGAGCCAGCCAACCCATCCATCCAGCATGGCCACCGCCCAGATCCTCCAGCCCTCGGCCGCAGCAATGGCAACCTGGACAGGACCCGCACTGGCACCGGCACCGGCACTGGCACCGGCACCGGCACTGGCACCGGCCGAGACCAAGCCCAGCACGCCCAAACATACCATCACCAGCAGCGAGGCCGGCGGCTTCGACCCGCAGAAGCACCTCAACTTCACACCACCACACAAAGTGTACACTATGTCGGACATCGGCCTGCCAGCGGACACAGGCGTGTCCCCGCTCGCCGTGTCCGACCCGTTCCCACTATTCACACCCGAAGCCGTCGCGCGGATGCGCGCCGAGATCCTCAGCGAGCCGGTGCTGCGAAACTGCCAGTACACGTCCAACATCGCGGCGTACTCGCACCTGCGGGGCTACAGCGCGGCGCACGCGCCGTTCACGCACGCAGCGTGGACGCACCCCGCGACGGTGGCGCTCGTGTCGGCCGTCGCGGGGCTCGAGCTGGCGGTGCAATTCGACTACGAGGTCGCGCACGTGAACCTGTCGTTCAAGACCGAGGAGCAGAAGCTGAGTGAGTTGAGGGCGTATTATGATGGTGGTGCTAGTGGTGATGGGGATGGGGACAAGGGTGGTGATGGGGACGAGGGTGGTGATGGGGACGGGGGTGGGAAGGGCGGGGAAGCGGTGCCGATTCTCGGTTGGCACCGCGATAGTTACCCGTTTGTGTGCGTCGTCATGCTTAGCGACACGGCCGCCATGGTCGGCGGCGAGACGGCGCTGCGCACGGGCACGGGCGAGGTGCTCAAGGTGCGCGGACCGCACATGGTGGGTTGACCCCCTTTTATTCCTCTATATGCTTACCCCTATTATTGTTGTTATCTGGGAGCTGGTGAAGCTCGCAGCTCGGCTGAGACAAAACCCACTGACACTCCTCCTAGGGCCACGGCGTGGTGATGCAGGGACGGTACATTGAGCACGCGGCGCTGCCGGCGGTCGGGGCGGTGGAGCGCATCACCATGGTGACATCGTACCGGCCGCGGAGCGCGGCGGTGCGGGATGACACGGTGCTGACGACGGTGCGGCCCATCTCGCGGCTGCCGGAGCTGTACGACCAGTTCGCCACGTACCGGCTGGAGATGGTAGCCGAGAGGGTGCGCGAGCAGCTGCGCCGGCTGGCGGCGGCGCGGGCGTCGGGCACCGCCCTAGCCACGCGCGACATCAAGCGCTTCCTAGACGAGCAGGAGCGCTTCCTGGCGCACACCAACCGCGAGATTGTTGACGACGCAGACGTTGCCATGGGTGTCCAGCCCGTGTCCACGACCGTGGCACCGGTTTGAACTTGATGCGAACAAGTCGTGTGAGTCATGAGGACTTGGCCGAGGTGGTAGCGTATGTTGACTTGATTGCTGTTCAGGTGTAATGAGTGTTTCTGTGCTTTGTTTTGATGTATATCAGTTTGTTCTTTTCGTTTCTGGCTATGGAGTCGCAGTCTCATTGCTTCCAGGCGGGTGTTGATTACCTTCATACACGTACCAGTAAGACAAGTTGTGAGAACTGAGTGTGCACATGAAAGATAAACACACATGGTGTTGCCCGTTGAGTCTATGGTATTGGTATCCTCCTGTCTACAAGTATCCATATTATATGATGCGAAGACCCCCACAGATCCAGCCCGTCCGGATGGGCAAAAGTAGTATAAAGAAAAGACCAGGACTGGTGTTGGCGAGGACGGCACTACACCGGATGCCTCAGAGAATGAATGACAAATGAATAACGCTTTCGGCCGTGATACCTATGTACAGAAACAGTCCCTCGTCTCCAGGGAATAGGACCCAGATCTAGAATAACGCAGCAACTACTCCAGCAAGGAGGGCGAGGCCAGCAAACACTGTCGCCTTGCCAGCGCCCGAGGTCTTGCTCGGGTTCGGTGCCGACGTGGTGGTGTTGGATCCGTTGCCCGATTCCGTAGTGGACGTGCTGGAGCCGCCGGTGGTGCTAGTATTGCTGGTGCTCCCAGTATTGCTGCCGCCGGAGCTGTTGGGAGCCCCTGAACTGCTCGGAACAGAGGCCCCTGTAGAAGCGGGCGACGAGGAGGAGCCACCAGCGGTGGTCGAGGGTGTGTTGAAGGTGGTGGGGCAAGTCAGGTTGTACAGGGGCTGAGTCGACAGGTTGTTGGTGATGGCAAACTTCATCGTGTTCTCCGGGTTCGAGTCGCGCAGGTTATACCAGAAGGTGGGCGTCTTGCCAAACAGTCTGCGGCAGCCGACCTCGTCCCAGTACGTCTTCGCGTTCGCCACGCTGGGGACCGACTTGCCAAAGTTGGGGCCGGTCGTCGGCCATCCCGTCTCCGTCACCCAGACAGGCTTGCCGCCAACGGCTCCGATGGTAGCATCGTAGGCGGCGTCGAAGAGAGCACCGGCATTCTTAATGTCGTTGTCCTTGGTGTTCTCGTAATACGGATACTCATCGACGCCGACCCAGTCAATGGCGTCAACGACGGCCTTATTAGTGCCATTAGTCCATGCGTCCCACGTGTCGACGTGTCCGACGGGCACATTTTCCAGCTTGGTGCCGGCAACGGCCTTCTTGTATGTGTTAATAAAGTCGACGATGACCTTTGGCCCGGCGCCCACACCGGCCTTGTTGGTGATTCCCGTGACGCTATCACGGTACAGATCCTCGCTGCCGATAGAAATGCCGATGACGAGGTTGGTGAACTTGTCGCCGAGGTTCGTGACGGCGGTCTTCAGGGCGGTGATCTCGTTGTCGATGCTAGCGGTGCCCGAGGTCCAGATGCCAAGCAGAATCTTGGTGTTGGTCTCTATGGCGGCGTCGAATGCCTGAATGGGGTCGGCGATCGAGTAGGCCTGGATGTTTGTGTACAGACGCACGGCATTGAATTTTCCCGGCGCGCCCTGCAGTGCCTGTGCTGTTGTGAACTCGTTCTTGAAGTCGGCCTTGAACTTTGCAGACCGATCTGCGAGTGTCGATCCTGAGTTGAAGCCCAGGTAGTTCTCGGCCGCTGCTGCGCTGCCGGCGGCGAGGATGCCTGCGGCGGCAAGGTTGGATGTAAAACGCATCGTACCGTTATGCGAGATGTCGGATGCCTAGGTTATATGACGGTGCACGCTCGCAAGCTGCGACTCAACGAGAGTGAGGGTGTAACGTCTGGCGACCGCGGGTTCCCTGTTCTGTTCGAGACTGGGCGGGTTGGGTTTAGGATTCTGGCCGTCTGATGTTCGTAGGATAAAGAGCGAAGCTATCTATGTGCAAAGAAGGAAAATAGTCGGTAAGCTGCAATGCAAGTGAAACAAGAACGAATGTCTACGTCCAGATAGGACAATGGGATGTGATGATGAAAAGAATTAAAAAGAGCAAAAAAACAGTTGCGGTGCTGGACCAAGACGGAATCACTGGAGTGGCCAACCCAGCCGTGCCGCCAAGGAGGCCAGGGAAGGGCCGCCCGACGGCACGTGCATCAGCCTGCCAGGGGCAGAAAGGGTGGGTCCCGGGCGATCTAGCGAAACACAGCCCCAAAAACCAATCTCTTGGCCAGATGATGTGCAAAAGCCCGGGGGGCGACCTTGGAGACCGCCTGGGAAAAGGGGATGCAGCGTTTCGAGTTGGGCCCAATCACAAACAGGCCAGAATGCCGGCCTCCTGAGATGCGCAGAAACAGCCAACACACCCAGTGACATCGTCCAATCCGTAGCAAAAACAAACGGGAAAACCGGGTAGAGACGATCCACCACGGCTGCCGTTGTGCCCAACTAAACGTCCCCGTTGACGCTCAAGAGAACCCGCTTGCCCTGTCCGCCCAAACCCGAGCCTGGCCTGCCTTGAATCCTGCATCCTCTCCTGATACCCCCGGAAGGAGTTGCGTAACGGTAACGGGCCTGCCGCCTCTTTTTCTCCTGAATACGAATGTTTTGGTGGGGCGGCTAAAAAGGGACACGACGGACGGGATTTGGGATTTGCCACCCAAGTCCAATGAAGCTCCCACCCAAAATTCCACACGCTGGCTCCGCGGCTGCATGAACTGGCCCCGAGGGACAATTTCCATTTTCCATGCATTCTTTGGAGGAACGATCGACCTCAATGATGTCAATGGCAATGACTCGAAAGCTTTTCGGTCGCGCGCGGCATCGTCTCTTGGGTTTTTAGAAGGCGGAGGATTCGAATTGCAGCCCGCAAGTTCGCTCGCTGCACGCGTTTCTTTTCAGCCCGCCCGCCCTCGGACGCGTTTTTGACGCCTCGTATTATTCTGGCAGCCGCATTCCCCCTTTTGGAGGAGCCAAGTGTGCGAGTGGTAATTATCGTGGCCTTATCGTTCAGCCCCCGGCCTCGCATGCACCATCCCTGTCGCCAGTCACAGGAATCGAGAATTTTGACTCTGAGATTAAGGACTGCCTCGGGAATGAGCCGTCTCTCACGTTACAGTTATGCACAAAAATATAATAGGGATCGATCGCGAACTGTTCAGGCCAGACTGTTTCCACTAATTACTGCCAATGTCTTGATCAGGTAGTTCATCTTGATCATGAGCAGGCAATCATTAGCAAAGGAATCACGACTCTGTGTTACGACCAGTATTTGTTGACTGTCACATTCAGGTAGGTGTTCTCACTTCGCCATGGTCATCATCATCGGTTTTAATATCCATGTTTCTCACTTGAGCATTGTCATTATCAGTTTTTCACTCAACATAGAGTGCTTCACATGACCATTATCGTCAAGTCACAGGGCAACAAAAATGAAGGGGTTCGCGTCCTTACAAGACTTTATTTGTTTCGCGGAAATCTAATTAACCACCGTCTTTACTTTCCCTGTTCAGGGATTGGTAAAGAATGGTACAGATATGCAGTATAGTCGGGGGTCTTCGTGCGGCGTCTCCTCGCTATGAATGGACTCGTCGTCCCAACGATACAGGCACCACGATCCGGCCTCTTTAAAATATGGGACGGAGGCCGTGTACAGCGTATAGAGTTGGTTGTCCGCCTCGATGTCGTCATTTTTCTTGGAGGACATCTCCTCTTCCACATCATGCAGGGGTTTGAAATGGGCGTGCTTGGGGTCCCACATCGAGCAGAGCTCGTACCTGATCACGTGGTACATGGCCTTCTCCCGGACCTCGGAGCCACTTCTGATCGGTCCCTCGTCTTCCGACTCGCTCGACTCGCTCGACTCGCTCGACTCGCTTGACTCGCTCAACTCGTTCTCCTCGTTCTCCTCGTTCTCCTCGTTCCCCTCGCTCTCCTCACTCGGCTCGCTCTCGGCTTTTGCCTGCCTCCTCTCAGCCCTTGCCTGCCTCCTCTCGGCCTTTGCCTGCCACTTGGCCCTTGCCTGTGCCTCGGCGATGCCTGACGGTTCATCCAACAAGACTTCGTTAAACGGTTCGTTGGTCCATCTCGCTCTGAAGGTCCACTCGTGCCATGACTCTTCGACCGTGTAGCCGCTGCAAAGAGGGCGAAGGTTCTGGTCATGCCAAATCGCGGGCCTGTCATTGTTGAGTACGTCCCAGCTCCCGATGATCTGCCCGTCGATCTGCTTCCTAGCGGTATTAAGGACTATATCAACCCACTCAAGGGCGGTGAATTCGTCGGCATTCTTGCCGCCGAGCGCGTCGCGGTAGAGGCGGCACGTGCAGTCTCGGGGCATGTAGGGGTAGTCCAGGTTGAAGTTGGTTTCCATCAGGAATTGCTGCAGCGCCTGGCCCCCGTCTTGGGCCAGGTTGTGTATCGTGTAGCCGCCCTTGATCATGAACCGCAGCCGCCGTATGAGGGCCGACACTAGAATCGGGTGATATGTTTTTCGGTCCGTGCCGTATTTCGTGCATATAGTGACGCCACGGGTGAGGTTTAGCCACACTCTCAACGTAAGAGTCAGCATCTCGTACGACTTGTCGACCCAGATCTCGGCCTCGTCTTTGAATACGCCGTAACCGTTATCCTTGATGTAGCCCAATTTCGCGAGCTTGGCCTCGAGCAGCTCTTCATCCTTGAGCCAGTGGAGCTGCTGGACGTTCGTGTTCCAGTAAAACTTTCGCCCCGAAGCTCCTCTAATAAATATCTCGCAGCACTTCACCTTACAGGGGTTGCAGATTTCGGTGCAAGGCCTGATATAGTCCCGGAGGAGAAGCAAATATACCATGGGCTCCCTAGCAACGTAGATCTCGGCGGGAATCAGCTTACTAAAGTCAGTAGCTCCCGTATTATCCCAATCATAGTGGACAATAAAAGGAAGACGCCGTGCAAAGTTCGTGTCGTCAAGATCAGACATCTTGTCGGCGTTTGGTCTTGTCGATTCTGTGCTTTGGGTTAAAGGGTTAAATGCCCAGGAATAAGAAGATATCCAGGGGCGTGATGTCTAAAATCCGGGAGAGGCGGCCTGGGAGTCGCGGTGGTTTTTAATATTCCGTGGTCGATGAAGCCTGCCATGATGAGATAGACTGTACAGTAAAACTGTCCGTCGCCGCTGTGTATTATTGTGTGGACAGCGGTTCTATTTACCCACGGCTCAGGTTGTTCACGTCACAGCCCAAGATAACAGCCATACATTTTGCTGGAGGGGCTGTTTGGATTGATAACTAGCTCCATATTGTTGGTTGTAAATAACGATTCAGCTATGTATGTAACCAGGTGGATTAAGCCCATCGTGCGAATACACCTGTGTTTGTCCAGTATGTTAGCTTCGCCGTTGTGCTGATAACAAGCCGGACAATGCCCATGTCCTGGTTATTCTGCTCAATGGGGCTAGTAGTATTCCGAACAAAGGCCGTTGTGGGTTAGGGGGCTAGGTTCAGGGCTTAGGCTGTCTTGCCTTCAAGATTTGACCTTTGTCTCTGTTTCAAGACAAGTCACACCCACATCGCAATTCCCGTGTACGAACAGGAAAAGTCTCACATTCAATCAACGGTACGTAATTGTGGTATTTTCTTCTTCGGGAGATCGGGCGCCCTGTTTCAAGATGGATGACATATCGGAGTCAATGTATGTCCGGTCAAATGGAGGACAAAGAAAGACAATAGATATACAGATAACAAGTTTGTTGAAACGAAAATAAGGTCCATGCCACACTCGACAACATGGAATAATAATAAATATAGGGAAAAAAGAAAGAAAGAAAGAAAGAGAAGAGAAAAACCTAGAATCGAATCGAACCTGCTGTTCTGACGCCCAATATTCAAAATTCCAATATGACAAAAATGAAAAATAGGCCTTCATAGTAACAAAATCAAATGCGTAGTAACTGTTTCATTCTCAAAACGCCTTTCTAGCAGTTGCTCTTGGTTATGATTCCTGGTATGCAACGAGAAGCACTGACACCAGCTCGCGCAGCAATGCCAACCAATTGCAAAGACTCTATCACCAACCCCCTGCCTACAGAGTAATTAATTAAGCTAAAACCGATTCCACAGCTTTCACCTCAGCCTCCCTCCGAAGACGGTATCCCAACAGGATGTCCTCAAACTGCGCCTTCGTGGTAAACTCGATATCAACAACCTCCTCTCCACCGTCGCCAACAGCAACCCTGTGCCGGCGGCACTCCTCCTCGGTAGCCCAGAGGAAGCGCACGTGCTCGTTAGGGTCGAGCGTGACCTGCGGCAGCGCCCCGCCCTCACCCTCGACTTGAACCTCAAACGTGAACTTTGCAATGCGCAGCCCGCGGCGCGTGGCGAAGAGATGCGGCTCGCCGACTTGGCGCACGACAGCGCGCAGCAGCAGGCCGCTCTCCTCCCACAGCTCGCGAGCCAGCGCGTGCAGCAGCGACGCGTCGTCCCAGTCGCAGCCGCCGCCGGGCACTTCCCAGCGCAGCGGCATCGAGTCGGTCGGCGCGCGCTGCATCAGCAGGATGCGGTCTTCCTGTCCGTCTCCTCCTCCCGCGGCAGCTCGGGAGAAGACCAGCGCGCCCGTGCACGTGGCGTCGAGCCCGGCGTGCGTGCTGACGTACTCTTTCATGGACACGTTCAGGTGCTCGACAGATGGGTCCCAGGTGAATGTGAAGCCGTCCTTGGGCGAGGGTCGGGGGAGAGGCATGGTGATGTTTCGTGGTGGTGGGGGTGTTGGCCGGGGAGGCTGGGAGTTGTTGCTTGATAAGCCGATGGTTCAGGGGTTGAGGGGAGGCAGAAATTATATTCAGTTAATTAAAAGCCTCTATTTCCTTGATCACGACCGCGGCGTCTCACTAATAAGGACCTCGATTTTGAGTTTGGCGAGAAGAATGTAGTGGCGGCGGCGTCCTTGATCTTATGTGGACGACGGGGGATGAGATGGTTTGGACGATGAAAGAGAGGGCTCCATTCAAGACTTAAGGTGTCACAAATTGGGCGCAGCACATTTGTCCTATTTGTTTGTTGGCCGCCGTTTTACGGCCTCTGGAACCAACCGCACCAGAAGCGGTTTGGCAAATCAAAGCAGACAGACGGCCACAGGCAACGAAAGACTCATTGATCAATATCAAGCAGGCAGCAACGCCACGGAGCCAGCAAAAAGGCTCACCTAAGGGAGGTCCTCGGCCTCAGATTACCCCGAAACTTGCGAGGTGCCCGCAACAAGCCGAGGCGCCAAATCACGTGGCGTCAATCTGGAATTTGACGGCTCTCTCATCATTGCAAGTCAACCAGAGCTGAGAGCCACACCTCTCATACTCTTCGCTCGTAAAACGTTCCGAACAGTCATGGTTCTGTTCCCGATCTCTTCCGGCTGCGGCAGACGGCGCATCTCCTCGGAGAAGCTCGTTGCGCTTTGGCTGCTGTGCAGATGCGAGGTCAGATTTGGGAGAGCGACGGCTCTGCTATTCGCCTTGCAAGGGCTTATTCATCAACCCTCGGGCTAGCGCTTGGCAACACGGCAACACGGCAACCGATCATCTGGCTTCTAACCGACGACAGCTGATGGCCTCTCTCTCTAGCTCCATCTCTCGCATCCGTTCTCGTTGTGCGGAAGTGCGGTGTAGAACTAGTCGACTACATGCTCGGATGACTGGCGTTGTCATGCAACGTAACCTGCCACAATACCTACAAGCTGGCCGTCACGCGAGAGCGGACCGGGAGGCCATCATGTTCTCACAATTTCTATAAAGACGACGGTAGTCAGTCACCAACAGGCGACTGACAGACAGACAGAACGGACAGCAACAAACACTCGACACACACTTCACAGTACCGCAAAAACTCACCTCGAAGCGACTCACCGACCTCAAAGACTTGTGACATGGCTTTGACAGCACTGCCTGAGACAATGAGGACGCTGCTACAGCCCTCGCGCCAGTCCGCCGAAGTGATCCTCGCCACGGTGCCAGTGCCAACGCCGTCGCACCCCGAGGATGTTCTCGTCCGCGTGCACGCTACCGCGCCCTGCGCCGGTGAGCTGCGCTGGGCCGTCGACTTCCCAGACACCATTCCCGCCGACAAGGAGCTGGTGCCGTGTCAAGACCTTGCGGGGACCGTCGTGAGTGCGCCGGCCAGCAGCGGCTTTGGCCCCGGCGACGGCGTCTACTGCCGCGTGTCGGCTGAGCGGGCTGGCGCGGCGCGCGACTATGCTCTCCCCCGCGTCGGCGAGCTCGCCAAGATACCGGCGGGCCTGAGCTGGGTAGAGGCCGCGGCCACACCCCTGAGCGCGCTGACGGCCTGGCAAGCGCTATTTGTCCAGGGAACGCTGGATGCCGCGGGCATCAAGGGCCACGTCGCGGCGAGAGAGCACAACGCCAAGATCCGTGTGCTCGTGACTGGTGCCGCGGGCGGCGTAGGCAGCTGGATTGTGCAGCTGGCATCGTTGTCCGGTGCCCAGCATGTTGTTGCCGTCTGCGGCGCCGACAAGGCAGAAGGGGTCCGACAGCTCGGGGCGACCGAGATCGTCGACTACCGGCGGACTTCGATCGAGGAATGGGTTGGCGGTGACTCAAGCGCGCGAGAGTGCGACCTGGTAATCGACGTGGTCGGTGGAAAGACGCTCGCGGGATGCTGGGCCGCTGTCCGGGCCCAGGGCACACTGATCAGCATTAACACGCCACCCGACATGGTAAAGCCGGCGGGTCTAGGGAGGGAGCTGGCGAAGAGCCTATTCTTCATTGTAGAGCCGCTCGGCAGCAATCTTGCCGAGATCGGGAAGCTGATTGAGGAGGGAAGGGTGCGGCCCACAATCGACAGTGTGTGGGGGTTTGGCGACTTCGAGAAGGCGTTCGAGAGGCTCGAGTCGGGACGTGCCAGAGGCAAGATTGTCATCAAGCTCAGCGACGAAGCTTGAAGACGAAGGAGATGGTGGGAGGGGCTTGGTCGGCGGCAGGAGCTGCGGGTTCCCGGCCGGCATCGTCTCTCGGGCGCGCAGTGGCCATAAGATAACTCGTCGACAATTGATTCAGTTGACACTCTGGACGGCGGTGTCATTCTGCGCTGCACTGCACTGCTCTCTCCTCTGACCAGACCAGACGGCGGCCGAGCGTGACTGTGGGGAATAAGGGTTAGAGTTCCATTGCTGGTTTGGAACGAATGTGGGGAAAGCGGAAGGAGTGCAATGATTGGACGAATCCCCTATGGGGCTAGCTTGAGACAGGGGGTCGGCGCGCTCTGAACAATGGCTCCAGCGGTGTTGGACACAGCTTTTCCCCTGAACGTTTGATCTTCTTGCACGTCAACGGCTTGGTGTCACAGCTTCGTTTACGGTGTCCACTAAGAGCGAGTCAAGGCAACATGGGCGCGCGCCGTCCACCAACTGCGCGAGAGGGCCCTGCACCTGTGCAAGGCCTTTGACTTTGGGCAGTGCAGTATTCGGCCCAGGAGACAGCTCGAGAGATCGATCAAGCGCAGCGGCAGCAGCTAACAAAGGTGACTCCAAGTCTGACGTCCTGCCCTGTCCTCCCCCAATGGCTTCAGGTCTTGCCAATCCCCCGCCGCAGAGTAGCACAATGGCACCAAGAAGTGTAACGTAGGAACTACCTCATTCTAGTCTTTTCTCCTCTTTGTTTGTTTGCGCAGACAAGGTCTTGATTCCATTGGATGTTGTTCCTTATTTTGCCAAGTCCGCCCGCAGCGATGTGCGATGCCACTGAGCGGCCCTGCAACCTTGCAAGGTTTCTCTCCCGACGACTCCGTACTACTATGTACTAGTACCCCTAGACAAGATCAGTCAAGGCCAAGTCCATGCTCCGGCAGCCGAGAGGCTCTGCACTCCTCGTGCCTCGTGCGGACCAGCGTTCCAAGTAGTCCGTTCGGGCTGGGCTGAGACACTGGTAGAACAGCGGGAATGCCACTCACCACCTCGCATCGCCTATACTCCGCAGCAGGCCGGCGGTGTGCACACGTGAATAGACATGGATCGACCTTGGCTGCTGGCGATTTCCGGTCTCTCGGCTTGTTTCGTACTGTTGATGTTTTCCTGTTTTTTTTTCCCTCTCTTTCTTTTCTTGTTATTGGCTTTGGCTTGTTATTGGCTTTGGCTTGTTATTGGCTTTGGCTGTCATGCTTTTGAGTTAAGCTTCTTTTTTACGTCTCCGGTTTCTTTGCCGGTTGGCCTCTTTTCCTTTTTCCTTTTTCCTTTTTCCTCTCTCATCCGTCGTGGCTCATTATATTTCCTTCTTCTGGCACGCGGACTGGATTCGACTTGTCCAGGGACGCAGGCGAGCCCAGGAGCCCGGTCTCCTTCGTACATACGCACTCTTTGTTTGCTTTGCTTTCCTTTCTCCGGGGCTCCGCTGGTCGTCGTTCGGAATAGCTGCCTCCTCTTGTCTCCCACATTAGCATCGGTTGAGCCCGGACATCTCCGCCCATGCAGTCGTCATTACGGCCAGGTCGCTAATAATAGCTGTTGCCAGCAATGGCAGCGTCCTCCTCCCTTCTCTCCTCCTTGGCGTTTCTCATAGCGTTATTCTGCTTCAGGGTCGCGGGCCAGGACCAGACAATACACGACGTGGGCTGCATTCATTTGCCCATCGTGCACTCGACAAATGTTGGCCACTTCTCCAGCAAACGGGGTGTACAGCTGGCGTTGGCCAACAGGTCTGACGTTGCCTACTACGCTCAACGTACATGATTCCCTACTCTCCACCTGCTGTCACGCTTCTTTGCTAACACCGTGGCAGTCAGCATTGGCACGCCTCCCCAGCCCGTCTATGTGCAGCTGGACACTGGGTCTTTTGAGCTATGGGTGAATCCGGATTGCTCGACTGTGTCGGGCGGCGACGCCGTCTTCTGTGACCGAGCCGGCCGCTATGACACGGCAAAGTCTTCAACGTTCAACAATATCGGCACCACCAAAACCTTGCGCTACGGAATCGGAAGCGCCGATATTACCTATGTCACCGACACCATCACGCTCACCGGCAGCACCATGGGTCTCAAGGGCGTCCAGTTTGGCGTTGCCAATGCGACCGAAGACGCCTTCTCTGGAATCCTGGGCATTGGATACGGGCAAGGAATTGCCACCAGGTATCCAAACTTTATCGACCAGCTGGCGGCGCAGAATGCGACCAAGGTCAAGGCGTATACTCTCGCACTAGGCAGCAAAGACGAGCAGGAAGGCGTCATAGTCTTTGGTGGCATCGACACGTCCAAGTTTGCCGGGCCGTTGGCCAAGCTGCCTGTGATTCCCGCCGACATGTCGCCAGATATGGTGCCCCGGTTCTGGGTCGACATGAAGTCCATCTCGGTCACGCCGCCAAACAAGAACAACCAGGTGTACGCAAACAGCAGTATCCCCGTGTTCCTGGACAGCGGGTCGACAATGACGCTCCTGCCGCCTAACCTGACGGCCGCTATTGCCAAGGATTTTGGTGTCAACGCTCCCGATGCGAATGGCTTCTTCCGTCTCGACTGCGCCTTGACGAAAGTCAACGGCACGCTCGATTTTGCCTTTGATGGGGTGACGGTTCGGGTTCCGTACAAGGAGCTTATTCGCGAGGTCCCCAGCACGCCGCCCGCCTGCTTCTTGGGGATAACGCCGAGTTCCAGCTTTGCGCTTCTGGGTGATACGTTTCTTCGGTCGGCATACGGTATGTCCATCGTCTCCAAAGAGGCTTCCACTTGCGCGAATACTAAATAGTAGGCTACAGTTGTCTTCGACCTCGAGAACCACGCGATATGGATGACCCAAGCGGCCAACTGCGGATCGACCCCCGCGGCGCTGACCAACCTGAGCTCCCTCGCATCCGTGACAGGCGCCTGCGGGATGACGCTGTCTGCGGTCACCAACCCGAGCACCTCGCAAGTCTCGACGACGAGCATTACAAGTCCCCAGTCGCCCTCCAGCACACCCCCAGCGGCGGAGGCGACGACAGCAACAACGGGCGGGACTCAAGTGCCCGCAAGCGGAGGAGGGTCTGTTCGCGGCAGTGTCGGGCTAATCTCAAGCCTCGCCATCACATCAGCGGTGGTGCTTGTACATTTTATTTGAGGGGGGCATTGCCCCTTCGCTTTGCATATATTCTTCTGAACATAGTTATTTAAGAGAGCGGGTGCATCTGCATACTGGCGCATATCAATACTTGGATGGGAAATAGCGGCGGGGCTTAATCTAAAGTATTTAATGTCTGCCGCGTCTGTTCGCCATTCCTTTAACAGCGGCGTGTCATGCATGAGTAGTCCTCGCGTGTAGATTTACCACGAAGAATGTATTCACCAGTGACAGAATTTACGTAAATGAACTAAAAGCCCAGGTTTAGGTTTGGCTACATGTTCCTTTATGCGCTTGGAGACTTGGGAAGAGAGTTAGAGGGCATAGATGCCTTGAGATAGTCATTGGTCGTGTTAACTGGTGCACTATAATGAGCGTTCAGAGCTGTTTCCGTGATGTCTCCGAAGAAGACGTAAAATTGAGGGTTGGGGGATGACAAGCTCGTCCGCCTGCACATTTCCCTGATTGTCAAGCCCACAGACGCCCTGGAAACAAGTCGACTCTGCAAATCCAAAATAAAGGGGGGGTGATCACACCTCACATCTCGGAGCCATGACAGCAGAGAGACTTGCGGTTTCAAAACGCGCTGGCCGCTTCACGTGATTATTTAGCATTGGAAATATGCCACTCAAACAAAACGGAGCAATGCTAATCGGCGAGCCAACATGATGAATTCAGTGATGCCGTACATCATCTCCCCTACCCGCCTAACTCCTAAACGAGATAGGAAGCATAGCATGCCGCTTGCCGGCAGACAAAGCTACGCGTACTATACAAAGGAGACGCTGAAAACCAAAAATAGACATGACGGTAGATAGTAAAATCATTCCTCATCCTGGCTGCTGCCTCCAGCGTTTGTGCTGACGTGAATCTCATCAAGCATGACTGTGTCGTCGTCGTCATGATCGTGCCCGGCTCGAAATCCCGGCCCGCACGCCAAGTTCTTCCTCCTTGGGCTCATCTTACCGTTCCTCTCCTCCTCCGTGCTCCCCTTCTCAGGCGGCGGCAGCGTCGGGGGCAGCGGCGGCGGCCTAGCCCTCGCCTTCCTTACCGCGCTGTCAAACCCGCGCACCCAGTCCGCCACCGCGTTGGCAGCGGCCTCAGCAGCCGCAAACTCTTACTCGGCGATGCGGATCAGCGCGACGCTGCCGAGCAGCTGCATCCGCGTCTCTCCGAGCTCCTCTTCGGCAGCGCCTACCATCTGCCGCCGCTGCAGCTGCGAGGCGCACCACTGGCGGTGCAGCCCCAGCGGCCCGCGGCTGCGCTCTGCCAGGAGCAAGCCCGCGTCGAGCTGCCCGAGCTGCTCGCCGAACTTGTTCACGACGTGGCAGCCGGGGCACACCACGACGGTGTCGTCCGTGTCGTAGTGCTTCGCGAGGCACTCGTAGTGGAGGAAACGTCTGGCGCTGCTGTTCGTGTTCATGACTGTGTTGTTGCTGTTGCTGGCCGTAGTATTGGCTCTGTTGTTGTAGGCGTCGTCTTGCATCGACCTGCAATCGGCGTCCTGCATCGGCCCGACGACCACGGCGAATCTATTTGTGCGCGTCTGCGGGAAGTGCTGCGTAGAGCACAGGCAGCACTCCCAGCCGGCAGGGACCAGGCGGCTGAGGACAAGGTTCTGGCTGCCTACGGTCGTGACACTGATCCCTCTGTAATTGACGAGCTCACACACGGCACAGCGGGGCGTCTTGCAGTTACCGCACGTTATGACGGCGTTGTCTGACTACGAAGGGGTCCGGCTCTCTCGCCTTAACTGTGGCATCGAGATTTGAAAGAGCTGTGCGGCATTGGCGGGATCAACGCTGTAGCTGCCGGCCTTGCACTGCGTGATGTTGTCGCAGCAGCAGCACTTCCACGCGCAGATGAGAACGGAGGGCAACGCCTGTTTGGCGTCGGGGTTTCCGGGGACTTCGTAGCCCTGGTGTTGGCCTACGGGTGGCCCTCTAGGTTCACTGTTCATGGATATGGATGATACTGAATCGTCCATATTTCTGCGGGGCGTTGCTCTAGGCCGATGTTGGTGAGTGTTTGATTGCAGATTAGGTGTAAGAGTGGAATTCGGAGAAATGACAGTGACACGACGGTCTATTTGGGTGGAGGCGATCGAGTTTTCTGCTCCAAGGGAAGTTGAATAAAGACGACGAGACAAAACTGGTAGTTGGGATGGAAAGTGGAATGGTTGTGGTGGAAAACGGGCGTGAGAAGAAATTTATACCTATGCAAAGGTGTTGCAGAGACGGTCGCGGTGGATGGACGGTAGACAATAGTAGTGGAGAACACGAACAAGAAGTGGGGCAGCCGTGGGAAGGGTTTCTATTATATATACCTATGTAATCACTCGGCATCCAATGGAATAGAAGTCCCGCCGGCCGCCGAGACTCTCAGCAACTTCGGATGTGCCAGGACCAGGTGACTTAAGCCACCTTGCGCTGTGGCCCAGTCTCAAGCACGGTTCGTGCCCTATCGGCTCATTCATGAATGAGAGAAAGGTGATATGTGACATCTTGAAAATGACATCAAGTATAGAGGTGGCATTTCAGAGATCTAACAGTAGTATACACCATTCAGAGAGAAGCAAGTAAGGCCTAGCTTCTCCTGTGACGCGATTTATATGCGGCTGAAACTGTGAGAAAGTGAGTCCAATATCAAAGTTGTATTACTTTCGCGCATTTATATACCGTAGTGATATGTGCGAAGCCATCATCTAGTTCATCCTCGAAACAGCACTCTAGTTCTCACCAAGCGGCATCATAGCTTACAGGTCACGATAACTTGGACTTTCTAATCAGTTTCCATTATGAAGCTTCGTGAAGGATGCAACCGCTTAGAGTAACCCGAGGTGAAGCTGAGGCTTATACGAATGTGCGAGAAGCGATGAGACTCAGCCAGTGACTGAATCTCCGTCATTCCGTTTATCGTCCAGTGTTCACTTCTTTGAGAAATTAACCACAATCCAAGGCCACCTCTACCTTGAGCACGCTAACTAGTCCTCAAAAATCTATCTGTACGACTAGGAAATCAATATAATCTCATCAAGTGCCTATTTTTCATCCCTTCTAAGTTCTCGGCAATGAAGTGAACTTGTTAAGTCCAGCACGTCATCAAGCTAGATTTCTAGACTTACTTACTTGATCCTAGGAATAATATATTTATTCAAAATGAAACTGAAATCGGGCCAAGTGCTCCTCATTATCAACAGCTAGTGCTGGATGACATCCCGTTTTGCTTGCCGCTTCAAAGCACAACTGACGTCGGCGTGAGGAAGGGTTAGGGGAGTGGAATTAACAGCTGACTAAGTGATGGCTTGGCGTCCCACCCATGTTTTTAACCCCACTCCAGTAACAGCCCCTATGTCAGCTCGCTACCCACGCGACGCGACTCCTCAACTGTCGCCAAAGCCCGGCTCATTCCAAACCGTCCGCACTGCTTCGCACCTGGTGGCAGCGCACGAGATAATTCCACAATGGCGACGACGACGCCGCCTCAGTCTTCCGATGCCTTTGTTGAGACATCCTTTGACTCTGCCCATCCTTTCCGGGGCATTGTGATCTGTGCCACCAGCATCCCGCCCGATTTGAGGGTTCGTGTGCCCTTTCTGCCCCGCGTTTTCTGGCTGCCCATTCCCTTGTCTGCTGACTGACTGTTTGAGCTGACTGGATGAATTTAGATCGACATCGCAGCCAAAGCCGTCGAGCTGGGAGGCATCCACAAGTACGATCTCACCCCCGACTGCACACATCTGCTTGTCGGCGAGTACGACACTCCCAAGTACCGCCATGTCGCCAAGGAACGGCCCGACATCAAGGTCATGGCTCCCGGCTGGGTCGAGGCGGTGCGTGATCTTTGGGTTCAGGACGTCGAGATCGAATTTGCAGCTCTGGAAAAGGAATGGCAGTTGCGAGTCTTTGAGACGGGTGTCGCCGAAGCCACGCCCGCTGATGCTGAGCCAGAGCGTGGCCGCCTCCTCTGTTGCATGACCGGCTTCGAGGACCAGGACGTGCGCGAGCATATCTCCGAGACTATCAAAGCCAACGGCGGAGAGTATACGGGCGATCTCACCCGCCGCGTCACTCACCTAATCGTCTTCAAGCCCCAGGGCCGAAAATACCAGGCCGCAAAGACCTGGGGCATCCAGACCGTGTTAATTCGGTGGGTCGAGGATAGTGTCAAGCGGGGCATGATCCTGGATGAGAAGTGCTACGACCCAACCCTGCCTGAGGAGGAAATAGGCGTGGGCGCCTTGGTCAAGAAGGTTCCTGAAAAGGTGGCGCTCGGTAAGAGGTTAAGGGAAGGCTCTACAGTGCTCGACGACGGCCGGAGGAAGCTGCGCAAGACCGCAAGCATGAAGCTGAACAGCCAGAGGGACAACCTCTGGGGCGACATTCTTGGGAAGCCCCAGACCACAGAGCCGCTGGCCGCCGATGCTGCTGAAGCCACCTCATTACAGTCTGCCCGCGGGGCACCAAAATCACAAGCCAGCGTTGTCGAGCAGGCATCAACAGGAGGCAAGTCGATGGATACCCAGCTGTCGAGAATTGCCTCGTTTGGCGTATCAGAAGGCGGTGATATCTTTTCGTCGTGCTGCTTTTATGCCCACGGCTTTTCGGAAGCGAAGACGGCGATCCTTGTCAATGCGGTTGCGTCCCTCGGCGGTCTAGTTTGCCAGTCGCTCGACGAGGTCGTGTCCGCATCGGGCGCCCAACTAGCCCACCGCTTTCTTATCGTGCCACAGTCATCCCCTCCCGAGTCCCATCCCCGGCTGCCGGACAACGTCCATATTATCACCGAGTTCTACATCGAGAGGTGCATGCATAAGAACCGCTTCTTCCATCCGTCCGACCATGTCATTGGCCGGCCTTTTCTCGCCTTCCCCATTGAAGGGTTTGAGTCACTATCCATATCCACGGCCGGATTTACCGGCGTTGACCTAAACCACGTGGACAAGACCATCAGGCAGCTAGGCGCACGGTACGAAGAAAAGTTCACCGCAGACGTGTCTTTGTTGGTATGTTCATTGCTGTCGTCCGTCAGGAAGCAAAAGCTAGACTTGGCTTTGGCGTGGAAGGTGCCAGTGGTCAACGCAGAGTGGCTATGGGATTGCATCACAACGGGGTTCAAGGCTCCGATCAAGGCTTTCCTATTTCCAGAGCTCAGGCAAAACTTGGACGGTTCCGAAAGAACAGACAAGACAAAAGGTGCGGGTGGGGGTGCCGGCAAAGCCAAGGTCAACCAGGACAGGCTGTTAGCAAGAGACGGAATTGACAAAGACTTGCTCGCCAAACCCGCAGCAAAGCGCAAGACTCATCGCGAGACAAGCTTCCCGTCGTTCTCGGCCGTCGCGAAGGAGATCCAGAGGGCACCGGGAACGGCAGCTGCCCTCCCACCGACTGCGGCAAAAGATTTTCTGCCGCCGGCGCCGGCAGAATGGCCACTGTCAAATGCGACCACGGCACTGCATTATGAAACTGCACGGACACACCAGCCCCAGACGAGCAACAGCGAGAGCGAGTCCGGAGGCAAGAGCAATACCGACTCCGCTCCCCTCTCGGAAACATCCTCCAATGCCCTCAACAAAGCCGTGCCCTCCCCGCAGAAACAGGGCAGCCAGCGCAAGCCCATGAGCCGCGTCACGAGCGAGATTCCCGACTCTGAAGCTACGGACGGTGACCTCTGCCAGCCCAGCGACGTCGAAGACGAGAACGGGCCGGCGGAATTGGCCGTAGAGGAAGAAGAAGACCCCGAGGTGGCAAGGAAGCGAGTCGAGGCGCAGCTCGCTGCCTTGAAAGCCGCTGAGAATAAAGAGCTCACTGACAAGCTCGCCCTTACCGTCCTGGACTCAGCCCTAGCTACGGCAGGGCCATCCGGGGCCAACGAGAGAGAAGCGGGAGGAGCATCAGGCGCTGGCGCAGGGAGTGGTATCCACGACTCCGACGGCGGTGGTGGTGACACAGCTGTTGTAGAGGGTCCAGCTAAGCGAAATAGGCGAAAGCGCGAGATCCTCGGGCGCGCCATTAGCAACGTGTCAGCAGCCAGCAGCACTAGCGGGGCCGCTGGCGCCGACTCGGGCGGCGGCGGGAGCCTGAGCGCTGCGGCCCGTGACGCCGACGGTGGCGAGGGCGAGGGCGGCAGACCGCCGCCGGCCACGCAGCTAGACTACCAGGACCCAGATGCCAAGAGGTTCCAGGAGCAGGTCATGCACAAGATGCTCGGCACGGTGGCCGGGAAGAAGGGGTCTGCGAGGCATGAGGTGCCGACCTTGGCCTGGGGGCAGCAGCAGCCGCCGGGCACTGGAGAGCGGCGGAGCAGTCGGAGATAAGTAGCGGGAGGCGTTTGTTGTTTGGTTAGGTAATTAGCGAGCGGAGGAAGACATTTACGATTTAATACTTGTACAGAGTAGGTATTTACGATGCATCCACATATTCAGGGTAGGGGAGGAGTAAGCATTCCTTCTTGGGTTTTAACCATCATGGGAACGAAGCGTTGGCGTTGGGACAAAAATTGATGATCCCCCTCGCTTTGGGGGGAATTTTCCGACAGATAGAGTATTTAATCGTTAATGACATATATCCAACCTCTAGCTGTTAGACGGAGACACTAAATTATCTGGATGCTACTAATCTCCTTTGCTTTCTTTCTTTCTTCCTGCACGGCTAGTCTGCATGCAAAATACTCGGATGCCTATGCATAGATCTATTTCCACATACAACATGACATACGAGATCGTACAAAAAGAATACACGAACGCGGTACGGAAGACAGGGGGAGATAACTACATGATCAATAATGTCCAATGAAAAGAAGGTAAATAGTGTAAAAGAATTAGAGGGAAAATGTAATGAGATCATTAAGAGCTTGTCGTGAGTCGTCGTGAATATGTCATCATCCCCAAATCTCTCAAGACATATTGTGTGGTCGTGATGGTGGCGTCCGTCTTTAAGCCCCATTGTTATTGCGTGTGCCCTGGGCAAACACCAAACAAAAGTAAAAGTTGAAAAATAAGAAAAAAGGAAAATAGTAGAAATCCAAGGTTTTGCCTTTCCTTCGCCTCTTCTTTTGTAGCCCTCCCTCCCTCGCGATCAAATGCAAAGGGGTATCATATGATGATTATGCTGAACAGGAAAATAATAAATAAAAAACCAGGAAAGAAAAAGGTGTTGTAATCCTATCTAGATTTGCCATGCCATGCCTATAACCCCCTTTTCTCGGCGCACATGCCACTATATGTGGTGGTAATCAGAGGTGGGCGGCAACCTCCGTCAGTGCAGTCAGCAGGGCAGCCGCGGTGCCGCCAATGCCCACAGCACTCAGCGTGCTGCTCTTCTTGGGACGGTCATCGCGGTCGCCACGATCGCCACGGTCGCCGCGGTCGCTACGGTCGCCACGGTCGCGATCCCGGTTGCGCTCCCGGTCTCTGTCGGTGTGACGGCGAGACGAGGAGCGGTGATCTCGGTCTCGGTCCCTATCTCTCTCTCTGTCGTGTTCTTTCTCTCTCTCTCGCTCGCGTTCTTTCTCTCTCTCCCGCTCACGGTCTCTGTCTCGGTTCCTGTCTTTTGGCTTGTCTCTCTCGCGCTCGCGCTCCCGGTCCCTATCCCTGTCTCTGTCGCGATCACGAAGGCGCTCCCGGTCCCGATCACCACGGCTTCTGTCTCGGGTACGGACACGGTCATGGTCACGGTCACGGTCACGGTCACGATCGCGATCGCGGCGAGAGATGTCCGAGCGGCTGCTCGGAGACACCTCACGTGGGCCTTTCCCGTCAAACCGCACACGGTTGGGGTTTTTGTTCTTGAGGATGGGCTTTGGCCCGACGGTACTGTGCGGTGATGCATGGTCGCCGTTAACGCTAGCCGGTGGTGACACAATAATAGGTGGTGCCCTGGCCCCCCTGGCCCCGTCCTCGCCGTCTTCTTGTGAGCTCTGTCTCGATGACGGCCGGGGACGATCATTCTGACGCTTGATCTTGTGCTGGTGTTTCTCGTCGCCTGATGAGTCGCTGTCCCACAGGGGAGACTCGTCGCTGCTGGTGGACTCCTTAGTAGCCCGCTTTCGCTCTCGATCACGGTATGTCTCAGGGCGCTGTTCAGAGCCCTGGCTGCTCTTTTCGGGGCCGATGCTTCTCTCGGCTTGTGGCCGCCTGGTATTGCGGACCTCAATACTCTTCCGCGCGAGCTCGGCGATTTGATCGACCGAGAGTTTCCCGAGGACATAGACATATTGGGGTCGCGCTTCGTAGCGTACACCTTCTTTCTCCAAGACCTCGGGCGAGACAAGCGTACGCTTGATCCTGGTCCATACGGCGTCTAGCGGGATTTGGTTTCCTTTGCTATCAGGGGCCAAATAGCTGCGTTGTCGCGGTGCAGGATGGTGCTGAAGCATGCTAGTGCTGCTCGCCTCAGGGGCCGAGGAAGGGAACTCGGGGAGATCTGGGGCGCATGGGAAAGTCGGGCTACTCCCGTAGGCCGGCGGCGGTGACATGATAGGCGAGGTGGGAGACAGGCCGCTTGAGTACGGGGGCGGGAGCTGGGGCGAGAAGTACTGAGGAGACGTCCCAAATTGTTGATTGCCAGGCGATACGGCGAGCTGCAACTCGCTATTAGGAGGGTGAGGCACGGGCATCTCCAACGGATCTGCCCCTGGAGGAAGATACCTATGGTTCGGTGAGGTGCCAGGCGAGATACTCAAGGACGGCATCAAGCCGGGCGACAGAAACATGGAACCCATCCACGCACATCTGTCGGCCTCGCGGCGGTCAAAGTTCAGCAGGTCTCGTGTCGAGATAAGTGCAGTTTCGGAGGAACTGATGGGCTCCGAATCCGAGGATTCTGACGACGTCCAATGCTGGGAGCGGTGCGACTTGCTTTTCTGCACTGCGGACTGCGAGGTTCTGTCATATGGTTGCAATGACTTGGAACCCCCAGGGCCCGATGGTTGGTTAGTCGATCGAGCCATTTGCAGTGTCCCGTCATAATCAGGGCGAGTGCCGTTGGGTGCAAATGCTCGGTTGGGCGTTGAGGAGGATGCGAGGGTATTTATCATTGGCGGCAGCGACTGGCGGTCGACCGAACCACGAACAGACGATGTCGCCTCGTTTTGCATTGGCCCACAAGGCCTGATATCACTAATATATGCTTGGAGAATGTCCTGTTATGTTCGCGTGAGCCCCAAGATCAAACCCGTATGATGCAAGTTGTTGCCTGGGAATGCAACTGACCTTGTATTGGTGGAGTGTATCGCTGGGAACGCCTTCCATCTCGAGTTCAGTTCTAAAATCGAGCCAGAGGTCTTCCGAAGTGCTCCCAGCAGGTGAAACCGTGTTTCCGAGTAGGCTAGGGGCAATGGCGTCCATTTCGCGCTTGATCGAGTCGAGGTCCCAGCCATCAGAGCCTTCCATCCCAATTCGAGACCTGGCTGGGTTATGTAATTGAACTGTTTCAAGAAAAGTCTCTACCTTTGTCTTCTGAGAGATCACGTCTTTCTGGATCAGGTCAATTTGCTTCTCCTTCTCCTGCAAGTCTACTCCGCGCCTTGAAGTCCCCCCCCTAACAGGATCGCCCGTAACGAGACCCCCTCCCGCATACTTCTCGAGTATCATGGCGACCTTCTTCAGCGTAAAATCGGTGTGCTCCATGAGCGATGCCAGCTCACGAGTGTAGACATTGCTACGGTTCTCGCCGGTGACCGTGGCGGCGAGGTTCAGCAGCGAGTCGGGGGCCTGGATTTCCAAGCCGAGGTGCTGAGTGATGGCCCACAGGCTGTTGACAGCCGCCGAGATGTTGGCAAAGTCTGGGCCGGCAAGTCTCGCGCGGTGGCCCAGATGCTGGGCAAGGGCATCGACCGACTCGATGCTGGGGACACGGTCGTTGGGAGCCGTCATTTCGCCGAGGACCGTCCGCAGACCCAAGTCTTGGTCTCGGCGTCCCAAGAGGACGAGGCTCACAGGAGGTGGTTCCAGTCAATCGGGCGAGTAGGCTCGACGCCACTACGGCAGGCGTGGAAGCAGAATAGCGACGTGGAAGGGAAGAAGAAGAAGCGTGGCAGCGATGACAGCACAAGACAACTGGGGCTGGTACGGGAGTCGGTGGTTTAAAACCAGCTCGTTTGAGTCAAATGGAAGGAAGAAAACTTGATGCCAGTCCAATCCAGTCCAGCCTAGTGACAGTCCGTCTTGGAAAGTGTCGATACCAGGCTGCGGAGTAGCTGGCTGGCTGGCTTTACTCACTGAGTACGGTATGTAGACGCGGGGAACCCCCAGGAACAAAGATCAAAGAAACATGGATTGGGGAAAGGGGACTGAATGGTGGCCAAGGCTGTGGAGAAAAGGAAAAGAAGAAACTGGCGCCGATCAGAGGCTATCGTCGATCGGGGAGTCCCAACTCCCCTCCGCAGGCTCGAAGCGCTGACGAATGACGCGAGCGGGCGTGTTGGCACCTGAGCCGTTTGGCTTTGCTCAGGTTGCCAGCTTGGGTGGGTATGTCATCGGCGTGTGGGCACCACTTGGTGAGGTGACTAGCGGCACACCCACACCAAAGACTCTCTCCACTAAAATAATTACTGCTATCGATGCCAATGGTCTCCTTTCAATGTCCGTTGTGGAATAGTCCATGTCCCGCGCCACCGACGGCAACCCAACCCGAGCTCCAAGGCCAAGATTTTTGCGTGTTCGACAAGTTCGCACAGCGGATCCGTAGCACCGCATCTTTTCGCCGCCTCGTTTATGGAAATATCCTCAAGGGTAATTGCCGAATCTCGTGTGCTGGGCGCCACGGACGAACGGCGTGGAGCCGCAGAGAGGCATCCAACTTGGAACGGCCCTCCAGCTGCTGTGTAAACCAGGTCCCCTGATTCGACTTTCAAACCTTGAAATGACAGGCACTGCATATGTGTATCATTCATTCCATTGCCCATTCCCTTGCCGCCAGAGACCTTAGGATAGCTAGGCCTCAGCGAGTCGGCTGTGCATCGCTGAAACCGCCGTACCGCGCTCCCGCTTCTTATTCCACTTCTTACGCGGCGTGGTAAACGAGACATAGCCCGTCATCGTTATAGGAGCTTGGAATGCACAGGGGATTCTGCAGCAGAGATAAGCGCACTTACAGAAGGCTGGCATTTGAGGCCGGGACTGACTTTGAAGCTGAGGAACACGGTCTAGTATATTAGGTGTGGGAAGCCGTGAGACACGCGATCGTCGAGTGACGTTTGTTGAGCTGCGAGGACCCTGGACCTATGAAATCATCAGCGGGCATAAAGGACCCTCCTGAACGAGGGTTTGGGGCAGGGCTGGCCAATCGTCGGGCAGCAAACAGCCTCCGCCATGACGTCCAAGCTAAAATCCCCCGTTTCCCGCCAAAGAGCGGGGTGTTCTAGAATCCGCTAAGGTGCCTGGCCAGACGCTGCGCCACCCGCCTGGGTGAGCGCTCCGCTGGCCACAGCCGACTTTCCACCCGCAAATGGAACCTTCACACCCTATGACACGGCGACAATAATGCTGCCCCCAGGCGGCACTGCAACGGCATCCCCGTCGCCGCCGATTCACAGTTTGCAGTTCCAACAGGGCTTCTTGCTTGGCCCAGAATCCTGGCCGGCACGGGCTTATGCTGGGTCAGCTCTCTTGCTTCGAGCTGTGCTCCCAACATAGGTAAGGTATTTGGGAAAACGCAACGCGACGGATGCGTGCAGGGACATGACCATTCGGTTGGGCCCGAGAAGCATTTTCTCGGCTACTTGTTATCCGTATTCCAGGACAGTCAGGAAGCGGGCGTCTCCTCTACTCCGTAGCTAGTGCGTATATAGCGTAGCCGGACGTCGGCGATCAACACCGACACCGAATTTCCGTTTCACGGCACGCCGACGGTCTGGCCTGGCGCTGTGCTCCCCATTCAAGGTTACGGCTCAGCGGCCAAACAAAAAACCCAAATGAGCTTACCGACGCGTGATTGGGAAAGAAAAAGAACCTAAGACGGCCATCGCCCCGACCCGAACCTCGAACGAGGCTGTGAGGGCCTGGGCCGCCAGTCCATTCACTAGCCCCCTTGAAGATACCACTCTGGATTCCGGTGCTCTCTTGCCTAGGCACATGCAGTATATACTGTGCATGCTGGCCTCTGAAAAGTACGGAGTGCGGACAGAATCGTCGACATATGCACCTCCTGGAGCTCGGTCTAGAAAGAGAATTACCACTTGTGCAGAGGTCAACAACCAATGCATTGAGTTTCTGTTAGCGCCGGGCTGGTAACCCGAGAGGGCGCCCCTCCATCTGTTTCCCTCAGAAGGCGGCCGAGAGGGGGGGGGATGTAATGTGGTAGGAGAGACCAAGCAGCCTGGAACATACCTTAGGTAGGTGCTACGATAAGGTTGTCCGCCTTGCGGAACACCTGACGCCGACAAAGTCGGGCTCGACGAGGCTCGGTCGCGCTTTTAGGCGTAGGTCTGCGCGCAGGACCTTTAGGTGAGCCACACGGCCATTTCACCCCGGGGGATTCCAGGCCAATGGATTCAATTCCCCTAGACTTGCATTGCAGAAGCTGTGCAACACACACGTGGGGCTGCATCCTCGAGGGCCCCGGCTCATGTGCCGTCGTTAGGTAGCGACACGACTTCAATATGAACATCAAAAAAATATTGGCTGCCAGACTTTTTTGTCATCGACGTGGTGTAGACGCCAAGCTGCCTCCCGCACTCTGCCTCCTTGCCTTTCTCCCTCATGAGGAGATAGATGGACGACGCCCCATTTCACGCTCCGTGGCACAACGTCTGAGACGACGCACTGCGGCCAGCGTCCTCTGACTCGTTTCGACGGCCTTGCCCGCACTTGCCTCATGGTTGGACGATTTGCTCCAAATAGACGTTGGCTTTGACTCCAACCACACCTTCACTTCCTCAGCGTGGCGGCAGGTAAAAAAAAAAAAAAAAAAGGCCAAAGGGTAGTAGCAATGCTGTGGTCATAGCATAATTGCCATGCCGACTTTTCTAGGGCTTAATCTGAGTATTCGTGCTCTTGATGTAACTCATACGCCGTATGGCTCAATGTCTTGACCAAACGCAATTCAGCGTTTGGGAGAAACGGGGAGCCGGCTCTGCCGGTTGCAACCGAACACAGACTATTCCGTGCGTAATACCTTGTTCGGCTTGGCAGTCTTACGGATACCGCTGCTCAGGTTGCGGCTCTGCCGGCTAGCCCATCTTGGCACGCTTGTTATTGTATCACGGTTGGAATAGGCAGGTAAGGCAGTGGGTTGATAGAGCAGATGACCAAGAGCAAGAGTCACATCATGCACCCTTTCCTGCCGTGGCACCATCTCGTACATAATAGCTAGGTATCAAGTTAACTCCGTAGCCGTCCTTACAAAGCCACAGCCCTGGTGAACCGACGACATGACTCCCGGCCTTGGTGCAACAGTTCTGTTCACCTCCAGGGCGTAACACGTTGGCAAACACGCCGTTGTGAAACAGAACGAACGCCTTCCCAACGCCTCGCATCTCTTGGCAGGTGATGCCGGAAAAGACAATCATTGGTCTCCGAGGGTTCAACATGATTTTGACATTGGGTATCTGGATTACTGTGAGTCGCCCAACTCATACGGCCTCTTGGACGATCGTAGGGCCTGACCCGCTCAACATACTCTCCTCCGATATCCTATGAACAGAGTACGACCTCCTTTTCTTGCTGACAAAGAGCCCGATTTGCCTGCGGCTTCGCGGGACGATTTCGGCTCCGGACCTCACCCTCTCCACCGAGATCTTGGAGTCAGTCTTCAGTCCAAGGGGTAGTTCCTCTGTCAATTGGACAGCCGCGACCTTGTTTTTCCCAGCATCTGCGATAGCCTTCCTTGCCTTCTTCGCATAGCTGACCGCCTCGGCTAAAGCGCCTTGCAGACGCACTGCCTCCAGGATACCTTCCAGAGCCACGCTTATTTCGGCTTGGAACTGACCAAAGAAGTCCGCAGAGTCTTGCTGATTGCCCCAGTTCGCGAGCATTGTGTCGAACGCCATCCATCCACCCAGGCCCACAGAGTCAATACATCTGCACATAAGGTCGGCAATTAGCCGGATGCTACCGTCTGGCGGGGCTTCAACATCGTCTTCGTCAACCTGGGACCTATCTAGATAGCGAGTTGTCCAGCCATCCTTGATGAGCTCCATCCGCAGGACGTTCATGAGACAAATGGTCTCTTCGGGCTTGAATTGTCGTCTCAGGCTTTGAACTGTCGCGAGTGCCGGGCACACGACCAATTTGCTGAATGCCACACTCAAGCCCCGCGCCCGCCTGCTGGAGTCGCTGTCGAGATAATACTCTGTAATCTGCAATTCCTCCTCGGCTCGGTCAAGCTCCATATTGACATCGTCGTTGTTTCCGTCATGCTCTTGCTCCATGTTCTCCTTGATTCGCAATAGCTTGGATTTTGAAGGATCTTCCAGCAGGTCAAGGCTCCGTAAAAGCAACTTGATAGCAGAGACAAGCTCTGTGGGGCCAAGTTGCGTGCCAGAGAGATAGCCGAGTAGCAGCTCCATGGTGGGGTCGACCTGCACCAAGATGGGGGCTAGTTGCTCTCCGAGGATGCTGTCAACATCTTCCTCGTCGCGTATATCATCCTGGAACGCAGACTTGATGTTCGGCAACGATAGATGGCCTGCATCAACGAGATAGTTTAGCACGTTGCTCTCTGGTAGCCGACATGCCATCTGCGATGTCTCTGGATCACTGGTTGGACTGTTCCAAGAGAAGACTCTGCTGATGGCATAGAACACCCAACGCCTATCCACTTGGGGATAATCGGCTCGCGAGCTTGGCCATACCCACTCTAGAAAATTCGAGACACTTTCGGGTTCAGTTACCGGGGCAAAGTTGTTTTCGGGATGGATCCTATTCGGCTTCATATCCCTGCTCTTGGTTTGGATTTTGAAAACTCCGGCTAAGAGCTCCTCGAACCCGCTCATGTCGTTGGTTTGAAGAAGCTCGTCAGCCTTTGCACTCTCGCTCTTCCATTCTACCCAATATATGTTGGACAAAGACCCCGGTAAGGAATCCGCAATGATGTTTGATGAGGCGTGCTCTGCTCGGTTTCTCTTTTCGCAAAACTGTTCCCGAGCCACTCCACGTCGAATAGCGTCCGTTAGTAAACCTTCTGCGCGTCGCTTGCTGCTGCGACTCTTGGGCACTTCGATCTGGACCGCAATGAGAGATGTTCCCCGGAGACCAACAGCTAGTTCTCGGCTCGCAAGGTAGGCGACAAGCTCGCAAGAGAGATCGTTGTTTTCTGCAGACAGTCCAGGTTGTGGCTGAGATGCGTCTCTAATTTCAATGAGAGTGGAGGCCTGTAGGGAGTGGTAGAGAGGGTTATAAACAGAAAGGGAGCTCGCTGTGGCGGCGAGGATCGATGTCTTCGATAGACGGAGGAAAGAGGTCATACTAGGGACCTCGAGCTTGGTCTCCAGTCTTGGGATCCCAGAGTTGAACGCATATGTCGAGAGAACACTGCCGGCAAGTTCCTGTAGGGTGCCCGACCTAAGATCAAGCTGATACTTGCATGCCTCAGCCTTGACTGGGAGAGGCGATGCAAAGATTGGAACAACGCTCTGTCGGTTTTCCTGGCGCGGTTCCTTCCCAATTGACAGTGCAACGACGTGAATATATCTTTGCCATGTCCCTTGGGGCCCTTCCACTGAGGTAACCAGGATGAGAATGTCTGGGTTAAAGCCATCGCGGTGAATTGTTTCTTGGAACACCCCAAAGAGTTCGTTTTTTCCGCCAAACATGCCCTCGATGACATCGGTAGCCTGTGCGGACTGGACAAAATCAACTTGAACCTCGGATTTGGAACCGGATGGCAGTTCTTGCGTAAGCAACTGCGGCGACGACTGCCATTTCTTCTCTAATGTTTCACCACTCAAGCCCAGGATCGTACCATCAGCTGTGACAGCAACAAGCTCGTGGTTCGGTAGATCACCACCCGGCAAAGAAGAATCAGAGTACTTGGCGGATGTGGCAGATATGTGAACGATTGGCGCGGTACCGCGATAGGAGTAGGATGAAGTCGTCGATGTTGTGTTGCCAGCCTCCGAGACGGCGTCCTGGAACAACTTTACCTCATTCTTGGAGGAGACAGAATCCTGGGTTGAGACATATGTATAGCGGAGTGTGCTTTTTGTTGAGGATGGGCGCCATCGCAGCGAGTACGGCGCGCAGGTAAAGAAGGACTGCGGCGAGACGAGGTATGCCGTAACGGCCTGGGAGGAGGGTATCTGTAAGGATTTAGCTTTGGAAACTGCAAATTCATGGAGAAAGGGCATCTAACATCGTAGAGGTGAACCGCATCGCCGTCAATGGCAACGCAAAGCTCTGACCGCTTGCGCCTCTTGGAGCTCTGCTGCTGGCCGAAGACGTCGCCAACCGTATGGCGCCCGGGGCCATCTGGGCGGTCCAGCGGATGCGAGAATGCCTTCAGCACGTACGGCTTGTGGATCTGCATCTTGTTGGCCATTTTCGGGTTGTCTCTTGTGCTGTGTCAACCAGTCGCAAACTATTAGAACGAAGGCATCGCCATCTTGAATACCAGGCCTGCGGGCCAGAAAAAAAGTCGGGCCCTGCAGCGAAAAGAAAATGAGTGGGGGACTTAGGCTGGTGGGGCGTCGCAATCGGTTATCCGGCCCATCTTTGATCCCATCCAGGTAGTGGGTCCATCTCACCCCACCCACCGAATACGGTACGACCTTCGATCTTTGCAGGGCGGGTCGAGTGAGGCCCCAATCAATGGCGTTCGCGACGACGCGGGTTAGCTCGGCCAGACGCGCTTGCTAAAGTGCAGACGCGACCACCGAAGAGCAACTCTAAACCCGGTATTCTCTACCAACCCCGACTTTCTTGTGTCGATTGCAACTTCATTTCTTCATCCCATCTGGGCGCTCAATCTATCTACATTTAATGAGCGCCCATTCTAGAGGCGAACCCCGTTTTCCGTGCGACTTTTTCTTGGGGCATGACATATTCCCAGCACCGTCGCCTTTTGAACAGCTTTGGCTGCCGCCGCGAGGTACGTTGAGTGATTCCAGTTGACGGGCTTTAGTGCGCAGAAGTGAACTGACATCTCAGAGACTCTTGCAGTCGTTAGGCTCTTTTTTCCATCCATGGGGTCAACAGCTGTGCTCATGATGCCCGAGAAATTGAGTTCGCCAGCATTCGCGCAACGTCGACCATTGCATCCATTCTTCGAATTAAACCGCCTAACAGGCCCCGCCGCAGAGAGCCTCCCCGCAAACGACACATCCGGAGAGGCCGACGATATTTCACTGCTTCCTGACGCAGCCGCCGAGAAGTCTGGAAATGACGTCTCAGAGAAATCAAGTGGTCCTCGCGCCAAGCGACGCAAGGTTGACCCCGAACTGGACACCGTCGATGAGGAGCCCAAAAAACAGCGATCAAAGAAGAGGGTGAAAGTTTCTGTACCTAATGGCATTGAGAATCACTTTGTAAAAGTGGGCAAAGGCGATGCTAGTGCAGCAGACAAGGATGACACTGAGGTTCAAATCCCGGATAGTCCACCAGAGGAAAACGCCGCTCCAGCTGCTCCATCCCAGGATGAGCAAGGGAATGGCCTTCACACGGATGCTTTTTCTGATATTAGCTCATTGGATCAGCAGCCTGGTAAAACCCTCGCGGGTACAGGCCCCTTGCTGCAAACACAGTCATCAACTCCGGAGAGTGACTCGACAAAACCAAAGAAGATGCTGGTGTTCAACCCTAGGACGGGAACCATTGGCTCGCCACCCAAGCCTAAGCAGCCAAAGATCTTGGGGGGGAAGCCAGGCGAGGGTGGAAAGAAGGAATCTCTTGACCCAAGCACCAAGCCGTCGTCGAGAATCGTGGCCATTAAGTATGGCACCAATTCCGACTCGCGCATCGAAATTGGTGAAAGGATTGGCGCCATTATCAGTGGGCAGTCCCAGAGTCTGCCAGTGAAACCCAAGAAGCCGGCCCAACCTGCCAGTACCAGCACAAATCTCAACCCAACAAAGACTACACATCCATTTTTCTTGGCCAAGGCTAAGAATTCCGACGCAGCTCCTAGCGAGGCAAAGACCGCTAGCTCCGGGCCGCCCCCGGCGCCAGTAAGGGCAAAAACCTTCAGCTCAACGCCTTGCTCGCCCAAAAAGCCCCGTGCTAGCACTTCGGGTGTGCGGCTGCCGCAGTTTGGCGTGAAGAACTCCGGCCTCAAGTTCCCGGGCTCCAGACTGCCGGCGTGGCCTTGGAAAGATATGGTTCATGTGAGAGATAGCGGCTATCAGTTGGATGATATCCATACTACCTCGCCGCTCCCAGCTCGGAAGTCTAAAGGGCATGCAGTGGAGGTTCCTGTGTCGGAGTCTATTGTCAGCCTTGTAACGAAAGCTCTGCAGGTTCCAGCCATGGTGGATGCTGTCCGAAATTTCAACACCGACGACTTCCTTCCCGCGCCCCCTGAGCTTCGTCTACCTCAGAAACACTTCGAAAGTGGTAGCAAGTTGCAATCTGGCATCAATCCTGAGTTGAAAACCTTCCAGAGATCCGCAGCAACCAAGAAGGCAACTCAGCGCAAGGCCTTGGTGGAGGGGGGTGATGGAGGCATACAAGCCCCGCCGGAGCTTGCCCGCCTCTTTCATTCCATTTCCACTTCCCTTTCGGCTTTCGATAGGTTTCAGTGTGAGACTGCCAGTTGGGTTCAGAAGTACGCCCCTAACAGCGCGATCGAGGTCCTCCAGCCAGGCCAGGAGGCTTTCCTCTTGCGAGATTGGCTTCAGGCTTTGATGGTTCGGTCTGTAGACACGGGCTTGGCAGAGGCCGAAAAGCCGAAGGCTGGTTCGTCAAAGGTGAAGGGTGTAGGAGGGGCCGGTGGCAAGAAGAAGAGGAGGAAAAAGCTTGACGGGTTCATTGTGTCGAGTGAGAGCGAAGATGATGGACTTGACATTTTGTCAGACGAAGAAGCCGACTGGTCCCCAAGCGGGAAAGCTGGTATATACAGAAAGACCGTTGTCCGGTCCATTGATTTGGCAAAGACTGAGGCCGATAAAATCGCCAATTCACTTGTCATCAGTGGTCCCCATGGATGCGGCAAAACTGCGGCCGTATATGCGGTTGCAAGAGAGTTGGACTTTGAGATCTTTGAGATCAATTCGAGCAGCCGGAGGAGCGGAAAAGACGTCTTGGAGAAGATTGGTGACATGACAAGAAACCATCTTGTGCAACACCACCCGTCAGCCGCTCGTGGAGAGGAGGGCGACGAGCCAGCAATAGAGGACGAAATCGCCAAAGACTTAAAATCCGGCAAGCAGTCGACAATGGGCGCATTTTTCAAGCCCAAAGCTGCCGCGACCAAACCGAAAAAGGTGGCCAAAGTTGTTGCCCCTGTTCAGCAAAAAGAAGCCAAAAAGGAGCAACCAAAGAGTCAGAAACAGTCTCTAATTCTTCTCGAAGAGGTTGATATTCTCTACGAAGAGGATAAGCAGTTTTGGGCTACTGTCATTGGCCTTGTTATCCAATCGAAAAGGCCATTTGTCATGACCTGTAACGACGAGACTCTTCTGCCTCTCCAGGCACTCCGACCTCACGGAATTTTCCGGCTCAGTGAACCGCCACGAGAGGCTGCGATTGATCGCTTGATCCTCATCGCAGCAAATGAAGGGCATGCCTTGACACGACAGGCTGTCGAAACCCTTTACGAGTCTCGCAACCGGGATCTTCGTGCGGCCACGATGGACTTGCAATACTGGTGCCAGATCGGCGTGGGAGACCGCAAAGGCGGCCAAGACTGGTTCTATCCCCGCTGGCCAAGGGGTTGTGATATTGACGAAAACAACGAGGTTGTCAGAGTTGTAAGTCAAGGAACATTCCAGCCGGGGATGAACTATCTGGGCCGTGACAGCGTTGTTGATCCCAAGATCTCCTCGAGGCTTGTCGAGGAAGAGCTGTTACAACAAGCTTGGGATTCCTGGGGTATTGACATGGGGCACTGGCAAGACTCGGCTGGGTTCTCGTCCTGGGTTGAGACTTTGAGTCCGGTTGTCGCCAACCCTACGGAACGTCTTGCTGCTCTAGAAGCTATGGATGATCTCGCCGAAACGTTGAGTGTGGCAGACATTTGCTCCTGCAAGTCGTTCGCCATAATGAATCAGGTGAGCATTGCACAGTCAAGCCCGACAATTTTGTTCGGGCTAGACTAACTTTCTAGGAACAACTCGATGCCACTCTCCCGGAAATGCCAGCAAAAACACGAGAAGACTTGATTCTTGGATTCATGCACCTCGATGCACAACCTGTAGCAAATGGTAACTGGGTTACCGCGTCGATGGCGGCTACGATGAAATCTCTCGCAAAATCAGCACTGCAAACCAAGGTCGAAAACCTACAAGGGCGCCCCGCTACGGAACTTGCTCCCCTGAACGAGTCACAGGCCGTCGACTCAATACAGGCCAGCTTTAACTCTGTACTGCCTGGAATGCCAGCCATTGCACGTATTGACTTTGCCATGGCTTTTGATGTCATTGCTGCTCCGGATGTTGCCCCTCTGCAACCATCCTCATATCTAGAGCCTTCAGTGTTTGATCGAACGTTCGAGCTCATCGTCCTCGACGTGGCCCCTTACGTCCGAGGCATTGTCGACTACGACTCGTATCTACAGAAACAGCGGCTAAAACTGAGCACGCTATTGAGCGAGGGCGGGAGAGGGTCCCGGGGTTCAAAGCGCATGCGGACCACAAGATCTGCCCTGTCGGCTCTCGAGGGTGGCTCGCGCAGCACCACGCGAGGAGAGAAATGGTTCAAGGTAGATATCAATCCCATACTGGCCACCAAGACTGCCGGAACGGGATGGAGCAGCGTTCGTGCGGAGGAGAGTGTAGCCCCAAGCAGCCCCCCAAGGAGTTCCCCGAACGCGTCACCCGAACCCTCGCCGAAGCGTTCCATCAAGAAAGCCAGGGGCCGGCCCCGGAAAAAAGTTGTTTTGGAGGATATCGGTGACGAGTTGGGCAATGATGTGTAGGCATGTCGTTAGCTGTGTTTAGTACGTGTGGGCTTAGTTTTTGTTCTGCTTTCTAGCCAAATCAAGAAAGCTGGAATAGTTCTCAGTAGCATATATATATACTAGCCTCTGATGGGGGATATAACAATGAATAGATGGATGATGAATCTCAAATCTGTTATCTGCCTAGGACTACCTCCTGTCAGTCTGAAATATTTGAGTCTTTGAGATTTCACAACGCACAGTGAGCCGCCGAACCAGTAAAACTAATAGCACAATTGTATTTACGGCTATGTTTAGGGTTGCGATGTTTCAACAAGATTGATATCCAACAAAGCATCTGTGTGCGCCTACGGCCATGCTTCTAGGGGCGGTGTCAACCAACACTTGACTACCTGCCTCAGTGTTTTCCAAAAAAAAAAAAAAAAAAAAAAAGAAAGCGTCTTGAGCCCCTAGTTGACTGAGCGCCTGCCCATCCAAACAAAACAAGAGTTTGGCAGAAGTGGTAAAGTCTTCCATCATAAGTGCCCATCGCTACCGATAATATAACTCTTCAACAATACGCGGTCTTACAGCCGACCCATCAACCGAAGCCCTACGAGATCTTGCGGGCCGCTCGCGGCGTGCATACGCCGGCTCGAGGTATACTTCTTCTTGGTACAAGTAAGTCCGCGGTGGTGGCGGTGGTGGCGGCGCCGGCGGCTCTTCGAGATCGTACCGCGGATCCGACAAGGATCCTCTCCTGTACCGCGCTGGAGCCGGCGAGTAGTAGGAGCCTCTCCGGCTTTCGGCCACTACAGGGCTGGCAGATTCTCGGGCGAAGCTGCGACGGGCACTACTACTGTAGCTACCACCACTACTGTCGTTGCCGCCCCTGATCCATTCGGTACGGTCACTACGCGTATCGCCCCTGGTGATATATCCGGAGGTGCGGCGGTCACCGCTGCTGCCGCCGCTACTCCATTCAGCATTGTCGCTGTACAAGTCGTCCCTGCTGAGATAACCTGGTCGTCCCCCTTCATGGAAGTGCACGCGCCGCTCTTCACCGCGTGGGTGGCGAGGGTAATACTCCCTGACGCTGTCGTCGCCAGCATGGGGGCTTCGGAATGAGCTCCGGTCGTCCTTAGCTGGCCAGGTCCTCTTCCCGTACAAGTTTTCGTGGTGCACCCTGTGTTCCCAGTCGTCTTTGTCACCGTAGACAAACCCCTTGGGCCAGTATTTGTGGGCGCAGTAAGTTGCGGCAGCCACTGACCCCAGGAATATGAGCGAGCCCTTCACGTATGACTTCACCTTATCGTCGTCGTCGTCGTCATGCTTGGGGCGGCGAGTGGGCTTGCGATCGGCGTAGGCAGAGTGCGAAAACGAGTTGGATCGGAATGGCGAGTTAAAGCTCGAGGGAAACGCAGGGCGAACCGGTGACAGGGGAGGGCTGGTGTACATAGGCATCCTGGCAGAAGCGGGCGTGTGGGCAAACTCCTTTTATGGAGAGTCTAGACCGACTGTCAAGCAGCAAGGGCTCGCAGGGGCCGGGACGGGCTATATCTCCGGTTGCCTGATACCGCGAAAAAGAAAGCAGCTTTTCAGAGTATGTCGAACGTAAGACAGAAAAGGTGCTCTGATCAGACGTCGTAAGACGGCTGCGGTGTAAGGCAGGAAAAACCGGGCTGGCGATGGTGATGCTAGCAGACCCGGTCGAGAAGCCCCAGAGCACTACCTCTGGCGTCTCGGGTGCGGAACCATACAGGAGGGACGGAGTAGGAACTCGCTAGGAAATAAAGAGATAGTAACCGCGAAAGAAACAACGGTGGGGGCATGGGAGATAGATAAGAGAATTGGAATGGGGGGAAGGGGAAAGGGAGGGAGCATGAGGCTGTCGCCCTCGCCGTAGTCAGGTCGCGAGAAGGGGTGAGCTCTGGAACAAACCGAGGCCATCTTTTGGTTCCTCCACGCCGCCGACGGAAACCCGATCTAGCGACCGGCGAGTCTATCAAGAAAAAATGACGCAAGATCAAGATAGCGGGTAGCACGGGAGAAGACGAACGATTGCGCGTATTACCCAGACCATTCCGGAGGGTGGGCTTGAAACAGGACGACGAGGCTCTCAACTAATGAGGCGTCGGTGTGTTGTGCACTTGCTAATTAACTGTGATACCGGGTGGGGGGTCAGCCTGGGTTCGTCGGTAGACAAATTACAACCAATTTCATTGGCGCAAAAGGCCGAGAGATAGATAAGAGGGATGAGATAACAGACGAACGTCTTAAAGAGAGCCCAGCCGTGAAGGCATGAAGCAAGATTCCGACGGGAAGGTCGGGTGGGATGCGAGGAACCTAGAACACGGCGCTCGGCCTTCATCCCTTCCCGGTCGGCGGCAGACATAAACAGCCGCCCTCTAGGACCGACCGCCTGAAGAGCATTGTAGTGTAGGAACGCTCTAGAAGAGCCGAAATACTCAGTATGAGCCATAACTTCATTGCTAGAAGCAGCTGGAGTGGTAAAGGCACGTCGCAAAGAACACTGAGTGTTCTCCTTAGGACTGTGCTTTGCCAACTGAACCAGTTGGGTGGCAGCTCCTCACATTGGATGTTGGGTTCAAGGGCCGCAGCCCAAACTGACACAAGCCAGGGCAGGCTGAAGGGCGGCCCTCCAGAATTAAGGTTTGGTGAACGACCCGCGACAGTAACCTGCAAGTTGCAAGAGCCCCGGGCCTTCTCAATAATCCATCCAATCCTACGAAGCTTGGCATAGTGAAAAAGAGCCTCTCCGTAGTATGTATGGAATACCTTACTATGCATTTTCAACATGTGAGGCTTCACTCCAACGATGAACGTCCTCGGAAATTTGGTTATTTGCACATCTAGAACCCAGAGTGGGCAGCTCCTCCCTTGCATCACAAGCAGCAGCCCGAGAATGCAATGGAAAAGATATTGGGAGAGGGAGGTCGCGTCGCCTGAAAGCAGTGTAATATCAGGGACACAGTGGGAAACAGCTCATACGCAAGCCTAGAGGAATCGCTACCCGTTGACAAAAAATTGGCATAATCGTCTTGCTCAACGAGCATAACAGCGATTAAGCTGAAAAGAACAGATACTACACTTGATCTAAGCTAAAGGCAAAGAGCGCTAAGGAAAAGAAGAGAAAGGGATTTGAAGAGGGAGCCGAGCAGGACGTATTTATACCCGAACGGCCCGGGAACTGCCAATTGTCATAGGAGTCATGCTTTCCCGTTTGGGAATGAGACAGGATGACGAGAGCTGCTCTGAGTCACCAGACAGTTGGCGCCTGCCTTCCCGGTCCCCAACAGCTAGCAGCGCCTTCCAGGCGGCCACCCGCTGTCATACCATTCCGCCTCAACCTCGAGCCCTAGCACAAGCCCCGACAGCATCCGGCGAAGCTGCTCCCCGTCCAACGTCCCGTCTCGCTGGGATCCGTAGGCCGCGGCGATCCAAGACATGTCCTAAGCTGGCCGCAACATGATTGGTGGACTCGCCAATTTCGTCTACTGTTACAGCCTTGATGCTTTGCACCTAACCCATGACAACCACCGGTCTTATACTCGAGTTGCAATGTGCGAGAACTTGATGTCACCCACGACATGATCAGAGATTGGTCACTTCAGCTTGTTCGATGGTAGCCAATTATCGTGGAACCTTTTTTTTTCGAGTTTGGCTGATCGGAGAGGGGAAACGCCGATCACCGACTTAAGAGTCACGCTTTTGGCTGACCTCGAACTAACTCCGATATTTTCGACGTTCCTGTTTATTTCCACGAAAATAGTTACAAATAAAACAGTGCGCAACTTCTCGAGCCGAGTTTGCGCGAGTCAATAGGATGGCAGTCTTTCACTTCGTGAAACTTGAATATTGGAGCTTTTGGAAGGTGGATTCCACTTGTGGTCGAGATGCCGAAACAGCCTCCACAACAGAATGTTGTTTGCTAAGGGGCTCGAGAATTATCCTTCCGGCGTTCGAAGTACCACGATGGGATTCGTGGTTCTTACGGCGGCATTAGACCATCGTCCACGGAGCGTATTTACAGATGCAATGCTACCAATACTATTATGGTTGCTGACTCTACCATTCCCATTGAACTCTGTTGGTTCGCCGGGGTCAACGGGAACCTGCATGGACCCGGAAGGCTACCAAAACTCCACAGCGCGCTTACCGCTCTACGACGCCTCGTGCAAGCATCCCCCCGGGCCCGTCAGCGCGCCAATGCTGCCCTGCTCATCTCATAGCGTGTGTTACAGCTTATCAGCTTTTACTCCCCCAATTTTCTGTGGTTCATCTCAACTATTTAGCTCCATTGGTTGTCCTTGGCTGGTGTCCATGTCAGGCGACGAAGCTCCACCGGTCCTGCCATTTTCTTCCACCACCCTTCTTTGCTGACTCTCTTGCGAGAACACGAAGTTCGGTCTCGTCCAGGCCAAAATTTGCCAGGCGGGCTTTGGCCCTTGATTGGGTTGCCCTCCATGGCCGACACAACTCGTGAAGATACTGGTGCAGCCCAGGTCTACGGCCCAGGCAACGACAACGGAGCAAAGCAGCACACGGTCGAGAAAGGTGAGGCCGCAGCTAGGCCGCAACCGCAACCGCACGGGACCGGCGACGGCGACGGGACTAGGAGCAGGAACGGGCCACCAGACCCGAATCCAGATCTAAAGCCTGAGAACGACGACAAAGCCGGTGCCGGTGCCGACAGTGACGACAGCCAAGACGCGGCACCTAAAAAGAGCAAACCTAACCCTTTCGCCAAGCTCTTCACAAAGCTAGGTCTCGACGCCGGCACGCTAATCATCATGTTCAAGTAAGATACTCAAGTCTAGCCAATTGGGCTGCGCTCTGACGAATATTTCCCGCCTTCCTGCCTACCATTCAGACATTCATTCACCAGGCAATGGCCCGAGATAGCTGAGGTAGCTACCTAGCTTTGTTGACTGACCGTGTGCCTTTCAAAAAGGGGCTCCCTCCCCCCAGCCATTGCCATCGCCATGTACCAATCGACCACCGTAGCGTCATATTTCACCACGCTAGGATATCTTGTGCCCATCATCTCTGTTATCGCCCTGCCCATCCTGCCTAGGGGCAAGTTCCTTATGAACTTGCTTCTCAGCGTCCTCGGCGTTTGCTTGGGGTCCGCCGTAGCACTGCTGATGCTCTGGTCTTCCATCAAGGCTCGAGAGCATACCACGCCGCCAGGCTCAACCAAGATATACAACTCGAGCCAATCAGCCGTCTGTGCGGTCTGGTTGTTTGCCAACATCTACTTCATCAACGTCGTTCGTGCCAAGCTACCGAGTCTCAATATTCCCGTCATAATCTACAGCATCTTGGTTAATATTGCCGCAACCTTTGGCCCACTCATGAGGACCGTTGCCGCCGCCGAAGCTTTTGTCCAGCAACTCCTCACGGCCATGCTAGCCGCCTTCGCCCTCGCCGCCGGTGTCAACCTCATTGTCTTCCCCATTAGCACCCGTCTTGTGGTGTTCAAGGAGTTTGCCGGCCTCGTCGGCCTTCTCAGGCGCACCGTCTCACTGCAAAAGGCCTACTTGGTCAGCATAGAGTCCGAGGACATGTTTGCTGCCGTCACTCGCACCCAGACATTACTAGCCGCCGAAGCAAAAAAGAGACACGGTGGACCAGACAAGCCCAAGCTGACAAAGGAGGCCAAAGCCGCGGCAGCGTTACGGGGGACAAGCGCCTCGTTGAGGGAGCTTTCTGGCAAGCTGCACGCGGATATGCCCTTTGCCAAACGCGATTTTGCTCGAGGGAAGCTTGATGCCGACGATCTTGGGGAACTATTCATGCTCTTCCGCAATGTTTACATTCCTGTCATGGGCATTTCGACAATCATCGACATATTCAAGCGAGTGTCGGAGCGTCGCAAATGGCAGGTTGGCGACGATGCCCCCGAGGAGGTCATTGCCGAGAAGAACATTGAGAAGCGTGTTTGGAACGAAGTCATGAGGCAGATGCACGAGCCCTTTGAGATCCTGTCCGAGGCCATCGATCAGGGACTCGAGCATGCAGCGCTCTGCCTCGAGCTGATTCCCCGACCGAAAAATGATGCTGCACACTCAAGCACAGCCCAGAACCCGGCAGATGAGGACGTTGAGGCTAGGGGACAAGAGATCAAGCCTGGTACCCCCGATTTTGCCAAACTGCTAGACGAAAAAGTCAAGGCCTTCTACTCCAAGAAAGGCGAGCTGTTACGAACATGGGTAAAGCAAAGAGATATAGCCATCGACGAAGAGTACAGCGGCGACCCGCAACACGAAGCCTCCGCCGAACGGAAAGAGCGGTCCCAGGCGCAGCTTTATATCGTGCTCTACATGGAGAACTTGATGCATGCCTCGGGCGAGGCAGTCCAGAATCTCGTCGCGTTTGCCGACAAGAAGGTCAAAGACGGCACCATGTCGAAGAAACGCTTCATCCTGCCCACGTCTCGCCGCTTACGCAAGTGGCTCCTCGGGGCGTTCAGCACCGAAGACTCGTCAGCCGAGCAGTCGCCTGACCTCATGGAAACCAGCGCCACCATTGTCTCTTTCGGTGACGGGTACAACCGCAAGAAGGACCCAGAGCACTTGGATCCTGCCACGGCATGGCAGCGTTTTGGCAACGGTCTCCGCAAAGTCCCGGCTTTTTTCGGCTCCGAGGAGTCTGGATTTGGCTTCAGAGTTGCGTGCGCAACCATGACCATAGCTATCGTGGCATTTTTGGAAGACACGCAGGTCTTCTTCATGGAGCAGAGGCTTGTCTGGTACGTCGTTCCCACTCGCTCTCGTGCGGTTCGTTTTACTGATGTTGGAATAGGGCCATGATTATCATTGCCATTGGCATGACTATGAGTAAGAATTCCAACACCCAGGAAGAACAAAATCTTGATACCGGTGCTAACAACATCCCTCGCAGCTTCGGGCCAGTCTGTCTTCAGTTTTCTTTGCCGGGTCGCGGGAACCGTCATTGCAATGGTGTTGTCTCTCGTTGTCTGGTATATAGTGGATGAGAACGTCCCTGGCATCATTGTGTTTCTGTGGCTCTCACTGTTCATCTGCTACTATTTCTTCCTCAAGTTCCCAAACTTCATTCCTGCCATTCTTATTGCAATGGTCACACAAGTCCTCATCATAGGCTACGAACTCCAAGTGCTCAAGATCGGCGAGGCAGCGTCTGAGCGGACTGGGCAGCCAGTATACAAGTATGTTTGAGCCTATCCGGGATAAAGCGGCCCCGACATTGGGAAAGAATTCGGCTAACTCGGTGTTGTTAGGATATACTTGCTGGGGCCTTATCGACTTGCCAATGTGGCAGGCGGCAGCTTGGTGGCATTCTTCTGGACCATCTTCCCCTCCCCTCTCACGGATCGGACCTGGCTCCGCCGCGACCTAGCTGCCACCCTATACCTAGTCGCCAACTACTTCGGTGTCATCAGTTCAACAATACGGTCAAACGTGGACGGTTCGGGGGGTGACGTGAGCATCCCAGGGACCCCAGCGCATCAGCTATTCAAGGCCGGCCGCAAAATATTCGGCAAAATCATGCTGCTGGTCCCGTCCATGAGCCAGCACTCGGAGTGGCAGAAGTGGGAGCCGACCATCGGCGGAAAGTTCCCACGAGCGGCATACGACGAGATTATCCTCCGGAGCACCCGCATAATGGGTTACCTGACTCTCATGAGCTACACGCTGACGCACCCCACTCTGGAGGAGCCAAAGTCCTCAGGCAAGGACGCCAACAGGGAGACGACAGAAACCGAGGATGGCCAGGACAGGCAGGCAAAGTCGAGACAGCTAAGCAGCCGCAACGGGCCTGCCTCGGACGCCGCATCTATCTCGAGCGAGAGCAAAGAATGGCTCGACGCCCTCGCCGAGGTCCTCTCCGCGCTTGAGCCCGCCCACCACACAATCCTGTCCACCCTGACGCTGCTGTCCAACTCGCTCCTCTCGGGCCAACGGCTACCGCCCTTCCTGCCCCTCCCGCGGCCGTACGAGATGACGCGCCGTCTCGTCAACCTGGGCCAGCCTGAGTCTTTCGAGAGGGAATCCGCCGCCTACGACGACACGCTGAAGCTCGGCGAGCTGGGGCCGAGCGGCTCGAGGCAGACGGCCAGCGGCAACACGGTCGCCAGCCTCCTCGACCCGCGCAACATGGAGCAGCCCGGATATGCCGAGTTCGCCGTCCTCCAGGTGTGCAACACGCTTGTGTGCGACGACCTCGAGGGGCTCATGAAGGCCGTGGCGGGGCTTGTGGGCGTCGTCGACTTCAGTTTCCGCGTCGCCGGGAGCGAATCGACTCTTGGGTCGTCGGGTGGTGGGACCAAGGTCAGCGGCGGCGAGGCTCTCAGGAAGATCTTTTCGAAGCCACTAGCCAGTAATGGGGATAAGGGGAAGGGGAAGGTTGATTGATTGAGCGGGCGCGTCGGAGGGTTTGTTTCCGGAGTAAAAAAGGGTTTGGGAAGCATTGCTTTTATTATGCTGGTCTTCATTTATTGACGACTCCCAAGAAGCGCATTTCCACGGGCTATAATGATGGCAAACTAGAGCAGTTACAGCAAGGACTTATACCCACTGCCCTTCTTCAGAGTAGTTAGAAGCACCGCGGTGTAAGGTTCAAAGTGTATGTACCTCGTTGCATCAACAAATAATTTCCTAAGTTACCCTCCGCTAACAGTTTTAAGCATAATGCCAAGAGTCACCATTCCGAGCGAGACATCAGCTAGAGACACTTCGAAGATTATCTCCGCTCATTGTCCTTGCACCTTTAAAAATCGTCCATGTAAATTCCATGTATATTGTTAGAGTGAGGAAAAGAATGCCCCCGCAGCATTTTCTGACGCAGTTTACAAGGTATCTATGTCTATTTCTATGTCTAGCACCGCCGTGTCGTATCGTCTAGAAGATTATGATACCATAGGGCCATATCATCTCTACTGAGCCGTCTCTATCATGCAACCTTTACGTCTACAAGCAAATGTGTCTTTTTTTTCTAGTGCGCGAGCAACCATCTTTTTATGTGTGGAACCCCTCCCACTACGTTGACTTGGTAGCCCACTTGAGCTCTCCAGGCACAGCCGGATCCGCCTCAACATACTTGCAGGTGCCAAACGTCGACCACAATGAACCGATGAACGAGCCCGATTCGCGGTGGTAGAGGCTTCCCAGCAATGGCTTGAGGGCCTCAGTGGCTTCCTCGGCGCGATAAAATGGAATGCGCCTAGACAAGAAATTAAGCGTTGGTCAGCGATCATTCTCTATTTTGGCATCTCGTAGACCTTGTGGTCGGCCAGGGTGATATGTAGGGAGATGATAACATACGGGAAGAGATGGTGGACAACGTGTGTATCAATGATGCCGTGGAACAGGTGGCGGCCGACAAAGCCAAAATCGCGGTCCACGGTAGCAAGAGCGCCCTTAACAAAGGTCCAGTTCTCGGCGTCGAAATGAGGGACGTCGGGGTGGGTGTGGTGCAGGTAGGTAATGGCAACTGCAGAGAATGATGGTTAGTCGTGTCTAATCTCCTACTCGGGCCAGGGAAAGTAGAACGTACCGAGCCAGTGGTGAACCCAAAAGTAGGGCACTCCGTACAGGAGAAACAGTGTCTGCCATCCAATGATGTGGACCGCAAGGTACAAGCCGTACGCGGTGATGGCGAGGCCGAGATCTGACAGGGCAATGTAGATAGCCTCGCTGGGGCGGAAGACGGAGCTGGTGGGCTCAAAGTGGCTCACGCGCAGCCAGCCAGCCGACTCACGCTGCATGCTCTTAGGGCCGGCTGAGACGTTGAACAGCAGGTACATTTGCCAACCCGCGAGCTGATGGGAGAGGAGCTTAACAAGCTGCACAATGGGGGTATCCTCGAACATCTCAGGGTCCATATACAGGTTGGCCAGACGTGGGGTGAAGCGGTCGGCCTTGGTCTGGGGCACAAAGGCCATGTCCTTCTCCATATGACCGGTGAAGCGGTGGTGGCGGTGGTGAGAGAACTTCCAGCTGAAGTAGGGTACCAGCAGCGCCGAGTGCGCCGCCCAGCCCACCACGTCGTTGAAGCGCTGGTGCGCCGAGAAGCCGCCGTGGCCGCACTCGTGGGCGAGGATCCAGAGTCCAGTGCAAACGAGGCCCTGCACGTAACCGTAGATGATCCAGGCCGCCGTGCGCCAGAGCGTGTTCTCAATGGTCGGGATATAGGTCAGACCCGCCCAGCCGATGACACCGATCATGGCGACATCGCGAACGAGATAGCCCAGCGACCGCGCCGTCGAGGCCTTGAAGCAGTGCGCCGGAATGGCGTCCCTGATAGTCTGGATATCGGGGTACTGCTGTTCGGCCGACGAAGGCTGCAAGGCCAGCTTGGCCTCGGCCGTGCGGCCTTTCAATGTGGTGGTCTGTGTCGCCGTCGTGGTCGCCATGGTTGGAGATGGCACTTCGCTGTGGATAGAGGGAAAAGAGAAGACGGGCGGCGGGAGGAAAAAAGAAAAGGTTAAATCGTCTCTCCGGGTGTCTTCCCTTTTCGTTTCTCCGGTGTCTGTCCTCTTTTTTTTTCCTCCCTTCGGCTGCCCCCCTCTGGCCGTCCGTTTCCTTTTTTTCTGCCCCGGTCATGTCGCAGCTAAGGAGGACCCTCTCTATCCCTCTTTCTCCAGTGCTCCACACGCCTCTGATAGACACACAAGCTCCATAGTCGGATCGCCGATACCAGCCAAGCGGGTGCCGATATCACGTATCCATGCTCGGTAACGGGCCCCTAAGATTGGCATCCGAGTCCGGCACAGGCCAACCCTGATGGCAAATTGCTGCAAACGCGTCTAACCCCCCGTGCTAGACAAAATATGGGGCAGCCACCGAGAGCGTTCCTCGCCAACTCTCCCCTTCTAGCCCAGAGTTCACAGGCTGGGCCCCCTCGGCTCATTCCAAGCACGGTCTCTCCAAGGTTTACGATACTCCGCCGTGGCTAGGTCCGGCCCCTATGAGCACGCATGCATTTCCAATCACAGAGTTGCTTTCGGGGGGCCTTTTTTCTGTCGTCGTAACTCAAACGGCTAGGCATGTGCCAGGCCTCGTGCATTGTGGTTGAGTGGCGGGAAAGAACGAAAGGTGTCCAAAATGGCAAAAAGAGAACACAGAGGCGTGGGCAAGAAAGAAAAATAAAGGACACGAACCCCTACCAGTTTGGTAGGGACCGACCGGGGTTGGGGGCTTGGGGCCTTGGGGCAAGCACGGTCAGTTTCTCAAATCTCTCCTTCCCTTCTTTCACCCACGCTTTCTCAAACCTCAACCGATTTCCCAGGCACGTCAAATTTGCTTTTCTGCCCCTCTCTCTCTCTTTTGTGGATCACTTCTGTGGGAGCCCAGGCTGGGTTAGAATTTTGCATGGTCCAAACGGTCCCGATGCCCCAAGTACGCTTCAAAGACCTGAATCATGCCCTTTCACCCCAGTGGGTCATAGTCGTCTCAGGGGCCCTTTTTGGCACGTGTCTGATGTTACACGACGGAAAAGCCTAAATTGACTAATGAATCCCAGAGCCAAGCAATCAATTCCTCAGTCCCTTCTCTCCTCGCTCATTCTTCCCGCCTTTCGTTAGTGTCTTTCAAGGTTCCAAAATTCCCGTCTCTCTAAGCTGCCTAGCTTGCCCCGTAAAATGAGGCAATTGGAGCTATAAACAGAGCTAAGCACAACGGGTTGGTTCCCTCAGTCGCCTTTCTTTGAGAAACTGGAAGCCCAACACCCAGGCTGCTTCAAAATACGAACACGAGTATAACAACTTTGCTTATGTTACTTTGGTGTTAAAAGTCGGCCAGTGTACACAAACTTATAGTTGATTGTTAAGTAATTATACAGAGCTGATTAGGTAGTAACCCTTAATGACATCGTAAGTCACAATATTCCTCGCCTGATTGAGCCCGTTGGTCAAGGCATGTAGCATCCGGCTATGTTGGTCTCAAACTCCGCTTCTGTATACCTATGATGGGTAGTTGTCTAAGACAAGGTTAAAACAGAACAGACAACTCTCTGCGATCTACTATATATGATCGGCAAGTAGCTTCGACTATATAACCAGTATCTGGTGAGCTGGTAGTCGTTTTCTAATAAACAGTTAGAAGGCCAACCGGATCTCATACCGTGTCTCTCATCACGTTCCAAGATACCTTCGATATTAGGATTTGAACACAAGCTAGAAAATACTTCAGTTAAATACTTATACTACGGATTCTGATTGTGTTGGTTTATGTACAAGTTTTAACAAGAGACTTTCTTTTCTTTAGTTCTGTAACATAGATGGCTTTGAATCGAAGGCAAGAGACAAGCAATTCAAGTGATGAACTAATATCCGCGAGGCTCTATAGACAGATACTCTGCGATGTTCTATGGTTTCAACTGGCAACAATCAAATCTCTGTTTTGTCGGCCCTAGAGGAACAAATCACTGTTTCGACCAACTCTCCCTTTTCTCTGCCGAACTCACTATTCAAAAGGAAGAAGAAAGCGGAACATGATCATTTACGGTTCCTTTCGTCACTTGTTTTTTATACCTACCGATAACCAGTGAGTTACTTCGCAGTACACTCAGCACGCATACAAAGAATAGAGTCATGCTGTGAATCTATATGAATTGACAACTAAGCACAGCCCCTTCCATGATCACGACTTTATTTGGGCTTTCCAAGGATTTCGTAACAGGGCCGACAAGCACGACATACTACTCTTGCTGCAACATGATAATCAATCGTTGGTTTTGTTGCTCTACTTCACAGCTATCTGGCTATCATTGCCTTCCTAACCTCGTGATGCAGAGAAAGGAGCAGAAGAACAGGGCCAGTGGACCCAACTCGCAACAAACCAAACTGAGCAGAACCCATTTAATGGCAAGTCAAAACACCCAGCGTCACAGAAATCGGATCGTATTTTGTCTTCCGAGTTTTATTTTTTGTGGCCAACCGGGTCCTCACACCAGCAGCAACCTTCACCCCTCCGATTTTTGTGCCCCATGCTTGTTCAAGCGTAGCGGGCTATTGTGGTGTCTGTTTGTCCTGACAAACCAAGATACCGTCGAAATTCGAGGAAATCCGATTTGTAGCTTTGTCAACGACGTTTGGGTTAGCTGGGTTAACCCGTACAGTGCCCTTATACCGGAAGAAACAAGCCCCACCGTTCCACGGTAGGATCCTAGCCCGACCAAGCCCCAAACGCGGCCCCCTTTCAGTTTCTCATACACCATGAATCATTGTTCTCGTCTCATCGCTCCTTGCTAATCGCAGAATCATGCTTGACTAGCGGGGCCCCATCGTGCTATCGAAAGGATAGGAACTAAAGTCCATCCATCCTCGACAATTCATGCGGCCCAAGTGTTGGCGCAATCCAAGTGAATGAAACCTCGAAAAAATTGGCCAAGATACCGGTGCCAAGTGAAAAGAAAACAGCCCCTCGGGCCGCCCGTATGTGCAGAATCTAACTTCAAAGGACTTCAACGCCTGCAAGACCGGATTTCCGAGTCATGTAAATTCGTCACAGTTTTCGTGGACTCAAGCATGCCTATTGCTTCCCAAGCGCAAATTCATAAGGTTTGGATCTTTGGCGCGCCATGATTCCGTTGTCAAGGTCAGTAGTAATTGCAACCCCAATAGATATGAACAGAGTCGGAGCCGAGAAAAGATTTTGTAGGCCGTGGTAAATCCGAGTCGTTTTTCTCTCGTTTTTCCGTGGATGGTCGCTAATTACACGTTGCCGAATAAAAAAGGTACAAGATGAAAGCAAACAGATCTGGAACTGGGTATCATTGGTGCTCCGGTGTCGGGTGGGTGATCGATAATCGGAACGGTTGGTGTTGCTGGTAAGGTAGGCTAAATTCGCATAACTTTCCCTAGAACTAGCAATCATGTAACTACCGCATGCGAACCGACAAGCATGTCATATTGGTAAGCAGCGCCGTCTTAACTCGGAGAATATGGCGGAGCTTCGGGTGTTTCGTGTCTGACTGGGTAGAGATTGTCGGGAGTAATCTGCTCACTCAAGAGCCATGATAGACTTCTCGGCCCGTGCTCGCATATGATTGGCATGGGTTTCGAGGCATGACGTGATCAACCGGGTAACTATGATAATGGTCAGTTACTTGATGAACAACACGTGAAGCTTTCCTCCCCAAAAAGAAACCGAGGTAGAAACAGAGAATGTCATCACATACCAGGCCATACAGTAGCTTTGTCAAACATGTATGCTGTGACTCTCAGGATCTTCGACGCGTAGCCTGCGTGGTCGTCCATCTGGATGCCTCCGTCAACGCCGCCATTCAAGCCGGCAATCCCGATACCGGAGGCGATGTCCATCTTCATCTTCATCTCGGCTCCGTGCAGGATTTCTTGGATCTTTCCAAGAAGTTTCGCATCTTCCTCTTCCAATAGCATGATTGCGGGGACTTGGCTGAGGTCAACATCATCCTGGCCGATGATCCCGAGGTAGCGGCCAACGCGATCCTGCAATGTCGCGACCCACTCGGCAAGGACCTGGGCACAGTCAAAAGCGCACATAGCTGACTGTAGTGGTAGTTCCCGGCTTGTCAAGTTAGCAAAAGTGACTCCAAGCTTGTCGGAAAAAGCAAGAGACTCCGCTGCGAAATAGGCGGCCTTCCTCAGGTGCTTTTCCCTGCGTGACATCAACCGGTTGGAGGCTTGTGACTGAGACTGCGGTTGTTGTGTCAAGGCAGGGTTGATGGTACCCGATGACGGGAATTTGGAAGCAGAGAACTCAGGAGAGGATGACTGAGTTGGCGGAGAGTCGATAAAGAGTGAACTCGGTCCAGAGGCGTCGGAGGGATCAGTGACGGTTGAATCAGGGTTCGACGTCGGGGAGTGCTCAGCATGCTGAACAATCTCGGAGCCTCGGGCCAACTCATCAGCCATGCCATCCCAGTCTCGTTGCCAGAACTTCTCTTTTGACTTGGACAGGTTGACAAAGAGGCGGACATAAGCGAGGTCAAGTAACGGGATAGCGTCGGCAGAGAGCGGGCCCATGCCAAAGGGATTTGGGCGTTCCGGGCTGTGGTGGGGGTTATTTGCCCAAGCAGCCTGCCATGCCCGGAGTGCGGGCTCAATGTGGCGGTGCATTTTCTCGGTCTCTTCGTTGGTCCAGACCTTGTTGTGATGGCGCTGGCGTGTTTCCCATATGTAGTTGTGAAGCGCATTGATTAGCACTAAACAGCCGAAGGTGCTGGGTTTCAAGTTGGTCTTGGGGAGATCATTGATATTAACCGCCGATCCAAAGACTTGATGCCCGCTATTAAGGGCGAGCTTCTGCTGCTTCTCGGTCGTTCGAAGCAACTCCCCCAAAGCGTCGTGGAACGTGATGCGGTTATGGTTCGCCGCTGAGACACCTCCCTTGGACTGAAAGCTGAGGCTACTTTCCGCAGAAAAGAAATCCTCGTCGCATGGGAGGTCCAGTAGTATCTCCGAGTTTGTCAGTGCCGGTTTATGGTTGTAGGCCGACACCAGCATGCTGGACAGAATGAAGACGGCATAGAGGGTGCGCTTTCGCTCCTCCATGGCCTTCCAACGCAGCCACTCGGCCTGTTCATCATATTCCTTCCTCGCATTTCCGTTCCAGCCACTATCTGCATCCATCATGTCGATATCATTGGACGACTCAACTCGTGCTGGCCGCAGCAGCTCCGCCCCTTGTGCGAGACTTACCAACGCGGCTGCGTGATTTGAAGCGATCTCTCCGGACAGTTTATCCCCGCAGTTGTGGCCATATACAACATTGAGGAGCATTGCCTGAACCAGCCACACTGGTGTCTCAACGGAGTTGTCCTGCTGCTGTGAATTTTGATCTGACGAAGGAGTTCGCCGGAAGTCTGCTTTTCTTACGTTCGCCTTTCTCATCTCCTCGAGATACAGCGTAATCATCTTTCTGGCCAGCCCAAACAGGTCCGTCGACGTCTGATGCTCCATCTCATACAGGGCGCCAATCGCCGCCATAGAGAGGAGCAGGCACCCACTCCCACCAATACCGCTGCTTCGTCCGTTAGCCGATTGCGAAGGAATTTCGAACGATAGCGTCGGTACGTGGACAAACGGCAAGTGAGGGTGGAAATAGCGCAGATAAGCCCCGACGTATCGCTGGAGGTCGTGGGTACTCGGGAGGCCGCTACTGTGGTGGTCGGAAGGGGTTGTCGTCGACGGCTGTGTGGTCAATGGCGAGCTTGGTGTTGCGAATGAGTATCTCCGTGCACCAAATTGAGACGCCTGGGAGGCCGAGAGAGCACCTAGGATGGCATTTCTTGTTGAATCAGTGATTGTCGAGACGGGTAAGGTGCCATGATTACTACCATTCATCGAGGAGGGCGTCTCCGGACCGGCACCAAAATTGAGCGTCTGGTTCAGGTTCTGACTATTCAAGCCCGAGATAACCGAGGGGCTGAGCGAACTCATCGAAGGTGGGGGGGTCGAGAAGTAAGCATCGCTCATGTTTTTGGAGGGAGGCTGTGGAGATAACGGAGCGCCGTTGAGGAGGTCCGGGAAGACGGAACCGCCCATATCGAGGGAAAAGGGGTTTGACATTTGCGGAGGCCCCATGATAGCAGGCGCCCACATAGAACTTGACCCCACCGCACCAGTGTGATGGTTTGACCCATCCACCATCACGTCGCTGAGACTCTGGCTGGTGGTGCTGATGGCCGAGGGCGAAGAACCGTCGACGGCATTTTCGTTGGTGCCCGTGTTAAACGACATTTGGTGATCAAAACCATTCAGCCAGTCGAAGCCGTCGTCCAGAGACTGGCCGGCCCCCATGTCGGGGAGCCCGTGGGGGAATGGAGACATGGAATCTAAAGCCATGGACGGCGGTGAATCGTTGTAGTGGAGAGCATTGGGGTTGATGGTGGACCGAGTGGATGTGCCGTACAAGAGACCTTCGAAGTCGAAGTCGCCATGGAACGCCATCGCGGGAGCTGTCCTGAGGCCACCCGAGAAGTCCATGCCATTGATGCCGTGCGTCTCTAGCTTCGGTAGGCCATGAGCCCCCCCTCGTTGAGCCAGAGCCGAGGCCATGCCGTAGGCATGGTCGATGTGGTTGTGCATGGGGAGCCCAACTAGGCTAGGATGGCGACTATGGGTCGGCGGCATGCCCCTCGCAACCTGGGCATTGGTTGCCGCTAGTATTTGCATGGCAGTACCGTCAATATGGCTGATGGTGTTAGCTCGGGGCCTCATCGAGGTGGCAGCTGCGGCCGCGGCCGCATTGGTACCCGCGACACTGTTCTTGCGGACTCGTGCCCCAGGGGTGGCTCCGCTCGCGCTCTCCCGGCGGTTACGGGGGCGAGACGAGGGTGTCGTAGTTTGGTGAAGCTTTTGCTGGTGCCGCAGGAGCAAATCCCGACGAGCAAAGCATCTTGTACACTCGGGACACTCGAAGGGTTTCTCCTTGGTGTGCGACCGTTCGTGACGCTTTAGGTGTTCGAGACGGGCAAACGAGCGCTGACATGTTCCGCAGATGTGCGGTCGTGGCTTGTCGGTCTTAGGCGGGGGGAAATTGGTAGGCGTCTTGGTGTTCACAGTAATTGTCGAGGCTTTGGGTTTGTCAAGAAACTCGCGCGGTCAGCTACGCCAAACAGGTCGTCTCTCGGACCGGAGTAGAGGGGTTATTTCTGAGAAAATAGGAAACGAGACGTGAGCGGGCGGAACATACCAGCCTCGTCGCCAGCGGGCACACTGGGCGCGGCACCAGAAGGTGAAGTGGAGGCATTTGACATGACGGCGGCGGCGGAGGCGGCGGCGGCGACAGCTTCAAGGTTGCTGCCGGCGTCGTTTGATACAGTCATAGTCCGAGGGGGAATTTGGCGTCGGACGACTTTGTGCGGTGGGATGAAGGGCAATCAGGCAGGCAAGAGCAAGAGGAACTAGAGCAAGGAGCACTGCAGAGGAGAGTGTGGGGAGCGGATACGAAGGAGGAAGCGACAGCGGCGGGCGGCGGCGGAGCGGTGGGGATCAAGCTACTGTGGGAAGAGGTGTCGAAGAGGGTGAGACGGGGAGGGGCACGGGAGCGAAGTCGACCGTTGCATGCTATTCCGAAGCAATTGCTACAATCCCGCGGTTTCCTCGCGCGCTCGATCTTTGTCTCGACAGTCCCGGTGTCTGCAATCGCATCCCATTCGCGAGGTTGAGGTGAGCAGTAGTGGGTTGCAAGAGGTGAGAAAGGGTTGGTCTGGGCTATGTGATGGAAGAGCAGGAGCGAACCAGAGAGAGAGGTAACTAACGACTGCCTTAGCCCCCAGAGTTCCTGGGTTGCCAAATGCGGTGCGCTGCGGCGGATGGCGAAATTGGAGCGTCAGGCCTGTGTGAGCGAATGACACTGGCAGCTAGCAGGCGACTGACAAGCCCGCTGGGGAACAGCGGCACAGTGCGGGACTCAAATTAGGCGACTACCCAGCTCGGGTTAGTCGCTGGGGCCCTGGTCGAACGATGGGATGCACCCTGGCGGACAAGGAACAAGGAAGGGCCCACAGGCCTGCAACCATCGACAACCCGGGAGGGGTCGCGTGGTACCGGACAAATACCTCAATTGCGGAAAGTAAATGGGTGATCTGCCAGCTTTGGAGGTGTGCGCGACCCTGTTTATTCCAAGTTCACAGTACCTGCTGCAGTCGCTGGACCCTGTCTGTCTATTGGCAGCGAATGGAACGCAAGCAGTGGAGACAGGGCACCTCTCCATCGCCCAGGCGCGGATTGGCTCCCACCGTGAGTCAGAGTACCGGTTACCCGCCAGCGGTCAAGCAGTGTGGGCAGGCTCATAAGACTTCCATGCGGATACACGACGACGAGCCTAGGATATTCCGTACTGCTCCGACTTTAGTATTGATAACGAATCATATTTCACATCAAGAGCTCGATATTAGAAGCTTGGAAAGCGAGCCGGTGGCTTTCTGGGGCGCAAAATTCTGCTGTTGTGTCTTATGTCTCTGCATGGTTTATACGCATCACAGCCAACGTCTTCAGGTCCGCTCGTCTATTTCCTCCGTCCACCTCATGTGCCTGTCAATGCACCTCGGCCAACCCTGGGCAGTGTGTTCTGAAGAGGCATCGCGGCCGCTAGAAGCCGAAGCATATAAGTCGCGCTATTGCATTTCCTATCCTCAGCCTCTGCCGTCCTGTCACCCTCATGACGGGAGTAGACGAGAAGTAGGTAAGGTAGGTAGGTAGCCACCTGTAAACAGCGATTCCGGCCAAGGCCGTCACCGGATAAGCAGCGGCGCAGCCTTGAACTTGGAAGCAAGGCTAGACTAGGCCTGGGTACGATGACGGCACTTTCGGTGGCTGGAGCCACAGCCGTCTGATCGAGACGGTCAAGAGCCTCCTCGAAAGAGGCAAACCAGCTCTACCTTGTTCCGTACGTACTTTGTCGCCTTATTACTGGCACCTCGTCCAAACTACGCAACAAGTCGCAAGGCTCTTGAAACCGGCCAAGTGGACCGACCGCGCAATGCACTTTCTTTGCCTACGTTGGGCAAGGGAGTAGGTATGTAAGGGAGGTGTGGAGGCTGCACATGTACCGCGTGTGCAAGACGGAGCGATGGGATCATTTAGGTACCTTCCAACGGACTCGGCCGCCAGTCTGTGACTTTCTTCACGAGCCACCCTCACATTGCGGATCTAGAGCTCAACTAATGGCTAGGTGAGTGAGTATGTAGGTAGGTAGGCAATGCATCATCTCTCTTCACAACCCAAGTTGAGCACAGAGCTCGAACAACGCCGTGGGCGCGGGACTATGCGCCACGGCTGCTGGCCCGCCCGTTCCTCCTTTCATCGGGCTGCAACTTGCCTATTTCTCTCGCAAGCTTGATGCACCTCGCAACACACCCATCCAACGAAGCCAGACCCAAGCACACTAAATAAAGAGCAAGCAAAGAGTCGGTCCATGTGTGAGCCTAGGAACCTTGCACACAGCACCTCAATTATTGCATGAGCGTTTCGGCCACATTCCGTCTGATTGCTCAGCTGCACGGCGGCCCTTGCTGCTCCAGGTTTAGCACTAGGCGCCTTCACACACACACAGTGTCACAGCAGATTCTCAGACCTTCAACCCGATCTTGCCCAGACGACGCTTTCTCGTGTGGCACTTTTATTATAGTATTGTTATTATTCCATTTAAACAGAGCCTCGGCCCAAGGGTAATGGATAGTCTTCTTTATTTTCCCAGCCAACACACAGGTACTCTACCTTATTAGAACGTCAAGCGACCGCCAATGGACCGAACTAACCTACGGAGTAATGACGAGCTGATTCTCCAGCATCAAAGCGATTGAGTCCCAATTCGGCGGTCGTCAAAATGGACGAAGCCTTGCTGAGGTCTTTGCTGCGACCAACGTGCATTCTTCAGGCTGTGGGCCGCCTTCGTCTGACTGGGCTTGTTCGACACTTCACACTGTATCTACGCACATGAATGGGCAGACAGATGCAGCGGACGGCAGTCAACATCCCAGATTGGCGATAAATTAACCACTCCACTGTCTGGCCTTATGCCCATCTAACTTCAGGGTGGCTGTCAAACATGGTCCCGTCACCACTGACACTGGTATCTCTTGGTGGTCAACATATCGCGGCCAACTTCACGGTGTATTGTTGTTTTTCCCATTGCTGGTGCGGTTATGGTGGACTTCCAAAATACGTAAAGGCACGATGCTGGAACGTTTCTCGATCGGCTTTCTATTAATAGTGTCTGATTCCGGTCCCTGCGATAACTGGATCGTCGCTGGGGGCAGCACGGTGCGTCCTGCGATCAATGATCTTTGGGACTGTGTATCCGCACTCTGCCCTGGATGAACAAGGGGTTCGGTCAAAGGGGTAAGGTAATCGAGAACAGCACTGGAGCCCAGACTCACCCGCTCTTACAAGATTTCTCGTGAGCGTGTAATTAGCTTATGGTGGCTACAATTGATGTAGAAACAAAGAAAAAGTAAGCACAATTTAGTATGCCTGTCTCATATACTTAGTGCATCTAGCACCGAAGATTTCGCCATAAACCCAATCTTGACACGGCAGAGACAGGCAGACCCTCACAGCCGAAGTCGCGCAGAGCACTCGGTCCCTCTAGGTGCTTTCATAGATCGACACAGCCACAGCAGCACGTTGAGAAAGAGACAAATCGTCAATAGGGTGCGCATTGGCGGAGGCGAGTATAGAAACAATGGCAATGCGTACCTAGCTTAATGCTAAGATCGTATTCGGGCAGAGCCGCCCTCCCGCCCCTGAAAGCAGCGTGGCGAGCCAAATTACCTCACCAGTTGGTTTGGAATGTCGGTGGCTCATACTATGCAACTCAGGTTGTGCTGGCTAGCATCGATGGACAGGCGATGATAAGGCTCGTAACAGAGGCTCCTATCATATGCACATCCTGCCCTAAACTGCGTCTTACTGTGGGGCCCACAGATGCACTTGTGAATGTTTCCATCCCTCAGCACGGGTGTTCCTGGTTCGGAGCCCAGGGTGCAGTTATTAGTCGGAGGTCGTTTCCTGAGTGCACACGCGAGGGAGTCAACCTTTGCTCCAGCTCTGTGGTGGATCGAGCGAGCCGGCGTGTTAAATCCGTAGTGGGATGTATCAATGTATCCAGAGATCTTTAATTTATCAGCGGACAGAGTTTGACCTCCCGACCGTCCCGGACATCGCCAAAACCAACGGCTCGTAACAAGCCCTGTAAATACAGACCTACCTTGCCTTACTTACATGGATAAGTACAGGTGTATGGCGCTGTATGTATGCAACATAACAGTGATGACAGTGTGAGTGAGGCGCTTCCTGAGCTAGCCGTTCCAGGATCCAATATTTCTAGTGCGTCTGGAGCTCCAGGGGACCGTGGAGCTAAAGCTGGCATCGAGCGCCGCTGGATCGAGACCGTCCTGCCAATAGATCTGGGCGCGTTGCGACAAGTGCGGATGCCCGATGCCGGCAGTGTGGGTGTTGCGTGATTTCTCTGCTCAGTCTAGGTGTCATTCTACGAACCAATCCAGAGAGCCCAATGACAAAGGCATTTGTTTATGTTCCGACATGGTAATGAATGGTTTTTATGCTAGGAGCCTCGGCGGCCGCCAGTTTCCAAAGTCAGGTTCTAGCTTCCTTGAGCTCCCCCCCCTCACCCATCAGGTCCTGGACCTACCCCGCCATGGGATTGAAGTTGGATTTGGAGGGGCAACCGCGGGGCAGTCGGTGCCCCCAATTTCCCCAAACGTGATCAAAATGGACGGGATAAGCTAGCTGCCCGGTGTAGGTACGGTACGTATGAAACGCAAACCAAAAGATTCGATTCAAACTCCGTCCCTTTCCGTGAGGCGCAAGCAAGCCTGTGCCCGGTTGCTCGTCTGATCAAACGCGACCACGCCCTCGGGGAATTCGGTGGCCCAAGACGGCTGGATTTCACGCGGGCCCGATCTCAACTGAAGACGTGGCTGTGGTTGGTTTCATCTTGGCCCTTGGTCTGTGCAGCGGACGGAGCCTCGCACAGTGCTCCACATTCCATGTTCCACACAGTGAGCGCTCTGCAGGCAGCCAACAGGCGTGCCTGGTCGATTTTAGCGCCGGTGTCGTGCTTCTGAAACGGCCTTCGCTTGCTCAATTAACGTTAATTCCGAAAGAAACTTGGGACTGGACGGGAAGAAGCCGTCGAATTATTTCAACAGCAAACCCCCAAATACGGATGTTATTAGATTTGAAAGACTTCTTCATCCACTCTCTGCCTTCGAATCGGCTGAGTGCATCTAGAAAGCTACAGCTTTAAAGAGCACAGCCAGACGGCGCGGGAGTTTTGGTGGCTCGGTCGAACCATGCCAATTAGCAGCAGCTACCCCTGCTATAGCATCACAGATCCAACCCGTCTCGCTGCATTGTCACTAGATCAGGCGTTTGAACTGTGAGGGTGGGGGAGGACGGAGTTGAGCTCTGTTGACC